CGGTGGTACCCACGCTCTGCGCGGAATGTACAAGGACCGCTACCTCGACAAGCCCCTGCAGAAGGATATCCTGCAGGAGTCATTCATCAACACCATGAGTGCTTGGGTCAACATGTTGCTCCTGTCCTCCACTGGTCCGATCAAGACCCCTGTCGGTGCCTGTGCCACTGCCGTTGAGTCCGTCGACATTGGTTACGAGACCATTGTGGAGGGTAAGGCCCGTGTCTGCTTCGTCGGTGGTTTCGATGACTTCCAGGAGGAGGGATCGTACGAGTTCGCCAACATGAAGGCTACCAGCAACGCCGAAGATGAGTTCGCCCACGGTCGTACCCCGCAAGAGATGTCTCGTCCCACCACCACCACCCGTGCCGGTTTCATGGAGTCGCAGGGCTGCGGTATGCAGCTCATCATGAGCGCTCAGCTTGCTCTCGACATGGGTGTGCCCATCCACGGTATCATCGCTTTGACTACCACCGCCACTGACAAGATTGGCCGTTCCGTACCCGCCCCCGGTCAGGGTGTCCTTACCACTGCTCGTGAGAACCCTGGCAAGTTCCCCTCGCCTCTGTTGGATATCAAGTACCGTCGTCGCCAGATGGAGCTGCGCAAGAAGCAGATCAAAGAGTGGCACGAGTCCGAGCTCCTCTACCTCCAGGAGGAAGTTGAGGCCATGCAGGCCCAGAGCGATGAGTCCTTCAACGCCTCTGAGTACATGCAGGAGCGCGCTCAGCACATTGAACGCGAGGCTATTCGTCAGGAGAAGGATGCGCAATTCTCTCTGGGCAACAATTTCTGGAAGCAGGATTCTCGCATCGCTCCCTTGCGTGGTGCCTTGGCTACTTGGGGCCTGACAGTTGACGACATTGGTGTTGCTTCCTTCCACGGTACCTCGACCGTTGCCAACGACAAGAATGAGTCCGACGTCATTTGCCAGCAGCTCAAGCACCTTGGCCGCAAGAAGGGTAACGCCGTCATGGGTATCTTCCAGAAGTACCTCACCGGTCACCCCAAGGGTGCTGCTGGTGCTTGGATGTTCAACGGCTGTCTCCAAGTTCTGGAGTCGGGTCTTGTCCCCGGTAACCGCAACGCTGATAACGTTGACAAGGTGATGGAGAAGTTCGACTACATTGTTTACCCCAGCCGTAGCATCCAGACCGATGGTATCAAGGCCTTCTCGGTCACCTCCTTCGGTTTCGGTCAGAAGGGTGCTCAGGTTATTGGTCTTCACCCCAAGTACCTGTACGCCACCCTCGACCAGGCTCAGTACGAGACCTACAAGACCAAGGTTGAGTCTCGCCAGAAGAAGGCTTACCGCTACTTCCACAATGGTTTGATCAACAACACCATCTTCGTTGCCAAGAGCAAGGCTCCTTACGAGGATGAGCAGCAGAGCAAGGTCTTCTTGAACCCCGACTACCGTGTGACCCTTGACAAGAAGACTTCTGAGCTGAAGTACTCCACCACTCCCCCCAAGCCTGAGGCCTCCAGCGAGGAGAGAACCCGCCAGATGGTCGAGTCTTTGGCTAAGGCCAACGCCACTGCGAACTCCAAGATTGGTGTTGATGTTGAGAGCATCGATGCGATCAATATCACCAACGAGACCTTCGTTGAGCGCAACTTCACTGCCAGCGAGCAGGAGTACTGCCGCAAGGCCGCCTCGCCCCAGTCCTCGTTCGCAGGCCGCTGGAGTGCCAAGGAGGCTGTCTTCAAGTCCCTCGGTGTGAGCAGCAAGGGTGCTGGTGCCGCCTTGAAGGAGATTGAGATTACAAACGACGCTAACGGTGCTCCTGTGGTTAACGTAAGTACTAGGCCTAATATATCAACTAGTGATCAGCAACGCTAACTCGCTGGTTTAGCTCCACGGTGCCGCCGCCGCCGCCGCCAAGCAAGCCGGTGTCAAGTCGATCACCGTCAGCATCAGCCACAGCGATTCTCAGGCTGTGGCTGTGGCTGTTTCGCAGCTTTAATTTCGAGATTGTCGTCTCCTTTGCCATTTTTTTCTGTTCACATAAATGCTGAGAACAGCTGATCTTCCCCTTTTCTCCCCCTTTCGAGACGTGATGACTGTGATTTATGTTTGTGTTTCTTTTCTCTAGATTCGATCCAGTTTCGTCTCCTGGTTCGTTGGTGTTTATAATGGGAGTAATGACATGCCATAATTTCATTTCGAGTTCAATTCTTCCATATTTTCTATCGTAAACCCTAGTGTAGGAGATGGCTCAAGCCTGTTCATTTTTAGATAGTACGTTATTGACTGTAAATCTTAAGTGCTCTTGCCTTTCAATAGCAAGATTTCACTTGAACTTGCCTAACGAAAATAGGAATCCATGGTAGCTTCTCCAGTGTCATACATGATTGTCATTTCTTGTTTCGTGGTCAATATGCATACAGCAACAAAGTATTATAGCAAAGAAGCTGTCTAAACCATATTTCCATAGACATTTCGATCACTTCCTGTTGGGCCTGAAGAGAAGGAAAAACCAAATATTTATATTTTACATCAAACGTAAATACATTGCACGTCATCAGTTGGTCACTGATGCCCGGTTCAGCGGTCCCCAGTTCGCGCGGGGGTTGATCTGATACCGGACCAGACGCTTTTTCGAGTGCGCAGCGGAGGCTTCACGACCCAGGGCGGGATCAAATTTGACGTCAAGGGTGCTGGGATGAGGGCGCTCAGAAGTCTGGACAGACTTTTCCTTCTCCGGGGCAGCTACTGGCTCAGATCCAGCGCTGGCAATGGTCTGTGAAGTCTCCGCCGATTGTTTCCAGGCTTGCCGAGAGCCAGATCGGTAAAGAGATGCCTCTACTTTGGTGACCAGGTCACTGACATCGCGGCCAGACTCCACGGCCGAGAGAATATCCCGCTTGAGGAGAGATAGCCACTGGTCACCATCGTCGAGCTTACGGAGATTATCACGACTCTTGGCCATGATCGCGGCACCAGGGGTCCCCGGTTTCAGGGACCCTTCCTTGATAGGGCTCTCTTGACGGATCCACTCACGCATCACCTCCCAGATGACACTCCATGGCGCATCGGTGCGAACTGAGTTAGGCTTGGCATGGCTGCGTGTGGAGCGGTAACCAATGGAGTGAAGAGCCCCACGAAATTCATCAATTGGAGCAGTTGAACAATGCAAAACTTTCGAGAGGCTACCAAGAGTCATGTAGAAGGGGTATGGGTCCTGACGAGTCGGATCCATCCGTGGGATAATGGCTGGGTATTCGGCAGCTTCACCCTTTGTTTCGGTGGCCTCCGACTTTGAAGCAGGACTCGAGGAGCCACATAGTGTGAGGTCCAAGTCTTCCTCCAGGGCCGTAGTCAGCATACCCTCAATTCGAGGAATAGTTTGATAAGTATTAGGATCGAGTCCAGGAAGAGTGGCCAGGATCTTCTGAATGAAATGCGGGTTGTGTAGTGGTCCAGCCCACATCGGGCCGGCAAGATGCGTCTTGAAGCCACAGTGCTCGCAGTGCGTATTAGCAGTAGGCCCCTGAGCCAGTCCATGGTGGTGCAGTGCATTGCCCTTGCGGTTGAGCTTTTGCTTCAGTGCGGCCAATGGCTGGGTCGACCAGGCACCACAGCCCGAGTCACAGTTGTAAACCAGCATCGAGTTGGCACCAAGGAATTTCACCTGCGCTGGGGAGCGGTACACGCGCACAAACACCCGAGCGTAGAAATCAATTGAAAGAGAAAGTAGGGGTTCAATTGCCATGCCATACTTGCCAGCCGACATAGCCAGACTGTTAAGAATCAGTCGGAGCCCACCCTCATGCGAGTGGGAGCCTTTCATGGGCATGCCGCCATACAAGGAGAATGACTTCTCTGCATAACCTGTTGAGGCCCAGATACTAGCGTCGGTGCAAGTGACGCAGAGTAGACCACCATCCTTGACACCCTGCACTGCACCATCCAAGAAAGGTGCGGCAGTGCCATACGGATCCAAATCAATGACGTCGAATTTCTGGACCGAGGACAGTCCGTACATATACGCCCGTGCATCGCCAAGGTTGGGCGTGATGCGGGTTTCAAGCTTGTTGTACTCGATGTTTGTCTTCATTGAGTTGATCGCAGAGGGCGACAGGTCATTAGCCACCACCTTGGAGACCATTGGAAGCTCCGAGGCATACCGCAGAGCACGCAGACCAGTGGCAGACAGAGCGTCGAGGACGGTAAACGGCGTTTGGGAGGGTGCATCGGATGGCGCCTGTTGCTTCTCTTCCGGCACAGAGCCTGGCTGCTCCACCGTGGCCTCTGACTTCTCCTCATTCCCTCCCTCCACTCGTTTGGATGCTGGTTCTTCCGCATCGTCCTCGCGCTTCCGCTTTTTCGCATTATCAGCCCCATTCTCTGACTTGCGCTTCTTTTTCTGAGCCTCTTTTTGTTCCTTCAGGTCCATCGCATGTTCACCAAAAGCGCGAATTGCCAGGACACTGAGGTCCCGGTTGAATTGCTGGATTGGGTTATAGAAGACAGCCTGAGATTCGTCGTCGGCCTTCAAATCTTTCTTCGTTCCCTTGGACGCGGCTTCCTGCGCAGGGGGATTCAAAATGTGGGCCAATCCCTCCTTGATCACATTGTATTCCTTGCCCTGGTATTGCACCCGGGTGCTGGTGGAATCGGTTGAGCTCTCCATGGCTTTCGGTGAGTGACAGAACGGTCTCGAGGGTGTGCGAAGGAATTGAGCGTAGGTGGGGCGTTTAGGATTAACAGCGCATCGCGGGAGCCAAGTAAAGATCGACTGTACCGCGCGGGAGTTCATGGACACTTTCTGATCAATCCATGTGGAGAGAAAGTTGAAGTTGAATCGAAAGGAAAAAAGATTCCTCGCACGGACCAAGTGGGTTGGATCATCATGTACTTATTGGCACATGGGAAGCAGTCTCTGATGTCCAACATGATTCCTTGTTCTTTTCTCATGAATTTATTATTAATTAATCATCTCAATAGCGTCTATGAATAAAGTACATTATGTGCATCAAAATCCCATCAAGTCCAATCATAACCAATCTCCGATGACGGGCACTTGGCTATACATATCATTCCATCCTTGCGCCTCCCAGCCAACACCTTCACCAGCACGGCCAACAATACCAAGAGCACCTGCAAGCCAGAGAGCAGCACCAGCGGCTGCAATGCCATTGACCATCCACCACATCTTGCGCTGTCGGTTCGCGCGTTGATGATTTTCGGGGTAGCCCAACAAGCCCTCCAGCGAGCCCTTACTAGAGTGCTCTTTCCGGGCAGTCGTGACTCGCCAGCCCATCCAGGTTGCCCAGCCACCAATGAAGTGCCATACACTAGCGGTGACAAATACCAGGTAGAAGATATTCCAGAATACGGGACTGCGAGCCACACCATGGGCCACATAACCTAGTCCGACCCCGGAGCTACTGCCTTCCACCATGAGTGGTGTGATGCGGTTCACCACGGCATGAAGTCCAATCAGCGGGGTGAGAAGATATCCCGAACGGGCCTGAAGAGAGATCCGAGGCCACCAGGAGAGCAGATCCCGTTGTGCGCGAGTCTCCGCACCGTATAGCCTTGCGCGTCGAGAGGAACGAATGTTGCGCAATGCGATCCCAGAGGCGATATGGGCGACGATAGGAAGAGTAAGGATGAGATGCTCCAGCCCGGGAGCCTGGTAGAGTGGTCGCGTGAGCAAGAGGTAGGGCTCACTGGCCGGCACTGATCGGGTCACGAGCGGGATAAGAGCGGTGTTGGCAAAGTGTAAGACAAAAAATACTGTCGGAGGATATGTGGAGTACTTCTGGATACCGGATACTGTATATATCATAAGACATCAATCAATGGGGAAAGAATTTCGCAGTAGGGTCAACGTACACAATGCATCCCATCGATGCGGTCGAAGGCCTAATGTGGGCACGGGGAAACCACATGCTCTGCGTGGTTTCTCTTCAGCTGGTCGAGACAATATTTCCTCGGACTCAACGTTCGGAACTGACTCGTCGTTCACCGGTGAAGGGTCCAGTTCTTGCATAGAGATGATGGACTTGGCGTCCATATCCACCGGTTTGATATCTCGTGGGTCCATGGTGTTTTGCAGAGGAATTTGCTAGCGAAAAGGAAAGAGAAGAGAAGAAAACAGAAGGAAATTCGTTCTGATTATAACATCATTTCGTGGCGTAGAGTGTTGAGGAAGAGGAAATCAAGGAAAAGAAAGTTGGGGAAGCGCCGATCCCGATAGAAAACACATCGTCGCTGATAGGTGCAATCTTGCATGTTAAACCTCTCCACCATGCCTCCAGTAATGTTCTCCCTCCCTCCAGGTCCTTCAAGTCACTAATGTGTAGATACAGCGCGGCTTCACTAATCCTGCTCCAAAGGTAATAAACTCCCGCACTGAGTGAAGCACTAGCTAACCCATCTCAGACCGAGTCAGCGCGGTCCGCCCTCAGCTCTTTCACATGCACTCTGTGCAATAAATCCTATTCACGACACCCAGAATATGAAGCGCACATTGGATCCTATGATCACCAGCACCGCAAGAGACTTCAGGACCTGAAGCAGCTATCACGCGATCCCAATGCTGCAGAGAAGGCGCGACGCGCAGAGCGCAAAGCAGATGCTCAGGCCGGGCTAAGAGTGATTGATGCGCCTGTAGCCAGTACCACTTCCAGTGGGTCTGGTGGAGGAGGATTCAAGAAGGGCGGCTTCAAGAGCTCCTTCGCAGCTGTCAAGGGCGCGGCACCTGTATTGAAGAAGAATGTACTAGGGGACGATGACGACGACGAGGCCCAAACAACTCATAAGGATCAAACGGGATCGACGGGTTCCAAGTCAACGCATGGACACGATATGGATGCGGAAAGCGATACCGACGAGGAATATGGCCGAGATAACCAGGGCGGGGAATACTATGACCCTCGTCGACCTACTGGTTGCCTGGCTGAGTGTGCAGGGCGTCGGTGAATCAAGACTGCTGCTTGGTAGCCCTTCCAGAGATCTACTAGCCTCTGGGCCTGGGGTTTATTCATTTGCATTCTCAGAGGCGTTTGGGCGAGATACCATGGCGTGAGATCCTGTTACTTTACTAAAGACGGTATACATTGGCGGATTATATGATCAAAAAACAATACAACTGGCAATTGTCTATCAATCTAAAACTCAAGATAGTGAGGGTGATGACAACACCAATTCAAGCATTTACGCTGGAGGAATCAGAAGGCGAGTCTAGGAAGGTAATCGTACACAGGTTTCCAAGAATCGGCCTAGGCGAGAATAAATAGAGACATGATGGAACAAACAGGAAAAAGATAGGACAGATGAAAGGGTACTAGGCACATGGTTTTATTACTGCTTCAATATCGCTTCACCTACACCCGCAGAAGCTTGGCGGCCTGGCTGACGATGGTGTCCTCCTGGGGGAAGGCCATGTTCTCCAGACCAACGGCGTAAGGGGTGGGCACCTCAGCACCAGTGACACGGACGGCGGGGGCAGTCAAGTAGTCGAAGCCGTACTCCATGGCCAGAGCCAAGATCTCGGAGGAAACACCGAACATGGGGTATCCGGACTCGACAACCATGAGGCGGCCGGTCTTCTTCAAGGAGGCGACGATGGTCTCGACATCCAGGGGCTTGACGGAGCGCAGGTTAATGACCTCGGAGTCAACACCGTACTTTTGCTTAAGCTCGGCGGCAGCAGTAAGGGACTGGCCAACACAGCGGGAGAGGGAGACAATGGTCAGGTCCTTTCCAGGGCGCTCAATCTTGGCCTTGCCGATGGGCAGGACGAAGTCGTTCTTCTGGGCGGCCTCGGACATGGGGAAGGCCTGGCCGTACATAAGCCTATTCGCAAGTGTGATGTTAGTTCTCCATTTTGGATTCCCAATCCGCAAAATAGCAGAGAAAATATATATATATGTTCAGGACCGCAAAACGTACTCGTTCTCAAGAACCACAACGGGGTTAGGGTCACGGATAGCAGCCTTCAGCAGACCCTTGGCATCCTCAGAGCTCCACGGAGAGACAACCTTGAGACCGGGAATGCTGCCGTACCAGGCAGAGTAGTCCTGAGAGTGCTGCGCGGCGACACCGGCGGCGAAACCGTTGGGACCACGGAAGGTGACATTGCAGGGCTGGATACCACCGGACATGTAGTGAGTCTTAGCAGCGGAGTTGATAATCTGATCGATGGCCTGCATGGCGAAGTTGAAGGTCATGAACTCGCACTAAAGATAAGGGACCGCCTGATTAGTATCTCAATTCTTCCTCATATTTTGACTTGAACTCTCGCCGGAAAATTACTCACAATAGGGTGCAGACCAGCCAGGGCAGCGCCGACAGCAATACCGGTGAAACCAGCCTCAGTGATGGGGGTATCAATAACCCGCTTGGGTCCAAAGCGGTCCAACAGGCCGCGAGTGACCTTGTACCTGTAGAATTCCATGTTAGGATGTTTTCCCGAACCTGAATACGGCCATTTTACCAAATGGACCGTTACGGACACCAGTGGGCTCTTACGCTCCGTTGTACTGTGCGACCTCCTCACCCAGAATGAAGGTCTTCTGGTTGAGCTCCAACTCCTCCGCCAGGGCCTCGTTCAAGGCATCACGGACAGTAACCTCCTTCACACCACCCTCCGATGCATATCCTCGGGCGCGCAGAGCGGATTGAGCGCAAGCAGACTGGGCAAAGACCGGGCGAAGAGGGGTGGCCAGGCGCGAAGAAGCCAGACGGGCCGCCGGGCGGAAAAGTCGGGAGGAGACCATGGCGAGGAATTGATATGGGAATCGAAAGGACGGAGAAAGGAAAAACGAGAGTTGACAAGTCCGCAAGGCCGAAACGGGCACACCAAGCGTATATCAAAGTAATTGAGGTTGGGGAGAAAAAGGGAAGGCCGCGCTATGAATCTCAAAGATTCAAATCGGAAAGATGTTGGGCGCTGAGTCAGCAACCTCACCGGCAGCTCCTTCCGTAACCGTACGAGCTCTCGATGTTCAAGAACTATACGATCAAGTGACAGCTTTCATAGCTAGCTCACAAGGTACTTCGACTTATCAAGTCGATCCCTCCCTTCGTCTTTTCTTTCCCTTACTCCCTCTGTCAATAAAGTACCGGGTACCGCCTACTTCACCATTTCCGGCCCCGGTTCGGGAAACCCCAAGGATGTTGTTGTCCGTGTTGCCCTGGCTCTTCCCGTCGGCGCTCGCCGCTCAACCATCTGCGCCCGACCCCATCCCCGTTCCTCTACGTAACCTTGAGTTCGGGCAACTAAACTTCCTTCATACTACTGATACTCATGGCTGGCTGGCTGGTCATTTGCAGGAGTAGGCCTCCAGAGCTCCTGTTGCAAAACTCCAACACTGACAGTGTATGTACTTTTGCAGACCATCCTATTCCGCCGATTGGGGAGACTATATCTCTTTCACCACGCATATTCGGGAAAAGGTAGAAGCACAAGGTCAAGATTTGCTGGTCATAGATACAGGTGATCGGGTGGAGGGGAATGGCCTCTACGACTCATCCGACCCCAAAGGCATCTACCTGTCGGAGATCATCCGGCATCAACACATCGACGTGATAACCTCGGGGAACCATGAGCTCTACCAACATAACACTTCAAATAACGAGCTGCTGACAACCGTACCCAACTTCCGGGGTCATTATCTATCATCCAACATCGATATTTATCACCCTATAACCCAGGAGCTGGTTCCACTCGCCCCGCGGTACAAGAAATTTACCACCAAGGTGCAAGGCATCCGCATCGTAGCATTTGGCTTCCTCTTTAATTTCAACGGGAACTACAACAATACCGTTGTGCAGCCCGTGGAAGCCACCATCCAGGAAGAGTGGTTCCAGGAAGCGATTCAGGATAAAGAAGTAGATCTCTTTTTGGTCGCCGGACATGTCCCGGCGCATTCACCGGAATACCGTGCGATCTTCAGAGCGATCCGCAAGGTCCACTGGGCCGCACCGATACAGTTCTTTGCTGGTCATGAACATATCCGCGATTATGCGCAATACGACTCCAGAGCTATGGCCCTAGCCAGTGGCCGATTCATGGAGACCATCGGGTTCATGTCCATCGATGGTCTCTCCACTAGTAACCGACCAACCGTGGCTTCAACCCCCGTGTTCAAGCGACGATACATAGATAACAACCTTTTTTCTTTCTACCACCATACTGGACTGGATGAAAGTTCATTCCCGACCGAGAAGGGAATTGAAGTGTCCAAGATGATTACTGAGGCGCGGAGCGCCCTGGACCTAGATCGAGTTTATGGCTGCGCGCCTCGCGATCTGTGGATGTCGCGCGTGCCTTACCCACATCCAGACAGTATCTTTACTTGGCTAGAGACTGAAGTGCTAGCCGCTTTATTGAAAGATGATACTCGCCGTGGTGTCCCTACCGTCGCTATTTTGAATACGGGTGGAATACGTTTCGATATCTTCAAGGGCCAGTTTACCCGCGACAGCGCATTCATTATATCTCCCTTCGTCAACAACTTCCGCTATGTAAAGGACGTTCCCTATGAGAAAGTCCAACTTATCATGGATATTCTCAACAAACAGACAAAGATCTTGGAGACGTTAGAAACCGAAAATGGTCTATCTATGGCCGACTTAGCCTCCCCTGATCAACGAGACATGGCAATGCATTCCTCGAACAAAAATGATATGGAGAGTCGACTGCCCATGAATGCCGGCTCTCACCAGGTCCCTCTGGTGGCCAAACGTGGTGATGCCAAGATCATCCCCGGATACACGACCAAGGACGATGCCGGTACAGATGGGGACGATACCATCCATTCACCCATCAATGCCTACCAGCTACCCAATTGCATTCAGTCCCTACTGTCTGCCAACGAAACCACAAAGCCTGAGACGGTAGACCTGGTCTACATTACCTTTGTTCAGCCATTCTTGGTGCTCGCTGCTAAATACGCCGATCTCGATGTTGATTTCGTCAAAGACAGCGAGATGTATATGCCCAACGCTACCATGTCAGATTTGATTCGAGACTACGTAGAGGAGAACTGGAAGTGCGAGTAATACAGCCAATCTTTTAAATTCGGTTTGCATCAAAGCTTGTTCTGAAAGCTTCGCATGGATTTTGACGTCACAAAAATGTTGTAAATGTACTAACGCATGAAGAATTTGGTTAGTCATCGAGACTGCTAAATGGCAAATATTTCTCTTTGGTCATTGAACTATGTAGATATACTCTCAAATATGATACATGATGGAGAGGCTCTTCACTCATCACCTCCAGTGTAGGTGAGCACACCCTTTCCACTGCGGTATCCACCCAAAGTGCCCTGCACGCTCTCCGCTAGTTCAGCGCCCTCAGACTCCCAGGACCACTTGACGTCGTCTACGGGGATGTCCTTGAACCGACCTGCACGAGTCAACTGCAGCACATCCTTAATGGTGTTCTCCTTCAGCATCGGGTTCTTATCGCCCCATCTGCTGACCCAGAAGCCATCAAAGACAAGGTTCTTAAAGATCAACAACCCAGAGGGCAGCGCCACAGGTTGTTTCGACATAGCACCATAGGTCACCATGTGCGATTCCGGCGCCAGGGTCTTCGCAAGTGCCGTAGCATTCTTTCCACCAACGCAGTTCAATGCAAGACGAATCGGCTCTCGTCCTCCACGGGTGGCCTCCTTGATAGTATCCCGGAAGGGACCAGTCAGCATTTCCTCCTCAGTAACAACCACCGTAGCACCGAGGTCCTTGAGCTCCTGCTTCAGCGCCTCGGTCTCCTCGGGTGTCTTCCGCTGACGAACAACGTTGATCGTCTTAATCCCCCACTCACGGCCGAGTTGAATCGCAGCGCGTCCAACGCCGCTATTAGCACCATTCTGAATCATCCACTCCTCGCCCGCACGCATCCAATCCCACTCGCAGAAATCTCGGATCATACGGTACGCCGTCACCGGGTTGACACTAACAGTCCCAACCTGCAACGGCGTTAAACCATCCCTGTTCTCAATGCGGATAAGCTGCGACTCATCCATCTGAGCGTGTGTGCGCCAAGTACCCTGACCAGTCTTTTTCATGATGACCCAATCACCCTTGGACAGATTCTTGACACCCGCGCCGGTTGCAATCACCTCGAAGGCACCCTCGTTACCGGCGACGGCAGAGGGTTCGCTTGTGCCGAGGGTCGAGACGAATGGAGGTTTGCTAGGGTATACACCTTGGATCTGGTTGACATCGGCCGGGTTCATGGGAGCTGTAAGAAGGCGAAGATTGACTTGGGTGCCATGCGGGGCGGAGATAGAATGCTTATGTAGACTGATGAACACGTTAGCGATTTTGAATCACCAGGGAACTCGTAGCTGGGGGGAGGTGAGATCTACCTGAGAACATCTTTGGGCTCGCCATATTTGGAGTAGACCAGTGCCTTGGATTGTGTGTATCCATACACGGAAATAGACCTGCGGCCCTGCACGAGGAAGGTGGAGCTAGGGCATTGAGCTTTGCCGGCCAGGCTTGCAGCTCTCAATAGACCAGATTGCCGGGTGCCTTGAGTGGCAGCTCGGAAAATACTACGCGACAACATTGCGGGTGCGTGGAGGTGGTAGGGCGTGGGGGAAGTATAGGAAAAGTTGTTGGAAGGGGAATCGTGCACGGCAAAGCGGAGATGACGTCTTGTCGGTGATTTCACTCGGGCCGAAGGAGCTCATATACTCCACGGTTGACTTCGGACAACGTCAACCCTGTCTAGTTACCCATCGGATAGTCAAGCAAGGATTCGTTCCTTGAGCCTTGATGATTCCTTCTTCATTCAGCGCAGCAACATTGGGGATACATATATATCGGCTTTTTTACGTCTCCCGGTTATATGCTACTCCGCTTTGCATGTCAGCCCTAGGTCTGTAAATATATTAGGAGCTATGATTTATGGCAAGTAAAAGGCCGTTATCAGGCTCAAAGTTGAAAGTCCTGAAAGTCCTTAGTTCAGTTGACTCTAGAGCTCCTTCACATGTAGTTGATACTCCTTGGACCGCAGTTGGCTGCGGTCCTGTGACATATACGATTATATACCCGAACATACATCACATATTTGAACAAAGAACCTGATGATCCATTGGATTCATGTATCAGGTTCTCAGTTCACATGGACGTCGTGTTTATATCACACATCAGCTCTAACGAGTATTGCCATGATAAGCGATAAGCGATAAGCAGCCAGTGATCTTCGCCTCAATTTGCTTCCACTCTTAATCATACCTGCTTCTTCTGCAATGTCCCTTCTACGCGAGGCGGAGAAGTGCATAGCTCATCAACAGGCCCACGGTCTTAATGCCTTCATAACCCCATTACCCCGCGCGGGCCAGTGGTTGGATCGCGTGAGAGAGGCGGATCGGCGCTGGGAGCAAGGTATGGCAACACATACAAAGCCGATCTGGTGACTGTAGCTCATCCTTTTATTTATGACAGGAAAACAAAAGTCGGTCCTTGATGGTCGGCTGGTAGCGATCAAAGATAATATCTGCACACGCGAACTCCCGACCACCTGCGCCTCGGGCATCCTAGACAAATTCGCCAGTCCGTTCAACGCGACCGTTGTTGATCAATTGGAGGACGCCGGAGCTATTATAGCAGGCAAGACCAACCTAGATGAGTTTGGAATGGGATCACACTCGACCCACTCGCGGTTTGGGCTGGTCAAGAATTTGCGACGCGACAAGGATGGCCAAGATCTTTCCGCAGGCGGGAGTTCAGGTGGAAGTGCAGTGGCGGTTGCAGCCGATCAATGCTATGTGTATGTGCTTGAACATCCTTAGGTCATACGTATATATGCTGACTGAAGCCTTGGGTACAGTGCGCTTGGAACGGACACCGGAGGCTCCGTCAGACTTCCAGCGGCGTACACAGGAACCGTTGGTTTCAAACCATCGTATGGTTTGATCTCGCGGTGGGGTGTCGTTGCCTATGCCAATTCTTTGGACACCGTCGGAGTTTTGGGAAGAAATACATCTAGTGTTCGAGACATTTTCTGTAGGTCTACCCTCCCCTGACAGATAATCATATCGAGCTGATGCTTCTATAGCCATCCTCAACCGTCATGATGAACGTGACCCGACCAGCATTCCCCCTCTCTCAAGATCGCGCATCACTTCACACCTTCAAATGTCACGGCTTGCATCTCGATTGACTTCAACTCCCCTTCGCATCGGAGTGCCATTGGAGTACAACATTTCCGAACTAGCACCGTCAGTGCGGCAAGCCTGGCTAATGTCGCTGGCCCATTTACAAGAGCAAGGCCATATCATTAAGCCTGTATCCTTACCAGCTACTAAGCATGCTCTATCGGCATATTACGTCCTCGCCCCGGCCGAGGCGTCCTCGAATCTAGCCAAATATGACGGTGTGCGGTACGGCACTCGTCATGATGGACCAGACAACGACGGAACTTCCGAAAGCTACCTTTACTCAAAAACGCGGGGCCACGGCTTCGGGCCAGAAGTGCAACGTCGCATTCTTCTGGGAACGTTCAGTTTGAGCGCCGATGCCATGGATAACTACTTCATCCAGGCACAACGAGTACGTCGACTAGTCCGGCAAGACTTTGATGCCGTATTCCATGCCAGCAACCCCCTTGCTACGAACGATCTGGATACAGGCCGTCCTGGATCCAGTGACAACGTGGATGTCCTCGTGTGCCCTACCGCGCCATCCCCTCCACCCCGGCTATCTGATATAACAGGTAGCTCTGCGGGCGCCTCGCCCTTGAATTCCTATGTCAACGATGTGTTCACCGTTCCCGCCAGCTTGGCAGGTCTGCCTGCCATCTCCGTGCCAGTCACTGTGGCTGGACCTGACCAGGATTTCGATGCGGATGGGGTCACCGGGATTCAAGTGATTGGCCAGTACGGGGATGATGGGCTGGTGATGCAGGTTGGAGAATTACTCGAAGGTCGCCAGTTCGAGGGCTCGTCCTAGCTGAGACCTACGTGTATGTATGATAATTAGACGAGAGAAGATACCCGAAGGTCTGCTCTGACAACAAAGCCAATTATAAAAAAGAAAGGACCCAAATGTATATCAGCTTAGTGCACGATTACTTTAGTCGTTATGGAATATCATTAAATCTTGGTATCAGTAGAATTTGATTAAAAGTGCCCAACGCCTTGCCATGATGCTTCGGATATAGCTCGGTCAGTATATGTCGGGTCATCTGCAAGCACATTCTCACTCAATTTGCGCCGCCCCAATTGTTCCATTTCTGTCTCAGGTCATGTCCAAGTCCTCATCAGCCGAGCGTAATGGGATTTCTACGGCAATTTTAGGTGTCCCGGCCGTTCCAACTGTTCCGGCTGTCCCAACACTCATTGTATCCTCCGCAGGCGAATTCACAGCATCATCCCCATTGGTGGCCAGAATCGCATGATGACCATTCGCAACCGGATCAGGTGCCCCAGCACCAGTGGTCGATCCAGGAGTGGCAGCAGAGACTTCCGGGTCAAGCGCAGCACCGACACCACCTTTCAGTACTTCGGAACCTCTAATAGCACCAGACGCGGTATCCAGCTCTCCATTGTTATCGCCAATCACGTCGCCGTCGACACCACCCCAAGTGAACATGGCTTCAACCTCGTCCACAATATCAGCGACTACATCTTCGACAATTTGTTCATTGAACCGGTCACCGATAGCCCGGATAGGCTCTCCAGTCTCGGTCTGCTCAGGTGGACCAATCCACCACGGACCCTCGAACCGGCATTCAACGGCGCCACCACCATAACAACTGACTGCTGGGTAATAGCCTATCATGCCATCGTCGGCATTTTCACGCTCGCCAATCCCAAGGTTGTTTGTACTGGCAAGGCGACTTGCTGGGGGAAGGAAGGCGTACAATTCTTTGAAAGGAGAGCCCATCTTCACGCCATTTTTGAAAATCGTGATGCTGGATCCGGGTAATGTGCGTAGCGATGCGTCTTCGCTGTTGAAGGGTGATGGGATTCCATAAGCCGGTGGTTCCTTCAGGTTGAAGGCGTAGTCACGAAGATGTTTGGTGGAGAAGACGTTAGACTGCTGCCAACAGAAGTCGGATTTCCAATGGAAAGGAATGCGATCTCGAATGATGTTGGTAGCGCTGGGGGTCTTTGATGCAGCACCTGTGCCATCGCCATCCACGGCAGGATTATAGGTACCTTCGACGATCTTCTTGTGTAGGGATAGTGGAGGGAGGTTAATGAGCATGCCAATGACATCGCCTTCGTTGATAGCTTCACCCTTTGGAAAGAAAGACTCGCAGCGCATGCGATTGACGACTTCGCCATTCACATCACGAATACCGTAACCATAGCAATCTACTCCAACATTGGCATCGGGGTCGGCGTCACGTCGTGCGAATCCCAGTCGGACGTGACCACGAGACCCAGAATCGGGAGAACCATTCACGACTCCGCTGATGACCCGAGCCTCATAGTATAACGAGCCTTCTCGAGCACACACATTCGCACGTGCCGTGTGCCATGCATCAGTTGTGGTCACTGCCCTGGCGTCTTCTGAGAAGAATATCGCAGCAGGCGAGTCCTCGAAGCTGAAACGGGCGTGGTATGGTCGGAGATCGGTCTGACGGTATTTGATATGAGGAAATCCCGAGTCGGCAATCGCATAGCTATAGCGAAACCCATTCTTATTGGTGAGTTTATCCGCCACCTCATAAAAATTCCAGCTCTTGCCAATAACGTCCGACGTCTTTGTGGTCACTTGGTTGAATTGCCGTGGCAATGGCGGATAATGATCCGACGAACGGGGTTCAGCGAGGAGCAGTGGACGGAGAATCGAAAGGTTTGCGCTTGGGCGAGCCACGCTTGCTGCCGTGGAGCGTTTCTTGGGTGGAGGTGCGCCTTCAATATCGAGGCCCTTAGCTTCACGCTTCTTGCGGCTGTCACGCTTGTTTCGCTTTGCGCGCGCACTGTCTCCCTGAACGGATGCGTTGCTAGCTGGTGCAGGAGAGGATCGTGGGTTAAGATCAGAGAATGCGCCATTGAGAAGAGGGCCACTGCCGGGGGGTAGGATAGGAGAGTTGATGTTGGAGGAGGGGGCAGATGACCCCGGAGCTTGGCCGGATGCCATGATAGATCGGATTTGCAAGTAAAAAGGACGCGAGCCGGTCTTTATGTAGCTGGTATGTCAAGAGGTTATTCAAGATAGCTTGACAGAGCGAGAATAATGGGCTTCTAGAAGCAAATAAGCTTGTCGGCAAAAGAGTAGAGAGATATTAGATAGTCCAAAGGACCTCAGAGGGAGCTCTCGGAAGGAAATTGAGCTATTGGGAGCCCGGAGGGAAGGGGTCTCGTGCCATAAACCCTCCGTTCGACGATAGGTGTAGCGTTCCTTTACAGCCCCGGAGGCATGCGAAGATGAGAAAAAAGAGCCAAGATTGAAGCCACTGATTTCGATATACACTTGCAGAGAGATGCCCCAGTCAAGCCTCGATTGATTAGAGGTCGTACTAGCAGAGTGAAAGCGAAATTCAGTCTTGCCAAGGGAGACGAACGCGCAGATCGGATTGAGAAACGACGCAACGCGCGGCAGAAAAGTGTCTGACAGCCGCAAGGCGGTAAGGGGTAGATCGAGGCGGTGGGTTAGATAGTACTCCGCTCAGCAGAAAAAAAATAACTGATTAGGTCACATGATTCGAAATTTAACCCACACTTTTACTACATTCCGGTTCAACAACTCAGCAGGACATCTAATTTCCTTTTTGGCTTTATATTCAAGATATCGGCAGACAGAATTATCATGCCCAAGGCAAGCAGTTCCCGTGCCGCCGCGGCCCGCCGGCATAATCCTCTAGCAGACGATATCTCGTCCGCGGGGCACTTGCGGACTCAGACCAGCAAGAAAGGCAAGCGCCAAACTCAAGATGAGGAGAACGGAGAAAATGGACAGCGCTTCATCGATGCGAAGATGTCCCGAAAGATTTTGCAAATCGGACAGGAATTGGCCGATGAGGATGCCGCGGAACAAAAACTCGCCGTGGGCGCCACAGAGCCGAAATCCAATGCCGCATTCGAATTCGATACTCGGTTTGAGGAGGAAGCACTGTCAGACGATGAGAATTTCCAAAACGACGACTGGGTAGATGATGATGTCGAGGAAGCGGTAAGAACTTCCACGGAATGCTCAGAAGGCTTTTGATCCCAGAATGCTAAAACAATAAGTAGGAGGTTAACCCGAACGATCTCGAAATGTTCAACAACTTCATGCCCGGCCACGAAGACGATCCTATTTTCAACCCTCGTGAGCCTGGTTCATCGGGCCAAACAACAAATCTTGCCGATTTGATCTTGGAGAAGATTGCCGAACATGAAGCCAAGATGGCAGGAGAGAGCGTTGGTGGACCGCACATCCAAGGTGGTGGAGTTCCTGAGGATGCCGTTCAGATCCCGGCCAAGGCTATCGAGGTCTTTGAGAAGTAGGTGATTGTGTTAAACTCCCCAAAAGTCCGAACTAACCAAGTTTTAGGGTCGGTATGATCCTCTCTCGCTACAAATCTGGCCCGCTTCCCAAGCCATTCAAGATTCTTCCTTCGGTGCCGAACTGGCAGACCCTACTTGATATCACCCAGCCCGAGAGGTGGACGGCCAATGCTGTCTATGCAGGCACCCGTATCTTCATCTCATCCAAGCCCCACATTGCCCAGGAGTTCATCAACACTGTGCTGCTAGACCGTGTCCGTGAAGAAATCCACGAGACCAAGAAACTTAATGTTCACACCTACAATGCGATGCGCAAGGCTCTTTACAAGCCGGCATGCTTCTTCAAGGGATTGCTCTTCCCACTTGTTGCCAGTGGCACATGCACCTTGCGTGAGGCCCACATTGTCTCTTCAGTGATTACCCGTGTGTCCATCCCTGTGCTGCATTCTGCCGCAGCTCTCCTTCGCATGTGTGATCTGGCTGCCGAACAATCCCTCCGGTCTCTGGAAAGCACTGGCTCGGTGAACACCTTCATCCGGGTCTTCTTGGAAAAGAAATACGCTCTACCCTACAAGGTCATTGATGCCCTGGTCTTCCACTTCATGCGTTTCCGTGCGGCCGATGGCTCTGAGGATGCTTTGATGGATGGCAGCTCCAAGGGTTACAAGCTTCCTGTCCTGTGGCATCAGTCTCTGTTGGTGTTCGCCCAGCGGTACCGTAATGATATCACTGAGGATCAGCGTGAAGCTCTCTTGGATCTCCTGTTGGTTCGTGGCCACAAAGATATTGGACCCGAGGTGCGACGAGAATTGCTCGCTGGCCGTGGTCGTGGAGTGGTTGTTCCCGACGCCGAGAGGCAAAATGCCATTGATGCCGGGGATGACACGATGGACATGGGCATGTAGATTGCCTGGTCCGATCTATTTCTTTTCTCTTTATGTCTTTTTGTCACCCTCTCCCCTGCATATACCACCGACGAACCTGGTCATGAGCACGTACTTGATAGGATGGCGTTTTATGTCTGATTTTGTGGGATTGCATATATTCCCCTGGTTTCTTTTGGATAAGTCTATAGATGATATCTGTAGGATCAAAAAGTATTCTTACCTTTTCATTCAAATTGCATGTCCATAACCTATAAACCCGTGTGCGAAAACATCTGCGCACATTAATACCTGGTGGACTCGGCCCATGACTAGGGCTGTGGTTTGATGAAATCGGTGAATGAAACTCACATCACTTTGTTGAACAGGGAGTCACCACCGATCATCTCAAGTCGAGTTCTTCTTACGACATTACTGCCTTGTTGAATAGCAAGTCATCCTCCATTGCAACCTTGATACATGAAACTTCCGTCCTTTGTTGAAAAGGAAGTCACCATCGATTGCATCTCCTCGGTTTGATTTCTTCTTACATGAATCTACCTTCTTGAATCTACCTTGACACACAAGTTCCCCTCTCCACATCCAAGGTAAGATGAAGTCCAGAGCCACGAAGACTGATCATATGGTTCATACGTTTTCATGAATATTTGCCTTCGCGTTACTGCCTAAACCTTGACCCAAGTCATGAACACGTCCAGCATATTCACAAACTGACGCATCGAACTCTCAGGCATAAATTTCATCAACACCTCACTATGTCTCCCCAGGACGCCAAAGCCATCGAAATTAGCTCGGGTTTGACACCCACCCAAAGTCAACTTCTATTTCTAGGCATCCTCTGCATGGAGGCCCCGCTGAAAGTAAGATGAACCGAGCTAAGGACTGTGGCGCTCCTTGGGAATGAAAGTATGCTAAAGGTATCCTAGATTGATATGGAGAAGCTCGCCGCTATGACCGGAAACCAGGTCACCAGCGCCCGCTCTAACTTCAACAGGGCCCTCCGTAGGCTCAAGGAGGTTCACGAAGCTGGCGCAGTCAATGACGCAGACAACAAGGGTAAAGGCGACTCCGGCACGGTACCCAGTGCTAGCAAGAAGGCCCCCAAGCCTCGTGTCAAGGCCAGCAGGGGTAGCAAGCGCAAACGCCAGAACGAGAAAGCCGGTGCCGGCGCCGAGGATTCCGCGGACGTGGAGGCACTGCAGCCTGTACCTAGTTCTTCGGATGTGGAGGCGTTGGAGCCTGTGCCTGATTCTGACTAGGCAGAGCTTCGCTGAAGCCGAAGTCTCCCTGTTTCCCATGTCAAGAGAGCACCGGGGGTTTTGAGACATGGAGATTATCACCGACACATCGCACAGTGTGCATTTCAATGGCGATCTCAAGTTCTAGCATTTCAGTGGAATTTTCAGGGTAGCATGAAGCTATCTGCTTCTCGAGACTGCATTTCAGGCGTTCACTTGCATGCACTTCAAAGATTAATATCAGCGGACCCAGTTTCTTCTGCCGTGCAGCGAAGATTCAATATTTCGGGTCAAAATCAAATTCTCGCCTTGGAGGGTATATTGTTTTTCGCGGACTATAGTTCGGGAAATGTACTGATTTTCTTTTGTGGATGTGGTGGGACAATCTGCAATGTCTTCTGCATGAGAAGCATTAGTGCCAAAGCAAGATTAGCCCGCTCGGTCACATTCACTTTACTCTCCGTGTCATTGCGGATTCACATGCTCGGTACCCCGTACATGTATGAGCCAACTTGATATGTTTCACGCTAATCAGCCCTTATTTTAGGGTCGTTCGAGAACAGGGGAAGCGGGTCCAGGAGTGTATAGAGTGTAGACGCAATATACTTGCAGTCGACTCACGGACTCCGCCGGAGAGTTTCCTGCAATTAATCCGTCAACCCCACCTGCACAGTGCATTGTACAGACTCAGGGGCCTGACTTTGGGCTGCACTGTGGGGTTGATCGACTGTGACCAAGTCGATCAAGCTGATCATTCAGAAAAAGCACTGGTTTATTGACTACAATTGAAGCTGACGCCGTACTGTAGGTGCCTTTATTGTCTCGAGATGGGTCACTAGGCCGATGAAAATCATTTTATGTAGCTCTTGTTCTGTTCCGATCCTCTTGACCCCGCCCCAATCTACTTGCCGAGTCCCCCCCTTTCCACTGCATTCCAAGGTCTCAGGGGGCCGGAATTGCTGGCTGATGTGGAACGGAGAATTACAGTGGGAACTCCGGTCTACCCCTCCGTCTCACTGGAAAGTCTGGACTGCGCCCGGGTCCACTCGCCTCCCAAAAACGAATAGCATGACGATATCCGCCGCACGTCGCAGGGTGACAGCCTCGATGGACACTGGATGGGTCGTGTTACCAGCCTTGTCAGCCCCCGAGTCCAACCTCTGCGTTGGCATGAGCTACCGGACAGGTTGAACGTATAATTAGCATCGAAGGGGGGAGGCCTTATTGCAAGGCTTTGGGGGCCCGTATTGTAATTGCATAGGCTAGGGAGTACAGAGTAGATCAGGAGTCTTAGCCCGTGGTGAATTGACTATTCATAGAAACCTTGGAAGTGGACTTTGGAACACAATGAAACAAGTGGAATCCAGGGGCGCAAGGGGACGGTTGAGGGCCTGATTGGTGGACTCGTCATATTTCATGTAATTTTCGGTAATCTATGTACCAGATGAGTCACGGGCTGACGACGACACCACGAGGGTACTTGTGGTCTCATACTGCGGACTATGTGGATCCAGGTACCGCCCTGTGTTCCCCCCCCTTAAGGTCCCCCTTTGTCCCACGGTATTTCCGGTATTCAGGGATGGCCACGCTGGCCTCTACTTAAACACGGCCATCCGCCCACTTGCTGGCCTCTTTCCAACGACACCTGGCCTCTTGACTCTTCGCTGAGTCACCACTTTCCGCTTTCTCTCCCGGTGCCCGTGATGACAACGTGGCCTTGAGTGTGTATATCCTTATGACCCTACAGGGTTCTTACCCACTCTCGATCCCATTCATCACACGGCACCATATCCTATGATCTACGAGATGTCAGACACCATCAATCCGCTGGACTTGCCAGCATCTCCGTCCTCGGAGATGTTGACCGTCTCCCCCGCAGATACCTCATTAGACACTCCGGAACCGGAGGATATTTTGGAGGATGGAGAGAAGAAGCCGACGAAGAAGAGAAAGTCCTGGGGCCAGGAACTTCCAGTCCCAAAGACCAACCTCCCACCACGGTATGTGTACCCATCTTGAAACCTCCCCTCAAAAGTGGAGATCGTGCCGGTGGCTAATATATTCCTACAGGAAACGTGCCAAGACAGACGATGAGAAAGAACAACGACGCATCGAGCGAGTTCTCCGGAATCGCGCCGCCGCACAAACGTCGCGCGAGCGCAAGAGACTCGAGATGGAGAAGTTGGAGACCGAGAAGATCAACATGGAACAACAGAACCAGTTCCTACTTCAACGGTTAACCCAGATGGAGGCGGAGAACAACCGCTTGTCTCAACAAGTGGCTCAGTTATCCGCCGAAGTCCGTGGCTCTCGCAGCACCACCCCAAAGGCTGGCTCCCCAGTCCTCGAATCCCCCACTCTCACCCCCACCTTGTTCAAGCAAGAACGGGAAGAGCTCACCATGGAGCGCATCCCATTCCCCACCCCCTCCACCGAATACTCCCCCACCCTCAAGCCTTCCACTCTGGCTGAGGCCTCCGACGCGACACAACATCCTGCAGCGGTGTTGTGTGACCTGCAGTGTCCGTCGCTGGCCTCGAAGGAGCTGGAAGTGCGCTCCCTCTCTTCGACCTCAATGTCGAGCCTTCAGCTGCAAATGACGCTGCAGCTCCTCTTTCTGACGATGACTTCCGCCGCCTTTTCCACGGTGATTCACCCTCTGAGTCAAATCCTTCATTCCCTGAAGAAGGGTTTGCCTTTGGCGTTCTCGACGGAGGAGATCTTTCAGCATTTCCCTTTGATTCTTTGGTTGATTTCGACCCCGAGTCTGTCGCCCTCGAAGGCGTCGACCCGACCGGTTTTTCGGATGAAGCTTCTCACCCGACTGCTAGCTTGCAGCCCAGCCTTGGCGCGTCCACTTCGCGATGCGACGGGCAGAGCATTGCAGCTAGCGGTTAGTGAGCAGTTTTCCCCGCAAACCGGGTCGGCCGACGCCCCGGAGGGCCGACCGCGGTGGGAGTCGTTGTTGACCATGGTCTGGGCAATCGATCGTCTCAACCAGTCGCAACCATCCCGGCGGACTGTTATGAAATCCGGCCGGCGACGCAGTTATGGAAAGAGAATCAATCAACGGAGTACACGGAGTTCTTGGAGTTCAAACATGGGGACATTACCGTCTCTGCTGGGCAAGGAATTATGAGGGAGGGATCTGTTTCATGATTATTTATTATTATATGTATACTAGCTGTGCTTTCCACGGATCAACAGAACCCAAGCCTCAAATTGACTGGCTCATTACAATTACTTCCATTGTAATCAACCCACCATCATATTTCGTATTTGACGTACATCTCGCAATATACACAGTAGAAGTCTGGATACACAGCATAGATCGCTGCCTAACAGTCAACCACGACAGCATGTAAAACGGGTGATAAAGAAATTGCTGTTTTGCCTAATCGAGTCTGGTTGATGCTAAATAGAGCGACGCTAACACTGAATGCGGTCAGTGACGTTTGCCACGCCAATCCTCCCCTCTCCAACTCCCCAGTGTCTCCGATACCAGGACACATCTTGATCCTCTCTCATAAACCTCTGCATTCTACGATCTCCAATCCCCTTCAGACACCATGGTTCGCAAGGACCCCATCTTCGAAGCCCGCACAAATGTCAAGGTGAGTTCCCCCCGCACCCCGCCATGCATATCAACACCCCCTCAAGCCCGATCAAAACAGTCACTCATCACTCTAATCCCAGCTCCACTCCAACCGCCTTAAGAAAGAGGCCATGCGTGCCGAAGCAACCTACAAATCTGAAAAAGCCAAAGCCGACAAAGCAATGAAGAACCGCGAATTCCAGATCGCCCGCATCCACGCCGGGTCCGCCGTGCGCGAGAAACGCCGCCAAGTCACCCTCAAATCCGAAGCAGCCCGGGCGGACGTCATCATCAACGAGCTCAAGGCTGCACAGAGTACCCGCGACACATCACGGACGCTAGCGCTTGCGTCACGGGGTCTGGACGCGGCGTCGAAGAGCGTGAACCTGGAGCACCTGGTGGCGCATGCGAATAATTTCCTGGCGCGATCGGAGGACTTTAAGATTGCGAGTAGTGCGATCGAGGACGTGGCGCAGGGAGTGTCTATGCAGGAGTACGGGGCTGAGGGGGAGTCCGAGGTGGATCGGATGATGGAGCAGTTGGCGGATGATGCGGGTGTCGATATGCGGAGGGCGTTGGATGCGGATCGCGCTCCCGAGGCGGAGGTCAAGGAGCAGCAGCAGCAGCAGCCTGCTGAAGTAGAGGATGGACTGGAATCGAGACTGCGGGCTTTGCGGGCTTTGACTTGAGTCTATTGACTATAGATCTGCATTTCCGCTTCCTCTTCCACCATCCTGCTCTTCACAGCCTTGTCTTGCCCCTTCTTAGTCTGCGTGCATCGAATCCTTCTACGGGTCGGATAGAAGTTTTCTTCTTTTCTGGATGGCGCTTGTTACGGCGCCCTTTACGAAGTTATGCCTTCAACTGTTTGGCGAAGGGTGTTTTGCTCGTTGTATATCGGCTTTGTCACAGGCGTTTGATCTGTATATTTTTATGTTTGTCGCCTCAAACCTTAGTCAATTCTACGCACCTTTGTTCGCCAAGGCTCGGAACTCTCCCGAGAAGTGATTGGTGCATCCGTCGCTTTGTTTAGCCTCTTTTCTAGTGCCAAGAGAAATAGAGTCTCAGGGTCAAGCGTTCAGGGTCTGGCGTCAGGGTCGGCCCTGGACCACAAGGGTTTTTTTTTTTTTTGCGAAAGCAAGAACACTCCATGATCCAGTTGACTATTTTTATGTCTATTCTTGCCTCTCCGAAGCGAGCTTAATCGACCTGGAACGGGACTCAGGGCCGAGACTATCGAGACTAACGAGCCAAACTAGAGACTAAACGAGACTAACATCAGACCCTGATTTCCACTCAAACCAAACCCTCTCATCGGAACCAATCGCATCTGCTCTCCCAAGCCCCGGGCTTGTTTAGCTCGGAGGCGAGATTTCACCTAGCCCCAAACTAGAATAACGTCGAGTGCGGCGTTGTTCGCCCCCAAAGATGGGCAGGCTCCTCATAAAGCCATGGGCGCCTGCAGGGTCTCTGCAGGCTTTTCTCTCCTCGGGGAAGTTTCAATCTATAATTCCAGGACCATTGCACAATGGCGCCTTCACGCTCGTTTTCTTATTTTCTGTCGCTCGTTTTGACATTCAACTTTTTTTCCTTCGTTTTTGCCGCCCCGTGGATCATCACTGAAGCCTACGAACAGGTCATTGAGACCCCTTATTACTACTATGAATCCAGTGTCGTCACCTCCATTGTGCAAATCGTGCCAACGGTGACTTCACTACCGGAGGCCATTTCTACAATCACTTCAATAGATGACTACTCGTCCATAACTGTGATTGAGAAACTGTACCCTACCAGCGTGGGTACACCCCTCGGTTACTATGATTACTATGACTACGACAACACGGAGAGTGGCTACCATACTACCGTCTACGTGGTGAACATCACCTACTCAGCGCCGACGGGATGCTCAACCCAATGGACCACCGCAACCCCAGTGACCGTGTACCCTCCCAATGCCGTCGAGGACTATCTCCCGACGACCGCCATGTCGACCTCAGTATCCGTGGATAACTCGAGCCCCTTCAGCCCAACCACCTACACCGTCGACTATATCTTTGTCGAACCAACCCAGATCCCAGCCGCCTCCATGAGCTACCTCAGCTCGGCGTATGCCCCGACCACCCTGTACGACGACAGCTGCTATTATTCCAGCTCCAGCTCAGGCTCCGGCAGCTACTACGGATACTATGACTACGACGACTACGAGGGAAGCTGGTTCTTCGATCCATACTGGATGGGCATCTCCCCCTTCGCGCTAACCATGATTCTCCTCTTCGGTTGGATCGGCATCTTCCTAATCGCCGGCTTCATCGAAGCCTGGGTCCGATTCCGCCGTCTCATGCTCGGCTGGCAGACCCGTCGTGGTCTCCCCCTCTGCTGGGCCTTTACTCTGATGCCTATCTCCTTCCTCCTGATCATCGCGTTCCGAAAGGGTTTCCGAGCCCGAAGCGAGACCGAGGCCGTCGCGCTCCGGGAGCAGTGGGATGGATTGGGTTTCTGGAAAAAGCTCAAGCTTTTCTTCATTTGGGGCTTCCGTTACAAGTACCCTCCTATCCTGGGTGAGGCGCCACCCCGCGTGAAGCCTAGTAAACAGCCTGGGGCGCAGGTTAGCAAGCAGCCTCGGGAGTCGCTGTTGAACCCGACCCAGCCTATGGCGACGGGGGCTAACCCGGGAACTTCTCGGGGTGTGGCCGCGGCAGACGCTGCGGATCCGGAAATGGGGGAGATTGAGAATCACTCTCACCGGTCTTCGGGTCAGGGCGAACATCCTGTTGCTGAGGCTTCGGGGGCTCTGGATGGACATCGGGATGGGGAAATTGGCCGGGCTCAGTAAATTTAGACAAGTAGTTAATGTATAGATGGTGATGCTCGTGCTTAATGTCGGAAAAAGTGATGGGTTGGACTCTGGTGAGTCAGTGGTGTATGACCATGTTGCTATCTCATGATTTGGAGATTACCCTCAGCCACACATAATTAATAATCTTGCTCCCATTAGCCTAGTTCTCTTTTCTCACCGTGACGACATCCTAACTCAAATCCCCTGCACATGAAGCGCGGACACTGAGGCTGGTGCAGAATCTAAAAATAAAAGTTCGCAGTCCTCAGCCACCGTCGAGGCTGCAGTAGCTTCGCGCTAAGTGATAGGCAACGATAGGCGGAGGCTGTACAGAGGTCCATTGCATGCGTTTTGGATATTTACTTTTTCTTTCTATCCCCGAGATGGAGTAGAGGTTATCCGAATGGTATGAGCATACGTTTAGGATACCTATCTCGACTTCGTCAGTGGATGTTATCAAACCTTTAATTAGTAAACTAGCAATATCTATCCATTAAAAAGCACTTTGAAGAATGCTTCCAATAGAATTTTGGAATATCCAATTACACGAACATGCCTCATTATAAAAACAAAGTTACTTGCAAGCGCCTTTCAACGCGCAGATATAGGTTCTCAACAAGAGCTTTGTCCACTAAGCTCGGCAGCTCCTGAAGATAATGGCGGGGTACAGAACCGCCCATTTACCACGCTAATAATCGACAAGAGTACGGAAAAACAGAATTGAAACACTTGCAATGCACCTATGCATCCTGGTATTATTAGAATGAATCCTGGTCCTCGGCTGCCTAGCCTGGCTCCAAAAATTGTACAAATTTGCCCGGTTCTCTTTGTCTTTGATTTGACTTTTGATATTGAAACCCTAATTTTAAACTCTGATTGATGTATAATGCAACGAGTCTCGGCTGGGTCGACGAGCCCGACGGACGAGGAACAGGGGCCATCCTCTCCACCTGCAGTCTGACTATCGTGCTCTGCTGCTGGTCGTCTGGCTATCCTAACATTCCTTCGAGGTCAGACGGGACGTTTAGACAAAAATTAGTCAAGATTTATCTCTTCTGTGTTGGCCTTCTTGGGCCGGAGTTCTTGCTAGTCATCGCGCTCGGGCAATGGTCCTCCGCTCGAAAATCACTCAAGGTGTGTACGTGCCCGACCATGTATTGACTGCATCTCTAATGGCGGTAGAAGTTCCATCATGCTGGTTATGAGAGCTGGACAATGATTCATGCATTCTTCGCCGATATGGGAGGGTTTCTTCTTGAAGCTCCTGGAAGCGAAGTGTTTCCTATTGATGCAGAGCAGCTGTGTCAGTTGGTCCAGGCTGGATATGTCCCGTGTCCAGATGTAGAGGTGGACGATATAAAGGATAAAAGCAAATCAGATAGCATGGCAAGGTGTCTGCTCCCCTCTCGCGGCGCATAGGTGTAATTTCTGACCGTTCTTAGAATAATTGCAGCATCACAAGCAAGCTGGTTTTTATTAAACAACTGCATTGTCCGTGCCGCGCAATCCCTTTTTCTCACGACTCTGGAGATCACCACGTTGTCGTGTATTTTGATTTTCTTTTCACCTCATACTGCTTGTATCATAAACCTCAAGATATCTCACGGGCCATGATCCTCCAGACCGATACTCCGATTGCGACCATCCGCGCAAACTTCCATCCAGAGCCCGAAGAGAAATTGCACCAGACACCGCTCGACTTTCATTCCCGCGATGAGTGGTTCTGCAGTCGCCTGTGGCGCTACTACGTCCAAGTCCTACACCGTTTACACATTCCAATATTCGCCCGACCCGGAACCGAGCCGCGGGATTACATCCCCTCCGATAGTTTCTTGTGTCCGGACAAAAAGGCAGAGATCATCTTTGCTCCGTGCATATTGTCCTTTGTGGGCATGTACATGTTCCCCTGGAATTTTGACTTCCCCACGCCCACGGAGAGGCTACTTTGGCGTGTTGCAGCAGTCTATCAAATCTTTTATGGTATTGCAGGCTCACTGACATGTTTGTATTCTGATAGATTTGTTCTTTCCAAGCCCTTGGTAGTCGTCGAGAAACCTCTCAAGCAGCGCATTCAATGGCTGGCATGGAGATTGAGGAATACCCACGTCGATCGAGATCCAGACTTGGAGATTCCGTTGAGGGTGCTGATTCTGAATTTCTGTTTGTGCGCGTTGTATATTTCGTCTCGAATGTTCATTATAGTGGAGGATCTCATTGGCCTGAGGAGTCTACCGGGAAGTGCATTCGAGACGGTTGAGTTGGTCAAAATATATTCCTCACTGGCAGATCAATGTGAGGGAATGAGATATATAGACATATACCTTTCACTAGTAAATCAACATAAACATTGAAAAAAGAAAAGAAGCTTCTGTCTAGAAAGGTCCCAAACAAAAAAAAAGAAGAAATCCAGGTCAATGATCGAATGAATATTGCTCAGTTTAATAAGCACCAGATTATTTTTGATCTCAATAAATCAAAAAATCAAAAAAAGAACCGAACGCGGGGGTCGAACCCGCAACCTTGAGATTAAGAGTCTCACGCTCTACCGATTGAGCTAGCCCGGCTGGGCTTGTTGTAAGCGTTTTCACTTAACGTAATATAAAATTGAATTTTACTCAACTCCCCCTCGTATTCCCCGAATACCCGAAGCCCCATGCATTAGGAACGCGCATGTATACATCCACATACTCCTGGCATCTGGAGGCAAATTACTCATGGAGGCCGAGTCGGTACGATCCACTCCGGGCCAACATGGGAAGCAGCCTGCCTGCTTGAACTGCCGGCGTAGCAAGATCCGCTGCAACCGACCGGAGGGCCATGAGCGCTGCGACAAATGCAGACAAAGCGATGCCGACTGTATCGTCCCCAGTCACCATCTGGGCCGTCAGAAGGGTGTAAAGAAGTGAGTTCAGTGCCTGGATTCCACAGGACGATAATGCTGATGACCCGACAGTAAACGCAAGGGGTTGGAGAAAGCCATTCACCAGATTGAACAAGCCATCAAGCGCCCCAAGCTTGATGCTCCAGGTCCTGATGATGCGCACAAAGTCATATCGGACTTGCAGGACCTACTCATCCGAGTTCAGGGCCAACTGAACAGCGAGTCGGACAGCTTCGCCGATGCGTCAGAGCGACCGCGGAACCTTCCGTCTCCGCACGACACTCATGTAGATGAGAGCTTGGCTCTTGATGATGCGGAGAATCCGCTGCAGCTACTTGCGCGAGCATCCGATTTACAGCTCTCGCCTACAGGACTGCGTCGGGAATTGAAGTCACCGCAACCGCCATTACTAGCGCCGCCAACGATCTCTCAGGATTCCGGTCCTGCGGATTCTGGAGCAAAATCATTCTTCGTCCCTGCGCGAGCCAATTTGGATATTGGACCCGATTTGGATCCGGTTGATCTTGGATTGGTCACTTTCGATGAATCCGAGTCTTTATTCTCTTTGTAGGTTCTCTTGCACTTCGAACCCGAATGCTTTTAACATTCTTTTCAGCTTTTATCAATACCTTGCTCATACACGGTGGGGATTGGATCCCTTGGTGCACACTGCATCGTTTGTGCGGGCTCAATCGGCCTTTTTATTTACTTCCATCTTGGCAGCTGCAGCGTTATTCTTACCATCTGCGGCGGCTTTATCAAAGCGACTAGGGAGGCATTGCAAATGGCTCGCTAAGCAAGTGATGGCGCAGCGGCATAGATCGGTGGAGATTGTTCTCGCGTTTATGGTGAATGTACCTTGGATGGCGCCCGGAGAGCGACTAGGTGACGATGATACGTGCTCGTACATTGCCATGGCGCTTACTGTGGCGTTGGATCTATCATTGAATAAGATCGTCACGCCATCATCTAGTTTCGACCGGGACCTTTTGAGCCGATTGGCTCGAGCCGACTGCATTGATGCGAAGAGAGCACTACATATGGATGGCTTTGATGACGTTGAACCCAACTCCGAATGGGGACGTCGACTACTGCGACGGCGGGAGAGAACGTGGATAGCGTTGTTTGTCGTCGAACGAGGGTAAAATTATCATCCCCCACTCCCCTACAACCATCTAATCCTGCTACAGTGTTTGTCTTGCTCGCGGAAGAAGCTACACCGTGCCTCCAACGGCGCTTCTCGAGCATTGCGATGTATGGCACCGTTCGGATATTGCAGACCGACGTGATGGGCCCATGAACTCCATGGCGGTCCTGCGCAGAGACCTTGTAAGTTCGAAGACGATAAATTTGGACAGGAAACTGACCATAGTAGGATGACTTATTCAGAAAGGTCAAGTCCAGCTGTGATACCTATCGGGTCGTCGACACCGGATCCGAGGCTGCTCAATCGTACGCCCCCAGGCCAGGAGGATACACTAAGGTGCTAACATTGCAACAGGATTAAATCGACCATTGAGAACTTCTACGAGCGCTGGTACAAGACATGGGTGCTGGCGATTAGCGAAGGTGGAAGTAAGCACAATTCTCCCACACTAGAAGCCTCAGCTAACAAATAGCAGCACGTTCCCTTCCACCTTATGTTGAGATCCTAGTGACCCATACTCAGCTGTCAACTTACGGAGGCGTCATCAACCATCCTACTGCACCCCTTGAAGTCAAGCGGTTCTTCCGCGCAGCCGGTCTCTCCGCCGCCCTGAATGTTCTCCGGGCTGCTATACAAGGCGAATCTCGACTCAAGTCTATGCCCAATAACACCGTCATCATGATCTCTTTTGCCGCATGCTCTGCTCTTAGTCTCAGCGTTACGCCTGGCGACAGCCGATCCAGCTTGGCGCCCAGCGTGCGGACGCTGATCGAAGAAACTGCCGGTGTTCTGGAACGAATCGGAGCTACGCCCAGCCATAGAAACGGAGCTTCTGTGTTGTACGGGCGCTTCCTGCGCGAGCTCATCCGACGGGGACCCACCCATCCTCATGCACCTGCGAGGAATCTGGATCATGACCCCTTGCTTCCGCCCCCACTGGATCAGCGACCTGTTCCAGTCCCGCCTGCGCTCCCAGCAGGGGACTTGTGGACCGAACCGATGCAGTTCTCCGCCATGTCGGACGACCAGATTATCGACGCCGTCAATCGGGCGGGAAGTGCCTTTGGGACGTCGATTCCCGACGTGCCGGTGGATGATATGCTATGCTGGGATTGGCTTGATTTTGCCAACACAGATTTTGGCTTGTAGTTTAATGTTTTTGTATATTTTCTCATGATTAATTCTGTATATATGTGGTAATGCCGATTAAACCCGATCACTGAGACCAGTACAACCTTTAAGCCAAGAAAGCCCAGGTGGAGAGTGGAGCCTCACAGCCTTGCGGTAACGTCATCGTGGACCCTGACTCGACCCTGCACCTTATTCATGCGTACATAAAACCCCAGGGTCCCAAGGTGGATCGCAGCCCGAGTCACGATTAAGATCCCAGCCTTATCATTACAGGCCTATACAATTTGTCCGCTTATTGGGAAATAAAATATCCTCTACCTGATATACCCGAGCAACCCAAGGGCCCCTAAATCGGCCTCAAACCAGTCTCAGTGTCAATCATTGCCAAATTCAAAATGGGATTCGACATGACCATGCTAGCCCCCGGTCCAGCCGGCACCTCCATGATTGGCGAAAGCAACATCGACGCCGCGGCCCGCCGAGGCTACGCGCGGAAGCAGCGCGAGCAGCGCGAAGCCGCGGCGAAACTTGAGGCTAATGGCAACCCGAAAGAAAAAGATAGCGATGCACAGTCCGAGAAGACATTGACAGCGCAGAGCAATGTGGAAGATGATAAGACGAATGACGATACGTTCAGTATGGCTTCTACTCAGGTTGGGAGTACGAAACGTGAGAGTGGGATACGGGGAACTTGGGATCGAGTGAAAGGAAAGTTTCGATAGTGGCGTCTTTCATAATCTCGGGGGGTTTAGAAGTAGAGACCGAGACAATCAGAGCAAACCTTCCAGCAAACAAGCTCCTAATGCGGAATCCGGGGAAAAGCGGGGAAAAAAACCCTTACGCTCGGACCTATAAATGACAGCCGTCAGCTTGTGCTCCTTTCCCTTTCACCAGCATTGAAACTCTCTCACAAACATTGGCATCTTATAGATCCTCATGGACCCTAAATCTGGGATCATGGAGCTGGAGACCAAGCCGGGAGCTCTGGATCGATTTGGCAATTATGAACACCAGGAGAAGCTGACTCGCCGCTTGCTGTTGAAGCTGGATTTTCGGTAAGCCCCTTTCCATGCCCATGGTGGATGATTCTGAGGGATTGACAGCTAATACGAATACAGGATTCTGCCTATACTCGCTCTCCTTTTCCTCTGCTCATTCCTCGATCGGACCAACGTTGGAAATGCCAAAATCATTGGCTTGGAAACGGATCTCAACATTACCGACCACCAATACGACATTGGATTGACTGTCTTTTATCTGTTTTATGTCTGCAGGTGGGGTGAATTACGTTGAATGATGATATAAATATATACTGATGATTTTAGTGAGCTCCCGAGTAATCTCGTGCTCAAGAAAGCGTCCCCGAAATTATGGCTGCCGTTCCTGACCATCGTGTGGGGGATTATCACCATGTGCTTGGGCTTTGTACAGAATTATGGTGGATTCGTGGCCGTTCGCGCTCTGTTGGGCATTGCGGAAGGTGGACTGTTACCGGGCATGGTGAGGGACCTGAAAGACTTGGAATGTGAGAATCGATCTAATACTCCTAGGTGCTGTATCTGTCTTCCTTCTATAGGCGGACAGACTTGGCTCTCCGCATCGGTCTGTTCTATACCGCCGCATCTTTGTCAGGCGCTTTTGGAGGTGAGTACTCTGTACTCGCGAACTGGATAGTGTTCTCATTGCTTTTTCTTTCAGGTCTTCTTGCCCGTGGACTCGCAGAAATTGCTCCGCGAGGAGGATTGGAGGGCTGGAGGTGGATCCTTATCATCGAGGGCCTCCTTGTAAGCAATTAACCCTGCCGGGCTCCACAAAGCAGCTACTAACAAGATAGACCTTTGCATGCGGCGCGCTGAGTTTCTTCCTCCTTCCCAACTCTCTGGAGTCGGCGTCTTTCTTGACAGCCGAAGAGAGGGAGTTTGGTCGCGAAAGATTGATGTTAGACAATCCCGTAAGCGTGGATGGGTATGTATCTAATACTTAACCTCCCTGTGAAGACTGCGCTAATTCGAATAGAAATTTGGCTGCCGAGGAGCAATCATTCATGTGGTCGGAGGTGCGACGAGGCATTTTCTGTGTGCAACTCTGGCTCTCAGCGTCTGCTTATTTCTCCATTTTGTCTGGTCTTTACTCATTTGGTCTATTCGTAAGTCTTCCCGGATCCAGCAAATCCAAGTCACTAATTCTGTAGCTCCCAACCATCATCAAAAATCTTGGATTTGCCAAAGATGCAAATGAAGTCCAGTTGTGGTCTGTCATTCCTTATGCAGTGGCAGCCGTCGTTACAGGTAGGATATCCTCCTGGGAGTAACGTCATATGCTGACGGATCTAGTCATTGTGGCCTTTATATCGGATCGTCTACACCTTCGAGGCGTGGTCATGCTGTTTACATTGCCCATTGCCATTATTGGCTATGCTGTAATTGCAAACGTTGACTCCCCACACGTCCAATATGGCATGACCTTTCTCATGGCGACCGGGCAGTATGCTAGTGTTCCATGTATCTTGGTGTGGATGTCAAACAACTCGGCGGGTCACTATAAACGAGCCACCACGTCAGCACTGCAGTTGGCCATCGCGAATTGCGGAGGGTTTGTTGCAAGTACGCTTCAAGTCCAGATCTGTGTCTTTTCCTAGACTGATATATGACAGCTTTCAACTATCCTAGCAAGGATGGCCCGCAGTTCCATCGGGGACACACCATTATCCTTGGATTACTCGTCTTTGCGTGGTTTATGTGAGTAAGAGACTATGCATTGCTTGGTGAAGTACTGACAATAGCAGGATCCTATTCAATGTCCTTTACTGCGCCAAAGTCAATCGTGATAAACGGAATGGCAAGTATGATCAATACGCAGGGTATAATGACGACCGCAACCCGGAGTTCAAGATGGTGTTGTGATCATGAACGTCTAGCCTGTAAACCTCTGAAGAATGACGTGAACATATGAGATGAATATATGAAGTTGATTTCACCAACGAGAGCTCCAGTCATCCTTTGTAGCCGCATACAAATCATCCACATTAAGATAATCCACCTCACGCACCAGGCCCGCCAGACTTAACTTCACTATGCGAGCTGAATGTACCCCAGCACCACACCTTCAAGCCTCTTGCATGAGCTGCATTGATCTGACTCTGCAGTCTGGCCAACTGATCCTGTGCCAACCGACCTAGCAGGAGAGGACCGATCGCCTTCCGAAAGTTGACAGAGGCATAGTCACTGTCTTCACATTATACATAAATTGTTCATTTCCCGAGATTCTTCAATTGAAAAATCAAAGCCAGGGTCCATAAGGGAGTTTGTCTAAAGATGCATCGTAGAAGATGTCCCAGTTTGTAACAGTGGCTACCATACGATGAAACAGTGCATCGCCCGTAGCAACGACCGTGATCGAATGGGAAACCCTATCAGAGCCATTGAATTAAATCAAGAGCCCTCTTTTCCGGTAATGTTACCAATTCTTTCATCACCGTCCACGTATAGCCCTGCTTTGAGATCGATCAGAAGGACCAACGTCTGTTTGTTTCGTTGGCGAACACGCCGACGAATCCATGCCTTGTCCCCGACCCAAAGGTATTGACTCAGTGAAGGTATGTTGGTCCAGTATCTCTAGCATTGCATAAGTTTAAAGACTGCACAACGTGAGGCCCTCCACAGTGTCAAAGATTGGATGACCTCCGCGAAGATCAGCACCATCCAACCAGGTGTCCGGCTTCGCACTGCTGCGTTCTGCCACCAGAGTCGAGTGTAAGGGGACATGGTACCGGCAATCCTTGTACGAGTGATGAAAACCGGATGAGTACCGTGGGTATACCAACTTGAGAAGAGGGAGGGTCGATGACCCATGAGACCCAGACGGCCCTCTTGTCTACAAGAGAGGATATTATCCTATGCAAGCGAGACAAGTGTTGCGACTGTGCCGCCTCGTCAGTGAGTCTGGTCTTCTCAATCGACGAATCAATGCGAGAGTACCTCATTGTCGAGGACTTTGAAGATTGACTCTCCAGCCGAACGTGTTCAGGGGTGATAAGGAATTCATTCTCGGGAATGGAGGGAAGCAGAATTACCCTGGACGAGTACGAAGTATAGGTGGAACGCATGACAAAATGCCAAGCGTTACGAAAGCTTGATCAATATAGGCTTTGACCACTGGCGATCTTATAGATTAAATGCATATATCTTGGCTAAATGGTTGCCTGGATAGTGGGGAAATGAGTTTAAGCGAAGCTGTTAAAGCGTCTGCCTAACAATACACGCGTTACTTCCAACGACTATCGGAGAAATGTTCATCTCGGGTTTAGCGAATGCTATTTTCGTTGCTCTAGTAAAGATCAGATTTAATATGAAAGTCCAACTTGCGCGTATCTCCAATCGCTTTATCCAGTCTAGAAATCCAATGTATCCGTAATTTATCCAGCTCAGCGTGTGCAGACTGCGAGTGACCAGCACAATCTGCCGAGTCTACTGAGTCTCCTCGTCATTCTCCGCAGCTCGCTTGCGCCGTTGCTCGGCTTCCTTGGGGGCAAAGGTGAATAACATGCCGAGGTCGTAAACAACCTTCAAGCAACCGGCCAACATGAAGGAGACACCGAACATGTGGTTCCGGGACAGAATGCCCGTAATCAGGGGACCGAGACTTTGGGTCGTGGTTTTGACCACGTTGACCGCGCCCATGATGGCCGTCCGCTTATCCGATGGCAGGGCCGCAGCGAGGAAGGCCCCCCGCGGAGCCACATCCATACTTTGCGAACAGGCGCGCAGAACAAGGAAGGTCAGTGCGAGCGGAAGATTATTGGGCACTGAGATCAAGGCAAGGCAGATAGCCGATGGCAGGTGAGTGAAGACCATAGTCTAGCATAGTTAGCCTAGCACGCAATCACAAGTCGGGATGAAAGCATACCTTGACATTTCCGATGCGCCTGGCAATTGAAGTCGCGACGAGCATAGAGGCCGCGGAAATACTGCTGGTGAAGAAGAAGATAGTGCCCAGCTCGCCCTCGGGCAGGTTGAACTTTTGGTGGAAGAAGTATGTCATCCATGACCTGGTGGGATTAGCAAGAGCATGTCTCAGCGGAGGGAATACACTTACAGGGATGCCAATCCAGAAGCAAACGCGTCCAGTCCGAACAGAATGAACAATCGGATAACCAAACCCCACAGGTCTCCCTCGATCGTGGACCAAAGCGACTTTTTCTTGGGAGCCTCTTGCTCGGCAGCGTTGGAATCGGCCAAGAGCGGACGGGTCTCCCCATTCTGCTGCTCCGGCGCCTCTTCCTTCTCAGCCTCCACATTGCGAGTCAGACCCAGCGTCAGAATAAACTTGACCACCCCGACACCCGCATAGATAAAGAAGACCATCCGACAAGCGGGGATAAACTCCCATCCATGCAAAGCCTGCAGCGAACTGATAATCCATCCGCAGACAAGCTGACCGAGCGCGGTACCGGCGGTACCGACCAGCGAATACCAGGCGAAAACATCGCTCAACTTCTCATGCGCGGTCAAATGGGCCAAAGTCGACTCCTCCACAGCACGGAAGGGTCCGATTTCATTACCACTACACAAGTCAATACGCCAACATGACGCGTGAAACGACACACAACTTACCTAGGACTAATAACACCAAAGACAGCGGCAGCCAAAAGAATCCAATAATTCCCCGTCAACGCAAACACAATACCACTCGCAGCCATCAACAGCGATCCTAACGAAAGGACAGCCTTGCGACCCATCGCATCAGCGAAAAGAGTCAAGAAGAAACTGATCACAACATCTCCGACCAGAGTGAGTGTCATGAAAAGACCGATCCGGTCATCGGAGATACCAATGGCGGACAGATACGACGCGAGAATCAGAGTCGAGCCGCCGTACGCGAACAGGCGGACGAAGCGCTGAGCGCAGAGGAACTTGACGTCGCGGGGCGACCGCCACATTGTGAGAAGACCCAGTTCATCCAGCGAGCGGGCAACGACGCGCCCCGCGCGTGATTGTTCTGCCATTGTTGGAGGTTGACGGTTGCCAAGAAGAATCAGCTCCAGATCAACAAGATAAAATGAGCGGAACGTTTTGCCGTTTTGACGTTAGATCAGTGGAGCCTCTAGGCAACTACGTATCTTGATGATTGGATCACGTTTCGTGATTTCTTCATTCTTGATTACAGTAAACGGAACACATATATACAGGAGAATAAAATATTACTCGCTCTTTGGGGGCCACTTCACTCGTCGTTCCGCCCGAACATACAGATTATTCGGTCGAATCAACTGGAACATCGGATCATACTCGATTGGCCCGTCATTCTCTCGGATAAACTTGTACCGATAAACAAGCTTCGGCAAGAACACTTTGACCTCCTGCAACGCAAAGTTGAATCCAATGCACATACGCGGTCCCGCAGCGAAGGGAATGTAAGCCGCCTTGTGACGGTTCTTGACCTCGTCGCGATCCCAGCGATCGGGATCAAACCGCGCAGGATTATCCCAGACTGCGGGGTTATTGTGTACATGGTGCAAGGCGGGGATGACAATCGAGTCCTGGGGAAGTTTGTACCCCCCTGGGAGGATCATGTCGACCTTTGCGGTGCGAGCCGGTTGGTAGGAGGGATTGTGGCGACGCTGAGTCTCCTTGATAAACTTGTCCATAAAGGTAAGTTGGTCGGTGAGATCGGCGGTGATCTGCGTATCGGCGTCGATGTCGTGGTCGATGAGCTCTTGGAGCAAGCGATCTTGCATACCCTCGTAGTTGACTAAGGAGTAGATCAACCAGGAGAGTAGGGAGCTGGTGGTGGTGAACCCAGCGCCGGTGGCCACGACTAGCGCTTGCATCAAGCTGGTTTTCGGCAGTTTTTCTCCCTTGTTATCCGTGGCACGAATGGCGTAGTCTGTCACCATTAGCTTTGTCTTTACCTAGGAGAAGGCTTGTTACTCACCGACCATGTTGGATGCTTTTAGAGCCGCATCCTGGAGAGGAAGGTCCTCGATACCTCCACGTGAAGCGTTCGCGATAGACTCATTGACCATCTCAATAATTCGTCCTCGGGCGTTACGCAGTTTCTGCGGATCTCCAAATGGCAATTTGCCGTACCAGTCTCCCCATGCGGCCACCTTCTTATTCAGAGTAAGAGATTCCGCGATGCGGTACACGAGCTCATGAGACGGAGCATTCGGCGATGTAAAGTGATTAAAGTCGATACCCAGAACCAGCTTGCCCACAGCTTGCGAGCCCAGCTTCAACATGTACTGGTAAACGTTCCATGCTTCTCCTTCCTCATCAAAGTGATCGAACACCGAGAAAGCATCTTCGACAGTCTGCTGCATGGTCGGCGCATAATGGCGGACGGCCTTGGGACCCAGAGCCGGGGGAAGGAACTTGTGAGCGGCTCGCCATTCCGGAGTATCAGTATCTCCTAAGAAGACACCGGCGTCTTGGTTCTTGATCGGGTATAAGGGGTGTGACTCGTTGATCTTCTTGGTGAAAAAGTCGGACTCGGAGAAGACGATCTGAGACAGTTGAGGATCGTTGGTCTGGTAGATCGTACGACCCATGTTGGTGGTTTTGAAAATGGGACCATATTGATCAAAGAGACGCTGGTGGTTTCCTAAGTGATCGGGGTAGACTTCAAAGAAGTTGCCCACGAATGGAAGACCCTTGGGACCGGGAATCTCTCGCACGGCCTTGCCATCGATGGCGATTGCAATGGGCACTTCACTCGAGAGAATATCTGATGGAGTGGAAAGCTCTGCATCGTCTGTCTGGAAGGAGATTCCTATAATCATGTTAGCTGGAACATAGTAGTATACTCTAGCAGGAAAACATACCACTTGGCTCAACAATGGCAAACTGTCCGGCGATCCAGAGTTGAATGCCGGCATAATCGAGTGTTGATTCCAACTCGACATTCTGAGCGGAAGCACTGGGTTCACCCAGGAAGTAGAACTGCTTCACCGACATCGTTGGGTAAGTATGAGGGTCTGTGTCGAGGAAAAGGTTCGACGGAACCATATTTATAAAAACATAGCATAATTCGCGCATGAAATGGAACTGCCATTTTGAGCCCTAGGGTGGACTCCACCAATTCCTTGATTGAAATGAAAAAAGATAGGGGAATTGTATAATTCCAGATTTTCATAGCATAGAAGCAAAACTAGACCTGGCAGCCTGATTGCCTGCCTCGGTACTTTCTGTGTTTTAGATCTTGGTCCCACTTTTGTGTTCAAATCAAGCCATGATCGTCGACCAGACCCGCTTGCAATGGCGTCTCCGATAAAGAAAGTCTACGCTTTCCCTTATATGGATCATAAAAGAAGAGTCTTTCGGGATGTAAGTGGATTCGGTATCGGGTTCTCGAACACCGTTGCCGTCTTGCCGATTTTATCTCGGCTTCTCATTTCCACTCCGAGGCATAATGGATTTCGTTAGATTGGTTGGCGTTTTATGCATTAATTGCGGTATTTGTTTCACATAATTATCGGTGGATGATCCAGACGAAGAGCTCCATTTTATTTCAAGTTCATTGTTCATCCTTTTCACTCGTTCACCTATCATGGCTGCAGAGAAAGAACTAAAGGCCCAATGGCGAGTCGAGACTGAGCTGCCAGAGTATACGCTGAAGGAGGTTGCAGCGCATAATACCAAGAGTGACACATGGATTGTTATCCACGGACAAGGTAATTGCTCTTATTGTTCAGAGCCGGAACCGTCCTAACGTTGATAGTCTTTGATATCACTGAATACCTGCAAGACCACCCAGGCGGTGCAGAGGTGTTGATCGAGACAGCGGGCACAGATGCCACCGCTGCTTACGAGGATGTTGGTCATTCAGAGGATGCGCGTGAGATTATGCAGCCCTACCTTGTGGGTGTACTCAAGGATGCCCAGCAGTACGTTCGACCACAGGCCGTTCGTGTGGTATCACAGAAGGAGCCAGAGAAGAAGTCCTCCCGAAGCCCTGCAGGACTCGTTGCCGGCGCATTGGCCGTGATTCTACCAGTCCTCTATGTTTGCAGTCGGGGAAAGCTTCATTCGCACATGGGAACTCTCTCCCAACTGCTGCCTCACCAACTGAAGGGATTCCGTCTTCCCAGGGGTGGCTTTGTGAATGGATTCCTTGCCGCAAGCACCATCAGCGGAGCGATCGGAATCTTAGTCGCAAAACAAGCCAGCCGATTCACTAAGATTGATTCTGGTTTCATGCGCTACCCACCCCGCATGAAGGCTAAGAAGGTGATTCGTGCCGATCCTCACTTGACCCGCGGATTCCTCGAGCCGCAGCAATACCAGAGTCTCCCTCTGGTGCAAAAGGACCAGCTTTCAGCGAATGTCTACCGCTTCGTCTTCGCTCTACCTAACGCCAATGGTGTGCTCGGTCTGCCCATCGGACAACACGTTGCCATCAAGGCCATCGTCGACGGCAAGTCAGTGACACGCTCATACACCCCAACCTCGAACAACCTCGATCGGGGCCGCCTCGAATTAGTCGTGAAGTGCTACCCAGAAGGTCTCCTGAGTGGCCGGTACCTCGCCGGACTATCTGTGGGCGATGAAGTGGAGTTCCGCGGACCCAAGGGCGCCATGCGCTACCACAACGGACTCTGCCGCAAGATAGGCATGGTGGCTGGCGGCACAGGAATTACCCCAATGTACCAAGTGATCCGCGCCATTTGCGAAAACGACACCGACACGACGGAGGTGAGCCTGATCTACGCAAACCGCAGCGAAGCTGATATTCTGCTGCGCGAAGAGCTGGAATCATTCGCCCGTCGATACCCCCAGAATCTCAAGATCTGGTACATGCTCGACACGGCACCAGAAGACTGGGCATACGGAACAGGACATGTGGACCGCGATGTCCTTGAAAAGCATCTTCCAGCGCAATCGCCCGACACCAAGATTTTCCTGTGTGGGCCTCCAGGCATGGTCACAGCGACCAAGAAAAACTTGGCAGGACTCGGGTTCACCAAGCCAGGACCGGTATCGAAGATGAGCGACGAGATTTTCTGTTTCTAAAGCCGAGGTAGAATCATTATTTTAATTAGTGTTGATTTAGTGTTGGTCCTAGTTCTTCATCAGTGGAGTCAATTTCGAGAGTTTGACAAATCAGGTTCGAGAGAAGGTTCATCATTCCCGGACGTCATTCTGGAAAGCGTTAACGCGTCCGATACCCAACAAAAGCGAAGAAATTGTAAATAGACCCGCTTGTCAAGCCGCACCCGAGTCTCCACTCGAGTCCGAGACTTTGTTTCGGGCCGAGTACTTCACTGCGATAACGATGAACCGAGGCAAGTTTGGCCTGCGCGGTTCTAAAACGCGTCAATGTGGGTCCTCGAAGCCAGAATACTGTACAGCATAGAGAAGTGGGTCAGTTGAGCGGAAGTTATGCGAGTACAAAGTACGATGATGGATGAGAAGAAGACAGCAGAACAAACTCCCCAAGGAGAGAAGATCTTACTGAGACGTAGGCAGTCACCCCACGTGACAACGTCGTGCGTGCAACATCAAAGCACCAATGATAGGTGTAAAAGAAGCTAGGTTGCTTTTGCAGACTATCTAATGCTACTTATGAGACGGGCGGACACTCACGTGACAACCGTGCCTATAACAACCAATAGCAAAAATGTGTATTTGAGTATTCATTCTCGGCCTAGTAAGAGGTCTTGAAGAAGCTCCTTCGATTCTCAACCGATATCTTGTTTCATCCCTATAGAGGTTCAGACTGTCTGTTATTCCCTTGACTGGGAGTGCTGCGATGGGAACGCAAATCACGGTGAAAGCTCTCTGAGTTCTCTAAGGGATCAGGGGGTAACCGTCTCTCATGAGGAGAGATAATGCCACGTGGCTCGATATTCTACCTAGTTGCCGATGCAAAAAACTTGATTGGAGCCATGCAAACTTCCTAGGGCGAATCACACGTCTAACCCAGCATTTGACATGCTACCATTTGATAGGTGTAAATGAAGCTGAAGCTTGAGTTGAAGCTATCCGGGACTAGTTATGGAGCTGGTGGTCACGAGAGGTGACCGCCTTGGGATACAGAATGCACACAACAAGTCCCGGGAACAAAAAAGCTAGCGATCTCGCTAGCAGGAAGCAATACTGATCGGTGAAGAACCGAAAAGAAAGAATCGGGGCGTGGGGATAGTCAACCATGCTGCAACCCCTGACGACAGTTCGAAAGGATAACGTGTAAGAATATGCGAAGACTGAATGATCCTACTTCCCAGTCCATAGGATGTGGGATTGCCCACAAATTGGGCATATCCGAAGGAGTCAAGGAGCTGGAACTTCAAAGCTTAAAGCGTAACGAATAAGGAAAGGCTGGAGCTTGCAACTTGGGCTTTTGTACTATCCTGAGCATCTCTCTGGGTCGCTGAAGTGTCTCGATTGAACCTCAGAAGCTGAGCAGCTGTTGACATGCCCACGAGGACCGTATTGCCCAGACTATCTTGTCTGGGTTGGCACGGGAACCTGCTTGCCTTTAATCACCTCTATGCCGTGAATCTGCGCCTAAGGCTTCAGCTATGTCAGCATTTTGATCAAGCTTTAGGGGTTGTAAACGCACTTTGCATGCATCGCATGGAAGACTACACACTCTAGCCGCTCTGTTGGGGGTGGTGCAGTCATTGCGTCTTTGAATGCCATGTTCGCCTCCGACAAGGATTTGCTCAATGACCGGGCTCCGGGGTGTGGTGTGGCACAACATACAGGGGTGCATTGGCATCGTTGTCGGTCAACTCTGACATAGTGAGAGAAGCCAACGAGTATTCGATGTATTAGATTGAGAGAACGAACACGATGATGGTAGCAAAGTGGCAAATGTCAAATTCATCGGAGAGGGTGGCCAGAGATGAACCGAGTCTCAGACGCAGGAGAAAGATGTCTCTCAAGTCAAAATGACTGAAGATCCACTCACCTTGCTTTCATTATTTTCATATCATAACTGTAAAACCCCAGATAGATAGAATGGATGGATCCGAGAAGAATCGGGCGATCAGATTTCACATACACGTTCACCTTAAGGGATTCACCTTGAGTTCCCAAAAATGACCTTCTAAGCCACAGTTCAACGGCATCGATCTACAGTGGGCAGACGAGGCCCCTTTCCATAGTCGTATTCATAGGATGACGGCGGAGTTGGGATTCTAGATCATATCACATGAGCAGCATGGTTAAATTACCAGTAAGCTTACTGGATAATCCGGGTAGCTGAAATACTAACCACCGACTTGTTCCATCTAGCTTGGGGGCCATAAGACGAAATCTAGTTCTCTTTAGGCGCAAAGTATCTAAAGAAGGATGCCATTGGCTGCATAGTTGATTGATGTCGATCGATCCCCCGCATTTCGGAGTTCTCCCTTTTCTCCCCGGACATCCCTTCTACACCCCCAGAACACAAGTCACTGAAGAGAAACCATAAACACTCTGAATGGCTTCTAAATTTACACCGTTTGCGAGTCGACGAAGTGTCATCCATAGTCTCAATGGAATCGTGGCCTGCACGCAGCCCTTAGCTGCAGCAGCCGGACAGAGTATCCTCCGAAGAGGAGGTAACGCCGCAGTAGGATCTACACTCCAAGCACACATGATATATGTTAATGATTCAATAGGATGCTGCGGTTACCGTTGGTCAGTCATTCCCAACAACTAATCATGGCAGCTAATCTCATATTTGCAGCCGCATGTCTCAACGTCACGGAGCCCTGGTCTACCGGAATCGGCGGTGACATGTTCTGTCTCTACTATGACGCCCAGAAGAAAAAGGTCGAAGCCCTGAACGGGTCGGGAAGAGCACCCGCTAGCATCACCCTGCAGGAAATTCGACGGAAACTGGGCTTGGTTGATAATCAGCCCGGTGCCATTCCCCTTACAAGTGTGTATGCTGTCACGGTCCCAGGGGCAGCAGCGGGCTGGATTGATACCGTGGAGAGATTTGGGAGCGGGAGACTATCGATGAGGGGAATTCTGCGACCCGCGATAGAGCTGGCTGAGGAGGGATTCCCCGTATCGGAGATCTCTGCATACTACGTGGGTACCGTTTGACAGGGCATAAAATGAATGGGCTGACTAGGTTCCAGTGGAAAGCCAATGAGAAATCCCTCCGAGCAGCGTCGCCCAACTTTAAAGAGATGCTCAAATACGACTCGACCGCAAAGGATGGGGTCAGAGCACCCCGTACAGGAGAGATCATGAAAAACCCGACCCTCGCAAACACATTCCATATGCTAGCGACTGATGGCAAGAATGGCTTTTACTCGGGCCGAATTGCAAAATCGATTGCACAAGTCATGCAAGATCTCGGGGGATATTTGACAGAGGCCGACCTGAAGTATCACGCAGGAAAAGCCAGTGACGCGGTAGAGCCAGTGTCCCTGCGCTTTACACCTAAGAAGTCCCCCAGTGTCGATATCTGGGAACATCCGCCAAACGGCCAAGGCATCATAGCACTCATGGCGCTTGGGATAATCCAAGAGCTCGAGCGAACAAAGATCATCTCTGGGATACCCCCACATAATTCAGCAGAGTACCTGCACCTGCTCATAGAGGTGCTGCGAATCGCCTTCGCCGATGGAACTTGGTGGATTTCCGACCCGGATTTCAATTCCACACCAAATTTGCTCTCGTCTTCGTACCTGGCAGAGCGCGCACGTCTGTATAATCCCAACCACACATCTGGTGTCCTTGATCACGGAAGCCCGGCCCTCCGTTCCAGTGACACAGTATACTTCGCCGTGACAGATGCGAACGGGAATGCGGCGTCGGTCGTCAACAGCAACTACCACGGCTTCGGAAGCGGAATCATCCCCGCAGACTGTGGGTTCACGCTTCAGAGCCGAGGCGCCAACTTCTCACTTGAACCGGGACATCCTAATGCATTGGAGCCTGGAAAAAGACCATACCACACAATCATCCCAGCGATGGCGACGAATCCGGACGGATCGCTTCACTCGGCATTTGGGGTGATGGGTGGGTTTATGCAGCCACAGGGACATGTCCAGGTTCTGCTGAACATGTTGGTGTTTGGAATGAGCCCCCAGGAGGCGTTAGATGCGCCGCGGGTATGCATTGGCGTCGAGACGGGTGGGTCAGAAGGTTGGGTCGATGTCGAGGAAGGTGTAAGCTTGGAGGCAATCGATGGGTTGGAGAAGCGGGGACATCGAGTCAAACTTAGAACGGGGTGGCAGCGGGATTTGTTTGGCAGAGGGCAGATTATTCGTAGCTGCACGGAGGGTGGTCAGAGGGTGTATAGTGCGGGGAGTGATCCGAGGGGTGATGGCTTGGCAGTGCCGGTTTAAAGAATCTTAAGAGTTCATCGACGCAGACAAATGACTAAATTATGATGCTTAGGCAGATGCGCCTGCAAATAAATACTGACATCAAGAAAATATGATTCTATAAAGATGAACCAGCTGGCCTCATGGCTCCGCATTCGTCAACCTTCACCCAGCTTGAAGACTAGATTTTACATTCGCTTAGATGGATCCCATGGCTTCGAAGTTGCCTATAGACAGATGAAGGAATTTGTCGCATCTGGTAGGTCCAGTGTGTACAAGACTCGACCAGCGAGTCACGCTCACGCTAAGACCGAAAGGGCAGTGGAGACTCGCAACGCATGCAAGGATGCGGTCATGGCCACCACATGGCGCCACATATTTCAAGGGTAGAGTCTAGCCCCAAGAGAATTAGAAGAACTTTGAACCATACTGGCAATTTATTGGATGATTTTATAATTTTATAATTTTTGATTTTTGATTTTGATTTTGATTTCAGATTGGTGTTGACAAGGTATTGGTAACAAGAGATGAGACATCATCAAGAAAAGAAAGGTCCAGCCTCGATCTCTTATGTAAATCAAGAGAAGGAAAGAAAGCCAACCCAACTGAAGGCATCGAGCCCAGAAACAGTTCATCAAACGAAAGTCATAAGTCTATAAATATAAATGGCATGGCAAAGCTTTTGACAAAATTCTCAACGGATCTATCCGCTGTAGTCAATAGTGACAGCGAGACGAACGGGACCGGAGGAGATGTTGCCACCAATACCACCGACATCAGTCTCAGCACTGGTGTAGGCGTTGTCAACGGTACCAGCATCGGTAGTGATGGAAGAGCAGGTGCCGCTAAGAGCATCACAGATCTTCATACCCTGAACGGTAAGACCGGCATTCTGAGCCTGAATGGCAGAGACATCGAAACCAGACCAGCCGTTGTTGGTAGTGGAGCCAAAGTCAAACTCACCCCAGGTGGAGGCGTAGGCACCAGAGCTGCTAGTGGGGACAGAGGAGCCCTCCGCGGCGGCCCAGCCACCCTGGGAATCGGTATCGAAAGCGTAGTACTTGGTAGCACCGGCCGAAAGAGTGAAAGTCTGGCAAGCGTTGCCATAGAAGCCGTCCATCTTGCCATCGTCGCCATACTTGTTCCAGATAACAACGGTCCAGTCATCGGTGTTGTCGCCAGAGAACTGAATTACGTACTCGTAGTTGCTGGCGTCGGACTCGGAAACCTCAATGATGTTGCTACCGTAGGGGTTGCCGACGTTACCGATGTAGGTATCGCCGCTGCCGGAGGAGCTGGTGCTAGCACCGAAGCCGGAGGTGGAGTAGCTGCTGGTAGAAGGGACGGCGGTCCAAGAAGAAGAAGCGGCGCTGCTGGTGGCGGTAGCCTGGCGACGGGCGTTACCCTGAGGAAGGGCGAAAACACCGGTGGTGAAAGCTGCCAGCAGCATAAGAGACTTGGAGAAGTACATTTTGGAAATGATTTGACTGGAAGGACCGTGTGGAAAAAAAAAAAAAAAAAAGAATGACAAGAAGATTAAACTTCTCAAAGATTCAAAGAATGTATGAAGAGAGTGTGATTGAGAGAATGTGGTGTGGAATCAAACATCCAAAAAGAGGGATCACTTACCAGATATAAATACCTTTTGCTCAAAAAAAGAAAACTTTTGCCATTCCCCGCCACGCTTGCCTCTTGAAACTCGGATAGCCAGTCACAAGCCAACGTACCTGGTACCTGAAAGAGTTACCCATGGGAAGCCGCGCCAGGGCTAAGCGTACGTCAGGATGCTGCGCATGAGAAGAGTGGGGAAGAACGAAGATGCGGCGTCTGGAGGTTCCAGAACGGTCGGCGCCTTAGGTTGACGTGTGGCCAGGAGGTCGAAGTGGAGCCGAGAGTGAGGAACAAGGGACTGGATTGGCGCTAGGATCTGGGTAGACCCATCCGCGGTTCGCCTCGAAGAGTTCAACGGTGGAGCAGCATGATTGGTTCTGATGGATTGTCGTCGCAATCCCAGGGCAAATGGGACGTGTCACGAAGGATTGATTGTGTCGAGGCCTAATGTTTTTCTTCCCGGTGGGGCTGGAGTAACCAGGGAACCACCGATTCTCGGGTTTGGAGATGTATACTAACGGAAAAGATTAGCCCTAATCTCGAATTCCGGAGAATCCGCTTTCTTAGACATTGTGTCCTGCATGCTCAATATCTAGTCTTCGCGAATTTGTGTATCGCAGTCGTGCAATGTCGCAGTTCAATTCTCTAACCTGTTGCCGGCATTTGGGGGAACTGGTTTAGAGGGTGTGAATTGGCAATTGAACTGTCTACTGCAGCCATGTACCTCATAGTGGACACCGTTAAAGTTTTTTCATTAAAAATGGAGATCTACTCCGTAGCAGTGGTTCAATTGTACAATTAGCGCAGTGGGCCGTCGGCAACGGAGTACGGGTAACCCGGAGGTTCTCCGGCTACTTGACTAGCGTCGGTGATCATCGATCAAAGAAGAGGGAGTACTACGGATGCATGTCTTGAATCTACTCTAAAACGGCTCTAACTGAAATTCTTCCGAAGATAACAATTCAAAATTGTGTACCTGTAATAATAGTCTATATAGAGCACAAAAATAAGAAAAATCGAAAATGGTAGCTCAGGTGAACGGGGGTTGCGAGCTGAGTTTTCATGTTCTATGGAATCGTCCCATGTGGTTCAGGGCAAGAAGCACAAAGTATGCTGATTCGCCAGGATGTCGGTTGAGTGGGGCAACGCATGAGAGCACCAACCAATCATGCTGCTTTGATATACTCTTGGCAACACAGGGCTTAACCCTGCACCAATCATCATTGACCCCTGGCGACCCAATTTTTCATCATCGGAGCCATGGATGATGCCAATGTGCCTGAATTCTTTTCTGTCTGTGCATGGATTCACCCAATCACCCACGCTCGCGTAACGTGGCCTGATGATATTTTGGTACTCACAGGTGTGTGTGTGATCTTACACTGAAACATCGCATAAATTGCCGACATTGACACCGTACCAATGTCTCGAGAATACCTGACTAAAATCCGAGTTCACGATTCCTAGCGAACGCCTCAGAACCACAGGCTCGGTCTGGGAAAAGGAAACTCCACGCACTAGCGGGGCGAAGGGCTCTTACAGAATTTCGCCCTTGGCAAAGAGGGGCAGGGTTGCGAAACCGTTACGAAAAGTCCCTCTTTGACCCTTTCGACCCTTTCGACCCTTGAACGTGGAGCCGGTTCTCTAGGGATGGGAAATGGATCCTGTGCGGACTCCGTGTTCCACTGAGGGGTAAATGGCCAGACTCAAGGAGAAATTTCAGGCCTAGAGTTCGTCGCTGAGGTCTGGACTTTTTATGGAGTCGAGCACACGACTGCAGTTCGTTGACATGTGGGACAGAATGATTATGATGTCATAGGGTTGGCCGAGAATCTCAGATTGGTAACTCTCATGGGTAACGCTCATCTCCAATTAAGAGGCCCGTCACGGGTCGATTCATTCCATATTAATAACAAATCATCAACCTATCCAACGCTATCAACCTAAACCCGATATTCGACCTGTGTAGTAATCGCCTTCTCACCATCAAAATGGCTCGACTCTGTAGCTTGTCCGGTAATTTCTTGAATCTTCTCACTAGCAGCAGCTCCACCCAGAACAGCACTGTCACCGTCGAACTTCTTGACAATCTCCTCCAGCGGAATCTCCTTCGTCTCAATGTAGTATTTCCAGACCACAAATATCTCAAACAACAAGAACACACAGTACACGACGTAGTATTTCCAGTGAATGTTTTGCAAGGCGATCGGGTTGACGTACTGGTTGAACCAAAGACTGAGATCAACGCAGAAGAACATGAGAGTCAGACCCTTGGCACGGAGACGGTAAGGTAGAATCTCGGAGGAGTAAGAGACCAGCATGCCGCTGAATCCGATATTGTATGCGATGTAGTAGAGGAAGATAAAGACAACGACTGTACGCGCTGCGTTGTCGTTGCTACCCGTTTTGTCCTCGGTGAAACGAGCGAGGGCAATAGTCGTCGCGATAAAGCAGAGGAGCATGCTGATACTGGACGTGAGGAAGAGCCTGCGACGACCGAAGTAGTCCACAAAGAAGCAGATTCCTGTTGCTGATACGACATTGACGGCGCTGAGGATGAGGTTGATGGTGAGTTGGGTGTTGCTGTTTGTGATCCCGATCATGTCCAAGACCTAGTAATGTTAGCTTCGCGTCCTGATCGCTGACAGGTAGGGTTGAATCAAGGTCATACCGTTGGCAGGAAGTACGACACAATTCCATTTCCAGACCACTGGGAGAAGAAACCGATTGAAATGAGAATGATCGAACGGTGTCGATTACCCGCAGTAGACCAAAACTCAGACCAGCTGTTATTCTCCAGCTCTTTCTCCAGGGCGATGGTCTGTTGAATCTGATCAAACTCCACATTGACCAAAGCATCGTCTTCGTCGCCCTGAGCGTGAACGTAGGCCAGCACTTGCTTAGCCTTTTCAAGCTTTCCCTTTGAAATGAGCCAACGAGGAGATTCGGGCACAGTCCTGTCGACAGTTAGTCTGAGACCCTTGATTGGACGGTAAAGGTGCCTACCAGATAAATACTAGCTGACAGATGGAGGGAATTCCCTGGAGAAGACAGGGAACGCGCCATGACCATTCGCTGCCGACAATGTGGTTCGTTCCTAGAGTCCCATGAGAAAGTGAAAGAGCCATCCTGATCAGGAAAACATACCCAAAGCGACGCATGCGCCAATCAAACTTCCCACATACCACAGGGAGTTATAAATGGAACTGTAGACAGCTCGGTGCTGAGGGTGAACCAGCTCGGTCACAAGCAAAGGAGCACATTCCTGCAGTTGTCAGCAATTGCAATAGCAGAAGGACAAAGATGAACGAACCTGCGCAATTCCAAGACCAAATCCGAGAACAATGCGACCGACCACAAACAAGGCAATGTGGTAGCCAATCGAGACCATTGCAACACCAAACAGCATAATGATGCACCCGGTAACCACTCCAGCTCGTCGACCCGCCATATCGGCCACGTACGGGACCACAGGGATGGAAAGCATGGACCCGATAGCCATGGACGCAGCGAGAAGTCCGAGAGTAGCGCCGCGAGGGTTGTTGTAGGCTGAACGGATTAGAAAGGATCTGGGTAGCTCAAACAGATAACTTACATTTATTCCAGGAATCCATGGCTTCCAATCCATTCATCAACGAACCATCGTATCCTGAATTGAATGTCAGCGGACAAGCCCCTCCCAACGTGGCTTTGAGTGCTTACCATTGGTCGCGGACGTGATCATGGCCGCCCACAGAGTAAGATAGACGAAGCGCATTCCCTTCATTTTATACCAAGTGACCTTTGGCCATTGCTGGCCAGCCAGCTCAAACGTATCCTTTCCCATTGTGACGATCGCCTAGAAGCTGTGATGTGTGAGTAAGGCTTCACAGGGAACTGGTGATAAATTGGCTTTAATGCACATCAGCGCGGGAACGCCAAAGTATTTAAGAGCGCCGCGGCCATCAGCACATGGTTTCTAGCGGCAAAATAGGATAAAATCCAGGGTCTCGAATTCAATTTAGCATTAATTTAGCAACGAGTCCCATTATGGCGGGGATAAGCTTGCAGTCGACGGGTGGCTCTCTCCCCACATCCAATCCACGTTCTCAGATAATATGATCCACCGGCGACGAGGCCCTGTCCCCGATCTCGAACATCTGGACCAGGGAATCCATTCAGGCTAAAATATAAATTAGAACCTCTGGTCATAAGGCGTGACAGAAAGCTTCTATCAGGGTCTGGTTGTCAGCTCGCCTATGAAGCACAAGTGCCAGGGTCATTAGGAGTCATTCGGAGCACTGGGCGTTTCGAAGCGATTGGCTCTGGGCGAGAGCACGGGAGATGATACGAGAATTAAAGAGCCTAATGCACTTTAGGTAAGGCTCCGCAGCCGATGATTGGATCGCCACGGTCAACTTGAAGAAGCGAGTCCGGTAGACCGACGCTAACATGACAGGCCCCACTGACTAGTCCCTTCCCCGGATTATCTAGGGCACGGCAGAGACTCCGGACTTTTAGAGGGGTTGGGATCAGCTGACAAGAATAAGATAAAGGATTACGATCAAAGACACGAATAACAGTCAACAGAAGCAGTTACTTTTTCAGGGAATGGGCGAACTCCCCGTGGAGAGATTATCGCGGAATGCGCCGTGCTTAATTCCTACCATTCGACACGTTGGTCGCGCCCTGTGAAACCTGGACTCATTATTTGGGCTTGAGCCTGGATGAAATCAAATTCATGGCTCAAGAAATCAGCCTTGAACCGGAAAGTCTGTTTTATTGGCGGGTAAATGTGGACATGGTTGCAGGTCGAGCTGGGTTCAGACGGATAAATCCACTCTTGGCAGCCAGATCGAGAAAGGTCATCTTGGCTCATGTGAAGTCCCAACCCCGGGACTTTGTTAGACACTGGATCATGTGGGTAAATAGGAAAAGAGCTGTTCCAAAAGCTCATGACGGTCTGTGTGCTCATTCCTCGCCCTCACGTTCTGCAGAGTCACTCGTGGAGAGTTCATCCCTCGACACTTGGCTGGCCCATCATAGCTTTAGGTGGGAGCTTTCTATTGGATGGATAATGTATATTATCAACCAACCACTCAAACTGATCAAAATGACACAGTGATATTTGCACTTGATGTTGTGGCAACACCATGCGCCCGGGTGTTCGCCGTTTGCGCTGTAAATGGTATCCTAAACCGAGATAAGTTTCCACCGAGAACCAACAAGGGGTAACTGGAGCATCCACACGGAAAAGCCTCATAAAATCAAGGGTCGTTCACGTTTCCCACACGAGTCGTGGAGAATGCTGGCGCAAGGCTGCGCTTGCAGACAGCGTGGATCCATGCCACGCAGTGGCACTTCTAGTGTCATAGCGTATGTTCTGGATTTTAATTGGCCTGGTCTTGGAGATGACCTAGTAGTTAGTGTGGAGTTCTCGGTGCTGTGACTGATTGTCGTGTTCGGCCCCTTGCAGGGATCCCCATGGGATCCACTGCCCCTGGATAGAAGGAAACGGGGAGAGCTATCACCGCTAGATTGGAGATGGCTCCTCGTCAATGATCAATTAGCGAGTATTACATATACACATGATAGGAAACGATCCGGCTCTGAGTGTCATATTCGAGGAACATATAGCGACCCTGGCTATATCATTCTTTCTCGAATATGATAGTTGTATATGACAAAGGCTCAACATTATAGCTCTATCTGCGTTGAAGCTACGTCACTTGCCGGGACCCGATGCACTGTGACCTCAAACGACCTGATTTGACTCAGGACCTCAATTATCGAGCTTAGGCGAAAGCAAGGAGAGCCAAGAGCTCTTGGATTCAACAAACCCACGCATCATGCTGAGCTCTGGGCACTGCGAGACACAGCAGCTGGGCTGCTCAGCATGCCCAAGCAATAATATAAATAAGATGCAGCGGCACCCCGATCTGCTCTCATCGTCAACACATATCAACTCAGTTTCTAATTCAACCTTCAAACCCCCGATCAACAATCATGCAGTTCTCCCTGAAGAGCCTTGGGATGATCTCCCTCTTCGTCATGGCCGTGTCTGGCTCCAAGTTCGCAAACACTTGCGAGAACATCGAAAGCTTCGGCACAACTCTCTCAGCCGACTGCCGTGAATACGAGCACGGAGGTATGGCTCAGACCAGCATCGACTTGAACCGATGCATCAAGAACAACAAAGGATCACTCAAGGTAAGTATCCATTCTGAGTTGAGAGTACAACAGATACTAACTCTACTATAGTGCGGAAAGAAGTAAGTTCAAAACAAAGGAGTAACATCATACCATTCTAACCTATCGCAGTGGCAACTACCAAGGATCTTGCATCAACTGCACCCTCCGAGGCAATACCGAGATGGAGTGCATGTGCCGCAACGTTGCTGAAGGCCACCGTTTTGTCCGCACCCAAATCGATCTGAGTACGTTAGATGATCCGGTGCTGCCAGAGTTCGAACTGACATACTCGCTTTACAGACAAGTGCATCAGCAACAACCACGGACAACTCGGCTGCTAAATGGAACGAGATGGGCTTGGAGGGATATAATGGCATGGATGCGAAGCCTCAGATTGCAATGGCTTATGAAATCATGATTATCATGCGAAGACGCTCGTTTAGACTTGGAATAGCGATGTTTGTTAGATAGTGCGAATAAATATACTGAAATGAGGTACCGAGAAGAACTGAAGTTTTGAGAAATTGTAATGGGTATCATCTGATTAAGGAGTCCGCTGTGTCGCTGTCGTGTTTGCAAGAGTTCTATGTACTTCAACGTGTTCAGGTAAAATCGACAGCCAAAGACCGCAAAGATACCCATCAAGCCATGGTTCAATGCGGTAAAGATATTCGTGTTCAAGTTCAAGTTCGTGTTTGTGTGATGTGAGTCGCGGATGTCAAAGATGGGTCTGTTTCACTTCTTCGTCTAAGCTCAAGGTCAATAACTCGAGCTTCTGGAAAATTTGAAGCGACTCATCGAGAATCTCCTGTTTTTCTTGGGGAGTCAATAATCGGCCGGCATCAACCATCAGTGTCCGAAACTTGGCTTTGACGACACCATCATCATCCATGTGCCAAAAGGACAAAGGACAGGGCGTTCGACGAGCCTTGAGTTCTGTCGCCGACAAGTCCCAAAATTCCGGACCAGCCTTCAGAAGTTGTGATCGGAGTTCGCGGCCCCCATACAAGACAGCTGAATACATAATCCAGATCCATGCCACGAGGCGATGCGGGTTCGGTTCCACGCATTCATGAATATATCGTCTGATTTCCAGCCCGGGATTTGGTTCGAGAACCAGCTCCCTACTGCTCGGATCCACGGACTGTAAAAATGAAAGGTCGGCTTGAAGAGACCGTGTCCGTAGGAGCTCCGGCACATAAAGAATGCGTAACAGGGATTTCATGCGCTCACTGCTGTCAGGCGACGAATCGGGGATGTGATCGAGCGATCCCTCCCCGATCCAATCGGTCGGGTCACCAATGAGGGCGACCCACTCCTCCTCCAGTCCATAAAATATTTCGGCATAGCGCGATAGTCCCAATGCATAGAGGGTGGGTCGAAGGATCTGAGGGGGTATACAGAGGTTGATTCTCGAGAGATTCATTCGATGGATGGCTGCGTGGGGCTCTCTACTAGAGGTTAGATTGGACGAGTAGGGCGAGGAGTAATCCACTCACCTTATCGCCTCACGAAGCTTCACAAGAAAATCCTCCTCTGTCATACTGAATGTGTATTGCAGGGATCATGCATATGTCTGGGCATTGAATTGGTCACAGGTTCAAGCCCTTGAGTGTGATCGGCAAAATGAAGAAGCAAATCGCGTGCTTGGGCCGGTTGACCGGGCCGCAATTTCCTTAATCCGCGGTCTCGATTGCCAGGTAAAAGATGAGTTATCACAGGATCGTGTTGTCAGGTGTCAAATCGAAGATCAGCTAGCAGATACTGAGATGAACTGAGATGATCCATGTTGGTTGGATTGAAATTCATCCAGAGTCTAAGATGACGTCATTAGGAGCCTCGGTACGGACGACATCGAATTGAGATATTTTCTGCAGAGAGATCATTATACTTATCTTGGAGGAGATAATTAAGCCTTTGAACTATTTCTATGTCTAGACTAATATCACATATCTAACTTCCCCGTGGTTTTAACTGCAGCCTTGTTGCAGTCCTCGAGAATCCGTTGCAGTCGAACGAACATACTTCAATTACAAATGCTTAAATTACAGCAGATTACATATATGTATGCAGGTTCACTTATAAGCTACTGAGCTATACTTCTGCAATAATATGACAAACAACGGAGAGGCGTAAATAAAGTTGAGCCCCATAGGGCTGCGGGAATGCAACAAACCCTAAGTCAAAAATGACATACTGTACAAATTGGAAATCCTTAAGCTCTAAGCTCATTTAGTATGAGAGTTTTGTTCATTTCATTCCTCAAAAGTAAGGTGAAAGCCATGAATTGATCATATTAAATGCCTGGTGGAAGTGATATAGAAATACAGGATAGATGGAGATGGCTTCAAGCTTCAAGATGGGGAACTGGGGAGCTGGGTCTACTTGACGGTTGCCACTGTTGTCATCGTTGTGATTGTTGTGATTGTGGTTTCCGTTTGCTGGAACTGAGTAGTTGCCTGTTGCCATGAGGAAGTGTGGTGGTTTCCCTTAGTTGCGTGTTTCCATGGGGACATTGGTGCCTTCCCTGGTGAGCAAACACTGGGTATAATAATTCTCTTGTTGTGATTTCCCTTCCTCTTCTTCTCTTTCCCCTCCGCCTCATTTGGTTGCACTGCTGCTAGCCTTGAACCTCGTTCTTGACGATTTGCTCTCTCCATTTGTCGCTGGCGATTGCTTCTCTTGAGAAGTCTCTTCTGTTTGTGCTCTCCTCCTTTTTCCCGCTTCCGCCCAGCATTTCGGCACGATGGTTCAGCCTTCCGTTGTCGACTTGCCTCCCCAGCTGAGGTTGTATCCGACTTGCCCTGGTAAGAAGGAGATGCCGAAGCCCCTCTTCTACTTCCCTGGTTTGAACCCTCCGCCCCGCCGTCGCCGCCAGTTGTCATCTGGCTCTGGTTCCACGCGCACTGGTTATGAATCGCTCATGCACCTTCATGCTGAACGCAAGGCCATCATGGCCAAAATTGCGGCTCAGCGTAAGGTTGACATCGTCCGCAGCAACCTGTTGTTAGCAAGTGTTCCTTCTCCTCTCCTTCCTCTTCCCCCCCGGGCTCCCGTGATGGCGGGTATCTTGAAGGCGTCTGTGGCGCCCCGCACATTGGCTCACGACCGTCACGTTCACTTCGGTGAGGTAAAGACAGTCGAAGTCAAGCGGTGGATGCCACAGCGTCCTCGAAGTATCGTGAAGGCGTTGACTGCTTCTGCTGCACCCCGCACATCGACTCACGACCGCCGCGTTCACTTCGGTGAGGTAGAGGTGGTCGAAGTCGAGCGGTGGATGCAGCAGCGAGCCCGAAAGCTCAGGAACCACCCCTGCCCTCCTCCTGCATGTGCCATTTTCCCGCCTATTCAGAAGCGTGTTTACCAGTCATGGTCTTTTGACCCTGCGGCCCTTACCGCAGCAGAACATGAGCTCCAGCACCGTCCACGAAAGATCCACAAAGTGATCACCAGTCAGCATGGTCCGCCTTCGGCTGCCAAGGCTATTGGTTGTGGCGTTGTGTGCTTTGGACTCATGCTCCTGATGTCTTGGCTCAAACATTCGTGATTCATTGCTTGTTGTTGAGATCTAGCACCTGTCATGAAAGCACTACGTTTGTGCGCCAGTCAAAATTCCTTTTGGATGCTCATTGGTTGTGATGCAGCGGGTAATAGATCTCAATAATCTTGCTTTGTACTGATGTGGTATGGACTTGGCACTTGCAGGAGCGGCATCATGGTTGTTGTGTTCGATTTTGACTGCGTTCCATTTTGCTTTTTCCGTTTGCTGCGTTCCATTATTATTCGCTATCATTACGTTCTTTTCGCAAGAATCCTCGGATTCCTGCCCCCGTTACGTTGATGGATCACAGGCTAGCTACCACTTCGTTGCGGCAGGAAAGCGCCTCTTGAAGTGCACTTGGTGCATCCAGCAAGTAAGTTTACCTGGCTTGTTTTGTCTTGATTAGTCTGACTAACGTGAACATGCAGCATCGGCGACCGCAGCAGACCGGCATGGTCAACAGGAAAGCGCCTCTTGAAGTGCACTCGTTGCATCCGGCAGGTAAATTCATCTAATCTGTCTTGATGAATCAGGCTAACATGACCAACACGAAGCATCGACCCGTATGGTCAACAGCATGCGTCTCTTATAGTGCAATACTTGCATGCCAACAGGAAAGTTCTCCTGGTATTTTGTTCATGGCCCCAGCTGACGCCATCGGCTGGTGGGACGTTGGCTGAACGTTCCATCAGCCGGACTTGTATCTTAGGACCGAGCCGAACCGAAAGTCTTCAAGGACTTATGGTGGATGTCTGGTTGGTCGATCGAGGTGAGTCTTCCTTGAAACCAATCTTGTATTGCACTGACATCCCTGAGTGGTTGGTTGGTGGGAACCATCGGCCCGTAAGGCAGACCGGCATGATCAACAGGAAAGCGTCTCTTGAGGTGCACTCGGTGCATTCAACAGGTAAATTCACTTGATCTGTCCCAATGAACCTGACTGACATGAGTGGCAGGAAAGTGTCTCTTATGGTGCAGTTTTCGCTGCCAACAGGAAAGTCCCCGTGTTTTGTTGTTCAAGAGCCAGCTGACAGTTCCGATTGGTCGACCAGCCCGTTCGAGCTCAGTTTATGTTGTAGTCAGACTTGGTGGTCACCGACATTCGAATCGCTGGTGTGTCACATCACTCGCATGAACGTTGTCGAATTGGAGGAGAACCGCACCGATGGTAACATCATGAATCATGATGATACATGTTGGTTGGGTACTCTTCCGTTGGGAAATATGCAAGAAACCCCAGACTTATTAATAAATGTTCGGTAGTATATAAATGAACTATTTCGCACTTAATATTATTGTTTTCAGAATGATTTGACTCCGTTCAGTCTCCTTCTCAACTCCAGACATTCGACGCGACGCGTCGCACCCGCGTCAGACACCATGTCAACCTCGCAAATTCCTGAGCCTTTCCTCACTAATTTTATTCAACAAAAAGTTGCCCCTAATTTAACTATCGAGACATGCCTGAATCACAACCTTGTTGGAACGCCAGAACCTGCGGCGACATGGCTTGGATTGGGCACCATAATCTGTGTTTATTCGCGTCAAGGCCGACCGGATTGATTATTAATGGAGCTATATCGCCCCCAGCCATGATCGGGACCGAATGATGGTGTGTTCAAAGCTAATGGGCGGCAGCATAGCAGCTCATTGACAAAACACGCATCTACATAGAGTAGGATACGGGCACAAAAAGACCTCCTTTGCCAACGGCTGCCCCAGACTGGTCAGCGGACTGGCGCGCATACTTGAAGCTGTATCGGGGAGCGCCATTATGTCCTTGACCCATTTTGCGGCGTGCTCATCCGAGATCTTATTTCACATCACCTGGACAAAAAGTCTGCAATGGTGATTGTAGATCCTGTCGAGTTCGTACACCCCTAACGCCTAACTGGCGGAATCTGTCGGGTGATTGAACTTGTTCAATCGTTGGTGTCTTGTGTCAATCAGCGGGATGATCGATCCATCTACACCGGTCGGGTGTAAAGCACTGTGATCATTGCCAAGGTATTCGTTGATTTCTGCAAGTAATGGGGTCCGCACATGGATCCACTGAGGCACATGATACTTGATCCACGAGCTGAAGATGCTGAACGAATTGATGGCATGGACTATTTTGATGAGCAAAGCTAGCTAGCTCATTCGCCGGGGTTCGGCCGGAGTCTATTTGCTTGTGTGCTCGGCAAAGCGAGAACACATAATCTGCAATACCTGCGCCTGAGCTGATTCGTGATATGGTCGCTTGGAATCGCGAAGGAATTCACGGCGCGACGGTCTTTGATGCACTGGCCATACGTGTCCACGTTTACTCTTCAACAGGGACATATGTGGCGAGCACCGAGAGGTCAGAGCTCATTATGCGTGGCACACGGGGCTAAATGGCAAGCCTTAGCGATGCTGCTTACAATTGATGAACAAGTTTTGCGTAGGTACTCATGAATCGGACCGATGATCGAAGATCGAACCAATGAGAGGCCCAGGCAACGATTGGTTTTTATGACAGCGAACTCGCCCCTGACAAATAGAATAATGAATCAACCGCCCCCGCTCTTCTACTATACAAAAAGAAATATAAGTGGCGAAGGGTATTCAGCAGCTTTTGCGAACGGACCGATAAACATGACTTACACCGGGCGCTTGACCATACCTTGTCATATATCGAGGTCGGCATGATCCTATGTGATTTCTATTCCCAATTGCATTTTCCAATATGCCAGGTTTCCAGATCCAAGCGCGTGAAGTGACCGGACAGCTCACCTGGCTAGTGACTGGGTGTACATTCAATCCTTGCCGCAGTGAGTTGCAATTTTCATCTCAGGGGGAAATAAAGTCGCTCATGATTACCAGGGCGACCGAGTCATTGCAACGGGACGAGGACGAGAAACCAGTGGCGTTGAGCGCTTGGCTTTGAAAAATGCAGGAGCTGCGGTGATGGAGCTGGACGTTACTACATTAGAGGTTGAGATCAAGGCCAAAGTTGCCCAAGCCTGGTCAATATACGGACACGTTGACGTGCTGGTCAATAACGCCGGGTATATCGATGCAGGTGTATTTGAAGAAGTCGAGTGGGTCGCTATGGCTTAACGGCGGTTTCTTTCTGGGCTTCACTCTGACCCGGCATAGCGAAGCATCCTTACTGCGCAGCCTCCGCACCAACGCAATAGGCCCTCTTAATCTAAGTCGTGCATTTCTGCCTTACATGCGCAGCCGGGGAACCGGAACCCTTCTCTTCATGTCCTCCGTGGGCGCATATTATGGAGCTGCCGGAGCTAGCCCGTACAGCGGCGCAAAGGGACTACTCGAAGCTATAGTACCCAACATCGCCGCCGAGGTCGCACCCTTTGGTCTTCGAACGTGTCTACTTACACCGGGACTTTTCCGAACTAAAGTGTGGATCGTTGAAAACATCTTATACAGAGCGCCAAACATGTTACCGGAATATGAGGAAGTTAACCAGGGGATAGAGGACTTCTGCAAGAATGGTGATGGAAATCAACCGGGAGACCCTCGCAAGGCCGCTGATATTATCGTGGAGGCCGTGAAAGGTCAGGGACGTTGTGAGGGGATGACACTGCCACCCTGGCTTCCCTTGGGACCTGATGGGGTGCAAGCGATCCGGACGAATCCCGAGGCAAAGTTGAAAGTCTGTCATGGTGGGAGGCTATTGCTTCTGCGACAGACTTTTGATATGCTACACTGGTGAATATACCTAATGTTCAAACTACACCCACAGGAATATTGTTAATAATTCGATTCCGATTGCACAAATTTGTAGAAAGACTTGACCTCGCGGGTTCGCGGCTATCATTTGCATACCCCAAAGGTCTAGAAGAGTTTTGACGAAGCCTTGAGCGCTGGTCGGTCCTTGTCATAATCTCCATTTGATTGAGAACGTATCCACCCACGTGGTATTAAAGTCCATCCCAAGCCCTTAAATCGAAGGGGCTCAGTGCTACAACTCAGAAGTTCAAACCTAGGCACAGGAGCCTGAACGAATATCCATCAGTAGAAGAAGAGCACCAAACATTGGAAAGCCTAGCCCAAGAATCCGACTAACAGCCAAAATCAGGCCGCAGCGCAGGACTCCAAATAATGGAATTCGCTAGACGACACTTGCAGAGCCTCCTTCATTGGACCAAAATTCCCTATAGTATCCGACACTATGCAGACGGCCCCTAAACGGTCTCCCCTGGCGTGACCTCGAGCTCGGCACAATCCCGAGTCCGAAGCAGACCAACATCGGGACGCACATGTCGAGACGCAGATTCTTCGATTTAGACTACAAAAGGCCCTGTCATTGGTAGACATGATCCAAACACTTTCCAATACTTTCATTTCAAACTCTCTCTGTTGCTGCGCATCTGACTACTTCTGGTAGCGATGCGAGACCCACATTCTGAACTGGTTGCCTATTTAGGCTAGCGTTTCGGCGGTGGATCCAACACCTGAGGGCTTCTGATCGACAGAACGCAAAGCCCCTGGGGCTGTAAGCTGACTTGACCATCGAAGAAGCGTGGACAGAGATAGACCTATGCGATGTTCCAAATGTTTTCTCCGTCTTTCATGGGGGTCGCTGTTGCGCCTCAGCTGCATGTATAAATATCACCAGTCCCGACTTTACAAACAACCGGGCACATTTACCTACTCACATTATCGGACCTTTTGAGAAATCCAAAGCAGCCGTCCATACTTCATCGTCGCATCACAATCCAATATTATTTTGAGAACCTCATCGTCGCTAGCCAACCTAGACCCTGCCAACATGTGCCTTTTCCTTCCGTTCCTCTACTTGAAAAAGAAGCGAGATCAGGGTGCAGGTCCCAAAGCAGAGGACGGACCAGCACCACACCCTAGACAGGGAAGAAAAGACCAGAAGTCCGTGTCGGTGCCGCGCCAACACGAGATGGGACGAATTGATCCTGCCAGAACCCCTTAACCGAAGGAGTTGAGGTATGAGCCAGGTCGCTTCTTTTGCTGGGCATTGCTAAGACTACTGCTAGGAATGCGCCATCCCACTTATAGCGCCAACTGAGAATATTGTATTGATGGATCGGGACCCGCATTGAATTGTATAGAGAAATCCTGTATTTACCAGTCCCAGTCCATATTGTCACAAACCCCGGCTCACGTGCCAGGAACCATATCAAACAATTCTCCTTTGCGTATAAGCTGTGCCATGGTAGTAGCCAAATATATGCCCATACTCTCCCCAATGATGGCCAAAACCTGTGCAATCCACTCTCTAGTCGCAGAGTCTATATGCGAAATGTTAGCCGAAACGAATAAAGGCCACAGCAGACGAAGAGCGCCCCCAAAGCAAGCCTGATCCGATATGAAGTGGTACCGCACACTGGCGCAGATATCATCCACCACCTGATTAATGATCGCCACGGACTGAATGATCGTCTGTTCACATTCTGATGTTTTCCGTAGTTTGTACAAATGCACCGCCATTACCCGCACCATCTCGTGCAGAACAAGACGCGTTTGGCGGTAGTGGTTCCACATCGAGGCGAGATAGACATTAAAGTAGAAGTGGTATGTGTCGCCACGCATGTAAAATGGAATGTGACCGTCATGGGACACTGGCGCTTTAATCGTAGTGAAACACCACCCAGGACCGACCGACATTGCCCAGGATCGGAGGTCGGCATCGACGCGGAGGGCCTTTCCGATATATCGCCCTAGGTTTTCGACCGTATATTTGCCCCGGGAGGCGTCATTGACCTCGGCAGCAAGGTCATTGAACTGGAGTAGTATATTGTAGAGATCTTCAATTGGTTGGGAATTTTCATCGCGTCGTGCTTTTGCAACTTCCGATATTGCTGCTATTGTGGGCGAGGGTTGCACAGGACGCCTGAAAAGCACGCTGCTGATAACCTATTCACCAATAAGCCGCGATCAGTATCGGAGGCGGCGTACTGACATTTTGTAAGCGGATTGTTGTGAACAACTCCAACCCCACATCCGAGTCTAATTGCTCCACCCCTCGTAACTCGAGCAGCCTCGTCGCCCCTTGCACATGATTCCACCAGCCATCCATGATATCAAAATGACCGGATGTCATATCGTGGCTTGCGACCATCTGTTGCAGTCATTAGAGTTGTCGAATAATGGTCAGCCAGCAATCTCACCTCATACAGGGAAAACAAGGTGACAGTTCCCAATGTGGAGTCGGTTTTCGCCGTGACTGGATTCTGCAACGCCTTATTGAGAGAACGCAACGCTTTACTATATTCCAAGCCCGCCAATTGCCGCAAATCAGGCAGCTTGTGGATTCTCGATAAGCTGGCCAGCCCGATGGCCTTGATTGTGGCTTGAAGGGTCAACGATGGGTCCGTGCTCAACAGACCCGAGAGAAAAGAGAGCAAACCACGACTTTCGTCTTTGCCAACATAATACGTGAAAGTATGAGATGTCGCCTTCTCGTCTATTGAAATCGGTTCGTGGATTAAAGGTAGCAGCATCGATGTCTCTGGAGTACTTGTCTTGGACCGAACGACACTCCGAGACTGAGCCTTCACGGCAACTTCCTTGCTCTGATCATAGATCCTCAGAGAATTGGGATCTTGATAGCCCCCGCACTCCTTGTTTGCCCGGGTGCATTGCGCACACGGGTTTTTTTCGATCGCACTATCGAGTCGGTGAGTTGGCGGTCAGCCACTGGAGCGCTCACATACAATCAGGCGTCGTTTGCGGCATGAAGCACAGCCTAGGCTGGGCTTCCCTCTGTAAACCATGCCTCGAGACAGATGCCCAAAGGGGTAACAGGTTCGGAGACACGTTGCGGTGCGGACGCTAGCTGACGGGGGCGGGTCTTGTTTTTAAAGGCCAAGGGAAGGGCAGTAAGCAATGTGGCTGAGCTGGAGTTGATTGGGTGAGCTTTGCAAAGGCGCAGTCTCAACCCTGATGTGGGGTCCCAAAGTGGGTCGGATCCACCGGTGATCCAGGCGTCAATCATTTCATCAATGCTTATTTCCGAACAGTATGCCAGATTGGGTTGGCATCGAGTTTGGAGATTCTTGCAACCATGGAGACTATATATGTTACCGTTTCTCACGGCATGGAATTTTCTCATTCCCACCCTACGCTCTGGTCATCATTTACCATTGATCGCATTCGATTTGCGCCGATTCATTCTACCCCAACATCTGCAAAATGAACGGCATCTTTCCAGCCGACCTCGCCGTTTACCTTATTCTCCTCCCAATCGTCGGTTACATCTTCATCAAGCACAAATGGACCGGATTGCTACCCTGGTACTATCTCAGTATTTTCTGCGTGGCGCGAATCGTCGGCGGTGCCCTAGGTGTTCAAGACAGTTCTAGTCTCGCTGCCAACATCATCCAAAGTGTCGGAATCTCCCCCTTAATCCTTGCTGTGGATGGATTGGTGCATGAAGCGTGCGTCTATACCCACCGTTCGCTATCCCAACAACTAACAAGATCTAGTCGAGTATATCGCTACCCATCCAAAAACCCGCTGCTCGGCTGGTCCGTTGTCATCGGCACAACAGGCACCATGGGGGTTGCCATGGCCCTCTCCATCATTGGAGCACTCGATATCTACGAAGGCAAAGCCAAGCCGGATAGCTATTCATTTTGGAAAGCTGGATCGGCTTTGGTTGTAGTGCTCTGGGCTTTCCAACTGGTTTGGTCTACTATCTCCATATTCCACCGCAAGGAAATGACTTATGCCCCGACTTTCCAAGGCAGCACTGCTGTACGTATTCCAGGAGCCGACAGACTCTATCATTTCAATCTTGGCTGATCACACGTCTCATAGCTCCTTCAGGGTGCTATCGTTGCCCTCTTGTTTATCGGAGTTCGCGTTATTTATAATCTTGTTGCGGTCTGTACGCAGCGAAGAGACCTTAGTCCAGTCAATGGGTCAATCGCAGTGCGAGTTGTACTCTTGTTTCTTCCAGAGGTCTTCGCAACACTCACGCTGATAATTGTGGGCCTTCGAACAAGGCATCTCCGGCAACTCAAACAGTCTGCAAGTTACTAAATGATTTTTGAGATCTGAGATATATCCCAGAGATCCTCATGCGTTCTTCCAGTCAGGGGTTGGCAAAGTGAAGTATATATTGACTTTTGGCGAGCTAAGCGATTTCAACGCATTTATAGAAGGGTTGCCTTTCGCTGTAACATAATATGTCTTCTTTTTATATTTGTTTTACACTATAAGGTGATTAATTCTCATAAAATAAAAGTATTGTATCCCTAATTATAGGATATTCTAGTATATATATTAGGACTAGGGCCCTAGAGAGGATAAGGATAGGAGTGATGACGGAGAAGTACGCTACCGTTGGATTAATGATAATATAATCGCTGGAGAACTTATAAGTTCTCCAGCGATACTAATTATTACTGTGGGGCTTAGCTAAGCAGTCCCGTGGGAGTCCGTGATAACATTTATCCGGTTCTATGCCCTAGGTGTGGGTGTTCTCCGATACACCTCTGGGGCTTCTATGCCCTCACTACTAAATTTCTCCGTTCGTGCCGTAACAGAAAATAGTGTTTCTAATAGTCATTATTTCCACCATCATATCTACATCGAAAACAAGCGAGAGCTTTACCCGTGGCTGTAATATCACCACGACGTACAGTTTTAAAAATAAGGCAATTTCCAGATATTTTATGGGAGAAAGGGAGGCATTTAAGGGGGAATTACAGACATTTCCGGAACAGAGGAAATACCAGTAGTTCAAAGAGACCAATCAGTAGTATAATACAGCTAAATAAGGAAAGGTCGGCTTCTTTTATGCACTTGAGGGCGTAGGGGCCAGGGCCGGCATCACCGGCCCTCTAAATGACTAAACGAGGCCTACATGGGAGTGGGTTTGGTGGAACGACTCCAGGGGAAATGTCAAGGTCGAATGACCAGATTCAACAGACCATAACCTATAGCCATCCTACTGAGGAAAATATCTATGGAATATTCGGAAAGGCATAGTAATTTCCTATGACCACAGTGCAACCTCTAGGTCTATAGGGACATGGTTGTAGTAAGTCGTGATCAAGATATGGTGTATGGTACCACACCCGTGGGATAGGATTGAATAGATCCTCAGCATCTTTATAGCTTGGCCGACGAGCTCTGCCCTCGTGGTATTGCCATGTCTTCTAGAAGTACGATCCTTTCAGTTGCTTCCCTCACGCTACTAGCTAGATCGGCATGTACTAGGCGGAAGGCCCGATAAACCCTTCCTCGGACCTGCCTGGTTGCCTGGGCAATGAAAATAGACAGATTCGTTATCATCTTTTCCTGCCAACCATCATACTGCGGATCATCCAAATGAGTCCAGAAGGTGCGTGGAAATATGTAATCCACCTCTTGTATCTCATTGAGAGAAAAGTTTCTGACAAGGTTCAGCCATGCATCTCGGTGGGCATCAGAGGGTAACCTGCGCGGAGCTATGGCAGTTCCAGAAAAATGTGCTGTACTGGTGGTGGGTGGTGGCCCAGCCGGTTCATATACTGCATCTGTGCTAGCTCGTGAAGGGATCAACGTGACGGTCTTAGAGGCCGACATATTTCCCAGGTACGTGAATGAAGCCTGTCACGAGAAAAACGAAATTCTGACAAACAGGTACCATATCGGGGAGAGCATGTTGCCCTCCCTTCGCAATTTTCTACGATTCATTGACCTGGAGACCAAGTTTGATGAGCATGGGTTTATCAGAAAGGTTAGTCGGCCCCTGAACATATCTTGTACAAAATACTGAATTTACACCTCCGTTTGTTCTGGGAGTAGAATGGAGCCACTTTCAAGTTTAATTCAAAGCCTGCTGCTTGTCAGTTCATCTATTTGCTCAAATTGAGTTTCAGTTGAGCTAACACTTCGTAGACACTGATTTTCCTGCGGCCAAAGGCATCAATGCCAATAATTCAGCCTGGAATGTAATCCGATCCGAGGCCGACGGCTTGATGTTTCGACACGCAGGGAATGCGGTGCAATGATATTTGACGGAACTAGAGTGACCTCCATCTCTTTTGAGCCAGCAGCTGCCCCGGCCACAACGCCACCCGGGCCAGGAAGTCCTACACAAGCCTCGTGGTCTCAGAAGGGCGGCACGACAGGGACTATTATGTTCCAGTATCTAGTTGATGCTACTGGACGAGCGGGTCTTATGAGTACCAAATACCTCAAGAATCGCGAGATGAACCAATCTCTGAAAGCAATGCCTGAGAAGGGCCAAAGAGGCGAGAATCAACCTTACTTCGAGGCACTCAGTGACGGTAGTGGTTGGGCGTGGGCGATACCGTTGCACACTAATTCCATGTCAGTGGGTGTTGTGATGGACCAAGACCTCATGTTGAAGATGAAGAAGGAGGGCCGCCTGTCAAGCCAGGAACTCTACCAGGCTATCTTAATGACTACGTCTATTGCCAATGGTCTGCTGAAGAATGCGACTCTTGTGTCAGGCATTCGTTCGGCGTCTGATTGGTCTTATAATGCTTCCAGTTACGCAGGACTGAATTGGCGCATAATAGGTGATGCTGGCTGTTTCATTGACCCTTTCTTCTCTTCTGGTATTCACCTAGCTTTGACAGGAGGATTGTCTGCAGCTGTGACCATCTGCGCTGCGGAGCGGGGTCATTGTACGCCACAAGAGGCAGCCGAATGGCACGGAGCCAAGATTGCGGACAGTTACAATCGCTTTTTGCTAGTTGTCACTAGTGCTCTCAAGCAGAGTGGGGATGGCGAGAAACCAGTTTTGACCAGGTGGGATGAAGATAATTTTGACCGCGCCTTTGACATTTTCCAACCTGGTATGTGTTTTCTTTCCCCATTCTTTCTATCTCCCGATATAACCCCAGCTGACCTATGATTCTCCCGCAAATCTACAGTCATTCAAGGTGCAGCCGATTTGCCTAAACAAGTATTGCCGATGGCGGACTCTGCACGACTACTGGATTTCTGCACGCACGCCATGCTCAACGTTAAGGACTTCAACAACCGAGACATCGCCGAGCTTGCCAAAGAATTAGGAGTACCAGTTGCAACAGTGAATGCCTACGTCCAAATGGTCATGAAGGTGCAGACTAGAAATGAAACTTCGGACCTTGAAGACTTCGCAAGCGACGCGGTGAAAGGACTTTCTCCAAACATGATCCGCGGAAGCTTAGGGCTAGTGAAGGGGTGACCTGCCAGAGTCCCGGATGTACACGGGAAGACCCCCGGTCTGGACCTAACGACTGTAGATGGGACAGAAGGGGGAAATCTTTAAAGCTTAGGTTTTAACACGCATTATTCCGATGCTGTGATTCCACCTATCTCGTGCTAAGGTATTAATTACTTCTTGCGGTTCACAGACTGGTACAAAATATTTCCATTCTCCATGAATAAATTCCGTATTTTGTAGTATAAAATAAATCCCGTCGCTATTACCTCCATTATCTCTTCTATTTGATTTTTAAGGGACGGTCACCTCCAAACATTAATAGCCACTAGTTAGTCTAATCCATCATAAAAGAATAATAAACTACTTATCTGCTAAAGCCAGCTACTATTATATACTATAGTATAGGCCTCAGCATAGTGCGGTCTTAGTCCTAAGATCAAGGACCGCGGACCGGACCGCGCGATCTTGCGGTCCCGAGTTTAGAGATTTAGACTATATCATAGTAGACTGTAATTACATATTTTTATAAAACCCTTCCCTACCTAAAAAGTAGACTTCGATCAATTAAGCCAACCCCATCAGGGCCAGCCAAAGACCATTAGGGTTAGGGACGAAATTTTGAAGTTGGGGCCTATAATAAAGATCCATCCAGCTGTAAAAACATCGGAGCATTCTCCTATAACACTCGTAGATATGTCGGCAATATCTATTCCACCATTTCTTTTAGCATCTTTCCCCACAAATTCATGGTCATAACTTGTGGTCAGACCATCTAAATTTCTTTCGTCGATCAGATTCAGTGGGGATTTTCCATTAACACAAGCATTAGCGGACAGAAAGGTACACACACATCTGGCACCCAAACTCAAAAGGTCATTGGGATTGGACTGCATCCCCAGGCCTTAGATCTTGTCCACTGCTTTTTTGGCCTCCTTCTCGTCAATCCAATCGCCAAACAAAATCTCGTCTCTCAACTAACTGACAATCAGACACGCGGTGCCTGGTCCAAGGAGCAATGAAGTCATAAGCAGAGCAGGAAGGTACCACGACCAGCAGAAATATTCTGCTCGCTGAGTGGCGGTCCACACGCTTTGCAGCTCAAGTGTCACCACGACCATCACAACGAGATATGCAACCAATTGATCCCAAAGCAGGAACCTTACAAATTCGTATTGCGTAAAGTTTCCCAAGCTGGAAAGATTTAATTGCACTATATATCTCATCCCAAGGTTTTCCCTAATACATACGACCATAGGGTGTGGAGAACAGGGCTTCCCGTCCGCTCAGCCGTACTTAAGCCACACGCCGGTTAGTTAGTAGTATGGTGGGTGACCACATGCGAATCCTAACTGTTGTATGTATTTTTTTTTATCCCTTTGTCTTTTTTTCTGTCCAACCTAGTAATCTCTTGCCGCCCTATCTTTAGCCTATTTAGGCTATTCACCTAAATGCCCTAAACACCACTATTTTATACCTAAATATCCTATACGTGCCTAAACCGCTAACGTGGCCTTCCCCTCCCGTGCTAACCTTTTCCTTATAGCCTAAAGAGGTTCTTATTATATTAGAGTAGCTTTATGATTTTCTTTCAAGCGCCGAGTTAAGGTAGTAAGCACTAACGTAACACTAAGGTTCTACTAACTAGGTTCCACCTAGCTTTTTAAAGCGACACCAGCCCAGAACCCCTCTAGAGTAGCTAAGCTCAGAAGAAGATATTAAGGGGAACAGTAAAAGTAAACGTTGGCGCCACAGCAGTGACTTTCACCCGAGCTCTTCGTCTAGTGGGTAGCTCGACAACACTGAATCCGTGCCATATATATATCGGAAGTCATGATATTAAGAGCAAATTTTGTTTTTCTCGTAATATGATGTGCAAGACCGTTTTCAACGTAGATTGAAATACTAAGGATCTGTATGTAAATTTCTGTGAGCACTAACTAAGATTTCTGTTCTGAGGTTGTTGACATACATAGCCTTTATCTATGATATCGTCCTCACGCAGGGGATGGAGCAGGTCCTCGGATGCGCTGACCATGTCTAACTCATTAGTGCGCTGGTTGAATTAGATGCGGAAGCGGAAGGGTCTTCTCACCGATTAATTTAATCAGCCATACCAAATGCAGTCGACGGACCTGAATGGTACAGGTATTATAGCCATGTATCATCTTCTTCAGATACGGGATCGTTGCAGCGATTCCAAAGCCGCTTGCAATCAGTAGCACGATTTCATACCCATCAACAATCTCACTGGGGACCTGTGAATATGGCCAAGAATGACACAGGGCAGCCAGGAGCGTCAGCGGCAAGACGAAGAAGGTCTGGTGTCATGCCACCTCGTGGCTGTACGAATAGCTCAATGGTATCATGTCTTCCCCGCGACCAAGGTGTACTCATGAAATGGTGCGTTTGAATCCACGACCAGGATTCAACTGATGGCATCCACAGGTTGATATATTGGGCCAATTTTATCTTGATTGGCCGAGGCAAAGCCACACGAACCTGGGCCGCTTTTCGTAGCTTAGGATGTGCGAGGGACCCTTCTGGAGTAAAGGATACAAAAGCCCGAGGAGCGCCGTGGCCTGAAAATAGGCGTTCGTGTAAAAGAAAGCTAGTAATCTCTAGGAACGTGATCAGCGACAGGATCACCAACGAGACGTAAAGGTACAGTTTTGGCAAGCTACCTTGATCCTGGAAATGTTGCAACGTGCCATACAAAGAGATTATTTAGGATTTGGTGGCTTCAGAGAAATATTTCATAACACCGTCGACGAAACCAGGGGAGGGAGATGAGGGCAAGGGCGGCTAAAGAAGTTGAGCACTATCAGAGTTAGCCCTGTTGTTATGACAGCGAGAAGGAAACTTACAATCAAGGTAAACGTGTTACCTGTTCCTCCCAAAGGAAAACTGAATCCTGGGCTCTGGCATTCTGCAACCACGTGCAAAGTCAGCAGAGTAACAGACATCCAACCTGTTGCCTGATGAATCTTGCAGAAAGTGCTCCATGGGATACCCAAAAGGTCAGCGAGGTAGCCTAGGTGAGTAGCTGAGGGGTAGATAAGGTTGGTGGGAGCCAGCTCTCCGGCTCGGCGGTGAGCTTGGGCGATGGAGTGTATATGGAAGAAAGCCACCAAGATATTGGCCACAATGTACGCAGAATAGCTGAGAATATCTAAGCGGGACCAGGGGCCCCAGATTCGATGCCTGTGGATGAGGAGAGGAAGTGTGAGGTGTCGAGAGATCATAACAGAACAGGGCTCGATGCAGCCAATCATGGTGGTTCGGGCCTGGATTAGAAAGAGAGCTGAAAGGCAGCCTCCAGCAGCGATTGCATAAATCCTCTCAGTTCGTTCATTTCAAGGCAGTGGGAGCGCAGCAAAGTTTCGCGGGCAGGTCGTGCCGGGAAGTAAAAGCTTCACTCGTTCATCGTTTCAGGGCATTATGGTGGGTGTTTCTCGCTCTCTTTTTGGCAGTGTCAACGTCAACGTCGGCGTTGGGCAGCCGTGGGGTTGGTAACCCCTTCCACCCCGTTCCTTCGTCTCAGGGCATAGCCTCCTACTACTATGATATAAATACTTCACTTTCCACGATATTGCTCTGAACTTCCTGCGGTGGACTTTGAGCCTCACCAGTGAAAGCCTGTCTTGCTCCAGTATAACCTGTGGGATTTTACTCCTAGGAACAACCAGGAGCGTCAAAAGACTTCACTTAATCAGAAGTTATGGACAATTTGCGCAAAGTTTTAACGGAAGGAGTAAATGATTCACACAGGTGGTTGCACTGTATGCGGGATGTGGGAATAGCCATTTGGGGTATCGTTTTGGAAATACCCTAGTTGTACTCTCAGATGAGATGGTCAAAGGAATTCTGATAAGCCCCTTAATAGATAGTAGTTTTATTATCATTACCTGAACACAGCGACACTTCTCTTCAGCGAACAGCCCATAAGCCCTCTACATTTGCATAAAGAAACAGGGAAAAACTGCCAGGGGCAAACAGGAAAACCTGAATCGAGGGCAGACAGAGAAACCAAAATATGGTGTGCACTTATTTAATGAGGCCTCCAATGAAGGGAATCTTGCGAGCAACGCAGGCTGCATCAACGATTCCGGCAAGTGAGCCGTACATGCCACCTCGATGGTACTCCTCGGCGTTGCTTGCCAGACATTCAAGCAGGGCACATGTGGTTCCACTGTCATCCTTTCCGTTATCCACGCGCTTCAGTCCGGATTCCATACACTGGTGCCAGTCGTCGGCTTCGCTCTGGGTGACTCGGGCACCGATAGCAGAGGTTGCAAGGAGTGCAAGTGGGATGATATAGAGCTTCATATTCTGCAGAGAGAGAAAAGAGAATTAGTACATGACTAGAATGTACACGAGGAGGTATTGTGTTTCGAGCCCATATAAGTACTCACGGGGTTGATGGCTCTTGGGAGCTTGTAAAACCGTTTGGGAGTTTGATGGTGTGGACGAATTTGAGATGTTGATTCTCAAGTCTCGGTCAGCGTGTCAGCCTGGGCTTTTTATATTCATTCTCTTCTGCTGCGAAGTGGTAAACTCATGGGCTTTCTGCGCTACGGAGCGAGTTTAAGATGTACGCATCATAGAGACTAACCCGGCAGATCCCTAGATGACTTTTGAGCCGATAGGTTGAATGAGCAGACGTTCCGCACGTCACGAATCTTCTGGTGGCGGCGACAAGAAGACGTGGCGGAAAGTGACGGAGGGGAGAGCTGCAAATAGGAAAAGGTTTCTAGTCTAGCCTCAGACATCAGATAGACTTTATGGGTATTTCAAGTTTCTCAATTCCATGACATCTCTATTGCAAATGGTGCATGTTTAGCATGAGATAACGCTCGGTAGCAATTCGAAAATACCTCATCATCATGATAACGCTGAAAGGATACCGCTTTCGAGTCTAAATCTGAGGGTGCATAGATTGAGAGATCGGTTCAGCGTCAATTACACCGTATAGCTGGGAGCTCGACAGGTGCATTCTGGTGGATGCAATTTGCGGCCCGAAGACGTAAGGCTTGACCAAGCATATCATTCGGATTTACCCCCGCCCTCTGGGGTTCACTCATGCCAAATAACTGCCGAAATGCTCTGACCATGGAAGATCTACACTGGCAATGGTGGAAATTAGATATGGAATGGTCCAGATGTCCTTTTCGATGGTAGTTATGACAACGTTTGAGGCTTCAACCTTGGTAACGAGCAATGCAACAATCGTCACCACCAGTATGCAAGGAGCAAATTCTCCCAGAGTGTTGACATCTACATAGACCCATCCATCGTTCCTCAGTCAGCCACAATTCCCGACCCACAGACTGTACATCTGAACCTAAGGAGACATCATTTCAAATGTCGTGTACCCGGATTAGGTCGTCAAAGAAGGGATCGGAATACGGCGTAACAGAACAAGCAGGGGGAATTCTCGAGGATCCTACTTCCAAGGGGTGCAAAACAGCGGCTCCATATTCGTAAATTATCTGTCTGTCTGTGCTCATAGCTACTGGGGGCTCTCCCTTCAGCCCATGGAGGTCATCAGTTCCTCAGGTAAACGTGTAGATTTAGCTTGGTTAACAAGCTTTCCGCAGTTCGGGGAAGGGTCGGCTCGCTACTGCAAGGGATGCGTGGGGTGGAGCATGATGCGACATATCCCTTGTACAACCACCTCAATGAAACAAGTGGACCTCGATTAGTATAAGCACCAATAGGTAGTGATCACTTTGAACCACTTTTCAAATGCAACTGCTGTGAACTCAAAATTTGAACCACTCGATCCTTGATCATTCTCCCATGACGACATCCTATAGTTTGCTTTTGAATTTTCCAAGGGTTCGACATTTGTCTCAACGTTGCATGTTGAAAAGATGATGCTGCACTGGATTTGAATTTGATTCAACCGGGAAACAGATCGACCCTCATGCATGTATGATATGCAGGCTGGGCATGCTAGCGTTGCATCAAAGTCAGCCACCTCTGAATGTCCTCCACGGCTTGAGAACATTGAAGTAAAAAAACGTCGCTGAAAGCAGCACCGGAAAGGTTGCCACTCCCGGGCTTTCGCCTGGTAGCTAGAGTGTTCTAGATCAACTTGAAACAACCATTAATGAAGTAATGAATTACGCGGAGACGAAGAGCTGTATCACGAAGAGGCTGCTAGAGTGTTCTAGATCAACTTGAAACAGCCATCAATGAGATAATGAATTACGCGAAGACGAAGAGCTGTATCACGAAGAGGCTGGGTGGAATAGATCGCGGATACCTATAAATATTACTGTCGCTTTGATGGGGGATTTTGAGTATTGAGTATAGCTGAACAACTTGTATATCACTTGTTCTTTTGTTGTCCCCAACCGGGATCCCTACATTCAACCCACAAAACTTTTCATTCCTACCTTCCCGCCAGCATGTTGGGCCACCAAGCTCTGTCGGGACTGCTACTTGCGTCTCTTGCTTATCATGCATCCCTCGTCGCCAGTCGCTCGTCTGGTCAAACCACTCTGCAAGGAGAGAATTTGGCCTTCGCTGGAAAAGCGGATGAAGACCTAAAGTGAGTTGTGAAGATTTTATTAAAATAGTTGACGGGTTCGAGCTGATAACATTAGCTTTGCCCCAGCACCCAGAAGGGACGGACGGCAGGGTGAAGATTCCAACTGCCGCTGGTTTTGCTATTCGTCTTCTCAGGACGGTAATAGCTCTGGCGGGTCAGGCAATCCAGGACGTGGTGCTGGAATTGACAATGATGGTAACAAGCAGAAGCTCTGGGCTGGCAAAGGCGGAGGTGACGGTGATCAGCCCTGGTCTGCCGGTGGTCAGAAAGCCTGGAAGGGCAGTGGTGGAGGTGACGGTGATCAGCCCTGGTCTGCCGGTGGTCAGAAGGCCTGGAAGGGCAGTGGTGAAGGTGACGGTGATAAGCCTTGGTCTGCCGGTGGTCAGAAGGCCTGGAAAGGCAGCGGTGGAGGTGACGGTGATCAGCCCTGGTCTGCCGGTGGTCAGAAAGCCTGGAAGGGTAGTGGAGGTGACGGTGATCAGCCCTGGTCTGCCGGTGGTCAGAAAGCCTGGAAGGGCAGTGGAGGTGACGGTGATCAGCCCTGGTCTGCCGGTGGTCAGAAAGCCTGGAAGGGCAGTGGAGGTGACGGTGATCAGCCCTGGTCTGCCGGTGGTCAGAAGGCCTGGAAGGGCAGCGGTGGAGGTGACGGTGATAAGCCTTGGTCTGCCGGTGGTCAGAAAGCCTGGAAGGGCAGTGGTGGAGGTGACGGTGATAAGCCCTGGTCTGCCGGTGGTCAGAAGGCCTGGAAGGGCAGTGGTGACCAGGAGCTTTGGAATGGTGGTGGCAGTGGTGGAAATGACCAAAAGCTCTGGAGCGGCAGCGGAAATGAGAAGCTTTGGAATGGTGGTAAGAAAGAATGTGCATGCTGAGGGTACAAAAACTATGACTGCGGTCTGAAAATGCCGCCAATTCTCCCGTGAGATGGGTTATGGATCTTTCTTTTGCGACCAAATCGCTACCCTGCAACAAGCCACACCATATGACACGGTCTGTTGTCTCTGTTGTCTCTGTTGTCTCTGTTGTCTCTGTTGTCTCTGTTGTCTCTGTTGTCTCTGTTGTCTCTGTTGTCTCTGTTGTCTCAAGGAATCGAAGAAGACATTGTGATATGTACCAGGTTAGAGTCCGAGTTATCAAAGTAATATTGGAGGTTTTCACGGAAATCGGTGTCACCACCTTCATCGTTCATTGTTTTCCCGCCCCTAATGCTAAGAAATTAGGTTGTCGGTATCTTCCCCCCAAAACATGATTTAGTAAGGTGACTATAAAGCATTCGTGTGACTTCCTCTGCCGTCCTTGAGAGGAGATCGACTCTGCTGCGACATGATGTTGCGGAAATGCTCTCAGCGGAAGCTACGACATAGTAGTCGCTTCTGCCAGAGCTTTCATGGTCGAACGCTCTATCGCGGAACATCTGCAAATTGACAATAAGGAAGATGACTTGCTGGCGAATATAAATAGTGTGGACCCGTTGGGACATTTACTCAGCGCCTGAACCCAAAACCTAATCCATTCTTCCCTTTGCTGCCGTTCCTCCTCCTGTCTCCCAGGAATTACCCCATGAGCTTTCCTTGCCGTTTCGCTTAATCAACAGAGCTCTTCGCTTGGATGGGCTATCTGGGTGGTAGGAAAATATGACAGCCATAGCCGTAAAGCGTTGAATGCCGGGAAACAGTTCTTTCAGACGATGGAGAGGAACGTTGACAATGGCTGCATTGATCGGCTCGGGGATGGAGTGGTACCCCAAGAGGTAATCGGCGTTATTTATTCCAGTCGACATAACTGAGTATGGGTAAAAAAGAATTTAGATATTGGAAGGAGGTCATGCCACTTATATACTGCCACTCATGTCTCTTCTAACCCGTAATTTGATCGATATATGATAATAGGTATCATTAACATTCAATTGACTGCGTCGATATTATCATCGGTTTGCTGCGGAGGAAGTCTTGCTTTCTGGCTCTTGTCGATTAAAGCTATGAGCTTGCAAAGGCTGAGTGAAGAACCACTCATTTTTAGTCAAGCAGTGATAGGTGGTTTCGCCTTCTTGGGATCAATTGCTTCCCTTCTGCTAGCAATTTTGACAGCAAACCTAAACCCAAAGGACGGTAGGTTAGTGGCTTCTCTAAGCTCAATTTCCTTGCTAATCATATATCAGATTCACCTTGGCCGATACTATAGCTGGAAGTTGGTGGTGTGCTTCTTTTGCTTATTCTAAATGAGGTGAGAATGGTGAAATAAAAGAAGAATAACACTGACCTCTTTTAGTATCTATGTGTTTCTACTTTACAACTTTGGTTAACCTATATAGTATTGGCCTTATTATTCATAGGAATAGTTGCCATTTTATCACTTCCTATGTGTTTATCGGTCGCTTTAATTGATCACCTAACTTTATACTGTGCACACCTTTGATAATAGATATAGGACTACGGTAGTGCTTTATTTTCTTCATTTATGATTATCGCTTTCTTTAGTCTTAGTTTTATTTATGTTTATATAATAAGGGCTTGGGTTAAGTGTATGAGGCCATGGAATATGTAACTAAATACCTTTATATTATTTTGGCGTTGCCCACGTTTTATAGCTACTAAGCACTAATAAGCCTTATAGACAATATTAATTGGCTTAATAGCTTTATTCCTTATTCTACTAGGCCTAACGATCGTTGCCTATATATAAACTGACCTACGGACTTAAATTATAACGGTACGTATCTTAATACCCTATTATTATTATACGCTACTTATATACTCTATAGCTCTAGTTTAGTATGATAAGCCTAAGAAAAAGTATTATTTTAATTTGCCTTTGCTAAGCACTAGAAATCGGTATATATGTTACTCTTATATAAATATGCTTAATAGTAGGCGTAGGATAGAAATAACGCACGAAAAAAAGATTTGATGAGACTAGAATATTATGTGCCCTAAGGTTACCTTAAGTGAATGGGATCTTGGTGAGAATTTTTTAATATTATTCGCTTTTACCCGTGTTCGATTAATTATTAAGAATCTTAATGATAGAAAGCGCGTGTCGCTTTACTCTATAAGTAGTATATTACATGGCTAGTGGTCTGCTTGCCTCTAGTTTACTAGATATAGCTAACATAAAATCTTAATATTCTCAGTTAACCGAACTAGTTTTTATAAAGGGTTCTAGAACGTAAAGCTCACTAGGGAAGGGGGGCGGGGAGATATTATGCGACGTAGATAGGACGCCTTTTTATTAACTCTTATAAACACCCTAACCACACTAGCTATAGGTAGGCTTCTACACGACTTAGCGGAACCTAGACCTATAGATTTCATTTGTTGATTAGATTCAGTGGGGTTTCTCACCTTCACATAAGTGTTTGTCCACAGCTTGTCACAAGCTTTAGCCTACAGAAAGGCACACATCTGGCGCCCAAAGTAAAAAGGTTATTGGGATTGGACTGCATCCAGAGCCTAGATCTTGTCCGCTGCTTTTTTGGCCTCCTTCTCGTCAATCCAACCGCCAAACAAAATTTCGTCTCTCAACCAACTGACGATCAGACACGCAGTGCCTGGTCCAAGGAGCAATGAAGTCATAAATAGGGCAGGAAAGTACCACGACCAGCAGAAAGATCCGGCTCGCTGCGTGGAGGTCCAAGCACTCTGCAGCTCAAGTGTCACCACCACCATCACAACCAGATATGCGATCAATTGATCCCAAAGCAGGAAGCCCTTGACCCCGTCTCCGGGGGTGGTAGCCTTTGGGAGCGCTAAGGGAGGCACAAAGATAGCAGAGGGATGTAGTTCAGTGAGATAAGCCGGCTTAATGATGGCGGGGAATAGGATGGTGACCAGGGAAACAGCCACGACAGCAAAGTGCATAGCGAAGCTAAAAATGATGGCCGGGAGATTAACTGCCCGCACGGCATGAAGATGGACCTTCTTTGATGCAGACGCCGAAGTGCCGGTCGAGAACACAGGATATGATGAGAACACGACCCGAAGAACATAGAGAATTGGAAGAATCAAAAGAGGATACATGTTCCAGGCCCCTATAGCAGTCTGATGAGCCATGCTCCCTGCGCTGGATGAGAAAATACCCATCAAGCCCGCGGGCACCAGGTAGCCGAGCACAATGGCGGGCAGAAGCAGAAACTTCACCAGAGCCGGAGAGGAAAGGGTTGACACGCGTTGAAGAACCTCCAACGGAACTGCGTTGCTTGATCTGAGAATGGTAGGCGAGGAAGTGATGTAGCTGAGGGCCCAGATAAAACCAGAAACTCCCAGAGAGAAAATTTGGAACACGACGAGCCAGGAGGTTGGTCTTTTCAACGTCAATTTTATCCTTTCTTGGTTTCTTCGACTGAATACGACAACCGCTCGGATTTGGAGGACTTACCTCACTAGGCTGGGTTTGCTGCCGCGTTGGCCATTGGTGTACGCAATCAAGATACAGGGCAACAGCTGCCCTAGAAAATAAAGGGCCACCGCCGTGGATGCGGGGTGGGAGCCGTCAACCACTTCGTACCAAAATACCACCAGCGTGGAAATTATATGGTCCATAGGATCTCGAATGCCAGTAAAGGTCCTTTGGAGAAGAGCCTGGGAGCCGGGCAATCTGCCCTGAGGATCATCCATCACCTTCATCAGCTGTTCTGTGGAGCCATCGAGCGCAGTGCGCACCCAGGTGCCCGTGATCCCCACAGCGCCGAAAATACAGAGTAGAGACTTGGCTTTAAGAAGACTCGCCATGATTAGTTCAGTAGTTAGGAGTGTTCGTCTTGTGAGTTGGACGAAATAATTTTAATTCAAGAGGAGAGGGGCTGGATCTGGGGCCGTTTATAAATCCCGAAGCTGACTGTTTCTGAATTGATAAATAGGAGGAAACGCAGCGGTCATGATACAGTGTGCCAAGCAAAGAACGGAGCTGGCCTACTGAGCCAAGTGGGCTCACTGAGCCCCTGATTCGTGAATGGATGTGGTTAGAAGTGTACCTTTTCAGCCCTGGAGTAAAGGGGCCCTGGTAATATTACTGTAAAGGCGGGACCAACGAAGGTGGAACAGGCATCACCGACTAATTGTTCCGGTATCTGAGTTGTTTGTACTTTCCACCCTGGTCTTGGCCCCCAATGATCCCTGTTGCACACGTATGCAATTTACCTTGGGCGGGGTTACATTGCGGCTTCGCCTGAAGTCTTCCAGAGGATTATTCTAGTACTTAAAGTAGTTCCGATCGATTGATCGACCTAGTAGCTTTCATATCAGGGTGTCACCCAGAGGCAGGAACGATGCAATTCTTCATCGGTGAAATGAGGGCAGCATAGTCGTTACGAAACAATGTTTTCTACCTTCACAGAAACCCACTTAAGCTGAATGGCCCTGATCGGACACCGTGGTTGTACTAGTCTCTAGATTTCATTATTACTATACCCTCTAAGATCGATAACATAGCTTATATAAGCTAGCGTAGGGTCTTTCTTTATGCTCATTTTACTGAAGTAATGATACCCGCTTAAAGAGGGGGACAGGAAAAGGAAAAGGGAAATCTAACGGGGATTTTGCTCTATATCGCACAGACGTAGCGTTCTACACGGGCTAAATCATGAGGTAAAGAATATTCAGGTAGGTGAATAATAGTGGTTTTGAGTAGGTGGGAGCAATGAGAGAAGGGAGCAACTCCTTACCTATGGGGAAATCACCGTTGTAGCAGGGGTTGGGAGGTGTCAAAAGTGGAGCTGTTGAGTTCAAAGTTACATGTTTCATTTGTTCTATCCGTCATTATTGGTCTAGTATTATTGTAAAGGAGAACAGACGAAATTAGAAAGAAAAAAGAAAATCAACTTGAGCACGATAAAAAGTATAGAAGTCGACCATAATCGTGTATTACTGAGTTGCATATTAATTAAGACCCAAGAAGAAAGGAAGGAAAGACGCAGAACAGAGCTGAATAGCCAGTGGAACGATAGCGATAGTGGCAGTTGAGTAAGCCCCGGGCGCGATGGTCCAACCCCAAGGAGCACCAACGGCAAAGTAGATCATGACTGCAGGGATATTGTTAGGACTATGACAAGGAGAGTGGAAGATTGCACGGAGCATACCAGCCGAGATAAAAAGGCAAATGGCCCAAGTCCACCTGAATGTCCGCACCATTCTATCCATACCAATGTAGAAACCCGTTGGCCCGGGCTCTTTAGCTGTGGAGGCCCACTCGATGTTGATGCTGAAAGCGTGACACAAAAGAGCCTTGGCACAATTCAGACTGATACCACCGAAGTAGAGAATCAGGAATGGAAGCCATTTGCACGAATTAAGGAGAGCTTTCCAGAAGGTTTGTTCTTTGAGTTGATGGCGGGCCATGCTGAATGCGATGGAAGCAAATCCGTTAAACACCACAACGAGGGAGCACCAAATACCCCATGATGGGAGGTAGATATGATCGATCTCAGAGTTGAAAAGGCCAACAAGGACGTAGTTGACCGTTGCGAGAAGCATACCAGAGGCAATGGCGTAATCTAAAAGAGTATTAGTATCGAGCTCGCGGATCAAACCACATTTGATGGGGAATCTGACAAGTGAAGATATACGCAATGATCGTAACCTTGGAAGTGATTGGTATGTTGCTCCAAAGGAAGCGAAGGAACAGTCTAGTCACTGGGCCCTTCCAGGGCCATTGATAACTTTGGTGTGGTGTTAGTGAGAGTGTTTCCTGTTTAGACGGGGCAAATACTCACAAGGGGTGGAACACAAGCTCGTTGCAGCCATAGGCATACTTTTCCCATCGAGTCAACTCATCATACAAAGTTAGCGAGACACCTTCTTTGAAACCGCCGTTATGGTAAGTAGCAAGTCGAATCAAGTTGCCTTGCATCTGAAGCCGAAGACTGATATCGAAGTCCTCAGATACATGAGCATCTGACCACCACTTGGTCTGACCATCTGACGGATCGACGTATTCGATACTTTGAAGAGCCTTCCACCGTAGAAATGCATTGTGACCAACGAATGGAGAAACATCGCCGGATCCGACACCGTACTTGATGGCAGTGTAGACAACGTTGGTGAAGTAAGCGACTGTGGGAGGTGAGACTAAAGAACAGAATGCGTATAGGGAAGATGTAAACTTACTGCCATTCTCAAACATGTTGTGAACAACCTGCATGACGCCTGAGCCATGTTGGAGAATCGCAACTTCGGGACTTTCGTGCATCTCAAGAGCCCCGTATAGAAGACAGTCGACTGGAACACGGGTATCGCAATCGATACTGGTTCTTGGGTTAGCATAAAATAAAAAATTGAAAGTATCAGACTTACAGGAGAATGAACTCTCCAATGCGAATATTGCCCTCCGCCCAAGTGCGGTTCTCATCAGCAGCAAGCATATTATCCAGCGCAAGCCGGTAAAGACGGTCGTCATCATCAACGGTAAGAGTATCAGCAGTGCAGCCGCGTTGCTGGCACTCCAATGCCGTCAGATGAGCCATCTCATCCTCAACTTTGTTGGAAAAGGCCAAGCCCCAATTCATGTTACTGGCCTTCTTGAACTTGCCTTTGCGCTCAAACCCGAGCTTATTTGCTAGTGCCTGAGGTCCATCGATTTCATCTTCCTTCTCAGTTTCGATATTCTCATTCACCGACTTGGATTTCTTGAACCATACGCGTTTCTTCTTTGTGGCCCCCTTTTTGTTGGGTAGACGAGCAGTGTATCCAATCCCGTTGTCACGGTAGTATTGTCTCCGGGCCTCTGCGAGCTCGGGATGAATGACCTGCATACCGTCATCATTGATAAAAACCGATGCGGTTCCTCCCTGCTGCTCATAGTATTCAACGGCGGCGAGAACACTCATCATTGTTGGGACAATGACTCCCTTCAGACCTTCCTTGTAGACAGGCATCTGGATGGTGATATGGGGTAGTTCGTAATCGCGGTGGGCTTTAGGATTGGGCTTGATAGCTGAGGAGAACATAAGGTACTAAAATATGGAACGGCGGGTTTTGGGATAAAGGGACTTACCAGAGTGAAACTTGGAATTCTTGAGGCAGAAGGTCGCAGGCAAGAAAAGTTGAAACACACTGGTAACTAGGACGATGAAAAAAAGAGAGAGAACAACGCAAGCGGTGGAATTGTCACAACCTATGAGATTATGTTAGTTGAAGGTAATGGAAACGAAGCAGGAGACAAATAAAAATCGGAGGCCTACCAATGCAAAGCGAGTGTATCCGCCATCCCAGCTGAACTCGTTGAGCAACTATCAATATTTTAGTCCGGAATGTATTGAAATCAGCGATGGAGGTAGCCTACCCGAGATACACCAAGCGACTGCGTGAGAATGACCAACATGATCGCGAAACTAATCTTGAAGGCGTGGATCCTGATGGCAGGCCGCGGGGCGGAAGCCGCCTCCAAGTCTGTGTCATTCTCATCCTCACCTTCTTCCAACGCCACGGCTTTACTGTAAACCTCATGTTTCTCATCCAATGCACCTCGCAAAGGAGCGGAGGGAGCTATAACGGTGTCGGAATGCCCTGATTTAGTGATATCAGAGTTGGGAAAATCCATTGGGGACGACCGTCCAGAGATCCATGGGGTCGTGTTGCTTGAGACTCGGGCCCCTCCCTGTGAAAGAAAGCAGCTGTTAGTCGCTTTCATTAACCCGCGATAGAGGTTTGTGAGTACTGTACCCTTCTGCCGAATTGTCTCTCAACATCGAAGGCCACGTTCAGAATGGCGCCGGCATCGTGGGACCACACCAGCACAATGCGTTCTTGCACCACAATACAAGCTCTGGAAAAGTGAGATAGCATTGAGTTGATATCATCCAATGTGTTCACAATTGGAATTCGCGCACTAGTATTTTCGACGATCAGACTCTTTTGTCCGGGGACAATGGAGTCAATGACTGCGGACGTGACCCTAGACGCCATCGCCACAGCCGCGGTCTCGTTGAGCCTAGTGATTGCATCGACCAGGGAAGGCGCGACGTCTGTCGGCGTGAATGAGTATTCATCTCCGGGCATCTTGACCGCGACACAAGTCACTGAATCGCGTTGGCCGGTGACTTCGTCAAACCAACCCATCAAGGTTGCCCTCCGAGCAAGATACTTTGACATCTGCAAAAAAGGACTTTTAGAATACAAGCTTGGAATACTGTTGAAGCGTTCCCGTCTACATACCGTTTTCGGATCTTCTTCCTCACCAGATTCAGATATTGAAGGGGAACCCATTGAGTGAGCAATAGAGGGTGTCGCAGTACGTCGAGATCGCGAGGAACTTCTGACGTGTTGTGCATCAATGGGCGAGAGGACCCGCGCAAGCTGGGCAGTATCAAGATGGGGCGTCGGGGATCGAGAAATGGTATTGGCGTTCTCTACATGACTGCCATGGTCCGGCTGGTCATCGGCCACTGTTAAGGGCCAGTCATCCGCCTTCGGGGTGCCATTGGAGAGGTCACCGTCCTGTGGGTTGATACTCATTGCGTGTCACTTTGCTTCAGAAAGGAATACACGAAATTTCACAGGAGAGAGAAAGAGGCTTGCTGGCTTGTCTGCAACTCTTATCGAAATTGACTTGGAGGATAAGAAAGCAATTGATATCTCTGGACGCCAGGAACCCAAGACATCAGTTCGCAAATATCTACTTGAGGGTATCTTGACAGCTCATCACAACGGTCTAGACCTCCGAAAGCATCAGGGCGGCAAACAAACGGTCATCGCCGGAGCTGATATGGAATGTGACAGGCCATGCGATCGCGAGGAAGCACTATCGAATGTGGCACTGCCAAAGGCTCCCGAAGTTGCCAAACATGTTCGTGGCACCCGACGAACTGTGTCCAATTGCCGGGGGCGCAGGGGTGGCAGATAAGTCCAGCCATTGAGTCTCAAAGAGAGCAGAATCGATCTTCGGCTCCGAGATGCTGCAAGGCGATTCTACAGGTAATTCGGGTATATTATCCATCTTTGGGATTGAGCCCTCGGGAGACTGACAAAAGTTAGATAATCATGCCGAGAGTACGAGGTTTTAGCTGCAGATAGTAGTCTCAGACGCTATCTTTAGGGTCCGACTTTGGGCCCCTGCGGCTCCATAGTGACGTGACTACGTGCAAACTAGTCGGGTAATGAAGCTCAAGATATTTACTTTTGACTAGCTTGGTCTTTCGACAGGGGCCTCGGGCACCCCGAATAGGTATTGCAGCCAGATAAGCACTACTTGAAGCCTCGCTCTCAATGGCGAGTAACTGCATAATGGGCCGACGGGGTTCCTTGTTGGCGCTGCGCACGGACAGCGTCCGGCTAATTGTAGGCGAACTACAGGTTAGCGCCCTCGGTTCAGCGGTTTTGGCGAATCGTTCCTGATTTTCTTCCCCGCTCCCAATCTACGCGAGAATGGCCAGACTGGGGGTTCCTGGTGATTGGACCTCAGCCACGCCTGTCCCCTGTCAAATTAGGATGTCCAGTTAATAACCCTAATTCGGGTGCATAAATGTGCAGCACAAACAACACCGGGGAAAATAATAATGCGTGAGGTGGTGATTTTCTTATTCAAAAATGCCATTTCATTAAGTATTTAGAGAATTTCTAACTTCAAACTAGAGCGTTCTTACGCTATTCGTCTTGGATCGAACACCTGTCACAATATATCACAATAAATGAGATTGACTATTAACACTTCCCCTGCTGCCACATCTTGACCGACTTCACAATCATGTCACGACTGTCGCCCTCTCCCCAACTCGGCAGCCAGGTACTGTTTGCAAGGTAAAAGTCTCGCGAGGGAGTTTTGCTGCCATCGGTCCACGGTTTGTTGCCAAGATCGTCCCTGTTACGTAAGCCATTGGTTGAGTTTCTGACACATGCAGGGTCCCAGGGTCCACATTCAGGGTCCAGGGAGAAAATAAAACGGACACTTACGGGAAGTACCCATTGGTGGCACCAACAGCGACACTGAGAATCAGGTAAAATGGCTGGTCAAACGGCGTGTTGTCTCGGCCAGTCTGACTCCAAGGATTAGTCGGTGCAGAGCCGTTGACGGTATCACTAGAGAATCCGCCATAGGTCCACAGGCTGCCAGCCTTCTTAAAATTGAAGAAGAGAACTTGCTGTGGAGGAGACTCGATTCAGTGGTATGTCCAGCGGTAAAAAGGTGGCCATACGTACTCGAAGACGGCCATCGAGCCAAGTGAACAGATAGTCCTCCGACCACTCCAGTCCAAAGGTGTGGTATCCCTCAGAGTACTTATCACGCTTGGCACCCCATTCTCCGGAGCTTAAAGTATAAGCATCGTTGTCATAGGTTGTGCCCCAATGCATGGATGAAGACACAATATTGTCGCCAAGGTTATAAGTCTCGGCATCGTTGCCTCTACTCTCGGCGATGTCGATTTCACCGCTCGCGGGCCAAGCACCGTAAATATCATTCTGGGGCATCATCCTAGGATGGTCAGTATGAGGAATTCTTCTTCGTCAATTTTAGGGGAGCTGACCAAATGGCCGGCCACAGCCAGTCACCCTTGGGCAACTTGGCAACGACCTCAACGCGACCATATTTGATTGTCTTCTTGCCGGATGTGGTGAGACGGGCTGATCGGACAGGATTGATGATATCACCCAGGGTCGCATTGCTGTGAATAACACACTTTGAGTTGGAGGTCAAGCCAGAGATCCGTTGATCCTTGGAGGTGCAAGTGCCTGCAGCAGTCAAGTTCACAGTGTAACTATTCAGCAACTGGCTCTCCGTGATATCGGTGCTCTGGGTGGTGAGTGTTGGGGCAATGTGGAGACCGAGGGAATCCACGTAGGAGTTCTTGGGGTCATCGGTGGTCCAATCGAAAGAGCCAGTTCTGGCGAGACCAGTCAGCTTGCATCAGTATCAGCGATGTGAGCAAGCGCTTACCCATAACCACTCAGTTGAACCTCGTGACTCCAAATACTCTTATCAAGGGTCGAAAAGTCTTCATCCAAGACTAGGCAATAGTCATGTTTCGGTACCTTTGCGACGGCATCGTAGCAAATGTAGGCAGAGGCAGCTATGGGATGTTAGACGGGGGCGAGATACGTTTTTGTATGAGGTATGTTGCTAACCAATAGCGATAAAAACACAAGTGTAGAATATAATACTGTCCCAGTTGGGTGTCCTCTTGCCTCCCTCAAGCCAGGGCTTCTCAAACCTAGGAAAGCAAAGTAAGCCACAGAAAAAGGGCGTCAAACACGTGGAAAGGCAACTTACTCTCCAATCAATCTGGAACTTTGGAAGCGACGACGTGGCCGGGGAGCGACCGGCACTTGTGGGAAGGGTCAGTGAAGGAAACAAGTCACATGGCAAAGAGAGCATACCCTGAGCACTTGAAACGGCAGAGGAAGTAGGCCTCCGCGACCGAATCGAGGGAATTGGAGTAGCAAACGGAGGGGTTGCAAAGGGGTTCTGGTAGTTCTGGGCAGAACCAGTGTGTCCGGAAGCCTCCATGAGAAAATAATGGATTGAGTGCGAGAGTGGTTGCAATTAGGGGGAACACAGCATTACAGATGGACAACGATGGAAAGCCGAATCGCGTACTATTTGTTCTCTTAAACCTGACATATTATCTTTTGCGCTACAGAATCTCGCCTCCTCCAGCATGAAGTCCATCGAAGATCCAGATCCGGACAGGAACGATAACTGCGCAATGCTTGTCATATGGTCAGGATATGGAGCAAGTGGGGAGAAACTGCCGAGCGGTAACTGGACGGTGGCGCAGGACGTGTCGGGGCGGTGGGCGAACAGCGGTGGCCTGCAGTTCAGATCAAAGCGAACTAGTGAGGGCCTGTTCTCTCGCTTGTCAAGTCCGAGCGCAGGGCATTTATGCATCGGGGACGGTTGGCTCCTTCCGCTCGGGCCCACCGTTACCAATCAAAATCCTCAACCCTAAATCCCCGCGCATCGATTCCCTCTTATCGTATAGTTCACACCGTTAGGTGGAAGTGACACCTGAGCGCCAGCCTTCCTCTTGTCAAGTCCAGTTGAGGTGAGGTCCGATGTTATTTTGGAAATTTCAGCCGGCAGTTCACTACCGAAGAACATGTTCTTGCGAGTGAATGAAGAGAAATCTAGCCACGCGAACGCCGATCGAGATGGAAGAACGAAATCTTGAACACATGGCCTTCCTGTTTTGCCACTGTACTACTGGCATCTGACGGTTGGCTCGGGTTGTCTGGCTCGCATTTCCACCGACTGAAGAATGACGCTCCCAGGGCTGTTTCCTCCCCGGCTATCCCGATTCTCGCCTGGCAAGTCCCGACCTAACCCCCCCAGAATTCAAAGCCAATTTGGAGGCTGAAGCTGCCATCTTCGGGTAAGTATAGACGACGTGGAAACGTGGGAACCCCTGATCATTGACTCGGGGTTGCCGACGGTGAGATTCTATTCTTTGGGCTCGTATCTTTTCCCCTCTACTTGTCCTCAGCTCACAAAATTGTCCACAATAGGAACACTATTTCCGCCGTGGCTTTGATGGGTTTCAAAGTTCTCGCCAATGCCGCCCGATTATAATTCTTTTCGCTCTTTGTTCCGCCGTATCGCTGCGGTGGATGAGCTGAGCGAAACCATCAGCCCACCAAATCAACCAAGCCAATGCGATCCATCTCAATAGTGGGGTCTGCTTCACCTGAAGGGTCTCGGAAATGCCCTGCCGCATACCTTCCACATTTTGACGCCCTGAACAAGGTTCCCATCCAGTTCAGTCTTTGTGGGTTTCGTCACACAGCCCGTCTTTCACGAGAACTCTGCAAAGCCGCGAGAAACGCTGGCTGTCTGATGACATATAAAAGGAAGGGCGAAATGCGGTCTCCTTGAAATGTTCCTCAGTTCCGGGGTTGCTTCTGCTTGACTATCTTCGTTTTCCACTTTGCACATATCTGTAAGCTTTACTTGCCGACATGGCCGCTTTGAGCTTCCTTCTATCCACCCTTGCAGTGGTGTCTGCAACCCCCACTGGTCTTGGTGTATGTTCTTGACCCACCTCCCGAGATAGCAAACATTCTTACTGATTGTACTTCAGTCCTCGTTGGTTCCTAGGGCTTTGGCATCCGCGGACGGCGTGTGCGGTGCATACAACGGCACTGCATCATGCACGAACAGTGGCTTCGGAACGTGCTGCAGTCAATTCGGCTACTGTGGCAGCGATACTGCGCACTGCGGAACGGGCTGTCAGGCCGATTACGGGACCTGCGGTGTTTCCACGACTCTCGCCTGGGGACACTTGGGTTGCTATACCGATAGCACCACCGCTCGTGCGCTGAATACCTCCATCTTGGTCAATGGTAATACCATTGAGGCTTGCCAGTCTACCTGCTCTAGCGCCGGCTTCTCTTATGCCGGCATGGAATACGGAACTCAATGCTTCTGCGGTAATGCAATCATGAACAATGCCCAGTCCGGCTCGGCTGGTTGCACCATTCCCTGTCCTGCCAACAGCGCTGAGAACTGCGGTGGCTCTAATGCGATCAACATGTTTGTTACGCTCCCTATGTGGCAGAGCAAGGGCTGCTACTCTGATACGACTCTAACCCGCACCCTGGCTGCCTCTTTCAACGTTGCCGGTCTCACGAACGAGAAGTGCCAGGCCACCTGCAAAGCCAATGGCTACGTTTATTCTGGTACTGAGTATGGAAGTCAGTGCTTCTGCGGTAACACCATTGATAATGGCGGTGCTCCAGCCTCTGGCTGTGGCACTGCCTGTGCCGGTGACTCTACCGAGATATGTGGTGGCTCCAATGCTCTTAGCCTCTTCTACCTTTACCAGTAGACTGGCTCGTCGTCTTGGTATGCTACCACCGACTACCCAGGTCTTTGTCGTCCTTAGGTGAAACATGTGATATCGATGTTGAGAAGATGGGGGAGAAATGTGGCTGTGCAATTAATCTGTTTTCAGCTCGAATCGTAATATTTTAATACTCTGAATTGATTCTATTTATACCTTTTTGGTCTTTGCCCTCGACACGTTTAGCAGCTGCACCCGGCGGAGCTGTCTCTTATGTTCAGGCTACTGTATGACAAGGGGCCAATAGTCAGCTTTACGTGGCTATGCGTGGAAAGGGAAAGGAGGCATAATAGGCAGTGGAGGCGGCATATTGGATGAAAAAGTGCGTCTATTATGATGCTTGATCGCAGAAACTATTGTACAAAGACTTGAACGCCGATTTCTCCATCGACAAGAGAGCTTGAGGCTCATCGAACTCAACCACTCTACCCTGGTCCATAAACGCGATTTTATCATAATCCAGAATGGTGTCCAGTTTGTGTGCGATGGCAATGATAGTCTGGTCTTTGAAATGCTTGCGAATGACGCTCTGCATGAGTTTCTCGCTTTCCGAGTCCACACTATGGCCTGATTAGTGACTGCTTGATAAGATCGATCCTGTATAACCACTTACCTGCTTGTGGCCTCATCCATAATCACGATCTGGCTAGATTTGCAAATAGCCCGCGCGAGACAGAATAGCTGCTCTTGTCCATGGGAGAGTAACTCTTCTGACATCTCTATATCTAACCCTCCTTTAGATTCGATATGAGACCAAAGGTTAGTTTCTTGAAGGGCGTCAATGATCTTTTCGTCCGATACATCTTGTTGAGGATTGACATTCAGCCGGACACTGCCGTGGAGGAAGAAGGCCTGCTGGGGAATCGTGTTTAATGAAGATCGAATGTGTGACCTTGAAAGCAGTGCTATGTTGACACCATCAATGAGGATGCTGCCACTGGCAATTTCAAGAGTCCGCAGGATTGTCGAGATGAGAGATGATTTCCCGCTAGAAAGAAATTAGCCCAGAACCACATAGAGACTTTTTAAAGACAGCTCGACTAACCTTCCTGTTCGACCGCAGATTGCGATCTTCTCTCCTGGTGCAACCTTCAAATTGATTCTTTCTAAGACCGGCGACAAAGAGGTTCTGTACTACATTAGTTTCTCACATCCCGAGGAATGAAAATCTATGGAACTCACTCATAAGAAGCCGACATATTGATAAACTCCACCTCCCCGTGTAGTGGCCATGAGCTTGGGACAGACTGAACCTCAGTATCCAAGTCCTCGGTTTTGGCCTCGCGTACATATGAGCGGATACGAGCAACAGCCCCAATCGACGTCTCAAGGCCAGTCCACTCGGTAACCAGCGATTGTAGAGTAGAGCTAAAATTCACAATGTTGAACAAGGCAATGCCAAGAAGGCTGAGTGATGAGTTCCCTCTCAAAGACAGCGCAATCGCAATGACCATGACGGCGATAGCAGCGACGATCAAATCAAGAACCAGATTGAGCCAGCGCTGGATGCAGAGGAGAATATAGAACGGTCGTTGGGAATTATCCAGAGCAAGTCGGCTCAGATGACGATACTCGTCAGTCCATCCATAAGCACGAATGCTGGATAGGCCACTCAGAGTTTCCAGAAAATGAGAGAATAGCGGAGCTTTTGTCTCAATATCTAGCAGACGGACTTGACGAGATGTTCGAACATAGAATGTTGCCACATAGTAGACTGCGATGATGCAGATGGGTATTACTGCTGCCGTGGCGTACGATGAGCCGAAGAAAACCCAAAAAACCTTCCACGAGACAGCTTAGAGCCCCATCCATTGCCAATTCAAAAGCAGCTGGGAGCTCTTCGTCAATCAGTTCTAGATCCTGGGTGAACCTGTTGGTTGTAGTTCCAATGTCCGTAGATGTTAAGAAAGAGGTGGTGGCACTCATAGTTGTACCCAGAAGGATTTCGTGAAATTGGCGAGCCGTCCTGGGGATAACGAGCATGTCGAAGACGAAAATCGAACAAAAGACGGCGAAAAGAGTCAAAAATCCCACAGCAGTATAGCCGCCGAGCCAGTACGGAATATCAGCATTCGGATGCTTTTCATTGGCACGAGTCCACCATTGAAGCCAGATTTCTGAAAGCCGGTCAGCTTGGGGAGAGGGAGCTTGAAGTATCAGGACAACTTACGTGGAATTGTGGACCCGGCAATATGAAACACGGAGCATGCAACTGCTAGAAATAGCAATGGGTACCCCATGACCTGGAAGTAGTACAAGTAGACTGTCCAGTCACCTGTTCTTCGACTGAAGTTATTAGTGTCTTCGCCTTCTAGGTTTAACTCTTGTAGCTGCTCATCATCAAATACAACATCTGGTGCCCTATCCGTGTTGACTTGCTCTGGTTTGTCGTCGAACATGGCAGTATAATCCTTATTCGCCATGAGCTCTTTGGATGAGATTTGCTGGGCGATCTGGCCTTGCCCATTGAGCGAGATAACGAAGTCAGAGTAAGCAATGTGGTGTACTGTGATGCTGTTAGTGGGTTTGTCTTTCAGCAAGAACGAAGTAAGAACGAACCGGAGTTTGTAGCAAGAATAACGGTTTGGCCGAGCTCCTTTACAATGCCACGGGCCCCGAAAACAGCGTCTAGAACGAGCTTCTCCGTCTCACGATCTAGTCCTGTCAAGACATCATCCAGGATCAAAACAGGTTCCCTTGAATAGAGAGCTCGAGCAAGTGCCTGAAGAGGTCAATTTATGCTGGAAAACGAAAGCGCTAACTTTGTTGTATACCTACCACACGCATTTGTTGCCCGCCGCTAAGCCTCGAACCACGAACACCAACTTTGGTCTGATCTCCCGCTGGGAGTTGTTGCAGGTCGAATTCTAGTGCGCAAGCGTGAACGACACGATCGTACCAAGATTTGTTCCACAGAGACGACCCAACAATATTCTCCTGAACAGTTCCAAATTTGACCCATGGAGACTGGCTACAATATGCAGCAGTTTTGTATGATGTGAACACCTGACCGGAGCACTCTTGGACTTCACCGAGCAGAGCCTTGAGGAGAGTTGACTTTCCGCAGCCCACTGAGCCGATTATCATAGTCGTATTTCCTTGTTTGATATCGAAATCCAGGTCCTTGAGGATAGGCTCGTCGTCGACTGCCCATGCAGCAGATAAATGGGAAGAGTTACACACGATTTTCCCCCATTCTCATTCGTGTCAATAAGTATCGGGTCTTCTTTAGGCAGCTCCAAACGACGGTCCTCTCGCTCGGTTTCGTTCAGGTACTGCTGGATTCTTTGAAAGCAGTTGACAACCGTCATTAAATCTTCCGTTCCATAGACAATCGAGACAACCGGTGCATCGAGAAGAGAGAAGAGGGTCAATGCCGCAAATGCAGTTCCGTTAGTCAAGGTAGGTCCACCATTTGCCTTGGCAAGAATGATATAGAGCCCAAAGCCGACTACTGGAGCCAGCGCGTCAGAGATGTATGCTGCGAGCAGGTTAGCTGCACTCTTCAACCTGGGTGACTTTACCCACAGATCGTATTATTTATGACTCGAATGACTCGCATCCTCTGCGACGCTCCAATTTCATCTTTTCTCAGCTTCCGCAGACTGTTGGCAACTATGTTCGTTAAGCCTGTCATCTTGACATTTTTCATGACGCCGAGGACCTTAGAAGTCACGGAAACACGCTTTTCGACAAATTCTAGCCATACGCCTTGGGCATTAGCCCTGGCCATAGAGATAGGCAATCCGGCAACCAAACAAGCTGTAGCTCTTATGTCAGAGGGACAATGATAGCACCAAAACGGAAAGCGAAGACGTACCGATGACGAGCACTGTAGAAGCGACAGTAGCAATACCAAGAAGTCGCGCCAAGAAAATAAGAGCGAGCACAACCTCGACGAAATTGGAGTACGTTTCATGCATATCGAGAAGACCATCTCCGATGCGTTCCATGTCTGTGCTCATCAGAGTAACCGCCGATGCATCTGACGCAGCCGATGTGCCCATACGAAGCGTTTTATCAAATATCATGCTCACCAAGCTTCCTCTGACCATCACAATGACCCTGTATACCTTGGAACGGTAGACATTGTGTGTGACCTGACTTGATGGTGAGTGACGGATTGACGAACAGGTTAACGAAACATACTGCAATTCCCACGTAGACGATGCCATATGCCGCAACAAGGCCCCGAGCGTAATTTGATGAATTGACGTGTTCAGGCTCGGTCATGAAGTCCAGCACCCTTTGGACAAGGAACGGTTGTGCGAACGAGAAGCCAGTGAATGCCATACGTGGCAAGATGCCACCAAGGAATTCCCATTTATAATGTTTCATAAAGGTCCATAACAAAGCATTGCGACCGTATTTGTTGGCTATTGAATAGTTAGATGACTTGACACGTCACGGGCAAAGTAGCTAGATCTGACCTTTGTTCCATTTTTCAAGTAGAGTCTCAGGATTTGAGGCTCCTTTGATATCGTCATCGAGAATAGGGAGGTTGTCGACAGTTAAGGTGGTTTTCGAGCCCTTCCACAGCAGACCGCCCACCCACAAGTACAGACTGCGATTGAAGATTCCACTAGTGGCTTCAATAGCACTTCCAGAGAATGGCTTCTTCAACAGGGATCTCTTTTCTGCGGCCTCGAGGATGACAACGCCAGTTCTGGAAAGCAAGGAGACAGCAAATATGATAGTCACAGTCCGATTATTCGGCAAGAGGGAGAGAGTTCGAAGACGCGGCAGGTCAAGAATCAGAGCAAATCCATGGAAGAGGCACAGGGTAGTCGAGGGACGTAGCGAGCGAAAATGCTCCAAGTGTGACAAGTACAGACAAAAAAGCGACACCATTACCGAAGCGAAAGCTGTTGGCACAGTTGCTCTTGTCGTGGGGGTGGATTGTTGATACCAAGAAATCAGCAGTATAAACTGGAGAGTCATATGCAGAAATGAAACCATCTAAGTACAAATTTGTTAAACCATTACAACAGACTCTTGTCGAGGGAGAATGTGTGGACTTGTCAGACCTCTTTCGTGAAATAGAGCCATGAACGGTTGACTTTCTCCGACACATTTCGAAGGCTCCACAACCGTATCAGAACAATAGGCCAGGTAACTACAAGAGGCAGGAATGTGAGGACTGTCTCCTCGAACAAAAGAGTGAAATCAAAGCCATGGCGACACGAAGAGTCCACAATTGGGCCGAAGACGTCTTCGTCCGAAACAGCACACGGTAGGCTCAGACCCTTCATAATTGTGAATGTGAGAGCGCATCAGACGAGCCGATGCAATGCTTTTATTGCCCTCGACTCTACGAGTGGCTCTCGATAACCAGCGGCTGAAAAGAAGCGGGAACGGGGCCGCTGTGAAATGGCGAACGCTGGTTTGTTGATGCCTGCCCGACTGCGGGTCAGTAACTTAGAATTACGCGTTCTTATTGGAGAGGGGCTTGTCGATCCTGCCAAGGCGGGTTAGCCTTGACTCTTATTGACTCACAGAAAACAGCTCGGGTCATCTTCCATGTTAAGGCATTGTTATCAAATTTCAAGCAATCTTAATACGACCGTCGGAGGTAAAATGGGAGGTGACCCAAAATATAGTCATATTGACTCATAGTTGAGAATCTTGGAGCCTTGCACGGTGCAGCGGGCTCCAGTACAGGCCAGTTGGCGCCAGTGGTTACGAAAGCACGTGAGTGGGATTGTGTTTGGAAGGGAAGGCAACCACGTTCTATATAGCCAATGGATATCCTATACCGCCCACCGCCCTATAATCTAACGCTTATCGAAGATCACGTCAGCGCTTTAAGCACGTGCAAGATGTTCAGGTGCAAAATAGTGCTGTCCAGGGCATTTACGTGAATGGCCTGAATGGGCTGAAGGGTAGGGCGACAAGGGGAGTTTCCTAACAAAGCAAAAAGAAAAACAAAAACATACAACAGATAGGATTCGCATGTGGTCACCCACCATACTACTAACTAACCGGCGTGTGGCTTATATGCGGCCAGTAGTCGGGTGGGTGTCGCCCGGGTGAGAAATGGGTGAGCGCTGCTTTAGGGTCGCGCGACCAGGGGTGATAAGGGTGAGTGTGTAATAGACGGGGTGAGAACCTGGTGATAGCTGGGTGAGATCTGTCTCTGGATGTACAGCCACCACACAGACCCTCTCAGCTGAGCCCAGGTATAGCTTTATTGGTCCCCCTCAAGCTGGCTGAAACAGTAGTCTCTTGGCATGCAGGTCTTAAGCTTCAACCCAAATCAACGGAAAGGCAGACCTCAAAGTCGCCCTAGGCCAAGACGTAGAGCAATTGTATGCACCTAGGTAATCTTTAGCCATAGGAAACGTGGAGATTCCAAGTTGGGCATTATGCTATGGATATTTGGCAAGTGGTTACTATCGAAGCTTTTAAGCTTGAAATATTCATAGGTCGATCGATCTGCATTGAAAGGTGTAGAAGGAGTCATTACTCGAGAGCCTCGAAAAAAGATATTCTCCGGAAGCTCAACCAATCGTGAATCTGTGACTATTATTGAGGCGATTTCTATAGACGGTTTTACTATACCGCCGGTTATTATTCTTAGTGCTAGGCAGGTTCTACTTCGTTGGTTTGATCTTCTTCACGAAGACGAGCAAATTGTAGTCACCGATATAGGATATCCATATCAACGATTTTCTCGCTCTTCAATGGATTGAGCACTTCTATAAATCCACAAAAAATCGAATTGCAGGTGTATATCGGCTACTACTTTGCGATCGATTTGGATCACACCTCAACGTACGAATTCGTCAAATTTTGCGACGATCATCGCATTATTCTCTTCCTTTTACCACCGCATAGTAGTTATATTCTTCAACCGCTTGATGTTGGGGTGTTTAGTGTATATAAGCACTACTATAGCTAAGCGGTCGAAGATGCAACTATCATAGGGTAGACATCGCCAAAACCTAAAAATGGGCCCAGAGTCAGGCCCAAAGCCCAACCCACTATGGGCTTTGGGCTTTTTGTGGGCCCCCATGGGCCCCCATAAATAGCCCAACTTTGCATAAATCTGGTCTTGGCGCTCATAAATCTGCTGACTAATACAGTAAATGCATAAAAAGACTGTATATTTTGCTTTTTTACTAAAATTAGTAAATGTTTGTCTTGTTTATACACTAGTGGGCCCCCAATGGGCCCCCAACAATGGGCCGAGCAACGGGCCCAAAACCCGACCCATTTGTGGGTTGGGTCGGGTTGGGCTTTGGGCTTTGTGGGTTTTGGCGTTGTCTATCATAGGGTGCGATAAATTCAATAAAGACGAATTTTTGGCGGCAATTCAACAAATTCGTGCGAAACTTTCAAATTATCTACAATTAAGCTCGGATTCTAATTAATAGGCCTCTAGCCTATTAATCCCAACCTAATTTTAGATGATTTAGTATTGTATAGATATCAAGACCAGTACGAAGAACGAGAATCAACCCCATCCCTATCAATAGCGTCAATTACTATTAGCACGCCTAAAACAGCCGAACGGGTAAAACGCCTAGAAGAACGGATAAATCAGCTTGATTCTTCAATAGATTCTATACGTCTTTACGCTACTAAGCTAGCAAAAGCAGCTCGTACAATAGCATATCTATCAGAGCAATTAAGCAATGATTTAGAAGCCACCAATTACGCCAGCTCTATTCGCCACACTCGTCAGAAACTCGTCAGAATAAATCCAGACAATATTCCAAGATTACTAGTATTATATCTTCTGACCAAGTGACAAAAATAAAGAGAATTGAACAAAAGGGGATAGATCTACAGGCAATTGATCGCTTGCGCCCACGGTGGAAGAAGGTGATGCAGGAGCTAAAAAGGCACTATAGGGCTAAAGGGCGCAGATTTCGTTGAGTGTAAATTAGTATATATCTGAATCATTGGTCTATTTATCAATATATTAGATAAAATTTAGATATTAGTATATTGTTGGTGTAGATAATAGGACTATTAGTTGGAATATTGTAAAAAGTTGTGTTGAGGGGGTATGTTGTGTTGAGGTGGCGGACCCTCGTTATGCGAGGGTCCGTAATAAATTGTAATTTATGAAAGGGGCCGGTTAGTAGTGTTTCCTTGAACTGGTCAATGCGGGATGACGTTGTTTGCATGGAAGTGACAGGTTCGTGCACCATACATAAGCCCTAGCTAAGCAACTCGACAGATGCCAAGAAGCAATGGCATCTCCACACGATGTGGGCTGGCACGACGTCATTTTCAATCTTTATGACTGAAATAAATTAATCATGTCCTTAATGACCGGGACTTTTGTTCTTCGCTTTCATCTGAACCCCCACAGCCGGCTCTGGAACAAATCAATTCAAAGACTATGTGTCTCTTATATTCTCCTACTTAGTACCAAGTATATTGGACGCTTTGCCTCCTGTGGATCCCTGTTTTACGAACGATATCACTTCCCCCGCCTCCATCGAAACGCAATGTCGTACTACAATGACCGCCGCTATGGCGAAGCCCGTGGTCGCAACCGTGGATATGCTGCAGGTTATTATGATGAACACCCCGATAGTCGGCGATACGATGAACAACGCGGCTATGGCTCACGACAAGCACGCCGTCCACGACACGAATTTCAACGTCGGTCATCGTCAATTGGTGGGGACCCTTCCTATTACCTAGAAAATCGTTCCCGACGGAACTCATCTCGGCCAAACAAAGGTTCTTATCCTTCGCTCAAGATTCATGGAATACTCTGCTGACTGGAAGACCCGTAGATTCTGAATGGCTCAGCGGTTCTTCATCTAGGCCCAGCCGCGCATCCCGCGATCAAAGTCGTCGCCAATCCACGGATCATGCCTCGAGAGCCAATGATTACCATGACCGGCATCGTAGCTATGATCAAGGCTCCAGTGATAGTGATAGTGATCGTGATGAAGGCCACAGTGGCTTCTTACGCGGCAAGGGCGGGCAGCTTTTAATGCATGCTGCTCTTCCCCTCATAGCCGCCGGTGCTGCAGAGGCCTTGCGGTCGCGCAAAGAACCTGGAGAATGGAAGGGAGACAAAGGGAAGAACGTTCTGTCGGCAGCCGTCACCAATGGATTGATTGATAAGGATCCAAGCAAGCCTCAGAAACACCACATCATGGATACTACACTTCGGGGCTTACATGAAGGTGCCCCTAGCCGTGAAGAGAGAGCCGAGCTTCAGCGTCGAGTTGGCGGAAGCCGTACATCGAGCAATCTTAAGAAAGCTGCTGCAGCAGGTGCGGTGGCCTTCGCGGGAAAGGAGCTCTATGACCGATATGTTCGCTCGCGATCTCCAGCACAAGACTACAACGATGACCGTTACAGATCGAAGAAACGCAGTCAGAGTGTCTCGGATGACTGGCACCGTGGAATGAAGTCTCTAGACCATGAAGAAAGCGATGATCAAAGAAGCGCTGGACGCAAAGGCAGGGATGGTCAATCCAACCACGAAGCAAGGTATTCTAGTCGCGACCGCGACTCCAGGAATTGGGATTATAGCTCTGATGGGTATTGAACTCGGATATGGAAAACAACTATCATGAAGATGATTACGGGCGACAACAAGGCTCTCGAGATCTGGCCCGACCACGTTCCTTGAACAGGTACCCTGATAATCACCCATGTGGCGACTGGTAAAGCTCTAAGCGCGATTTTGATTTTGGGATAGCTCAGATGAAAAGGGAGAGGAAAAGAAAATGAAGCGTGATATACTGTTAACCTCCGGGCTAGCCACTTGGCAACCGTTCACGCCGCTCACAAAGTGATATGGTAGGCTGTGTTCCGTTAGTTATCTAGCAAATATGATAGGCTCTAGGTGCTATTTACGTTGTACCAGAGACTACAGTGACGAGACTTAATGCTCTTTTATCTTTGAGGGTAAAAATGACCCCTACTTAGAGTGTGGAGGCCCCTAGCACATTTAGTGGAATTGTCACCCCATTATCACCCTACTCTTACCTCTCTCTCACCCCCGTTCTCGAGATTTATTTCCCATATCACCCACACTCATCCTAAAAGAATTTGGATCGCCGTCTTAGAGTGACAGGGGTAGTGAGGGCTCATCGAGAATTGGCCGCGTTTAGCATATGGCTTAAGTACGGCTGAGCGGACGGGAAGCCCTGTTCTCCACACCCTATGATCGTATGTAGCAGGACTTTCAACAATTTATATCATATTATCCAGTTCGAATTGGGGCCTCGGATCAAATACTGTTGTTCCCTCAACCGATCTTTCCTCCCTCTCCCTTCCCCTCTCACATTCTTTCTAAAATAAGCTCATATGCTGTGTCTATGAAGGGGGAAAATGATAAGTGGTGAGAGGGACAGAATTGTTTCATGTGAGGCCCTAATTCTAAATGGATTCCTATTTTGTGGGAGAGTCCAATTATCAAAACCTAGGTACAGTTGGCAGAATCGAGGTAGAAATGGCGAAATCAGTGTACAAATAGCGATCTTTGAGATACTATGCTTATCTCGTACTCATTCATTTCAGTGCCAACTGTGAGGTGAGATCATTCCACGGTTGAGATACGTACTATGATTCTGGACGCAATGAACCTACTCCAAGCCCTACTATCCTGCAATGCTAGGGATGGGTTATTAAGCTGAGCATGTGATGTGGGATCTAGGCTAACTCAAATCCTAGCCCATCGCTTCCTTCGGAGACGATTTTTCACAAACGCGCGCTGAAATTCGGGCATGGTTGCAGCTATCTCATAAAGTGCAGTAACTAGTGACGTCATATGCAAGGTAAGTGAGCGAGTCCATGCCGACAACCTTGGTGATCTTCTAACCAAAGGACCTTTCACAGCTGAATCTTACTCGTTTGCAAGTGCGCCTTGATCGCCGCCCATGAAAAGAAAAAGTAAGTCCAAATTGCGATATGGACTGCAAGACTTCTGACACAGCGTCTGACAACCATCCGCAGGACGGAAATAACACACCGAGATGTTACTTCGACCAAAGATCCGCAATTTTTAATTTTCCGAGAAGGGGCAGCTCGTCGCCATGAGCCCGCAACACTTCATATTATGGAAAATGTCCACACAGTCGCTCGAATTCTCCTACGGCCCAAATGGGATGGATAGCTACACCATGCATTCATACAACAATGATCATCCGCGGGGGTGACATTTGCGTCGGGATATCCGAAGACATATATCTCTTTACTACCCCAGGTTCGGTGTCATAATATCTCATCTCGTTCAATCTTCGAGTTGGGCTGCAACCCACATCAATGCCGAGTCTAAAGGGGCGGCATAGTGGACTCCCATTTGGTGACGGTTGAACCTTACCTTCTTGATCATTCCAACAACTTGACTCCATATTTCTGCAAAGCCTGACCCTCAATTGACCGCCGAGCGAAAAACGAGTACATATTATTATCCCGGCAAATTTATTTTCTCAAGATTCCAGGTGACACGGGATTCACAAAAGGATGAACTCCAGGCGTCAGTGAGCCTTGACGAGCGACTATGAAGGAGAAACCAAAAGTTTGGTTTCATGCGAAGATATTTCCCGGCAATTGGCTGGGTAAATGACAAATTGATCATATGCTGGGGTACCGAGCAGAACAGTCCATTCCTGTAAGACTTCTCCAGATAGCCTCGCGTCATCAAAACACCCCCCGCTCTTCGAGCTTTCTCCCCCACGGCCTCTGACAATCAAACCTTTGTCGCAGGCTGCAGGTCAGGAAAAATGATCCCAATCAGCCTAGTGGCCTGGCTTCAAGAAACCGACATGTCTTTGGGGATAAGCCTTCATGTTGATTCACCGCTTGATACGTCTCTGTAGCTGGAGGTCCCAGAGCTGAGCTGGGTATGCACAGGAGGTGGTGAGTCGGAGCAGAAGAACAGGACGGTAAAGAAGTCCGGTCCCCACTTCCCCAATTTGGCTTCCCCTTTTTCCTAGTACTATGAATGTAGTTTGAATACAGTCACTTTTGATCGCCAATTTGGAGTGTCAGTCTCGCATTGTTTTCAATTCGTTGGTGTCAGGGAAAATGATGTTAGGAGAACATTCAACCTTGAAAGTCCTCCATCAATTATACAACATCAGTGAGGTACTATTCTGGAAGTGGGACCCGAACCAGAAGTGTTTCGCAATTATCATCCGGGACAGTCCTGTAGATATATCGTTGTCGGGCCTAAAAGATTTTTAGATTACCATTGAATGTGTCATCCACCTGGGCATCCGGATATTCTTAGGTATCACGGATGAGTCATTATTACGTCAATGGATAGTAAAAAATAGAAATAATATCTATGAAAATCAGTTTAATTGTCCTTTCACTCGAATATCCCATTGGAAAATTCCAATCATGTCTATCAAGTTAAAGTCAGCATCCAGAGTCACGCCACAGAATAGCAACCCGGAGCGCTTCAGACTGGAAGTGATGAAAACCAGACGGAGCTCTCAGCTAGCCAAGATGATGACATACTTCAGAAATCTCGAAAGAAGTTCCTACTCCCACGAAGATCTTATGCATCTTGGTATAACAGTCGTTTGCCTCCCAGAAGCAGATATGCTGTTGACTAATGAAGGCCCATTTCGGCCTCATGATTCTTTTGGGCCGGTTTTCATCAAAGAAATTCAGTAAGTGGAGGCACGTGTGCTACATGCGCGCCCATAGTCATGAGCAGTTCCAGAATTATCTTAAAACAATGGGGTTTACTGGTATTGGCTGCATATTTCCCTGGCATCAAACTTAGTAAGTTGGAACCTCCGAGAGGATATTGAAACAAATCTATCACATACGTCATGTACTAAGATATCTTTATTAGTGCCTTGGACCCTTTTTTCGGTGTGACAGAAGGATTGCTCTCTCTTGGGGCGCTGACGGGGTGTACCACCATCATAGACGCATGGGAAACCCCGCCGGGAGAAATACAATGGCTTGATCCGGAGACACTTGAGACCCTAAAAGAACAACCGCCTCATGTTCAAATCATGTTATCACACAGGACTACCGTTCTGGCTGGTGAAAAATCTCCAATATGCGAGACCCAGAGCGATTATATATTACCAAGGGATACTTTAACGGCTATTGTGACTGCAATTCACAATCGTGTGTATCAGGCAGAATTTGAAAATGAGACAATATTCCCGGTAAGTGAGGAACAACTCCTGTCTCATTTTAATGAGATCCATATAGTGCTTATTTGCAGGTGTTATTATTCTCTCAATATTACCCTGACCGCATGCGTATCATTGAAGCAGTCTTCGACATCACTTGTGAGAAGCTTACCCTTAGAACCACTCCTACATATACGTTTGGCAATCCGGAAACAGCGCCATGGGACATCTTCATGCGTATGCATGCAAGTACACCTAGAGTATCCTCATCCTCTGGCCAGTACTCGAAGTAGGTTGTTTCTTCATTTTGCTTTACTGTGCTTTGTTGCTATTTGATTGTGCCAGGAAGCTCTTGTGGACTTTAATGATAATAAATCTTAATAATTGCTCAAACCAGCCTTGAGGGGTAATATACGGTCTCCAGATCTCGCAATCTGAGAAAGTCCTATGAAATTTTGACATAAAGAAATACCATGGACTTAAAAGGAAACCTTGGAAAGGGTTAGAGATCCAAATGAACCTATAGGTTACATGGACTTCTGGCATAAACTTCTTCCAGATTTCTATCTAGCCACATGCAAGCACTACCTATATATCAACCTTAAAATCTTTGGCCTACTTGTGAGGAAAAAGAACTTTACAAGGCAATGTAGCCTTTGAATATATAACTTGACTCGATGTTGAATTATACATTCCAACGTTCGTCACATGCCTTTCATCTGTTGGCCTCAGTCAAACGTCTGTTTATAATCTATCAACTCCTACCACATACCACATGCAGGTATTCGTATTTCTCATCTATGGCGGGGGAAATTTCCGGTGCCATACAACACTCCAAGGTTCTCCCCAGACTCAATCCGTTTTTGGTACTCATATTGTCAAAGAAAGAAAGCGAAGGTCAAAACGCTAGCGTTTCTCTTAGGTTTGATGATGGGCTAGCATGATGCCTCCGATTTAGTGCTTAGGAACGACGTTATGCGGGAGATGTACAAAGGCAGACCAAAACTTCCCGTGTCTATACGATGAAACCCGCGATCGTCGACGCAAAGCACATACAACCGATCAGAGGCAGTTGACTTTATCTTTTATATGCAAATCTAGATCAATAGGGCGTAGTTCATTGCGGACAAGTCGGGTCCCGAATCTGTACGACGTATGGTATTCATTCTATCAACGGACCAGCGTATGAGGCTGGTATTAAAGTCTTTTCATTCTTCGCAAAATTGGTAGCGTAGTCTCCTTCTCTTTATTTAAAAGAATATAGAATGGGCAGAAAAGAAATATTAGCGCGCTATGTATCCCCTACCTCCCGTTGTGAATTCATCGAGCCTGAATCATGTCTCTTAATATATTATATTGTATTATCCGGATTTACAGCCCGAAATAGGCTATAAGGGGAGAGCAATATTTGTGCCAGGTTAGCTGTAGTCCAGCTGTAGTCATATATTGTATTAGTGCCTCGCTTCGATCAGGCTAGACCCTAAAGGGTGAACTGATAGCCCGGGCTGATTTTTGGGCGGCGAGAAACTTCTAGGAAGAACAAAACCTTCGTATAAGTTCATCCCCTGGTTTGAACCAGAGAAATACCTGGACATAGAAATCATATTTTCGGAATTACTGTGGGAAATATCATTAATAGTCTTTAATTTTTGTGATTCACTATTCCTCGAGATTAACTCATTATATTAGTGTGATAAGACCCTCTATAAACGGCTTAACCCCTATCTTTATTAACTAGCTGATTAATTACTAGCTACAGTCGACGTTAAGAAGCCCTTTAATAAGACAACGGGAGATAATATAATCATAGGTCTTTCTAACCACACCCCTTTGGCAAACGTCTTTTAAAGACCTAGATATTTCTTGACACGCTCTCTAGAGTGAACCACTATATACCACAAGTCGTACCTGCGAAGATCTCTTCATTTTTGACCTCACCCCTATTGCTGATTTTTACCCCTTTTTTGACCTCATCCTTCCCCTTCAAACACCCAGTATAGCTGTTTCTTCTTGATTTAGGATATCCTCTATTTATAAGATATTCTATAATCGAACTAGGCCTATCGCACGGTCTAAGGAAGGGAGCCAGTATATGATTTCCAAGATTTATCGCTATTCTAATTTCTATGTCTTACATCCTTGGATACTACTTATTATATCCTTAGATACTACCTTCTGTATCTTCCCCTTCTTGACCTTAGGTCCTTAGCTGATGCGAGCTGTCTGAGCTGTCTGACGGAACGGTTTTTCGGCCGTCAGTGACTCAGAAAGACCCTGTAATACTAGGTGTAATCGAGTATAATGCAATTCTCTCTCTCTCTGTATACATTCTACACTACACCACACCGCCATATTCCTACATATAGAATTCTGGTAAAAATAATAGGGTTTTGATATAGGGTTAACACTCGCTTAGGCTACTAATATTTAATATAAAATTCCTTAGCAGCCGCTAACACTTATAATCTTCTTCGTATACCTAAAATCAGCTTATCTATCTTTTGCTGATCTAATACATTCTAAGCTTCTATAATACAGGTATAAAAATATCTAATATCTTCTTCCGATTTCCCTATATTAACGAGCTCTGGGTGTAGCTCAAAAAGCTTTAGTTTTAAATATCTCTAAATGTATTGTAGTAGGGTTTCAGCTTGCAAAGGGATGTTATCTGATTGGTTCGTTGGATACAGCCCACACGGTCGTTACAGGATACAACTTCACTCCTATGAGGTCATCAAATATAACTTTTTACACTCTCTTCGCCATTTTGGCCTCTATTTTCCCCTAGGCCCAGGGCCTCAGTCACTTTCTATGGTGTATGTATGTATGGTTCTGAGTGTTGGTTTATGGATATCGTCTCATTCTGCCTACCCTATCAGGCTTGCCTACGCGCGCCCTGCTTCAGTATTTAATTAGGTTTAAATCAGGTGAGTATATAGGCTATTTACCACCTAAATTCTATAGGCTCTAAACTATATTTTCGTCACTTTAGTAATACAGCACGTACGTTCCACTCACCAAGCTTCTTTTACATATCCTTTGGGAGCATTTTCCGTGGGCTCAATAGGTAGTGAGAAATTAGGAATAGCAGATCTGGGCTAACGCCCTCGAGCTGCTATTTATTAGTTACCCTAGGATTGAAGGCGACGTATCGGGGTGGGTCCTATTCTCACCCTGTTCTCACCCGCTCTCACCCCGTTCTCACCTTTATCACCCCCAGTCTCCAATATTCTCACCCATATCACCCGCACTCACCCTAGTAGACAATTTCACGCTGTTTTAAAGGCCAGGGCTCTCTGAGGATTGACCACGTTTAGTATATGGCTTAAGTACGGCTGAGCGGACGGGAAGCCCTGTTCTCCACACCCTATGGTCGCATGTATCAGGAACCTTCTTGGGATGAGATATATAGTGCAATTGAAACTTTCCAGCCTGGGAAATTTTACGCAATACGAATTTGTAAGGTTCATATGGAGCAAGAAAGTTTCATTGCATCCAAAACACACGATACATACACGTTCTTTTTTGCAACCGTGGCTTTCAGTCTCAGTCTCCCGGCCTCGCACCAAAATGAGATTTACCAGAATAGAATTCAATGTCATTAAGCAAATAGACTTGAAGTATAAAAGTTTATTATAACAAAAGAAGACAAAACCATGGCAACAACAAGCAATGCCCAGACGTATTGCAAGGGTGGAAATTGGGGTTTGATCATGGCTAGTGATCCCCCAATGACGACATTCATTCTTCGTTACTGTCTTTTTGAATAACAGGCCACGTCCACTTCAGTAAAGTGTCCACCATGTCTTGATACTTTGACCAGTTCATAGATTCAGTATATTTGATTCCTGGCGTCAAATGTCTTGTTCTTTCAAACCGATTGGAGTCAAACTGTTCGAAGTTCAGCGCCGATGTGAATTGAAGTTTGAGCTTTTCATCATCAAAGTACGCGTAAAGCACGCGAGCATGACAATGTTTATCTAGTGCTATAATCAATCTCTGCACATGTCTTAATTAGCCTTCTGCTACTTTATCCGCATCAAATACCAGAAAGACATACCGGTAAAACATGGCGAAAATGCTCTAGACCTTTCGATTGTAGTTGTTTGAGCTCCTTCATCTGGCGTACCAATCCATGTAAAATGAGTTTCAGTAACACGATCAACTCGGTGACGGAAGGGAACTTCATGAAGGCGCGCCGGAATATCACGTATGCGAGCTCGTGACTTGAGCGTATCCGAAGATTGATTGGGAGGGCATCAACTTGCGATGTATCGGCGAGAGAATTCTCCCTTATGAAACACGAATCGTTCTGTTTATGGTCAAAGAACATATAAGGATGACGTTACCGTATGTAATATTCTTTTGAATCTTCATGTTCGGAATTGTCATCTTTTGAAGTATCATCTTCGGAATATTCTTCCTGAAAGTATTCAACTTGAGATCCCTTTCTGTTGATACCCTGGCTATAGTTTTAGTTAGCAAAAGAACAGTCATTGTCGTATTTAGATAATGGGAGTCTCTTATTTAGGCGATAGCTCAATCCAGCCATAGCTTGGAAACCTAAAGACATAAATAAGACAGTTGATCGGATAGCATGGTCCAATACTGGATCACTCACGGGTGTTTGTAGCTGTCTGGAAATAATGACTCTGATAAGTAGGAATAGTTATAGGGACAGAAGAAGCGACCATTCGAAGGGCACCCTTGACCTGTCCGTTCCTTCATCGATGTGGCGCCCATTTATCCAGACCGAGTCTATCTCCCTCTTCATATCACGACAACTGGGAAAGTCTTTCCGAGGAAGGAAATAAGGCATGACTGAAGGATGTGTGGCACCTGTGTCGATATCTAGGGGCTTGAATTCGATCCCGAGATCTTGAAGCATTCTCTGTGGAATGTCTTCAGTTTCAAGACTCGTGAGTTTATCATGAATATCTTTAAGGGTGCTAAAATGATCCTCCAGCTGGCGCTCAAGTGGTCTCATCTTGCAGCCGGGTTGGCGGGAGAGCCAAAGTAGATAAAAATAGGTTGATGGAAAATGAGTGATAGACTAGGAAATGGTGATAGGTTGCAAGAAGAAGTTCGCTCTGCCATCCAGAGCTTAACTTTGTCAGCAAAAACCTGCTCACTGGTACTATTCATAGTTCATTTTCGGTCTAGTCCTCATTGGGGGATGTTTCCAAGGCTCATCTGCGGCTCCCGATGCGCAAATCCCAAATCGGCTATCGGTCCTCTCCGAACCCCATTTGGAATGAGTGTCGTCAATTTCATTTTCATGGACCCGAATAAAGTCACGTACTAAAATATAAAGTTTTGCAGGCACGGAAAGCTGTCAAACTTGCTAGTATTTGCCTATTTCCACCATTTAGTGGAATAAAAAGTTATACAGACTGGATTTTGAGCGAACGAGATTGATTGTTCCCAATGAGACTATACGATGCAATCACACGGATGAGCTGGTATTTTGTACCATCTGCAGGAAAGACATGGAGCTCACGTCTAGAGTTTCTGGCTTCCAATTTTCGGGTTCGCCCGACACAAATGATTGCAGTATCTACCTGCTTGGCCAGTTTATAATTTCGTGGACAAGGTCAAGAATCAACATATTCAGCATAGGCAAGAAAAGTCAACGATGAAGTTAATCTTGGATTGCCTTACCTAAACGCAATGGACACAATGGCTGAAGGTGTCACTCGGTACAAAACCAACCTGCCAGCTGGCGCTTCTGGCGTGTAAGACAGACAGGGCCTCAACGACATAGTCCGCGCCAACCCCGAAAACATTCTGAGACCCGAGGACGGAGGATACTACCTAAATACCATGGATGGGGAACATTGGCGATAGCTGGCGATAGTCCGTAGACGATGCCATAGGAGAATTGGTGATGCAATCCATTTTACTCTTCATTTACGCCAACACCTTATGCCGCTTTATGAAAGATAGAAGACAGCTCCCACAGAAACATGTTAACACAATTCTTCAATCGCAAGCGGGCCCCCACTGAGGGGTATGTGCAGATGTCAAGAATCTGGCTGTTTTAGATGGGGGATCGTGGCCCTATGATCTGTTCTACTGATGTTCAGCTAGGAGGATCAATGCCGCCGTCGCGCGACAAAAGATAAACTCTCCATTGTCATCATAGGTTGAACGTCTAGCGCGGGTGGGTGTTACCCAAGCCGTAACCCGATTGTCTGCTTACAAGGTATTAAGGTCGTTTTTCTTATGAAAGATGCGACTGGAAGCTATTTGAAAGAGATAGTAGTTTATGCTTGAGACATGCAATTCATTGCAGCATTGATTTTCTCAGACGAACATGCCAGCAAGCATAGCACTCGATTCATCGTCGTCAATAGCGGCCAAGCGATCAGCTCACTTTACAATATCATCATTGGCATCGAGATTCAGCTCAACAGTTGGGTACGATTTTTACCGCAGACATGAGCATTCTCAAAGCATATTACGGTTTTCCTCTGGAGGGCCTCTCCATCCAGAGCGTCTTAACCAATCTTCGAAAGAACTAGCTCTTAAGTGGAGATCCTCCCAGGATGAGTCTTCCGCTGGATCAAGAGCTCCGTAGCAAATCTTGTCCTCTGGCGCTATCGAGATCCATTCCATCATTTGGCGAATATCCTCCTTGAACCCATTTCCTACTGCTTTGGATGCCAAATTAGCCCATTCATCCATCGAGATTGGGGAATAAATCGCTGGCTGGCCAGTGACTCGCGTAAAGGTGGATGCAAAATCGTCCATCCGCAATTTCGGGCTGCAAACGACGTAATTTTTGTTTCTTGTTTTCGCGATGCCTAAAGCGAATACCTCTGTGAGATACTGTCAGCTTGGTACCTCTCTTTGACCATAAATTATTTCTCTCTAGTATCTCACCAGGTCTCCCTTGGTGTAAGCGACCACAAAAGGTTCGATATCACAACTTACCTGCAGCAAAAACACCCATATCATGTACAGGATCAACCCACTCAACTGACTTTGTAGCCGATATCGGGGGACAAAATCGAACGACCCCATTTGCTGTAATAGTTAGAGATATCTTCCACGGACAAATCTCCGTCAGAACCGACCTTCTCTTCGACAGTACTGCGGACGATCCAGGTTGGTGAAGAAGAGACCTTCAAATTGGTTGGCTGTAAATCCACACGAACACTTGGTGTCAGCAGGGAGACTAACCAGGAAGAAGGCAAGTGACCGCAGGGAGGTTTTGCTTTGCCCACTGCTCAATGACAAACTTATGATCCATGTGAAATAATTTGTCAAAGCGACCAGAAGTCGCTCGTCTCATGTCTGGCAGGCTACTAAAAACAAAGTGCTGAATGCGGCAAATCCTCGCAGCAGAAATAATGTTCTTCCCACTTTCGAGCTCCAGCTTCAGGTCGTCCTCCTTTTCGATCGTTCTTGAATTGGTCTCGCTCGTCACCGCAAACACACCATACGCCCCAGAGAAAGCGTTCTGAAGACTTTCTATATCGAAAATATCTCCGGAAGTAAGGCTGAGACGGTGGTCGGAGGTTTGAAAATCATTCAAAAGACGTTGAGCTGAGACGGAATTCACATCCCTGGTGACTGCGCGGACATTCCACAGTTCCCGCGAATTGTCACTTAAAAGCGAACTCACTACACCTTTGCCTTGGTTTCCTGTAGACCCAAGCACAACGATAATGCGGTTTTGCGTGTTGAGAATCATTTCGATTCCATAGGAAATTAAGCAACCTTGCGTGGCCGAGATGGCAGAGAAGGGTGAAGGGAGGATTAATTATGAACAAGAAAAAAAATTAATGTAGTGAAAAAGACGTTTCAAGAAAACTGATATAGGTTTTTCTTTTTGCAGTTTCACTCCTCTCGGCCACTAGGACTGAATGAATACATTACAAATTCAAGGGTGATAAAAGTCGCCGACGTGGTGAGCGGATGAACCATCTTTCCGTATCGGAGACTTATGATATAATGTCAAAGAGAAGGGTGGTATCTTACTACCAAGAACAAGGTCATTCATCAAGTACCCATTGTCTCTTTGTCTCTGTATGGTAAACGGAGTACGCCCGCATACCAGCGTTGTACCACGCTTGGAACGACTTCCGAGATGTAATAACGCTTTAATAGCGGTGGAAATACATAAACATGTTTTTAATGGCCCCCACCGCAGGTTCCTTTCCTGTATTTTCAGTTTCTAATATGCCTTAAGTAGCGCTATGAAAAGTAATTGTGCTAATTTGGATAGAGAGGAGGCTTACGGTAACTTACGTGCTGGGTCTGGGAGCTTCTGCAACGCACGGTGGCTGTCATTGCTATTCTGAGTGAGTGGTAATTTCGTCTTGGTCTCCCCTTCATCAACGCTCTTAGCTAGTGAATCTGACAAGTCTCATTTTGTGCTATTAAGACAGGAAAGAGACTTTAGATGAAGAACACACAAGATTGATTGTAAAGCCGAGGAGCACCTGCAAAAATGGAAAACCTCTGTGGTCATACTCTTGTTTTTCCTCATTCAAGTCAGCAAGGGGCAATGGGCTATTATCCCAGGTGGGGTGAGAAATAGCACATTTGGCTACGCGGGCTGAACCTTGAGGGAGATACCATTCGGAGGGTGAACAGGTCCCTGTATACCCTGAGGATGTCCTGAGTAGAGCAGCGAGTCGCCCACCATCGGAGTGTAGGCGCTATGAATGCCACTTTTCTTCCCCTTGGCGAAGGATTATGGAAGCCGGATCGATATGGGCTTGGGCGTTTCGAGAATTTGTTTCAAAAACTGTATATCAGAAGCCACTGTATGAGATTAACTCTACCTAACAAGGCACTTTGATGTATTTTTAGTCATATAGTTTTGAGAAGGTTGGAAAGCTACCAAGCTTTCGTGGGGACATGTGTGATCTAATGTTGATGATGCAATCGTGATTGAGACATTATAGGATTATCTCACGGTCAAAACTTTCATTTCCTATCTACATTCTGCATCGGCTCCAGCAAATATAATTTGAAGCGAAGGAGAATTGATCCAGCCTAACCATGAGGAAAGAACGTGAGTGTTCTTATAACGGCCCTGGTCCTCCATGTGCGTCTTGTGGGACTGCTCATGAGCATGAAGATATACGAGACGGTAAGTTCTACCCAGTTGCGACTTGGATAATTCATAGTGATGGGTCACTGAATATCAACTCAATGCCAGTTCGAGAACTAATCGAAGAGAATTGTGGTGATAAGGAAACACACGAATGGTTCAGTGATTGGAACGGCCACTTTTTCAAATTTTGCGTGTTTCATCAAGGCTGCTGGAAATTATTCTTACAACACTTCCACAGCGGAGTTGTGCGTATCGAAAAACTGGCCCAGATAATTCAAAAAGCACCTGGGCCCAAATATCGTGCCTGTAAGTCATTTTCTCAATCTTCTTACCTGATTTTCGCGCCCACGAGCAACCTCAAATAACCGGTACAAACCTTTAGATCATATAATCCTAGACACCGGAACTCCTAGCCCAAGATGCTTTCGATATATCGGATGCCGGGCCGAGGCAAAAACTTTCCCAAAAGCAGAAAACTTGAAATGTGAAGATCTCGTGAAAGAACAGACCCCAGAAAATGACTTGTTCTATCTCCTCCCATTCGAAATCCGTCTCGAGATTGCCTATCTTCTTCCAACGCCTGAATGTCTTAGCTTGAGACTTGCATCGAAAGCCATGGTTCACATATTTGGATATCAAGAATTTTGGAAAACGCGCTCCCTGATTCATCGGGAGCGGGGGTATGTCAACTATTTACTCGAAGAAAGCCGTGAAGACTGGAGACTAATGTACCGCTGCACTAGTAGACTGGGACGCCTTCCTAAGACACTACGTTTTAGAAGACTGCAGTGGCTTCATAACGAGTGGATTGAAGATAGGTGTATGATGGTTGGAGCTGCACTAACTCCATCAGCTGAGAACAATAGTCGATTTGATGGCCTACTCTGGGACAGAGCCGCTGGAACAGTCCAATGCGATAGACCTTACGAAGACAGACCTTACCTATTCAACCGGACTGATCTACTTGCACTTGGCAATGACATCTGCGAGCGATGTCTTAAAGTGCATAACCTATTACCACCTCAGATGGCTTCCATCTCTGGCGGGCTTGTGGGAATCACAGTCTCTGTCCTTGCTGAAGATGAACATTCATTTATCACTGGGTTCAAGCTTGTCTACGGCAAGAATACACCAAATATTTATTTTGGCTATCAAATCCCTCAAAAGCAGATCAAGATTGATCTTCGCGATCAGCAGGGGGTTGGTAAGCCGAATGCAACCTGCCAACCAGTTATACTTGCTCCACGAGGAGAGTTAAAAGCCTTTGCTGGAGATTTTGATGTAAGCCAAATATCAATATGCTAGTTTAATCATATGCTCAGCTAAGGTTACTGACCCATCCCTAGCATTGCAGGATGGTAGGGCTTGGAGTAGGCTCATTGCGTCCAGAATAATAGTACGTATCTCAATCAGGGAATGATCTCACCTTCACAGTTGGCACCGAAATGAATGAGTACGAGATAAGCATAGTATCTCAAAAATTGCTATTTGTACCCCGATTTCGCCATTTCTACCTCCAATCTGCCAACTGTACCTAAGTTTTGATAATTGGACTCTCCCACAAGACAGGAATCCATTTTGAATTGGGACCTCACATGAAACAATTCTGTCCCTCTGACCACTTGTCATTTTCCCCCTTCATAGACAGAGCATATGAACTTATTTTAGAAAGAATGCGAGAGGGGAAGGGAGGGGGAAGAAAGATCGGTTGCGGGGACAACATTATTTGATCCGAGGCTCTAATTCGAACTGGATAATACTATATAAATTGTTGAAAGTCCTGCTACATACGACCATAGGGTAGACATCGCCAAAACCCACAAAGCCCAAAGCCCAACCCAACCCAACCCACAAATGGGTTGGGTTTTGGGCCCGTTGCTCGGCCCACTAGTCTACAAACAGTATAAACATTTACTAATTTTAGTAAAAAATCAAAATATATAGTCTTTTTGTGCATTTTTCTATATTAATCAGCAGATTTATGAGCGCCAAGACCAGTTTTATGTAAAGTTGGGCTTTGGGCCTGACTCTAGGCCTATTTTCAGGTTTTGGCGATGTCTAACTACGAGTTCGTCTCCAAAGAGATGTAAGCAATATGCCCTCTGTTCTTCCTGCGGACATCTAAAGATACTGAGATAACTACATTCCTTATGGACCAACTACTAGCAACGAAGAATAGGGGAATCCAAAGAAAGGGTTGTAAGCTTTGAAGTTTCGATTATGCGTTTATTTCAATGAAGGGAACCTGTTTGAGCTACTAGCTGCCTGACTGGTCTCCGAGTGGGTGGACCTTGTTGAGGTGAAATTTGTTTCAAGTCGCGTTTCATCTGTTGACTTTGGATGAGTTAGCGAATCGCCTCTTGATCCGTCTCCTGACGTTGAGTCTCCTCTCAGATCCCCGAGCGAAGAGTAGTAATTATGCGGCAGGAAGCTGCATGAAACCCCCCAAGGCTCAGCGATTCTAGCCTTGGATCTTAGATATAATCACGTCCCTCGGCAATGCACCTTGCGCAGGTATCGTATAATAGGTGTTATTCTGTGTACGTGTATTATCTACCCGATTTCAGCGTGTTTGATTATACGCGTTTTAGGTAGGCGGTATGGGCGGTGAGGGGGGTTGGTCTTTTAGGGGTGTCAACACTTCTGTCGTGGTACTGTACTCCGTACTCAATGGGCCATGCCCGTACTAGTCCGTACTGTAATGACCACGTTTCGACACATTTGTTCCGCCAATGAGCATAGGCCCGTATATAAACCCGCGTCATCTTATGCAGGGCGGGGCATCCGAACTGTTGCGGTTGATCGCAGATCTACCGCTGTGACGATGATGCAATGAACCATACGATCTGCAGTGTGGGTCTGGTGCCGAACGAACAGACGCACACCCTATCTCACGTCCCGGTTTCCTGAACTACCTTCCATGGATTATACAGGGGTGGTTCCCGTGTGCCTCACGGCTATCTCGTCTATATGATAAGCTCCATAAGACTGTGCTAGAATCATAGCTTATCTTCAGCCGTAGCTCTGCTTCCAGAATGAGCTCAACGTGCTCTGTACTGCTGCCCACCGTATCAAGAAGCTATACGTCATCGGACCCACTTAGAGCAGTATGGGCAGGTGTTGATCGTGAAGGAATACTCGCAATATTACCAAGATTTGTCCACGAACAGTCGTGGAATCAGGCGCATGGCCGCACTTTTGCGTCCTTCAACCTACTGCGCACACCTTACTCCTCCGAACATGGACGAAAGCCGACAGGAAAAGCAAAGTGGACAACCTGATGGTCTCGAGCGCGAAGCCGCGCACAGGGGGCTTAGAAAGACTGGGTCCAGGACACTTGGGTGGGATACGAACCACCGCAACTTCCCACGCAATTGGCCCCTTCAGCGCAAGTTCTATGACGCCTGTGTCATCTTCTCCTTGGAGTTCTATACGACTATCATGAGCACAACGGGGCCATCCGCTGCAGAAGAGGCCATGTCAGAGTACGCAATGACCAGGGCTGTGATGCTCACCGGATTTCAGTTCATGTATGGCATTGGACAAGCATTGGGGGCGCTGATCATGCCTCCTTTTTCTGAGGCTCTTGGTCGCCAAAAGTCCTACCTCGTGTCCGCCGGTGCATACAGTATTTCTTCTCTGATGGTTGGCCTCGTTCCTTCGCCAGCCGGAGTCTTCATCGGCCGCTTCTTCTCCGGTTTCGCCTCGTCTGTGCCAGCGATCGTTTTGGCTGGAAGTATCGAGGATCTGTATACCCACCAGCCAAGGCTCTGGCTTCTCTGGTTTTGGAATTGCTCCACTATGCTCGGCATCGCCGTGGGCCCAATCTATGGGTCCTATATAGTAGATGCAATCGGTTGGTAAGTATATCAGGCGGCCATTGTGTGTGTAGCCATCGATGTACTGACCGCACAAACTGTAGGCGCTGGGTTTACCATGTTTCCGCCATCACCTGTGCAGTGATATTCTTCCTCCTTATACCCGTCCGCGAGAGCCGGCCGACAACCCTGCTTGAACGCCGCTTTGCCAATCTACAGTCAAAGATCGGAGTGGTAGACATGGATATACCAAACCCTGACCGGATAAATAGCACCCGAGAGCTTGTGAAGGTGATTCTGGTGCGGCCGGCCAAGATTGGTGTCTCGGAACCTATAATCATTTTAGTCTCAATTCTCAGCGCGTCGGCGTGGGGTATGATGTACCTCTTTACCGAGTCCTTCACCGTTGTATATAGCGCATTTGGCTGGAGCTCAAGGGCGACCTCACTGCCTTTTATTGCTCTGGTTCCTGGGGTCATTATGAGTGGGATTGTTCGCTTTTGGGACCATCACAAGCTGAAGTCCCGACAGAAAGCCGGACAGTGGCCGGAGCCGGAAGATAAGATTGGCGGATTTGCCATTGCTGCGCCTGCACTCGCCACAGGACTCTGGATCTTCGGCTGGACAGTTCCACCGCTCGTCCATGTCCCTTGGATCGCATCCATGTTCGGCCTCGTGCTTATTGGCTTTGCAGCGACCGAGTTCTCGTACACGCTAAGTGGGTACATTTCCGACACGTATACTATCTACGCCTCGTCAGCGTTGGCTATTCAAGGCTTCTTACGCGCGCTGGCCTCCGGGTGTCTTCCTCTGTTCGCGTATCCAATGTATTCGGGGCTCGGATCAAACATCGCGACAAGTATTATCGCAACTGTGGCAACGTTGTTCTGCATAACGCCATATGTATTTCTGAGACATGGTAAGCGCTTAAGGGAGAACAGCCCTTTCGCTCGGTATAGTGCAAAGGTGAATGACGAACACGGTGCTGATTGAGGGGCGTCATTACATATAATGAGTTTAATCAACAGTCCTGTTTTTTTGCTTCGATGAGATTAGCGCCAACCTCTTGATCTGTTGAGGTTTCAATCTTCAATACCGCTGAGGCTTGTGAGAATGAAACGGAGTAATTGATTGTCCTTCCCCAGACAGTAAGGATCGGTCTACAATAACGGGTCATAAGTATTTGCACCCCATCGGATTTGTCGACAAAAGAGAGGGTTGCCATTTTACTAGTGCGCCCAGGGAATATTCAGCACTCCCGACTCGCGCCTACCAGAGGCCACAAACCTAAATACCAGATAACACAAAGACATGTCTTCTCAACACAATTATTCCACACCTCATACGCCATATAGTAACCAATCACAAAGCTTAGCCATGGCATTGTGTAGATACTAAGAGACCAGTGTTCGAAAGTCTGCGCTCATACCAATGATATATCTAATCCCTAGCGGGGCGGCCGGTGCGGTGACTACGCCGGCAGGATTCTCACCCGGTTCTCACCCTGCCTATTGCGCACTCACCCTTCTCACCACCGGCCGCGCGACGCTAAAGCGGCTCTCACTCATTCCTCGCCCTGCCGGCACCCACCGGACTACTGGCCGCATTGAGGCTACACATAGATCCCTCAGAAACATTACTATATAGTTTACTTCAACGTGAATCAAAGCACATACGACCATAGGGTGTGGAGAACAGGGCTTCCCGTCCGCTCAGCCGTACTTAAGCCACACGCCGGTTAGTTAGTAGTATGGTGGGTGACCACATGCGAATCCTGACTGTTGTATGTTTTTATCTTTTTTTTTCTCTCTTAAGATAGAACCTTGGTGCTGTGCCCTGCAGCCCTTCCCCTGAACACCCTGAATGCCCGATATTTCTCACCAGAACGGTGTAGACCCCAAGCCTTTGCGAAGGGGGGAGAGAAAGGAGAGGATACAACAAGTGATGTATATTCGTCTTTTCTATTTTAATTTCTTACGTTGTGCAGTTTCGCAAATTCTAATTTAATTGCTCTGTATATATCCGCACTTAACACAATACCGATCTCGAAATGAAATGAACATCGAATCAAGGCTTAGTCAATTGCTCCTTGCGGAAGAACATGAAAAATCCAATCGGAATTACCAATTGACAGCTCAGCGCAATCCAAAACCAGGGCTTCGAGAGGCCGAAGATGATACCCGCCGAAAAATCAGGGAATACATTCCCTGGACCCTCACGATCGGGTGCACTGGCACTAGCGACCAAAGTCGTCACCGTGCCAATCAACTGAGCCCCACACAGCGTTGCCGCAATGTGAATCCGTGTAAGTGTTTGTAGCAGCATCATGCCAATTCCAACTCCTTGAATGGAATCCAAAACGCCTAGCCAGAGCCAGAGGATTCGACCACCCAGGGCACTGCCCCGGGGACCACCCACAATCCATGGCACCCACAGCCCAATACCGGACGTACCCCAGAGCATCTGTGCCCATCGTGGAGCACCAAGACCGACGGCGAAAATTGGCACGATCCAAGAATGAGTCTTCGATCTCCAAGCCAGCAGTGCGAGAAGCACGTACCAGACGCCGATGAAAAAGGTCAAAGCAAGTAGCAACACCATCCAACCAGGCGCGTACTTGGAGCCCCAGAGATACGCCCAGTTGCGCTGGTAGGGCATGCTGAGGAAGTAATTTTGCAGCACCACTGATATTGAAAACCAGATGATTATCCTTCGGCGAAAAATGCTTTTGTAGAAAGCCGGAATCTTGCCGGGGGTTTGGCGGTAGTATTTTGGCAGACCGGTGTAGAGCGCTGCTGCGATAGTCAACAGTAAAGCGGCGATGGGTATCGTTATGCCTGCGGCAACGCCTGGCGATGCAAACGTTCCACGGCGGCTTGTTGATGCCAACTCAGAGCCCCAGAAGAAGAGTGCAGCGACGTATATATTCTGTGTGCCCTGGATGAGGCATGCGCGATAGATCCAGGATTCGATCTTGGATCCCCCTGTCAATATATGAGTACAAATTTTAGCATATTGAAAGTCAATTACTTACCATCATCTCCAAAGTTCAGAGAGAAGAACAGGTAGCCACTTGAAGAGCCCATGATATAAAATGCAGCGGCGATATGATATACCCAGGTTTGACCTGAAGCGTCGGGACTGAAACTGGCAACGCCGATAATGAAGAATGCAAGACTGTAAAGGACAAAAGGAAGTGAGAGGATGTAGAGTGACGGGATGCGTCGGAATGCCAACAACCAACCGCAGCTGGTGATGGTGTACAAACTTCCTAAAATGTAAAGTGCCGCGGGACTGCTTTCTGATCCAGTGAAAAGTGTTATCTGAGAGGGATTAACAGCCATTATCTGACCCAAAGCCAGAAGTATTGAGTAGATTGGCCAGTCCACGATCCGGGTTGACAGCCAGCGTTGGATTGCAGGAGGCCGCTGGATACTCACAGGCAGCAACATCTCCTGTGCTGAAGCGTCTTCCCAGTTGAATTCATTGCCTTCGTCATCATCTAAATTATTACTTAGGGATGGTGACCTGTGGGCTCCAAACGATGGTGAGGGCATTGGTGATGGGCTGCGTGATCCGCGACCTAGCTGAACTTCACGCAGATTGTCCGATCATTCTTTTTCACTTTGCACAATGAAATCCTCAATGCACAGGTCGCTTTCGGAGTTTTTGCCATTCAACCGCTGCAACAAACCCTGGAAATAGCGTGAGTATTTCCCAGTCTCATCCTTGAAAGTGGGATCTGCATTCTCCAACGAAAAGCTCTCGCGTGTGGCTCTAATCTGATCCAAACTCAAGACTGAAGTCGACCTCAGTCGGCCCCTTTGTGCTAGTGAGTAGGCCCGGTTGATCCCTAGACCTGCCATGCCCGCGGAACTTGATGAAACACCTGACATAGAGCGACCTCGTCGATTCTGCTCCGCATTGTCTGAAGCCCCTCGACTGAGAATGGCCTCTGCCTCTTCCGTCGACATGGCCTGCTCATCTGGATCTGCAATCTCCTCCAATCTCGGTGTGAGCGCGGTGCCCTCATGCAAAACAGTTGTTTTTGGTTGATGCCCAGGACCGGAACGGACCCCCAAAGAGAGACTCCGAATGGGAGTCCCAGCGGGAAGCTCGAAGCCCGAAGACCTTGGGCTAGGATTCATTTCATCGATGTTGAGACTCGGGGTTTGGATTATGACTAGTGATGTTTGACTAAAATCACGCGAGTGCATACAACTAGAACGCGAGGACTCACGAGGCTTCCGCCGAGAGGGATCGTTTTGCTCTTCATGCATACGAATTGATCGCAATTGCAGATAGTCGAGGTCCTCTACCCATCGAGCCACTGGGAAGCGCTGTTTGGCAGAGTTTGCTCTCATCATTGCGCGATTGGATTGCTTCGACCCGATCGCGCTTTCAATGGCTGCCTTGAATTGCTTTTGGAGATGTTTCACGGTCATGGATTCGACGGGGAACCACCAGCCTGGCATCTGGCCAAGTCCACCAACCAAAGCCCCGACTCCGAGAGCTCCTTTCCTCCCGAATTCAACCGCCACAAGACCAAAGGGCTCATCGCGCGATGGGATAAGCGCAAACTCAGCGCCCGTGAAGATGAAAGGCGGCAAAGCAGTGAATTCGGGTTTCGAAAATACCCGTCCGGGGTAGAGCGTCATCATTTCCTGTAATTTGAGGGCGGCAAATTTCCCATACATATCGATGACTGGACCGACGCAGATCAGCTGCACATTGGAATGTTTTCCCAGTATCACTGGGAAGATGTCCGCTATAAGGTCGACACTTTTTTAAACAGACCACTGACTGACAAACACGAACAGTTCAGCAGTCGGGTCTACCTTCAGCCCTGCCCACTTTTGCGCTTGGCAACGGTCATTTCCTCGAGAGTTCTCATACTCCGGATCAACTTGAATGACCTGGCGAGATTCTGCCTCGGGATCCCAGGGCTCGGTATCAGAAGGATCTGCGTTGGGAAGTTTGCCGATCCCTTTGAGGCCCCAGAAGATCGGATATCGTGCGTAAGAGCGATCGCCATATTTGTTAGACACACCAACCGCCCCAAAGCCCCGCTGGTGGACTCGAAGATAACTTGCTCCAGCACGAAGAAGGTTGAACACTTCGCCAAACTGCACGTACTTGCGGATGACCTGGATCTTCAGGTTGAACACCTCACTAATTTCATCAAGCTCTTTCTGATCACGCAGCGGCCAAAGTCCTTGAAATTCGGCATTGTGAAGTGATAGGCAGCAGGGGATGGTGCGCGGAAGAAGATAGAGAGGTGCTAATGCGCCGTGATAGTCGTTAATATGATAAATTTCGATCGGAAAGCGCTTGGTCGTTTCGGCAATGCAGTTATTCCATGCACTGTAGTAAATTGCACTTCGGAGATCATCCATTCGAGGTGGATATGGCTCTGATTTGGTCTGCTGGCAGAAGATAGGGGCGTCAAGAAGCACGTATGTAATGTTGCGTAGCTTGTGGTATTGAACCTGAACTTCATAGACAGTCCCGCCAATGGCGATGGACATGGGATCGACCGGTGTATCAATTGGATAGTCAACTCCACCAACGCAGGGTACCACCCATACAATGTCATGATGGGGGAGGTTCTTCCCCATCAATTGTGCCATCACTCCAAGCCCGCCAATCTTGATTTTGATGCTCCAGTCTTCAATGTCATATTCCAAAGTGGCCAACAAGACGGTTCGCTTAGGTTTCGGAATTGAAATTGCGGCCAAAGGGAGAACACCGAAAGGATTTGTTTTTCCTACGTCTGTCATTGTCGGTCCTTGATTCTCTTCGCTGCCAAGCTTATCGAAGCCTTTATTCAGGCGGAGGAAAGCCGGCAAAGAGCCAAGTTGAAGACCTTTACCGACGCCCGTGCGGTTGAAAGTGACGTGGTAGAAAGCGCCCATATATATCCAAATACTGAGTGCACCAGTCACTACCGGAAGGATCCAGAGCAAGAGATACATGATCTGTTGGTGCAGCCGTTGTCCAACTGGAACAAGCTCAAATCGCATTTTTCCATCGTTCAATTCCATTTGGTAGGCCATGAATGGTGCGGGCGGAAATTCGGAGAAATCAATGACATTGTCACCAACGGAAAGCGAGTCCGGCTGAAGGCGATTTAACCGACTGCTGTTCAGGGTATTTCCAAGCAAAAAGGTTTGATCGAGCTTTTTGTCAGGATTAATTCCCCAAACATTCACCTGGAATTTGGACGGCCATTCGGCTGACAAGTGGAATTTCCAAGCTTTTATCTTGTCATCCAGCGAGAACGTGTTTTTCAGTCCGATATCCTGCCCGTATTTATTGAAATCCCCAATTGCAAACAGATGAGGGAATCGTCTCGGGGACTTTTTTGCTCCCCGCAAATCCATATGTTGAACATGCTGGCTACTTCCTGCCATCTTGCTCCAGTACTGCAAAATGACATGGCTTCCTTCCCATTGCTGTCGCTTCGTTCCGGACCATGGCAGATTGCTGATCCGGCTCGGAGTTCCTTTATAGACCTCCCAGTCGCTCCAAGAGCTCCCCCAATTAGTACTGAAACGCCATTGATCTGCACCGGCAGCTGTGTGCTCCACGAGAAAGCCATCCGCATCTGTTAGCTCTGTGAGCCCGGTCTCTGTATGGTTCGCGAGCATCGGGAAAATCATTGGGTTGTCTGTAAATCCAACACGAAACATCAAATGACCGATAGAGTTTGTGAATCTTGATTTCGTTGCCGTGGAGGCATTGTTGACCGTCAAAGTGTGGATCCCATGAGTGAAATTGTCAACTGTAGCCTTCCACGACCATGTGGAGGGAATTTGACCCGGATGCTCCATGGATTCAGCTCAAACCATCGCACAAGACACGCTGTCAACATTGATTCTAGGCACCTTTTCACTCTGAATTTCGGATGCTATAATTATACTCTCGGTGACAGTCGCAATCCAGCTTTTCTGAGAATCGGAGCTCTAGATCAATGCTCTCTCCTTCGCTGATATTAGTGTTCGATTCAATTCGGGCGTCATATCCGAGCAGAAACTCGGTCATCACCACGGGAGGGGAGATCCATCGTGACGATGGAACGTAGGCGCGGAAGTCAACGGCTTGGAAAGTACTTGGACCCAAACATCCATTGTAATCAGTTGACCCATGGATCCCTAGTTTGACCTGACTTGATTGCAATACAATTTCGTCGTAAGGCGCCAGCAGATTTCGAACTTTGACTCCGCCACTGAAAGGTGCCAGAAAGCCGTTGAAGGGCGAGCTGCAGTCAAAGTCGTATTCCACGGAGCTGTTTCCACTGTGATAAACAAGCCAAACAGCAGATTCATTGGTTGGAGCGAGATCATTTATACCAGGATATTGATCGCGAATGGCACTCCACAACCCGAGCTCCGTAATTGTGCCGTTGGAACCTGGTAAGGTCACATTGTGGGTGCTCTTGACAGGCTTTCGAGGTAGAAGCCGTCCTTCAAAGAGGGAACGTTTTCGCGAAGATGGTAGAATGATTTGATGATATTGCGCACGGGATGGGTGGGATCCCGGTGGTCGAGGCCGACTTCATTGTCGTAGCAACCGACTAATGCAGATTCTAATGGAAGGTCATTGTAGTTGCTTGAACCTAGGCCATAGCATTCTTGAGTTTGCCAATACGGCGAAGAAGTCATCGGTTGCCGACCAAACAAACCGAGAGAACTAGTGCTATCAAGGAGGTAGAAGTTTTGCTCTTCGCCCCAGAGCAGAAGAGGAATCCCAGGTAGATGAAGGGAGGTGATAAATTGCCCCAACTGCATCTTTTCCGTTCCTTGTCTTATAGATGGCCATCGAAATGTATCCTGATTGGCCGTACCCATCATGTGTCTTGGGTCAAACTTGCCGGTATTGATGTTGATGAGGTCATTGGATACGAGAATGTCATTCCAGGCATCCACGAAGTCAATACTTGTGTCCCCTGGTGCCGTGTAGTTACCATCCAAGCCCAAAAACCTGGTGAGCGCTCGATAGATGCTGTAGTGGAATACCGCGTCATCCATTGCATGCCCTTCGGATTCCCGCAGGAAGTACTGATCGTCTGAACTGTTGGTGAGAGAAATCGCTTGGGTCGGATTCTGCGGCCTCATCTCAGGCTCGCGCCCGCGACCGGAAATAAATCGACGCGTATGAGTTGCTTGACGTGAATTCGCCACTCAGTAAGAAATTCTTCTTCCCCAAGTGAGAGGCACATTCGCGAATCGCTCGAGAAGAACTTGCAAGCGCATCGACGCTAATCTGACCTGCTTTGTCAATACGAAGCGCGTCAATGTCCAGTGATGTTATCAACATGCAGGTGAAATGTTCAATCTTTTCTCTCACAGATGGAACCCATTCACGAAGTCGATCCTGAACCAAGCCTGTTTTGGCGAGAGACTTTTTCCAGTCAGGTGCGAGGTCGATCGAATCTATGGCTCCATACTGTTTTCGTTTCAGTGAGTGTCATTATGGGAAATATTGTGAAATATGCAGAACGGAAAGATACCAACCAGATCAAATTCACTGTCATAACAACCTTTGAGTTCATCGAAGAAAGAATCGGAGCCATTTTGAACGGGTCTTCCCTCTTCGGTATAAAAGGTGGGATATTGGCATTCTTGTTTATATTCATCACCCGGCATGAAGTCGAAATATCTCTCATCTCCCTTCCAAACTGTTTGGTATTCGAGCGGGTTCAAAGGCGCGGTACTATTGAGAAATCCCTTGAATCCGAGCAAGTCTACCATACTGATATCTCATCAACGTAGGTTTTAGGTGGTGGTATCAGATACACTTACGTGCCATATGTACTGTCGGCCGTCACGTACATCCCTCGCCTGTGGATCTCATCGATGGTAGATCTCCACTGCTGTATGGTACCGTAGTGTCTGTCCAACAGGCTATAGTCTGATGGCTAGCTCAAGTTAGGTTATATGCAATAAAGGGAATCTTTCGGCCTACCGAATAACTATCTGACTTCCACGGGTAATTGGCGAAGGGGGTACCGGCGATGTACATCCCCTGAAGCGAGCATAGTCAGTGATTGTTTCATACCAATAGAAGGAACCAACTCACTTTAATACCAATACCTTGTATGTAGTCGAGTGTGTCTGTCAATCCGACTAGGTCGCCTCCAAACCGATACTAATTTGAAAATGTATCGGTTTCAAATACGGTACCATTGATATCATTGTTCTCGGGTTCACCGTCGACGAATCTATCAAGGAAAATCGTGTAGAAGGGAAATCGCCAGTTTGAAGGAGAAGGTTGATAAGTATGTTCTGGCCATTTGCTCCAGTAGTCAACAACATTCTGCGCAGTCTTGTTCTCGTCAAGATCCCATTGTAATAACTGTTGGTCATAGCGAAGGGCGGACGCTGATTGGCTCAGAAGAAACAGCAGAAAGCTAAAGACTTTCATGGTCCCGCCTGGTGGGCTTTTAGCCCAGATTTCTGAGAAGAGAATTGTATAGTAAACCTTGGTACAATGCCTCTAAACCTGTCATGAAATGAGGGTGATAGCGGAGAATAACGGCTTGACCAAGATGGTTATATATCCAATTAAGAGGGCAGTGCATTCTGACTGCTAGGGATTCTTCGGCATTTTAAATATCATCAAGCCCTATAAGGTGACCACCGGCAGGTGAATTCACGAAGCTTGGAAGCCTCACCTGAAATACAAAGGTTTGGAAACCCCCTGTATAAGATTACATCTACTTTTCCCTTTCGTTTAGAGCACCTTGGCACATGTTCTATCATATCTGACAGATGTCATTGGGTGAAGCCATTAGGAACCAGCAAGTGAATTCATGATATCAGCAGTGAATTCTTGATTTTGGCAACAAAATACGGTTAGAAAGCTATATGTTGTCACTCAAAACTTTCATATTCACATATAACATTGGTGTAGCCAATTACGATCTAGGTCACCAAAGGAAAGGCTAGATTCATAGGGTGGCCTTAATTGTCACAAGAGATAGAGGATATAGTGTGTGCAGAGCTTATGTGGCCTGTGGCGAAGCTGGTGTGAGTGCATATTAGACTTATTGGCAAATTCATCAGTCTTATCACATACGAACACGAAGAGGTGGCTTGCATCTACGGTGATGCCGATCTCATATAGTATTCATCATGGGTTCGGATTGTCGCTCCTGAGAACCCATATAGTAATCGTTATCAGTCAAGGTTTTGTGGAATTGATTATTAATCTTCTGACATGATCAAAAATTTCCGAAAAATATTCTATGCAGCGCGCTAAAGACTCTGGAATCCAAGGTACAAAGAAAAAGTTGAAAGTTAAAGTGCAAGTCATGTAGCTTATACTTGGCAAAACGAATACGATAGCACCACAACATGTGATTGAGCATGATGTGCCAAGGAGGAAAATCAATAGGAATCACAAAAGGAGATTAGATAATTTAGCTAGACATAAATATAAGGCTAGCTGACGACCAAAGTAGGAGAAAGAGAGGACATAAACCGGAATGAAGTTCAGTTAAGATCACGCAATATCATGAGTGTGCACATAAATTTTTAGAATTACCTACTGTGATTTTCGTTGAACCATTCAATGTTTTGTCCCGAGATAAAATAGAATTCCTTTCTCACGTTCGGCTTAACTATTACGAGCGTGAAAAAAAAGCAATGAATTGGGCGAAGTAAGCAAATACGTCACGCGTGCACGGGCTATGTAGGGCTGCTGAAGGATGAATATGACTTGCAAGAAATTCCTCAGCTCTCTCACCCAGTCACCAAAACTCTCAACCTAATCATGCATTGCAATTAGAAGGAAACAGAAGACAAAAACATATAATGTTTAGTGTAAGCTGATAGTCAATAGCGCTACCGGAGATTGTCGAGGGTAGTTCGCTTGTGGGAGAAGTATATTGCCTCGTTAAAATGAGGAGAATGATGATAACAAGGAAAATGTGTCAAGCCTAATTCTAGAAGAAGAGAAGGAGGGGCATCTCTTTCATCCCCTGAAGTAGAAACGTGGTCGATTGGTATGCGAATCAAGCGGGGTACGAGGCCCATGCGCTGGTACACAATTCTATGCCTCAGCAACGAGGCAGCTGAAGATCTCCATAGCTAGTGTCACATACAAACTACATAATTGGATCCTTGTTAACTCTCAAGCTATTTGATGGTCAAAAAATGAAGAGCATTATTGTTAGTCATACCCCTAAGGAAAGCTATCTACTCTATGTAGAATTCAGCCATCATTATATAAAACCAAAGTCGATGTAGTGAAAGCACTGATAGTACCATATTTGCGGCTTTTTTAAATGTCGCTAAAATCTTCCCTCTTGTGAATATGCTCAGGATAATGTATCATAGGCATTCGTACCTCAAGATGGTCACTACTAATGGCATTCATAATTTTTTGATTGGCTTTATCAAATATTTTACAGAGAAATTAGAGTAATGGTGGGTCGTTGTATTGATACGATGAAGAGGCACCGGCTGGGACCTCTTTCCTTTCTATGATGCCACCTAGATGTAAGGATTTAGATACAGGTTGCCAATATAATTAGACTATTAATGGTGCTCATTTGTTTAATCTCAAGTTCTACTGCCATTTTGCTGTTTCATGTCTCACTTTGTAAATGACTCCAAAGCCATAATGTGTTGTACAAAAGAGCGACTAGTCAACTAGAAGAGGATTTGTTCAAATATACGAAATGGCAAAGGTACATGAAGGTGTTGCCATCCGTGTTTGGCTTGTCCATTGTTTTGGACTGACCAATCAAGGTGCGACAATTGGTCTAATATCCACATCCATTTGCGATCATGTCCGTCACACTTTTGCAACATGCAAGTGGTGCCACGCGGAGGGCGCTCCGACTACGCAAACCACTCACGATCATTCTACTGTGTTTCATCCCAGAGCGCTGTCAGCGCCACACCTTGGCATAACACTAATTTCAAGGGTGAAATTATCTTCCTGGAGTTGTGAAATGATAATTTCGGCATCTTCAGGCCGAATCTTAAATGACAGCAACAAGAACCACATCTCAGTCGCTGCGAGGATGCTTGGCAGTGAAGCTTTCTAACCGCCAGGGCTCTATCACGATCTACCGGCAAACTCCTTCAGACCCTGCCAGTTGGAGAAGTCTCGCTTGGTAAAGATGCTGATCGCCCTACTTCTCGCCCCTGAATAGGGGGTGCGGGGTGGCTTGGGAACCCCGCAAATCTTGCAGTAGACTGAAGAAAGGCTATACTTCAAGACATATTCGCTGATGAGCTTTCTAGTAAAGCTAAATTACCTGTTTTGGTCCGGAAACCCCTCCATACTATCCATTTTCCACATTTGAACCTGCTTTCCTATGCGCTAGCAACTTGTGTGGTCCCTTGCTCATCTCTGCGAATACCAGATGCTCCTGTGACGTGCCCAATGCCGTGTCCAATTTAGCCATACCCAATCCATATGATCCATCCTGTCCCAAACCAGTGATTTAATTTGTGAGGGGGCTTTCACACACGATTTCAGTCACACTCGGTCAACGGTCCGAGAAACCTATTTCCAAATATGATGTCTAACTGTACCACCGATGCTGAAGAAGTTTCTTCAGTGAAAAAGAGCCGACACGGCTTCATCGCCGCGGAGGAAAGGGGTATGGTCGACTGTCCCGAAAGCTTACGCTCGCGCTTCTCATATAAGGACCACCAGGTTCAAGGGAAACAGTAAACCTCAGCTGTCAGTCATCCCTGTTCAAGATCCAAAACAATGAGATCCATTCTGCTGCTCGCAGCCAGCGCTGCCCTGGCTCTAGCGGTGCCCCAAGGCCACTCTAAGCGGGCCTCATCCTTTGTTTGTAAGTATAGAACCCATCAACACCGAGCCAAAACTGACCAATCTTCGTAGGGTTTGGCGCAAGTGAGTCCGGGGCAGAGTTTGGCAGTGGGAATATCCCGGGTGTCCTGGGAACCGACTACATATGGCCGGACACTTCGACCATTCAAACGCTACACAACGCGGGCATGAATATCTTCCGGGTGCCGTTCTTGATGGAGCGATTGATTCCAAACACATTGACCTCGAGTCCAGATGAGACCTATCTAGAAGATCTGAAGAGTGTACGTTGCCCTTATCTCGAACCCAGCCCGTGCTTATCGATTCCCAGACGGTAGAGTACATCACGTCTATCGGGGCGTATGCTGTGGTTGATCCACACAACTATGGACGATAGTCAGTCGATAGTCTCCACTTCCCAACTAGTAACTCCACTCACTAGTGAATCAGCTATGGCAACATCATCACCTCCACAAGTGACTTTGCTGCATTTTGGACCACCGTGGCAACGCAGTTTGCATCGAATGACAAGGTCATCTTCGACACGAGTAAGCTTCAGCTCCTGTTGGCTCCTTTCCTCTTCTTACTGATATTTACAGACAACGAATTCAACACGGAGGACCAAACGCTGGTGCTGAACCTCAACCAGGCGGCCATCAACGCAATCCGGGCTGCTGGAGCTACCTCGCAGTATATTTTTGTGGAAGGGAACTCATGGAGTGGCGCGTGGACGTGGACATCAGTCAATACTAATCTGGTCAATTTAACTGACCCCAATGACAAGATCGTTTATGAGATGCACCAGTATCTCGACTCGGATGGGTCTGGCACTTCCGACACGTGTGTCAGCTCGACGATCGGCCAAGAGCGTGTACAGTCGGCGACGGAATGGCTACAAAGCAATGGAAAACTTGGCTTTTTGGGCGAATTTGCAGGTGGTGCTAATTCAGTCTGTCAGAGCGCTGTGACTGGAATGCTGGACTACTTGCAAGAGAACAGTGATGTCTGGCTCGGAGCATCCTGGTGGGCCGCAGGACCATGGTGGGGCACTTATATTTTTTCGATGGAGCCACCCTCAGGGACCGCGTATACCTACTACCTAAGTATCCTGTCTGCCTATTTCCCTTCCAGTTCGGGCAGTTCGGGCAGCTCTACGACCACTTCCACAACCACACACACTACATCGACAACCATAACAACTGCCACCACCACTAAAGCCACCACCACTTCAACCACCACTGGCGCAGGGTCTACTGCAACAGCATCCCACTGGGCGCAGTGCGGCGGCACTGGCTGGACAGGGGCGACGACATGTGCCAGCCCATATACCTGCCAAGCGCAGAATGCGTACTATTCGCAATGTCTGTAAGCTAGGAGTATTAGGGATCTAACATGAGTCATTATTTGTACGTGAACGAATACTTTTTCAATGAATGCATAGGCCTACATCTTATGTACAATGTCGGATTGGCGCCCCGCGACATATAAGATTAGCAAACCTCGGAACTTCCGCACCACAGTCAACTGAAAATTCCCCAAGAGCCTATCACGTTTGTACTTCGACGCGTCTTTTAGGAAGAGTACCAGTAACAATATTTCCAGCGCTTGTGATCATTGCCCGACAGATTCTCTCAGTCCTACCTCTGCCACTGAATAAGTTATTAAGCTGTCTCTCCTCAGCCAAACAAAGCAAAGTAATAATCCTATAAAGCTGTTTGCCAAAATTTTGAACCATCCAATATGTTTCTATAACCTGATAGCGGGTCCGGGATGATTCTCTCGTTCTAGTTTTGTTGATCAGTTGAAAGCGACCAAAAGAAGGCCAATGCTAGCTCAATCGAGCACCTACTTCATCAAATCAGTATTGAAATTCTTGTATTTGGTTGCAAGAGAATATATCAATTGGTAAAAACATAGCAGACATGTCATACACCCCAAGGGACACATCTATGGCCCGGACCCAAGTGAAAGTGGGGGAGTAGGTGTTTACTCTGTTCTTACCCGACCAATGCTTTATTCCATCTCTCCACACCAGACAGGAAAAAACTTAAAATCAGGACATACAACAGTCAGTCTAAGGAAGTGGTCACCTAGCGCCCATGGATCAGGCGTGGGCGGCTCGCCGCTCTATTCAGCCCTCTTTAGGGTAGTCCGGGCAGATATTCACCTTGCAGGAAAGGTACGAATGTTGTATTTTAGAGTAAGATCACCTAATATTTTCGTTTTCTTTATCTCTTTCTCTCCTAAATAGCTTAAGCGGGTATTATAAATTAAGTAATACATGGGGCTCCCAGTGGGGGCAGGGATTTTTGCGGTTGGGGTGGGCTTTAGAATTTAGAAATGGGGCCCCATTTGCCGAAGCCTATTCCGACATAAGCTATCCGGCGGAGAATCTTGTGAATTCAGTCTGCTGATTTGAGCCGATATTGTTATTGATGCTCGTCTCTACTGGTTAAGTATGGAAATGCTCGGATTAGCGTCGGTTTGCAGTACTGTATCCCTGATTGAAGCTGACAAGTTCGGCCCCACTAAATAGCGTTAAGGCTAGGGTCTGGTCTTTGTAATTTCTGCGTAATGTTTGCTTACCTGCAAACAGATCTTGAAAGTATGCAACGTAATAAAACATACGCGAGCCGCGTGAAAGATCGGCAAGTTTCAATACTTCGTAACATCACACGCAACCCTTGGCGCCAAATACGTGGGGAAACGGCCCCCAGCCTTCACCCCACTCTCTTTGTTTCGCGTCATGCCCCCTAGCCGAGGCTCTGGGGACTCAGTACATCTGATAAAAAGCTGCCAAATCTCCGCATGGTATTCAAATCAGACCATAGAGTGTCGAATCAACAAAAAATGGATGACCCGGAGACCCAGAAGCAGGTCATTCTTGGCTTTCGGAAGGCCTTTAAGAGTGCCCCTTGGATTCCTATTTCCCAGATGCAGACACATTCATTTCGTGAAAGACCTTTGAAAGGATCGATCTTGGTATCTAAAATAAAAATACCTTGTCCAGCTGGTGATGAGGAGGAAGCTCTCCGCTCAAGACTATGGAATGTTTATAAAGCGACCAGCGAGGGAGTCGAGAAGCTCGACCCCCCAGCACCCTGCGTCTCCTACAATGGTGAATGGATTGGAGTGCGAAAAGATGTGAAAGACTCTAAGGCACCACAGCCCGACATCAGCGACCAGGAAAAGTTTCAAGGTATTCAACAGAACGTGGACAATGACATGACCATTTTCTATCTCGCTGGAGGGGCGTTTTTGTGAGTATTTCTCTTCTTATAACAGAATTGGATTTAACAACCCTTCTTAGCCGTGCCGGTCCCCCAGGTGCCCGACCGGTGATCAAACAACTCGCTGAAATGAGTGGATCGCGCGCGTTTACTTTCCAGCCTCGTCTTGCGCCCCAGTACACCATACCAACTATCCTCCTAGACGTTCTTGTCGCATACTTTTATCTCCTAGCTCCCCCAGTCGGGTCCCTCCATCAACCCATCAACCCGAAAAATATCATCTTGGTCGGTGAATCCGGGGGCTCACTTCTTCATCTTCATCTGCTCCAATTCCTTCGAGCCATGATACGATCTTCTGGGAGCAAAACACCTGTTATACATTTCAATGGCCAGCGCATTCCAATATCAATGCCCGCAGGCTGTGCACTTGTCAGTCCTGGCTCAGACCTGGTCTTGTCCCTTCCATCTGTCAAGAAATTCGAGAAGTTCGAATGGTTATCAGAGGGTGCCCCCTGGCTCAAACCCAACTACCCGGCAGATCAGCTTTGGCCCACAACTCCCCCTCGGGGTGATCTCCACTGCGACAATTCAGCGCTGTGTCACCCGCTTATTGATCCTTCCATGCAATTAGACTGGTCGGGGATGCCGCCTATGTGGATTACGTGTGGCGAGGAGACGTACGCGGATGGAATCAAATTCCTTGTCAAGAACATTCAGGCTTCTGGGGTGCCTGTCACATTCGTCCAATACGAGTTTATGCCGCATGTTTGGAACATTATCTTGCCTCATTTACCTCAAAGCCGCGACACTATGAAACGATGGGGCAAGGCTATTAGAGAGATTAGGCCTGATAGACCGAAAGAGTCAAGTGCGCATTTTGTCAAGCTAGGGAAGCTAGAGGTTATCCCAATGAGCTTTGAGGGGCTATTAGATATCCCCCAAGCTGAGGTCTTTCAGAGAATGCGGACGGCTAGGGATCGGCTTGCTGCATTTGTCTGGACTGGGCCTGAAGCAGGATCTTCGAAGCTATGATCGTAATCCAGAATATTTGTACTTCAAGGCTCAAATAGCGATAAAAAAACTTGAAATAATGACTCTTATCTCGCTGAGGTCCAGTCACCTCTCCTGAGGCATAAGGACTTCAAGATTTTGAATGTATATCCCAAGACAAACTCCAAAGAATGGGACGTGCCAGAAAATATTGCCACAAAAACAAGGTTAGATTTTACTCTTGAAAATATTTTTGAAATCGCCCTCTATCCACCTCGCCTCTACTGCGATCAACACAATCTTCCAGCCTTCCTCTCGTAATTCGAATTCCATCGTGTCGAGGCCGTATCCATTTGCATAAGCCCTCTCCGTGCCGTCATTCTCATCGGACACTTTCCAATGCGCGGCTCGGATCTGAAATTTGACTTGTATCCTCGTTTTTGACAGTTCTGACCATCTGCAGGCACCAATCAAATGTTGTGTAGTTACCCCGGGATTGCCCAGCTGTACGGGAGTTGAAAGGCCCTGGACAAAGACTTTGGATGGAATGGACGATACTTGCGGTCCCCCGACGCTTTTGTAGTCAATCGAGATCTCTGGTGCAAATAAGCTTTGCAAATGAGACCAGGCCTTTGCGTCTATACTGTCGGCCCAGTCAAAAAGGATGTTTTGACATTGTGTGAAAGCTTGCGGAGTGCTTGACATGGCGAAGTTAGGCCTTTCAAAATAAAGCTCGTCAGGACAGTCAACAGAAATGAGATATCAATTAGTATCAAACACATACTCAGGATTCTTATTGAAGGATAGAAATGGGATGCCCGTTCAACACATTGAAAGTAGGAATTGACATAGGATATCGACGGAATGTGGATAGGTGAAAGGGCTAGCGGGAAAATGTAGGAACCACTGAAAGGATATTTTGTAGAGGATAGTGGGAAGGAAAAGCACCTCTGCAAATGATAACCTTACGTATGCACCTACAAGAATTACTGTCACGTAATGTGTAGTATCTTTGTTTTATCTTACGTTTCAAGGCTGTTTTATGGGAATTTACAATACCACGCTAGTGACCCCTTCTTCGGGGAGAAACTGGTACCCGGGGAGAGGGGAAGTCTTAGGCCGCCAGTCAGAATCCACAAAATGCAACATCAACAGTGCATTCGTGAGCTCATGGAACTGGCGAGGGGCAAGCGACACAGTGAAGAATTGTGGAGGCGATTTATTTATAGTTGACGCTCTTGTTGAAGACAAAGTGGATACCATGCTTTCTTGTTGCCTAGCCATTTCCTCGTACCCCTCGCCATTTAATGAGAAATTTGTATGGAGTCCTCTGTATTGCCTGCAAATTAAAGGACTCGGTTCCCATCAAGGTTCGGCCCCCATTCAGCTTCAGCCCCACCGGCGCTCACACGGGTGGTTGGGGGCGGAATGAACTCTAGCTGGTCACGTTACCGCCGATCAAGGAGAACGCTACGTTAGATACTATGCCTCATCGTGTGCAAGCTATTATTGCGGCAAATGGCTGGTATATGACCTATTGATTAATAATATATCCCTTACTTCTGGCAGCAAATTACATAATCTATTGTGAGTGGGGCAAGGTGTGTTCAAATTTCCCACCAGGCACTGTATACATCATATATAATCAAGGTTGGGATACATTAGTTCCTGCCGAGCTCTTGTCAAAATTTGCAATACGAATCCTATTGATACCCTAGTCAAAAATGAATTTACATATAGCTTCCAAGGTTCCTCCCTGTAATAAAGTGCGGCTCTTGTGAACGAAGACCACATTCGACCTATTGAAAAGTCGGTACCAAAGTTTAATTTATTTCACCATATTCAACTATTCCCATCGCTTCAATAATGCCATCTCTGTAGTGAGGCCAGGTCCAAAACTCGCAGCGATAACATCCCGCCTTCTCATCTCCATGTTCCGCATCTGATCAAGAACCGCTAGAACGGCGACACTGGATGCGTTGCCACGAGTTCGGTAAATCTCATAGGTAGCTGCTAATAACTCTTTTGAAATTCCCATAGCTGCCTCTGCTCCCTTGATAATAGACAAACCGCCTGGATGAAGCGCCCAATCAAACTCCGTCGGGACGGCAGAAGGCATACTATTCGACCTTGTCAAGCTTTTGAACGGTTGGGAGAGAGACATTGCAGCCAGCTTGGGAACGTTCTTTGATAGTAGGAGTTGGAATCCACTACTATTAATCTTATATTCCATTTCAGCATGCGTATCAGGCGTGATGAATGAACGCCAATCAATGACAGAAAATCGCTTAGGGAGGTCCTTCTCGCCATTTAATAGCCCTTTGGAGTTGCAGACAACCAGAGCTGCTGCACCATCACCAAATAGTGTAGGACCGATTCCTCCAGTTTGTGAGGTCGCCGCCTGGTGGAACTCAGAACAGATATAAATGCTGCAAATTTCGCATGCGAGAACCAAGATTCTGGCTGGCTTATCCTGATAAGTTGCTGCTAATGCAAGGTTTGAAGCCATTCTTAACGCTGCAAGCCCTCCAGCACAGCCAACGCCGCTGATTAGGACTCTTTCTGCATCGGCTGGAACACCTAGTTCACGGGCGACACTTTGATCATAACCAGGACTTCCAGCATTGGTAGCGGTGACGGACACAACATGTGTGATCGACTTCGCTTCGATTCGACTGTCGAGCAATGCTTTCTTCGCGGCTTCCTTGGACAGCTGGACACCATATTGGCGCCATGCAGCATCAACTTCCTCTGCCTTTGGGGGCTCTTTTTGGTGCCATCGTGGATCTGCCCAAATATTCACCACAGAGCGAGTCTCAATACCGGTTTGGGCGTTAATCCTGAGTAGTCTTTGAAGCCTGGAATTACGTAAGCATTGATTGTATGAAATTGCTGAATGTGACCCACCAAGGAGCATCCGCAGGATACAACGATAGAGCATATTTCTCTATATCGTCTGCTGTAATAACAGTTGAGGGCCATTGCGTTCCAAGACCAGTGATAGTTATTTCGTTCACATTTTGGGCCGACGTGGGACTGGAAGGATAACTTGGGTTTGAAAACACACCACCCATCTTGATCACACTGGTAGTTCTAGGATATGTAAAATAATTAGTGAGGCAAGTTAAAGACTGAAGAAGGATCAGGATTATTTATACCTGTCCAGTAAGCAAATAAACGAGCATAAATACCCTTGAAATGTACTGATAAAACTATTACAATACATGGCTGTCTTCTGTAACCTTGCGCTGGCGAGCGATCGACAAACATGCGCCGAGTCAGACTAAAGTCTGACATGGCATCCAAGGGGAATTTTAGCGCTTGCCAAGTTGAATTTATTCATGTGGTGCATGATACTGAGAAGGGCGAATGTTGGGGGCTGCAGATCTTACCTGCATTATGAATGCTTCTGCATGGCCCCCACTGGGACCAAATGACCAATGTGACGTTGAATGTGATGAGGGGTTTGCTTGCCAGTCTTTTTTTCGATCCAAATGCCTGATCCGCACAGGGAACAAGTTCAACTCTATTTCCTTCAAGCCATCAAGCTTTCGCGCGGGATTATTTACCTTCGTTCGCAGGCTCTTTCCTGCTTTCTATGCGCCGACACGACCTTATATTTGAATACGCGGAGCTTCAAGAAGTTCCTACAGATCCCGTCAGCCAAGTGACGAGCTTGCCTCTACCATGGCTTATACTTCAAGGCAGTCGCTGATTATCGGTATTCACTGGTCGCTCTTCATATTAGCGACCGCCGTTCTGTCCGCTCGCTTCTATGTTAGGACCAGGATAAGACCCAGAACGCTAGGTTGGGATGATTGGTAAGCTACTAAGTGGCTATGCGTTATTTCCTACACTACCAAGCAGAGAGCTTACTGTGACTATAGGACTATGTTGCTTGCATACGTACGTAGCAAGATGTATCAGGATCTAGACAATTTCGCTTTTCTGACAGAATGGTAGGGTTTATCAATTGGTGCTGGAGTAGTTGAAACGCTGCTGGTGGAAGTGAGTTCAACATAGTTCCTTACAATGTGCTTTACATGAAATGTCTAACCGATGAACAGTATGGGATCGGAAAGCACATAGATACCGTCAATCCAGCCAACCTACCCATGATATCGAAACTGACTCTAATCAACTCGATAATCAACTTGCTTGGCACGATGATGGTCAAAGTCTCCATTTGTCTATTTCTCCTCCGCATGACCCACAGAGCCAACCAAACCGTCAAGTGGCTCGTAATGACCAACCTTATAATCTTGATTCCTTTCACTATCGCCGTTGTTATCGTCGACCTGGTCCAGTGCATTCCGCTAAAGGGATATTGGGACAAATCTATAGATGCGAAATGCATCAATGCAGATACCATTGACATCCTGCTCAAGGCTGCGTCGGGTAAGTTTTCATGGGAATACAGATGGACTATATGTTTGTACTAACCCGAGGAAAGCTGTCGGAGTCGCAACCGATTTCTTCACAGCTGCGATCCCCATCGTAATCGTCTATCGAGTTCAAATTCCTCGACAACAAAAATGGGCAGTCTATGCAATTCTCATGATCGGATTTTTGTATGCCCTTGCCACTCTTGCCTTTTTAGGTAATAATCTAACGTTATACAGCACTGCGGGAACCTCCATTGCCAAAACAGTTGTCATCAATTGGACACCCAAAGATTATACCTGGGGGAACTCACCAGTTGGATACTGGGGTGCCTTGGAACATGAGCTGGGGATATTCGCGGGTTGTCTCGTCACACTTCGACCTCTGCTTCAAAAAATGCACTCACACTTCAGTTCGGGTACCGGAAGCTTGGAGTCACATGAATTGGCTCCTGAATCGGCACACTCAAGAAAGCGAACGTTGAGTGAGGATGAGTTGTTGCGACTAGAATCAAGCGCCCAGCCTATGGGGTTGCAAATCCAGAAAATGACTGAAGTGGAGGTCTCTCTCGACGCGCCGCTTACAAAACATTCTCCTGATGCGCACAGAAGAGAAGATGCTTGGGTTTGATGAGATACAGCTCGCTATCTACCACTTAGGTAGAGAGGAAGTAATAATGAATCTAAAGATACATGGAAACTAATTAGATAAAGTCGAAACTGTATAGGAAGTTCCAAAATATGAGTATAATGGCGATGGTTTTCAAAAGCTGAGGGTCACTATAGCAATTGTGGCGTGACAGGCTCGGCAAGGTCTCCACATTCTATCCACCAAGTATCTTATATCATGACCGACACGATGGAATGGAAACGACCTGAAGCTTTTCTTTGATCTCGCCGCCCGTTATGACTATTGAGAGCTGTTGGTGTACGAGCTGAATAGTAAAGACCAACACGAAGCACAAGGATACGAATGTAGTATTGTGGAAGTGCGGCAAGGAAGGAAGAAGAGGATCTACGAGAGGTGAAGCCTAAGTAGTGCAGGACGGAAGGTACTAGTCCTAATGAGGACGTCAACAGTTGGCTATATAATGAGGGGCCGAGATACATGACCATGTCACTTCAGATCCCTTCTTGGGCATAATTTGGCTTCCATTGACACGATGATATTACATATTGAGATTACTGGTCCTCTTAGACCTGTCCTTGGGTTATCTTATACGTAGCTATATAAGCATCTAAATAACTTCGACGACTTCGTGGAGTTCAATCTCGAGGAAATGAAACTAGTTGTATTTGATTCTAAAATCAATTGATGTAACTCAAGGCATTTTTACCATACCATCGTTTCTGACTTTCATAAACGAGCAAAATCTTATATTCTCGGCTCTCTGGCTTCAAAGATGAGAATCGACCCAATTAAGTCCACTTTGACATCGCTAAAATTCTCTTTCAAAGCCTTCACGTAAGTTTCTGCCCCGTCATCGTAGTTGGTCAATCGTTTCTCCCAGTTCAATATGCGCAATAGGAGTCGCCCCAAAAAGCTATGCCATGGCCCACGACCCAGGATGGTTGCGCCAAAAATTACACCCGACGGCTTTATTGACGATTTAATTTTTCCAAAAATCGAAGCCTTTTCAAGCGGTGAAACAGGGAGGGTATGCAATAGGTACATCATAGAAATGGAATCGTAGGATGGTGACGTATTTTTCGGAGGACAAGGAAGGGGGTCCAAAGACAGAATATCATGTCGATGTGCCTCGACATGCACATGGGGGTGAGATTTCAGTAGGCGTTTTGTAGTTGAATAGAGAGGGGTGGGCTCGATATCGAGAAGGGTCACGAAGCTCTCTGGTCCATACTTGTCGTGGCGAGCAAGGTAGTAGCCCGTTCCTGCATTTCATCGCAAATTAGACAACTTAAGGTAACACAGTAGACAACCGTATCGTACCACATCCAATGTCACAGTGATTGGCTCCAATGTTGCGTGAGTACAGAGGAATTAGGACATCTTTTGTTGAGCAGCACCAGATAAAAGGATTGGCAACGTTCATTAACCATCCATCGTAGAAATAGAGAATCAATGCAGAGTACTTGGAGCGTTCGAATGGCCACATGGTGGATTTTTGGGTTTCTTTTCACGACAAGGCAGAGACTGTAATACCAATGGTCTATTTAAGCGTATTAACTCCATATTGGCAGGTCTCAATACCGGAGTATACTAGCGCTTCCTATGCCCCATGCCCTGCATAAATGTTTTTTTTCTCCCTAGGTGCATTCGGCCCCAAGAATCTGTCTCGGTCGAATTCCCGCATATGTACTAGAGTTCCCCACGTATGGTTGCCACCTTTGTGGCGGGTATTTTACTCTGATCTGCATTCCTGTGCATTTTGGCCCCCAACAAATTATGCCGATCAAGTGAATACTATAAAAAACACATGTGATCTCACATGCATGATGGATACCGACATTACCCCCGCGTAAGGTATTCTTGCAGTCTTTCATTTTCATACGGCCCTCTTGTATATTTTACTGTCACAAGTGGCTTTAAAAACTCCTTTAGTTCCCCCACTCCGGCAGATTGTCATCTGTTACACTCATATTTTCAAGTGAATCAAGTAAATTCAGACAACACGATAGATGATCAAAATGACTAAAAAGGCTGAGCTTGAGAAGCTTGCGGCTCAAATCCAAAAAGAAGTCAGTTGCTACGATGAAGCCGATCCGACTGCCTGGGTGCGTATCCAGGATGCAATGTATCAACTCCGTCGAGCAACAGAGCCACCGAACATATTCGTCATGAAGCAGCGCTTTCATGTAAGTCTTGATCTTGCCATATCATAATTTGACACACTAATTTAGAAAGGCTGTTCAAAATGTTTCTATTGTTGCAGCGCTTGAAATGGGGTTGCTCCAGCTATTAGTAGCAAATAAAGACAAGAGTATGACAGTGTCAGAACTGGAGGAGAAGTCTGGATATCATTTTTCCCTAATAGGTAGGGTAATATGATCCATGCTTAATTGAACCAAGCTAATTGAATAGCCCGCGTGATGCGTATGATGAGTGCAATCTCGTTTGTTGACGAAGTTGGGTATCAGACATACACTGCAAACATGAATACTGTTTCTCAATGCGAACCTGGAAATTCCGGGGGTATCATACTAACGTGAGTGTACTTGACCTACCATCAAGGAAGCTAGCTGACTGAATGCAGGAACGATATGATCTATTGTCTCGGAAGTAAAATTCGGGAGTACCTCACCGAAAATAAGCCCTGCGATATCAGCAAGACACCTTCTGCCTATGAGTTTGCTATGGGTGAGACTACATGGGAAACATTTACTAAGAACCCAGTGTGGAAGAAAGGGTTTGATGATAGTATGACTCTCCGGAACAAAACCATCTCGACTCCGTGGTATAAGAAGTATCCTGTGAAGGAGAACCTGTCTTCAGCAAAACCAGCTATTGTTGATATTGGTGGGAATCAAGGCGTTGACTTACAGCGATTTGCTGAAACATTCCCTGAGATTGAATGTGAGCTGGTCCTACAAGATCTACCTGAGACCCTGGAGAGAATCCCTGGTTCTCTAGATCCGAAAATCAAGCCAACGCCGTATGACTTCTTCACGGACCAAGTGATTAAGGGTGAGTTTTGGCTCTAAGCTTTCTAATATAAGCCTAACTAACGCTAATAGGGGCGGATATCTACTACCTGAAATCTGTGCTCCATGACTGGGATGATATCTCGTCTCAGAAGATTCTTTCTAACACTGCCAAAGCGATGCAACTCCACTCACGCCTTCTCATAAACGAGATAGTGTTATCAGATACCAATGAGTCATTGGTAAGATGTGATATGGATATGTTGATGTTTTACCTCTGCAACGGGATGGAGCGTACCAAGAGCCAGTGGGCGGAACTGTTGGCCAAGGCAGAGCCCCCCTTAAAGCTTGTTAATGTGTGGTCAGTGCCAGAAGATCAACAGAGTGTTATTGAGGCACGGCTGCTGAATTAGACTTCAGTCAAAGCATGCGCATTCATGACACGGGCTGAAGTACAGAAACTAAACCTTGATCTATTTTTACCACACCGTGCCTAAATCAGTAGATTCGGCAAAGCCGAAAGACTTTGGAATTTGAACCAACAGACAGGCAGACTAGGCAAGGCCAAGATATGTAAGCTTAATTTATCAGGGATCACGCGGGAAAGACAAAGACTAATCCTTAAGGAATGAAATAACTCCTCAAGTACATTTAAAGTATCCAAATTTGATTGGTAGAAGCAAGAATATCTAGGCGCAAATGGTTACATCCACTAACAAACCCGCAACCCCAATCATTCGTCCCATCCCCACAATCCTATTGCCACATTGCCCAAAACTTCTCCAGCCATCTCCACCTCCGCCAAGAACGAATCAGCGCTGCCACTCTCATTAAGCTGAAACACCCTTACCTGCGCATTCTCCATGGACCAATATTCTGCTTCTACAAAGCACCCAAGTCGTTCATTACAGCCCAATCTCTCAGCCACTAGGCGATGATATCCGCTCATTTCCACAAGATCAGAGGGTCGTTTCTCCTCAGCTGCACAACAGATACTCCCCTGGTTCGCCTTACGTCCCGAAACCCGCCATCGCGTCGTCAGCGTCATTAATCGCCGAGTCAATATACACCACGAAATGGGTATCGCGGTCCCATATGTACTTAGATCGGGCTGCCGCAATGTACTCCTCCCAGTCTGTGTTTCCGATGCTCATGGAGGAAATATATACTGCTGAGTCGCAAGTGGACATTCGGAGACCTGGAATACAGCCGTGCGCATGATTAATAAGGCAGCCAATTGATAAATTGACTTGATCTAACCTGATTCGATTCTTTCCACACTGACCATCCAACAGTGAAATATGCAAGAGGCTAGTTAATAATTCGAGATTGGATTGACTCACCATCAACTTCGCCTTTGAAATTCAGTTTGACGACTAACACGCTGCCTTGTTCCGTTGATTTCCAGCCTGGACGGTCGACAACAATCATATAGTCACAATACCAGTGGCCTTTATCGAGGGAAGATGACGTGTACTGAATGGCATCAATGATAGCTTGAATACTCCCATCATGAGAGACTTCTTCCGTGATCGGACCTGCTTCTGCGTTGGTATTGAGGACCGCTTGCCTGTCGTGTGGAGAAAGATTCAAAAAAGGAAGGATGTATACGGGGGTCTTGCCCTTTAACATGTTTCACGGCGCCTCAAAGGGTAGTTCTGGCGTATGATATGGGTAAAATTATGCAGGTACTAGTGATACTATGCAGTTATAACTTGAGCTTAAAGCTAGCGATTATTTCAGGAACGACTAAGCATACCCCAACTCTCATATGATGTCATGATAAATATTGCACTGCATAACTAAATTTAGATAGCACTCGGGCACCTGGTTGGCATTCGGGGCTATTTTCAAAGGCCTTGTGCGGCCGACTCGATCCAGTTTAGCCCTCCTCGAGATCCAACCCACCAATTTATCCCCGATCTGGCCATGAGCTACATTCAAATTTCTCGTTTTTGTATCCTATTGAAGATAGGCGACAGAACCTTTGGCCCTAAGAACCCAATCTTTACTAGACGAAAAAACTACATAGCAATTTCTTCGTCGTGGGCCTATGGATCTGTGTCAAATGTGGAATAGGGATACAAGCGTCGAGATGCCTCGGTGTTGGGCTGATGGGCAGCCAAGACGAGCGAAAAGATGATCTCCAGTGCTTAGGACATATGAGCTTGAATGGATTCAGTTTCCTGCTTTGGGGAATGTCAATAATATCAGGACGCTGTTAAAATGGCAGACATCAGATCTCCAAAAGAGCTTGGAAAACGAAACAAAAATAAAAATAAAAACATACAACAGTTAGGATTCGCATGTGGTCACCCACCATACTACTAACTAACCGGCGTGTGGCTTAAGTACGGCTGAGCGGACGGGAAGCCCTGTTCTCCACACCCTATGGTCGTATGTACTAGGTGATTATTTAAAAAAAACCTATATAGTACAAACGGGATTGTAACCGAGAATTGCGGCACTGCTGCCCAGGTGGGAAATACGTGAGCGCCGCGTCTCTTACCTACGAAGGCGAAGCCAGCCTCTACGATGCAGGGGCGTAATTATATGCTAAATACCACCATACCTATATCATGCACATCTCACATTAATCTCAGCTTGTCTGGATGGTACACACAGTGCAGAGCACCTATGTCCTAACACAAGAACTGTTGAATGTATATATTTGTGGGTGACCGCCGTCTATCGCGAGGGTTTCCCAACTCAATCACCATTCCCAATGATCTGGGGTAAAGATCATCGAAACACATTGCTCAATTTGATTCTGGCGAGATCATTGCGTCGGCAATATGCAAGGTAATCATTTCCAATTCTTATCTTATCTTGTCGTGGGCGCATACACTTTCCTTTTTCGGCGATTGATGGATGATTGATTCCTCAGTGGTATACCTCTTCACTCTCACTCGCTCTCGATTCATATCGGCGGGTGCCAGCCAAAGGTTTTTGCAACATCATATCCGGATTAGAATCTTCACGCTTCGGGCGCTCAATTTCCATTCCCTCTTCTGTCACCATGGACCCCCAAGTGTTAGCTGACTGGGCGGAGTGCGATAAAACCGACACTCTCTTCGTGGTGATTTGTAGTGTCATTTGCTGGGGAATTATCCCAGCTGTCGGCCTTGGTTATTCAGGGTATTCCACGCGCCACAACTCCCTGGCATCTTTTTTCCCCGCATTACTGGCGGTCATCTGTGTCTCCCTTCAGTGGTACATTCTAGGTTACTCGCTAGCTTACGGAGAAGGCAATGGATTCATCGGAGATTTGAAATATGTTTTCCATCAAGGTGTTCTTGCGCAGCCGGTGGGCACTATTCCAGCCATTCTGTTCAGTGAATTCCAGCTTGTCTTTGCCGCTACCGTTGCGGCAATTGCCATCGGAGGGGCTTGTGAACGAGGCAGACTGCTTCCCCTGGTTCCCTTTCTTTTCGTGAGTGGGATCATCACCAGCTGCCGTAGATCTGTATCACTGGCTAATGGGAACTGGTAACAGCTCTGGACCACCTTTGTATACTGCCCGCTGGCGCACATGGTATGGTCCGAATCTGGGTTTTTAAACCAAATGGGCGTCCTCGACTTTGCCGGTGGAACGCCCGTGCATATTTGCAGTGGCGCGACTGCGACTGCTATATCAGTGTACCTGTCACATCCACTTTTTCGCTCACGGAAATCTAATGCCCGGACTCCATCGCATCTGAAACTCCACAAGCCACACAATACCATTTCCCAACTGTTGTCTCTGGTCACGATATGGGGATCCTGGCTTGCATTTGACGCCGGCACTACCTTGAGCTTTAACTTCAAGTCGGTCCATGCTCTTTGCGTCACCAATGTATGTGCAGCGGCCGGAGCCTTGACCTGGAATATAATCACATATTATGAAACGGGAAAGTTTTCTTTGGACTCAACATTCCTCGGAGCTATTTCAGGGTTAGTCATGATTACTCCTGCGGCAGGCTTTATCAGCATGACCACATCTCTTTTTTTCGGCATTGTTGGAGCATTGGTCTGTCGTCAGGCGCTACGGATTAAGTTCACTGCTTTAGCTCGACGTCTCAGATGGGTTGATAATGGTGACTCTTTTGCCACACACTGCATCGGGGGTTTCTAGGCACCATTGCGACCGGTCTCTTTGCCAATAAAGAAGTGGCTGCTTTTGATGGAACGACCGAAATTGTCGGCGGTGTTTTTGTGGACGGTAATTTCCCTCAGATCTTTGTTCAGATCCTCGAAGCCATTATTGGTTTTACCTCGGCCTTCGGAGCCTCTTATCTGATTTTTGCTGGCCTTGATTGCATTCCCGGTCTCGAAGTTCTTGCCATAGATGAGTAAGGTTTTTTCCTTTTTTTTTTTTTTTTTTTTTTTTTCTCAACATTCTGCCTCTCCTTGGAAGTCAACATGATACTGACGGATTTCAAAAGCCAAATCATCTCAGGATTGGATACTATACAAGTGGAAGAGTCACTCCACAGTGCGCAATGGAAAGATGAGGAGGACTATTTGGCACTGGAATCTCCAAACAGTATTTGTTTGGCATGAGCATGGGGATCCAAACTGCCGTGGACGTGTAGCTTGGAAAATCGGTTGAGAATTAGCTAGAATATTTTTTGGATTAGGTGCGCCGAATCTTTAGGAACCATTGGTCAATACGTGCCATATAAATGAAAAACACTATACTTATCCGACCAATACGACAGCTCTTAGACAGTGGGGATGGCCAATAGTGCTTATTTTACCCCGCACTGCGATAAGAGCTGATACGGTTATTGGAAGTTATCGGGAGCTTTGATACAATCTGCCCGACTTCTACGGGCTACAATAAACTTGTCCAGCAGGAATAATAGGACCACATCTGACCGGGGTGCGTCAACCGACAGCGGCGCTTACATATAGCCCTACCACCTGACACCTGAATGAACCTAGTCGAAGTCTTTCAATGTCATCCTTAGCGTCGATTCTACACGCTGAATCGCTGATTCCTTTTGAACGCAATACAATCCTCTTCGAACCTCGATAATATAGGTTCCCGTGGTCTATACGGTATCATATTACTCGTGGGAGTATGAGGGCGTCTTCCACCCGAAGCCGCGGAGGATGTACCAGATGCAAGGAACGAAAGGTTCGGGACCTCCGCCATCTCTCAAAAGACACATTCTAATCCTTTTATTATTTCAGCGTAAATGCGACGAAACCAAGCCTGCCTGTCAGAACTGCACGACCAAGAACCTCGTTTGCCGTTACCACCTCTCTGTACGATGGTCTCAGAAACACGAAAAGGGCAGTCGACGAAAAAAATCAGAGTCGGCGTCCCCAGCCAGGCCAAAGTCTCCACTTATCTCTTCCTCTATTCATTCCAATACTTGCAGGACAAGTGTGACTGAAGAGCGCGAGAGGGATCGAATCGGTAGCTCTCGACGGCAACAGCAGGATGTCGCGGATAACGGTCCTAACGAAAGCTTCGATGGCCTCCCTATCGAATGTCTCCCGGCGTCCTCTCTCCATTTGAGAAAGACAACGACCAGTACGCTTTCAAATGTCGATATGAACTTCCTCCTTCGGGAAAGCGCACTGGACGGTTTGGCCGAAGACTCCATAGAGCTTACACGAGGCTGGAATATGCCAACGACTGGCGATTTTGTTGAGAACTCAAGTGAATATTTTTATAATGAATTGAATCTTGAACAGATGGGCGATAGCGATAATGCTTTTAATTGCATGGAACTACATGACAGTTTCAGGCATATCGGGACGTCACATGAATCGACGGAATGGTCTTCTCTTGTTTCTCGATACTTCCAAATGATTGAACACCCCCCATTGCTTCCATCATTGGAGAACAAAACCACAACCCTAGTTCAATATTACTTCCATGATACATGCGCAACTTGGTCATCTTTTGACTCGGAAAAGAACCCATTTAGGACCGCTATTGAGGTTCTTTGGCAAAAATCCCCACTGATATACTATGCCATCCAAAGTAACGCAGCCGCCCACCTCTCCAATCAGTTTTCTAGCATGCAAATAACGGCCTCCAACATGCGAGAGAAAGCGCATGCCGCTTTCCTTCAGGAGCTGCGGAGTGCAACAAATACCCATTCAACTGGCGATGAACTCCTCCTTGCGACACTTCTTCTAGGCGTCTCTGCTTCTTGGCATGACAGCGATGACCTGGGTCTGTCGTATCTGTGCATTGCTAGATTTCTTATTCGTACAAGGTTATTGAGTCAAGGTTCAGGGCATCATCAAACATTAGATCGGAACATTAGATTTTTTGTCGAAGCCTTAGTCTACTGGGAAATGGTCGCAGCCTTTGTTTCTGGCGAAGGCTTCAAATCGCCTCCGATAACGACACCAGACCCAAGTCATTTTCCTTGGGCTGAGCCTCTGGCTACCACCGTGATCCCTCATCCATGGACTGGCATTGCACCTCGAGTAATGCTACTTTTTGGTGAGGTCGGGCGTCTCGTGCAAGACTACGCAACATCAGCAGGAAAACCGAGGACAGATCTGAATCTGGTGGCCTTAGCGACGAAACTCGAGGAGGATCTCCTGTCCGTTTGTATCCCGACAGAGGATAAGATTGCAGACGTATATGATGAGTTGACCAGCAAGAATGACTTCATAGTCTTTGCCGAGGCTACTCGATGTGCAGCACTGTTGCAAATATATCGTGTCTTTCCCGATGTACTTCACTGGAGGCTTGGTGCGGGAACGTTCAAAATTATGCCTCTGCTCGACGTGGCGGAACTAAACAGCGGCAAAAACATGAGCGGCTCATGGCTCATCGGTTTAGCAATGCATGTCTTGAATCTCCTTGCCTCCGTTCCCGCTTACTCGGGCGTTCGATGTGTTCAGTTACTCCCGCTTGCCACGGCAGCTTTTGAACTACGTGCTTCTCCCGGAACTTCATACAGCGATGTGGAAATAGCAAAGTTCCGGGACTTTGTCATGGGAAGACTAGAGCTTTTGGCAGGGAGACTGCCGTCAAAGCCTATATCACGCATCACGCAACTGTTAAATGAGGTGTGGCGAAGGAATGACCGAGGCGATGATACTTTCTGGCTCAATGTCATGGTTGATAAAAATTGGAAAACCTTCTTAGGTTGATCGATGTTCGTCTTGCAGAATCTGGCACCTGGAAGAATGGCAAGATTGCCAATTGTTCGGCTGACACTTGCTCTCTAATTCTCTAATTATATTGCCCGGCAAACAATGCGAATCAATGAATATTAAAAAATTAACAGGTGTGCCCATGAATTGCAACTTCTTGTTCCAGCAACCATTCAGCTAACGAGGTCTAGAATGAGCCTGTTGTGCTCACCTCGTCTTATGAACTGGGGTTTATTATTTACCATGTTTTTTTTTTTTTTTTTTTGTTTTGCCAACTCACAAAATGGTCTAATTTTACCAATTGTCTTGTACATACGACCATAGGGTGTGGAGAACAGGGCTTCCCGTCCGCTCAGCCGTACTTAAGCCACACGCCGGTTAGTTAGTAGTATGGTGGGTGACCACATGCGAATCCTGACTGTTGTATGTTTTTTTTTCTTTGAGCCATTTGTCTTCATGCGTGTAATGTTAGTTAGGGATGGGAATATCGTGTGGCAGGCCGATACAACGAGGAACATCAATCAACTAGGGAATGGTCCCGTCGGCACAACACGGATTCTTTTTTTCCTTTGTTCACGGACTTGTTCATCCTTCCTAGGAAGAAGTCTCAGTAATTCTCTTCTCCAGAGCTCTCCTCTTCTTCTTCCCCCGTATTGCTGTCTTGCTCTTCCTTAAAAAAGAACCCTGTCAACATCTTTTTGAACACATCCTGTTGCCGATCGCACCACCACGCGTACCGCCCATGCTTCTCATAAGGCGTAAAACTCATCGGCTTGTAGGCATGATTAAGCTGCTCAAGAAAGCCCTTGTTCCGTTGCCGTCGAATTTTCTGCTGCAACCAGTGATGAGCCGCCGGATCGCGGTCCATGATCTGCTCAAGGACAGGATCTTTGATCCCCCAAGGATCAAAAATACACAAGAAGTCCGACAGTAAACAGCTCTGCTCGAGATCCATGCTTCCAATGCACTCCTTCTGTTCGGGGACGCCAAGTCGCATCAGTCCCCAGATCTGGTAGTGGGCACGGATGAAGCGGATTTCTTCAAGAGGCGACAAGACCTTAGGGACTTGTGGGTCCCAATGGCGATGTTTTTTCACGCGATCAAGGAATGAAGTGGCTAGATCATTGACGTTCTGGGAAGTTTGTATGATCCGAGCAACGTCCGAGATTTCCAGAACTTGGGCATCCAAGGCGAGATATCCCTGCTTGGCCAGGAGAGCCCGTAAATCTTCATAACAGGGAGTGGTTGTGGATGCAACAAGATTGCAGATGTATGACGTGTGCTCCTTCCAGATCCTGTTCAGCCGTTTACAGCTTGCAGCGAGGTTGGCAACATCCTTGAATGAAGAGGAGCAACCGAAGACTACCACCAGAAGCTCGGCGGGGAAAGTCAGCAGTGAGACGCCCTTTGCGGGAGACAAGATAGCCATGATCGCGTGAAGCCAAAGATTTAGAGAGATTCGAGGGAGAAGAATAATTAAACGATGACACTTTAGACTCTTTGAAGTGAAATTTGGATTGTTGAGGTTATTCAAAAAGAGATCATCTCACATATGGTAGGTGAGGGGAAGAAGAGGGAAAAGAAGAGAGAAGAGCGGTAACAGCGTACTTGATGCTGAAAAGTGAAAGTGAAGGGCTACCTTCACTGACACAAGGGTGGGAGGTTGTAGAGAGTAAAAGGAAGTTGGTGCCTATTCATAATGCACTGCCTCAATGCACGCGTCACCTGACTTAGGAAACTCATCTGAGATTGTAAGTTTGTGTAGAAAGTGAAGAACTGTGCGGTATCTTGTCTATTGAGAACTATTCACAGTCCAAGGCCAATGAATTGAAAGCCCAGAGTCTGTTTGTCTATGCTGCTTTAACTTATCTTCTCTCGCGATAGCCGAATGATAGCGATATATTTCGTATTTCGTCACTCGTGACACGACGATGCCTGGAGGAGTGTCGGAACACGTAATCAGGGCGGTCAATCAAGGTCCTATGGGTATTCGATTCAATATATATCTGTCTAGTTGTTCTCCTATCTCTATGCGCACACCTTATATGCTGGCTTACTAATCTAGCTAGCTTACATCATCAAAATTATGCCGACACACCCCCTCAGCTTAAGCACCCTACAATTGATTAAGCTAGACCCATAATCAGCCAATTCCTTCAATTCTGCAATCTTCCGAATCAGCCTCCATTACCTAATTAGGCCATACTAACTTATCATTCCCTCCATCTCATTCCATAATCAAATGCTCAACGTCCACCAGGCCTAACAGTTTAACGAATATCTCATGCTTTTGCCTCGGCAGCACCTTAGTGAGTCCGTCTGCGACCATTTATCCAGTCGGAACCCATCGGATCCAAACTCGACCTTCCCTAACCTCTTATCTTAGCCAGTAACCGTGTATATCCACATGTCGAAGCTTAGTGTTAAATGGCGTGTCTTCCGCGTTAATCAGGTCAACCGTACGGGTATTATCGCATTCGATCGTGAGTTTATCTAGGTATTCGAACCCGATCCTTCTAAATAGTCTATCCCACCACTATAACGCTTTACTAGCGTCCGAGAGACCTAACAACTCGGCCTCGGTAGTGAATATAGTGACTATTCTCTGCCTCGTCGCCTTTTAGTTAACTAGGCCTCTAAATATCTAACATATATATCCAGTAGAGCTCGTCCGATCGCCGTTATCCATGTATGAAGCGTTACTTAATATCCTAACCACGTCCTGGTCGTCTTCGACCAGCCCATACTGGATCCCCTAGTATCTCGTCGTGTAAAGGTAATATATAAGGCGTTCGATCGCGGCGTGATACTTAGGCCCTAGGTTCTAAAGGAACTAGGCGAGGGTCGAAGCCTTCTTCGCTACATCTAGACAGGTGATTATAGTGCCATACTAGACTAATCCTACCTTCTACTGGTAATCATATATACTCTATGGACTCGCTTACCCCTCAAATAGGTCAAGCTTCTCCACGGCCCCTGGTGTCCATACACGTGCTTGTCTAGTGAGGTTATACCGCTCCACAACGCTCGTAAAGTAGCTATCTTGAACTAGCTAGAGTTTCCGTTCTACACAGTTCCGTAAGATTCTGATCCCGAGGAACCATTCAGCATCACCTTGATCCATAAGCTCCCAATATTTCTCGAGCTCTTACTTAAGCTAACGTGCTCGTTCTCTTACTATATAATAACTCGCTATAAGGATATCATCAACATAGAAGAACATAATGATCCCTTCTCCAACAAACACGCATGGATCCTCCGCGACCTACTCTAATCCAAGACCTTTTAAAACCCTCATAGCGTCCTACTACTAGAGTCTCAGTGCAATTCTCAGTCTATATAAGGCCCTGAGTAATAACTAGCATCTCCCTTAGGTCTTAAAGCCTTCTAGCATCAAGGTATACACTTCTATACAGAGCTTACTATTTAGAAACGTGGTAACCGCATCTCGCTGACGGAGATCTAAGTCGTACGCCGTATATAGGGCGAAAAGCGTCCTCGCTGTCTAAGTAGCGAGCGTTACCGCCCGTTTTTCTTCGGCCGAAATAGATTATAAGTCTCCACGTACACATATCCGTGCTTTACACTTGATGAGAAACCCGTCCTGATCGAATTTATACGCGTACACCCACATAAGCGGTAGCACTTATGTCCCTCGATCCTTTGGTATCTCAACTTCCTGGTACGTTTCCTTCGCTTATAACCCGTCTAGTTCTACCCTCATAGCCTTGCTGAATCCATCACTTAACGGATGCTTCTAGACGTCTTTATAACGTTCTAGCGGTGGTGGAAGATCATCTTGGTGTTATCGGTGCGAGGGCTTCAGGGCGTATAGACCTATTATAAAGGCTTAGAGGGTCATGGACGTAGTATCATCATCTACTAACGTCGTCGTGCGGTAGGCGAAATCCTCATCTCGTCGCTGTCTGCGTATCCTTGGTCTATTTATGATATTCCCGATATCTAGAGCCGCTCTATCCACGTCCTCGACCTTGTCTTCGTCTTCGTCCGGGTCTGACCGTGCGAGCTCGCTCGTCTCTCGCATTGATATAGGAGTCTCTGGCGTTAGATCCCCTCTATACCCTTCGTTTTCCTCATTCATAACCCCACCTACCCCTTAATCTATGGTAGAGTCATTGCTAGGAGATCTTGGTGGCGTCCAAGACGGTTTAATATGTCCGTTTGGATCCATTTCCTTACTATTTAAATTATTTAAGTCCTATATCCTATCCTGCTCAGGACTATCTTTAATGGTAGGTGGTGGCATGTCTAGCATATCCTTAGCCAGGTCCTACGCGTTATCTGCACCCCCTGCCGTTGGAGATAGTTCTAGAGTATCTCTTCCTGAATCTACACTCTCTACTTGCTTATTAAGCCCCTATAGAATAGATTTACCTTTGTATCTTACCTCTATGATCTCTGGATGCACGTTCTGCGGGAGCGGCATGCGTACGACCTCATCTGGCTGGTTTTCGGCCGAAAAACGTCGAGACTTGTCAAAGATGGCATCTCTTACCATACGCACCTACCCATGGTATGGCATCTAGATCTTCTAGATATTTGATGCCATGTATCCGACCAGATACCCAATCTCTGCACGGGATCGTATCTTATCCAGTCGTGGAATGGTCGGATTCCGATAATATATAAGAGATCCATATAGATGTATATTCGCTAATAACGTCTTTGGTAGCTCTGATTTATCGACGAACTATCGAGCCTCTTCCCACGGAACTATCTAGTTCCCACTTTCTAACCTCGTTGGCGTACGATTTAGTAGATACACCGCTATCGCGATGGCTTCGGGCCAGAGCTTATCCGGTAACTTGCCTTCTTTAATAAGCGCTCGAGCTCAAAGCGTGAGCACTCCTCCAGAACGTTCACCTAGACCGTTCATCTCTGGGGAATATGGGACCGTGAAGGTATAGATGAACCCTATCTTGTCTAGAACCTTATAGATCTAGTCGTCCACGGTCTTCTTATTATCTAAGTGCCATACCTTGATTAGCAATTATAGCCACTTGATCGCAAACGCTATAAAGCTTTTGATGGCATCTTAACACCTATTCTTATTAATGTATATTATGCTCTAATGGAATTGTATGCCCTCTACATAGAAGTGCGTGATCTAGCAGTGCTGATTATATCCCATCGTCATTTAGATTAGATCGAAATAGACTTATCCATACGGCCCATAGTGCCGTCCAATAGGTCTCCAAGATATCTGCTAGGGGGCATTTACTAAGCTACATACCTCGCATAGCTGGCTATCTAATCCGTCCAGTTACTCTTCCCTATCTTTAATCTTGACTCCATTAACGAGCTCCGGCAGCTGCTGGATTGCTCCTTGATAGACGTGTCCGAGATGTCTATGCCATATCTCTGCCATTGCAGTTGATACCTATGGTTATATAGATCTTTGTATGGCATGCGCATGTTATATAGTCTCTAGATCTATTATATCCAGCCGTGAGAAGACGTAGACGTCTCGTTCCTAGTAGATCCTAAGTACCAACTCTCCATTATGCATTATATGCCCTTTCCACATATCCCACCACGCCCCTTTCTACTCTAGTCATCTAAGCGACACTAGATTATAGTAGAAAGAGGGCGCATAAAGACAATCAGTTAGCGTTACTATATAGGCCTTCTTTATAATTAGGTTAATACCTTCTATCACTACCATTTTGGTTCTGACTACTGGCGTCTAGCTCTCTCCAGTTTAGAGCGAAGATATACTCTTACGATACTCCGTGAACATAGACTGGTTGTTATATACATACACGCTCGCACCCGAATCTAGGATCTATTATATATAGTGGTGCTCTTTAACCGTCAATAGTACGGTTACGAACGCGATCTAAGAGGCATGATTTACCATCTCCTTCTTAGACGTCTCACTGAATTATTCTTCTATCCAGATCTTCCACTCTAGCTCCTTTTTAAACGCCTTTTCGATAGCTTCTTATCGCTTACGACCCACTTACCATCCTTCCAGACGCTTCGCCTTATTAAATACCTAGCACCAGGTTATGTGGTGAGGGCCTCTATATAGGCAGTCCGTACGTTCTAAGAACTCGGTTATAGACTTTACTAGCTTCGCTTCTTAATATCCTTACTACTTTAACGTTACGAACGTAGGCTTACTATTTCCTACTAGTGCGGACGCCTTCTATAGGGTCTCCGTGTATATTACACAGAAGGACTCTAGCATCGAATTCATACCTATAGTCTCCTTATTGATCACGATCTATTAGAACCGGTTCTCCCATCATGACGGTAGAACCTCTTTAACCGCTTTTATAAATAATAGTGGGTAGAACGATGCATTCTTATAGTTTAAGCTAACGACTTCTTCACGTAGGGATTCCCACTCGTCTAGCTACTTCAGAACGTCTTCCCCCTTCTTCGGTCCTTTTATTGCGTCTTCTCTCTATCTTAGGAATACCTCGACGCCATACACATTAGTTCTCGAGAACCTATTCACAAGGAAACGCATACGTTCGTATAGTGTGTCTAGACGGTCGAGAACGCGGTTAAGCTTTGGCTCTATAGATGCCGTGATCGCTTGGTCGATCGTCCGCAGACCCTTCTCTTATTTCTCGAACGTAGCTAATCGGATCTTATAGATGTCCATTTCATCTCTCTAGATCGACTGGTTCTCCCTAAACTCTTCCTTTAGAGACTTCAGCGCTCCGGCCGTGATCTCGTCGGGGATATCTAGAGTAGGTTGTGCGGGCATATTCGGGGGTTCCTTCGGTTAAACCACCGTGCTCCTACTCAGCTCCAGATTACATATATCCCATACTTATAGGCTCATTCTAAGGCGTCTCATGGCCATATACCACGAGTGCCACTAGGCAGGCCCCTTTAACTTCTCTCCTCTCCATAATAAGACAGATCCAATCGATTCCATGATGTCTTGATCCGATGCCGTCCGGATCCTAACGTGTGCTTCAGAGGTACGTTCGGGTAGTTGCACTATCCGGCTCAGGGGTAGGCGGTTCAGATATCTTCCAGATGCGTCTAAATAGCCTCAATTTCACCAATTCTAGTGTAATCAGAGTAATCCCGGGCTCATAACTGTCGGAACACGTAATCAGGGCGGTCAATCAAGGTCCTATGGGTGTTCGATTCAATATGTGTCTGTCTGGTTGTTCTCCTATCTCTGTGCGCACACCTTATGTGCTGGCTTACTAATCTAGCTAGCTTACATCATCAAAATTATGCCGACAAGGAGCCTCAACCACGTGACGCGATCCAGGTCCTATTCAGTCGCGGATAGGTCAGCTCCAAGCATTTAACACTCGACATGGGAATCAAGGTCTTCGGTATGGTCGCAATATGTAGATTGGATATTTGCTCGGGCTTCTGTGCAGCGATTAACTTTGGCTGATCCAACACGATATCTTACCGCGCCAAGTCTTCTCTTGTCCAATCGCCCAGTTCTGCCCACAGTCACAAATTTACCATGAGAATGAGTCTGACATCTCCCCTCCTTCTACGGAGTAAGCCTCGTATAAGGTCCCGTCTGTGGCGCTCGCTGGGTCACAAAAATATTTAAGTGACCGTGAACAAAAACCCGCTCCCAGGCTCTAAGTCTAACATCTCATTTTAACATCTTCCTGCTACAATTTTGACAATTGAATCTTTTGAAAATGTCGGGACTGGAGGTTATAGGCGGTATTTCTGCTATCATTTCCATCTTGGATGCCTCCAAAAAGCTCTATGACAATGTCCAACGCGACATCAATTTACCCAAGACGTTCGAAGTGGTTGGGTATCGGCTCCCAGTCATTCGGCATACCCTCGAGACATGCGAAGCCAAACTCAAACTGAAAATCAACTCGGTGCCTGAAAATGTGTGTGAAGAATTGGACAACTTGATTTATGCCTGTCAAACGAAAGCAAAAAACCTTGAAGAGATTTTTGAGAAAGTCATACCTGGGCCAAGCGATACTCTTCACAAGCGATATTCCACGGCCCTCCGAAGACTCGGTAAAGGTACAGAGGTTGAGCAGCTCATGAAAGCAATCACTGAGGATGTTCAGTTCGTTGTCAACCACCATGCGGTCATGTCTGCCGATCAACGTCAGAATACTGACCTCGACGAGGTTATCAGAGAAATAGAGTCTCTTCCATCTTCGGCGCAAATTGTCAATAGCGGTGCAGGAACACAGATAAACTGCAACAACAACGGGAGTGGAAAACAGCAGATCCATACTGGTTCTGGGAATATGTATATTGCTGAGACCCAGCATATCGGTAAGGACTAGGGATACTGACATTTGCATGCTAAATTAGCAATGAGATGGCCTTGGCTCTTCATTCTGTGTATTTGTGCGCTATAATGGCTACTTGAGCTGATAATAATTGATCTCATTTGATGCAATTAAGGAGCCTTGGCTAACCTTTTGGTAGTCTCTGTAAAGCAGGACGACTTCAGCTTTCGAGAGCCTGTTGGTCTCCTTCTCCGGAAAGCACCGTCAAATGCCCCAGGACTATTTGTCGGTCGCGGCTCCGAGCTTAGTGAAATGGCAGAATATTTTAAGAACAACCCACATCAGCCATGCCTAGTCCTTGGTGGAATGGGTGGTATTGGCAAAACACAACTTGCTATCACTTACGCAATGTCAAACTCTGACTCTTATGGGTCGGTGTTCTGGCTGAATGCAGCGAACGAAGCCATACTAAACAGCAATTTCAGGGAGATCGCCAGCAACATCTTCAAACTTCAGAATCTTGAAAAGGTCTCTAATAGCAATGAGACGATTCAACGTGTGCATAATTGGCTATCTGATACGAAGAATACAAGCTGGCTTATGATCTTTGATAACTATGATGACGACTTTGATGGACAGTTCGATCTCAATGACTATTATCCGCTTGCTTCTCATGGTACAGTCATAGTCACTACTCGAAGGCCAGACCTTGTTACGAGGAGTAATCATACTCTTGAGATCAAGCCACTACAGAGAATACAGGACAGCCTTGCAATTCTCCAAAACCGATCAAAAAGATCAACAGTGCAATCTGGTACGTGGATTGCCTTCCCTGAAGCCTAATTTTAAGGCAATGAAATAAACATTTGATAGAATAACTAACAATAATTTGTTCTAATAGATCCATTTGCAAAGCGTCTCGTAGAGCGCCTCGGGGGTCTACCTCTTGCCTTGGCCACAGCCGGGACATATCTTCATCGAAGTACTTTTAGCTTTGAGAAATACTTGCAAGAATACGAGAAGCGCTGGGATATCACCCCAAAAGTCTCTACCAAGCTCCAGGATTACTGTGAGCGTACATTATATACGACCTGGGATCTTTCATTTGCTCATCTCAAAATAGAAGACAATGAAGCGGCAGAAATGTTGAAATTATTGGCCTACTTTCACAACCAGGGAATTTGGTATCAGCTTTTCCAAGGTGGCTTGAGAGAATCGTCTCCAGAGTGGATCCGCGGCTTGGTTGCAGATGGCGTGTCTTTTGAGAGAGTCATGATATCTTTGACTGATAATTACTTTCTGGAAGTCGACTTGGAATCAAAGTCATGGATCATGCATAGCTGTGTGCATGACTGGACGCTCGCCGTGCTCAACAAAAATATTGATCTTCAGTATTATTGGTTTGCTGTTAGCTGCGTTGATGCAACGATCAGGGGGGTTGATATAGCCTTTCATGGCCATACTACCTATGCTCGCTCGGCTAGTCACGCGACGCGATTAGTGAAGGTGCAACAACGCTTCATCAAAAATGACGTGATCCATCATTATAGCCTCAGTCAACTCGAACAGGTCTCACGTGTTGCAAACCTCCTGAGAGAGCACATTCAACTCTCTGCAGCAGAGCAGATGTTTATCCAATTACAGACTGGGTGCCAGGTGGCTTTAGGACCAGACCATATCTTAACGCTTGACACACTCAACAACTTCGGACTTCTGTATCTTGCACAGGGAAAGCTGGACGAGGCTGAGCAGATGCATTTACAAGCGCGAGCTGGGTACGAGAAATGCCTGGGACCAGCCCATCCATCAACCCTCAGCGCTGTCATCAATCTCGGGGCTTTATATCACAATCAAGGCAAGCTGAAAAAATCCGAGCAGACTTATCTTCAAGCCCGAAATCAGTGCGAGAAAGGGCCGGAGCACAGCGAAATTCTAGCCTTTGATATTGCCAACAATCTGGGAAATTTATATCGTGCTCAAGGTAGGCTGAATGAGGCCGAAAAGATGTATAGAGAGGCCATAGGTGGATATGAGAAAGTTCTCAGACCGGATCACACTTCAACCTTCGGCAACGCTAATAATCTTGGGCCACCAAGAATAAACAAAATCCCAATTTTCCGTGTCATGAACAATCTTGGGGAGTTATATCGTGATCAAGGCAGGCCAAATGAGGCCGAGAAGATGTATCAACGTGCGCGGGCTGGGTATGAAAAGGCGCTTGGACCAGATCACATCTTAACCCTAGACACCTTGAAAAACCTTGGGGGTCTTTATCTTGACCAAGGTAGGCTGGACGAAGCCGAGCCGATATGGAGGCGGGCACGCATTGGGTATGAGGAAGTGCTAGGACCTAGCCACTTGTCAACCCTTGACGCCATTGGTAATCTCGGGCTCCTATATGACGACCAGGGTAAACCAGATGAAGCCGAGAAAAGTTACAAACAGGCACTAGCTGGGTACACGAGACACTTCGGGCCGAAACCCCAACATACTGCAGCCCTTGGCACAGCCAACAATCTCGGAGGTCTTTACCTTGCTCAAAGAAAATTGAACGAAGCAGAAGAGCTGTACAGATATGCTCTAGCTGGAAGGGAGAGCGTACTAGGACCCAATAACATATTGACTCTCAACACCGTCAACAATCTCGGGAATCTCTATCGCGCTAAGCGAGAACTGGAGGCATGTGAGCAGATGTACACACGGGCGCTGACTGGGTATGAGATAGCGCTGACACCGAACAAAAACCATAAATCAATACTTCGCACTGTTCATAACCTCGGAGCGTTATATTGCGATCAAGGAAAGTTTGACAAGGCTGAAGAAATGTACAAACGGGCGGTAGCTGGGCATGAGGAGGAACTGGGACTAGAACATAGCTTGACCCTCGACGCAATCAAGCGTCTTGGAAATCTATATTTTGGTCAGCGCAAATGGAAGAAAGCCGAGCCTTTGTATTTACAAGCGCAAGCTGGATACGAGAAAAATCTTGGACCAGACGATATCACAACGCTCAACGTTATCAAAAACCTCGGGAGCGTTTATATTGGACAGCAAAGATTGGTCGACGCTGAGCTTATGTATGCACGGGTGATGGTTGGGTATCAGAAGATTTGGGGTGAAAATCACGCTTCGACGCTGCAAATCGTCAACTATCTTGGAGTCCTTTGTGAAGCCCAAAATAAGTTGGATGATGCCGAGAAAATGTATGCACTGGAGCTGGCCGGGTATGAGAGGGAACAGCCACCCAACCAAACGTTGATACTTGGCATCGCCAAAACTCTGGGAGATTTGTATCACAGGCAAGGCAAGATGGATGAGGCCGAACGAATGTATGCACGGGTGAAGGAAGGCTGAAGAACAGTTTTCATCTATGCCATCTCCAAAAAAGATTCAGCGCGCGCGCTTTGACATGTAGGCTGCGCTGCGGTCTGCTCAACAATTATGGATGCAGCGATTGTACTTGGTGGGTCGAGCTGGTTATTAATGGGTATTGATCTTGCTGATGAGCGTCTCCTTCCATTAAGGCTCCGGCGATCGGGGTAGCCTTGACCAACAACCCGATCTTGTTCAAGATGGTCAATATGTCGTCCGTGCAGATGGTGGTACAGTATGTGGGTCAACGCCTCCGAGTGGTGCTGTGTTCCGGGGACTGGGCCGGCCCAACATGGGGAAACCTGATTACATAATAGATTATCGACTTTTGATTCGGAAATACAGATCCTCCGGTCTACGTGCTTTATCTTCTCTTGTTCCAACTCAATTGCCCCATCACGTAAGCATCGGTCGGGCCTTGATTTTGTGTTGATGCTGGAGGCTACAATAGCATGGGCTGTGATTCTTCGATTAAAAGCCGCGTCGGTGGTATCAAATCTCGATCTGGCTGCAAAACTTGCAAGTAGGTACCGATTTAACCTCACTCCAGGCTAACGCTAATTAGCCACAAGAATTCGAAGAGTCAAATGCGGCGAGGAGAAGCCAATATGTCTTCGCTGCTCCAGCACTGGGCGCAAATGTGAATACGCAGGTGCTAAAGGATCTTCCCCTGCACATCTCGCCCTTCATCTAGCGTCTCCTAGCTACAATTTGTTAGTATCACCGAATAGCACATGTCATGAGCGCCGTGCCTTTGAGTATTTTGTCCAGCATGCGTCAAAAGGACTCGCTGCCGGGATGAATGTCGATTTCTGGACAAAAGTGGCACCACAAATATGCCGCACCGAGCCAGCTGTATGGGATGCCATCATATCAATCAGTGTCTTGTATGAATACCCTGACCAGTGCCTCGATTTCCCGCTCCTGAAGCTTCAACAAGTAAAGAAGCGGGGTCTTAGTCAAATCCAACGAGAAGCCTTGACTTGGTACTCCCGCGCCATATCCAGCATCCACTCTCAGATTGTGCGCGGGAGAGCGGATTCATATGTCGCACTGATTAGCTGTGTGCTATTCATCTGTATAGAGGCCATTCAAGGCCGTGTGGTGGAAGCACTCCAACTTTACGAGCAAGGCGTGAGTTTGATTCTGATCTTGCGCCATCAAGTTGCCACTGGGACGCTTCCTCCCCATCAGGCCCTACTTTTAGAGAAAACTATCATACCTCTATTTATACGGTTGGGCTCTATCTCCTTGACTGTATCAACAGTCCAAGTTAGCAGAATTTTCGCCTATGCCAATTATGACTTGAACAGCACATTCACATCTCTTGACGCGGCAAGAACTGCGATCTCTGTTCTATTTGCGCAAGCTACACTCCTTGAGCGAGAGGCAGTGCCATATCGCAGAGCAGCCATTAGGAATTTGGTTCCAGGGGCAGAAATGACTGCCAAGCAGCAATCACTTCGAATGCAACTAGACCATTGGCTCCATGCTTACACAAATTTCTGCCAAAATCACACCCGGGCCGAACCAGTCCTCTTAGCATACTATTCAGCTACATCAATATACATTTCTACATGTTTGTCGCAACAGGAATTGGTCTATGATTCTTACATGGCTGAATTCGCGATAATTGTCGAGAATGCCAGCCTAGCCCTTGCAGCTTCAGGGGGTCCAGGCTGTTTCCAAGCACCATTCACATTCGAGATGGGCCTGGGTCTTCCATTATTCTTGACTGCAATCAAGTGCCGACATTCACGCCTGCGACGGAAGGCTTTGAAATTACTTCGTCAAACACCGCCGATCCAAGCGTTTTTCACGTGTACACCTGTAGCTTTCGTGGCGCAGAAATGCATGGAATTGGAAGAGGATTACAGTCGTTCTATCGCGCTTGCGCATGATCCACAAGTCTGCTATCCATCTCCCCAGAGCTTTATTTCAGACCTTTCTTCACCCACCACCGCGTTTGAGCATGAGTCCACCGGTGAAAATTCCACACAAATTCCCGAAGAGGCTCGCATATGTTATCATAACGTCTTCAGACCTCAGCAAGAGTATTTTGAAGGGGCAGAGGGAGAAAATACTATATACAGGCCAAATCAGGTCTTGGAAGTCTTCCGGAACCATTTTGATACAGTTAGCAACACATGGCGCATGATTTCTCACTGTCTTCCGTTATAAAACAATCACTGGATTTTACTTTATGGGTATACGTTCCTCTGCATTGACAAAACCGGATATTGAAGCAGTACATTTTATCTTCTAGCGATAATCCATAACTTATATGAACTTAGTGCCCTAACCTGGGCGAGTGAGGCGTGCTTTATGCCAGCTTATGCCGATTAGGAGAATCAAACGTCTTTTCAGCGAGGCGTATCGGATTGCGTACTGAAGAAAGAAACAACAGAGATACTTCTAGGTGAGGGAATTATGGGCGTTAGTTTCCTTGCGGCCCAGCGTTGTGCTATTTAAGGTCAACAGAGATTTAGAACCACTCTTCTGAAATACTTCTATCTACCCTCTGCGCCAGATATATGCCAACCAAATTTGCCTGTAAGAAAAATATTGTTGAGAAAGTCATCGGCAAAATCGCAAACTGTAAGCGAAAACATCGGATTATGTCTTGTTTCTCAGGGAAACCCTTTCCCCCCAAAAGCCACAACAAAAGATTGGGCTTATTTTTTAATGACAATATCATGACGCTTTAATCCTACAGCCCCCATCTCTACCATGCCCGGTCAATATGCGCGTCTTTGGAGCTCGCGGGGCTTACGCCAAAACTCTTTAATCCTACAGCCCCCATCTCTACCATGCCCGGCCAATATGCGCGTCTTTGGAGCTCGCGGGGCTTACGCCAAAACCCCCCCCTCTACCCCGTGCCGATCTTTCGTGTCCGTGTCCGTTTGAATTCTTTATATTTAAGGCAACTCGGGGGATCGGTTCTTGAAGGTAAATAGGTCCGGGTGGCAATCTGTATCGCGATGGATAGCGTGGGTTGGCACGCACACGCAAACTCCTCATAATGTACGAAGCAACCTCCTGTTTGTAAAAATAGAAGCCTGAGGGATGCGCAACCATGCGCAGGATGGCGAAATACGATAGATCGGACTTCCAAATGATCCCCAGATTATCAAGTCAATACTTATTAACTATCGGCTTTTTTTAGTTTGGTACCTTGTGCGAATTTCCGCATGATAGGGAAACGAAATTATAGGAACTGGATATGAAATTCTTTTTCAATTTAATGCGTTGCAACTGTCAACAATGTGGCTGATCTAATTTTAGAGCTACCACGGCAATCAGACACTGGCAACCACAGTTACTTTAGCAAAACATGAGGATACAGGACCATACATAACTGGTACCGAGACATTTAGCATCGTGTGTCGCTTCCATTTTGTTACAATATCTATAACTTTTGGTCGGTACGGGCATTGCTAGTGACCAGATTTTCCCCAACAGATTGACTAAAAGGATTGAAGATTGAGACCATCTCTTCACTGCTCATGCAAGATCTGATTGCATTCTAGGCCAAGCGGTGAACTGGAATGAGATAATCTAAAATTTCGGTCTTTTTCTGGACAGTTCTAGCCATTTGTGCTGAAGCGAGGGTCGCCTGGCAAGACCATGTCTCATGCAACATTTTAGGTGCTAGGCAGCGCAGGTAAGGAGATGCTCAAACTTCGCTGTCCAGGAAACAATCTCTCGTTTTTCTGTTCTGTTTCAAGTATTTCAGATCTGACATGTGCCAATCCAGCGATCGAAACATACTCGGCTTCATATAATGCTTCTTATTCGAAATCTTCAAGCGTATTTTAATCGGTTTGCCTAGTCTACAAGCCTTACCCGAAGAAGAAAAAAGGTTTAATCGTCTCAACAAGAGAGTTGATCATGCACGATGGTGTATCGGTCGACTGAGAATGGATAAAAAAGTTGACACTTGTATGATGATATCACTTACTAGTGCTCGAGCTCTGTTAATCTTCGTGATTCTGAGCAACGGTGTTTAGATACGGATGTCTTCAAAGCTGTTTTCAAGGCGATTGTATTTCCAGGTAGGCGCCCACTTATTATTTTGGTTCTAGTGGTGCTCGTTAAAACGGTGAGCCATCGTAAACTTGATGAATTACACTCTTCTCACCCGGGTATCACAACAAGTTTTGTCATCAAAAGCCCACAGATTGTTAACTTCATAGAATATTTTACGCCTCTAACCCTGGGGGCTTCCTTAACATCCTTTCATGATCATCTATGCCTCTGGTGATATATTCCAGAAAGTTCGTATTTTGAGATCTCCAATGGCTTCGTGAGGATCGATAAAAAATATCTCAAGTGATAGTAAGGTGTAAATTGTGCAAAGCTTGCCTGATATAGCTAGATGTCAAGTCGAAAGCATGAATTAAGAAGGAACAACATTTGCATAACACCGTTGTCTAGATGTAAAGCTGTAATTTCCATGTACTTCTATGTATGTCAAGTATGATAAGCTGCAGCGCGATTGAGGATTACCTGATATTTGATGCCTGAATGCGGCCTGAATTGAGCGGCCATGAAGATAGTTAATACAGCGAGTAGAGCGCTATGTAAGCATCAGCAAACGTAGCTTTCGAGTCTTTCCATTTTGAATTATTTATTCGATTTCACTTTCTTTTCGTCGAAGACGAAGAATTCCGGTTACAAGGGCCTATTGCTCCAGTGCTACAATGCATGATTAGGTAACTTACCCGTTGTATGATTGGATGTGGCTCAGGGTACTTGTAGGCTCATACAATTCAGACCCCAGATTGATATAGGCATCCAGCGGCACAGGGTTGTTTAGAACTTGCTCAGTTGTCTGACATGCTCCAGGAAGAGACATACGGCGTACCTACAATCACGGAACAAAGATAGTTCCGCGGAGAAATTGAAATGACCGGCGGTGAACCATGGGTTGCAAGAAAGACTTGATTGATGGGAATGCGCGTACGCCAATCGGAAGACTTCCGCATCTCGTATCTGGCCCCGCTCGCATTACATCTGCAACCGCAGACATGTGGTGACGCTGCTCTTGCTGGGCAACTGCATTCAAGGTCACATTGACCATTTCCCTGATTTAGAAGCAACGGAAGCTAAAAAAGATCTGAAGAAACAGAATGGAAGCAATCAATAACACCTTACCTTTTGAAGTCTCTAATAACCCCACAGTACATAGCGATAACAAAAAGTAAAACAAGTATGGAAAGAAACAGGATTCGTTTCAGCCAATGAAATACGGTGACAAATTCATGACAAAAAGGAGACGTGACGTGGTACTGGAAACTCATGTCAAAAGTCCAAGGCAGCGAAATCCCGACTCGAGCCATCGAATCATCTGAAATTACCACCATTCCGGAGCTTGATAGAGCCGGCCTAGACCCCTGCCTATCCCAGCCTGTCGGATCCGCCAGAAATCCCCTTGGATATGCCATAGCTTGTCCATTTTGGGTCATCGACCAAAATATAGTGTCAAAGAGCAATGCAGTATCGATGCCGTCAATGACCCAAGTAATCTCTTGCATCTTCCAGTTCGAGTTTCCCGCCGACCCACTGCTCTGCAATATCAACACATGCTCTCGAGAGCGGTTATATCCTATTACTCGCACTCAGAACTACATAGTACGCCTCTATTGAAACTCATGTGGCATATTTTGAAACTATCACCGGGCCCTGGTCAAGTAACCGTGTCTCATGTCAAAATTTACGAGATGCGCTCCAGTCGGCCGAAAGATTCCACAAATTAGGTACGACCGAGACTAGAACCAGTAAATGGAAAGCCTGAAAGCTAGCCATAACCTATCCTTATAGTCTTCGTACCTCGTGAAGTCATACACTGTTCTCACAACCGTTTTAGTCGTTGAAGAAGCGGCAATTTCCAAAGAAACGCCAGCCACATCCCGAGCTGACCAATCAGTCTTCACTCCTAATGACAGTATTTTCTCCGAGACCTAATGATTTGGAAAGTATATTGAAATCCGTTCCATCCTTGAGCCGAGAGTTTATCCTAGAGCACGCCTTCAAGCACCGTATATTAAAGGGAAGAGAAAAGGCATTCTTTTACAGAAATTTGTGATCTATAGCTACTCCATATCGGACACCAAATGCAATCCTTTCGCATCCCCACTTGGTCCGAGATATCAATTTTCTGGGGTGAAGTCTTATCAATAAATACACCAAACGAATCCTCCCAATGGGATGACTTTTCAGACACATCCCAGCCTCCATCTCCATATAGTGGAGATGAAATCGATCCTTTTGAGTCTATCAAATATTCTTCGTGCACCACAAAACAACCCGCTTCCAAAGGTCTTGAGGAGTCTATCTTTCATCTACCTGAGAAGAAATATCGGAGCGATATGTGCAATGCCTTAAAAAGCTACGAAGAAAGCTTCGACCAAGTACGACTTATGAAACGGGTCTTATATCAGGATGGCACTAGCTAGATGGAGCGGTCCTACATCCTCGATTTGAATATCCAGCCGGGCAGATAAAACCTTTACGGCGCCTCCTGTCTCATGGATTTGAAAGCAGAGGTACCTACTCTATAACGAATGATACCCAATGGAGTTTTGTGGTAAAGAAAAGAAAGTTACGGTCATGTATATAATTTTGAAAGCATATATGTCCGAATATATGATAACCTCGTGTCACTCTTCGCGACCATGAACCAGCCAATCCTACAGCTCCACCTTGGGGTGATTCACTTTCCCTGCCAATCTGATCTTGAATAGGTTGCCTTGCGGATCAAGGGGCCCGAAATGAATGAAAGACAGTGGACAGGCGGTGAATAGATGCAACTTTACGTCTGTCAAAACTGTGCACATGTGGGCGACGAGAAGGAAGGCGAAAAGAATAAGATCAGAATCGGACTCAATCAACCATGCTATTCAGCCTTCCGCTCACCATATATTGAGTTCTTTATTTCTCACATAACCTTTTGATGCGGCTAGTTAGTGTCTATGTGGAGAACTTCTCCGCGAGGGGGGATGTAAGGTATTTGGGATCTGGATCAACCCGTCAAATTCGTCTTTTTCACTTGCCCCAGTTTCTGCGAATGTTCTTTCACGGGTGCAGAACGCCATATACAGCACGAAGGCCTGTTATCTAAGACAGGAATTCGCACTGGCCCTCCCATGGGCAGCACTTGCCAGCGTACGTGGTATGTTTATCTTGCCTCATGCACATGGGCTGGGGTCACAAATTGCCAGTATGCACCAAGCTCACAGAACTTACAAAATCCACATCGCTCACTCACCAAATGTGATCTAGTATTAGCTATAGGGTGTTGATGTTCACTCCTGCTATGTCGACCAAAATGCCGACACGAGACAGGAAAGACTCAGGCATATCGTCATACGGGCCCATCGAGTCCTACAACTTGATATCGATGAAAAGTGCAAACAGCCAGGGTCATATCGTTGTCGGTTTTCAAAGAAACTTCGACCTCACAGCAAGTCATTCTTCGCCAGGCATATCAGTGATTATTGCCGAGCGACTTGCCGGCAAAAAAGGTAGATGAATAGCATCACTAGCGGTTCAATCCATCTGTTGCGGCTCTACGAATCAAGCGAAATATGGCAGTATGACAATCCCACAATCTCGATACCAAAGTACTCGGCTGGAAATCTGGTGATCAGCGAAAAGTTGGTCGCACGCTTAGCTCTACCATCGTTTTGATAAGCCCATGCGGGTAATGAAGAGATCTGTGATTGGCAGAAAAGGAACAACTCAGAAGGTAAGCTTATGACTACGAGCCATTACGAAACAGATGTTGAGGTCGGTTTCTTTTGCTAATCTCTGGTTTTTGGAAGGCGATTAGCTAATTTAACAAGGCAGTCATTTGGTTTCAAGTTTACCGACTTTGCACCAACAATGCCCCTTGCTGAGCCAGCAGATCCTCATCTTCACTTTAGACGTATCTGCCAAGAGGAACCGAGTGAAATTTGTGATCAGATCCAGCCTGGGACTGACGGAAAACAAGGCAGGTTGCCGTCTTAGGGAATCGATGCTGCATTTTAGATTCTAGGTGCATCGATGGAGTATCAAAAGTACCTGCAAAGGAAGCCTGAAACAGTTTAGCGGCCATGGATACCTTGACTATGGTTCATGGCGATGAATGCCAGGTCTAACTTTCTAATACAGATTCCCATCGACTTGCCTTGGGAACTTCTGCTGTCCACTCCTGCTTTGCGATCAGGGTACCTACATGCATCGGAAGTCTTTCGATTTATTTCTCAGCAATATTCCTATCCCAACTACCAGAAAATTCTGCCCTGTTTATGTCATGCAGAGTTCACACTTTCAAGATTAACAAGTGCGCACGGGCTCGACCTAGCGCACGCCACAGTGCGGGCGAGGGTCTACAAAACGCTTCCCGGGAACTGCCCACACCGACTCATCCCTTGCAAACAAGAGGGTACTTTTGTCATTAAGTGTCTTGCAGATCCTTGAATAGTGGTTAAATGCTGTCCAGAAAACCATTTCTTATATCCCACCATCCTATTTCCAATTCGATGATGCGAAAGCAGACAGTCAGCCATGAGTTCCAACTTTTCTCACTCGTTCATCGAGGACCTCTTGGGGTATTCTGAGTATGAGTCCGCACCGTTTGACGCCGAATTCGCTACGCTAGACTACAGTCAGCTCCCGCTTGGCTCTTTCACCAACACGACTCCAATCCCCGATGATCCCAAGAGTAGCCGCTCGTTGAATGCCAAAGTTCCGATTCCGCGAGCTTCAACGCCAGGAATTGCCAAGGCCCATGGCCGAGTCAGTCGAGCATGTGAAAACTGTCGCGAGCAGAAAGCAAAATGTAGTGGACATCAACCCACTTGCAATCGATGTGCGCAATCAGGTGCTAAGTGCTTCTATGGTGATCGGAAGAGGGAGAGGATAATAAAGTACGTTCCACACGACAATGAATAGCTTCTCTGACGGTGCCCAGGCAATTAACTGATTTGAACACCCGAGCGCAAACGTACGAAGACCTATTGCGAAAACTCCATCCGCTATTGGATACAGCAGCCGCGGAACTCATCGAGCAAGCCCTGACACCTGTGAGGCTCTATCCATACCATTTTCAGGCCTTAGTCTGTACTAACAAGACCCAGGCTCCAATAAAAATTATCAAGACACCACAGCTCCCATTTGGCTCCATCTTTTCGCTTGGTGCTTGTGACTGTACACAGGAAGACTTGAATCAGGATTCGAAACTGCAGTCGATGGGTTTCATAGGCGAACCGTCGGAGATGGCATGCTTGTACCGACTTAAACGTCAACTTGATCAGGGCTTGTCGAGTCCTACTTGTGACCAGTCGATCTCTCATATGAACTATTATTTGGACGATACTAATGTTGCTGTTGGTGAAGAGGCTGATCTGTCCAAGTGGCCTTCTCAAGCTGCTGCTGATCTCCTTGTACATCATTACTTCAAAATTATACACCCTACATTCCCAGCTATTGGAAAGCTGGCTTTCATTGGGCAGTACCGTAAATTCTATTCCAACCCAAACGTGCGACCTGGAAGCCGGTGGCGGGCTGTGTTGAATTTGATTTTTGCCATTGCCGCACGACATTTGCTCCTCATAAATGGTGAGCTTTCAGTCGAGTTCGAAGATCATCTGGTCTTTTTCTCAAGGGCATGGCAGCTTAACATGGACAGAGAGGTGGCGCTGAGTCATCCAGATCTACAGCAAGTGCAAATTGAAGGCTTAATGTCGTTTTATATGCTCTCTGCTGGCCATATCAATCGGTGAATAATCTCGTACACCTTTGCTTCCAGTTTCATATCTAACGGATTTGGTTCTTTATCTTAGATCATGGCGAATGATTGGCGTTGCCATTAGATCGGCTATTACAATGGGAATCAATCTGCGTAATAATTCTGAAAGTATCCCACCACTATCCAAAGAAACCAGGTACCGATTATGGTGGGCTCTTTTAATTCTCGAGATGGTCCTATGTGAAATGACTGGACGTCCTCCCTGCACACGGTTAAGCTTCTGCACAACACCTCTACCTGTCCCATATCCCGAGGAGGACTTTGGTGATGAGCGTGTCATGAAACTTATCACGGATCAGACGATCCGAAGCACTGCATTCACTTCTGTCTTGCCGAATAGGTCGAGAATTCCACTGGACAGCATCATCACAGTTAGCACACCTTCAGAAGCAAATCATGGAATAGAGCTGGAAGCAGAAGGGGCGGCAGAGGTCCTGATACCCAACACTTCACTTTGTTTTTTATACACAGTCGAACTTTCGCTTCTGATGCGTGAAGCTATCACCACATTGTATGCTCCAACAGCTGCTCAGAAACCTTGGCACAGGATCGAAGTTGCGCTATGCTCACTCAACGACGATGCTGACAGATGGCTCTCACGACTACCAGCCGAGCTACAATTCAAGGAACTACGCCAAGACCAACCATTCCTACGTCAGCGCATTGGACTCGCGTTCCAGTTCTATTCCACAAGGTTGATCATCTCACAGTCATGCCTTCGCCCACCAGCGGACCAGCTATCCGGGACGAAACCCGTCATTGCGCTGTGTGAAAATATGGCTACCATGTGCGTCAAGATGGCGAGTCTGATGCTTGACATTCTTCCCGATAAACCAGACATGGCGTACCTCAAGGACCTTCCCCCGTGGTGGATTGTCCTCCATTACGTGATGCAATCAACAGTTGTGCTCCTAGTTGAACTATTTACTCGGGCTCAGACCGGTACCCCCGAGGCTGTGGGTATACTTAAGAACATAGGAAAGGCTACTGGATGGTTGGAGATGATGTCAAGTAGAGATCATTCTTCGAAGCGTGCTTGGGTAGTCTGTATGGATTTGCTCTCTACGCATGGCGCAAAGTTAGAGTTGGAGGCCGATGCAGAGTGATAGTTGCTACCTCGTTGTTTCTCGCATACTGTCATAAGTCCAGATTCCTTTGTTTCCGATTCCTGGATATTTCCAACGCTGCATTCCATTATGACTGTGCAGACCAATCAGCTTCCTATTGAATGGACTAGGATTTATAAACCAAATATTAGGTTTGAGTGACATTGCACCAAGTGGGGCGCTTAGATTTTCCCTCAAGGGGAACCAATACCGGTTCTGCCTGCCGACCACTAATATCGCAAAGTTAAGGAATGTGGCTATCTGTCAATTGAATCTATAGTGTGACATTTCTCACGAGATGGCCTTAGCCACAGATCATAACAAGAAAAAGGAGCAAGGTACACTAATCTGCGGAATTGGATCGCCAATAAATCTGTCTACGGCATGCAACGTACACTTTGTGAAGATTTTGAGGCCGACTTATTTAACATCGAAATAACGGTGAGATTGGTTTCGTCGTCACAATTGGATTCGCAGGCTCCTTTACTGTCGATCGTAGCCAAGAGGGATAGAAAAGTCCCCTCGGAATTTGAGGGTTTCCCTTACGGTCAATTGAACCATATTCTAGAAGGTAACCACTTAAGAATGGGACAGCAGCCCTCTTTTTGTCAAGTTATGAGTTCAGCCTGCAGCTACAATACAAGGCTTGATACGTGGTCTATCATTCAAATCATCCGAAAAAGATGGCCATGTCTACCAGATCCAGATCACTTAGCCCAAGCGATTCAACCTCCCAGCTTAGACAAATCAAAGAAGGGATTTTACTTCAGGTAAAAGGTACAAAAAGCAGCAATAGAATCATATGCTCATCATATTTTAGTGTCCCGCTCGACAGCTAGATTGTCAGAACTACGATCGAGGAAGAAAAACAGAATCCTTCGCATCAAATCACACCTTCAGCCTCGATTATACCGAGCTCGCCGCGCAAAAGAGTTGGAATGATCTACCCCGCGCGCAGAAGTCGACGAATTCCGTTGAAAACGCGCTGTTCAATCATCCCAACGACAGCGCGTTTTCACTACCACGGCCTCCCAGAGGTGGCATGAGTCTTAAACCTTTTCTGGAGTTATCGAGTAACAGCCGGTCCTCATCTACTTCTCGATCCTCGAATTTACCGGTGTCTGACCTGCCAGCTACGTCGATCAATCACGAAGCCCCTCAGAACCCTCATTTTTGGCGCAACCTCAGATCTCGGAGACTAAGGAGGATCTTCGGGTGGCGTACAAAAATGATGACCCACTTTCACAAGATTTGCAAAGGGTGACGATTGAGATCTATCCGATGGATTCATCATGAACTACTTGTTTACCATCCTGCCCTATCCAAACGTTCAAAGGCTTGAATATTGTTTTTAATTTACTGGGAAAGGCCAAGTCTAACCTTGGAAGCTCACCTATGTGTGAGATTCATATACGAAAGGATCTGTGCACGATGCACGGGGATATATACGTGAATACATAACAGCCATCAACTTTGGTTGCTGCCCAAAGTGGATGTAATAGGGATTACATTAGGGCCATTCTCAAGATGTAGAACACATATTTAAGCGTCACATGACGTTTTCTGAGGTTCTTCAGTGCTTGTCTGCCTTAGATCCCTTTCATTTTTCTCCTATCTCTAGCTCGACATGTCGGACGTTTTGCTCTCCTTTTCTCTTCCGACCTCTAACCTACCATCATACTCCTTTTTTTTTTTTTTTTTTGGGAGCCTAAGGTGGTGGGTGGACATGGTCTGTGTCAGTGAATAAATCACTGAGTTCTCCCATTCGAGTTGAGCCGCAGAGTGATACCGCGCATAGCTGAGTTATATTTCTGCAATCCTTGCTGGACATACTGGTTTTGATACCTGATGTACGCCTTGTGAAGAAGAAGAAAGGATGAAAACATGTGTCCACAGTAAAGTAGAAATCAAAAAGACCGCCCTTCAGCCAATCACGCTTCGTTCCTTGAGCCGTTTCCGGAATTGTACTCCTCCGTACCAAGGCAGGGGGTAGATAATTTTCTCTTTTAACTTCTCTTTTAAGAAATCACCCGTTTTCTTTTCTAAAATAGCTGCCGTATGTAGAGTTTGCCTCCTGAACAGTGATACCACATATATATTTCGACAATTTTGAAACCTACAGCCGAAATCTACTAGACTGCATCAATATTAGCTTCACACTCTGCCTTAATTGTAGCGTTGAATCACAATTTGAAGCATCATTCATTCAATCTTGAATTAAAACACTGCAGTAGAGCCCAGTATTATCCTGTGAGCCAAATTGCTAGTGCTCACCAGTCTCTTCCCAATGAGCAACCATATTGTTCCAAGTAATGAAATCCGAAACCCTCTGTCTACTCGCTAAGCTCGAGCCCGATTCCATCACGTCTTCAAACATACCTTGTAGTTTGCGCCTCGCAAAGTGGCATATCATTGCGACATCATTCGCAGCCAGATCCTGTCCGTCTTCAGGAACAGCCCAGACGTTCCCTATCTCGCTTCTCCAGTACCGAGGTGCCCAGCCCCATTCTTTTTTGGAAGCATCAGTTTCCATCATCAAGAACGCAACATTAGGATTACTGTCTGCCATCATGTCCTCCTCTAATCCTGGCGGGATATGGCAGAATTCGGTGTCCGGGTTCTTCCAGAGCCGTAAAGGCATACCGAGCGAGACAGATATTGAGGAGATGGATCCACTGCCTAGGGAGATGCGGTTTGCTCGGGTGATGTCGACGGAAACGAAGGGCTCTGACCCATGAAATTTTTCTTCGCCGTAGCAGCAAATTTTCACGCCGCGAACGGTTGTTGGAGCTCGGTGTATCAAGTCCGGCACGTTTTCCCTGATATGCATGTTTCCGTAGCTTATCAAGTAATCCATCAGATGGCGGAAGTCCGCTAGTGTTATATCGGCATAATCCTCGTGGTGAACCCCTTGCAAGGCGATCATTGGGCCGCGATATTCATGTGGAGTTGTGGAGGTGCAGGATACTCTTACAGAAGCTGAAATACTTCTATTTGTCGTTGACCCCTCGTTTAAATAAGCCTCGCGATGTATCAAGGAGATACAGTATCCTTCCTTGGACGGGGCAAAGACGGCAAACCCAGAGCCCAGGTTTCGACACCGTACTGGGTTATGTTCAATGCGCATTATGCCTTGGGACGGTTTATCATTTCCAAGGTAGGGATGCAGATCAATCTGTGTCCATCCGATGCCATCTTCGCCTTGTCGGCGTCTACATCGGATCCATATCAAACATGGCTTGACTTTATCAGCTGGGAAGTATATGGCACGTTTGTGTTCTGGAGATGGTCTATCGAGCTGAGTAGTGAACTGCTTGCAGAGAAGGCTATGTGAGGGGAAGTCACTCTTCTCGCAGTCTCTGCAACAGTAGTATGTGCTTCGACATTGGGCACATTGAATGCCTGGGCTTGTATTACACATCATGCAACAGCCTTCAGGCTCGAAATTTTCGAGCGGGCGATATCTTGATTTCGTGTTTGGGGCTATTCCGTCACTTTTTGGATTTCATGATCAGTTAGTTATTCAATATTGGCCAAGACAACAATAGTTGGTTATGAACCCTTACATAATTAGAAGACCATTGTGCTGAATTCTCTGTTGATCCTTGAACAGCCGCACATGCTGTTCTCTCTGCTGCCATTCTTCAAGAGTAAAGTGCGAAAAGTCTGACACTATACCGGATTGCATGACATTCGCAGCGAAACTTATCTGACCGTGGTGTATCAGATCGTTGAGAAGCCCTCTAATGCGAGCTACGAGGCTCTTCTCTAACCGTTGTACAGCGACTTTACGGCACTTGAAGACGAGCCTGGTACGGCCCAAGCAGGATAGCAAACACCATGTCTTCCACGTGTGGCAATTGGACTCGGCAACGCGCAAATAATGGTTTCACAGAGTAGGCAAGTCTTTTTACTGCATCCAAAGGAGTCTAGAGTAGGCCGAAGTGCATATCCCTCCTCATAGTGCATCACTAGCTGCATCTCGGCATGCATAGAAAATGTTTCTACACAGGCCTTTCCAAACCTCTGGGTAAAGGGATCAAGTATCCTGATCATGGGTTCAGGAGTCAAGCCCAGCCCTAGTCGCTGCCATGCATCAAATAATCCAACCACGTATTTGGCTTCCAGTGTCGTCTTCGATTTAGACGAAATTGGTGAGATCTTGCAATTTTGCAACTGTGGCTCCCGGCCGGCGATTGACCTTAATAATCGGCAGTCGACCAGTGGCCTGGCGATAAAGTTCAACTTGCTCCAGATCTTAAAGCTGACCTGCGTCCCAAATGTGTCCGACAATAAATGTCGGACCTGCGTTAAGCTGAGACATTTATAAGCTTGTTGGACGATTAGGGGCCTAGATATTACTGATTCCCTATCAGCCTCAAATTGTAGTATAAAGTCCGTCATGATTGTCCAATCTTTGACTGCAGCCTCTTGCTCAAAGCATCCTTGATAATTCCAGTCAGGACAAATCTTGTCTCTTTCTAGGGGTTTCCGGAGATCTTCAACCCAATAATCGATCCGGCGGGACGTATAGGCTATCACCTTGAGCTCAAATTCTGCGGGAAAGCTTGGGGTTGTGTTTGTCTCTATTCCAGCTGTCATGTTTAGTCATCTAATAACCCAAAACCCGTTGCAAGGATTGGAAGTTGTTACATACCTCTAACACTACCATGCAGATATTCCTCCAATAACATGCAGTAATCCATAATTCCACTGTCAAAGCAATTCTCCTCAGAAAAAAAGCCATCGTTCCTTGCAATAAGCACCTCAATTCCGTCTTCCCCTTCATGAATTGCTGTTGCAGTGACACCATCCCATCCCTTGCATGGTGACAGCAGCTGCGCGATACAGTCCAGAAATTTCTGGCGGACAGAATCTCGAGGACCTGACATAATCACATTCTTGTCTGTCTCATAGTCTATCTCACTATCGCTCGAGTCATCTGTATTGCTGCCGTATTCCACTACGTTCTCGGCTTCGTGTAGCTCATTTTTTCGACCTTTTGTGAGATAAGAGAGGATATGAGCTGCCCAGACGACGCGTGCCAGGTATTCTTCCTGTGGCTTGAAGTTTGATGCAGCTCAGCCATCGTGTGAGATAGGCGACTGTGTCTGGGGGAGAAAAAAAGGTCAGTAGATAATGGGCATTGACAGCCACCTCAGTGCGGGGTAGTGAGAGTAAGGCAATCGATTATCTATCAGTTCTGGTTCGCAGTATCGAGGGGCAAGGAGGTGCGGGTGTGTTCAAGGTCCTTGTAAGGTACCAATAGTACTACCTAGCCAGTAGGTGACGCTGCCATTCTGGAAGTGGAATGAGTATATCACTCAATGTCAGTAGATAAGTGTTTCCATTTAGTCGAGGTTGGATGAGCATGGTTCCTGGTGCGACCCGAGAATTACCGCTTGTCCGCGAAGGGTGTTTCTGTTTTCGAATTTTGCTGTATCTATTCCGCCTTTTAAGGGCTGAGTAGAACTAATTTGGCTCATGATGAGATCGCCGCTGACTGATGTTCGTGCAAACGAATTCCGTCGTGGGTCTTTCAGGTGTGGAATGTATTATTGACCTCGGGATAAGTCAGCATACGTTGGGCGATACTTGAAGTGTGTCCCTCGGCAGGTATCGTCTGCTTAACGCCGGAAAGTGTAAGTATGGTAAATTTGGTGATCTATCAGAGATACAACAAGGAGGAATGGTGGGACTTTCCCCTGACCAAATTCAGCCTAGCGCAATTTGAGTGGGGCACCAGGAAAGAAAGCGTGAGAGTCTAGGGGTAATCTGCTTTCGAATTCTACTATAACATTCTGAAAGAGTATAGACAATGTTTATTCATGATTATAACACACAATTTGCTCGTGTAAGATGTTGGATGATTGAAACTGACGACTGAAGAGATCGCTTACCTTCAACTGGACTGTTGGTGCATGAGTTATTCGCTACGCCGCCCAGGTGGAGTGAGCTAGGTCGCGCTTAGGAGTCTCATCTACTCGGACTTTTCATCTTCTTCTTTCATTCCATTTACCCGGTCCTCACCATTTCTTTGATTCCGTCTTTTCGAGACTTTGGAGTTTTCGAGTCGCATTGAAAAATGCTTGACAAATTCAAAAAGTAGCTTCACAACAAAAGCAGAAAGGACAATGGAATGACTCAAACTGTCAGTGGGGTCCGCGACCTTGCTTACACCACGATACTGAGCTCTTCTGCTTTGAATGGGTGGATCTCCTCAAGGCTGTTGAAAGCAACGTTCAACATTGGCTGTGTTCTCGAGAGGGCAGCTCAAAACGGAAACCATGAGATTATCAAACGCCTGGCCAAAGTAGGAGCAGATGTCAGCAAGCTAACGCTGTGGGCTAGAATGGCTAGGTCGGCCATGCCCAGGGGATTGAGGATTACGCGTAATTCCGCCAATCAGAGAAAGAATCGGTGGAAGATTTGAATCGCTGTGTACTTAGATTTGATCGGGCTAGAGAAGACTTCCATTTGTCTTGAATACCTTGCGAACGACTTTGCTAGGATGCATCTCGGAGAAAAGTAGCGGGAAGACGACAATCAAACTGATGCCGATCCGCCCCACTTAGCCTGGTGGACCGCTGGGCTGACACGGCCCCGTTCCTTCGTAGCCTTGTTTCTACCGAACCTGAATTTGACTTTGATCGGAAGTGTTCACGGTTTGTCTGAAGCAAACCACAAAATCACATTTCCATGATCTCGCATGCACTATCAGGGTCTACAGGATGTCCCTGGCAATCACCAGACTGGAGCATTGTTTTGAGAAACTCAATTATGTGTCGGCCCCCACGTGTCTCCGCTTCTAGTCCCAGTTTCACAGACGAGCTAAGACTGCCTGCCCACTTTTACTTGAGTCGCCTCCCTGATGGATACCCATAGGCCCGGGTCGTTTACAAGGAAGGATAGTGGCTGTGGTTGATGGGCACGAGATCCCTGTTGCGCTAGGGACATGGTTATGATCTTAGAGGCCCTCGTTGGGACCGCCGGTAGCAGGACTGGAGATGATGGGCCTTTCCAAATGCAAAAGCGCTGAGAAGATTGAGAGCAAATTCGATGCGAAGATAGTTGAAGCAACAGAAGCGACTCGATCATGCCGAGGCTGCCGGCGCGACTATGTGGTTACAGAGAGCTACACTTCATTTCGCTAATCAACGCAAAGGTGCTTTAAAGGATTGTCGAAAAAAGATTGTGCACAAGACCATGCACTGGGGCGTATCAGTCGCTTAAAATTGGCTCGAGCGCTGCGCTACAGTAACCTCCATTTCAGCCCCGTTAGCCCCCAAATAAATCCCTGCTCCACGCCTTTTGAGGCGAGCAATGGCTGTAACTAACTGATCAGATCTCAAACAGATGATTCGGATTACAAGCAAGACGTCAAGGTCTCCTTCGGTTCGAGAAATAAGCCTCAATTCTCCGAGAACGGTGCCTTGCGCCCCGTGGGTCAGCGCAATAGGCGACCCACTTTGGCTGCACGGTGTCAAGCCCATCACTTACTCGCTTTCAGCTTTATACTTCCCAGTCTGTGGTACCAAATGCCCCTGGCTGCTGCCTCGATTTGAATCAGTCGCATAGAATCCGATGCCCTTATTTAAAATGCTAAATAGTTTACAAGAACCCGTGGACCCACCTTGAGCCCACTTTTACCACGACTATCTTCCTGTTCTGGTATAGAGCGCCAAACTAGCGCTCTGCTCGCGTCCGATCTCCTTCCCACAAGGGACCGATATGATGCCATTCAGCCCCAGTGGGCCCTCAGTCAATAATAGGGGGAGGGTCCGCCTGGACCAGCGTTCAAGAATAAATCGCACCGTGAGGCAGGCAGAGCATTCCTTCTGGTTAAAGCCCAGGATAAAGATGAATTTTTCGTGTTATCAGGGAGGGGCCCTTCGATGGATGCTGGCCTGTCTTGGACTCACCACCCTCGTTTTATTATGGATGACACTGCATGATCCTCATCCGCGAGGGCCTGCTCCGCAATGGAGTGACCCGGAGGCTGAAAAAACCCAGGAAGCTTTGAAAGCCCAGATATCTTTGGATACACAGAAGAAAATGGATGAGCAGAAGCTTTGGAAAAACCTTGACAATATTCAAAATGCAACATTGGGAGTATGTCTAACACTATCACCCGATGATAAAGCACGGGCTAACTGATTGCAATGTAGTTTGAAAAGGCTTTCGCAATCAACCTTGCAAGCCGGACAGATAAGCGCGACAACATCGTTCTTGGCTCATCGGTGACCGGCTTTGTGGTTGATATCGTCGATGGAGTAGACCCGGAGGAGACGAATCCCAAGTCGTATCCATATGTCAGCTCACAAAGTGCTTTCCTTTTCTTTTCATTATAGCTAATTAGATCTTAGAACTGGAACTATGACCATTCAAAGTCAGAATATGCGTGTCGGCGGGCGCATGTGAATGTGGCGGAAAGGTATGCGACCGAGCCAGCAATTTTCTCGCCGATCGTCGCGCTAAGTATGTGATTAGAATTGTCGAAAAGCGACTGAGTAGCGCCCTCATTCTCGAGGATGACGTTGATTGGGATATATCAATTAAAGCTCAGCTGCAGAATCTCGCTCTTGCAACAAGGGCCCTTCAAGGCACCGCTCCAGGTTCCATTTCGTCTCCATACGGGCATGACTGGGACCTTCTGTGGCTGGGACATTGTGGCATGTCATGTAAAGTGAAAGAACCATATTACTTGACTCCGCACGATCCGACCGTCGTCATGCCTGACCATCTGCCCGTGTACTTCTTTGGAGTACCAGAATATGATAGAGCAGATGACAGTCGGCTCACATGTACCGTCTCCGATTCTACCTGCATGACCGCATACGCGTTAAGCTATAAGGGTGCCCAGAAGATCCTCGCCGCCCTTTCAGTCAATCCGTCCGGCATTGCTGATGAGGTCGATACTGGGGATCAGATCGACCTTGTCCTTGGTCGCATGTGCAAGGCTGGAACTCTCCGATGCTTCGCACCATTCCCCTCCTTGATAGGTAGATATCAGTCTGCAGGAATGTCCTCAAAAGGGACTGATCAATTAGGCAAAGAGGCAGATTCTCACATGGTCCCTGCCAGTAGCGTTGGGATTGTTTATAGCACAATGCTTAATATTAAGCGTATTCTGAAAGGTCTGCGTACCGTTCATGCGACATGGCCTGACGTGAAGACACAGGATATTCTTCCAGAGGATATTCACATTGACCAAGGGGAATTACACGCACCGGTCGCTCCCTCAGAGCCTAATTCCACCCCTGAGAAGGTCAAAAAGCCGGAGCTGACATCAATCGAGGGGCTAGAACCGGTCGACGAGCCGGAATTTGCAGTGGCACCTATGCCTTATGAAACGCCTGCTTCCAATTCATAATAGATCATCCTAGTGTGTATAATCCATCTTTTATGAAATTTTCACTAGCCTGGTAGACCAACGCTCGTTGACGACCTGCACTGCCCTTTTTGGCCTCCACTCTCTGTGATCAATGAGCAACATAACCAATAACTTGCTCTGAATCATAGAATATTGATTGAAAGTGACAATTTTGTGGTGAGATATACTGTTACCAGCCGTATGAACATTAACGTTGTATTTTGTCAGGTAGAACTTGATAGAACAGGTATTTTCATAATCCGCATGCAACATTTTGCCCAGTCTCTATGTCATTTTCTGTTAAGCCAAGTACTTCTGCTGTTCTCGGGAGACTTGGCCGTAAAGGGTTCATACTCCGCATGTTGGTCATACCCTTTGGCATGCCGTTGGGCTGCAAACCCTGCTTTTCCATCACCCTATCGTAGTTATACATCGATCGCTTCCAACTCCTGGAAATAGGGCCACAGCTGGTAGGGCCCACCCTTTCTAAGTATTTTTCGATTTGACAATGTATAATGTACATGACGACTTTTTTCCGGGGGTGCCGGTTGGGTAGTACAAGCCAGTCGCCTGGCCCCTTGGGCGCTTGCAACATAGACTGGAGAAAACTTCGGATCGCCCCCTGCCTTAGTCGGGAGGCAATCATGATTTTATCTGTGATACGTTTCCGATAAAAAGTTGTGAAAAGGGGATTTGAACCTTCGAGTGCGTTTGACTAGGGGACGTACAGATTATCAGGCCGCGGAGACCGAGCGTCATTGTATATGGGCTCTCCATGAGCGTGCGAGACTACGTAACAGGTGTATATTTTTGCCTTACGTTCATCAGCAGAATACTGGACATAGGATTGGAAATTGAATTGTATACTTTCCTTTCTACCTTTCTATAAAAAGAGTGTTGATTCAGGTTTCTTACTGCCCGTCTCGGTACAGCGGGTAGATAAGAGGGTCGGATCTCTGATGGCAAATTTGTTCCCAAAATGCTTCCCTGTAACAGATCCACAGAGGCAGGAATCCAATGATTTCACCAGGATCTAAGCAGTGGATCTAAGAAAACGCCAACAAGATGACGACGCCACAATCAAACATGCGAAGGCCTTCCGAAAAGGGGGAAAGATGTGGAGAAAGTCCTTTGGTGATAGAGATGAGTCGGATCCATGATGATGCTAAAGTCCGCCGAACCCCTTGGACCATCTTTTGTGTCTATGGTTCTATTGCGCCGTGCAACGTTTGCTCAGAAATACGAACATACTTACGCACCGCCAGTAACACACTTGCAGATTATTTCATCTCATCAGCCTCACAGGATCGACCGACATGGCCCTCTTCATGGTGTTTGATTATTATGGCAATTACTTAACATACCCAATCTTCGGATGGGCCCTGGTGGTGGGATCGGTCTTTTTTGGGTACAACCTTTTGTAGTAATTTACAACCCCATTTGGCATCCGTTGAAGAAATTCCCAGCCCCCCCTTTGGCAAGATGTACGGGTCTATGGGGATTTTATTGGAACTTGTATGGTCTTAGAGCGCACAAAATTGATGACGCGCATAAGAGATACGGTCAATTTTTCACAAAGTCACCCAGAAGAAAGACCAGCTAAAGTACAATTCATTCCACCAGGGAACACCATTCGCATCGCCCCAAATCTTCTATCATTTTCAGATCCGGAAACTGTGCGAGAAATCTACAACTCAAAAAAAACTTTGTAAAGGCTGAGAGCTTTTACGTAGGCGCTAGAATCCCTCATCTGGTTGACATACTAACTTCCTCTTAGTGTGAAAAGCGGATATTTCAAGGAGACCACCTTTTCTCCTTCAGGTGCCATAGCATTTATCTTTGCCGAAATCTGAGAGATAAGCTAACTCGGTTGTGTCATGATCAGAGACCCTACAAACAATACATTTTGGTATCAACTTCAACGGACATTAACAACGAGGTTCTGACGGCACATTTTTCACATGCTCCAGGCTCATATTAACGGAGCAACAATATGGTCTTCACAGGCGATCACGTTCAACATTATTTTCAGGCAGTAACATATCATTCCCATGTCATATTCACTCTCCCCATTCGTCCTCTTTTCAACTTCGTTGATACACCTTGAGTGAATTCACTCTCCAATATGACTCCTCGAAGGCTCTCGGATTGTTCCGAACATAATCGACACATGTGGGTGCCTTGGAGGCACACACCCTGCTGCTGGCCCATGTGCCCCCGGCCCAATCACCACAAAAGGTGATGTCGAAAACCTGTGCAGACACAATTAGTGATCAAGTTAGGTAAATCGGGCCGGTCAGCTTACAAGGTGAAGATTGTTGAATTGCGCGTCGATATTACAACCACCGGAGAAACTGGCAACTGGAGTGCCCCATGTCGAAGGGTCAGGTGAGCCAGATTGAACATTCCCTGGTATTTTTGAGCGAGAGAAGTGCCAGACTCGAATAACATCGCTTGTCCACTCTGTCGCATAGACTCCACCACCACCTCCGTTGAAGATACCGCCATATGACTCGGGGTTTGGATCAACAATGCTACACCCACCGCTGCCGCCGAGGCCTGTTGAGTAGATGTAACAAGTATCTCGGCCAAGAATGCCGCTGAACCCAGAATTATTGACTGTGCACCCATCGTGATTTGTGTGTAGGGTGACCAAGTTTGTTGGACCTTCATTCATTCCTTCGATGATGTCAATTTCACCAGCTGTTGGAGGGACGGTGCCGATCATCCAACTGTGTACAATCAGTAATCGTTCTATTGTTTCCTTCGTGCACTACGAGAATGCCTGACGGGGTAGGAGGAGGGGGGGGAACTTACAATGCTGGCCAGGTACCACACACACTCCCAGGCATATGGGCCAGGTCCAAAACAACCAAGCCATGGGTATAATCCTGATGACTTGTCAATCGCACACTTTGGCGACCGGAACCCCATGCAGAGTTTCTAGTGTCGACACCAAAATAGACAGAGCCACCTGATGCGCTTATGAGGCCAGAGGTCTTTGCAGTCGATCTGTCGACGTAGCTCACATAGCCCCTGGTAGGGTCAGCATTCTGGATGATGATATTAGTGCTCATTACTATGAACGATATTAGATTCGAGGTGACGTACTGTGAAAAATCAAACTTGTCGAAGAACTTTTCATCATTACCATAATCATCTTTCAAAGTGTATGAAGCAGTGCATATTTGCTGAAACAAAAGCAGCCACAGGGTCGGCAGAAGGTGGCGAGGAGATAGCATTGTCTCGAATTTGCGACGAGACGTCGACTTCAACATAGACAGGTATATCGAGTTCAAAGACAGTTTCTGTTTCTGTTTCGGTCCCCGAAGGCTCCTCAACACTTTCAGTTGTTGGTTTGGACATAAGGAACTTCTGAGATGCAGAGTAGTTTGAGTAATCTTTCTTCAGGCAGCATGAAGATATAAGAAAGAAAGATGGAGGGAAGGGCTGCGAGGTTGTTTAGATAGGCACTGTCGGCCATGGATTGGGAAGGCCGATGCTGCAACCTGGGGCGGACATTCAGAACTGGATGAAACCTTGTTCGCCGATGCTGAATTCACTACGATCGGGCTCAATGTGGACCCGTGGCATCCTCATGAAACCCAGTGACTCATTTGATCCTTTTTGTTACTTCCATTCAATAACTCTAACCTTTGAAAGTGCACTTTATCACGCGGCACAAAAAAGAAGCGGAAAATTGAGGTAATATTGAATCTGCGATCACGGAGTTTAATTTCTCGTACCTTTTCCATTGTAAGTTGAATTCTTGTTTTTCACACATGATAAATATAAGCTTCGTCCACATACGCAGCGAAACTGGCATGTGACATATTGTGAGTTCCCGATAGCCAATATCGCGTATCTCAATACGAGCCAAAATACTGTCAGAGTCAACGCGCAGTCGATCCAACTAGCAATGGCTAATTGGGCTCCAGATACACTTCATAATAAGGTTTTGCAGAGCGATTATCACATCCAAGACACTCCAGATCCTTGGTCGCGGGTAATTATCGCATCAGCACCCGTTACGCACACGAAACACGCCGAACATGTGAAGCCTGCTGTCCATTTTAGCAAACCGGGACATGTCAAAACTTTTGCCAACAATATGCTTGACTTCGTGAGATATTGTAATAGACTGTTTCATGAATCATCTATCTAAGAGTACGCTATGTAAATCCTCAGTTCTAGCGCTGCGTGTGTATAGAGTCATGTCATTCATCTCGGTTCTGTGCTTGGCCATCAATTTCCGCCTTTAGTATGCCTGCTAGGTGCTCTCCGATGAGTTGCCCCATCAAATCATATCCTTTCGCAGTAAGATGCAATCCATCATCAAATATTTCCTTAACGAAGTCTTCCGTCGAGCTGTGGTATGGAATCTTGCTACAGAGGTCAAAGGCATAGCTACAAACGTTAGCCTGGTCCTTTCGAATGATCCTGAGCTTGAGCCTTACTATCGTTCCACCTCATGATTGAGGATGAGCGTATTCAAAGCCAAGCGTCTCAAATCCAGATTCCTGATACGGGCTTGGCACTCGGGGATAGTCAATGAAAGAACCTTAGCACCTGACTGGAGGACAACGTCCCAAGAATCTTGGAGACCAGCGTAAATCTTCTCAGATTCCAATCCGTACCCGAGGTCACTAATTTACTCACATCCACACTGATGAGCAAAAGGACGTTGGATGGATGTAATAGGGAAAACTCACTTTGTGCCCCCCAGAAAGATCACCCAGTCGTAATGATTGTTGTCGCATTTCATTTGTATCCGGGAAAGAAATGCTCCTGGGGGACACACTAAATCGCCAGGCTGCCCAGCCACAGTGGTAAGGACTTCAAGGTCTGGAAACTCTTTTTCAAGGTGTGCCTTAAGCTTGATGGCATATGGATGATACTCTAAGCCGTAGGAATAGAAACCAGCCGTAAGCGAGTTACCAAAGCAGAGAATAGATAGTTGCTGAGACATTTTGGCTATATGTCTCCAGGCGATAGCAATGTGTTAGTCCCAGGAAGATGAGAAAGGCGGGAAAAATGAGTCCTTTGTTAGTGTGTTGGCGCGTACAGGCAGCAAGCATGCCCAAATAGGAATAGCGGAGATTGCCCGATCAGCCTCTTGTCGCTTTTTACTGCCTGAATATTCAGGCAACAATATGCGAGGGACCTTAGGCTCCGCGCCACCAAATTCACGCTGTACTCTTGATGCTTGGATATTTTGAAGCACATTATGTGAAAACTGACTCGAGCCTCAAGTGATTGAAGGTATATCTATCGACATCAACTAGCAATCGCCCGATTTAAGACTTCCGAGGGTCTTTTTTCTCTACAAATTAACAGGTCTTGCAATGGAATTTGATTTGGTATGCAGCACAATATGTGTGGATTAAGAGTCGTCAAGCCACAGATTTATTCATGAAAGTCAGGTACTCAATGATAGAATAAAGGTGTGGGATGAAATGTGAACCTCGGAAGAATATCCTTTTGTAGCTTCTGACTCAGATCCATATCAAAGACGAAGGTCAAATGACACGTCGTATCGGAATTCCGTAATAATAAGATTCCCAACATGCCATATCTACAGATATAGATACCGAGGTAGCTCATATTGGACGCCTGGTTGGAAACCAAAAAGCCACGATAGTCGGCATCCTGATTAGGCTTAGGTTCGGATGCTTATAAAAGCTACTCAATTCCCCGTAAGCATTGACTCAATTTCATTTCTACATTTCTCAGCCTGCTTGTAATTCCAACATGGGGTCCCAGACAGCCCAATCCCAGGGTTTCAAAATTCTTCCCGCCACTGCAGAAGATTTTGTGACCTTGGCAGAAGTGGAATCTATCAGCAATGAAACCGCCACGAATACCCCGATGGAAGCAAACATCTCCCGTATCATGTTTGGACCGCCCAATGCTGAAAATCACAAATTCCGGGCTAAAGGTCTTGTCGACAGCCTGAGCAAGGACTCTACCATGAGGAACTATAAAGCCGTGGTGGAGGAAGACGGCAAAGAGAAGATTGTCGCCTGGGCCTCATGGAACTTCTACCCTGAGGTACAGCCTATCAAGGATTGGGTCGATCTCGACTGGCCAGCGACTGCTAATAAAGAGGCATGCAACGATCTCATAGGCCGCATGACAGCCATCAGACAGCAATATATGTCTGGAAGAAGATTTGCCTGTTAGTAATTTTGTTGACCCAAGCCCGGGGTCCCGAATTAAAGAGATATATCTGACATCGAGATAGTTCTACAAGTGCTTGCCACTCTTCCCGATTTCCGGCTTAGAGGAATTGGCTCGAGCCTTGTCCGACATGGCCTTGCAGAAGCGGAGGCATTGGGCTTGAGTGATCTTTGGCTGACGGCCTCCGCGGACGGTCATGATCTCTACACGAAATATGGGTTCCAGGACCTTGAATCTGTTTTCACGCATGAGGATATTGCAAAGTATGGAGGATCGGGTGACCCAAAGATCATGGCCATGGGACGATTGGGCTAGATCCCACCTGGGGTCTAGCATTGGAATCTTGTAATTAGTGGCTTCAGGGCCTCGGGACGTGCATCTTTGCATGATTTGTGTTACTGATTAGTTTGCATTGCTTCGCATTAAACTCCACAGCTTTTTTATTGCCTTTTCACTGGACAAGCAGAGAGAGCACCAAATCCTGGCCAACTTTTGATCTTGTATTTGCCTCAAATGGTCTTCATGCATTGACATTGAAATTGTGTTTCCAATCGCCATGAATATTGCAGGGATGAGGTCACCTCGGCTAGCTGCCAAGGTGGGATGTGGAGAATGCCCCTCCTTCCAATGGAGGCGCGTATGAGATCACCCTACGACTTTGACTCAATCCCAAACGACAAGATCCGACCGGTAAAATATTCTTGCTTTTAAGCGTATATCCCAAATTACCCTTGAACAGATCAAAATGTCACAGTCTCGGCCATTGGGAGTAGGGATTATTGGTGCGGGGGTAGGCCAATCATTGCTGATGGCACAAGCTAGTAGCAATAGCTAACTTACACCTAGGAAGTCTTCCAAGTATGCCATGGCCCCTGCTTGCTACTGCTATCACACCTCTTCAAGCTCCAGTCAATCTGTGACGTGTCAGCCAAAACAGTCGAGCACTGTGCAACCAAGTTCTCCGTTCCCCATCAAACAACCACGCCTCAAGATGTCATCGACAACCCTAACGTCGAGATCGTCTTCATACTCACGTCAGACGAGAGCCATGCTCCCCTGGCATGCGCAAGTCTAAAAGCGGGCAAAAACGTCTTCATCGAGAAACCAGTGTCTCTCTCGTTGCATTCCGTGCAATCAATCATTGACGCGGAAAAGAACGCAGGAGGCGCCCGCATTTTCGTTGGATATATGCGTCGTTACGCCCCCAGCTTCCTCGAAGCATTCAAACGAGAAATATCTTCGATCCCTAAGATTATGTACGCGCGCGTCCGCGACTTCAGTGGTCCGAACTTCAATTTCGTCAGCCAAAGTGGTACATTCTCAGTCAAGCACAATGACTACCCACCCAACGCCGCGGAAGAGCGCAACACACGACTTGAGGCGCTCTTCGCGGAGGCATTCCCCGATCAGGAAATCACGGATGAGAAGCGAAAATTCTGTCGCTTCCTTGGTAGCCTTGGCTCGCACGATATTTCTCTCATGCGTGAGGTTCTCGGGTTCCCGGAGCAGGTCAATGGCGTTACTGCCAATGATCCATTCTACAGCGCTATCATGACATTCCGGAATTCGGATGGGTCAACCTTCTCCACGACTTATGAGAGTGGTATCGATGAGGTTCCGGTTTTTGATGCGCACATCGCGGTGTACGGCGCTAAGAAGAGAGTCACTCTCAAGGTAGGGAACCATGTCCTGCTTTATATTATTTTACTGTACTGACGATACCACAGTTTGATAGCCCATATGTCAAGGGTCTTCCTATCTATGTGGAGGTTGATGAGGTGAATGAACAAGGGGAAATCCAACACCGAAAGATGCTCTCCTCTTATGAGGATGCTTATACTGCCGAGCTCCAGGAGCTGTATGAGGTCTTTGCTAACGGGAAGTCGATCAAGTCGACTCTGTCAGATGCTAAGCAGGATCTTGAAATTTTCGACATGTTCTACAAGAGCTGGGCTTCCAACTAGTCTGGGAATAACTTTGTCTTATGAACATTTTTGCGTATATACAGCAAATAATAAATCATTTGTTCAGGTCTCCAGATACATCTAGGTCAGATGGTCGTACTATCAACATAATCACCGTGAAATGAATCGCTCATGCATTGAGATTAAGTGGTGAAACACAGGAGAACGAGTTCAGTTGCGGAATTTCGAAGGCGTCGATCATTCCTGGGTTACATTAGCTTCAGGCATTAACACCGGGCTTCAAGTACCTACCAATAACGGCTGCCCACATGCCCAGACCACACATGGCCAAGGAGGCCAAGAAATAAACCACATGCCAAATGTTTATGCAGACTTGGAACCAGCCGCCCGCAAAGAACCCACGAACCCACCGCTGAGTAGCTGTTCCAGATCTCGAAACCTGTCCGGTCACTGGGTCAAAGCCCTCTCCCTCCTCCACTCGAGTAGCATTCCTCTGGATATCGAAGCCCAGTGCAAACAACGGAGGTAGAGTATAGCTCAAGTTGAGAAGCATAGAGGCAGAAATGACACTGACAAATCCAAAGTAATCGGGAACAGCCGCGCCAATGATAAAGGCGATGATCCACCACAATGGAACGAGAATCGCGTAGATAATTTTACCACGTCGACTTTCCATGGGAGGGACCTTGAATATGTCGACGAGGATGTTGTTGTAAACAACCTTGATGCCAATATTGCCGTAAAGTCCACCCGCGATCAGAGCGGCAATTAGCGTCACCATATTTCCCAGTGTCTGCCATCCATAGATACTGACACCTTGGTAGCTGGGATTAAAGCTGTATTGACCCTGCAGGTAGTAGACCACACACCCGTAAGTGAGATAGACACTATAAATGAAGAATTGAGCACTCCACATGGCTTTGATAAAATCTTGGGGTCTTCTCATTTCCGCCATGAATTCGACAAATAGCTGTGCGCCGGCATAGGCCAGCACGCCAGAAAGCATACCATTCACGGATCCAACGAGGCCATTCCCAGGGGGAATGTTGTTGTAATGGATAATTGGCGGGTAGACACCATTCACAGGCGTGATGGTTGTCGCATCGGTATCACTACCCGCGGACCCAAGAGTAGATATTTGATAATTCGGTGGCGAATTGGCCATAACACCCATCGTCATGAAGATAACAAAGATATTCAACCACACGGCCAGATTAGCGATCCACCCGTATGCCTTCAAGGTACGAATCTGCGTGATGAAGAATCCGGCAACGGCGAACAGGACTGGACAAACAGCGTAGCACAATCTGAACTTTGAGACCTGAGAGATATTTTCGCCGTACTGAATTGTGACTTGACCGGTGATTAGGAGTAGACCGATCCCTTGTAGAATATTCGTCAAGTGCCGACCGCCATTACCAAATGTTCTGAAGCCAAGATCGCCATAGTTCTTCACGGGGAACTCATAGCTGTCGACGCCGAGGTAGACACGCCAGATGAGGTATCCTGAATACCCGACCATCGCTCCGAATACGGTGTAAAATGCGACACCTGGGCTTTATTAGCATGATTCCACTCAGCCATCACATTTGGAGGTCTTACCAGGTCCCCATCCCAGTGTGCCCATCGCAAAGCCTGATCCATACGGCCCCAAAATATCCGTGGTGATCAAGTAGAAGCCTATCGAGTTAGCACATAAGCCGACCGGAATTTTAAGCTGGTACTAACAAGCGCCCCATGAAGCCGACCGAAACGCTCTACTGGCATTCGTCCACTCCTCATCAGTAATCTCAAGTCTCCTGGCCCGGTTTGTGAAATCCTCCTCAGTCAGCGCAGTAGTAACATCCTGGTTTGACGAATCGCTTCCACTCGACTTCCCAAACCACTGTCGCACATTAAGAACAGGTGGATCCAGTAGTTCCTGCTCGGCTCTCGTCTTCTGCGCATAGTAGGTGTACTCTTCAAAAGACACACCCGAGTCGTAAGGCTCGCGGGCTTGTGGTTTGATCAACGTGCTGGAAGTTGGAGGGTAAACCTTTTCGTCCATTTGTTTCTCCATGATGATTCCAATCTCAAACACCCCTTGCGCGGAAAATGGACAGGAAACTTTCGAATTTCTCGAGGGGCACCGGAATTACATGCGGGGAAGCTAAGCATCTCGGCTTAGGCTAGTCCGTGCACACGGGGACAAGCATTCACTATGGCGCCTCCACTTGTTGCTTGAAGTAGATAAGATCGACGTGGTATCTGTGAGAATGACTCCCCGGTCGGCTAATTTGATAAGCTTCACGGTTGTTACTGGTCGCAGATACTTTGACATGTCTCTTGAGTCCAATTTTATCGGCGATAGTAATCCAGTTTGGAGGTGTTCAGAGCCGAATAATACGTTTGCGCAGCTGTATCGGTTTAATTCGGATATCTCGGGTCAGCACCGGAGTGCTCAGATAGGGCGGAGAAGGGGTCTAAGCGAATGCCAGTAGCCCCTTATCTCTGTCCTCTAAGTGTTGCATGATCGGAGTTCGGAAAGCGGCATGAAATTTGTCCGTGGCCTCCGACATGGTTGATTGGTGCATATTCGCACTGCAGTGATAACAGGCCTGCTGCTCAGCGATGTACGAGATCTTGGGATGCACATTAGGTAGGAACTCCAGAAAACTTCATTCTGAAGGACTTGGGGAAGCGTTTCCTCGGGCAGTGAATGAACGGCAGAGTCTGTAGGTCCAGGATCTACTTCCAAATAGTGAAACAGCAACTGGCCAGATGGGAGTTTCAGTCCCCGTCGCGGTCACTCAATTGCTCTCACAACATCAGGATGCGGTGAGGCGAAGGTGCCTTCCATATGTTAGAGTTGATAAGTTCTCCGAAAAGGTGGAAATGGATACTATCGCATTTTGTCACGTAATTTGGGTAATATCCGCCTGGTACGAAGGGGGCAACGCGATAGAGCGATTAAATGGAAGATGCAGACTTCCGAGGGAATAATCTATACTTTGTGATATTTTAATACCCCACCAGACTTACCAGTCATTCAATAAGTAGTATATTTCGCCGAACGGTGATGCTGCTTATTAAGTATCGGAACGGGAAATTTAGCCCGCGTCGATCGATGCGGGGAAGGTATAGCTTCCCCTCACATCACCTAGCCGTTGCTATCAGTCAAAGTCCAATTGAGCTGCAGCATTGATTCATCGGTCATGCCTTCCCCAATTAAGACGCGTGAAACTTGGCTCGTGGATGGGGAAAATTTGACGCGCCGAGACCATGAGTTTGCGGCACAGTCTACAAATTCCCTCGATTTCTCACTTGATCCTCTCGTTTTTATTTTTTCTTGTTCAAATCGTTCAACATGACTACCACCACTATGAAAGCGCTCAACTACCTGGGTCCTTACAAGGTCCAGGTTGAAGATGTTGAGAAGCCAAAGCTAGAGCATCCTGATGATATCATTGTCAAGGTCACCACAGTACGACTCCAATGCTTTTTCCAGACTGCGTGAGATGATTGACTGACCTATTCCAGGCCGCCATCTGTGGCTCAGACCTTCAGTATGTGAAGCACAATCTTTCTTGCTAAAATCTGCCAAAGTCGCTCACAGTGAAACAGCATGTATGAAGGTCGAACAGCTGCAGAGCCTGGCATTACCTTTGGTAAGGCCCAAGTCTTGCAGACTCACGCACAATGTCTAACGAAAATAGGGCACGAGAATATGGGCATTGTGGAAGAACTTGGCGAAGGTGTGACATTATTGAAGAAGGGCGACCGCGTGGTCATGCCATTCAACGTCGCCGATGGCCGGTGTCGCAACTGTGAAGAAGGGAAAACTGCATTCTGCACCGGCGTGAATCCAGGATTTGCTGGCGGTGCTTATGGTAGGATCATATGCACCATCTGTTCCCGTCCTTGGCTAATAGTCAACAGGTTACGTCGCAATGGGTCCTTACCGCGGAGGTATGTTTACGAACTGCGTCTCGAGCCTCAAACAATCTAACAATCTCCCAAGGCCAAGCACAGTATATCCGAGTCCCTTATGCCGACTTCAATGCTCTCGTGCTGCCTCCTGGAAAGGAACACGAAGCAGACTTTGTTCTCCTTGCTGGTGAGTTGCTATAATTTCCTCCAAAAGTAAGGCATTTACTGACCAATTTATGCTGCAGACATCTTCCCAACCGGTACACTTCTTCTTTCTCCTCCCGCAAACTGAATCATATTTCTAATAAACGACGCCAGGCTGGCACGGTGTCGAAATCTCTGGCTTTCAATCGGGAGAAAGCATCGCGGTCTTTGGTGCAGGCCCTGTCGGCCTTATGGCAGGCTACTCCGCAGTTTTACGTGGCGCGTCGAACATCTATGTGGTTGACCGTGTTCCTGAGCGACTTGAGGCTGCCAGAAAGATAGGCTGCATTCCGATTGATTTTACAAAGGGGGATGCTGTGGACCAGATCATTCAGCACAACGGCGATATGGTGGATCGATCAGTCGATGCCGTGGGATACCAAGCTGTTGACTCCAGTGGCTCTTCCGAAAGAGCGAACATCGTTCTTGAGAACATGATTCGTGTGACTCGAGCTTGTGGTGGATTGGGTATTCCGGGACTTTATGTGCCGAGGTAGGCTTCGAATATACACAGTACGGTCGGAGAAACTGACAAGTGTTCTACTAGTGATCCTGGTGCAACTGACGCTGCAACTGCCAACGGAATGATCAGTCTTAGCTTTGGAAAACTTTTTGAAAAGGTAAAGTATCGAGTCGTTAAGCTTTATGAATTCGGACTAACTTCCTGTAGGGTCTATCACTTAGCACTGGACAGTGCAATGTCAAGGCATACAACCGATACTTGCGAGACATGATCATTGCTGGCAAGGCCAAACCCAGCTTTGTGATTTCGCATGAGATTGGGCTTGCCGATGCAGAGACTGCTTATGATAAATTCGATAAAAGGGAGGATGGATACACGAAGGTTATTATCCACCCGAACGGGGGGTTCTAGGTCACTAGGAGCTATTTTGTAAATAATGCAGATATTATATACTCTGAAATTTCATGTCATTGACAAGCAATTCATCTACGTCCAATTGTGAAAGACTAAGCAGAGAATGAAGACTTGCACATTAGTCATTGGGATATCAATGCAAGACATCAGCGCTATGATTACAGCATGAATAGACGGATCTGAGGCGAAAACATGGGATTCAAGCGATAGGGATCCTGGTGCAAAATGTCGGAATGAATGTATGAATCATGAGATAACCAAGAAGAAAGCGGTGCAAACGATTGGCAGAGAGGACCTCATATGCGGGTATCTATGCAATAGTAACAGTTGTTAGAGAATTCCAGTCGAAATTCTTTGTCTCTCTCCAACTCTCATGCAGAGCAATTGCGGGGTTGGATTGATGAGGGCAAGTGGGATGTCGGGCATGTCTCCGGCACAGACACGATCTCTTAAGGCAATGTTCGCCGCGAGTGGGGTGTCTTTACAGGGGTAAACTCTCCGCTGTGGGGGACCGGCCAATAACAACGCTCATATGGAATAACGTCACACGCTTCCCATGGCGGGGAACATTTCCTGTTTGAGAGTGCGATCTTAGAATATGTGCAATTGTAGATCAATTTGGAGATTTGGGAGATAAATAATTTGGCATGGTCAAAGTTCATTCTTGCAACTGATTTTCGACTTCTTCATCATTCTCGCATATTCATTCTTCAGTCACCATGAGAATCGACCGTTTTCGCACAGTTTGGGGCATTGAGCCTGGAACCAATTTGGACAATTGGGCCAAGTGGTTTCCAGAGCTTAAGGCGCTAGGATACAGTAAAGGCTCCAGCTACTGAGGCCATTTTTCTTTGCTGAATTGTTGCTAATTGTTCTGCGTTTGACAGACGGCGTCGAAGTCAACATCCATGCACTAGATCCGAAGCGGGATACCCCACGACTACGACAGATTTGCGATGACCTAGATTTTGATATCAGCGTCCTGTCAGTACATACAGTCATGAAGCTTTAGTGATCAGGATTAATGTAATGATGCTGTGACAGGGGCCACTCGTCTTGGGTCGATTACTTAGGTCCTCGTCCAGTCGGCCTAAAAGCACGCGATCACTTGAAAAACTATCGAGATGTGCTCCTGCTGGCTGCGACGCTTCGGCCAGTCTCCTTCAATTTCCAATCCGGAGAGTGAGTCCCTAATCAACGGGTTAATATCGGTGGTCACCACTGACATGGGATTCAGAGATGCCTGGGACATTGAAGAGTCCATTAAATTTTACCGCGGTACACTTGAAGTCGACGATGAACTTGGTGTGTCTGGTCGAGTCTATCATGAGACTCATCGTAATCGGTCAATGTTCACTCCATATGCAGCTCAGCAGATCTTGAAAGCGGTACCACAGTATGAACCCGGCTCTTAGTTCGATGCAATTGAATCTGACTTTTCTTCCGCAAGGCTACGCATCACTGCTGATTTCTCACACTGGATGGTGTGCCTAGAGCGCCTGCTAGATATTGGCGAAGGTGACCGCGTGATGATGGACTCTATTATCCCGCATGTGAGTGTCTCCACTTCGATGAACTATGGAGGGGATTAACGTGAGATGTAGGTTTACCATATTCATTCCAGAATTGGAACAACCCAAGCTTCTCAATGCCCTGAGCCAATGAATCCCGTGTTCGAGGAAGAGCGACTTTGCTTTGAGAGGCTGTGGATGAAAGTTCTCCAGTGTCGGATTAAAGAGAATCCAGATTCGAAGATCATTTTTGTGCCGGAATACGGGTAAGTTGGGTATAACGGACCTTTGAGGATTCAGCTGAAATATTCTAGCCCCTTCCCATATCACCCCATTGGTAGCGCAAAGTCCCACGGCCAGGTTGCGGATGAAGAAGGTAAACGGTTACACGTCGCATTCACGCAGTTTGCAGCAAGCCTCACAGAGGTATAATCTGCCGTGTTAGAACGTGTTGATGACAGATGAGAATTTTACAAAAATCAAGAATATATCAAAGTAAACAGAAGCATATTTGATTCGATGCTGGTCAGGAAGAATTCTTTTACATTTTCAGCATATGCGTCCTCGTCACGAGTCACGGAACTGTAACAACTTTTTGCCGATGTCTCATATGGGTTCTAAATGTTCATTGCCTATTTTTTGAAGCAGGAAACTGTCGTGTGAATGTTCCCGGCAGCCAGCGCTCGGAGATGACTTCGAAGGATGACAATTGAAACCTACCGTATACTAAGCCACGATCGCATTTTGATGCACTACCATATCTCAGGTCCGACAGCCATGATGTCATGTGAGTTGGAGTATGGAGTGTCCAGGTCATTAATGTGAGTGTGTTTCTGGTCCACTAGTCGGATATTGAAATGGCGGGTTTTGCGGTTGCGGAAAAGGCTTCAGCTATGATTGCTGGAGATGCGAAGGATAGGGGAACATACTTGAGAGTCTTTGCTCGAGAAACTTTCGCAGCAGAATTTCGTTTTGATTTTACAAAAAAAAAACTCCCAACAAATCATCTATCTCCATTGAGCATAGAATTAGGTACGAACCCGTTTCTTGTCACCCGGGCCGGGAAGCTTTCTTGGCACTGGAAGCTCCATCCGTCAGCTAATTGGCACGTCGTGCCAAGGTTCAAAGATGATTCATCTAACGTCAAAGATTCAGATTTGTTAGCGCTAGATCTAAGGGTAGTTGCGGGTTGGACGTGATCCAAATGCTTCAGATTAAATGAAACGAGGATGGGCGCCAAGCCCCAGGTGGATACTGGATCGTGGAGTTCTGATCTATGACCTCGCTTAGCCGTTAGCGCGTTTCATTCCGTCGGCAGTTGGGACGAACTACAAGTAACCGCCTAGACTGCTTATTATCGATCATGTATTCTTTCTTTGGCGTGTCTCTCAATCGGAGTTTGGTTTTCGGTTGGGAGAACCCCCGTATATGGAAACAACAACACACAATATGCTGTAGGGCCATATGATCTACACCGTAATTTGCATCATTTTACGCCAAGCTGGATGAAGACTGCCATGAATCATTCCCGATGGGTCACTTCTATGGTGAAACAGGCTATGCAGCCACCTTGTTGAGGCGGCATAATGACTGCAAAATGTGAAGCATCTCCGATTGATTCAACAGATTCAACAAGAGATGGAGCATCACGAACTCCCTTGACAATTTAACCTCCCATAATTGAAACATCTGCCCCTTCGCTTACTTGAAGCCATATGCGATCACTATATCACGCTTTCGGCTCATTCGGAACGACGAGATAAACCATCAACATAAATAAGATGTTCTTCCCTTCACCTGATCAACAGAAAGCAGAGCTTCTTCATTTCCCTTCTTTTCTATTGAGCTTCATTGATTGGAGTTTCTTCCGTTCATTCCCATTTCTATTCACACTCTTTGGCTGAAATGTCTCTCTCAAAGACTTCAGCTCTTTTCCTAGCCTCCGCTGCGCTGGTCGCAGGCCATGGCTATGTTACCAGCATTGACGTTGATGGCACTACGTACGGTGGTTACCTCGTTGACACCTACTACTATGAGTCCGACCCGCCAGAGCTCATCGCTTGGTCCACCAACGCCACAGACGACGGCTACGTCGCTCCCACCGCATATGATACCTCGAACATCGTTTGCCACAAAGGTTCCGCTCCCGGTGCGCTCTCCGCTCCCATCGCCCCCGGCGGCTCTGTCACCTTGACCTGGAACACTTGGCCCGATGATCACCACGGCCCTGTGATCACCTACCTTGCCAACTGCAACGGCTCTTGTACCGATGTGGACAAGGTCGACCTGGCTTTCTTCAAGATCGACGCCGGTGGTATGATCAACGATACCGTGATCCCTGGTACCTGGGCCTCAGATGAGCTTATCGCCGATAGCTACAGCCGTACTCTCACCATCCCCACGGATATCGCACCTGGCGAGTACGTTCTTCGCCACGAGATCATTGCTCTTCACGGTGCCGAGGATCTAAATGGTGCCCAGAACTACCCCCAGTGCATTAACCTCAACGTTACCGGTAGTGGTACCGCGACACCGAGTGGAACCCTTGGTGAGGATCTGTACAAGAACACCGATCCTGGTATCTATGTCGATATCTGGGCCACTCTCAGCACCTATGTAATCCCGGGCCCTATTCTCTATACCGCTGGAAGTGCCACTACCGCTACTGCCGCTGCCGCTTCTTCTACGACTACAACGGAAGCAGCCGCTGTCGAAACGACATCTGCCAGTTCCAGCGTCAGCACCAGCGCCATCACTGAGGCGGAGACGATCCATGCAACTTCCTCTGTTCCCGAGGCTACAACCTCGGTCGCTCAAGCTGCTTCCACTGGTACTTCTTCCAGCAATGGCAATGGCAACGCCAATGATAATGGAAACGGAAATGGTAATGGTGGCATGGGTGGATCCGGTAGTGGCCCATCTGGTGGAAATAAAAGCACGCCTTCTGAGAAATCCTCACCTTCGGTTTCCATCGCTTCTTCCTCTCCTTCCACCACCACCACCACCTCGAGCTCCGGCAGCGAAACCTCCGGTGTCCTTAGTGGCTCCTGCACTGAAGAAGGTTACTGGTACTGTGATGCTGGCTCCGCCTTCCAGCGCTGTGTGGACGGAGAGTGGGATGCCTCTCAGAGCGTCGCCTCCGGGACTGAGTGCACGGCCGGTATCTCGGAAACTTTGACTATCACTGCTTCTTCTCGGAAGCGGAGCATGGATCACGTTCGTCGAATCCACGCACGCGCTCAGCATGTTTAGACGCTGTGTACTTTGATCGGAGCGCTTCACTGTGTTTCTGATCTGGTTTCGGTTGTCCATTCTTTAGATTTGTGTCTTGCTAGACTTTGGTACTACTCTGCTGTGTTGTTATGTCTTGCTACTTTGCAATAATGTCTATGTATAAATAGAAAATACTTGAATTGATTGATTGATGATGCTATAAGATTAACTTGTCTAATGCTCTCCTTTGCGTTGTTTTCCGTCTAGCCATAGCTATATCAATGGGCAGTCCGGCGACATCGATTCCGCGTTGCAATGCCCTTGGTATAGTGAGAGAACTCTAATGTGAAAAAGGCTAGGTTATCTCTCTCATCATCAATACCAAATAAATTATCAGGGTATAAATAGACATAAAATGGTATCACACGTTATAGACGGTCTGAGTCAAATTCTTAGACCCATTTCAACTGGACTACGAGATACATACAACATGATGTCGTCCTTCTTTCCTTGTTTCAATATTTTCTTAGGAAATGGGGAATTGGCCAATAGGCGAGTGAGCATGATTTGCTTCCGCGGCACCCGACATGTCACACTGAGAACTGAAAGACAAAATAGACCTTGACGAGAATAAAGCCCATGGTTCAAGGATATCAGATGTCTGAGATTTCTCCGATCTCAGGTGAGCAGATCAGTGACTGACATTCTATCGGAATGATATGTACCCACCGGGAAAGTATGCCTATGCAAACTCAAAGTATAAAAGACATTCTCTTTACTCAGTCGACATCCGAAATTCCCAAAAAATCCAAGATCCAAGATCGTTCTGTCAAGCTTACAGGCAAACATCCACAATTTGAAGTAAGTTCTTGCGACACCCTCGACTGTCGAGTGCGACGAATCATCTAAGCCTTGAATAGTCACCATGAAGGGCTCCTATGTAGGCACTTTGCTATTGGCCTTCCTTGGCACCACATTAGCCAAAGAGAGAGCCTCCTGTGCAGACACCAGGGTCTGTATGCCAGTCACTCATGACATGTTGCCTATGCAGGACATGACTTCACCATTTGGTCAGTGTCTCGTGACATGCGTGGAAGACGAGAAAGTGTGTTGTAGCCAGAGTTGTGCTCCGCCCCTCGCCTGCCGGACCAACTTTGCCAACTGCCATCTCAAATGTCGCGACCATGAAATTCCTCCTCGCTTCCAGTGTCTGGACAATTGTATTATGATCGTGAACAACTGCAAGGCTGAGGCAGTTATCGAGCCTCAGGTTTTGGAGCATAACGAGCATTGCAACAAGGACTTTCATTCTTGCCAACGCACTTGTCGACACGTATAGGCAGGCGAAAAAAGATTGGCTAGTGATTTACGACGCTCCGGTCGGGTACGACCGGATCTTGATGCTTTGTGGTTTGATTGGTGTCGTTAGCTATAAATATTGACTTCCATTTTTAGTCTGTGTGACCGCATCTCCTGTGCTCCATAATACTGGTGTAACTAGCTTCAGTAATAACCCAATCAAACAAGACTTTGTTCTCTCAAGATCGATCCCGCAGATCTTGTACCACGTTACGCGTCGATATAATAACAGGGTCCATGTCCATGTCGACCAAAAGCCCTCTTGATCCTGTTCTGAACGCTCATCCATGACCTTGCTGTCAGACATTAAATAAGGCAGCCACTATACTGAAATGGTCTCAGAGATGATATCTTGTTTCTTCAGATGAGACCCTTCAACTTAAAAGCCGTTGATGACCCACTTTTTCTTCCCTCGGTCATAACCAAATAAAACTCCTTCAATTTCTTGAGAGCATTACTATCAAATCTTTGCACTTCCTACAAATATGAAGTTCATTCTCGCATTATGCTGCCTGGTGGCTTCCGCACTCGCTGCCTCAGCCGACAACGCCAAGCCCCAATATCCCGACAACACCATGCCCCAATATCCCGACAACACCATGCCCCAATATCCCGACAACGCCATTCCCCAATATTCCAATGGGGAACAAGTGACTCTTCACTTTGCCAATGAGCTCGGCTCCCAGCCCAATCCAGTTAGCGTAGACTTCCCGCTTGACCGTGTCCCCCGTGATGTCATGGATGTCATGGAGGGTGGATCGGACCAATATGTATCGGCAATTCAAGTGACTGATCAGTCTAGCGCAACATCGACTTTCAGCTGTGATGTCCGCGTTATGGGAAGGTTTTTCGGTACATTTACACCAACGATGACGTATAAGTCTATCGGCCAAAGCGTTCGGTTGAGTAGGGTGTCAGTGCAGTGCCGACCCTAATCGAAAGATAGGGAGGCAGCTTGTGGATACCTGGAATCACTTACATTAGTTGCCAATACTGATATGGGTATTATCAGTGACTTCTGACATGTTCTTACTCTCACGGCTTGGGTTTCAAATGGTACTTGCATTGAGCTATGTTATGCCTGCCTCGGTATAGGTTTTTGGCCATTATAGTTGGATTTTTCCTATACCTTACTGTGAATACAGAGGCTTCAATCTCTAAAACTTGCTCTGAAATTTGAGCTTTCTAGTTGAACAAGGTTCGCCCGAAGTGTCATTTAAGGACGCTTTCTTCTTTCAATAGCATCACATACACTGTAAACAACCACTGGTTGCAATACCATACGCTTTTGGTACCTACCTAGCCTTGTTACTTGTTTCCCACTAGAAGCTTTGATAGAATGTCATTTCTGTTCCTGTATCTTCCCTTATTTTTCCTTCTAGTCAGATAATCACATGGTCAGGCACCATATCTTGCCCGTGTACAGAAGATCTCATATCCATCTTCAAAATGCCATCTCTGGCTTCTGCATCTGCAAGTCTTTCATCACGGCAACCCTGCGCGCCTATCTCTCTGAACACGAAACCCGGAGATACCGTCGTTCGCAAGTTGCCCCACGAGCCCATATTCCCAGTCAAGGTATCCCTGCATATCCTTTCGCGCATTACTTGTCCCCTCGTATGGCCGCTTATAAACATCAATCGGCTCAGACAGCCATCGTGATTCAGTCTCAAGGGGATGACCAGCTTCCACCCAGCCCTTTGTCCCTCCCGCCAGGTAAACGACTTTTTGGGGCGTGGGGAATTCCGTAGCCTCAAAATTAGCGGCAGCAACGAGACCATCAGATGAGGTTAAAACGATGAGTCCACCGGTATTGATACTGCTCAGATCGCGAACAAGCTCGGCTCCAGAAGCAAACCATGCACCGGGTATATGGCCTTTGCGGTATTCCGGACTGCGGGCGAGATCAACCACAGTCGCCCCGTGGAGACTTCGAAGGTCATCGATGGAAATAGCGCCAGGCTTTGATGGGGTCCAGGAGGGGATCAGGGGTATCTGAATTTTCTTGGGGATGGTGACTTGGTCATCAAGAACGTGAACGTCCCATCCCATTTGTAGCAGCCAGCTAGCTGCCATGCGCGCTCGCACCCCGTCAGTATCGTATAGAACAATACGCGCTCCTCGAACACCGATCCATTCATCAGCTGCCTGCACCAATTGACCGCCGGGAGCATTGGAGAAGCCTTCGAGATGACCAAGGGCATATTCTTCTGGGTCTCTCACGTCCAAAAAGTAGGTTGTCTTTTCCCAAAATGCGTGACCACGAAAGCTTTTGAATATATTCTCATCAATGATGGAGACATCAAGGTGCGCAGCCCAGTAATCCGCACATTGGCGCGCTTTTTCCAATGAGCCAGGTGAAGGCTGTGGGATCCGTGTTGTTTTTCCAGTCTCCAGCTTCAACCCCTCCAAAGTCCAACCAATAGTCCCATTCCGGAGGGCAACAACCCGATTTGGAATCCCAGAATTGATCAACGACTGGGCGCCAAGAATGCTCCGTGTGCGACCGGCACAATTAACGATAACAGTAGTCGTTGGGGACGGCACGGCCTCAAAGATTCGGTAAACTAGTTCTCCTCCAGGGCAGCTTCTGCCCTGCGGAATACTCATGGTCTGATACTCTTCAAATCGTCGCGCGTCCAAAATAGCCACATCACGATCTCTCTCTAGTAAATCCTTGACATCGCGCGCAGGTAACGAAGGCGTGTGATTGATAGATTCGACAAGTTCACCGAATGCCTTGGACGGCACATTCACATCGCGATACACTTCGCCGACCCTTTTATATGCGGAGAGTCCACCCTCTAGGATGCTAACATCGGAGTATCCCAGCGCTTTCATCCGGGCGACGGCCCGGTAGACATAAAGCTCGCCATCGTCATACGCAATAATAGGGGCTGATAACCGGGGAACCAAACCATGCAACTTCATCTCAATCTCTGACACGGGCACGTTTATGGCGAAGAGAGGGTGAGACTCGGCATATGGTCCTTCTTCGCGGACGTCGATGAGGGCAATTTCTTCGCCATTTCTCCAACAATCGCGTACTGTGTTTGCGCTTACTTTTTTCACCATCGTTGTTTGGGGCGCTTCACGTTGAGCTTAGGTGATTCCTAGGCAAACTTTATGATAGGAATGAGACATTTCAACCAATGTTAACGATTATCAACTCGGGTATTTTCTGGAGTTGCTCGGATGTTTTCTAGTGGGGAAATTGACCCCAAATTTCAATTGTCCACAATTCAGGAATTGCTATCATTTACGGGCTTTCAAAAGACCTCCGATATTGTTTAGAAATGATTGTACCTAAGATAATTAGTTCCAAAATATCACCACTTTAAAGCGGAAATACGTGGATGTTGCAACTAAGTCTACAAGTTACCGACACGACAATATCAAGCCATATCAACAATTGCATTGAACGTATGCCAAGAGAACTTGGATTGTCCCATGGTAGAGATGATTTCATCTCTTCATTACAGATTTTCATGTGTATAAATTCGAACGAAAAATCGATGCGCTGATGCATCTGCTCAAGAGGCTTCTCTCGCCCGCTGTATGACCCCGCTCAGTTGACGCCATGTCAGCACAGGATGGCCAATATTGGAGCCCGCAACTAGTGACACATTACCGTTGTCTAGCTTGCTAGGTTGTCCGAATACCACTGTCAAATATGAATAGGATTCGACAGGAGCGCAAGTCCTGTGAAGCTTGTCGTAAGTGAGCCTTTTTACCTAAGGATCGTACCTCGTGTGAGTAGCTAACACCGAACAGGGACTCGGAAGCTCCGATGTTCAGGTGAAAAGAGTGGTTGTTCACGCTGTCGGGGGCTGGCATTGCCCTGTAACTTCAAGGATAAAGGTCTTCCTGGAAGACCAAGAAAGCTTGTACGACCAGAGCAACGAGAGGAGGCACAGATACCGAGCAGAGAAGAGCGCACAGGATCGTCCGGTTCCTCACAGTTCTCGCCTGCCTATTCTCAGTCACCGTTTATTACTCAGGGGACATGTGATTCACTCATGGCAGCCGGCCAGCTTGACCCATTGCCATTTGAACTATCCAATATTTGCGGCTTCGATTCCTTTCAGTATGGGAGCACCGGAATCTGTTCTTCGCCTACCGAACCTTGGCAAGCATTATGCGACAATGGACACCGGGACCTTGAGCTACCATCAAAAGCCATGGACTCCTATATCTCGCCAGTTTCATTCTCGCAGTCTTGCAAATGTGACGAAGAAGTCTCCGATACAGTCCGGAATCTAAGCCAAGCAAGCATGTCAAATGATGTCCTCCAAGTTCTTCGCATGGGAGTATCTCTCGCAGAAAGACTACTCATTTGTCCACTCTGCTACGATATCTCGAAGCCCCCTCGAGTAACAGTGCAGAATGTGCTCCTCATTGGCCAACTCATGTTAGGAATAACCTCCACTTACCAAAATTACATAAAATGGCTGTATAAACATTGCACCGAGCTCGACGCCAAAAAGGAGAGCGAGCTAGTCTATCTCGACTCCGGACTCGGATTTCCCTCTGAACTTTCATTACAACTCAGCGGTGCCAAATTCCGCGGTCTGGTTATGCACGGACTGCGGAAGGATGGCGAACGACTTTCTGCCTTGGGAAAAGCATTCGCGCAGCGGCAGCGTAATAGACACATGGCTGGTCATGAGGCTTGTCCTGACCTTGGGGGACAATGTCGGAAAAAGGAATACTTTGGGGCTGATCATGACCCGCTGGATCTTTGTCCCTTGGATCCTGCGGCGCGAAGATTGGTGCCTTGTTTTCGGATTGTTGATGAGGTTCGGGGAATGATCCAGCAGGTTGAAGAAGCCCTTACATGATACCCTTATGCTCAGTTATTGTTCAGCACGTCTCAACTGGAAGAGTCAGATAAGAGCACGAGAACCTGGCATATAATCATTAATTTATCTATTACTATGGCAACCATTTGCCTTGGACTTCCCACAAGAAGGAATATTCCCAAGTCTACAAAAGCACGAAGATGTGATCACAACATCTGCCTCCACCAAAGCAAGCGAAAGTTGCTTTTTGATTATATTCGCCTCAGCATGGCGCTCCAGAATCTGAAGACACTCATGGTACCCATGAAGCGCCCAAACATTATTCGGATGTTGATGCGCTCGCTTGGGGGTCGGGATAAGGCCCAAGTCCTCTGCGTAGGCCCGCGCAGCCTGTTCCACCATCCCCTGTTCCAAAGAAAGGGCAGCATACGCATGCCGAGCCGGAAGCATCCACCCCCACGGCTCAGCGAAGGGCAATTCGTCTTCAAGGATTACAGCGTCTCGTAATCGGGCAAATGCAGTCTCGTAATTTCCACGTCGATACTCGATCTCACCATCCAGCATTGCAGATGCTACCTTGAGAATATCGACGATCTTATTAGGAAAGTCGAGACGTGTAGGCGGGACGAGTGTCGATGCGAGTTTGAAGAGCTCACGCTCTTTATCAGCCTCCTTCAGTTCAAAAGTAGCCGCATGCGCGATCGCTTTTCCATAGTGTCTCATCACATTTGTAACGCAGTATAGCTCTTTGTCTTCGAGTGGATCGAGCTTTTTTAAGTCATCCCACATGCCAAAGCGAATCAGAACATGGACTCTGACAGCCTTGAAAAATTCCATCCAGTTTGCTAGGGCAGGTGTCTCCACCCGAAGAATCTCTTCAGTAATAGTCCTTTCCATCCTTTCGGTCGCTGATAACGCTGCCTTGGATTTCCCACCCAACATCGCAGCGTAAACAAGAGAGTGGTAATCATGTAGCCGATAGTAGCTGTAGAATGTCAAACCACCATTCTGCTGGAAGAACTTGTCATCTGCAATAGTGGCTTTTAGATTGTACTCGACGGCGCGTTGATAGTCGCCGACTAGAACATCAATGTGCGCAGGCATGTGGAAAGTATGCCCGGTGTCAGGAAATATTTCGCGGATCATCTCTGCAGCAGGCAGAGCCATTTCAGGGGTCGCTGACATTTCCATCAGGTGAATATACATGTGCGCAGGGCCTGGATGAAGTTCCACACCTGGCATCTTAAGAGCACGATCAAGCAGGTCTTTCACTTCAAACACGGGGGATGATGCGATCGGAAGCCCCGTCGACGCGTCGTATAATTTCCGGGGGGCGCAATTCATCAATGCATCAGCGAACAGAGTGATGATGTCAAAGTCTTCGCGACCGAATTGGAAATATACTTGTCGCATCGAGTCGGCGTATGCTTTGTTATAAGCGAGCAGATCCCCTTTTGGATCATCGTTGGGATATCTCTTCGCAAGAGCTTTGATGAGTGCCTGTTCCCAAGACGATGCGCTACTAGCGCGGGTCAATGACTCTCGAGAAAATATATGGCACTGTTTTATTGCATTGACGCGATCCTTTTCGTCGAACAATGCCCATGTTTTGTTGTAATTTGAGCCTGAGCAGAAAGACAGTCCCCAGTAGGCCATTGCGCAATTTGGGTCGTGTGCGATGACCTGTTTGTAGCAGGTGATTGCTTCATCGTGGTTAAAGCAATATGTCCAGACGAGGGCTCGGTCAAACCATATTTGGGCTTCTTGAGAATTGGTGGTGACTTTCCGACCGAATTTTCCTAGGCTGAAGTAGGGGTCGCTTGAAGGTCTTGCCGGTTGGTCACGGCAGTCCATGGTTGAGCTTATGAGCTTATGAGCCAAGTACCAAAAGCGATCTCTAAAAGCCCCTATTGCTAGATTGAAGGGACTGTTTTGATATGAGGTCACATGAACGGTCCCACCTGAGGGGAATGTATGGAGTCGGAGGGTTTCTTAGCGCCAGGAAATTGCGCCATTCTGATACGACCCTCGGACCTTTTCTGTAGAAACCACCGAGATGCATCGGAGTTGGGGTAATTCAAAACTAGCAATCTCTTAACACCGCTATCTCCGTACTTGTCCGTTATTCTAGATCTTCCATGGAGGGCCGAATCTAGGTCGACCCTTAATCTCAACGCATACGTTCTGTCAGTCTAGCCCTGGAGTTTAACGATTCTTCAAATCGTTATCCACAACATCTTCCAAAATAATCTCGCATCTTCTTTCCGCCGCAATTTTAGCCAGCTTCAGCCGCCTTGTATCGCGTTCTGTGTCCCAAGTCACCCACCACGTCACCAGCGTCAAGATAGCACAAAGACCCACAAGCCCCATAGCCACAGAGAAGGGAACCGTGTAATGAGGACCGTACTTGCTATTGAATAATTGCGGACCGATCGCACCGCCAATCTGGCCGTAGCTGTTGACAAATCCAATAGAGAACGCGGAGCCAGTGGATCGGGAGGTGGTCTGAACTCGCCATGGCCTGCTGCCATGTCAGTTGTCATAAATCAGCAGCAGAAGCAGGGGGCGTGAGCAACGTACCACATGACAGGGTACCACCCTGCAGTCAAAGCATTCCCGATCAGTGTCACGGCATATATTGCACCGTGGCTTGGGTAGGCCACGAAAACTCCATAGCAGATTATGATGATGAGAAGAAATGCAAGTGGGTATAGCGGTCGGGCAATCCGGCTGCGATCTGCTGTGATTCCTGTTGCAGCGATGAAGAGGAGACCGCAGACAGTGATGGGGATGTTGAGGAGTTGGGCTGTAGCAATGCTCCTGAGAGTGTGTTAGCTTTGGTCGTAGAAATCTTTTTTTAGGAGACTTGCGTGTAGCCAAGGTCGGCGATCACTGTTGACTGATAGAAGGTGACGCCATTTGTTCCCACTGTAAAGGTAGCCCAGATGAGTGTAAACAGCCACAATCTGACATCTTTCAGAGAGTCTATCACTTCACGGAAATTGAAGTTCTGCTCATTCGCACGAGGGGAGTTAGATGGTAGTCGCGCCTGGATAAATTTCTTCTCCCTCTCGGTCAACCATTTCGCAGTCTCTGGGACTGTATCGCATTTTCATGAATTAGTATGCTGCGTTGGTGGTCTCCAAGAGTTGGCACGTACAGTCTGGGAGTAGGAACCAGATGACAACACCGAAAAGGACGGTCGCGATGCCCTCCGTGAGGAACAACCTAGAAACAATTGTAATCAGCATAAATGCAAGAAGATTAGATTTGGTATAGTACCATTGCCATCCGGAAAGGCCTCCTGCGCCAGAGACCGTGTCAAAGGCGTAGGCGAGAAGACCACTGAAGATTCCCGACACATTTCCACAAATATCTACCACATGTCAGTATCCTCGCTCGCGGGAAGTTTTTGGGCCTTACAAAAGTAAAGTAATCGTAAAGACATCTCGTCCGGGCGATACCAGTAAGTCATCTGAAGAATCACACCAGGGAACTGTCCAGCTTCGGCCTATCTCTCTGTTAGCTACCTTGAGTTCAAGTATTTGGAGACAAGCTAACCAAGCCGAGCAGGAACCGCGTGGTGAACAAACCCCCTTTATTCTTCACGGCAGCATTGCACATAAGAGCCACACCCCAGCTCACCATGATCCTCGACTGCCACTTGGAAGGTGAAAATCTTTTGAGCAACAAGTTCGACGGTGCTTCGAGAACAATATATGGGATCTGACAGGCAATGCTCAGTCCAAGACACAACACCTGGATAAGCGTTGTTTTCATCTTACATAGTAAAGAACTGTCACCAGATTGTACTCATTGGATGTAATTCCGAGTTGTGTCATGATATTTTGATCCGTTCCCTTATTCATGATTCGAGCATTGGACGCCTGCATGCTTTGATTAGACCGCATCCTTTTTTCGAAATAACTGCATACGCACATTATTGCTGTCCAAATTTTTGAACATGAAGATAAGTGAGCAAAGCGTCATCAAGCGCCAATCGATTTTGCGTAACAACTTTTTTTCTTCTTCCGCCGTGAGCAATGTTCTGCCGCTCATCAATTCCGAATCGTAGCCATCGATGCTTTCCAGGCTCAATGATGATTCGGCGAGCTCCTCACCGCGACGTACAAAATGAAGTTCATGGGAAACATCGCTCTCACCGGTGAATGCAATATCAGCAGTCTTGGTACTGACCAATTCCTTGGATGCAACCCGCTCAATCGCTTTGTCCGTCATAGTTGTCAAGATGATAGCTTGAAGCTTTGCCGATGACACTACTAGAACCCGAGCGGCGATTGTTACATTTGAACAGCTCACAAACCTTCCGAAGTCTTCCAGAAGCTCAAATTACACTTGAGTTTCAAGTATCATATGATTATACCATGAAAGACGAATATTGCAAATACTATGGCCTAGACCACAATGTCTTATCACTGGTGAAGTCTATCGTAGATTATCCTATGAAAGACTCAGCTATTTTGCTAGGCTCTAATTAAGTTTGCGCAGGGGTCGCGTACAAAAGTCCTAATCACGCAAACGGAGGATAACATGGTGATATGTAGAGCAAAGAGTGGAGATCCACATGGACATGAGCCAACGCGCTTTGCACATCAAGCATTAATTCTGCGGGGTATTTCTAGAATGAAACAAAATTGTCGGTTAGCTTCAAGTCAAGAATACTACCGTCTGTCAATGGTCACCCAACTGCGATTCCAGAAGAGCTGAGACCTGGATAAAGCCTTCATCTCCCAGATCGACCCATTCCAACGTAACCCGTCTCTCCACTACAGATTATCTCAGTCAACTCTTCCTCAGTATATTGGTTTGTATTTTGCCATGGCAGCTTTGACTCAAACACTAGCCCCAGCTCATGGAGGTCGTGATATCCCCACATACCACCAGATCCCAGAGACTTCTTTTGACCGTACGCTTATACACTATCCCTTCATCCGTAGCACGATAAGATACAAATCGGCATAGCTAACATACGAATAATTTGTGGCTAATATGGTATGTAGTGGACTGGGCGGACCTCGCTACCTTGGATCTGTCTAAGTTCGACCAACCCGGTGGCAAGGAGGAATTGGCCAAACAGCTATTCGACGCTATCCAAAGTATAGGTAGAACATTCCCCATCTCGATTTCCTTTCGCTGCTTTAACATATGCATACTTCAGGCTTCTTCTACATCATCAACTTCGGCCTCTCGCAGGAAGATGTCGATCGCCAATTCTCTATCGGCAAGGAGTTCTTCAACCTCCCACTTGAAGAGAAGCTCAAGTATCGGGCCGAGCTTGAAAAAGGGGGTTATAACGGGTACAAGCCAATGGGTCTCAGAGTCAGCCTTCACTACATGTTATCATATTATGCAACCATCATCTAATGTGCAGCACAGGAAATCAGTCCAGGTATTTTCGATAAGACCGAAATCTATAACATCCCAAAATTCATCCCGGCCCTTGAGCGCCCGCAGCCCGACATCGTGAACCACAATCGACCGATTATTGAAACCTTCGCGCGCCACATCCACAACGAAATCGTTCGCAAACTCCTCACACTCTTCGCCATCATCCTCGAACTACCGGAGGACTATTTCCTGAAAGTGCATCGCTATGACGAGAAAAGTGACTGTCACTTACGCTACATGAAATACCTTCGCCGCTCCGAAGAAGAAAACGAAAAAGCCGCGGGAATTTGGTCCAAAGGCCACACCGATTTCGGCAGCCTGACTTTACTCTTTCGCCAGCCGGTCGCCGCGCTGCAGGTTCGTACTCCGGAGGGCGAGTGGAAATGGGTGAAGCCGTATCCGGGTAGCATCACCGTGAATCTTGCCGATTCGCTTCAGTTCCTCACCAATGGCTTTCTCAAGAGCAGTATTCACCGTGTTGTTGCGCCGCCGCCAGATCAGAGGGATGTAGACCGCTTAGGTGTTTTGTATTTTGTGCGGCCAGAGGATGATCTTGAGCTACGGCCAGTTGTGAGTGAAGTTCTACGTCGATTGGGGTTTGATCAGACAACTGATAATAGTGCTGTTGGGATCACTGCTGGGGAGTGGGTGAAGGCTAGAGTGGCTAAAGGGGTTGACAAGGGATTGGCACGGAGTGAGATTGGCGATCAGCCTATTATTGGTGATGTTGTAGCTAAATATTATGATTAGCATGTGTTCTGATCAATTTATCTATTCATCAAAGTAACACGTTGCTGGCAGTCAAAAGTAAATTCCGATAAAAAGAATTGCATTGACGGGGAATCGAACCCCGCTCTGCCGCTAACCGTGGAATGGAAGGCGGCAATCATAACCACTAGACCATCAATGCCAGTGCTTATATAACGTAACAATTCAATAGTAAATATATGGAGAAAATTAAAACTATTAGAATTCATCCATCAAATTTCCTTCAATGCAGTATAATGTACACTCGTCTGGATATGTGGGATATTCTAGAAGTCTTCTTGTCTATTCAAAAAGTTTTAATGAGTTAAATGACACATGTTTCCAGTCTATCTTCTACTTTTCTTCTCCCCCTTCATTTACACCTTCATCTTGACTAGATATAGACGTTGGGCTCTGAACGCCTTGATTTTGCGGGTTACTCTCCAAATCCGCCTTTTGCTGTCGAGCCGGAGACGTCGGAGCAAACTTGCTTTTGATCCTGATTTGTTTTCCATACCTGTAAAAGAGGAATGGAACCACAGCCAGTAATGCAGCCACGCCGCCGATCAAGCTACCCCCGCCTCCTACACCCAGTGCAGCAAACATCTGGCTCGTGAAAAGAGGCGCGGCTGCACCGCAGGCTGATCGCGCGATTGTGTTTGCTGCAATTGCAGAGGCAGCATACATCAAGTAGACATCCACAAGGTAATTCAAATATGCAACGAACAGAAGCAGCATGAAAGTGGAGAGAAAACACCCAGCGATCGTGGGAACAATCCAATGAATGGAGCTTTTGCGAGTCAGCATTCCTGTATCCCATCGGAATGTGAAGTACTTACTTATATTCGGCCGTCCACGCAAACCAGAACATCGAAATTGCAAATCCAATCCCTCCAATCATCGCAAGTGGCAATCGGTCTTCTGGTGTCGCATCTTCCATCTTCCTCTCGCCTCGATTGATTTTCCGTTGACGCATCTGTGTGTCAATCAAAACAATACAACCGCCTAACAAGGCACCAACGATAGTGCCAACCAAAGGCAACTCGCCGACGCCCGAGTTCCACCCACGCTTCTCCTGGAATACAATGGGATAGATAGTGAAGAGCATGTACAGCAAAGTGTACACGACGGCCATATAAATCGCACACAGCAAGGAAATAGGATCGAAAAGAATAATCCACGGTCGCGTCAGAGCAACTTTATAAATCCCGAGAAGTGTTCGATCACTATCCTCAACAGAAGCCCTCACATTCTCATACCCTGCTATCTTCGCCTTTCGAATCCGTTTGGCCTTGGTGTAAAGAATAATCGGCGCATAGGTCTCCGGAATGGTCAACATTATGATAGCAGTCGCACCACCAAGCCAAAGAAGCACATAGAAGCTCCACCGCCAATCCTCTTTCAGCTCAAGAAACCCCGCTACAACAGGCCCAAGGGCTGGACCAATCCACACCATAGCAGAGAACCCAGCCATAGCATTGGCACGCTGAAGTGGATTCCACAGATCAGCGAGAAGACCGGGACAATTACTCAGTGGCGCTGAAACAAACGTTCCAGTCAGGAACCGGCCCACCAAGAGAGCCCCAAGGTTCGGCGCGAAAGCACACAAGAAGTTGAATGCAATGTAGAACGAGAAAGTGATATAGAAAATCCATCTCCGACCGTAGAACTCGCTCAGTGGGGCGAATAGTAACGGGCCAGCGCAGTATCCTAGCAGAAAGACAGTGATCGTCAAACCAGCAACTTCGGTAGATATATTGAAGTGTTGGGAGATGGACTCGAAGCACCCGCTCGGCGAACTTGAGGCAAAAGTTGCATTCACAACTAGTAACACGGCGCTCATAGTAATGGTCGCACGGCGTGCAATGGACCAATTACGCGGGTTTTCAATATCACCTTCTGCAAAGTCGACGTAGCCATTTTCGTTTAGGTAAGGGGTTTCATCGGAGATTTGTGTAGTTCGGTACGGTTTGTTCACGGCGTGGGACAAGACACGCACTATTGCCGCCATCTTGTGTTGAAGAGATGGCAGTCGCACAGGTTGAAGTTCTATGAGAAAACATAATTGAAATTCGGCCTCGACATATCAATTGTCGACATGACGATTCATCCGATCCCATGACATAATTTTCCGTCAGCTTGATTTGCCAATCCGGTGTTGGCCACAAGTCCGGGATTATCTCCGTCCCATGTTGGGGTCTGGGTGACCGTGCGGGGGTGCCGAATAGCCGAAGATTAGCAATCAACCTAAGCTTTGAGCATTGTCACTGGAGCCAATCTTGAATCATCCCCGAGTTCCTAAGGTTGCCGATATCTTCACGCCGTGAATCATGCTTTTTAATTCTCCGTATGTCAAAAGGATAGCCTCTTTCGTTCACATAGTTGATCGAGTCCATCAGGTACTTCGAATTCTGGTGGAAGGATTATTTTCCGGTGCACATGAGAGAACGAATTTGCGATAAGACATGTCAATTTATCCTTGTTGCTTGGGTCGATGCACATGTGCATCCATGGGCGCGTGGATGTGGTGATTGAGATTGAGACCCTGATTTGGCCATACATTAAACAGGGTCTGAGCTACGTAAAGTGGATCCATACATTGTCCGGTTCAGTTACAGTATAAATTTGCGGTAGTTTAGTTACCAAATTTCATGAATACGCATTTCAATTGGTTATCCAAAGAGAAAATGACGGTCACTACATATGAGAACTGTAATCTACAAACAGATACCGGCCTTCCCCCTCCCCCCCCGGTTGATCTATGGAGACATGTTGTTCGCCAAATCTTCACGCTCTTCACCCTCATTAGCAGCACCTAGCACCTGGATAGTAGAGAACTCGATCACTTGTAAAGCCTCTGACTTAATAGCATTTGAATTGAGGAAACGGCCCTTGTTTACAAGTCTCAATGGTAGTCTTAATTGCCCATCCTGATACCTATTGCGCGGGAACTGGCCATCACCCGTGGAACCGTGGACTCGTGGACTCGTGGACTCAATGAGATCATGCCCACAACGAAGATCCGCGAGCCCAGTTTTTACTGGAAGCATAAGCTTGCTTGAGTAATTGCCCAAATATTTACCTAATATTCCAAAGCACTGCATGTTGACCTTCGTGATATTATATCTCTGTGGTCTCGAATTGACTGTATATATATCCCGCGTTTAACTCAACTTTAAATTTGGATTTAGATTCCCGGAAGTTACATATGGACGGTACACGTGAAGCCATGCAGATAATCAGTCGGTATCATTTTAAAGCACTTTAGGGGTTCGATCTAGAGATTTTTTATTGTCAAGTGCTTGCTGTGATATTTTCAACGTCCACTTCTTTCATTGGTTGAAGCCCTGGAGCCGACGGGATCCCGACGGAAGGTTGTTCGCAAGCGATCATTGCCAAGACCTAAAGGAACAAATCCCAAGTACGAAGTAACTAAAAGCTAATCTCGCCCGCTTCCTTGCCCCAGATAAAGGATTGATTTGATCTCGCATTGTATTTGAGCTTTTATCCTGCACAATCTGAACCCTGGGACCCTGCCCCACCCGCCCGCAATGTGGATATTTGGCAAGTTTACCACTTGAAATGCTGGGGACAATATATACAATTGGGCTACCCACACAGACCGGAAGTTGAACTATCTGCAGGAACATCTTGATGTTGATACACACGTTTCCTCATATTGTCCGTTGAATGGCCATCCCTGGAAGCCAAGACAGTGCAACCCCTCGTATAACGGCTGAACCTTTATTTTAACCCACGGGTGAGATTGTGCAGAGGCCAGAGATGATCCCCACGTGTATCTTATCGACTTTCTTCATGGACCTTAATTTATTGTATTCACTGAGAGTGGCGCTCCAAATTCATTTGCAGCACCTGAAAACCGGTGGGAGTCCGGTGCCCTGCAGCGCCGATCCCGCCAAGGGTCATTAGCCAGTGCTGCCGACCAGTCAAATATTCTTATCGCCACACTCACAGGGCCCATGAAACCACCACTATCCTGCTGCAACATTGCTTCGGCGAATCACTTTGCGTGGTTCAAGCTCAGTATTGACTAGTGTTCCTCCAATGATCGAATCTGGGCACTGATACGAGTGCAGAAGAGTCACCGTCACAAGACTATATAAATACACCGCCAGTCCCCATGTGTCTTCAAACTCTTCTCAACGCAAGAGAATAAGCTTGTCGCATTCTAATCTAATTAGCATACTGTGCAGCCCGGACTCTTGATCATGGCGTCTTTGTCCAAAATCGCTATCGTCACCTGTGGACTCTTGAATGGGGCAAACGCATGGGGCTCACTAGGACATGCAACAGTCGCCTATGTTGCGCAGAATTATCTGTCTGCTGACACAGCAACATGGTGAGTTCCTGATCAGCTGAGTCCTTTCATATCAAACTAACAGCACCCAGGGCCCAAGGTGTCCTCGGCGACACATCCACCTCATACTTGGCCAACATAGCTTCGTGGGCTGACTCATACCGCGCAACTAGCGCAGGCAAATGGTCCGCACCATTTCACTTCATCGATGCAGAGGACAATCCTCCAACAGACTGCAACGTGGACTATGACCGCGATTGCGGAGACTCCGGATGCTCAATCTCGGCTATCGCTAATTACACACAACGTGTCGGTGATGATCGCCTCTCATCCGCCCACATTGAAGAGGCGCTGAAATTCCTCGTTCACATCATCGGTGATCTAACTCAGCCTCTGCACGACGAGGCATACGAAGTCGGTGGCAATGATATTGCTGTCACCTTCAATGGCTATAGTGATAATCTCCATTCGGATTGGGATACATACATGCCCGAGCAGTTGATTGGTGGTTATGCGTTGACTGATGCTCAGTCGTGGGCCAACACTCTAATCGACGAAATTACCTCGGGAACCTACAAATCCGAAGCCGCAAGCTGGATTGAGGGTGACACAATTAGCGATGTTGTTACAACTGCTACACGATGGGCATCGGATGCCAATGCTTACGTGTGCACTGTTGTTATGCCGGATGGAGCTGCTGCGTTGCAGACCGGGGATCTGTATCCGACTTATTATAATTCTGCGATCGGTACTATCGAGTTGCAGATTGCCAAGGGAGGCTACCGTCTTGGAAACTGGCTTAACTTGATCTACCATACCACGGTCGCGAAACGTGATGTTGAAACCTTGGTTGAGAGGGATGCCGCGCCGGTGGGTCGCGATTTTCTGCCACCGTCTCGTCCGCTGAGCCGGGCGAAGATAGCTAGAGCTGCTATGGAAGGATCCTGCTGCAATTCAGGGAAGCGAGACCATGCACACTAATGTGATTGTGTCATTGGCACCTTGAACTCCTTGCGGAATCTTTGAGATTTGTTGCAGTCGGTGGTTGAGACGAAGACGAACGAAATTGACACGAGGCACGAAGTTACGGTTGATCTGATGTAGTAGAACTCATTACCTTTCAATGGTGAGCAAATTCTTATTTTAAGAAAAATGAAAAAATATTTTCCATCAGGCATTGGTGATAATTGTCTCATAGCCCGAAGGCTCTGAAGTAGCAAATACGTTAAGATGCAAACATCTCTTGGAAAAATAACTCCGATAGGGGGAATCGAACCCCCGGCTGTCGTGTGAGAGACGACGATGTTAGCCACTACACCATATCGGATTTTGGATACAAGTTGACTTGAAATAATCATATATGAACCTTAAATGCCATAGTGAACATCCCTGTTTAGTTGAACACCCCACTAACTACATCTGAGGTAGTGCAGTAATTGTAACTTAGCAGCAACTTTATCAAACACATACCCAGATCTCTACTTACTCTCATTTAGCTAACTGCAATGCGAAGGTGATTGAAAAGTGATACCCACAGCGCCTTTTCTGGTCTTTATTTCGGCTCGAAAGAAGCGTTATGTATCACATGTTCACTTTAATTGGGGAGTACAGTAGAGATGGAGGGTCTGCTTACATAATACTTGACATACTTAGCTGTTCTGTTTAAATTACTGCGCTACTTTGGATGCGGTAAGGGAGGGTGTTCAAGTAGAGGAATACATGAAGATTCGCTCTAGCAAGACGGGATAGAAAATGCGAGGCAACAGCCGCTCGGAGTCCCAAAAAGATGGGTAGAGAAAGTTTGAAAAGGATGTTGACATCGAGAAGATGGAATAAATTGCCCATTCATGACAGAACCTGTTGCTGTGTTCCAAAATTCAGCTTGACATGCAACAAGTTGAAATAGCTCATTGCCTTGTCGGATTGATTGGCCAGTGACATAAGAATATTGCATGAGATAGAAACACTTCCAAGCTCGAGACCGTACGCAGAGAGAGGATGGAAATGCGAGAAAATCCGTGTCCAGAAAATTGACACTTCGTAACGAAAGCGATTGGAGATTCGAGATTTGGCGCAATCTACCACTTTATATATTCAGCTGGCACACTTGTTTTAGTAAATTTGCGCCGTAATTATGCTGCCAAGTAGAAAGCAGTAAAATGACTACTAAATCAAGAGTGGTTGAATATAATGCAACATTGATACTCTGGCACCTTGGCAGCGAGGCCTGAGAAAAGAAAGAAGGTTAAGAGGGAAGCACACTTCTTTAATGACCAAAGGAAAGGCGGAATTGGAAAGTGATGGATAGAAAAAGGAGAAAAGAGTGAGAAGAGAGGCGCTTGTCACTTGGGTCGCAGGCCAAAAGCAAAATCACCAGTCAAAATTTCAACATTCCGGATCATGTGATGCGTTAATGGAGAGGGAGTGATATCTTTCCTGTTCTTTGACCCTCGCGCATCTCTCCAGCCTTCTTCATCCCCTGACCAATGACACGACCAGAGCTTGCATTCAACAGGCCGACGGCTAAATATCGGAACGGGGATGCAGCTAGCCCACCGACCTGTTCAAATTAGGGGACGATCCCTGTCGCGCTAAGGCATTTTGCTATGACAACATACGTGCCTCACCGAAGATGGTCACCTGGACAAACTCCATGGGAAGTGGGTATTGGGGCGGGTTCCTCCGACCTTGTAAGAAAGATTGCGGGAGCAAATCAAAGAAGGGAACCGGCTGTTTGAAATCTGGTTGATGGGGATTCAATGACCGATTAGCCTGCATCCCGGTCGGCTTTTGAAGGCCTAAGCGCACCGAGTGGAAGACTATTCCCGACCGACTGAGACCGAAGCCGAAGTTGAGAGAGTTATGCTTGTCGGTCACCGAGTCAGTAATGTGGCATTCCGGGATTGTGGGAAAGTTACGCGAACAAAAAAATCGTACTTGCGGTAGACTTTGGGAGCCACGACGTTCGGGGTTTTTTCTTTGTCAACAGATCTGGGGATATTGGTAACTTTCAATCCACGGCCAATGATTGGAAGACATCGCCGTGCGACTGGGGAAACCCCTCATATGTCTATGTACCCCGGGTCCACACTGGAAGATTCATCGGACAAGTTCCGTTCCCCAGTTCGTCCCCGCAACCCCTCGAGGCGAGGTATCTTAAGTCTTACATCTCCCACACTTTATTTTATTTTCTGTCCTTGTCCTTGTTACTACCTTGTGAGATTTCATCAAAGGGAATCTATTTCAGCCCTCTCTACTTGCCATATCCATTTTTTTGGGCTTCCAGCGATCTACACAAAGCTTATCTGTCTGCCAAGCGCCATGGCACTTGCCAAGCTGCGTGGAAAGAAGCTTGGCCGCGTCATCGGTATTATCGGTGCCGTAGGCTTCATTTTGCAGGGCTACGATCAAGCTGTGGCCAATGGACTGCTCACTTTGGCCTCATTTATTGCGGTATTTCCGCAGATTGATACACTGAATACCAGCGGAGCACAGAAATCGCACAACTCGACGATACAAGGTGAGTGACCGATTTGATCCGCCAAAAAGACATTCGAACATGCTGACCCGAACAGGAACTACGGTCGCGATTTACGAAGTTGGGTGTGCTCTTGGTGCATTCTCATGTGGCTTTCTGGGTGATCGACTCGGTCGGCGAAAGACTATATTTTTAGCAGGATGCATCGCGTTGGTCGGAATCGTCATCCAGGCGACACCATTTTCGCTGGGCCAGCTAATTGCGGGTAGAGTTATCACTGGTATATATACATCCATCACACCGGGTTTTCGAGAAGCTGACATATTCAGGTCTGGGTGTTGGCGGCTTCACAGCGACAATTCCCATGTACGTATCAGAGTCCTCTGATCCTGAAGCCCGTGGAAGAATGGTTTTGCTGCAGGGTTGGTTCGCAATTGGTGGTGTTGCCTTTGCTACTTGGCTGGAGTTTGGTTTGTACTACGCGGGCACCAACTCCGCTAGCTGGCGATTCCCGATCGCTTTCCAGGCGATTTTCGCTCTTTTCGTTGTCTCTTGCATTCTGTTCATGCCCGAATCTCCTCGTTGGCTTGCGAAGGTAGGCCGCATTGAAGAAGCGGCCGAGGTCCTGGCGCGTCTAGAAGATGTATCTGTCGACTCCGAACATGTTGCGCAGGAACTGGAAATTATTCGGCAATCACTTGCGGAGAATGAACAAGATGAGGGCTCGGCTTCATCCTCTCCTTTTGCGCGTACCAAGAACCGCCATCTACACCGCACCGTACTTGCAATCGGAGTCAACATCCTGGCCCAGATGACCGGTGTCAACATTATCACATTCTACTCCGATACCATTCTGGAGACAAATCTCCACTACTCAGGCACTATCGCCCGCATCGTCTCGGGATGCCTACAAATCTGGCAATTCTTCGCCGCTGGCCTAGCTGTTCTCCTAATTGACCGTTTCGGTCGGCGTCCTCTCCTCATTACCGCCGCTATCGGCATGACGATCGCACAAACCTGTCTCGCAGGCCTTTCCAGTGATCTTAGCAACAAGGGAGCAGCGGGTGCGTCGATTGCCTTCTACTTCGTTGCTCTGTTTTGTTTTCCCATTGGTTTATTTCTGGTGCCTTTCATGTACGCTGCGGAGATCGCTCCATTGCGTACTCGTGCAAAGGTTACCGCCATGTCGGCCGCTTCGAACTGGATTTTCAGCTTTGTCCTCGCCGAAGCCTCGCCTACTGGATTTGCCACTATTGGTTACAGGTATTACATTGTGTATGCCTGTATCAGCGCATTTGGCCTGGCTTTCTTCTACTTCCTTTGCCCGGAGACGAAAGGACGCACTTTGGAGGAAATCGATGAGATCTTTGTGAATTCGAAGTCTTTCTTTGATACTGTTCGCGTTGCGAAGGAGATGCCGTACCAGACTGAGCTTCTTGCGCATGCTGACGATAAGGAGAAAATGGGAATGGAGGCTGAGCGGATTGAAAACGTGGCTAAGGAGAAGCCTTGAACGATTCCGTAGAAGATGGACTGCAGGTTTCTCTTGGCTTGTGACTTCTACAAAGTGTTCAATAAAGCCTAGAATGGTATATGTAAAACGATATGAATGAGGATTTGCACTTCACCTCCGTCCGGGACTTACAAGCCAATCCTTCCCAATGTCTTCTTCACCTAATGCTATCTCCGTCGCAGATCAAATACCCACTGCGTAACGATAGCCCATCGTCGCATAATACATCTCATTCCGTGGGAGTCAACTGCTGCATCCAAACATCTCATACGTAGGTCGGATTCCCCCATCTACTCTCGATGCACCACCGACGTGCGTGGCGCTCCCATAGCCCTTGTGGAGCTTCGCCCCCATGCGGTGAAAGCGCCCGGCCAATATCAAGGAGACCCCTCTTTCCGAGTAACGTTCCAAGACGTGTGCATCCTGCAGTAAGTGGCGTAGTAGCTCCCACGTGGTTAGGTTTCAGGGGGCAAAATGTATGATCATTAGAGCAGGAACGAGGATTGTATGAGTCCAATTCCAAAGACCTTGGAAATGGCCAGTTGATGGTAGGAAGAAATGAGTGTGGATACGGTTAGATGAGTGATGAGAATCATGGTAGCCTCAAAGCATTCCTCGTAGAATTCAGGTCACATTCCATGGGCCCATGAATCAATGTAAGTCGTCAGCGGGAGAAAAAACTCCGGGTTCCCATTTTCGGAAGTGGCTTTTTTGGCTTTTGTACCACGGAACTTTATTTCAAGCTCTGAGCTCCAGCTTACGCTGATCCATTCAATCATATTCCACTCTTTAAGATACAGTAACCGTGTTTTGCTGATGCAGACCATGTTTCAACGGAATAGTTGCCTCGGACCCTGAGCTTAAGTGTTCGGTATGCGCTCCTCCACTTTCTCCTTTTTTTTTTTTTTTTTTTTTTCTTAGTCAGGAACTAGAAGTTTTGCGTAGGGGCTTCGCCAATTAAAATAAGGATACTAGATGGTGAGATCATCCAAAAACGCATTCAGATGTCAATTTATTTTTATCAATAAATCACAACTGGCTATATGATACTTTTGTGGGGGTGGTGGTCTAGAGTTCAGGAGACATTCCGCAATGAAGAATTTTCAAGAGGAATATCATTAGTGAGCCACTGCGTATATCCCTTTGGATCGACACGAGATCAACACAGCTCCGACGAATGATGCATGAACGCGGCAATGAGTGTAGCTTCTTGCTGTCAATGACTCAGTTCTAGAGCCTATTCTCTTTTCTGTACTACGTGCTGCATGTATGACTAGCCTCAGAGCTTTGAGCTTCTCTAAACCTAAAGCACAAAAGCTTAAGTTTGCCTTCATTGTTTATTGCGGCTCGTGATCTTTGTGCGCGGATGATGGGCGGCATGCTAAGTAACTACGTATTTGGGCTCCTAAATACATGATAATTCAGCAATAGATGTGGGTTTACTACGTATGTGTCCAAATCCATTTAGGCATTGAATTAAAAGATTGAATGTATAGTTACACTATCAAATTAAAGAAACCCAGCCTCTCCAAAGGTCCTCCATGTGTTGAAACTTGGTCCTAAGGAATGTGAGGGTTACCGAAAGCGGCTCGTGGGCCTACATTGCTGCCAGCCACAAGGGGCACGTTGCATTCCGCAAAAAACTCCCCTCGACTCCCCTCTGAGGTCCAACGTTACATGAAACGACAGAAAAAAGATATATAAATCAATCAGTCGCCTCATGTTGCCGTTTTTCTCATCCACAGTCCAATCCACAATCCTCCAAACCAATCAAAGACTCTTTGGTAAGTCACAACTTCCACAATCGGCCAAGTTCATTTGACTTATTCTCCGAACAGCCTCTTTCAACCTTCAAAATGAAGTTCATCCTTGCCACCCTCGCTCTCGCTGCCACCGCCTTCGCTGCCACCACTGGCGGTAAGAAGGGCGTCACCTGCGAGTCTGACCAGCAGGTTGTCTGTAAGGACAACGGCAACGGCGGTCTCTTGACCCTCGGCAACATTGCCAACGGTGCCCTCGGTGTCGACTGCTCCGGTGGTGATGCTTACTGCTGCTCCAGCTCTGATGTCGCGGTATGTTGCATTCAATCCAACATGTCGAACCCTTCACTAATAATAAATATAGTCCGGCCTCGTTGGCCTCAACGTTGACGCCCAGTGCTCCCTCAACCACGTCCTGTAAGCATCTCTTGCAATCCTGGTCACAGGCATATGCCAAATAGATCGCATTCTTTGTTGTACCAATGGAGTCGTTTCTTTGATTCGACGCATGTACTCTAGTTAGAAATCTACAGGACTTAATTCTCGATTTGCTCTCATCTTCCTCCGTAAACGTATCCTGTTCAGGGCTTTCTTGTCTCCTGTGCTCTACAAGAATCACCACGTGGATATTTGCCTGAGAGCTCACCCCCCCCGTGGGACAAGAGAATCCGCTTTGAGTTCTCGTTCCTAAAGTTATACTCGACTATCCATTCATATATAGTAAATACTTTCGTGTAGATCAAATCTCTCCTTGACCTATGTCCCCAAGATCGAGCAATTACGCGGTTTATCCCTCCAAAATCACATGGGAATGAGTGAGCATGGGCACAGTAAAGCTCAATGAGAAAGAAAACTCATGGAAAAGTATCATCCGGTGACCCTGCTGCTTTTTTCACAGACCTTCATCTCATGAGAGAACAGGATTGTTAACGAGTGGCTGATTTTGGTGGCTTCGGTGGTAGAAGCCCAGGAAACGGGAGTGGGTCAAAGGCTTCACCTTTCTTCCCTAGTTGACCGGGTCCGCCGCATACGTTACTACACATTCTCTCACAACCTTCACTAGAGATTATCTTCCGAAACGCCACATCAGCCACCGACGAGTCTCCACAATTTTGGCGTTGCACATGGAAATGAGACAGAAAAGTCTGCCAGAAGAAAAATCTACCAGACAGTAGTCATGATTGACGCCAAGGACAACAACATCCTCAACCCTGGGGCCAGTGAAGCCTTTCATGAAGCTACTTTTTAACGGGCAATTTTTAAAGAGAGGTTCTATCGGTAACTTTTTATTAAGAATTAAGATACATAGTTTCAGTCAGACAAGAAATTTAAAGCAGGTGGTTCAAGCTGCACGAGAGGTCAAGGTTGAGGCTGATCAGACCAGACTGGTATTTCATGTTAGCTTTTTTCTTTTCGGAGAAAACATTGGTAAGGGACAACACACCTGAGCAACGTCGTCGCTGGAGCAGCAGTAGACGTCACCACCGGAGCAGCTCTCGCCCAGAAGGCCGGAAAGCAGGTTGCCCAGAGAAAGCAAACCACCGTTTCCGTTGTCACTGCAGACAACGGTCTGGTGGCTCTCACAGATAGGTCTGCTATCATCACTGTCATCGGATTTCTTGTGGCCGTCGACAGTGGGCATAGCGATGGCAGTCATGGCCAAGGCGGAGATAGCGAGAATGTACTTCATCGTGAGAGTGGGCTCGAGAGTTGCTCGTTCTGTACGTGAAAAGTCAGAGAATAGCCTTTATGACTTAAGAAGAGTTACCGTACTGGTTGAGTGATGGAAGATGTGATGGTGACTGAAAATAAAATGAGGACAGCGGCCTAGTCAGGGGTTTTAAATGATTAGCATGCGGTCCGGACCAAGATTTGCTAATAGTCATTGACGTCGATGAAAGCGCAGTTCTTTCTTGTCAGCGTAGTATAATTCCCCAAAATGGTACCATTGTCTATCCACCTGGTGAAAATTGACTAGGCACATTTCCGAAAACGGGATCAGGGCCGGGGGGAAGATTCAACACACCACGAAAGAGGCTGAGCCGAACCCCACAAAGATCCAAATGCGAGATGAAAAATCAGGAGACAAATTCGCTCACGAATGTCGGCGGTCCGAACAGGAAGAGAATAACGATGATCTTGCCAACCGTCTCATGTAGAAAGCTCGATGCCACATTGTGATGCAACAGCGATAATCGAGGGGACGGCCGATCTGTTGGTTAGCTTCCAGGTACTGCGCTACTCACTTGGTAAAGCTTCCGGCTTTGGTAGTCAGTAAATTCTAGTTGCACTGCGTTCGCCTGGTTATTTCAGGTACTGGAAGCTCTCTTTTGGCCTATAGTCCCAAATTTTAAGTTCCCGTGATGTTCGATGGTCTACGCAATTTATTATTAATCTTTAAAATTTATACTGTAATATTCTACTTTTTGGAGGCTTTTTACGGAAATTTTCTTCTGAATCGAATTTTGGAGAATACACAAGCCGCGGAAAAAATCACTTCGGGTCGTGATTCTGGATACGATTTCGTAAAGAATCAAGAGTTTTAAGATCTCAAATCAGAGATGCTTTTATAGTCGATGAAATTGAAAACAGATAAATGTGGAGCAACTCTCAAGCTTCTTCCATATGCAAGGTTCGGCTGGTTCATCGGTTCATGAATGCAACAAGATCACAACAACTTAACGCTTAGTGCTGTCAACGATATTGTGATTTCCAGTGATGAAGAGAAGAGGAAACTGCCTATGTCTTATCTGCATATACTGGAGGATGGAATTTACATGAAACAGAAAATTTAGTGAAGCCATAGCCAAAGCATGCATTTATGAAAACGGAATGCCAAGCATATACTCTGCCTAACTATCCAGGCGTCAACGTATTTGGCCTTCAGGCCTGAAACATAAGGCCTGAACATTACCAACACATTCCAACTGTTTCTTGGCATTACGAATTAAGCCGCTGCTTCTGAATGTTTGCGTATTGGGAATATAAGCTTGAAAAATTGACAGGTACTTCAGTTGATGTCACAGTTTCAAGTCGCCTGGTACCTTGCCTGTAAAAGTACGTGAAGATAATCTAATTTACTCTAAAAATTATGGAGATATTTGCACCGTTTACCAAATTGAAAAATGGGTTATGACCGACTCTGATCTAAAGTCGCAGCTTTGAATGGGTAGTTGTCCACTATATTTGAGTATGCCCGGTGGGTAGCGCACGTCGAGCTGTCTTCTAAGTCTGGTTAATATTGCGGTCAGCCACTTCGTTCTATCCTTTATCATGTAGTATCACAATAGACATACCCAGCCGGCCTTCAACTGCCCGGGTTTCCAGTGCTCCAATAAGGCCTTTTGTCAAGTCGCCAAGCGGTGTTTCATTAGCTCATAGACAGGCGAGATCTTGCCAAGCTGAGCTTCAGAACCAGGTTCATCGTTTTCAAGACTTGCGATTTTTTTTCTCAACCCGCTCCCTTGAGAATTCTAAAATTTGATCCGACAATATTGAGAGACAAGATTTTGTATAAGTCATATCTTATGTTCAAACAACCAGTGTTTATCAACTGCTATGGAGCCTGAACAACACCTGGAACTTCTGTGTTACCTATATCTGTGTTGGATTCCGAATCCAGTTCACGATTTCATTGGTCGAAGGCGTATGGATACTTTGAAAATTGGAAGAGCGATCCATCTGAAAAAATCCAAGTAATTTAAAGGGATCCTGGCAGAGAAATTCGAGAATTCGCTTAAGGCACTGGATAATTTTCGCTCCGTGCAATACATCTCATACGTTGACTATATGCGGAAATTCAGTGAAAGGGCCAGTACGTTCGTCGTGTAGCAGAAATTGATCCTAGACGGCTCACATCCTGCTCGTTAACTTGTCTATCACGATCATTTATTTCCATTTTTACGATATATTTCTTTTCCGTACTAGATCTTGTACATACGACCATAGGGTGTGGAGAACAGGGCTTCCCGTCCGCTCAGCCGTACTTAAGCCACACGCCGGTTAGTTAGTAGTATGGTGGGTGACCACATGCGAATCCTAACTGTTGTATGTATTTTCTTTTTTTTTCTTTGGAGCCGATAGAATGGATTGGTTCAACCAAGTGAATGAATAATTGATTGATAGGTAACCTCGACACGAGGTTACATTTAGTAGGGTGCGTAGATAAGGGCCAGCTGGTCCATCTCATCTCCATCCTGTCCCATGAAGCCCACAACAGCGAAGCCAGAGTCAGCGGTGAAAGTGGAGCAGTCAGAAGTGGAGGTTCCTGCCTCGAGCGTGTTTCCAGCGCTAGTTGTAGCCTTGATGTAGAAGTTGCGGGTTTCGCTGTTGTATTTGCCAGTGCAAAGCTCAGTCTCAATCCAGTACTCATCAGTTCCAAGAGTAAGGGAAACGGATGTTCCTCCGGTTCCACCGTGGCTGAAGGTCGTACCATCGGTGAGTTCGATGGCAACCGAGTCCAGGCGACTTCCACCAGCAAAAGTAAGGACGGAGGCCGCAGGAGAAGACGGAATACTCTCAAGATCGTTGAACCAGGTTCCGTGAGGTCCACCGGAGAAGTCACTCTGTCGAAGGGAGGAGGACATTGTCCAGGAAAAGTCCATCAAGATAGGGTTGTGGTCGGAAAGAACGTCGCCCAAGTAATCCGAGTCCGTGTTCAAGAACTCTTCACCATCATAGAGGAAGCTGGTGGCGGTCAGGGTGATGATGTCGGAGCCACGGTACAAAGCCTTGTCAACGGTCTCACACGTCTCAGTCGTGGATGGATTATCGCATACAACTGCATCTGCGCCCGCGGTAGGGTAGACACCAGCTTGCTCTAGCTGAACCCAGACATCGGCCATATCATTTTGAGACTTGAAGACACGGATACCAGTGTCCGCGGAACGAGTATAACGGCTGTTGGTATCGCCCATGACGAGAACAGCATTTCCGATAGAATAAGTGTCGATGTAGTCGGCAACTTGCTGGAGGTTGGCGTTCCGAGCGGTCTCATCGCCATCCTCAGTGCTTGCGATAATAATTAGCATGTTTCATATATTTTTGTGAGGAATTTGCATACCCAGCATCTGCATGAAGATTGTAAACATCAATGTAGACTCCACTGGATGGATTCCAGCGCATGAAGGTGAAGCCCTTTGGAGTAAGACAATCATACTCCGACGCGTCGGAACATGTGTCCCACTTCGTGCGTGTAAAGTCAATCCAGTCGTAGTTGGAAACGGTGTTCAAACCACTTCCAATACCGGCACCACCCGAAGTCGCGGTTCGGTAGGTGTGATCATCAGTGTCGTAAATGTAGGCATGGTAGTTGAAATCCTGATTGAATTAATGTCTTATACTTGAGAAATATAACGTTGTCCCTCACCTCCTGCATATTGATGATATCATAGCCATACTTCGCGAAATAAGTACCGATTTCCTCGGCATTCTCGGTTTTCGAGCCATTGACATCGTTGGAGTTGAGGATTGATGGCAGACCCGCGACATTGAAGCTCAGCGCAGTAAAGCTGCCGCTGGTTGTAGTCGCGTGGGCAGATGTCAGTAGACAGGCTCCAATGATTAAGGAGTTTTTAAACATTTTGAATTCTTGGCTCTAGAGCTCGGTCTGATGTCTTTTTTTTTTTTTTTTTTTTCTGCGATGAGAGAAATAGCATGTCTTTAAATAGTCATGCCATGAGATTGCATGAGAAACCTTTGATTCTAGACGAAGTGAAGAATAAGTCATCCTGCATGATGCTGCCTCGGTAAGAGGTTAGCTTGCAGATAGTCGGGCACTATTTACGCCATGCATCGTACACCACTCTAGAATTTGTCAAACGTGGGTTCTATCCGATCCCCGGATTGGAGGGTTAATTAAATAGCGGAATAGCCTTGATTTTCATGCGATTCGGCAACGCAGTTTATCAGGGACAAAGACATTCAGAGTTTCGGCATTTCTGGGCGATGACGTTCCACGTGCCGAGACTGTGTGGTGCGATGATAGTTTTGCAGATATGAAAGCGTCTTGGCATCCGGTTTTACAGCACCTAAATGGCCAAATCCCCGAGTTTGAACTGATGCCAATATTCAATTCACGAGTGCTTATGTTTTTTTTTTAATTTCGCTTCCAAATAATGGGGTCAGTCGGTTCGCTTTACTTGCCAGCAGCAATATGTACACTAACGATCTTCCCACTAATACTCTGAAGATCCCATCTAAAGAGCTTCCATCAATACCTGAGAGTTCCCGCTTCCTCTCGACACATTATTTACCTTCCGGCTGCTCCGGCTGCAGGCCCTTTATAATATCATCTTGGTTTCCGAGCAATTGCCTGGCTTCCCTGACATTATTCTGTAATTTTTTCCATGGTGAAAGAAAGTATGATTACTAGAAGTGTAATTTCCAGTGGTACACCAAGGATTCATAAATTCTTGAAGAATCAGGAGCAGGGGATTGCGCTCTCAATACATGCGGGGAAATAAACCATGTGATCTACACCGCCCTGCTTGCTCTCTCAAGGTCCGGGGTCACACATGGGAATTGAAAGGAGTATTAATTGAACATCTCGCTTATTATAGCATGACAATAGTAATGCACACAATATACCATTTTTCCTCAACTAAGAAAGAGCATGTGAGCTCTCTGAATATAAGCAATATGCAGGATAATGCTTCATTCGAGCCAAGATGTACACTATGATGTCAATTTCATGGAAAAAGGGCACCGAATCGGTGTCGCTCCTTATTCACCTTCGCATTCCAGGGTTGCTTAATGTGTTCAATGAGACATCTAAATATATAGATACTCGACAATACCTTATACAGACTCCAAATCTCAAATATTGCGCCTAACTTAATACTGTTAGTGTGGTATGTAACTAATTTGCAGTCCCTTACGCCAACTATCCGATACGCTTGCTTTTTGGTTGACTGCGCCATCAAGCAATATGTAACGCAGCTGCAAACGACGTCGGTTGAAGTGCTTGGCTAAGAGCCAGAAGTCTACATTGCGCAAATCAAAGAGTGAAAAAGAAGGTTTTGGCTTGGAAGTCTGGAACAGAGACGAGGAATACTACTGGCATATGTATCCTGTTATATGTTTCTTTTTCTCTCTCCTTTCAATCATTGACCTCATTCAATGATGCAAAAGTTCACTACCAGATCTATTTTGAGCGCTTTTACACGATACGATGCTTGGGATTCTTACACATTCAAACCTTCATGGAAACATTGGACACCTTTCACAAAGCGCATACCGAGAAATCAGGAATTCTTCATATAATGTGCGCAATCGCCACGCCTTTTATGTATATGGATATTTACACACAGTCGAAGGTCATGACGGATTGCAACGTGAGCTTTTACGAGGCGGGCGAAGGCTAGGCAAATGGAGCTCTACAGTAGTCCTTTTGGAACCTAGGAAGCCCCGAGTTAGAATGCTTAGCAACAGAAATTTCGCTTCATGAATACTACCTAGAAACAATCTTGGAACTCCAAAGCATTGATTGTTTTTAGGCAAGTTGCTAGACACCTGCAGCTGCTCCTATTGAACGTACAATACGACACGAATTCAAAACACCACAAGGAGCGTGTCTTCGCAACCATCAGTGAAAGCAGAAGAAAGCTCATGTGGGCTTTTTATCTACTTGATGCTTTGATTGAGTGGGTGCCTATCAACTTCGACCCATGTCAGCGAAGGATGTCCACGTATATCTGCCATGCTCTGAAGACTGTTTTGTTAGAGACGCGCCCTGTGTTACAGAATCGCTTTCCCTACACGAATCCTCTCCAGGGCTGGACATGCGCGCACATTATATCCGTGCAAGGATTTTGAAATACTTCAAAGCGTTAGAAGGGGAATTGCATGGGATCCAGAGACTTCAAAGTTCTGCCTTCTGAATGCGGAGCTCCAGAATCTCGAGTGATCCAATCTTGCTATATTTAAAATGTCAACCGCAAACAAATACCTTTATAAATTTTTTGAGAGGCTAAACTTATTTTTCAGGCTTCACATTCTGCTAGCACAGGCAACGAGTGATTTATATCATATTTTGTGTCATGGCTTGTATTTCTGAACACTTCAGCAAAATGGATCCGAGATAATGCACCGCCAGTCTTTCGTGAGTGTCACTGGATGTATTCGAACAAGGCGGTGCACAGTGCGAAGCTGTTGAAGAATCGGTTGTTTTAGAAGTCCAGTCTTCCTTTTTGCTACTGGATCATGGGCACCCGTTCCCGCGACCCTGTGGTAAATGCAGTTATTATTGGGGCTTATTCGGCGTTGAATCCAGGCGGTGGTGCAATGGCCTGGAATATAAATGCCGAGGGTGTTAGTGCCATGAATCAATTTGCGATGAGTTGGGGTTTAACGACCGGCGGCTTATTGGTAGCTGTTCATTCCAATTGAGCATCGAGAGGGCTTCGAGAAGACTTCGAGTTTTCGGTAGCAATTTGAGATTTTTTCCTAGCTATAGGTAGGCTGCAGCGGAGTTCTTCATAACTTCATTCCATGGCTCATCTCCCAAAATTTCTTCCATTGCATTAATTGAAACTTAATGTATGTAATGAATGACTTCTGAATAGTGTTTTGGGGAGAGATAAAAATCGAAAACAAAAAAAAAAAGAATGCCCTCGTCCAGGATCGAACTGGAGACCTTCGGATAGCAATCCTGTTAACAGGAGCGTCATATGAAAGTGATATGAGACCAACGTCATAACCAACTAGACCACGAAGGCATCTGATTATGTAAATATTTGAAGGAGTGTAATATGAAGTTATAACATGCAAGTAGAATTCTCTTTCAGATTCTTTTCTCGACTTGTGTCCCAGCCCTAATACCCAGTTGTAAGAGACTTTAAATATGTAAGAGATTCAAATGCTGTTTGCTTATTCAGCAATCGATACCCTATCCTTCAGGCCAAAATGGCAGTTCCAAGGAAAGCTCCATGCCCGAAAGTCCAAGCTATCTTGGCGCTATAGACTGATATATATTACTCTCACACAGCCGTTTTTAGCCATACCATACTTTGTAAAGAATCATCCAATATTCCTAAAATTTTGGTGACAAATTGATTCACTCGGAGAATATCTCAATATTGGACCTGATGATGTAGGAAATCTAATTGCAATTTAGAAAGAAGAATGCAATTACAACCTCCACGTAAACTCTCAAAATCGGCAGGGACCTCCAGGTCAATCACAAAACAACTTGGCAACCAACACCTTATTGGCGGGAAGGATAATGAGCATCTTGGCAAATATCCATGAAACTATGCACAGTTTCAAATCACGCAATACCCAGAGATAACCAAGAAAGAGGGGTAAGACAGAAATGGGGGCGAAACTTGTGTATAGGGTCAAAGCGGGTCCCCCATTAATTCCATGGCAGTAAAGATGGGCTCGTCGTGAGTCCTTGATAACTATTTACCTTACAACCTTCCGATTGAAGCCATAGAATGCCCTTTCAGGTTTCTCGAGACTGATCATCGTCGAGTGAGGCGAGGAAATGGTGAGAATCCCAATTTATGGTTCTGCCAGTTGGCCGTTGCACGTTAATAAAACCTTGGCCAAAGGTATCAGAAAGGTCAGCCTTAAAAATCGGAACTGCAGTGGTAATCATTCTAGATTGGAAATATCTTTGGTCGTTGCTCATTTGAACATCCCGCAGTTGGAAGTCTGTGATAGGGTCCTGTTCCAAGATTGTGTACCAAAAATAATCTGCTAATCTAAGTCTATATAATTTTTGCTTTACAAAATTGCAATTGAGTACCAACCTTGCCTAGAAGCACCGGCAAAACTTATACTTCCAGCAACGCAAAGCGCCCGTATCTCACAGGGCCTAGGGTGTGATAAGAGTTTACAACCACTTCAAACGCCTGGCGACATAGCTGCCACCCCCGACAACACCAGTAACACCCGTGAAAACGATCAATGGTCCATAACCACTGCCATATCCAGAAGCCAACTTCCCCTCCCATGGTAACCCCTTGATAAGAGCTTCACTAAGGGGACCGGAAACCAAGTTTCCAATACCTCTCCCAGCCGCAAGACAAGCAAAGACCATGCTCGATTCAGCTGAGGCCTTCTTGCGGACAACATCGCGCATAATACCTGGCCATGTACTGGTGTACGAGCCAGCGAAGAGGCCGTAAACAATCGAGAAGATGAACAGCGGCGCAAGGGACATGGAGAATCCCCAGATAAGAAACACGCCCAATGTAGATCCCACAGTCGAGACAAGAATACAAATCGTAACATCCAGCTTATCGATGATAGCACCCATAAGCACACACCCAACGACAGAAGCCAAGTTGAAAAGAATAACAGTCAAAGCCTGAAGACTGCTCGAAGCACCAATCATCCCCGCATAAGTCGGCAGATAAAGCGACGGCAAGAAGAATCCTAGCGCCTCAATAGTATTGCAAAACTCGAAGAGTGCAAAAGTAGAGGTCATGATAAACCGCAGATTCGGTGGCGGCGGGCTAGGCCGATTATCAGGAATTGGCACGCGAGGCTTAACGAAGTAGACCAGCGGTGCAGTAAGAAGGAAAAGCGCAACGGCAAAAGCACGCAAGGTAGTTCTGAACCCGAATCGGTCGAGAAGCTGTTCCATAACGATGGGGAGGACAACGCCGCCTAGTCCGGTACCGGCCCACATCACACCAAAAGCTAAACCCTTGCGTTTGTCAAACCAATCTTCCATTAGAAGGATACAGGGAGAGTAGGCGACGCTTCCACCGATGGCATAGAATATTCCTTGTGTGACGATGAGGTGGGTAACGTTCGTGGCGAGGGAACTTAGGCCTAGGGCGAGACACATCAGGAGAACACCAGCACCACAGCCGAGGCGTTGGTATTTAGGCCATTGTCTGTAGGCTGCGAAGACGATAGGGAGGTCGAGATACATAATTCCCTGGGGTGGTGAGTTAGCTTTGTTGGATGTGAGTGTAGTAGATATTGGTGTTCCTACCATAGCACAGGTTCCGACGACGGCGATGTTGCCATTGTTTTTGAATTCAGGAATCGAATTGTAATATTCTTGGAACACACCGTAGGTGAAGGCGAACCCCCAAACTAGAGCTTCCATAACGAAGCACGCAGCGAGGAAAAGCCATGCGTTCATGCCGCCATCCATGGGCGGGAGTTTCTTGCCATTGTCAATATTCGACAGGTGGGTAGCGGCATTCGTATCTTCTAGAGGTGTGTGAAGCCCCTTTTCGGTCTGATTGACCGAGGAGTGTGAGCCTCCTACTTCCTCCATTGTTAGAAATCAAGTTGACGGCCAGCACAAGGGAAATCAGCTTTGGGAAAGGTCTCCCACGAGGGTGAAAGAGAAATTTGGCGTGAAAGATTGTTCAGATTCAGAGAACAAAGAAATCATCCACAGGGCGTCCCGGATGGGAGATCTTGCTCCGGATTGGTTGGCTTTGACACCAGTCTCGATGCGGGAAACTCCGAGGTGGAGATGGGGATGTTACTGCGGGGCCTTGACGATCACCTCATAGGATGGTCATTCACCGCGTAATTGATTGGGCCACCCATTAAATCTTCGGGGATAGTGCGGTGCGCTAAATCCTAGCGAGAATGTTGGCGTTCACCAAGGATCCTTGGAAATCATGCATGGAAGTCGAACACCGCCATCCCCATATGTGACAAGTCATGTATCTCGGACATTACCCGTCTTATCTTATCGGAGTTATCGGGGATATGACTAGGTGCAACTATTTCCACGGCGCACTCTATATTTAGTAGGTACTGTACAGTATTGACATTTCAATATTGATTAGAGGTCCGACTTCGGGATCTTTTGGGGAAGAGATTTTCGTACTTTCTTTAGCGCTGATTCAGCTGCGGTGGAGCAGACCGGAATCCAGTCTTGGCTGCCGCTCCATGAAGATACAAAAGTACAAAGTCTCTTAATTGGATCCACATGTCAAAATAGGCCACCCACTTAGATCTGTATCGGGCTGTGATTATATTACTAAAATTTATATATCTTTGCATGAAGAGTAGAAGACTTGCTATAATAATCACTTGCGAAATTTTCCAAATGGCAACAGAACAATCCCTATCGATGACGGCAGCGCCTTCTACATTGGCGGCCTTAGACGCAAGCAAGCTGCGGGTTATTCGCAACCCAAAGCCAATCGAGCTGCCCAGTCCCGATAACCTGCATTTTGGGAAGAATGTCACCGGTAACGCATGAGATCAATCCTTCGAGGGTGGCAAACAGAAGCTGACAGAATGCGCAGACCATATGCTTCAGGTACAATGGTCAGAGTCTGACGGTTGGCATGAGCCTCAGATTCTCCCGTACGGGAATCTGAGCGTTGATCCGACCGCCGGTGTCTTCAACTATGCTTTTGAAGCATTCGAAGGCATGAAGGCATACAAGGACGCACAGGGCCGACCACGACTGTTCAGACCAGATGTGAATATTGCTCGTCTGAATGAATCCGCAGCACGCGTGGCACTCCCGACGTTCGATTCTACCGAATTTTTGACCCTTCTGTCTAAATTCGTGGCGATGGAGTCTCGGCACATACCCTCGTAAGAAAGCCGATCCCAAAAGCACGCATACTGCCAAAGTATACATGGAACGGTGTGGATCGAAGTGTGAAAACTGACCGTCTTAGTATCCGAGGGTACTCACTCTACCTACGCCCAGTCCTAATTGGTACCAACCCAAACCTGAGCGTCTCACCACCCACCACCGCGCTACTATACGTCGTCGCATCGCCTGTCGGCTCTTATTTCAAGGATGGAACAAAGAATATCACGTTGGAAGCAGTGAATAGCTCTCAATGGGTGCGTGCGTGGCCAGGTGGAAGTGGGTGCCACAAAGTGGGAGCCAATTATGCCCCCTGCATGGTGGCGGAGGCGGAGGTCCGAAAACGGGGATCAGATCAAGTCCTTTGGCTCTTCGGGGAAGATAACCTACTAACAGAAGCCGGTACGATGAATTTGTTCGTTGTTATCCGAAGACCGGACGGGGATCGTGAGCTCGTGACGCCGCCATTGGATGGAACAATCTTGCCAGGTGTCAACCGGGATTGTGTGCTAAGATTGGCACGGGAGAGGTTGGAGGGACATGGTTGGGTAGTCCGAGAGCGGAGTGTCTCTATGAGAGAGTTGGAGGCTGCTAGTGTGGCGGGGAACTTGGAGGAGGTGTTTGGTACCGGAACTGCAGCGGTAGTCAGTCCAATTGGATCGATTCGGTGGGAGGGACGTGTGATTAGCTGCGAGCTGTCATCCGTGCAGGAGGGTGTGGCGACGAGGATGAGAAAGTGGATCGAGGCTAGACAATATGGTGAAGATGAGCATGAGTGGAGTGTTTTGGTTGATGGCCTTGACCTTGCCAAGAGGCCTGAGGCGAAACTTTGAAATTAGGCCACCGTTGATAATGTCATTTGTTTGCAGAAAGCAGGATTAGTCAAAGTAGCAGTACAAGACCCACTCGTGACGAACCCACTCGACGGGCCGCGCCCAAACTGTAAATGATTTAACACCAAATTCCACATGAAGTTAAAGCGGGGCAAATACGAGGATTTCCTCAAATCTTATCGCCCCTGAAAGTTGGAGTAGTTATTCAAGGGGCACAAGCAGATGCACATGCGAACCCATGTTTTATGTACCTAGGCAACTTTATGTAACTACCGGTGAATTTACGTAAAAGTATGTCTCTCAATCTCGCACAAATGATTCATTTTGGCCACCTATCATCTAACCGGGGTAATGAGCAGCGTTTCTCAGGGTCTGGTACTCCAAAGCTGTCAAATCCTCGTAGATGGGCTTCTTATCTCCGAGGAATTCTTCAAGGGGGCCCACATTCACGTCGCGGTCCGCTTTGTTGAAGTAGACAAGACTCCACCGCTCTGGAACAGTCTCTCCCTCACAGTCGCGGGGCCGGGTAACACGGTGGAGACCGCCACGGATCTGGTTATTGGACCACCGCTGCATGGTCTCAGAGACAATGACAACGACTTCTTCATCCGATCCGTAAGGCATAGGAATGAAAGTTCCGGGATTGGTCCGATCTTCATACTCCAAGCCGGGGGTTACATCTGGGAACACAAGCGAGATGATGCCAAAGTCCTTGTGTGGCCAAATACGACTGATTCTACCCTCGTCTAGGGTCGCGCGCTCAATAGGAGGGAAGTGGTTGATGCGAATCGTGCTAGCCTCGTTGGTGCATCGAGACGTGAAGACCTTCGGGTCTAGGTTTAGTGCGGTGGCCATAGACTCAAGCAGGACTAGCGTGAGATCTCCACAGGAAAAGAAAAACTCGTCCATCGTTCTTTGGTACCCGGGGAGGTCGGACTCTGAGGGCCATTTGTTGGGGAATTGTTGGTCGTTGGGGTGTCCACAGTCGAAACTCTCCTATAACAGGCGAGGAGTTAGAGCAGTTCAATAAGTATTTTCGAATGCACTTGCCTTGTTGTCACCAAAGTTGGGCTCCTTCACATCACCTGTGTTGCTTTCAAGCCACCATGTCTTTTCTTCTCCGGGAACACTCCATCCGCGCTGCTGTCCTTTTTTGGGATCATTTCTCAGCGGGACTTTGACATTGTAAGGAAGCTTGAAGAAACGTTTGATCTGCCCAACCAATGGTTAGTCTGGAAACTTGGGATGGAAGAATACTTGTATTTACCTGATCAAATGTTTCCTGGACAAGTGGAACAGGAACAGTATGGTTGATGAGCTTCGCAAAGCCAAAAGTGTTCAAACTGTCGAGAAGCTTAGAAGCAAATTCAGCTCGCTGCTCAGCAGTCCCTCCAGAGAGAGCAGAGGCATCAAGGGTGGGAATTGACATGTTGAAAAGTGGTGAAGTCAACCTGGTAAGCCAGTGTGGCCTTGTGGACTATACGGATTTATAAGATATTTACATGGTGTCAGGCCACTCGGCCGCCAGCCCCGCAACCTTGGAATTATGAAGCTGATAGCATTACTCTGAGTTCTCATTTCTCTTACATTATTGTTTCCTACAAATTTACTGATTGACGAAAGCGGAGAATGTCCGAAAAAGAACAACCCACACACTAGGGGCTTACAAGGTGGTGGCGAGGAGGATTGGCCCACATATTCTTCATTGGCGGCTTGGTATGCAAGAGTCATCTACCTTTGAATATGGCGGTCCGAATCTCAGCTCATACTGAGAAACTATTGTGTTATGCTGACTGCCGATCTAGCTGACTACCGGTCTACATGGCAGGCGGTTACAGCAAATTGGAACAGCGTTACATTGCCACGCTTAGTGGCTTGAACTCACTGTATGGTTATGGCCCCGCTAGATTGATAGTCATGGCATTTCAAGATTGGCAAAGTTGTTATGCATGTAAACTCCGAGAATATCTCGGAAAGATATGATCTATCAACCCAATTGAAGGCCTAGAACTAGCAATCAATGAAAAAGCGTCGAGCTGATGATGGAATTAGCAATTAAATCCACGTAATTCATCAATTTGCCCCTCCAGATAGCCCCGCGGTATAGAACTGAGACATGCCGACGTCGGGAGCCTAGTACTTTTGAGGTAGATTCGTAAGTACCTGCATGATGAATCCTGTAAGCAATTTAACCAATGGCTGAGCATCGCTTACTACATCGCGGCTTAAAGGCCGCCCCGCATAATCCAAGATCGACCAAAATCTGACCAAATCCATCATCCCGCACATGCAGTGGGCCTAATGAAACACTAAAATAATGCAGCTATACATCCCTGTAGTTAGACCATGATTAACAGCACTGCCCTCCTGCTAGCGAATATCGGACCACGCATGCATGATCCATAGGGTCATAGATTACGATAGGGATGAGGACCGTTTTGTGTATTAACTTTCAGCCGAAACCCCTCATGTGGGGTAGTCAATTGGATTGCGACAAAGGAGAAATGTGATGCCGAGATGTGGGCTTCATTGACTGTGTCACGGTGAGGGGAAAAGTAAGCATATGGTTTAAATTGTAGATTGTGTGCCCCACGAGATGAATGTAGGAGCGTAAGAATCTCCTGAATCGCTGATCACCATGCCTATGTACGTGTTGGAAGACTCTATACACTGCCCATCCTCTCCGTCCGCCATACATTAATGCAAATTACCTTAGGCTTCGCAACCCCTCCGAGAAATATGACTCTTTTGACCCTCCAGATCTTCCAGATAGATCATGGCCCTCCAAAAAGCTCACAAAGAGGCCACGTTGGTTGGCAACTGATCTGCGTGATGGAAACCAGGCTCTTGCGTGTCCAATGGTATGTTACTTTACTCTACACACATGAGAATCACCCTCACACTATTCAGAATGTGGAGCAAAAATGGGAGTATTTCCAAATGCTCCTTCGCATCGGATTCAAAGAGATCGACATCTCCTTCCCCAGCGCATCCGATACCGAATACAATTTTACCAGGAACGTCGTCGCCTCTGCCCCCTCAGACGTATGGCTACAGGTCCTCTCGCCATGCCGAAAGGAACTTATTCGACGCACAGTTGACAGCGTGACTGGCGCAAACAAGGCAATCATTAGTTTGTACATCGCAACAAGTGAGAGCTTTATCACAACAATGTTTGAATCTACTCAAGAAGCCGTCCTCCGCACAGCCGTCGAATGTGTCGAGTACACCCGCTCCATCACCAAGGATGATCCTTCTCAACAAGGCACCACCTGGAACTTGATGTTCAGTCCCGAAGCATTCTCAGACACAGAACCATCTTACGCTATTGCTGTCTGCAAGGCTGTGAAAGAGGCCTGGGGCCCCTCAGATGATATCCCCATTATCCTCAACCTACCCGCTACTGTGGAGCGGTGCACACCAAACACATACGCGGACCAGGTGGAGATCTTCTCTCGCGCGTTCGCAGATAATGAGGATGTCGTCGTCTCTCTACACCCGCACAATGACCGAGGGTGTGCCGTCGCTGCCGCTGAATTGGGACAACTGGCGGGTGCTACTCGTGTCGAAGGTTGTCTCTTCGGAAACGGCGAGCGAACGGGCAATGTTGACATTGTTACCCTCGCCCTGAATCTATATAGTCAGGGTGTTGACCCGGGCCTTGACTTTTCTGATCTGCCTTCCATCCGGAAGATAGTAGAGAAGATCACGCAGATCCCTGTGCATCTCCGTGCTCCTTACGCCGGTGACTCAGTCTTCATGGCGTACTCTGGGTCTCACCAGGATGCTATAAATAAGGGGTTCAAGAAATGGCGTGATGGAAAGACCGCTCCTGGCCTGGGCAGCATCTGGAAAGTGCCTTACCTCCCTATCGATCCTGAGGATATCGGTGCGACATACGAGGCTGTTATCCGCATTAACTCTCAGAGCGGAAAAGGCGGTGTTGCCTGGGTCCTGCAGCGAACATTGAACCTGGAATTGCCGAAGGAGTTCCAACAGGCGTTTTCCAAGGTCGTCAAATTTGAGTCAGAGGAGAAAGGACGCTGGCTTACAGAGGCAGAAATCACACATTCGTTCCTGCGCCATTATTCCATTTTGGAGAATGATTCACGTATCCTGGAGTGCTCAGTGACTACGAAACCGGATGGCTCTGGTCGCGTTATCATGCGATCTATCATCTTAGTTCGGGGCCGCCCGCGGGAGGTCGTGGCTTCGGGTGAGAATTCCGCTGACGCTGTTTCATTTGCGTTTTCTTCCTTGGCTGCTCTCAATTTAGAGCTTGAGGTTGTTCTGCGAAGTATCCAGGGAGCTGATGGAGAGCCGCTCGTGATTGCGCTGGTCAAGTGTAGGGATGTTTGGCGCGCGAGAGCTGCCAAGCGTGGAGATGTTGCTATTGCGTTGGCATGTTTGTCCTCAGCACTGGTAAGTGTTTCCCCTACCCGAATTCGTCGTTGGAATCGACGCTGACCTAGAGCAGGATATGCAGGAGAATCTCCCATCGAGTCGACAGTTTTTGAGACTCTTGCCCATCATTTATGCGAACTGAGAGGTTTTAGATGGGAAAAAAGAAATGATTAGCAGCGAGCTGTGATTGGTTTTGGGAGTGAGCAGCTTAGAATGACCAACTGCGCATGTAGATATCTGTCGACGTCCTGGCGGCGTTAGCGCACCACTGTTCTCTCACATGAAAAACGAAGAGAGATAGTAGCTTATTCCGCGAATTTTCCATTTCAACTGCAAGACGGAGGTGCAAAAACCCACCCCACCTTGTGCTTAGAATCATAGCCAGTAGGAATTCCATGATAGGCCAGGAAGGTCCCGCAGAGAGTAAGGGAAAATGAAAATAAAAATAAAAAAGAGACAATCAAATGTAAGCAATGTGGCCGACTTCGGCATTGAGGGCTATATATTGGGCTTTGGCCCCAGCGCCGAGGAGTTTCGTGGCATGTATTTTCAAATCACTTCAAACACCGGCCATGCCTTTTCTAAATCAAACACGGGACGTTGAGGTTAGCCTTGTCTCTGGAGATGAAGGTAGTACGCAAATGACATCTCTCGTCAGAGAGGTACTAGGCTTCATCCAAAAAGCTAGACCAGGCATCGCATTCCACATTTTGGATTCCCAGGAGCTTCAAGACTCAGGTGCCACAATTATTTGCAGAGCCAGTAATCCTTTGCCTGAAAAGGAGCTGCCCAAAGACCTCGGTGGTTTTGCCAAGGTCCAGCCGTTATTCTTTCCTAGCTCTGGACTTGTTCCAGAAGGGTTGTCGAACAAGAGTGCTGTTCAGGGGCTTGACATTATCTTCGTTGGCGATGCCACGCATACAAAGACTGGGAGTGAGTCCCCTCGTGAGGTCATCGAAGAACTGGCATTCTGGGCAGGGACATACGCCATGCGGTCTCACCCACCCAGGTCTGTCCATTGTGTTCCATGTTCAACGCCACTCTGGAAGTCCGTGGTCATTGAATTATTCAAAAAACACTTTCCACGCGTGCCGCTCCACCATATATCGGTCGATACAGCAGCAGGAGTCCTGTCATCGAAGCCGACTAATTTGAATGGTATCGTTCTGACCACTGGGCCAGATGGAGAATTTCTTTCCAACAAGGCTCGCATCGGCATGGGGTTAGATGACTTCCTGGCATCGGCTTACGTCTCAATCTCGTCAAACAATGGCCCCAGGAAGATTGGAGTTTTTAAACCTGGGAATACGAGTACACCATGCGAGACTGTGGATCCAATTTCAATCTTACCAGTCGTAAGTCTGATGCTCGACTTATCTTTCGGTCTAAGTGCAGAAGCTGCAGCAGTGACCAGAGCAATCCGCCGAACATTGGACCCGATCGAGCTTGTTGGCTCTAACATTCGGACTCCTTGTACCGGCGGAGCAGCCGCCCCGGCCGAATTTATGAACAAGTTCATGGAGCATCTGGATTCCTACCTCGAAGCTACTAGCTCTGAAGCCGAAACGCGGGCCTTGCTCAAGGAGCCAAGCGTAGCTCCTACGGGCCAACGGCGTCCAATGGGCGTGATCGAAAAGATAATGACCCACGCTGCGGTTGGCTTGACCAGACCAGAAGTGCAGACCGGGGAGATCATATGCGTAAAGGTTGACTGGACCTTAACCTCCGAAATTCTCTGGGCGGGAATGGAGAAAACATATGAAAAAATGGGCCGACCCCGTCTGCATCGCAATGATCGCATGTGGCTGGCAATTGATCACACTGTTGATCCACGCACAAACCATCAGCCCCGACAGCGAGGGCTTATTGAAAAGGCTGAAAGCTTCCAGCGTGAGGCAAAGCTCGTCAACTTCCTCCCAGCTAACACAAGCATCCTTCATACCGATTTTACGCGTGACCGAGCATTGCCTGGACAGATCATTGTCGGATGTGACTCTCACTCCTGCTCTGCCGGTTGTGTTGGAGGTTTAGCTATTGGGCTTGGAGCTGCGGATGTTGTCATGCCGATGGTTACAGGCGAGACGTGGTTCCGGGTGCCTGAGATCTGCCGAATCAACTTCGTTGGTAAGTTGCCGTTTGGAGTGGGTGGAAAGGATGTAATTCTTCATATCCTCGGGCTTTTCAAGCGAAACACAATTGCCTTCCAACGTGCGGTGGAATACGGTGGCCCGGGGTTGATAGAACTGTCCATGGATGCCAGGTTCGCCATTGCAAATATGACGACCGAATTTGGTGGTATGGGTGCGTGCTTCGAGGCTGATGAGAGCACTGCGGAATGGATCTCTCGAAGGCCGCATTCGGAGCATCAAGGAGGTCTTTACTTCAGAGCCGACGGAGGTGCAGAGTATGCCGAAGTACGCACTGTCAATCTCTCCGAGGTTGAACTGACCATCGCCATGTATCCCGACCCGGATAATGTTGTCCCCGTGACAGAGAAGGTTGGCACAAAGTTGGATGGGTGCTTTATCGGAGCTTGCACCACTACCGAGGAAGATTTGATTGTCGGAGCTTTAGTGCTCGATGCCGGTTTGCGCGCCGGCTTGACTCCTTGCGAAGGACACAGAAGGGTCACCCCTGGAAGCCTCAGCATCATCAAGCATCTCGAACGACACGGTATCCTGGACATCTATCGGCAGGCAGGGTTTGAGATTGGAGCGCCCGGCTGTTCATACTGCGTTGGAATCAACGATGTTGACGTCGCTGGCGAAGGCGAAGTTTGGCTTTCCTCTCAGAATCGCAATTTCAGAAACCGAATGGGCAAAGGAGCTATCGGGAGTATTACTTGCGCTGCAGTGGTTGCGGCCTCGAGCTTTGACATGGTAGTCACCGATGCTCGGCCACTGCTGGATCAAATTGATAGGGGGAGATTGAACAAGATGCTGGGTAGTGAGAAGGTCTCCTTGAGAATTGTGCCTGAAATCAGCGAACCTAATCCGTCTCTTGCATCAAATACCATTACGGATGTTTCTGGTAGTCGCACTCCCGCTGAGACTGCTGCTTCAATGGGAGATACAGCGAAGTCCTCCACCGATGATGTTATTCGGTCGAAAGTTCAGCGTTTCGGTGAAAATGTCGATACGTAAGTCTTTGATTTTCCACATTCCAAGCATTCCTAATAAGAGCCTAGTGACGCTATTATTCCCGCTGAATTTGTACCGGGCGTCGATAATGCCGAACTGGGCAGTCACTGCTTTGAATACGACCGGCCCATTTTCCGACGAAAAGCAGCTGATGGGTCGAGAATCATGTAAGTGGAATTCATAGGATAACATTATGCGAGCTTTGAGACTTACCATTGCTAGTGTTGCAGATCGTGGATTCGGCAGTGGCTCGTCGCGTGAAGATGCCGTCAGAGCCTTGCAGGGGGCAGGTATTATGGCAGTTATCGCGCCCACTTTTGCCTTTATCTGTGAGTCCCAGTAACACATAATGGTGCCAAACAGTATTGAGGAGCTAATGAGCAGGAAGATGATCGAAACCAGCTAAACATGGGCCTATTCAACGTCACCTTACCGGATCCCGAGTTCTACTCCCTCGCGAACGAAGATTCGGTGGTCATCATTGATCGACAGGCCAAGACCATCCAGGTTGAGGGAGCGGATCAGGTTTTCCATTATCAACAGTCCGAAATGGAGAAAACTCTTCTTGAGGCTGGAGGTGTGCTTCCATTGTATAACCGATTTGGGCGCTCGGTGTTCAGGGAGATTTCCAACACAAATGCAAAGCGGACCATGAATGGCCCAACTCGTATGAATAACAAGGTATTTGGGGGAGATTTGGACTGGTAATGCTGGCCAAATAGATGCAATTGTTAACATTGAGTATCGAAAGACAGCAGAGCTGGATACGTTTAGGTTCAATGAATTTACCTGTGAAATAATTACGTACCACTCGTCATTAATACACGTTATTCGCGTGTAACTTATTTATCGGGTCATGTGAAATAACCCCCTATTTATCCAGGCCTGCAGATCACGTGTTGATCATATTTATCAGTTCGATCGTTCTAGACACCAAATTGATTTATACACAAGCTCTAATTTCTTTGCGCTTTAATTCGTTTTATCCGCCTTAGACATTGAGCGATCGGTTACTATCCGAAAGCCCTTGCATACCATCAATCATTCTGCTTTTCAACATGTCGGCCACCAAAGCAAAGGTTTTGAAGATAATCAGTGAGAATGGAGTGGGTATGCTGGAAGCCAATCCGTAGTGTTATTTCAATTTTCTACTTGCAAGCTAATGAAATTCGCCAGTTGTCTTTTCCAAAGCTTCATGTCCGTACTGCACTGCTTCGAAAAAGAAGCTCAAAGACATGGGTGCCATTTTCATCGTCCAGGAATTAGATAAGCTTAGTACGTCATACCCAATCCTACCCTTCCTTCCAAGATTCGTTTTGTCCATGATTGATGAATAATAACTAATGTTGACTGGTTAAAAGAGGATGGTAAAGCCATGCAAGCTGCTCTGCAGGAAATCTCCAACCAACGGACTGTTCCCAACATCTTCATCAAGCAGAAGCATATCGGCGGAAATTCAGATCTTCAAGGAAAATCGACCAATGAGTTAAGGAAATTGCTGAAAGATGCCGGGGCTATTTCAGCATGATATGGATTTGAAGCTGTGCTATATACAACTAGCTCATTATCCTCTGTCAGTGGTACTAGTTCCCTAAATGGATGGCGTTTGACTACTTTATTGTATGAGAAATTCGAGTCTATGACTTACGTTTCATGTATTTATGGTATTTTAGTATATACATTAAATGTACAGAGATTGCAAATTCCTCCAAGAACCGCTGAAACTCACAACTAGGGAAGGTGGAGATTTTTAATATGGCTGGTCTTTTGTCCCGATGTTGAAAATGACCATAAATCCCATCTTTGGGGCTCCCTGTCAAGCTCAGAGAAGTAGACTCACCAAATGTTTACCAGATGGTGTTCTTTGGAGCTTCAGCGCTAATGACGGGCTCCAAACCAGGGTCTCCCTTCTCCATAGCACGCTTATAAGCCTCGCGTTGTGAGATCCGCTCAAGATACTTCACAATGTTCGGATACTTCTCAAGAGAAAAAGCGCCAAAGAGGCGGAGCGTAGTCAGGGAGAAGACAGATATGCAATCAGCAGCTGTGAACTCATCACCTCCAAGATAGGGAAATTTGGCCAGCTGAGCGTCCATGCCTTCAAAGTTCTGATCCACACGCTTTTGTGCGAATTTGGACTCAAGGCTCTCTTCTGAATTGCCACCGAGACGAGAGAACATGAGGGTAATGAGACCAGGCTGCATGGCCCCGTTTGCTCGATGAAGCCAAAAGAGGTAGTCGGCATATTGCGGGTGAGTCGGAGGCAGAGACAAGCGATCGTTGCCGTATTTTGTGAGAATATATTCGAAGATGGCGTTTGATTCCGCGAGCACCACGCTTCCGTCCTCAATGACAGGTGCAGTTCCAGACCAGTGGATTCTGCGATACTCCTCCGGGGCAAGCAAGGCGGGAGGCTCCCTGTCATACGACTTCAAGTTGTAAGGGATGCCGAGTTCTTCGCACAACCAGACAACTCTCTCGGACTGAGAGCGGCGTAAGTGGTGGACGGTAAGGGCGGGAGACATTTTCAAGAGGCTTAATAGATAATCAGTGTGACAAGACGGCTGCCGTTCGGCCTTTGGAGGTTCATATTGTAATGACATTCTGGTGGCTGACTAGATTGAAGTGGATTATTCAGCATGTCAGTGGGCCGATGATGCTGTACCAAACATCATGAACTTGTGCCATATCTTATGAAATACAATGTATGATTCTGTTGCATAATATTTTGGGTATCCACATTTCTTCTAACTAGAAGGCGGTCCATTTAATAACCTTTAAATCTTGAAACTCGGAATTCTAGCGAGCCGGACCACGGCTCCACCAAGGAATCCGGGAAGCCCGGTTACCGAGCTCCGTTTATTCTGTCAACCTATCAAAGGGTGTGGTTGCGGCTATGTTGCATGATGCGAAGAAATTGAAGCTTTGTTTCATTGTATGAAAATAACATGATGGCTAATGATAGTCCGATCGGGACGTGCACAAGGTACACGAACGATGACTGGATCTTGAAAACCTAGGCATGTACTGAAGAAATTGACTGAGAACCTTGCGACTTTCAAGTTACCTCAGCAGCAAACAATATGACCATCCTATCCTACAAGCTAATCAGGACTTTAGGCTCCCGACTGTCATTCCGTCGTCTTATACCCATCAGAATGACTGGAAGCGTCCCAAAGAACCTGTTAAAGAGCGAACAAAAAAAGTCTACTCCAACAAATGAACGCAAAACTCATGTTGCGGAGGCAAATTGCCCCAGGCCCTCTGAGGTGCAAACATCCCAGAAACAAGCGGAATGCATCTCTTGATGAAGTGGTCGAATCTGCTCATCAGTCCTACTTCTAGATTCCCCCAGTGCTTCCTAATCTCTCCGCCAAGACATGGGCACCAGCAATGGTCATATTGGTGCCAGTTTCTGTCGAATTGGGCGCATAGCCCGCATCACCGACTAGCACAAACTGCCCTTGGTACAAAGATGGTGTTTTGACCTGTGCCCATTCGCTGGTGTAGAAGTCTTCAACATCCATCATCCCTTAAATGACTTCGTCGGATTTCCAGCCTACCCTTTTGAAGTACTGGGCGACGAAATCCATGAGTACTTTGGGGCCGAATTTGTTTACCTCGCAGAACTCGGTCAAACATTTGTGATCATTACGTGGGTGGATTCCCATCAGCGTGACACGATTGGTGCCAAAAGAATCCGGAGTAAGAAATTTATACACAAGAGCAACTGCACGAGATAGTAAGATGGGCTTCCCTGTAATGATATTGGTGTGCCACCGATAGTCAAGTTCCGAAAATCTGGCGTTACTTTGTATCAACACATCATGTGCTGGTCGAAGCGGTCAGAGGAGACAGGAATAAAGGCGTACGAGTACGGTTGTACGAATATTCTGGAAATGGAAAAAAACCTGGCAAGTAAAGATGCTGTGTTGCGAGTGGGTTTTCCCAATGGGGGAAGGGAAGAAGGAAAGAAGGGAAGAAAGGTAGATGACAGGGAGAGGCGCTGATCTGTCTAGCGAGATGATCATCCGATCTCGCAACATAGTAATGGGTTGTCTCCAGTTGCAGATTGTGATTAAAATACCGAAAAATATGGACATGTACCGTGAATAGCATTTTTATGTGGCAATTAGAGGAACAACACCTACAGGGCTTCTTTCCAGTCTATCGTGATATGATCAGGGCTTTGGCTTATGGCAGATATCTAGGTAGTTGAGATTTCCCCGAGACTTGCAGAAGTACTTTAATTGTTTGGATCTAGATGCTTGGAGCTGGGGAAATTGTCGCTTTACAGCGAAGTTTTCTTTCAGATGAAGGGCTCGACGGCTGGGTGCTCGTCGTTTTGCATTTTGGGTACCAATTGAGACGAGTTTGACTCTCTGTGGCACACCACTCTCACTGCAGGGCAGCCCGATTTTGCTATCCCGTGCAGTTGCTCTTGTGTATACAATGCACCACTTATAGGAAGTCCCAAGCATGTATCTTTTCCTTCATTCCGTTTGGTATGGGATACACCTGCTCATCTGGCAACATTTTTCTCGCAGTCTCGAGGTCCCCCGCCTGAAAATGATCTTTTATCATGTGCATCGTGGCCGTGACATCCACAATGGAAACAATCCACTCATCAATATATTTCGTCACAGCCTCTGGGCCAAGTCCAATCTGAATAGCACGATAATCCAAGGGTCGAATCCGAAAATCCCGCTCTGGGTCCCACTGAACGCGAACGGGACTGGCACGTAGTTGTTGCTGCCATTCATCTTTATTCGATGTGGCATCCTCTCCCTTGGTGTCCCAGTGGCTTAAACATGAATTTTCAAGAGCCCATTCGAATCCTTCGCGTGTAGTTTCAATGGCCAACACACGCTCTTGGTGCTGCTTTGTGGCCCATCCACTACGATATGCCATCCATAAGAAGGAGGGCTTAATCCATGTCATCCGAGTACGGGAGAATGGAGGCTTAAACATCTGTGCCTTGACTGCAGAATTGGCAATCTCCGATGAATAAGCTTGGTAGACGGTTATAGTTGTTGGAGTGTAGGTGGCGCGGATAGCTCGGTAGCTGTGAAAATCTGAAGACTGGCGCTTTGACATCTTATTAGGATAATTTGGGAGAACGAGAATTTTTATACCCTTGAATCTTTCTTGGACATAGATACCACTTTTATAATCACGGCATCGACTCATGCTTAGCGGGCGGCTCAGCCACTCTGAGTTACAAGGGTTCGTATTAATGGATCGAAGCAAAGCAATTGAAGCGCAAAAAGAGAAAGATACAGAATCCATTCCTAATATTTGTCTTTTCCTCTTTACCTCTTTAGCATCAATTCTTCTAGTAGTTCTGATTTTCCTTTCTTCTTTTACCCCGCTATCGAAACATCGAAACACATTTACTCCCTTTGGTTCATTTCCACCATTATTTCTGGAACAGACACGCTAGGCTAGATTCGATTTAAATTATTTCAATGTTCTCAAATCGTATTTTGAGCTCGATCGCACAATGGGTCAGGTAATTAGCTCCCAAGTTGTGATACTTGGAATATTGCGTCTGCAAATGCCTGTGGTTTTTGTAGGGGAATGTTCTCCCCGCAATTCTTCACAATATGGTGGACTCTCGGGCCGGTAAAGTACTTCGCAGTAGCACTTCCGTCTGTTGCCGGAAACACCACGGCTTGGTCTGGGTCAAGAGTCACAGAAGGGACAGTGATGACTGGCTGCTTGTCTAGCTGGTTTGCTAAATCTTTGTAGCTAGGGTCTCCAATAGCGTAGAGGAGGCGATTACGATAGAAATTCGTTGCAATGTCGACAAAGTCTGGATTATGGAATGCCAATGCTGCGGCACCAAGTTGACTCTCAGTGTAAGTCCAATTAGGACTATTTCTTGTCCAAAGAACTTCTGCCCATCCTTTCGTATCATTGGCCAAGGAAGCATACCCTGGCGGTGTGAGGAAGACATAATAGTACCACTTCACGGGGAAATAACTGGCAGATGCAATGGCCCAAGCCGTTTCTCGATCCTGAATGAGATAAGAGTTTGCGGCAACCATTCCTGTGCACCGATTGGGCCACAGTGCCGCGGCGACATTAACAACGACTGTTCCCCAGTCGTAACCTGCTAGTATAGCTTTCTCGATACTGAGAGCATCCATCAAATCGATGATGTCTTTCCCTAAGGCTGCTTGTTCAGCGCTTCGCGGCGTCTTTGAAGAAAGAAATGATGTACCGCCGAAGCCGCGCAGATATGGAACTATGACGCGATATCATTTGGCAGTAAGTTCAGGGACGACATTGACGTAAGTATCAATAGAGTATGGAAATCCATGAACGAGGATTGCGACAGGAATTGTAGAGTTTCCATGTGGGTCCGAATCATAGTATTCGATCGAGAGTGTAGACGTTTGACGATGGTGAGTAGGACTCAAAGTAGGCAAAGAGGAGCCAAGCGTCGTTGCTGTAGTACCTGTGGCATTGGAGAAGAGAGACAATATAATTATGGTAAGAAGTAAAAAGGATTCAATTACATGAGTTTGGATTGGTGCTAACATAATGAAAGCTTATCCTTGTCTCACTCAAGTGGTACTGTTTCCGAAGAGAATTTGGCACATTATATAGAATTCGAGGTCTGCTCCAACTGTGACTACTTACCTAGTGCTTAACTGGTAAGCTGCATGAATGTCTGTTTTGCTGACGTGATATCCCAGAAGGGTAAATGTAACTCGATTCTTCTTGATCTCGTAATCTATAATGTGTGATTTCAGCCCGTCACAAAATGTGACAGGTGAGATTCGAGCTTCTTGATCTGAGACCGATCCACGAGAGTGCAGCATGAAATGATTAGGTATGACTTTCCTCTGTTGGCAGTATCGATATGTATAAGCATGCTATTGGTCATAAAGCGCTCGCACCCCGGCAGGACGCGGCTCTAACCCCATAGCAATGAAAGTAAGAGATTCAAGAATCGTTGATAACGAATTTTCCAGCATCAAGGCCGGCTGGCCCAATGGCAAGGCGCTTGACTACGAATCAAGAGATTGCAGGTTCGACCCCTGCGTCGGTCAATCTTTTTTGTTGATTACTTTTTTTCTGTCGCACAAAGCAATTTACGCCTGTCAAGGAGTTGCAAATTTGTGGGGAATCAGCGACCTGGTTATGTAATTATTACGTACAATAACGTAGCCAGTAAGCGAGCTGCGCCAGAACACCATGGTGAATGTAATATGAAAGATATATTGAAGATTGGAGACTTAATCTGTAAATCTAAGTGCCGGAAGTAAAAATGAATGGGAAATTTCGAAGACCTAGGAGAGACCTTCCTGTAAGGTGGTAGGGCCCCTGGAAAACCGCCGCTACACTACGGGTATATGTGCAGTGAGCATAGGTTCAATATATATTACAGTGGGATTGGCCGCGGGCTCCCTGGGCACACTATCACCTATTGTTGTATACCAAAAGTCTTCTAAAGAGGATTAGAGAGCTGATGTCTTTCTCTCATAGTCCAAAGTCGCTTACAGCCCACTATACCAGATAGTTCCTAGCGACAGTCATGAATGTTATAATCGAATGATCAAACATGAACTTCTCACATTTCGATATTAATTCTCACACATTTATGATATATATTGCCTTCAAGTGTCGAAGTTATTACATACGACCATAGGGTGTGGAGAACAGGGCTTCCCGTCCGCTCAGCCGTACTTAAGCCACACGCCGGTTAGTTAGTAGTATGGTGGGTGACCACATGCGAATCCTAACTGTTGTATGTTTTTATTTTTTTGATTTCCTTTTATCATTCAGTCGATGTCAACTCCAAGTCATGTCTTAGCTAATCGCAAATACAACACCACAGAGCAGAAAAAGTAAGTTTTTGAGCTAGACAGCTTTCCACACATGGACGAATGGAGGAGCGGCATGAGACACAGCCATAGATCATATTGTTCTAGGGAGTTGTTAAATTCATACCAAAGGCCACTCCAAACCCCAGTCTACCCTTGCCTAAGTGGGTCTTTCCCAATTTTGAGGCCGCTCAGACTCGACCCTGGTCACTACGTGACTGCTCAGCTAGGTTTGTGATCCTGGATTAATTCTCCGACATGTCGGGAGATGTTGCTCCAGGTTACCTCTTTAGCTTGAATCCTTGGCGATTGATCTAGGGCATCCGTGGAAGCGGGAGTGGACCTCGTGGAAATGGGTCGGGATTGTCTTTTGGGAACAGGCGAGGTGGGACATGTTTAGATCCACAAGGCTAGGGTTTTTTTTTCCATTTGCCCATTCCTCTGTTGATTAATTTATCTATCAATTGATGTAGTATCATTGATGTAGTATCATGCAGAGACTATAATTTTTCATTCTGTGTCTTGACAAATAATTTGATTGTGTCGTAGAAGATGATCAGATCGCGTTGATCACGATAGAATCACCAATCTTCGGGAATAGGGGAAAGCCTTTGTTCCTCCTTCGCCCCCACTGGGGCGGTTTACAGTTTAGACAGAAAGCGAAATCAGGCGGACTCTGGCGACGCCCCTGAAATGCAAATTGTACTAGTTTCCCGGTATGCTTGGTGGGTATGCTTGGTGAATGTCTCGTGGCTTCCAATGTTGCCATCCATGCGATCGGTTCGGAGGATCAGTCACACCCAATGGTATATGATATCTTATGCCATGCCTTTTTCACACCCAAGTATTTTAGTTACTATCAGTCAATCTGCTTGGAAGTATGCTTTACCATACGACGATTTCTCCGAACAAATCTTCCATTTAGCGTTATCAAGATCTCGCTTTATTTTCGGGACCAAATTTTGTTTACCAGACTTTGAGCTTTTAGGGCAAACTATAACACCGGATAAGGTCCGAGATTGAAGAAGCTATCCATTATACGGCGACTTGACGCAATAATCCATAGATCAGGTTCTAGAAGACTAGCTTGTGGGGAATTGTCAGATGAGCCATGTGTGGCTGCACCAATAGAACTCCTCGACTTTGAGACACTCTTTGCCTAAGACAGGGATCAATTAGTTCAATGTTACAAATAAGCGTAAGTGAATACGAGAAAGATCAATCTAGTGTATGTTCTCCACGTGGATCAGACCTGTAGCTCCGATATTTTGGCATTTTAGCTAGATCGCTAAAGGACGCCGTGCATATAATGAAGGACTAAGACCTTCTTTGCTCAGTCTGATCCTTATTCTCTAACCTGTTCAATTCACGAATACTAACACTATGACTGTGACATATAGCCTCAGTCCGTCTTATATTCAGGGCCCTCTGGTGGCGGCGACGATCTTCGGCGCATTGGCAACTGCTGCTACAGCTGTGCGTCTATATGCAATGCATCTGAAAGCCCTGAAACCCGGACTTTCCGAATTCTTCATCCTCGTGGGAGTTGTAAGCTCATTATCTATGAAAGTTTCTATGGAGTTCTGGTCAACCTTTATACTAACAATTTCTATAGCTGTTGATGTATGGCGCTCTCGCTTTACTTTTTATCAGTGCGCCATTCCTCCATCCCTTTCCAAATAAACGCATCTCTAACATGTTTTAGTGACCAAGTATGGAGGCATGGGCCTACATGTGGCAGATGTAGAACCGGAAGCCAGGGTAATAGCGCTGAAGGTAGGCTTGGGTTGTTTGATCATGACGTCGCCTGTTGCTAACCAGTCTCAAAGTCGCTCTTGTCCGTGGAGATCCTCTATGGTACCTCACTCGGAATGGTCAAGACTTCGATAGCTCTATTTATGGTTCGAATCTTTGGATCCAATGGTACCTTCAAGGCTGGCGTCATTGTCGCCCTATTCATTGTTTGGGCATGGGCGACTAGTATCATCCTTGAATGCTTCTTGCTCTGTCAGCCATTCATCTACAACTGGGACACTTCTGTCAACGGTCATTGCGGTAACCGCCCGGCAGCCTTCATGGTCGCTGGCATAATGAACGTTATAACCGACGCGATGGTTATCGCACTACCTTTGCCTCACATCTGGAAGCTAAAGCTCAACATGCAAAAGAAGATTGGGCTTACCTCAGTATTTGGCGTGGGACTTGTGTATGTGTGAAGAATTGCCGACCCTCTCACCTTTCGCCTTTATTTCACATGCACTAACATTCTGTTTGTTCTTTGTTTTTTGCAGAATTTCCATTATTAGCATTATCCGCCTTATATCTATCTACAAGCTCGACTTTGAGGACCCAACATTTACTTTGCTCGACCCCATCATGTGGACTGTTTTGGAACCTCAGTTAGCCATTATCTGCGCCAACATGCCGTTCTTCAAGACTATCATCGCTGCCATCGCTCCTAGTCTGGGATCTACCGCCGATCGAAAATACGGGCGATCTTCCGAAAGGACTTTTGATCGTCTTGGGCAATCAGCTACAAATGGCAATTATAGCATGGATCCGCTGGATACAAAGACACACACAGTCAAAGTTGGTAATGACTTTGACTCAACAGAAATGATCAATGTGGAAGTCAAATCTGTGAATTCGGACGAAGAGCAGCGCTTAGCCTCCAACGCGGGCCCTTACGGGATCAGTGTTGTTCAAAAATTTGATGTCGAGTATGAGAAAGCCAGCATTCGAAAGCGATGAACTGTCCGAATTACAAGGTCCCAATCTTAATCAGTGCCGCTTCTTTCCGGCTTGATAACAATATTTTATTAATCATACTTTAGCTATGTCCATATGTATTAAATGTAGCAATATACTTCCTCAAATTTACTTTCGTTTGTCATAATTTTCATTTCACTGCAATGACCAAAATTTGTATTCCTGGATGCTTGGATTCTCGAAGGCCGAGTGCAGAACCGATTTTCATCGCTCCTTGGAATTTACGTGTTTTACGCGTTGCGATTTTTAGCAGAATAATAAGATGAAAGGACCAAAAGGCAATTCTAAACTTTGTGTAGATCATTGATGTTTTGCTGATCAGGATAGGCACAAATGGGTCAAGCAGTCAAGTTTATTCTGCATTTAAGACTTCGTAGCCTATTGTTCACCTACATCAAGACGCCTAGAATTCTCCACACTTGTCGATGGTAATCTTGGTCTTGGTCTTTCCGCTGCCGCTGCCGAGGCCTTCAATTGCCTTAACAACATCCATACCCTTGGTGACCTCGCCAAAGACAACGTGGGCACCATCAAGCCAATCGGTAACGACGGTAGTGATGAAGAACTGGGATCCGTTGCTATACGGAAATGACAGGTCAGTAGGAGTTTGACAAAAGAGTTGAAAGCATTGCTGTCCGCTTGACATACGTGTTTTTACCAGCGTTAGCCATAGAGAGCAGACCAGGCTTGGTATGCTTCATTTGGAAGTTCTCATCGGCAAACTTCTCTCCATAAATGGACTTGCCACCAGTGCCCTAAATAGAGTGTTAATGCCTAGATCACCAGCTGCGAATCCTCCTATTGGCATCGAAGTACACTCACGTTGTGATTGGTGAAGTCACCACCCTGGAGCATGAAGTTGGGGATGACACGGTGGAAAGAAGATCCAGCGTAGCCGAATCCCTTCTCCCCAGTGCAGAGGGCGCGGAAGTTCTCGGCTGTCTTGGGGACTACATCGTTGTAAAGCTTAAACTCGATACGGCCATCGCCGAGCTTTTCCTTGTCTATTGAAGGTCAAGGTCAGCGTTTAGTTACCAAGTTGAGCTGTAGTGGAACATACATTGAGGTTCGGCGACAGAAACTTCGAAGTAGACCTGGCTCATGTTTGCGGATGTCGATGTATCGAAAGTGGGAGAAGGAGAGGAGAGGGAGGGGAAGAGGGAAAGGAAGAGGATGGGGAAGTAGAAGAGCACAGACGGTGGGGTAGCAGCAGTGAAGAGTAAGGATCAGGTAAAGCTATGTCATGAAGGGCAAGCGGCGTTTATCATTGGTCAGATTCCGGGATCGGAAAAGAATGATTGATCAATCAGATCTCTGAAGAGCTGCAGATCTCCAAACTTGGACAGCGCCATTAATATGTGGTATATGATCCCAAGTCAAAATATTTTATCATAAAAAACACCTCGGAGTGCGTAAATAATAGTTATGCTTTCCAATTACTCCGAATAAACACTTGCAACTTCGTGGCTTCGTTTTCTTTGGCTTGGCCACTGCTTACTGCGTGGTTGAGGCGGGGCTGCACTGGATGGGAAAATTACAAGATTCACCGCCTACCGTAAACAGAGAGATCAAACAGAGCCAAGATGCATCAAAGTCAAAACATTCCTAGTGTGTGCGATCATGAAATAGCTAAGACAAAATCCATATAAGGCTAACCGAAGCCGAGCCGTATATTGTGACTTGGCTGCACGATCAAAGGCCGCTGATTTCCGCGATAATCGAACATCACCAATCAACTCGCTCCAAACAATCCAACCTACCAATCAACCCACCCGATCACCGAGCAACAACTTCCATCATCAAAATGCAGCTCACCATCATTATCATTGCTATGCTGGCCACCACTGCCTCTGATACGCCTTCTCTAAATGTATCCGAGAAGCGCACCTGTGTCGACATTGAGATTAATCCAGATTCTTTGGAAACAGGGATTGGAAGTATAATTAGCTGACTATGTTGATTCTAGACTACAAAGTTGCCTGCCAGAAGTGGCATTGCTTGATGTGGTGGCTGGCAATGCGTTGGGGCCACTGGGTGGAACGACAGTGTTTGTATCCCCAACTACTAGAGGATCGATCAATGTGACAGTGCGCGCGAATAGACCAGTCTGACAAGATTTCCATGGAGATTGAAACCCTCTTATCCGTGAGTTCGCTTGTCTTGTCTTTAGAAGCTTTCTAGCGGCAAGCATCTGATCGCTCTTTCTTTCTTTGCTTCAAAGATAGTTGTCAATCTCAAGATATCCTATCCTTTGTGTCATGAATGTTATTTGCGCCTGTGTCCTCATCTGCAATATACCCTGTACATCTTGAGCAAAATGTAAAAATATGCTTACATTCATCTCTCAGTCACTTCATAAGTGGGGTTAAGTGACTAATAGACATAGATAAAGTCCTCATTCCGTAGGTCAGTTATGTCTGCGAAGCCCTTGTCTGCAACGTTGCGGTTCTGAATATCCCGAACATCTTCGAGCTCCACAACCTTGCTTGCCTTCATTTCGTCTTTTGCTAACATTGACTCATCAACTGAATTGGCAGATTTTCCAAGTGCTTCTCTCTTCTTGGCATGCTTCTTGTTCAGCGCGATCAAGAAGAGCTCAGTTAGACTATAGATAGGTTAGCCATAATTCTGTGTGGGTGTCAATTGCTTAACTTACATTGCCAGAACGGCCACTAGAATGAACATAATCAAGCTTGCAATCAGCCCCGGGCGGTATGCCGGGGCTTGAGAGGTCGAAAAGAGCTGCGGGCCAATAACCTAGTAATATGTAAGCAATGTTATGTTTTCTGTTGCTTTAACAGAGAATTTGTAACGTTACTCACATTCCCTGTGCACATTCCCACAAGCACAACAGCCGATGTGCATTTTCGCTTCGTATCCCCTGCAGTGTTTTGAGCTTCCCAGGCATATATCATAGGTGTGATGGCAGCCATAGTTGAGACCTTGCAGATGTCAGAAAATCTTGATGAACTAAAAGCTAGTTGGTGGTATGGGACGCACTAGGTAGTATCCAAATAGAAGAGCACCCTTGTTGCTTCGTGGTACGAGGAGCATCAAAATAGTACCAATCGATGCGAGCGTAGCAAACAACACAATAACCATGCCCTTCGTTCTGAAGCGAGTGGCAACCCAGCCCCCACCCAAGATGGCAATAATTTGAATGACACCAAGTGGTAAATTGAATAAAATCGACTGAAAATTTGTGTATCCAAATGACTTCAATATGAGATTTCCGAAACTGCCAATTCCACCGCTGGGGATTCTGTGGAAAAGAATTAGAACTTGGCATAATTGTCGGATGGTAGAATCGAAGACTTACGATATCGAAATGACCAAGAAAAACCAGCTCCAGGTTTTAGGGTCATACAGCGTTTCCCACACATGGTCCCATCGCCATTCCCGAGAAACAATTCCCATTTGGTTGGCACGCAGACGCTCAACAGCAATGAACTTCTCGCGGTCGCTTAGGCATTTAGCCTCCATTGGTGAATCAGGCATAAATATTAAGACAGCAAATGAATAACAAACAGTCAAAAGGCCACAGAACAGGAATATTATCTGATATGAATAGAGTGTGTTGCTGTGAATGTGGCCCAGTCCGTACGTAAAGAGGCTGCCAACCTACAGCATATATTAGATCAAGTGTCCGTGGATTTTGCACCGAGAAGGCTGTTTCTCAAGGCTCACAATGAACGTTAGCCCGTTCATTCCATTCCACATGGCTGCACGTAGAGTTTGTTCACCTCGACGCCACCACATCTGAGTGGCTGCAATACACGAAGGTGCTAACGGAAATAGTCAGCATTAATTCAATCATTATTCTTGATGTTTGCGAACCGATCATCGACTCGAAGGCCCCGAGTGCAAAACGCATGCCCAACAGACTCTTAAAATCAGTACATGCAGACATTATCGCTAATGTACTTCCCCAAAGAAAAATGGCTCCTGAAATAACCTTCCCTGTGGGCGCCTTCACCAGCAAGAATGCAGCGAGAGGCTGGAACACTAGCTGGGATAGATATAAAATGGAGCTGAGCCACGAATATTGTTGACCAACGAGGTGGGCATCTTCCGAAAGACCGAAGATTGAGGTATATGAAAGTGCAGACTTGTCCAGCTGCTGGAAGAAGTATGCACCCAGCAGTAGTGGTAAAACACGAAAGTCGATGCGACGTAGAACACGTCTTTCTTCTTCCACTGTAAAAGCACGGTTATCGTCACCATTCTCCACCCTTGCCAGAAAACGAGCGACGTGCTCATGTGCGGGATGATTTGAGCTCCGCGAATTGTCGACGGGCGCGATGATATCGGGCCATTCCGTGTCCGTGGCTGGCATGGTGATATTAGGTTCTGAGGGAATTCAAAGTAAAAAAGCAACAAAAATGGAAAATTTCAGCCAGAATAACTTCGCACGGGTTGGTGAGGAGATCAGTTAAAGGCGCAAATCTCCACCCTTCACCCCCTCCCATCTTCATTCTTTAGAGAAATATACTCGCTCGGTACTTCTGGGTTGCCCCCACGAATCTACTTTCCCCGCATTCGCGGGTCTGTGGGGACCGCAACTAAGGCGCTAAACAATAAATTCCATCAATCATGGCCCAGAAGGACTAGGTTAATAGCCGGGGCAGCATCTTATTCGTATGGATTTTGGTATTCTGACTCTGCCCAACGCAGGACAAGCATCTTGGCACGCATCTTTTTGATCACGAGCAGTATGTGCTACCCGAAGTTTAGCCTTTATTTACGTCAGGACAAATCATATTTCGCCAGACACAAGGTCACATATTTGGTCCTTTATCTGGTGTTAACTCAAGAATTCTTGTTGCTATGAGAGGCTCGAGCTTATGTATTTAGCGAAGCATTCAGCGATAAAGCCCGACATTGATTATAGTGGTACCCTAAAAATGTGACACATCCTCCAATTTGAAACGGCATTGAGCCCATTCTGTGTGATTATACTACTGTATTACTCCACGGCTTAATGTCCTATACTGAGAGTCACACATAATGGCGAAGGCTGATTTGGGATAAATAGCCCCGGCGTGCGAGGAGGTCAGAGCGTATCGATCGTGACGTATCTCGGTTGAAAGTCCAAACTGACATATATTGCAGTACAATTGTATCAGGTATGGCAATCATGAAGCTAAAGCTAGACAGCACTTTCGAACAAATTAGCAATATAGAAAACCAGGTTAGCTATCTTGTGATATATGCCAGTGACTGGGAACTTCATTCAGGACTTCATTGGCCGAATGTTGCGAAGTGCAAAAAATGACAGCGAATTATTGGCAAAGCCAGCTTGTACCAAAGAATATGAGAGAAGTCTATTTTTCTAGAATCTGACAAAAGTTGGAGACTTTCATTAATATCCCTTTTTTTTTTTTTTTCACTTTTCGTAAAAGTAGATTCTAACCAGAAGGGTCTTCTGGCGGATAGCACTGTGAAGCATTTGGTTTCGGTGGTGTGTTATTATCTGTTCTGGATTATGTAGTCATAAATCTGGATCCAGACATCAACAAACACCAAGTGGTCGAGCGGAAACTCGACTATCTCATCTTCCTTGGTCTAGTGGTCATGATTTCCGCTTGTCATTAACACCGATAAGCGCGGGAGACCGGGGTTCGATTCCCCGAGGGAGAGTTTTCATGGGCTTGTGGTTTAGTGGTATAATACTCCCTTAGCATGGGAGTGGTCCGGGGTTCGATTCCCCGCGAGTCCATCCTTTTTCCGATATGGTGTAGTGGCTAACATCGTCGTCTCTCACACGACAGCCGGGGGTTCGATTCCCCCTATCGGAGTATCTTTTTGTTTTTATTTAGTTTTTCATACTTTTTATCACCACGCACTTATCTACGCACTACAGTCCGGCCTAGACCCAATGCGTACGGAAAGATCTTTTCTGGATCCTAGATCTGACCGAAAATCCTCCCTATCCACTACGGCAAAACGTGGGGGAGATTTTTTTTTTCTCCGGAAAAGGGGAATTCAGCTACTTTGGGAGAGACCAGAGCCAAAACTTGAATAAGCTCCTACTTGAGTATTATCTCAACCAATGAAACTCTGAGATCACCAGGATCAGGATGAAAAATAATGCTTCTGAAGAAATATGCTGGTTATTGACTTCTGATGGAAAATAGAGCTTATTATCGCAGGATTGCTAGAAGCACATAAAGATACGCTTACTAGCTAATATTGAATCTGCCCATTGAGAGTGGAATGAAATTGAAGGTCGCATGCCCTTTTATGACTCTGTGGGAGATAAATGATTCGCGCGTTAATTGCGAGGATATTTCCCTGAAGTTTAAGTGATCTCATTCTGAATTCCCCTCAAGGTTTGCGATTCATAAATGGGACCCTGCCCTGAAACAAAGGATGGACACATTTCCTCAGGAGATAGCAATATATAATACGGCAATATTCTTTGTGACAATGATACATACCATGTGATGGATAACCATACCTATACTTCAAACTTGTTCCCGCTAGTCCATTCTCGTTACTTAATGCGACCTATTGCATGGCTTGACTTCGTGGTATAATACCTAAATAAAAGAAGATCATGAAACTCTAGGGCTCTAGAAAATTCACGCCTAAAGCAGACGCATAAACTATATCCATATAGCGTCATATTGATCATTCTATAAGTTATTGCCACGTGAACCCGTAGACCTGAAAAGTTCAAAGTTATGTCGCATTTTATATGAATTCTAAACTTTTGATGTTTGGAATATATAAGATAGCGATTGCAGCACCAAATCCACTTGGGCATTTCACTTTATGTACTTCTATGTATGCAGGCGGCAACTTCTAACAGATTATCTGAATAAATGCTTAATTAGAGCCTTCCTGTTCATACTTTTAATAGTGGTGTCAACCTTTTACTTTCATTCGCCCTTACCTTCTCCTGGTGGTTAAGCGGCCATTACAGATGCTCCTGGCCATAAACAATAATACTCCATATATTTCCTTCAAAGGGAGGTTCAGTACATACGACCACAGGGTGTGGAGAACAGGGCTTCCCGTCCGCTCAGCCGTACTTAAGCCACACGCCGGTTAGTTAGTAGTATGGTGGGTGACCACATGCGAATCCTAACTGTTGTATGTCCTTGCAATCATTTTTTTGTTGATTCGTTCGGAAATCTTCTCTTGCCGCTCTTACCCTCAGGGCCTTCAGGCTCATCACCCGAGAGCCCTGAATACCACTACTGTATTTTACGCCTGAACATCCTGCAAGCCCCTGAAGCGCTGACGTAGACTTCCCCACCTATGCTGAGTTTTCCTCATACTTTCTTTCCTTCTTCCTTATCTTAAACTTGAAGTACTACTGTCTTCTCAACGATTGATGGATATCTTTCCTCACATCGACGCAGGTTTTTGACATGAATAATCTCAAAGGAAACAAGTGGCCGTAATTCTTGGGGCCAAAACTTGATTTTGATATTGACGTGGTGAGTGTTGTATTTCTAGTGTAAGATACGCGTTACATGTCCATCTTGCAAGCTATTGACAGCTAGGCCCCACTGCGGCGGCTTAATGTAGTCTCGGCTACGGGCCGAGAGACAAAACGTGAATATTTGGGACATAATCGGTTTTTTATTAATACTGCAATCTATTTATTAGTAAATACTTTAATGGTAATTAGTATGGGTATAGATCTTCTAAGGATCTAAGAGGACGTGTTTCCGACCAGAGAATAGTAGGGTTGAAGTAACAGGGTGCGAATACTTTTGTTATGTGACAGTATATGAAGTGTTCTCGATATCCATGATCATCTAGGAACTCAACCCTCCGATATCGAGGGAAAGGTAAGAGAACCACTCATTCCAAGCAGTAAGTCCCACAAGTACGCCGCCAAGGGAGTGCATGATCCACCTTCCTTTCCATCCTCCATACCTTACTCCACCATACGCCCAGACGACGTACGCATCTATTTGTGCTGCAATCTATCGGTATTCTGTGAGCAGATAGACCTTTATCACCAAAGACGTGTAAAAACCTACAGATATCCCATACATGAGAGCACTTGTTCCCTCTCGATTTCGCTGCAGCCCCATTATCAAAAACGCAATGCTCAACATGAGTTCACGTCCTCCGTTTGCATAGATGAATGGACGGACCCCCGGATCTTCCTGTCCAATAAGATGGGGTTTTCCATTAGATGGAGAACATGGCAAGCCAAAGAACCCACAGGTCTGAAGAGGTGCGAGGAAATGAAAGGCACCAAGGCCGAGGAAGCCGGCCGAGAGGGTTGCTGCTTTTGCGGGTATTGATAACTGGGAGACAGTGTTGGGTGGCATGTTGCTTTCTTAATTATGCGGTCTCAGATTTCAATATCAAAGGTCGCAATGCAGAGCAGAGAAGAAGAGGCATTTGCTCGTAAATTCTGCGCCTATTTTTGTTCGCGAATCGACAAGCTAGCACACATCGATGTATTTGCGCTCTTAGATGGTGACTTGGTAAGTTAATTGGTAATGATGACGTGCCAGTGGTCGATGTTCCATCTCTTTGTGACAAACAAACTTCAGCGCCTGGCTTTCAATCCGGTTTCATGGGAATCAGAATTTACTAGTTCTCCAGGAGGAAAAAGGCACATGTCCCATTGATATTGCTGAGGGCGAATTGGAGGGGCCCTGACCCCCTACATACAAGGCATGTTGCTTCAGAAAAAGGGTTCTCAAAACGCGTAAATTACAGGACAAAGATTGTACTCGACGTGACCTATCTCACCATTGCGGGATTCAAGTCCGATATCTCAAAAGAAAATCATGACGTCATGTATCACACCAACAGTACCTCACGTACCTATGCTAGACCGTAGAGCATGTGCTTCAATAAATCGCTGAGGTATTATATAACGGCGCGGACTAACTTTGTCCAAATATTGTCGAATCAGCGTTTATGATTCACTTCGATTCAGTTTACCTGTGACCTTTTTTCCACATTCGCTTTTCACTTTCGCATAAAGTACATGTTTCTCAAGCTTCGCATAATAAAACCATGGTATGTAGTCACCAATCAAGACAACACAGGCGTTATGGTGTGTAGAGGCCAAGAGACTAATGTTTCAAAAGCCTCCGCTTGTACCTAATAGTATATCACCAATCCCTAGCTGTGCAGGATCTGCGCTGACCTACGCGATGCTCACCTAGCTCTCGCCCCAATATTTATCATATTTATTGTGTACCCACCAAGAAGACAACACTTCCCAGAATGCCCAAGGTCCACTTGAGCACCGAAGATGCAGATAATATGGATCATATCTATGTTCTCGTGAGCAAGTTGGACAAGAACGGCGAAGCCCTTCTCAACCCGAACATCTCATAAAAGTCGCTCCTATTAATTCAATCGACGATTTAGATCCCAAATATCGGGACAATTTTGCTCTTCTACTTTGGACCCTTTGGTGTTCTCAAGGCCTCCCACCGCCACATCAATGAGAACCAAATTATGCATTCCCCATACCCCTCTACACGAAGTCGTGGAGCTCCAGATCGGTTTGTGGACTATGGAAGTAGCGTATGAAGAAGCAGGGAACATTAGTCTCGAATATTGTGGACAATGTTCGTCCCCTCTTCAAGGATCACACTCAACATTTAAAGCCTAACCCCCGTGGAGAAACGGGTAATGTAGAGCCGGATTGTTTCCAATGAGAGTCAAACCGGTATACTCGGCCACAACTTTTCATTTCATATTCTTATCTTTTTCACTTTCTTGTTGGTTTTTTCTTTATTTTTTTGACATCGCGATACATTATCATAATCGCAAGAGGAGGACGATGAAAAATCGAGTGTAAAGGTTCCCTAGCTGGCATGTACAATTTTTGCCACCAGTCATCTCACACCTTCAAGCGCGCTAAAACGAAATTAACGAAAAATTCTTACTTCGAACACGACTCACACTCCGACTCTCAATCCATTATGTGTCTCAATTGGATGGAATGAACCAGTCAGGGTACCTATCCGAAATCTTTTGTATATATTTGTGCAAGATTTTGTATTCAAAATGTTATTTAATCTGATATCTTCCAACCCTCAATGATTGCTGCGGAGTCAGCATACTCGCTTTCCACCTTTTCCAGTCCACAAATCACTCGTTCGAACATTTCATTCAGCTTTTTAGAGTTTTTCATCTCTTCGGCTGTACAAGATGGTGCATCTAGGCACCACTCAATAATCTCTGCATATGTCTCCGGCATGCTCCTTGTCTGTACCCACTTTTCCATTTGTTCTTTGATGCTCGCACGAATTAAAGTGAGGTTCTCATCGTCAAGTCTGTCTAGACTTGGTTCATATATGTTCCTTTCCCTCGGGAAGTACTTCCATAGTTCATACAAAACAATGGCCAGACAAAACAACATGACTTCTGTGCTTGGGCATTGATGCTGGTAATTTTCCTTCGAGGCATTATCCAGAAAAATGCGGAAATGTGGCTTTTTGAGAGGGGATGCATCTTTAAGCTCGTCCAGGAATAGCACTATATTGTCGCTGCTCCAGAAGGTTGTGAACCATGGCGTACAATTCAGTTGGATCACCGCGGTGGCAATTCTCTTTGCCAGGTGGAGAATTTCCCCCTCACTAACAAGGTAACGCGTTTGTAAAAAGGTGTTCATCCTTGTTAGAGTGACTCCTGTTCGAGGCTGTGAACCGGAACGTACACAATTCAACTCCGCACCTTCATTGGAATGGGGTAAACGTCGAACAACTTCGCCATTCAATGAATTAATTTCATATTCCAATAGACAGCCCCATTTATGTCGAGCACGTAAGTTATTCACTGGTGAAAATCTGCTTGTTGCTCTGAATTCCAACCACATTTCACTTGTCTCATGAGGAGTGCCGGTTGCCGGGTTAGCAAATCGAAAGTGAACGCCAGTTGACGTGGTGTCTGTCTGACCTGCTTGTCCTAAGTCAAAGTCGATAATATGTGCCTCGTGTCGTCGGCAATGATCGTAGAGAAGAAAGTATAGCATCTTGTATGCATCGTGGGCGTATCTGTAACCTGCAAGAGCCGTAGCACGACGAAGTATACTCTCACATTCGGAGGAGAGTTGTCTGATCTTAGTATGGAGATCAGTCATATTGAGAGTCAGACTTTTGACATTATTCGAAAAGTGAGCGCGTGCCCGGATAGGCTTTCGTGTAATTGGTGAATTTGGCGGCTTTGAAGACCTTGATGATATCCTTGCATGTAATCTTGGCGAAGTCCGGGTTGGTGTACCGTGTTTTGAATTTGACTGCGAAAGTGAGCACGTCAAACCGAAAAATGGTGTAACTTAATTCATACCTTCTTCTTTTGTCGAGAGTGTGCGGAAATAACCAATAGATCCTGGACAGACTTGATACTCTGGACGGTGGCCTCGAGAATGCCAGTAAAGTCACCTGGGCCCTGATCCTATCCGTAAGTCAGTCAAGCAATGACTAGATACTGAGTCCATTTTGGGCACCTCAATGGCCTCGGGTATCCTCGAATCTCGAAAAAGCCGATCTAATGTCGTCCTTTCATGTAATATATTTTCCCATATGGATTTCAGTTGTGGCTCATTTTGGTAAGGCTCCGAGTATCGAGCATCCATGATGTCGACCAGGAGCCCCCGAACCAAACAAATCTGATCATTCATCTTTTCGTATTCGATATATTCCAAAGCAGAAAACTCTGCGGATCTTACATGGCTGCCGACGTCGTCGGTTCGTTCTCGCCTTTCTGTGGCGATCGTGGGCCTGGCCTGTAACTGGTGAGGATGGTTTGTGTGCCGTTGGAGCGAGTGAAAGGAATCTGTGTTTTATAGATAAGGTTAGTCTTTCTCGCCATATCTAAAGATTATCAGCTTAAAAGTGGAAAGGAAACGCATTCTACTTTGTGTAACAGGAGGCACTGAATCAACTGGAGACCTCGATGAATTCAACAAATCCAATATGCTCTCAAATATGCCACAGTCCCTGCTTATTTTGTCTACTTTCGAGGTGTTTAGATCATCAGTCCACTGTGGCGCAAATGTGATGTGTATGTTGTGGCTGCCGTTTCTCTGCTCAACTCCAATGCCGCTCGCGTCGTTTCCAACAGTTGAAATCGCCGGGACGGAGATATTGCCATCGTGCATTGGGCTAGAATATCCTACTGGTGCTGAACGTCCCATTACGAGACTTGTTTGGATGGATACAAGTGGGAGAAATGTGAGAACAAAAGTTGAACACATACAGATAAGTCAAGATCGGGAAACAGGATGACGGCATAAGCGGCTAATGTCATGAGGCTGATAATCACGAGGCAAAAGAACGGACGCTGGAAGCCCCACTCAGAGAACCCGCGGAAGGAAACAACCCACGTCAACCCAAAACATGTGAAGACCTGGGTCAATCTGCACAACATGTATACTGATGGAAGACCTGCATATAATACATACAGTGCTATAACGAGGCTGTACTCGTCATGTTTATAAAGTTGACTTACGCCCTCGATTCGTCTCTCAAATAATTGCGTGATAAAATCAACCCCGCATCACTTAGGAGACAATCTGGTATGGAGTCGAATGTGGAGACCGCAACTGCGGTCCGTGCATCTTGTCGGAAACCCCGAAAGAACAGTTCACATCCAATCTCTTCGAATGGGACGCCACGACTGTGTGCAATATGGTTATCTACTATTGAAAGCCAATAGAAATTACCAACAAAGACACGACAGGTATGCGTGGTGGTGCCCGTGCTCTGGGCTTGGCAAGAGGGATGTTGGCCGTGTTGTCTAAGTGATTGGTCCCTCCTAGGCGACTAACCGTTCATGGACTGAATTCTGACCCGAATCCCGTGTGTAAATTTCGGCAAAACCAAAAATTATGCTTTTCTTTTCCAGTCACTCAGAGATTGTGCTCATATTAGGGTATTTAAAATAGTGGTTCAGCCTTTTGATATTATCCCTTCTTCGACTTCAAGGACACAAATTACCCATTTACCGCCGAAGAGGACGGTAATTATCAAAAAGGGCCACAACTGATGTAACGCGACCTTTCAATTGTTTGAAGAGGTCCAAAATCAAAATTTCAATGGTTTTAGTTTTGCTTTAATAGCCGATATTGCTTCTTGCCACCACCGTATGTGCTGACATGAGGACTTCGGTACAACTTCTTTGCTCCTGTCAAAAATGCAACCAGGCTGAACTACCTTGAAACGAAGTGAGCGCTTTGGCATTGCTTGAGTTATCTTACATTTGGCAAAGGCTCTAGCAGAAATACACACTCTGGAGTTTCGCCAAGACTAAATAAAGTCTTAAAAGCTTGCATACTTCGCTCACAATTGCCTTGTGTATATAATATATTAGTCAAATGGTGCGAGGAGCTTATGGGTTCATGGTATGCGTTCGTTGACAGTGCAGATTTTTGATTGGGCTGGAAACTGGGATTATGAATGCTTCATCGACGCTTGGGCCGAAGGTCCGAGACCAGATATTTGAAGGAGTGCATATATCGTGCGACATGATATGCAAGTACGAAATTCGACGCTTGTTGAGCCCGTTTTCATTCGCCATAACCCCGCATTAACCGCATGTATGAGTACCCGAAGTGTGTCAGGCCCGGGGGCTGAGCTGAGAATTGCAAGACAGGTGAATCGAAGGCGGCTCAGAGCTAGTGAGAAGACAGCTAATAAGACAGATAGTTGCTTGGACCTCTTCAGATCCAGCACTCACTTCCCATGGGTATTTGCCCGTTGGGGAAGCATGTAAGCATTTGTTTTGATGGTGTATGCAATCTCATGACCCAGCAGCCCAAGCAAGTACCCAAAGTTAGACTATTTATTCTGAGGATCTCAGCAATGAAGTCTCAAATTGCTTGTAAATCTTGTCTATTGGGACCTTGCGACCTATTGGATTGTTCTTATTACCAGAAAGCATGACTGTGAGTATGAGCCTGTTATTATATGAACTTCATTAATGGCGACAGACTGTTCTCGATGTATTAGGCGGCATAAGTGCCGTCGTACAGATTTTACAGACAGCTATTGAGATAGCCGATAGGATAAAGCATGCCAAGGATAAGAAAAGTCTCTTTATGATCCTCAATCAGAATCACAAGGAGGTCACCTCACTCAAAGATATTGTAATGGTTGTCAAAGAAGAGCAGTCTCTCCACACAAAGGACATAATGGCAGAACTTGCGAATATAAGTACTTTGGCTGAGGAGCTTGAGGATATGCTGAGAGTCATGGAAGACAAGGGTTTCATTGGCCGATTCATACATGGGAAAGATCACAAAGCAGAGGTTGGCCGCTTGACGGGCAACATTGCGGGGACCAAACTTACTTTGACGATGAAAATTCAAAATGCGCATGTTGGCATAACTGTCTTGGCGAACCGGAAGCTGGTGGTTCAGATGGAGAAGATTGAAGCTGTGGATGCAAATCTGAAGAGCCTGATTAACGGGTTCGAAGGTTTGTTCATTGCGATACTGATGAAAGACAGAGAGCTCAACGGTAAGTAATCCGCTGCAAAAGTGTTGGTAAATGTTAATCTGGGGTGGGAATTGCCAGCCGATGGTACAGTGTCAATCGATGACTCAGACTTTCAGTCACTCGGACTAGAAACGTCAGACAATAACCCCTACTACGATGGGTCTCGCCTAATTGACAACAATCTTGCTCTCGACCAGGCACTCATGATCAATGGGACTATAGGAACTGAAGGGTTTATTGAGCCAAAAGATGTTAGAATATTCAACAACACGGCTCGGAACCAGGCGACGATGATCAATGCTTCTATATCTGAGAAGACATGGGCAGAAAGCAGAGATGATCGACGGGATATCATTAAACTGATGGCCGCCCATGGTGCCCTTGGTATGGGACAAAGTAGCGAATTGCTACAAGGAGACTATAAACCAAAACCTATGAAACCTATCAGAGAAGGGAGAGCTGAAAGGTCCGAAGGTCAGTATTTCCATATATTGTCTCCAGCGGCTGACTAAATGAAGCTCGAAATGCCGTGAAGCATATACGAAGCCACTTACGGCCTTGAACAATCGTGGATGTAGTGGTGGAGACTGCTCTTTAGGAGCTAATTGATTCTGAAAATAATTTGAATGTATTCTTTTAATCAACGAGATTGTCAGGTTGATTTGAATGAAGCCTCTCTTCTTGTAGAGAATAGTCGACTTTTACCAGAGCTCCATGATTGTCCTGGCTTGTTCTTAAACCCAAAAGAGACGTCCACAAACAGTTTCTGCCAGATATCGAGCACCAATGCTAGAGAACGGCAATACTAGAATACTATAATTCCTCAAGGTGAAGAAACAATGTAATTGATGGTATTTACGATAGACACACCTGTATGATATGTTGTTCACCAGTCAGTTGAACAAGTCTGGATCCACTACAGGTCCGATGTGGTATGGTAAGAAGATCTGGCTGTTTATGTATACATTTAACGAGGCTCTGGGGGTTGAAATTGAATATATAAGTCAGAGGAAGGGTCCTGGTGGTATTCGACCATCTTATCAGCTCGAAAACTTTATACATGTAGTGGGTCCAAAGAGCTGCAAGGTTTTATCAAACAGTGATGCAAAGGCAAACAGACTGGACCGCACAGGTTGCCGCATGGGAGAAAAAGCGATAAATATTGAAACTCATAGTACAAAAGCAAATAAACGTAGGAAGTGCTTCCTGGATCTTGCGCAAAACATTTCAGTCCCTTCATTTAAAAAGATCCCGTACCTTCAAAGTTACAAAGTCACCCGAGACTTCATCTTCTGACAGCTCTATCGAAATATCATCTGATGAGGATAGGAAACATGCAAGAGAAAGAGGACGACACTTGAAAAATGGGAAAGAAAAGCCACTCTTCTTAGCTGCGGAAGCGGAGTTGCAGCTGGAATGCCCCTCGACGAAGAAGGAGGTGTTAGACCCTAGTGATGGAGCCTCTCCGTCCGAATCCACGTTTTTGAGTCCAGCTGCAGAGTCGGGGCTTATTCTGGAATCCAGAATTTCGATCTTTTCAATAACCCTCTGGAGCTGAGGCTGGAAGGTTTGAAATTGGCTATCCACTCCTTCATTCAGCTCTGAAAGTTGTCGAATGCAGGCGCAGAACATTTGGAGATCGTGTTTAACACTGCCAACCTTCTGGCTTACTTCAAATCGCATCTGAAGAATGCGGGAAAACTCCACCGCACACGTGAAAACTTCCTCTAGTAAACTGAAATAAATCATTGACACAGCTGATCTGGAATGGTGGGTCTCTTCGGGTCTATTCGAGACTTGCCAATCTGGGAGGCCCAGTATCAGAGCCTGAATAGATTCCAGACGATACAATGGCTTCGATAGTACTGGATCTAATATTTGACAACCCGCGAGGCCGTCTGATTCAAAGTATTGTATCGGTGTCTTTTCGACCCGCGCAAGGTAACATAACCTGTCCGTAATAGCAGCAGGTGAGAACTGTGTGTATACCAAGCTCAAGGTTTCGAATCTTTCGCTGAGAAGGGTTGGGTCCTTCAGGTCGATGTCAGAGAACAAACCGGCTGGCACTTCACTGCTGAAGACCCTTCTTATCTGTGGTTTCGCGATTTCAGTGGTTGATGAGGTCGATGAGGGTTTGGTATCATGGCTTGCTTTTCGAAAGGCATCAGGGCTGTCGGCAATCTTGACAATGATCTTGTTTTCAGTGGACGAGTCTTGATTTGTTTCATTGACTCTTTGTCCCCTCCGCATTTCTGGAGTTTGTACGTTTTCACCAAATGTTGTGAGAGGGGTTTTGCCAGAGCTCGATGGTTCTTCTGCGGAGCTTCTGGCATCAAGATCCCCGAGTGAAAACTGGACCCTCCGTCTCGACTGAGGGTACCCTGCCCTCAGTATCTCATTTGGATTGATATCACCCATACCGTGCACCTGAATTTTCTCCCCCTGCCGCGCAGTAATCTTGCTTGGCCGACTGTCCAATGATGCGAGATCTGGTATCAAATGACTGAGTGGTATAGATCGTTTCCTCTTCAAAGGGTGCAAAAGTTCGAAGAGACTATTGATTGCAGTCTGTATAGCTTCGAGGGGGTTATAGCTTTCGTTTTCGGAGACATTCTCAGTTGATGTTTCAATACTGCAGTCATTCTTTGACAGATATCTGATGCGATCCACCTTTTTGTCCAGGTGCAGATCGTCTCTTAGTACTGGTTATGTTAGGAAAAAATGCAATAATGATGAGAGAAACTGTAAAAGAATACACACATTTGCCTAATGTTTCACCGATTCCATAAAGCAAAGCCTCGGCTTTCTTTGTGGTCTGGCTGTCATACTCGGTTTGGGTTTTGCGGGTCTTGCCTTCGTCGTAATGAAAAGCCAAATCCCATTTCAGGAGTCGTCGAAGCTCCCGGTCCAATAGACGCCTCTGTCTAGTCCATTCTATCGAATTAAAATCTGACGTCATAGAAGGGCCGTCAACTCCAGAAGGCTCTTGGGTTCTCCGAGGTTCAATTTTGAAAAGCGCAGGTAGATCAATCACTTCTGCTTGGTCTAAAGACGATGATCTTGAGGACCGTAATGGACTTTCTTCGTGATCTATGACTAGAACAAATAAGTCTAAGACTTCCTTGCAAATCTGTAATTTGCTAGCCTGTGGCATTTTCAAGTGGCCTTCGGGCTCGGACAGTGTCGATGCCGACCGGCGAGTTGGAAGCGTAGATATACTGCGTCGCCTAGACCTCCTACGCGGTGCGGGCCGACCAGAAGTCGAATGAGAGCGTTGATACTCCGAGGCTGTTCTGTGACGGAAGTGAAATTTCGTTGGGCTTTGAGGCGATACCGGTGACATCACTGCTACCTCACCTGATACCTTGGGGCTTTTGCTAATGGAAAGTGCATTGGGAGTCCCTTTTGAACGAGCATTCTCTTTCTTTAAGGGTCCCATATCTATTTTGAGAGGGGAGGCTGCACTGATACTGCTTGACGTTAGGCAGGCTTGAGGAGATGCTCAGGATCGGGCTGTATGAAGAAATATCAGCTTACTTTGAAAGGCTTTGGAGGTTTGGGCGCTGAAAGAGCTGCTGATTTAGCGTGGTAACCATACAATCATCATTATTGGCTGCAAGATTACTATTCTAGCGAGGTACATGCAGCTAGCGAAGGCCATGGCTTAGCCATGGCTTCACGACCCCTCATTTGGCAACACGTGTCTTTCTATCTAACCCCTCTACATAAAAGCAGTGACGACATAGCATCACTGAGTGAAGTAAATGTTCAAACATACCTACTCATCGGGCTGACCTACTTTATCATTGTGCCTAGCAATCCCTTTCTACCAAATGGACGTTTGGGCCAGAGGGAGGTGGCAAGGAAACCTTGCAGGGTCTAATATATTAGGTGAGAAGCAAACGAAGTGCAAACAGTAGAGGTAAATTAGACTAAAACTAAAACAAAACGTGAATTAACACGAAACCGTATGTTATTATGACTTTTGGAACTACCGGCCGATTCTGAGGACCCCTAGCTGACTGTTTTCATCTAGCTCCTTCTTTTGGATCATAGAAAAGGTGAGGATAAGTAAATTTATAGTCCTTGCTACGCATTAGTCTAGTGATTGTCAGTTTAGGAATACCATTACAATAGTCACCTAGATCAGACAACCTCGAGAATGCGTTTTCTTTTACAAGTGCTTGATTTTACTCTTAGTTGTTCAACCAATGCGTATATCGTCACGGTTTAATTTGGGTTTAATTTGAGCAAAAACACCGCAAGAATCGTAAGGGGAGGCTTAGAGAGTAATAAGAATGCAGCAGCAGTACTGCACTATATAGGTTTTTTTACTTGGAAATCTAGTACATACGACCATAGGGTGTGGAGAACAGGGCTTCCCGTCCGCTCAGCCGTACTTAAGCCACACGCCGGTTAGTTAGTAGTATGGTGGGTGACCACATGCGAATCCTAACTGTTGTATGTTTTTTTGTTTTTCTTTTTGCTTCGTTACGAAAGCTCTCTTACCCCCAGTCCTTCACCTGATTAACTTGAAAGCCCTATCTATATTCTTCACTCGCTCGCTCTTTCCCCGGAAGCGCTAACGTGTCCCACCCAGCTTCTGCTGGTTTCTTCTGCTATTATTGTGTTGATGCAGTCATAAGTCTCATTAAGCCAAAACCTTTGAATCCTAGACCATGAACGAACTAATATCTTATTCTAGTTCAGTGTATTTTAAACGTGAAAGTGACTACGTGATTGATTACGTGCTCTCAGTTTCACAGGGAAGAATAATGACGTCAACTTAATCACTACATTAAATTTGAGATTAGAACCAACTCATGAATGTGACTCGCTAATTATAAAACTTGACAAAACCATAAAACGCGATTACAACAGCGCATCTCTTACAAAATGCCAGTGACAGCTTCGTAAGTTCGAGAAGGCAGATATACAAGAATGCAAAGGGAGATCGCTTACAGGTCTAACACTTTTCGTTAGGGATATCTGTCTTGGTATATTGGCTGTCTTTCTACCACCGATTGCAGTCCTCTTACGAAGAGGGTGTGGAGCAGACTTCTGCATTAATATATTACTGACATTACTGGGAGATATTCCTGGTATTATCCATGCTTTGTGAGTAACAAAGCATTTAATTGTGCTGTATGATCTATACGAAATAGTTCCGACTAATAGCAGATAGATATATTGTCTTCGCTTCCCATGGCGGACGATACTAGTGTTTATCTGATCCAAGGTACTGGTCAATTGGTTCAATCTTGCGATGTGTATACACAATATACGACAATATCACCTAAGCCTAAGATGGAACATGGAACCGCATATATACCGGCCTTTGATATATGACAGGCCGAGCAAATAAATAGGAAATTTGCATTGTGAGTTGTTGCGTCCATTGCAATCCGGAATCACCTCTGCATGACACTCTGCCGGGATGTACAATGTAGTTGCGAATCGGAATTGCCAAGAAGCTCGCATAAGCATAACCACCAAGAGCTTGTATTATTATAGTCGCAGCATGACTTGCATAATGAAACAAAGGGTAACTTGAATTCTGAGTCAGACTTGCAGCAAAAGGGTAGGGGCTGGTACAATCGTTTATTGTGACAAAATTGCCAAGACACATGGCTGAATAGAATCGCGGGGTAGAACTCAGAAGTTCCCAAGCGATTCTTTTAGAACCGGACTAAACATACAATACTACCGTGATACACTTGCACCATCACTATTATCCACATCACTTCTAGAACAGCACTTCTGTTGTAAAAATTGTAGTTTATTATACGTTGACAGCATTCTTCCTTTCTGGATAGATCAGTCAGTGTCACATAATTTGTCCGCGTAATATCCATGGATACTTATGGATTTTATGGATACTGCCGCAGGCTAGGGTGGCTTTTGCGTTGTTGGTAATGCTAAAATAAGGTCAAAAACCGATATCATGAGGTTACGAAGAGAAGAGAGTCACCATCGGCTACAATGCATAGGGAATCCCTTATTTGCTGCTCGGCAAAATTTCTGCGGGGAACCCGTGAAGAATCTCCACTTCCCCACGTCCATGCTCTTTACCCAAATGTTACCCAAATGCAGTCCTTTTAGCCAACTATACTCCTTTTAGCCAACTATATTTATTTTAGCCAACTATATTCCATTTAACCACCTATAGTCCTTTTAGCCACTCATAGTTCCTTTAGCCACCTATAATCCCTTTAGCCAACTGTAATCCTTTTAGCCAACTGTAATCCTTTTAGCCAACGGGGTCTTCTAAGCTAAATGCAGTGCCGGGGGTGGTAGCTGCACCGGAATTTCGTACTATAGAATTGTCCCCGGTCACAGGCTCAAAAAAGGCCCTCTAGTTCAATCAACAAAGGTCACGCGGTAACATTCAAATAGCCAAACCGCTTCATCGTGCGGGGGTAAAGGCTAAATGATATTTTTCGCAGATTATAAATAGAGGTCGAGCGAGCTGGCAGCAGCAATGATTAGCAGGCTTCTCTTGTAGCTATACGCATCCATTTACCAGCATAAAATTCTCTTCGATCGTCATGAAATTCACTGCAGCTTTCGTAGGCCTCTTGGCCACGGCACTCGCCGCCCCCGCCCCCGCCCCCGAATCTGTTCTGGTGCCGCGAAGTGCTGGTATCAACTACGTTCAGAACTATAATGGCAACCTTGGTGCCTTCACCTATAGCGAGAGTGCCGGTACATATTCTATGTACTGGGAGGATGGAGTTAGCTCCGATTTCGTTGTTGGTTTGGGCTGGACCACTGGTTCCTCTAAGTGATTGACTTCATTCTTTATTATTAATCTAGGATCTAATGTTTATCAGATCCATCACTTACTCTGCCAGCTATAGCGCCGCTGGCTCTGGCTCCTATCTCGCTGTGTACGGCTGGATCAACTCTCCCCAAGCTGAGTACTACATCGTCGAGGCCTACGGCAGTTACAACCCTTGCAGCTCGGGCTCGGCTACAAGCCTTGGTAGCGTATACTCTGATGGAGCCACCTATCAAGTTTGCACCGACACTCGGGTCAACCAGCCATCAATCACGGGAACGAGCACGTTCACGCAGTTCTTCTCCGTTCGACAGAGTACCCGCACATCTGGAACGGTGACTGTTGCCAATCATTTCAACTTCTGGGCACAGCATGGGTTCGGCAACAGCAACTTCAATTACCAGGTCGTAGCGGTGGAGGCCTGGAGTGGTGCTGGTAGCGCTAGTGTCACGATCTCTTCTTGAAAGATGAGGGGCTTACTAGTTGAAAGACTTGAAAGTCGAGCTCTTTTTTAGGGGGTGTGATGATCGGACTGGGGGTTTGATGGTTTCAAATGTCCGGACCGTATACGGTGTGGCAGGGTGGAGCTGCTGCTGGTTGCGTTTTCAGCTTACAAGGGCAATTACTCTTGTTTTATCTCTCTTTTTGAACCTATTACTCATCTCATTGGTGCACCCGTATATTCTATTTTTTGCTTTTCCAATAACTACTCATCAGTATGTCTAAGGTGCAGTCTTCGGTCACACTCATTGGCTTTGGCGACCAAAACCAAACCGCGCTGAAATTTCCCTCCGGTGGAAAATCCTTTATAGAGGAAGCACCTTTCCATCATTACGGTCATCACTCAGCGACTACATCTATCACTTAGTTAACACTAGAATGCACTTTACCGCGGAGATTCCCCACATTTCCCGTTTATCTATTGAAGCTTTGCGTCTTGCATGGCAAAATGGCACCGATAATGAGATCAGCGGCTTGGAAAGCATTCACTGCTTCAATCTTGACTCCTCTGGTCTTGAAACACTGGAGGTTGTAGATTGTACTTGAGATAGACATGTGCACTCTTCTGACATCTTACCAACGTTTCTCTGAAGATTGGCGTAATCTAGTCACCAAGTCATTATCAATTCAAAAGCCCTCTTTTTCACCCCAATCAAAGAATTAGAATGGGGCACGGGAGAAAAGGCACCAAATTCGCTACTGGCAGAGATTTTCCCTGCCAATATTCCTGCCAAAAGCGGTTAAGATAACCACTCCTTTCACTTTTCCGAATGCACGATGACCAAATATCCAGGTGTGTGGGCTTAGTAACTTCTACTTATGAGACATTACGGAAGCCCCACATATGAATTGGCCGGATGGTGTAGTTGGTTATCACGTATCGTTAACACCGATAAGGTCCTGGGATCGAGCCCCAGTCTGGTCATCTTTTTTTTTTAAGCTTGTATAAAAATTATCTTTTCTGAGTGGCAATAAATAAGTTTTGCGCAGTTCATCTCAAATGTAACTGTATGACATCAGATGGATTGCAATCTTCTTTGTTTCCAATTTCAAAAGATGTAGAATACCGAGTTCCAGATTTCACAATACCGTATTTCTAAAACACTAAAATATGTATTTCTTACCATCCACCTCCGTACATCGCGTCACAAACCTTAGATCTTGTTCTCAGCAATAAACTTCGTCAAAGTAGCATGGTCTTGATCTAGGTACCAACTATATTCCACATTGTTAGCTTTTCATACCATGAGAGGGGCAAGGAACATCGGGAGACATACGTTGGATCAGCCTGCTCATCCGGAGACAATTCATGCGCCAAGAACCCATTATTTAACCAAGCAAAATCCAAACCAGGCTCAGGGCATCGACTCTCCCACTCAAAGTCTTCATAACGATGTCTCCGAAGCAGCTCAAAGTAATGCAGCCGCGAGCCAGGATGAAAGGCATGCAATGCACCGTCGTTCATACCGTTCTTGAAGGAGCTCTGGCATGGATCACCCCAGACAGTCTTCTCGAGCCATGAGAGCATCTGGAATTGGTATGCCTTGGCTTTTCCATCCTTGAGACGGAAAGAAGAGTAATTCTCCCGTTGCAATTTTCGGATCATATCCACCACATAGAGGGTGATTCGCTCAATAGAGGTAATCATACTGCCGTGGCCAACTGGGCTACCGGGTCCCATATAGACAAAATAGTTTGGCATATCTTGCGCAATTGCTGACAGGTAGCAAGCTGGATCTTTCTCCCATTCTGTCTGAAGATTCACACCGTTTCGCCCGATGATTGGCCAACGAGGTACGAAGGACATGTCAAAGCCTGTTGCGGCGATGATCACGTCAAAGTCGCGCTCCTTGCCATCTTGGGATCTCAGACCAGTTTTAGTAAAAGAGCCGATCTCACCCCAAACAACTTCGCAATTGTCGGAAGCAAGCGCCTGTAGATAGCCGGGTCCAGGAGTCGGTCGGCGGCACCCAACGCCATAAGAAGGAATGATAAGATCCGCAACCTCAGGCTTCTTCTCGAGCTTGGCGCGCATGTCCTTGGTCGTGAAGTTTTTCGCCATCGTTTGGAATTCGCTTTCTCTAACATACAGGGGAAAGCGGAAGTTGAGCTCCTTCTCGATTTCTTTGCGAAGAGTGAGATACTCTTCTGGATTCTCTATCCACTTTTTCTGTTGCTCTTCATCGTAGGTCATGTTGGGCACACCTTGACCGATGAATCTCGATCCCAAGTTGGCTGTAATATAGGTTGGGGATCGAATGTATGCACCGACATGTTTAGCAACTTTCTGCACAGCTGCAGTGACTTGAATTCCACTGCTTCCATTGCCAATGACGGCGACTCGCTTGCCTCGGAGGTCAATGTCGGGGTTGTAGTTGGCGCTGTGGGCGAGGATACCTTGGTAGTTCTCGCGACCGGGGACATTGGGCCATCTCCAATTATTGAGGTATCCACTGGCATTGATGAACACGTCGCATTCATCGATGATATCTTCACCGATTTCACCATCGCAAACATCCTTTGATGATATGACAGTGCGACGGCCATCTGTATTTCTGCTGGTGACGATCCACTTCTGTTTCTTGTCGTTCCAGACGGCGCCGGTAATCTTGCGGGATACCGTGACGTATTTCCTCAGATTGAACTTGTCAACTACGTTGTCAATATATTGAAGGATCTCTGGCGCGGAGACGTAGAATGAAGACCATTTGGGGTTTGGTGCCCATGTGAACTAGGAACATTAGAATTCAAAAATTAATCAAGAATTTTGATTGAGCATACCAAGTAATTGTGAGAAGGAATATCACATGCACATCCAGGGTAGCGATTTTCGAGCCATGTGCCTCCCAAGCCAGCATTCTTTTCAAGAATCTGTAAATCAACATTGGGTAGTTGGCCACTTTCCACGGCATGAGCAAAGGAAATGCCACTAATACCTGCACCTGCGAGGATAACCTTGATCTTTCTAGGTGTGTCGAAGGGTAGCTTTGATTGCTCATAGGCCACTGGGAATTTGTTGCGGTATGCTTCTGTAGCCTCGATAGGCTTGCATGGTGCTTCTCCCCCAGTACCGTTATTTGAAATAGATTGAGTCATATCTGTATCGAACCTGGTGTGTTGAGATGTATGCAAGTCTATGACAAATGATTTGTGTGGTACTATGTATCGATGGTTGGAGGGGAACGAATTGGAGAAATACTTCGCATTTAAAATATCGATATGATGAAAGAGTTCACCCACTTTCCGCAATATTGTGCCCACTTTGATCGGACGTAATCTATCGAAACCGGAAGCAGACCTTTGCTGTAAATCCTGGGTCGCATGGAAGAGGCAAAATCGCAGAACGGAAGCAAAGCTCACCGGAACGCCTTCTGTTCCGAAGACGGGAACCATTTACAGTAGCAAATGACATGTTCCAAACACGGAACGATGCATAGTCTATTCATACCCTTTGTTTGCTTGGATAATTCAATAGAGTAATTTGCTTCCGAGAGAGGCAGTTTTCGGATATCATTCGTCTATTAGCTTCGAGTGGTAGTCGTTCAAGTGCTACTTAAGTCGAGGCAGCATCTTTGTCTGGTGATCACAAGCACACAACAATATTCTATTTCATTGAAAATAGTCAAACTCGTTTTACAATGTCTTACGCCGATCTCAAGAACAAAGTTTTTTTCATCACGGGCGCTGCCTCTGGGCAAGGTCGTGCAACCTCCATCGCCCTGGCCCGTCAAGGTGCAAAGCTTGGCCTGCTGGACCTAAATGACCCCCAAGAGGTCATCGCCGAAGTTGAAAAGAATGGGGGTGAAGCCATAGGATTCAAAGTCAACGTGACTGACTCTGCTGGAATTGAGGACGCCGTTAAAGCAACCAAAGAGAAATTTGGGAGAATCGACGGTGCAGCAAATTTGGCTGGATGGATTGGAACTCAAGGCTTCAAGGGAAAGGGGTATGCACTGGATGTCATCAAGGATGAAGAATGGGATTTGATGATGTCGATAAATCTCAACGGTGTCCGAAACAGCTTGTCATCAGAACTGAGACATATTAGCGACAATGGCAGTATCGTGAACGTTGCAAGTATTGCTGGGCAGAGAGGGTCTCCATGGAATGCTCCGTATGGAGCTGCTAAATGGGGTGTGATTTCCTTGACCAAGTCGGCTGCACAGGAAGCTGGACCAAAGAATGTCAGGGTTAACGCCGTGGCTCCGTAAGTGGAAAAACATCTCTATTTGATGAAGATTGAAGCTAATTAACGTAGTGGTGTTGTTGATACACCTCTTGCCACTGCTCTTGGTCCTGCCGATCTCGTTTTTCAGAGAATGGTATCGAGGAGTGCACTTCAACGACTTGCCCAGCCAGAGGAAATCGCTAGTTGCATCTTGTTTTTGCTTAGTGACTCGTCAAGCTTCGTCTCAGGAAGTGTAAGTTCCATGCTATTTTCTGCCACATGAGATTCCGAATACTAACTCCGATTTTCATTAAGGTTCTCAACGCAGATGGTGGATTCCAGTAGCCATATTCATATGAAATATGTAAAGCTATATGAATTGATATGATGATTAATACACTTTGAATATATCCAAGACAATGGCTTTATGATTTTGTAGTAAACAATGAGTTTGGATATACATTATGTTCCAAATTTGGAATTTGAATTGCGCAACTATCAGTGAAAAAGAAAATAAAGAGAAGATGGAAAAATAAACCGCTTACAATTTAATCTCAGTTATGAATTATCATTCATAATTGCCTCTCATGACGAATTTTTGTTCCGAGAAAGTAGGCACAAATGTTGGGCGACTTTCCATATCAACTGTGTCCTCTTTACACGAGAATTCGCCTAGAAAGGGGACTAAGCATGGGTACGGTAGCTTGCAAGCTATCAAATAGAAGCAGGGATTACTAGTCGTGCGTACCCACATAGTGAATGGGCATTCGGAAAGAACAAAGTATTGCCATAAGCTACTTACAAGCACTGAGGCAGTCGATATCATTGACTGGATATCCGCTGCACAAAATCGACAATAATGTCCAACCCTTCATCAGTCGCATCACCCATCGGAATAATAGTAAAAGCATGACAAGCCCCATTGACCACACTCAAATTAGTAACATTTCCAGCTTGTTGCCATTTCGCCGCCATGAAAACACTGTCATCAAGCAGAGGCTCAATATTCCCTGACAAGAATAACGCAGCTGGCATATCCTTTAAATCCGCATAAAGAGGCGAAATAAGCGGATCTTTCCTGTAAGCCATGGGAATATGGCCGAAACCAGCCTCGCAAAAGGCCATCATACCCTCCTTGCTCAACACGATGTTTCGAGTGTGCTCAAGAAGAGATGGAGTGTATGTGAGATCGAAAATTCCGTATCCAGCCACGATCGCGTCCAGAGTCGATCGCACATCGATTCCGTGGTCTCGGCGGAGAGACAGACCTGTTGAAACTGCTAGCCATCCGCCCGCCGACTCCCCTCCAAGGACTTTCAGTGGTGCGCCTAGTTCTTTCTCCCCTGCTGGACTGAGTGCGTAGAGTGCTGCATCAACACAGTCGTGAAGCGGCTTGGGGAAAGAAACTTCGGGTGCGAGTCGATATTCAACAGAGGCCATTGTCAAACCCAAGCGATCGGACAAAGTGGTCAAATACGTGTCGTACGAGGCATTGCTACCAATAACGAAGCCACCTGCCAATTACCCGAATCAGTCGACAACGATATGAAGTCTTGTTGACAAATGGGCTACTTACCAGCATGGAAGTGCAACCAAACACCTCTGCTTGGTTTGTCCTTGGGTGCGATTATTCTCAATTCAATTTGATAACTGTCTCGCCCCGAAACATTCACCGTCCGTGCATTGGGGTTGAGAGCAGGCGCTTGGAACCCGTTCAGGCCCTCTCGCCGCATTTTGCGGTAAGCTGCCGCAGATTCGCATTCTTGCCACTGGACACTTCCTGCGAGCTGTGCTTCAAGGGTGTCTAATGTCTTATGGCGAGCCTGAAGGGTAGCTTCGTCGACAGGAATTGGGAGCACGTTCAATGACATGATGGCTGGAGGTATCAAAAATTCGAGTACAGACACGTGAAATGATAGCTACTATCCTGATTTATTTTCTTGGTAAAGCATCCTTGCTTTCATATAGGTAATTTACGAAAGGATGCATAACGCCTGTTCAGCCAAAAAGGTATGATTGGTGTATCATAAATACCGGAATAAAATGACAACGGAAAAGCTGGCTCGGAATGAATGTATGCACGGAATCCTTGCAACCGGGACCGTACTAACCAATCCATCGAGTACAAGCCGAGAAAAAAAAGTTCTGACTGTGCTTTCGATAAGAAAGCAACAGAAGCAAAAAGATGGACTCGCGGGGAATCGAACCCCGGACCACTCCCATGCTAAGGGAGTATTATACCACTAAACCACAAGCCCATGAAAACTCTCCCTCGGGGAATCGAACCCCGGTCTCCCGCGCTTATCGGTGTTAATGACAAGCGGAAATCATGACCACTAGACCAAGGAAGATGAGATAGTCGAGTTTCCGCTCGACCACTTGGTGTTTGTTGATGTCTGGATCCCGATTTATGGCTACATAATCCAGGCGAGAAAACAAGTGGAGCACCCGTTCGCCAAGACTTTGAGTCATGGAGGCCGCAGAATCATAATCAGCATGACGTTAATTTCTTCAGCGTCTAGAGCCACGAATTTAACCTTTTAATTAAAATGCGCGGGAGTAACGAGAAAACATCCAATTAACCAATCAAATTGCGAGTTAGAGAAAAGAATTCATTCTTGCCGTAAATGTGCTATGCAGTAAAGATGAATCATTCAAATGGCTCTACTGCGCGGCCTCAGCCTTACTTTAAATTCTCTTTATCGATACCAGTTGGAACGGACTTTCTTTCCATCGGTCTCCGGAACTGTCATGCCTATTTAGATTCTCCGCTTCAACTGGATCATCAGATCGTTCTTCTCCCACAAGAAGAAAGTCTTCTGTTTTTCCCAACCGACGGACTCGGGGAGAAGAGAAAATTCAAAATTATATAAGACTTTCGCAAGAATCAGACGCATTTCGTGGTATGCCAGACTATTCGATCGTTAGCTATTGGCCTTTTTGACGGACATCTGAGAAAGGTTGTACTTCTTTCCAAGACAGTTGCGGGGGCCAAATGAGAATGGTTGAAAAGCTGCTTTATTGTCGCTGGAAAACTCATCGCCTATCCAACGCTCAGGAACGAAGTCCTCCGGTCGCTTGAAATTCTCGGGGCTGTGGAAGGTAGCCCATTGGTGAACGGAAACAGCGATCTAAGATGATTAGAATATCAGTCATCCATCGAAACCTCAAGAAAATGGAATGCGCAGTTACCTTGCCTGGAATATGTTCCCCACACACAATCAATCCATCATCAGGGGTGATACGAGGCAGACCAACAGGAACTGGAGGGTAGATGCGCAAAGCCTCCTCAATGCACGCATTAAGATAAGTCATATGCTCTAGTGCCCTCATCTCAATATCCTCATCCTTCTCAAAAGTATCGTGAATCTCTTTCACAATGATATCCATTTTAGTAGGATTCATTAAGAGATAATAAAGCAACCCACTCAGCGCAGTAGCTGTAGTCTCAGTACCCGCAACCATGAAGACTTGCGAGTTGGCGTACATCTCCGCTCGACTAAGACGTAGATCCTCTTTCTGATTCATCACAATACCCCAGATATCAGGTTTCTGCATCGTGTGATTCCCGTCAATTCGTTTATCGACGCGACCCTGAGAAGCCTGATAATGAGAGATGCTTTGCTGCTTCAATGCCTTTGGAATGAGCCTCTGGGCGATAGGCGCAGTCCAAGGCCAGTAGCGCGCTAATCTGCGCAAAGCATTCGTCTTCATACTGACGAATACAGCGGAAACCCAATTTGTGTTTCCAGTACCAGCTAACAGATCCAAGGAATCACCAAATGTCAAATCACCCATGATATCGAAGGTCGTCAGATTTAACAAGCGAACAATGTTAATTTTCGCCTCTGGATCTTCCTTGATCGTCACCTGGAGCTTCTCAACTAGCATATCCACATACCGACAGATCAGCGATTGTTGTTCCCGGAGAGCGCGATCCGAGAAGGCGTGTGAGAAGTTGCGTCGGAAACGTGCGTGATTGGGCCCATCTGCGCGGATGATATCTGGGGCTCCATTGAATGATGGCCCGTAGAAGCGTGTGTCCTTTTCCGTGACTTTCTTTCCGCCCGCGGCGTGGCCGTATATTTCTTTCCAGGCTTCTCCGCTTGCATAGCTTAGCTCGTCTGGTGCGACGCGGACTACATCACCGTGTTTGATGTGAAGCTCATTGACCCATTCGCGGAGGTCGCCTTTAAAGGTATGGTAGAGTTGGGGTATCCGTGATGCAGCGGCGAATGTTGGGCCTGGGTATTTGGCGAGTGGGTTGATGAAGACTTCGTAATACACCTGCGATATACATACGAGTACGACCTGATCGAAGCAAGTTAGTGAGTCATTTCTCATGAAATTGAATAAGAAACTCTGCATCTAAAGGGAGGTAGAAGGGGCGTGTTTTAGGATGTTGACATTTGGTGGGGTGGTGGACAGATGAAAAAGAGGTACGAAAACAAAGCCTATGCCACCATGCCATCTATCAAAAGCGAAAAGCGTACCGAAATGATAAGAACCAGAATGAAGTTTTCCTGAAGAAAATTTGACGCGGATTGAAGAAGCATCGTTGAATCAGAGTCAGTCTTCTTCCGGCTAATAGTGCTCAATTAGATGGAATGATAGCATAATGCTAAAACAAGAACATGGGCGAGCAATCTATTGACATCTAATATAATCAGATGCCCGTTTTTATGCCGCTTCGTTTGAAGCTTATGCAGAGAAAAGTCTGCATAGCATTGATGCATGTAAAAGCTTTATCTTTTGCGGGGTTTGTGGTAGCTTTTTAGTCTGTAATTACAAGTTATTGACCCACTTTTACTCCGAGATGTGAGGTGTCATTGGAAATTCCCAGTTTTATTCACGTATCTCTGCATAAAGTTAGGGGTATAATTCATCTACGTGATACATGAATGCTTCCGCGGAATATTTATCGCCCCACTGGGTCTTTATTTGTTTCCGTGTCATCATCTAGTGATGTCAGTGAATCATTCCGTAAGTGCGCTCCTTTTACTGGAACTAAATTATGAAGAGTAATACGATCGACGATATTATTCACAATCTCCACGCACCTTCTCGCAGACCAAGGAGACTTGAGACATAGAGGCAATCATGAACAGCAGGAGAAATTTGAGCTTTGAGCCTGAATATAGGATTCCGTTATACAATAATAACAAATGTATTAGAAAAGATCCCCTCTGAAGTCTGTCGCGGAACAATCTGAAGAAAGTGGAGCCCCGAACACCATCTCCTCAGGGTCCATGCCCATGAGAAGATGACACTGTAGTTCGTCCAATTTGTAAGGACAACCGTCGGTCGGCAAACTTTCAGGTATAAACATAGAAGACAGAAATTTCTGGTTCTGTGGCTCTGAATGAGTATGTGCCGCTGAGCTTCTATCCTGTTCCGATCGATCGACGAAGGTTTTCCAAAATGTCTGAGAGAATATGTCCAGATCCGCAGAACAATCCAATGGGAGGCTTTGATTCGCTGGGTCTTGCCGTGGAGGAGATGCTGTGAGTTTCTCAGGGGGTTTAAACCCATTGTCGGAAGGCAGAAGATCCTGTAGATATTGGTATACCTTGGATGCTGTTGCGACTGATTTGGACAGCGTTTGAAGAAGTTGGCTGGCGCCGTACACCATTTGCCTGAGAAGTTCATTTGAGACTACGGGGGCTGGGTGACACTCTTCTGGGATGAGATGGTAAAGACTTTCGACCAATGCGGTAGTCAGAATATAGCCGGATGGCTTCAGAGAAGTGGTTGTGATCATATAGCTTCGAATTGCTTCGATGATTGCCTCGCAGATTGAAACCGATGTTTTGCGGCGCTCTAGGTCATGTTCCTTAGAAGTGAGAGCCTTATGGCGAATACTCAGACGGAGGGATTGGAATCGCTAGAAATCATGTTAGCGTGCTCCGTTCCAGGTCCAATGTCAACAATGGATGCTTTATACCAAAAATCCAATCAGCCTCTGGCGGATATGTGCTGCCCCTTCAACGCACATGTACTCTGCGACCATGGAAGACTTCCAATGAAGGCTTGAAGGTATTTGCCGATAAGAAAGAACAATTCGGGTATCCATCATCTGCGATTCTTCCCAGTCATCAGCCTTTGGAGCTTGGGGTGAAAAGAAGCCGTCCCAAATATGAGCCCATAAACGACTAAATGAAACAAGGCTTTGCAAAACTTCGTACTTGCTAGAGCCTATATCGCTGTGGACTTTGCTGAAGTCGCTCACCGCACTTTCATCCTCACGCAGAAAGTATGTGATGCCGCATTTTTGGGTAATGCGCTTGTCAAGGAAATATAGTGTCCACCAAAGTCCCTGACGGGAAACCAATTCGCAATCGTCACTTGGCCATAGAGCTTGGTTATTGAGTCCGATTTTCAGCGCAATTTGAAACCCCTGTGTGATGCTCTGTAGGGACATGTGATGCATGGACATCTCGAGAAGATAGGCAGATGAAGTAATGTGGTAGATGACGGTTTCAAGGTCAGCGTCATGGAGTTGATTGAAATGCTGCATCAACTTAAGCCCCTGCAAGTAGCTCCGCGAGATTGGTCGAGGTTTGCAGGACTCAATAGGGCGGGTGAGAGAGTCGGCGTACGCTAGCATGTTCAAGAGAAAGCCAATGATCTTGCAATTATCAGGTCCTATCACAATCCGATGACTTTCTGTGTCATATCTATGGAGTGATAGAACCATTGATAATCGCTCATAAATTATGGTTTGATTGAGGCATGGGAAGTAGGATTCAAATTCCTGGAAAAACACGCTGACAAGTTCCCAAAGGACTGGCGGCTCTGGTAAAGTGACCGTGGCTAGCGCAGGTTGTGAATGATTTTCAATGTCACCCAAGGTGCTGGATCGGCGCAAGTTTCTTAGCGCATAAAGCTGAGATCCAATTGGCAGGCTGTTCAGCGAAGGGGTTGTGACCCCGAGCATGTCCGGCTCCATAGGTTCCTTCAGGGGACTCGGAATGTCTTGATAGGAGGCGAAACTACCAACCGAGCAATTATCAAAAGTATCATTCTCTGAGATATCGCATATAGAGGGCGAAATTTCTTTAGGAGATCGATCAGAGTCATTCACCCTCATAGTATTATAAGATATAGTGGCAGGCATGTCCATGTCTTGAAAGCCTCGCTTTTCGGAGAGTGCTTTCACCTGATCCTGAAGTTGTGAAAGCTGTTCTTTCAAGGAAATAGACGTTCGGCTTCGTTTTCGCGGTTGCGACTTTGGAGAAGTTTCTGCAGTGTGTCTGGATCTTGTAAGTACCTGGTTACAATGGAAAAAAACAATAAAATCAGACATAAAAGGACCTACCCATTCTTGGTACGTTTCTTCTGGGTCGGCATTTCATGTTGAATATCTCCCGCATATTGGCAATCGATTTTTCTAGTGTGACAACTGGAACATTTGGGCTCTCCTGAACACTATTCGTACATTAGTGACACTATTCATACCAAGAACGCTGGAAGGAAGATAAAGATTTAATGCACGTGCGGTACTGACCTTCACTTTCCGGCGCTGACACTCGAAACTAAATAGCACGAAGGTCAATACGGTGGGTAAATGAGAAGCGAAGACACCTACCATGCTTGTGATGTATATTTATCACGCTTAGAGCCTTCCTTACGACCTGCTTCCTTCGGCATAAGGGGGGGCATGCGATGTCTTCGTTTACAAATAGGTGTGTAGATTTTATTCCTCTCAAGCCAGAGAAAAAGTGTGATGTATGCGATATTGAGATTTAAAAGAGGTATTCCATGAAGAGAAGAAGATTGAAGGCAAGAAAACACGAGACAAAGAAAGTCCGGGGAGGCGTAGATCCCTGGTTTTGCTAGTGCATAACCCGTGCGGGGAAAACTGGCTATGGCGGATAGTCCGGGAAACGCTAGTCAATGAAAACGAAAGTTATGTTTTACGACGTACCCCACTCCCGCCACCGAACATCGTCTTTGGTCAGCCAGTGGTCACAAGTCAAGGGAACATGCATTGAGTTTCATTATATCCAGGTGGTTCCCATGTACCTTTGAGGGTTGTGTTCAATGGAGATTCATGATTCAAGTTGCGACCAGGCTAATAGTTCGGTCGGCTGCTGTTTGTGCTAGGAAGCACAATCTGAAAAACAACACACTGACACGAAAAAATCCATATCGGTGGTCGAAAGCCAATTGGTTTTTCTCAGGCATTTATGTTGCGAAGGCAGTAGATAAACGCATATGTGCATTGCATACGTAAGTCTGCAGCCCTGATGGAAAAGGGTGAGAAAAAACTTCAGCGCAGACAACCTTTTGGAAGTACATATTGCGTGCTTTAATAGAACAATAATGATCCTACTGACCTTGAGAAGTCATTTGAGGATCTCCTGATGACATTTGAATGGGTAATCTTTACGGAATCGTATTTCCACGGAAGATCGCTTAAAATTTCCGGTCTAATACCGGGTTCGGTGAGTTTACAGTGCGTGCATGCATCATCTCAATATATACGGAGCTTGACGTAGCGAAACATGAGTAGGGGATCAACATTGTAGGAAGCTTTGGAGTTCTGAAAAACCATCTATTCGGATCCCATTTTGAAGGCAATCGTCAACATGTTGAATGGAGGGAAAACATTAGATGGAGTGGCCCTGGTTACTGGCGCAGGTTCGCGAAGGAACTCTCTAATTGGATTGCAAATGGAAACTCATCGTGGAAATAGGATCTGGTATTGGGCGTCAAATATGTATTGCCTATGCTCAGGCGGGGTGCAGGGCTATTGTATTGGCTGATGTCAACCTCGAGGGAGTTCACGAAACCATTTCGTTGATAAGGACTCGAGGGTATAGCGCGAAGACCATGGCACTGGAAGTAAATGTCGCAGATACCATTTCAGTGAGAGATTTGGTTGCGCAGACTGTCAAGGAACTCGGAAGCTTGGATTATGGTTCGTCTTCGAATTGATGCGAGACTGCCACTGACACTGGAAATACAGCCGCCAATGTTGCCGGAATCACAACAAAAGCCCGAGTCTCAACCGCCAACTACCCACACCAAGAGTATGATAAGATCCTGGAGATAAATACAAAGGGTATCATGATCTGCATGCAGGAACAGATTCAGGCAATGCAGAAGCAAGCGGCTACTTGCACACCTGGAATCGAGAACTCACTTCGAGCGCAGCGAGGAAGCATCATCAATATTGCCTCTGTAACTGGTTTTGCTGGATTGCAAAACATGATGCCATATAATGTTTCCAAGCATGCCGTGCTTGGTCTCACCAAATCCGCAGCAATTGACCATGGTCGCGACGAAATTCGTATCAATGCTGTCTGTCCGGGTATGACTGAGACGCCCATGGTTGCGGCTCGGACGACTTCGATCCCCCGGAAGGCCAGTGGCTGGGCAGTAGATGGGAATGGAAGGCAGCGACTTGCTATCCCTGAGGAAATTGCGGATGTTTGCATATTTCTGAGTGGTTGTGGAGCCAGCTATATGTCGGGGTCATCGGTTGTGGTGGATGCCGGACATCTGGCGGCAAGGCGATATGAGAGTAACTTGTAATCTAATACTTGATACTACTCAGACGAAAACAAGAAATTCATTTCGAGACAAATTGCTGAAACGTGTTGGAGCGGGAAGGGCGAAACAAGGGCGAGGAATAAGACAATCCGAGAGCTCCAATCCATTTTGCCTAAAAGCAGAGACATGACGTACATGAAGCGAGCCCACAACATTGAAATGATAAGAAAATGCTTGATGTACGGCAGTTCTCACTTTTGTGTGCAGTTGACGAACCAGATTAAATTAGCTACACTGTAAACGATGCCCATGGTTATATTCTGGGCCACGGATCCAGGCACTGAGTCACCTAACTTGCTCTCTTTTCTTTTTCATATAGAGATCACGTAATGCTCATCTACGCTTCCCCCCCCCTTTATCTGTTGGCATGATGGACGATTTATTCTTACGCGTCTGGGTTGGATTTTTTTGTTCTTTTGAATATTGTGTTTTGTGTACTCGAGATGAGAAAACCGTAAAAACCTTGAGTGATTCCAGTCCAGTTGACTCCATTTTACCTTTCCCGCCTTCTCTCTGCTTAGCCCTTTCTAGCAACGGAGATTAACTTCTGGCCCTCGAGTACCTCTTTGTCTAGAATATTGCGGTCATTCCGCGGAATGGTTTTTGCCGTGGCGTGTTTGAGATCCGGAATGATTACGGTACTGCGGCCGATTGTTACCGTTAATTACAAAACATTTGAACGATTTGTACCGGAACTGGAGATCCAACTGCTTCATTGATTCGGGCAATAACATTTATACTAATACTGTAGTATAATTTCTAAAGCCAAGAAAATTTTTCAATCTGTTTTAATCTGTGATTTATCTCTTCACCAGAAATACGACCACGCTCCATCATGCCCAGACAAGCTCAAGAAGATGTTCTCAAATCCTACGCGGAGAGTCTACCGCCCAATGTGTCACAAGGGGAGGCAACAGAATTTTACAACGGATTAGATGAAATTGCATATGCTATCTCAAGATTACCGTTGGGTACACCTCGAGCATTGAAAGTAATTTGCGTTGGTGCAGGGTTCAGTGGCTTGGCGTTCGCGCGAGAAGTCGAACTTGGCAACCTGACTAACGTGAAGCTCACCGTATACGAAAAAAATGCCTCAGTTGGAGGAACATGGTATGAGAATCGATATCCAGGGTATGCCCATTTGTCTCGCTCCGAATTGACTATCGGAGTTCCTCTACTGACTTGCTGACAGATGCGCGTATGTCACTCTTCCTTACCACCATTTTAGGTTGACACTAAATCAGATCATAGCTGTGATATTCCTGTGCATAACTATCAGGTATCGAGTCAGAAAACTGTATTTGCATAGCGTTCTACTGACAAATCTCTAGTACTCCTGGGCCCCATGTCCGTACTTCAAAAGCTACTATGCTACCGGGAAAGACATCCATACGTACATCGAAGCAGTCGCCGATCAACACAACCTCCGAAAATACGTGAAAGTCTCCCACAAAATTATCGGTGCCAAGTGGATTGAAGAAAAACAAAAGTGGCAGGTGAAAATTGTCGCGACCGACGGCAGAGACGTGATGGTCAGCAATCGATTCAACAAAGACGGGGAGTCTGGAGAGCCTTTCATTGAAGAATGTGACGTACTTATCAATGCCGGAGGATGCTTCAATGACTGGAAGTGGCCGACAATTCCTGGAAGAGAAATCTTCAAGGGTGAGATGATCCATTCTGCAGCTTGGCCAAAAAACGCCGATCTCCAAGGCAAGATTGTCGCTTTGATTGGCAACGGCAGCACGGGTGTCCAAATCCTTCCCAATATCCTTGATGATGTGGAAAAGGTTTATGTCTACATTCGTAGCAAGACATGGGTAACGGCTAATTTTGCTCAGAGGTTTGCTGGTCCGAATGGCGCAAATGTTTTCTTTACAGAGGAACAGAAGGAGCGCTGGGCGAAGCATCCTGATGAGTATCTTCTGTATCGGAAGCAGGTTGAGTCAGAGCTGAACTCTCGTTTCCGTCTCTATCTCAAGGATTCAGAGGCGCAAAAACAAGCTCTTGAATACTCCATCTCTCAGATGACTGAAAAGCTCTCTGCCAAGCCAGAAATCGCCCCAAAGTTGATTCCAGAATTTTCTGTTGGGTGAGTGAATCCCATTTTGCCATACGGAAAGGTGAAGCTAACAAAAGAAAATCCTACAGCTGTCGGCGTACAACACCAGGGAACGGTTATCTTGAGGCTCTGTGCTCGCCTAAAGTTGAAGTCATTTGGGGAGGCATCGATTCTTTCAATGAGACTGGTCTTCTGGCAGAAAATGGTCAACAACGAAAAGTTGACACGATCATTTGCGCGACAGGTTTCAACATGTCATTCTCGCCTCGTTTCCCTATCATCGGTCGCAATAACGTCAACTTGCAGGATAGGTGGGATGAAAACCCTGAATGCTATCTCTCAGTCACCGCTGCAGATATGCCAAACTACTTCATTTACCTTGGTCCAGCAAGTCCTCTTGGACACGGCAGCGTCGTCAGCTCCCTCGAGCGCGTGACAGAGTATATTGCCCAATTTGCTCGCAAACTTCAAACGGAGAACTACAGCTCTGTTATGCCAAAACCACATATTCCTCGTGCATACCAACGTCAAGCTTTGGCCTGGTTGAAGAAAACTGCCTGGAGTTCTAATTGCGCATCGACATACAAAAATGGCAAACCAGACGGTCCTTTGATCTCACTTCATCCCGGGTCAAGATTACACTATTTTCAGCTTCTGAGTCGGCCTCGCTGGGAGGACTTTGACTGGACCAGTCTATGCGAGGATGTTGATCTTACCTTTGCCTGGCTAGGTAATGGATTTATCGCTGAGGAATGTAAAGAAAAGACAGAAGAAGATCTGACGTACGTACCTCGCCTCATCGAGCTAACTCAAGAATATTTGCGGCTGATATTGATTTTATGCAGCTGGTTTATACCTCCAGTTCACCCCGAAAAAATGATTAAAGCGACATTTTGAGACTTGTTTCTGCCTGAAATATCCCATTGAATTTCATCTTTAATCATGATATATATCTGGACTTGAGTGAGTTGGAATAGCTTAGAGAGTATGTTCACAGCGACACGTTTAATGAAGGCGGTCTCTGCCAGGCTTTGTTGGCCTTTTCCGGCGGGCGAACTATGACAATCATCCAAGTAACCATCGTCACTTCTCTCTTGTGTTCATTTCCCGCCTACCCCTGTTCTATATGATAGTGTAGCCCGAGGATCTTCAGTGCCTATATGAATATCCTCTCTCCCTCGGTAGCTCTACCAGTTGCATGACCCCGCCAGTCTGCAATGTTCCATACTATCATTTTAGCTTCCTGTAGAGAGGACGAGATTGAATCGCGGACATTTTCTAAAGCATCTAATTGCTTAGGCATATGAGTCTCTATATATATGGCTTTTAGGCTTTCTTTTTTCATCTCAATAAACTAGCATTGATGGTCTAGTGGTTATGATTGCCGCCTTCCATTACTTGGTCAGCGGCAGAGCGGGGTTCGATTCCCCGTCAATGCATTTCTTTTTGCGGCCTGGTGAACTCGCGAATAACATCAATTTACATCAATTTCTTTTCTCAGGATACCAGTTTTTTTGTTCTCCAAATCCATAGTTGAGCACGTCCTCATGACCCAAGGAGGGTTCGTTCACTGGGCCACCTGGGCTACGCATGTCTCGACCCACAAAGATTAGTACATCAACAACAAAACACTGTCCCATCTTTTCTATCTTTTATCTATTCCACAAAACCTTGAAACAAACGAACAGCCCTTGTCAACCTTTGCATGACCACAACATATAGTTTGATACCGTGACAACCCTGAAATCTACCCCGCGATCACCAATGACTCGCAAAGCCTAGCCTAGTCTGGGGCTAAAGTTTATTTCTTTGACCATACCATTCCGAACTTGTTATTTCCTTCCGTGGAAAGATGGCAAGCCACATTCTGCGAAATGCGGGGAATGGGTTAGATCTGGTACATCATCTATGGTTGTCAGCTTCAGCCGCTGGGGCATCGGCATTTAACACCGGTTGATGTTGAAAAGACAACATCAGTACGTAGATTCAGACTTACTTATTTAAAGTCAAGCTTGAGTAATATAATGAATGCAGTAAAATTGGAAGTAATGGTCAATATACCAAAATCCCAAACAATTATCAATATCATGCAGCTCAAAAAGCTAGAACCCGCTGAGACGCTACGAAGCCGGGACGACCAGTTCCATAAAAAACAACATGTCAACTTGTACACCGCAGCAGTTGTCTTCTTTATCACTCTCAGCTCCGCTGCTTATGGTTATGCAGGCTCTGTCATCGCGACAACCCTCACACAACCGTCTTTCGTCGCACACTTCAAATTGGACACGACTCCAAATGCAGAATCTATCACAGGAGCCATGAACGCACTGTTTTACACTGGCGGCATACTTGGCAGTTTCTTCGCAGGATGGAGCAGCAAACAATTTGGACGCAAATTTTCGGCGGGATTTGGAAATAGTCTTCTCATCATTACTGGCGCGCTGATGACTGCATCTGTCAATCCGGCCATGTTCATTGCATTCCGTTTTTTCAGTGGTTTCGGGTAGGTATCATTCATTCAATTCAAGACTCGCTTTTGGTTGACATTTTTCTTTTTTCTCCTTTTAAGCGCGATGGTCATTCTTTCTAGTGTCCCCATTTGGGTTGCTGAACTAGCTCCACCCCGCCTCCGAGGCATACTTACTGACCTACACGCCGTGATGATGATGGTCGGGTATACACTTGCTTGCTATGTCGGATTAGGATTCTACTTTGTTTCAGGCAACAACCAGTGGCGAGGGCCCATCGCGCTTCAGATGGCACTACCAGTTGTTATCTTATGTGGCTTATATTGGTTACCAGAGTCACCGCGATATTTGCTGTCGAAGGATCGTGTTGAGGAGGCCCGTGAAATCATCCTTCGGATGCATTCTAGTCCAGATGATCCTGAGCAAGAATTTGCTCGACGGGAATTCTACCAAATGAAGAAGCAAATTCGACTTGATGCAGAATTTTCCACATCATACTGGAGCCTTTTCAAGAAACCATCCATGCGAAAGAGGTTGGCGATTACTATTTTCCTTGAGTTTGCGCTCATGAGCTCGGGTATCTTGGTTATTTTGAGTAAGTCACTGTTTCAATATTTATTCTAAGACATATTGCTAATCTTTCGACACTCATATCAGATTACGGCTCTATAATTTGGAAATCCCTTGGTTTCAACAGGGTTCAGATCCTCAACTTCCAATGCGGTTTCCAATTAACAGGCTTCGTCTTCAACATCATCGCCATGACATTTGTCGATCGTGTGCGCCGTCCCTGGCTAATTGCTGGTGGTCTACTAAGCTGCGGAGCCCTAGTGGGCACTCTTACAGCTCTACAAAGTTTCTACCTGGGGACCGAGAACCGTGCCGGGCTGGGCGCATGCGTCGCAATCATTTTCCTCTTCCAGGCCGCCTTCTCACTTGCTCTTGATGGGCCTACATACTTTTATATCGCCGAAATTTGGCCTTAGCATGTTCGTTCGCAAGGATTTGCTATTGCAATGGCTGTTCTTTCGGCCACCAACTTGATGTGGCTACAGGCGACACCTCACGCTATAAGTACTATTTCATGGCGCTGGTATTTGGTTTTTACGTGCATTCCGGGCGCTGCGGCTGTTATTGTTATTCTTCGCTTCAAGGATACGAGAAGCAAGCCGCTTGAGGAGATTGCGGCTATTTTTGGTGATCAAGATATGGTTGCTGTATATCAGCGAGAGTTGAATATTGGTACGCTTGATGAAGCGGATGACAGTGGACATGATAGCAAAAACATGTCCGGTCCGTCGGTGGAGATGGCTGAGAATGTTTGACTAGGGAGGTATATCTTCATAATCAGACTGCAAAGGAAGGAAAATACCCAAACTATCATTCTAGTCAAACCAAACTTTGGGATATGCTCCCTGTGCTAGGGTGGATTCGTCTAGTAAAGCCCCAGGGAGAGTTTAAATATAGTCAATCGTCCAAAAATAACATGAGTGTGGCCTTGCAATTTTCCATATCTTAGTCAATTAGCTTTTACCTATGAATTGAGTCATCTTCCTTATGCTATGATTATATTCTGGAGGTTGGGCCTGGCCGAAGACGCTGCAGTTGAACCGGCCAAGCGACATCAACTCCTAGCTCTGACGCAATCCTCAACACCCAGTCTGGCTCTCGAAGAAATTGCCTACCAACGGAGATTATATCAACTCCAGGTCCTCTCATTAGGCTACCCTGCACTAGATCGCGGGCTTGTTTGGCCTCAGTAATTAAGCCGACCGTTCCGACCAACAACTTGCTGCCTTCGGCTTTCAGGACCTGCTTGACTTTTAAAGCCATTTCAGTGTGTTTATCACCCCCATCAAACACATTGAATTCAGCCTCACAATGATTTCCTCCTGAGCTGACATCCATGAGATCGACACCCAGATCTGGCAACAACCTCGCCAGTTGAGTAGTCGACTCTTCCGTCCAGGTGCCAAGTTTCTTTCCAATCTCCGTGCTTTCGAGCCAATCGGTCACGCCCACTCGAACAAAGACAGGCATACTTTCCGGGACCACTGCTCTGACAGCGATAATGACCTCGATCAACAGACGGATTCTGTTCTTGAAGCTTCCACCATACCTATCGGTTCGGCGGTTTGTGACAGGGCTGAGAAACTGATTGATGAGATAGCCGTGTGCAGCATGAATCTCAACGACATCCACACCAGCATTCACAGCCCGTTGAGCAGATCTCGCATAGTTTGATATCAACTCCTTGATCTCCAACTCTGTCATCTCCTTAGGTACATGGTAGCCACCGGATGGATCAAAACCTTTACCATCCCATGAGTTCTCGCTACCTCCAGAAGGACCCAACACATCATCCGGCCACCCATTATCTTCCTCAGAGGCTCTTGCGCTCGACTTCCCCAGCTCCTGCGCTACCAATGGAGGCTGTGTACTCGACTTCCTTCCGGCATGCGATAATTGTACACCACAAAAACCCCCCTGGGAGTGAATGAAGTCCACAATAGGCTTAAGGCCCTGCTCTTGAGCATCATTCCATAAGCCTGGACAGTGCGGTGTGATGCGGCCATTAGGCTGAACACCTGTAGCCTCAATCATGGCCAACGCAGCACCCTTGAAAACATTGTGTCCGATCGTTGTAATATACAGGGGTGTCATCACGCCCGTGAGAGGTCCTGAGGATGCGATCGAGTAAAGACACATCGGGGAAACGCATATCCGATTCCTGAGAGTGATTGACCGAATGCGCAACGGTCGGAATAGGTCAGGTGTGTTTTCGTCGATTTTGTATGGCGTTCCGGCGGTGATTCGGAGTGGTGCCGGAGTAGAGGCTTGGGGTTTCAAATTCGGGGCCATTTTGATGATTGTTTGTAACAGCAATAGTGGTGTCTGCTTCGAATTATGAGCTACAGCCTTGCAGGTTTGTTAAGCTATATGGCATTCTGGGTAGCGGAACGATGCGGTGTGAAGGTGCTAAATTTCCGTTCGATTTGCTGATTGTGATTCAATACCGGGGATTATGCATGAGAGTGACTAGACCAATCACAGGAACTAGACTAGTCGGCATTTTATTTGGAGAAAAGAACATTTTGTTGATTCCGGAATTTTAGTGTTGGTTCCGCGGAATCCTCAACGCCGGGTGTGAGTTTTACAGCCGCTATACAGATGTTGGTTTTCAGTCTTTCAGGCTAGCTTTTATTCCAAAGTTCCCCTGCAGGCTCTTAGTTCCTGGTCAAAATTCTCCATAAGGTCTTCTTGAGTTCAAAAACCAATCGGATTAAGAATGCCGCCCTTAAATCCAAAAGGGAAGAAAGCGATCATTACTGGCGGAGGCTCGGGTAAATACTATGTGAAGCTGGAACCCCAAAATCCAACTGACTGAGAGCCTAATACCAGGAATCGGTCTTGGCTTCGCAAAAGCCTTATACGATAATGGCTGCTCTGTCCTCATAGCCGACCTCACCCTCCACGCCTCGGCCAAAGAATGGCTCCAAAGTATCAAAAGTCGCTCCTCCCCAATGGTTCGATTTCACAAAACCGACGTTACAGATTGGACACAGCTCGAATCTGCATTCGACGCTCTCGAGAAAGAATTCTATGGAGCCCCCGACATCATTGTCCCTGGTGCAGGGGTCTACGAGCCTTCGTCGAACAATTTCTGGGCTGATCTAGATAGTGCATCGCACTACAAAGTCTTTGATGTCAATATCATGCATCCAATTAAGACGTCCAGAATTGCCATTCGGAGATTACGTCGCGCTCAAAAGCCTGGTGTCATCGTCCATATTTCCAGTATTACGGCGCAGATTCCCAGTGTTGTGAATCCTCTTTATTCGGTCTCGAAGCAAGCGATCAGCCAGTTTGTGAGATGTATGGCACCTTTAGAAGGTCTGGCCGGTATTCGAGTTGTGGCCGTTGCACCTGGGTTAGCATTTACTCTGTCATGACAAGATTTTGACAGTCTGCTCATTTTACTTTGACAGAGTCGTGGATACTCCCTTGTTCCGCGATAGCGCCAAGGCTCGGGCGCACATTGACCTGGAAAACGATTTCACGCTTCCACCGGAAGAGGTTGTCAATGCTATGATGTCACTTGTCACAAACTCAACGTATTCTTCGGGAACTATACTTGAAATTGGCGATATTGGTGGCTGGCGAGAAGTGGATCTTTTCAATGATCCAGGTCCTCAAGGACGATCAACCCTGCCGAGGCCGAAGGCCAAAGACGCTATCAAACTTGTTGAAGATGCATTAGCGGATGATGCAGGGGTATTCTTAAAGCCACGTCTGTAAATTGGGACAGGGCTCTGGTCAATAACTTATCTCGGGCTTTGTCTCGATATTGGGAATCGTAGCATGGAAGAAGTGATTCGCCACTAGGAAGAACTCACCTTAACCAGCACGAGACGTCGGATTGAAACGGAAGTACATGAGTCGAATTTACACCCATTGCACTAAATGCAAAACTTTTGAGATCTCTGAATCGATATTATATCCGATACAAATACGTAGTTATGTGTTAGAAACAAACTTTTTAACCATGGAACAACCCAAAACAGAGCCGGGCCATCAAGCCATACTTTCCATTAAACCCCAGATAGTTAATTGGCACAGTAAAGTTCATTTGGCTAGAGTCTTATAACTTATACCGAGGCAAAGTCTGGTTTCCATCCTGAGCGTTTCATGTTAAAGCCTAGCTGCAGGACCCTTTTTTCATCCATCGGGCGAACTTCCCGAATCAGGCCCCACGACCCAAAATTGAGTCGATCTATCCAATTTTCAATCTAGTCAACTCTCCAGAATTGCATGGTTGCCCAGTTTTAATCTGCAGACACACCGATCGGAATTTGTGCCTATCTGTCGCATTGGGTACTGTGGCGTAAAGGCTATTCATACAATTTCTGTGACTGTTGCCCGCTGCATAGTAGACGCGAGGAATCATCTGGGCAATCGACAGCCATTTTTCACCAAACATCCGTGCAAAAACAGAGAAAATATTCATGTCGAGGCGGTCTTTTTCAATAAAAATTTGGGATAGAATAGTGGACGAAATCGATCTGTCGGATAAAGTTCACACCCTGAACTACGAAACGGACGCTATGAAACAGGCTCCACTGTGCAGTTTCATCAGCCCTGTAAATCGATTCCTCAATTCTAGAAATTGAACTCAACCCGCGATGCAGACACTCAGACCAAGAATGATCCTCGGCACGTTTTGTTTCTGACAAGGTATAAAACCTTGTCTAATCCCTTCCATCTTGAGGACCATCCACATTCGTTCTTTCCTACAGTCTTTCCAGAGCCGGTCTCTTTCCTCAATTACACTTTCTTTTTTGGATCCCTTCACAATGAAGACAGCAGTTGTTCTCGCCCTGGTCGGCTCCAGCCTGGCTGCCCCCACCCCCACCATTAAGGAGCGCCAATTCGGCACTAGCAGTGGATTCGGCTCCCTTACCTCTCTCCTTGGTGACTCCAGCCTGGGTTCCTCCCTCGGTACAGGAACCAGCAGTGGACTCGGCTCCTGGACCTCTCTCCTCGCCGACTCTGGCCTGGGCTCATCCAGTGGCACAGGCACCAGCAGTGGACTCGGCTCCTGGACCTCCCTCCTCGCCGACTCCAGCCTAGGTTCCTCCAGCAGTGGCCTCAGCGGCCTCAGCGGCCTGAGTGGACTCCGCCACAAGCGCGCGACCGTGTCGTCAACCATGAACGGAGTCACTGAGAACAGCAGCTGTGAGCCCTTGACGCTCATCTTCGCCCGTGGAACTGGCGAGTTCGGCAACATGGGAACCGTCGTTGGACCTCCTCTCGCTACCAAGTTGCAGTCTTTGACTGATAACAAGGTTACCATCCAAGGCGTGAACTACGATGCTTCTGTTGCAGTATGTTTTCCCTTATGTCCCGCTTGAACTTAACAAGTCGGTACTAATGATTTCTTTTTTCATGATAGGGTGACGCAACCATGGGCGCAGACGGTGGTTCCGCCATGGCGACTCTCGTCAAAACCGCTCTTAAAAACTGCCCCAACACCAAGGTCGTTCTGGGTGGATACTCGGAGGGTGCTATGGTCGTCCACAACGCGGCCAGCAGCCTTACTGCGGATCAGGTGGCTGCTGCCGTGCTCTTCGGTGACCCATTGAAGGCCGAGAGCGTTGGCAAGCTCTCCAGCAGTGATGTGAAGGAGTTCTGTGCTACTGGTGACCCCGTTTGCTTGAATGGAGCCAATGTCATGGCTCACCTGAGCTATGGTTCTGATGCGACCACTGCTGCGGAGTTCTTGATCAAGGCTGCTGGCATCTCCACTAGCTCTTAGATGGGTTATATGCTATGCACTGATAGCCAAGATGCTATACTCTGAGATATGTTGTGAGTGGGGTTGGGAGGCTGTTACCAATTGCTTTGTAAGATCAGATTGAGACATCTGTGAAGATAAGTTTTGGTTACATGCATGTATGTGAGGATATTTTAGGATTAGCAATTCTAAAATTAGAAATTTGGTGTGAAATGCAAAATGTGTGGCATACTTAGAATTATTTAAGTAGATTCCGTAAGCTTGTGGCGCCACTACATGCTTGGATGCATGAGTCGTGCCCTGGTGGAAGAGGATAGAGAATGCCTGAAATCAGACAAAAACGTGCTACTGGAGATATACAATGCTGATTGGCTGTGATGACCCAAACCACATTACATAATCCACCGAGCCTACAAGCCGACATGTGGAGCCAATACACTGGGAACATTTAGCCGACACGGCGAATTCGGCGAGTTCGGCGAGAAGGAATTGAAGGGCTGATCCGATTACACGACAATAAAATCATCACCGGAATGATTCACTTTTCAAGATGAGAAATCAATTGCAAGCCACCTTGAGTTTTATTGTTTCTCCACTTCACACGCAGCGATGTTGATTATAAAAGGGTACAAGAATCCATCCACGATTTGTTTTTCAGAACAGCAGTTCAACAAGCATTGAGACTTCAATCCTACTACTTTCCATAACACAGCAACAACAAAATCAAGGAGCCCAAAAAGCATACCATCAAGATGACACCCAGAATTTTTGTCACTGGCGCCACTGGCTACATTGGCGGCCACACTACTGGAGAGCTGATCACCGCTCACCCCGAGTACCAAATCGTGACACTCGTCCGGAATGAAGAACAAGCAGCAAAGCTCCAGGCTCACTGGCCGGCTATCACCACTGTCATTGGAACTCTGGATGACGACAAGGTTATCAAGGAAGAGAGCGCCAAAGCGAATGTGGTTCTGCGTAAGTGGGCCCCGATCCTCTATGTATTCCTTTCTCATGGAGAAGGAGACTGACATCGAATATTAGAGCTCGCGAGCTCCGACCATATTCCGGTTGTGAAGTCTGCCATTGCCGGACTAGCGACTGGAGGCGGCAAATTGATTCACATCTCTGGTACCGGAGTTCTCAATGACATGTCGACTGGCCCTGGTAACCCATCACCGAGGGTGTACGACGACGTGGAAGACCTTGAGGACATCACTTCGCTTCCGGAGACTGCTTTCCACCGTGATGTCGATGATGCCGTTCTGACCGGAGGATCGCTGCACGGTGTAGGCACTGCGATTATTTGCCCTCCCCTCATATATGGTGTGGGACAGGGTCCGATCAAGAAGAGAAGCATGCAGATCCCCTTCCTCAGTGAGGCAATTTTGAAGAGAGGACGTGGCTTCACCGTTGGTGCGGGCAAGAATATTTGGGATCGTACGTAAAACCCATTCCTGTGCCTGCCCTTTCTTTTCAAGCCCACAAAATTCTAATAAAATGATCAGATATCTATGTCGGAGACTTGGCGAAGGCATGTGTGCTCCTGATTGAGGAAGCACTCAAGCCGCAAGGCGGATCTGCTCAGTGGGGCTCGGAAGGCTACTACTTTGCTGAGTCGGGTGAATTCGCATGGAAGGATGTTGCCGAAAAGATTACCCAGGCCACCAAGGAACTTGAAAAAATTCAGAGCGCAGAAGTTGATCAACTGTCTGTCGATGAGGCCTGCAAGTTTCACCCGTGGGCTCCGGTCTTGTGGGGAGGAAACTGCCGCAGCAGAGCGACGCGTCTTCAGTCACTGGGCTGGAAGCCCCAGGGTCCAACGATTTGGGAGTCTCTTCCTGCCATGGTCAAGGCCGAGGTGGATGCACTTGCCAATTGAGTCAGCTTTGTGGTCAAGGGTCTGTCTAAGGTCGCTGGTACCAGGGTACTAGGTTGATTTTTCATGTCAGAAACCTCCTTGATCCTGACCGCCACGTGTTGTTCAATGGGGACCATGATGATATGCAATAATATGCGCCTGAATAGATACGATTTATAGAATATTATGAGATTTTCTTACATGCTATGCGCACCTATCTATACTGCACGACTGAATATGTTGCCGGACGATTGTGATAATTTCATGTACTCATGCACAGGCATATGGTGTTTCTCTCAAGACCGTCACTAATCACGAGATAGGAGTTGCTGAAATGACAAATATCTGAGCAAGCAAGACAGCATTCAGCTGACATCCGACAGGGCTGAACGTTGGGTTTCGGATCTTGCCCGGCGCTACTCCCCATTCGGCCTCGTCTGCGCCTTTGGGGATGAACTTCACTTTCTCATCACAACCTGACTCATCGAGGTATGAAGATCTATGATCTGGGAACTTGCTGATTCTCTCGGTCTCATAAACATATATAGGCGCTCCCTGCGCCAAAGGCGTCCAGCACGAGATGGATAGGTGGGTCAATTCACTCTGGCGGCATCCCTTCCCAGTATCGTCGTTACCCCACTTTGGCGACTCCGACTGCCTTATCTACTGTCTCATTAGGGTTTTTAAGTGACTCGGTTTCTTACATCAAAGCAATAGCGAAGCCTTCTGCGGAAATATGAATTTTCAGCCTCCATTCAAATCGAAAGGAGGAATATCTTTAACTTTCGGATCCGAATCCATGGAAATTGACGTAAGCGACGATTCTTCCGGGAATATTCAAATGAGTGATCTTTACGATGAAGACTCCGAAGAGTCTGAACTCATGTCAGTGGGGAAGAGGAGTCATATAAGTAACTTTGGTATCCAACTGTCTGCAGCCAGCCCGCTTACAGTGTTGTTCTGCTTAGGTCATATCGATAGCTTGGCCAGGAAAGTCGAATCATTCATACTGGGAGCATATCCCACTTCACTGGCATCGAAAGTGGTGCAGCAGGCTCTTTCTTACAGTAAGGATCTTGTATTTGGAATATCAGCGGGCCGTTCTCACACCCCAGACAGGACTCTCGGTCATGACACCCCGTGTGCTTCCTGCAACAAATTCACTTAACCCCTATCTTCAATTCTGGCTGCCACTTTCAATGAATGACAAGGCTCTATTCTCGGCATTACTATCCGCTTCCCTTTCCCATCAAACAATCAATCGTCTCCTCGATGGTGGGGTCTCACTTTGGAGCAAAGACACTGAGCATGATCTTCAAGTTTCATACAAAGAGACGATCAGTGCAATAAATGACTCTTTAAGGGATCCGACCCGCGCTACAGCCGATAGCACTATATTAGCTGTTCTTATGGCAGTCGAAAAGCCAGATGTGCAGATTGACAAGCCCTGGGCTCAGGAATCTCCATTTCAGGCGCCACTTCAGGGCCTCCAGTGGCTGAAAGTTCATAGTGCTAGAGAGCCCAATATTTCCCACCAGGATGGCTTATGCAGGATTGTCAAACTGCGCGGGGGGCTTACCAATATTGCCACGCCGGGTATTGCGGCAGCGGCTTTCTAGTAAGTGATCATGGTCTGTCTTGGCGTCTAAGTTTGCTGTTCTAATTTTCGAAGTCGAGTACTTGTGAATTCTACCCTACTTCTTTCGACGCCGGAACTCCCTTTTTATCCGCTCTCAGGAACGCAATTCCAGTCACTCTGTACATTTACAAACAGGGGTCCCAATGCAGAGGCTCGAATGAAAATACTTGATGATGCTAGTCTAAAGCCATGGATTACATCTTCATTGTATGAACTAGCAGCCTATACGGTATCCATCGAAAGTTACATCCGAGGAGACACTCTAAGGCTTGATGCTCAATCCATGTGTGATAGGCGCAACCTTGCACAATACAATTTGATGTGCATTGCCCCTGAGAGTGGCTTGGAAGAGGAGAATGCTTTATCGGAAATTTGTCGTATAGGTGCAATTATCTACAGTATCGGCGTGACATTCCCACTTGCAGGAGTCGGCGCACCATTTCCGAAACTAGCAATGATGCTACAATGGGAGATTCAAAACAGTGGCATACTGGATAAACAACCACTTCTTCCAACCATATATCACCTTTTGCTATGGGTCCTGACAATGGGTGGCATTGCAGCTGCTGGGAGGCCTGAGAGAACATGGTACACAATAATCTTGGCAAATACGATGACTCAATGCCAAGTCACCGACTGGAGAGACTTGAAGAATTTACTGAAGGTCATTCTTTGGCTAGATAGTTCATGTGATATGGCGGGCAGGGAGCTGTGGAGCGAAGCGCGCTCTCAAATGCAGCGAACGTCTGTTCTTTCTGCGACAGAAAGATCGTCCCCATGTGCTCATTGTAAGGCAAGGAAAGTCAAATGTGGGAATGAACGTCCCTGCTACCACTGCGTCAGCAGTGGTCTAGATTGTCAGTCATTACTTCCTGAGGGGGATAAGAAAAGAGTGCATGTCTATTCAGTTCGAAAGAAGCCTTGTGAACTATGCAAAAGAAGGAGAGTTCGATGTGATAAAGGAAGTCCTTGCCAGCGGTGCCTAAATGGCGGATATGATTGTACTTACGCAGATCATAGCTAGATTCAGAAAAATTAATATCCTGGAGGAAACCGTAAATCTATCAAGCTTCTGAGAATTATGTAGCTGGGTCACTGTCAACATTAGTCACGAAGTCAGGTGACTTTCCCCGGTTGTCCGTATACGTAATCAGGCGGTGGAACAGCGACCAATGGGTGTCCCCTCGAGTATATGTGTCTGTCTGTCCATTCTGCTATCTCCAAGCACGCACCTTATGTGTGTGCTTACTAATATCATGTGATCTAGGTAGCTTACACCATCTAATATATGCCGACACCGGTTGCCCGTACCTTAATCGAAGCTGACAACCAAGAGCCCCTTCTGTCCACCAAAATCTCGGGTCTATTTACTACCTGCTGGGCTCCATTTTGTGAATTCATACCATGGTAATTGACTCTGCGGTGCAAGAGGCGCCTTTACGGCGCCGTTCACGCGATGGTACGCCTACTACCAAGCCCCCGCTTCTGACATCAACAATGTGCGCCCAGGCTGCTTCACCTGCAAGACACGAAAAGTTCGATGTACCAAAGTTGTCACGGAGTCAGAATCGAAGTTGAACAAATTGGCTCTTCAAAATGTGCAACGTGTGTTAGACTTGGCCTTGAGTGTCGATGGCATGCACCAGCACCTGGAGAACACTACATCATCCACCCAAGAGAAGGCGGACGGTGGCTCAACGATCAAGCCCAGCTCCAAAAAATCACCCAAAAACAGCTTCCCATTTTGATCCAGAAAACTTGATGAATGCGGGTACCTTAAATTTGGATCGATCCATGAACTCCCAACTAGAAAACCTTGGAGTTCTGGACCTGGGCTTCGATTTCGATATCGAAGGTGACCCCTTCGGCTTCAATATCCCTGGAGAAGGGCTGGATTTCATACCGTTACCTCCTGGAGAACTAACAGCGAATTTTCAGGATGCAGAAATGCCCATTGGGAACTTTACGGGCGCATATGCCAATATCCTAGTTGAAGAGGAAAAGTCTGTTGATCTGGATTCTGAAACACCCATTACGATCAACAACGAAAATTCACGTTTAGTTCAGCACTATTTAGATGTTATGAAGGAATATGCGAAGCTGGACGAATTTCCGCACAAGGCCAGCAATCTGTTTGTTTCTGCTTTCTCCAAATCGCTTCAATTTCCGCCTCTCTTTTATGCCATTTTGGCGTTCTCCGCTTCTCACCTCAGCGTTGAAGATGAATCTTACTCCCGTCAGGCCTCAAGATATACAAGTTTAGCAGATTCTTCATTCCAAAATCATAACAAAGGCGAGGATACGGATATCGACGCGTTATTATCCGCACTGGTTGTCCGCATTAAAACAGTGCATATGATGGGAGGTGAGGTTGAGACATTCCACAGTATCATGAAGGTAGCCGCGGATATCGTGTCATCTGAACGGGGCGCACAGGCTTTAGAAGATCCATCTAGTTTATCGCGACGGATAATCATTCGTCTTGCTATCTTGGATGCGCGAGCTAGTTGTTTTCGACTCGGCGGGGGTATCCTTGTCAGGCGTTTGTGCACACTACCATCTTGTTCGTTTATTTTCGAACGCGAACCGGACAATGCTTCCTCAAGAACTACCCTACTTAACTTACTTCAAGCGGACCTGTTCAAAGTCCGAGTTGCAGACCTGAACATACGATTACATGGTGAATTGACAGGTGGTAGCGACCAATCATGCTTAGGTATCCAGGAATTCAATGGTGTTTACAAGGAGATTTGTCACGAAATTGGAATAATTGAAAAGCGAATGGTCACCTTCGGCGATGACTTGACAAGCCCTCCATTCCCAGGGGATAGACCCATTGATTCAGCCTCTTACGATCGTCTTATTGTCTTATCAGCTCTTCATTCTGGACTCCTCTACCTCACTATGATTATCGTGCGTTTTTACATTAAGAATTAGCTTCAATTGGTCTGACTTCCATCTAGCCTTTCCCTTTGGACGGCTGTGAGAAGTCAGTCTCACGAATTCTTCTGACTCAACTCAAGGTTTCGCACGATCCATCACGAAGAGGCTCTCCAGGATCACTCATGCCTGCATCGCTATTTCTAGCCGGCGTGCATAACACCGATCCAATCAAGAGTGACTGGATCTTGGGGCTACTCGACAGAGGTATGGAGTGGGGACCATACATCGGGAAAACCAGACTACTTCTGGACTCTGTGCTTCAAGCACAGTCCAAAGGTATCAAGATCAATTTGCGTGATATCATGGACCAGGCAACTGGCCAATTTGTGATCTAACACGCCGAACATCGGGTAGATGTCATGTCCGAAATGTCAGCTGAAATCAATTCGCATTGTTCCTATGAGACATTTCTACCGGCGCCATGTTTTTCGCGTCTGGGAACTCATGATTGCAATTTCAGGTTGGCATAATCCGAGTCTTTTCTCGGCATGCACTTTCATCTTTGCCGAGATCGAGCCGACTATGTCGGATCGAAATGTCACGTGCTGTCTTCATACATATACCCAATGCCGTTCCAAAGGCAAATTGATATGAAGAACACATAATGTTCTCTAAGATATAGAGAAAAATATCATAAGCATCGGTTTAAAGAACAACAAAGCTTGGGGTCGAGAATGGCGTCTGGAACCCTCCCTAACGATGCCTTCCTGGTAGGAAAGCCAACAATCACCTTTTTGCCAGAAACCGAAACATCGAAAGCTGTGATTCTCGAGCCATACCATGTTGATCTCCTGCCAGTATTCAATTATGATAGTAGGTATACTTGATTCAGGTGTAGCTGCCGGCCAATCCTATTGCACGAGGTTATTGCTTCGTTTGCCTACTGATGTGACCAGATTCTCTGGTCTTGTCGTCGAAGAGCCATCGCACCTATGGGGCGGTACCAGCATATGGCGTCATATCAATCGTTGGCTTATGCGCAATGGTGAGTCCAATACATAAATCTCATTGTTGCTCTTACACTGATATTTCCAAGGTCATGCATGGCTGGAGGTTGATTCCCAAGCACCCTCGGCGATTGAAAAGATCAAGAATGCCGATCCTATTCACTACGAGAACATGGACTTCATTCCGGGTTTGCTTGCGGAAGAGTTCGCCGAGAAATATTCCGTTTGTCACGGATGTATCGAAGGAAACTCTTTATGTGAATTACAGCGCATTCAAAGCAAAATGGTGGCCCGCTACTTCGCAATCTCCAGAAATTCTGGCTGCTGCATCCTACGCTCTCAGACCCGGAGAAATGGGTATCAAAGCCCAGAAAGTCATTTTGACTGGACTTTCGCAGACTGGTGGTGTGACCCGACGATTTATCACCCAGTCATCCCATGTACGGCTTCCTAATGGCTCTCTTCCATTTGATGGCTTCATTCCTTGCCAGACTGGTGGACTTGCACTTCCGGATGTTGCTTCCGCGAAGATAATTGAGCTCCTTGGCGAGTCTGAGTTTCAATCTGTTCGCTATCCTTGTGGGGTCAGTGGGCAGCTCAAAGATACCATACATCGACGCGCGGACAGTGACTCATTCCGCATATACGAAATAGCTGGAATGGCTCATCGAGAATCACGATACCCCTCAAGTCGGGATGTCAGAAGAATGGAAGGCGTTGATCTAAATGGGGCACAGTGGAGCACCTTCTCGAATTCTTTTGTTTACCATGCTGTGTTTGAAGCTATGGACAAATGGATTACCCATGGTATTGCGCCACCATCAAGCGCTCTCATTGAGACTGTTGAGTTGAGTGATGAGATTCTTCGCGACGAGCATGGCAATGCCCTTGGTGGAGTTCGGACTCTACATACAGATGTACCTCTGGGACGGCTTGTTGCAGCCACCCCGAAAGGGCGGCCTAGCTGGTACTGCGATAAATCATGCATTGCTCAGGTTAAATTTGATTTATTTCTAACTATTGTAACTCACAGGGTCTGAATTTTGTTTCAGCGACGAGAAACTTCTGGCGATTTACGGCTCGGTCGCAGAGTATCGACGTCGTGCGGGAGGAGCCATTCAACGACAAATGGAAAGCCGCTTTCTTTTACCTGAAGATGCAGAGATCCTGCGCCGAGAAACAGTCGAGGGGTGGTTTTCTAGTTGGATATTTGGTCATGTAGAATTTGAGTGCATCATTTTGACTTACTATTTCTCTTCCATTTCTTCTTATATTTCTTGTATAAGCTCAAATGTTCACAGGTGTGTGCTTCATGTATGCAGTCCACGGGCCTTTATAATCGAAGCCAAAATCTTATTCCCACAATTTGCTGTATTCAACGTAATTGGTTTAATACTTGACTTTATAAGACGTTTTTCTCACTCCTTTTGGCAATCTTTAATATTTGATGGGTTATATAGGACTTGATATCAAGATTGACTTGCCCTCTCATCCCCCCCCCCCCCCAAGAGGGCATAGTAAAAAGATGCTGTGACATTATCTGGCAAAGGACCTCAAGGTTTGTCGGATCCTGAAGGCTTTTAAGCAAAACCATAACTATAGCCCTGGATATCATTCATCTTCGAGAATAGCTACTGCATATAACTAAAATGCAAGATCATAGCCCATCACGTCACTTCCTCTTGGTTTTTTGAAACGCTAAAATACCTCCAATACATGAAATCAAAGGTATCCATATACCACATAGAATATTTCTCGGCTATCACAAGGTATATCTGAAAGTTTTCCACTGCTCAATCCGATTTGTCCTCGGTCTGTGTGCAGTATCCGATGTGCCACCATGATTCTGAGCCTTTTTTTCCCTGCGTTCATTCTCATATCTATACCAAGAGATTTGGACAATTGGGAGGAAGGTCAGTAATGCATAGCATCCCACTTCTTAGCATTAGCAAAGAAAGATGAAATCTACAGGCCGATTGGACCTACTAAGCATTTTCAAGGCCAGCTCATACTTCGGCGCCTGCTAATCAAGGAAAAAAATCTGTTTCATATGTCAGCCATGTCCTGTTCCTAAGTTTCTCAAGACCTACGAGGTCCCACAATCAGTCCTGTGGCCCAACCAGCAATATTATACCAGATGCAGTAGCCCTCTTGGTGTTTCCGGTGTAGTTGGAGGCCATAAGAGCGACGTTCAAAGTCAATGACATGGTATTCCTGAACTTTCGGAAGTCCATTTTTTTTTCATTTGAGAGAATGACCAACGTATAAGTCAGATAGTAGCCTGTGAGTCTCCCTGCCTGGTTTGAGAGTGGAAGAAAATGGAGCAGCGAGGCACCTATGAGTGCCGGGATCGAGATGAGGATGCATAAGTATAAAAGAAAATTCTCATGGTATTTTAGAATATACGAGCAGATGAGGAATGTGGTCAGTTAAATGACAGTAGTCGGACAAGTCGAAATGACCGTAGTGTCGAGGGCAGAAAATCCGAATCCTTGAACGAATTGGCTGGAATACTAAACAAGCATCAGCTTGCATCTTCAAATATTAAGCTCAGTACCTACCTGGCTTGCCAATGCTGACGGCATTGAGTTTCCACTGTTTTGGAGATTTTTGGAGATTAGTAAGAAGTTCTGGGGATGGTAAGCGAAGAGACCTAAACTGCTGTCAAGAAGAAGAAAGTAGTTTGAGAATCTCGGAGACCTTCCCAAAACTGAGACCACACCCAGTCGTATTTAATACCAACCGCTTGATTTTCGCTCCCTTTTTCAACGCCAATTGGCCTTTCTTGTATAATCAACTGGCGATTGTGTCCAAAATTCTTGGTAAGAAAATGTGAAAAAGTCGGTATGCCACCAAGCAAAAATGGTGTTCTGGATTCCTGTTCACGACCTTTGCCTGAGTTGTTCATAATGAACAAAAACGCTGGGCCGATTATGCTTTCCACAAGGCCGAGAGAGAACCGAACACCCGCGATACTGACAAAATTGAAGCAAAAGGCTTGAATCATTCAAGTCAATATTTTATCATTCAGTCGTCATTTGTTTAACTCACCTGTAAGCCATATTATAGAAAACCATAGCAGAAGAGCGCTGGATACAAATTTTCCAACGTGTTGTGGCCAGCGTTGCACGAGCCTAGTCCATATTATCGAACCAATCATGTAGCCAATATAAAAGATACTAAAGAGATAAATCAGAATTTGTGTATTGTAGATTACCAAAGGACTGCAGACCTTCCAAGCCAGCCGTATTGTGAGCCATTCAGCTTGATTGTTTCCTCTAAATGAAAGATTGAGCTGTAGTTGATAAACATTTTGCTTAGGAACTTGGAGTTTATCAGATTTGTATTCAAAAGGGGGGGGTGGGTCAGTTTCATACAGAGAAGGCATAGCAAAGGCACCAGAGTGGAATCAGAATGAGATCAGTTCTTCGTCTTGTTTCTTCATGAGCGTAGCCGGGAGTGTCCAGAGCATTTATTGTTGAATTCTCGTAAAAAGTCTCGTCCCCAAGAATGGCTTCAACACAGCCTTTCTCAATGTCGTTTGTGATGGACATAGCCTCAGTGAGTTTTTGGACGTGTTGGTCTATTGTAGTTTGTCTGGTATCAGCTTGCGTCGTTTGAACCATGTTGTGATTGGATGCATGGATGGATTTGATTGTTATTCCCTTGAAGTGGGACAGACTCGGTGCTGGGACGCATGATAAGCATTTATAGCAAAGTCTATCTAAAGCTAATTTACAGGCCTCGTAATGGCTGATAGCATGCAAAGACAAATGCGGAAGTGGCTGATGCTGCGTATTTCGGCATAGTCGATCCGACTATATCGGCTAGAGAGGAGTCATGTGACCTTTTCTAAAAGGGTCGGGTGACAAGGACTCTAAGTGCTTGAGCCGGGTGAGAGAGACTAGATAAATATTCTCCACCGTATCCAGGCGTGCCGTGCGACAGTCCAACTTTGATTTGATACTTTTTAGACGTCGACGCCTAGATCACGGCCTGAACCCCCGGGATGGTGGTACACGGCCAGGAATGCCCGCGTATATTGATAAAAATATCTTTGGTGCTGCTCGGCCTCATCCTTATTGTTGAATAAATATTTGCAGTAATAGCATATTTACTGTTATTTTATCTCACGTCCGTTGCAATCAACCAATTCGATCGTCGAGCATACAGTAAAGGCAAGAGAGTCTCCTCTTCGCGTTGAGCGAAAAAGACCACTCACTCTCCGACTTCCAAAAGTATGAGGACCAATATCACAAAAAGAAACGAGGAAGTCACGATTCACCCCTCACACGACACAGCGTCAGTCACTGCAGCCTGTCATAAGGGCATATCGAGTTTGGTCAATGTGGAAAGACTTCAGGTCAAGCCTCTCTTGGCTACTCACAAGGTACCATCCGTCTTCGAAGGACATGAAGATCGTAACTGTAAGTTGCCTGAAAGCGAAGCCATGCCAAGAAAATCTCCTCCCGGAATGGTAGTTTTCGAGCGAAAACCTCGCGTCGATCGCGCAGGCCTTCTTGGCGCCCCTAAAGGTCCTCAAAGTATGTATGCATCCATTGAGGGATCCTTTCTTCTTTATAAACAGGAGGGTCTAACTTCTGTTGAGATTATCTGCATCTTTCACAGCTGAAATGAGTTGCAAGATTCTGTTTGCAGCTGCAACCCTCCTGCTCGGCCAAACCCAAGCGGTGCTTGGTCGCTCGCCGGAGCCTCTGGTCCAGGTTACTACGTCGGATGCTGTTCACCCTGGTGAGCTAGCCAATATTTACCTTAATTGGCTGGGCAAACCTCCGAGCTCTTTCAAAGCCGTTCATGCTTCGTGTGTGAATCCGAATGGATCGGCTCCGGAGGCGTTCATCGGACAATACTCTGTCAATGGTCAACCTCCTCATCGCCTAGCATGGGCAGTTCCCAACGGTTTTCAAACGGAAAATTGTATTTTTGTATACGGTGGCAAGTACAAGGGCGAGTCAGAGCAAGTTATTGGCAAAAGCAAGCCCGTCCATCTGCAGCGAAAGGCCTCAAAAAGATCCACTGCCGAAATGGACAACCCTCTTTTGAAAGATTTTGATTCCCTGGGAACTTGGTTCGACGGAGTGGCTTCTATTAAGGAGAAATCTTATCAAAATGGCGGCGTTGCATCTGAGGCTTCGTCCAAGAACGCGTCCATCGCGATTGTTGGTGGCGGAATCTCAGGTCTTGCAACGGCTCTCATGCTTGACAGCGTCGGCATTCATAATTGGGAGATTATCGAAGCCAGCAATCGTGTTGGGGGACGATTTCGAACGAAATACATGGCCGACACCCAGGAATGGGCCGAAATGGGCCCCATGCGACTTCCACACTCTGTCACCTACAAAGAGGACAATGAGACCCTCCTATACACTGACCATCAATTGACTTTCCAAATCGCCGAAATTCTCAACGCGATGAATGAAAAGGATTCCCAATTGAAGGTCGAGTTTATCCCCTGGATTCAGCATCACCCGAATGAGCTGATTGCTCAAGGCACCCGTCGACACCCTGACGGTCGCATTCCAACGCGCGGTGAAATCGAAGCGGATCCAAGCCTGATTGACCCACCATCCATGGCGAGTGCTGAATACGAGAACGTTCAGAACCAGATGAACAGAATTTTAAAAAATTCGACTACCCTCAAATCGATTCAGAGGGATGTTTGGAGAGCTCATAAAATCGCAATGGACGAAGGCTTGGATGACTGGAGCGAACAGGCCATGATGCGCCATGTCTTCAAGGCTAGCGAGAACGTCACGGATCAGATCTGGACCGAGTCCGACTACGACGTGTTCTGGGATGAGCTCCATCACAACTCTAATCTCGGCCTCGATGGCAGCAGCGACTCCCTAGGCGAGACTCACTGGCTGTGCATCGATGGGGGCTTCAGCCGACTATCCGATGCTTTCCTCCCTCATGTCACGGATAGACTGACTCTCAACCGACAAATACGAAAATTGGAGTCAATCAAAGGCCAAAATGGCACAACTCGAACTCGTCTTTCGTGGTATCCTAGTGTGACAAACCGGACATTCGAATCAAAAGAATACGACTACACTATCATGGCGGTTCCGTTCACGATGACTCGCTTCATGGATTTGCCAACTTTCTCCTCAGTTTTGGGACGTGCAATTAGTGAAGCCGGTCTCCGCTTCAAATCTGCCTGCAAGGTCGCCTTACTCTTCTCAGAGCGCTTCTGGGAGAAAGGTGAGAAACCAATCTTCGGCGGATACTCAAAGCCGCCCAGCGACCCTGTAGGTGCGCTCTACTACCCTGTGTACGGTTTGAATGAGTCGCGCCCCGGTCTGATCATGCACTATCGTGGAGGAGACTGGAGCGATCGCTTCGTCAGCTTCTCAGACGAGGAACACGTTCAGACGGTCCTGGACTCGATTGTTTCGCTGCATGGAGAACAAGCCAGAGACTTCTACACTGGCGACTATGAGCGCCTCTGCTGGCTTCAGGATGAGCACACTGCCACTGCTTGGTGCAGACCTGATGTCGAACAGCACAAGCTCTATATCCCAGCCTACCACAAGACAGAGCATAACACGATTTTTATTGGAGAGCATACTGCTCCAACCCATGCCTGGGTGAGCTCATCGCTGCAATCATCTGTCCGCGGATCAGTTCAGTTGCTCTTAGAGTTGGGTTTGGTGGATGAAGCCAAGGAGCTAAACAAGCGATGGATGGGCCGGTGGATCAAGCTCTGATACATTTGGAAGCCTGACATGTATAGATACCTATTAGATAGATAATAGACATATATCAGACATATTGTTCCCAAATCGATAGACAGAATCGAATCTTAAGGTTTTTATCATTATAAGCTCGATCGCCTGCAGGAAGAATCCTCATCTTCTATTTGAATCATATTATAGGCTTGAAATCGCATGATAGAGTGGTGCCAAAGATTTCCTTGTTGCAGTGAAGGGCCTTGAGGGTCAATCGTCTCATAAAACAACATGCTCTAGAGCATCTAAGAGTGCAAAGCAGTGCCGTCTCTACTTAGCGCAAAATTACTGTCCAACCACAATAATCCTATTTCGCCACAGTTCTCAAGAAAGACTTGGCACATTCTATACGATTGCCACTATCCTTCAAATCCCATGTCCAACTTCCAGTTCACATACTCTAATAAATTCAGCCATCATTCATGACAACTTCCATTGATGAATCAGATAACGGCGTTAAGGGAAAAGCTTGGAAATGTTTCGAGGCCCATCAGGTCCTTCCTCGAGGCCATTTCTTCGGGGTGCACCAGGCCGCCATTGCCAGAACGGACGCATGTATGACGTGCTCTGATCGGCATTCTCAAAGACATCCGCTGCATGCTTTATTCAAAGCTATTAGCCGAGTCTTTGTGTAGAGCTATCTTTCAATTGACTCACTTGTCCAAGAATAGGTAGAAATTTGGCCCCATGGCCGCTGCCCCCTGTGCAGACAAAGACAGAGTTTTCCGCATAATCAGGGACATAATCAATCTGTAATGTGTGGCTTTAGGACGATAGTTTATGCTAAGCGTGGGTGATTGGTTCTTACCACAAAGGAATTGTCCAAGGAGTCCGTATACCAGCAGAGTTTGGTAGAGTGGAATGGTACAGTGTCAAACTCCGGGAGGAAAATAGATACAAACTGCCTAATAGCATAGACAGCTTGTTCTTGTAGTGAAATGCATTCGTTTGGTGGGAGCGGCACCGACCACATTCCATTCTGGGTGAAAGGCGTGCCATCAGGCGCAGGTCTAAAATTGGTGAACTAGGTAGAAGTGGTCAATTAGTATTGTTTTGGAACAGCCGCAGACTACACACCTTGAGTCCACGATATCCCACCTTGACCAGACCTTCAGGGGTTCGAGGCAAGACATAGATGCTCCCGGTGTCTCGGCCCGTCGAGTCTCGAGGAGTGCTTTTCCATGTCAAAACCGGGAATTTTTCAGGGGAATACTTGTCCCAAAGCTCCCTATGATTTGAGTCAATCTTGAATGTGGCTAAGCTTCCAGCGGAGGACTCGAGGTGGTAGCTCAGGCTTGGTAAAACTTGCGTAGAGAAGGATCCAGCTATTCATAGTCACAATTAGAGCAGATTGAGAATTTTGAAATCTTAGCATTTCTTACCAGCAACCACCACAACATCGGCTTTGTGAAAAACGCCGTCTTTTGTCTTCAGTCCAGTCGCTTTTTCTTTATTGGGCTCAGCAGCACTGAGCTCTTTCACTATCGATTCCACAGCACCTTTCTCCTGTCCAAAGTGAAATTGAACCCCCGTCGAAGTCGCAACTTTCTGGTAATGAGCACAGGCATTACTGCACCTCAAGAACCCGGCCGTTGAATCAAGTACGGCCTCATAAGATCTAGCAGGGGTGACATCTGGGATCCCGAAATCAAGCAATTTGTCCTTCCACCCTAGATGATCCGCACGTTGTTGATCCTCGGCGCTGCTCTTGACGAATTGTGTATCTCGGAAACCGTCGCGCTCCAGGTTGGCGAGAGACTCTTTCTCCAATGCTCCAAGGTGATCCGTTGGCTGCACACGCAGCATTCCGCTGTTGACGAAAAGCCTTTGTTCCCCAGACGCAGGAGCCTGCTGTGAAAAGCCGCGATTCTGGTCCTCTGCGATCCAAAATTTCCGCGCTTCCATGGCGAGACGCTGATAGTGAAGTTCCTTTCCGTAAGACGCTCGGAACTATCCATTTCGTGGTCAGTGCATGTTGCTCATTTGCTGATTCCCCTCGGAGCCTCACAATCTTGTTGTGGTCTACCGATGCGGCTTGTATATCATCATCGCTTGCATCGTATGCATTTTGATCATATCTATAGCGCTCGAATACGGTAACATGGTGACCTGGGTCATGGTCAGCTCATCACATATCACCTTCAATTCTGCACACTTACCTCGGTCGCGAAGAGCCACCGCTAACGAAAGACCAAATATGCCAGCTGTGCATGATCAGAGATTGTCTCCAAAGACGTTTCGAATGAAGCGAAGCTACGCACCTCCTATAATCGCTACTGACTTTGGTTCAGCCATTCTGTGCTGCTCAGATGAGAGTGATGCAATTGGGAAATGGTCTTATCGCCGTCGCCCCGCCTTTTAAAATGCTAAATCCCCGCAGCGGAGCGGAGCGTGTTGACTACCAGTGTACCTAGTATTTACCCTTGCATCCGGCAAGCATCTGATCATCCGTGGACTGAACGCGCTATTTTACTTTCATCGAGATATCTTTGTATTTTGGTACAAGTTTGGCCAATTTTCTGACATTACTGGAGGACTTTCAGCTCCGACATGGATACTCCTTGGTCCGTTTTTTGCTGAGTCAAGCTTATTTTCACAACTTGATACACTGAACTTTCATTCGAAGCATGCTTTTGTGTTGTCTTCGGTCAATTGGTGAAAGGTTATCTGTCGAGTGAGCAAGAAGCTGTAGCCGCGTGAAATGAGTCGTTTCCAAGCGATTCGGACACAGTGTTCCTAAGGCAAAGTCGTCCCAAGACACTTTCTCTGCTGAACGGAAAGAACAAAGGAATCCTTGTTGAATTTACCAACCTCTGCGTTAACCAATGCTGCAGAATAGCATCATGGAGGTCAATGACAAGGACACCGCTGAAGTTCAGCGTTCCACGAAGGTTTCTGCGACGAAGGTCCCGGCTAAAAATACTGAAGTTGCCGCCCCAATGTCAGCTGGCCCCACCTTCAGCCCATGAGCTTTGCGACGTATCCACAGCTCAATTTTTTCCATCTCACTTTGGATTTCTTTTTGAAGATTCCTCCATCCAGTCTAATATAATCGTGACCAGGCATATCTGCATTGCGAATTCAATTCGGTTAACAAGGTCACCGAAATCCGTTCTTCTTTTTCCACACGAGCCAAAACAAGATGGATTTGAGCTATGACGCAGCTCGCATTCAAGGCAAGACCATACTTATCACCGGCGGCGCCTCAGGCTTTGGCGCTGGATTTAGTGCTCGCTGGGCAGCTGCCGGAGCAAACGTGATAATCGGCGACATCAATCCAGCCGGCAAAGAAGTCGCGGCGCAAATCCGCCAGGTTACGCAAAATGAAAATGTTCATTTCATTCAGCTAGATGTCACATCTTGGACATCCCAGGTCAATTTCTTTCGCGAGTCTCTGAGACTGAGTCTACATGGTGGAATTGATACCGTCGTTGCGAATGCCGGTATTAATAATAGTGAGGAATCTCGAGCCTTCGAAAACCCACACGTCGACTATCTGAACGATCCCAGCCCGCCGGCTCCAGAATTCAAGACACTAGATGTCAACCTCACTGGTGTTATGTATACAGTGCACCTGGCGTTGTTCTTTCTACCGAAGAACCCGGGCTCGAAGCCGTGTGAACAGGAATTAGTTACCTCGGAGTCGGGACGAGACAGACATATCCTGCTCATGGGGTCCGTTGCTAGCTTACACCCCCTGATCACGCAGGCGCCGTATACTGTTTCGAAACATGGGGTGCTTGGGTTGTTTCGGAGTCTACGCGTGACAGCTCCCATCAGCGCTGGTGTTCGAGTCAATATTATCTGCCCATACTATACCGATTCCACATTCATGCAAACGCCTGTTCGGGTACTATTAGCGGGGGTGCCACTCGGGCAAAGTGAGGATGTTATCGATGCGGCATCGTATTTGGTCGCTGATACCGCGTGTATTGGTCGCTCGCTGGTTACGGGACCCAAACTGAAACTTGATCCTTCGACGGGAGAACTGGAGGCTCTTCATGATGAAAACAATGAAGAAGGAGCTGTTTGGGAGTGCTATCTACATGACTCGGACCCAGCAGATATCTTCACTCAACGGATGCTCACTGTTGTTCATGCTGCTGTGAAGGCAAGAGGATGGGCCGGCTGGGCATATGATATGGCCGGTGCATTGACTTGGCCAGTCCGCCAATGGTGGACTCATGGGTAAGTATTCTGTTAGGCTTTGTATCAATGGGCACACCGGTGGTTGGAGGAAAGCTTTCCGTGATGGTTATTTCTAGGTCTTCGAGACGTAAATTAAAGAATTTCATTACGTCGCAATCAAAATCAAATGACTGCTTAACTACAAAGCCGAAAGATGTGTTGCGGTAGGCTGACGCTGCGAGATCACCAGTTTGAAAAATATCGGCCGTATAACTTCCATGTTAATAACAATGCCAGGGTGTACATTGCTTGGTTCTTGCATCCAGTAGATGAATGTCCCAAATGTGAAAATCACAATGGCCTCTCTGATAATTCGAGCGTAGAGGTCGGAAGCTTGAGAACGAAGCGACCGAAGAGTTGTATCAGCACGTCATGTGCTGGTCGAAACGGTCAAGGGAGACAGGGAAAAAGGACCGTACGAGTACAAAGTACGAAATCGAGAAAGAGACAAGACTGAAAGATCAACATGCTGTATTGTGGAAAAGTGGGTTGTCGGGAAGGGAGAAGAAGAAGAGAAGAAAGAAGAAGAGAGAGAAGCGCTGGTCTACCTGGAGGGGTCACTTGACCTCGTAACAAGTACAATCATTAGCTAAGTCGCTTATTCCAAACTAAGTAGTCTAGCAGGCGTATCCGTCTTCGACTAACCCTATATTATGTTTTGTGTAATCTTCGGGCATTCTAAGTACTGCCCTTCGACCAGATACGCTAGTCAATGATGTTGCCGAGGGCGCGGCCCTAAAGTCGCAAGAACTGTTCAGCACAATTGAGAATAAAGTCACGACGTTTCTCTGAAGCAAAAACTGTCAATCTGAAATACCTTCGTCTTCTAAGTTTGACTAGGTACACGACGACCGATTTCATGATCGGCATTTCGCTACTACTCATCAAGGTCTTCTCGTTCGTCTTCATCGAATGAAGAGTCTGTATCAGAGCGTTCCAGTTCCTCCTCCGCCGATATTCTATAGGCTATAATCTCTTCTTCTTGGGAATCAACATCCAAGCCATGCGCTTCATACGCTTCAATGATGTTCATTTTGGCTTCTCCACCATTGAAGGTGTTCCGGTACCCCATCATGCACTGTATTACTTGCTTGGTATATAGGACCAGGCCTGACTGACCCAGCATTCGATGAAACAAGACTTTATGGCGTTTGTGCCTAAAGTGAATATCAAAAGGCATGTCTGCGGACCAACACAGTTGTTTAGACGGGAACCTTCCATGTCGAATCGTCGAATCAAATAGCAAGATCTCGAAGAGTCTCCCCATTCGAAGGCCCTCCTCGCCGTTTGCTGTCTGCTTCGGGCTTGCCTATATATACCGTGTCAGCCAAGATATTCCAATCTTAGATGGATTGCAAAACTCACTGGAATAATAATGGAGGGGGCACTATCACCACCCATGCACGAATCTATATGGAAAAGGCCGAGCTCTAGAATAGGAGGTTGTTGCACCAGCATCATGCGCCAGCTAGCACCTTTTCGGACAAATCGATCCAAGCCTGCGCTACTTTTGGTCATCGCGCAATCCGAAAAGTCAAATTCGCAGTCGTCTTCATCGCCCTTGCCTGGAAAACAGGTGGGGAACATTTCTGCTAGTAGTGAATTGTGCACCTTTTCTCCCGTGCCCCATTCGAATTCTTTGATTGGGGTGAAGAAGAGGACTTTTTGAATTGGAAATGACTTGGTGATCAGATTGCGCCATTCGCGACAGACACGTTGGCAAGATATCAGAAGAGTGCGCATGTCTATCTGAAGCAAAATCATTTCTAGGATCTCGGGTATGTTTATGGCTGAAGGAGTCAAAAATGAAGCAGTGAATGCCTTCCTAGCCGCTGATCTCGTGATTGGTGCCATATTGCCATGCAAGACACACAGTATCGCCCATGGATGAACGGTAACTGTGGGAGAGCTCTGAGGGCAAGTGCATCAAGGTAATGTCCAAAATAAAGAGTGGACTCTCAATAAGTGATGACCGTAATGATGGAAGGGTGCTTCTTATGAAGGAGAAAACGAGAGAATAGAAGCTGGTCAAGGAGTACGAAGTAATCTATTGAGAGCGACGAGGAAGGAAGAAGGAGAGACTACAAAAGTGAAGCTTAAGTAGTCAGAGGAAGGTACTAGTCCCAATGTGGACGTCAACAGCTTCCCTAATCACAGAACACCTGCCGAGGGATATTTTAGCGCGAAGTTTCGTTTTGGCCCCCAAAAGGAACGAGTGGGGCCGGATATTCTGCTGCCCTAAGCACCCGGATTGGTGGTGACATCGATTGTGACAACAGCTCGGGTCAAGTTGCACTTTACTTCCGATCAATAAAAAAGCCACGTGCAACTTGATCGCAAGTAAAGTGCAACTTGACGCGAGCTACATCCTGATAAGGCTGAGCGCTTTTGCTTTCTGCTTTGGTCTTCTCCTTCTCGGGGCTCTATGAGGTGAAATAGTTGACCTAGTTGACTAGGAGGATCTGCATCAAAGTATATCCACCCTCACTACTTGAAAGACTACAACCTCAGTCCTATTCTAACTTCAAAAATGATATTTCTGTGATTGAACATAAAATAAGCTATACGTAGGGTTATGTCATGTGTTCAAAGTGTTCTTATTGGATGCAGAACTCTTTGTTTAACGAGCTATTAAACAATGGCGGAACTTGGTAAGGAGAAACTCGTTTGGAACCTGTATAGAAACGCCTACCTAACCAATCCAAAAGTTGTCCGGAATCCGGTATAAAGATAAATTGTGACATGATAGAAGAGAAGTATCTATATTAGCCCATGGATATCTGCCTAGGTTGAATTTATAGACTTAATCAACTGACCAGCCTCCTGGCATAATCTCGATTTGCCTCTCGATTAGTGTCCAAAAGTCAAGGGCAAAAGAATCACATCCTTCAGATAACCATAAGACCCAATTATTAGGAGAAGAACCATAGCTAAACCCTATGAGTGGGCGGGACCAAGGACCCCCCCACGTTGGCTTTGAGGCGAAATACTCCCGCTCTAATTCTCCAAGCTCTTTTTTCCAGATTCTCTCCTCGGTTTGACCGAACTGCTGTAGATTGACACCAGCAGCCTGCAGTTCCTTCAACCACACTCGAAAGCCTGAATTCCAGGACATCACGAGGTATTTCTTCTCATCCAACCAGGTGATATATCCCTCCAAAAATGAGAGAAAGGGGGTTCGCCTATCAAGTAAATGATGAACATCCACCCCAATATACAAAAACTCGAGAAATAATTTATTCCACGCCTGGTAATGTGACTTCTGTAGATCATAAGCCTGCTGCCTCGCATGGGAATTAGCTCCATGGAATTTGAGAGTGTATTCCATATGCTGCGATAAAGCCAAATTCTGTCCAATCTTTCTCGCCACGCAGTGCACCAGTGTTCTGTAATAACCATCGTGGACCAAACATTCTCCAAATTGAAGATCATCAACCTCCAGCGTCCCAGGTCCGAGGATAGTTCGGATTGTCTGAGGCATATGAGAGGCATCCCAGTGCCCCGACGCAGCACCGATGGCCACAGCAATTCGCGTTTGTTTTGACATCAAAAAAAATGACGGACAGATTTCTCGTTGTAGAAACAAGAATTCTTCAGCTGTACCGTGAAATTCGTTGAGGACGCCATCGAGCGTTTCTTCCTCTGTGTCGTAAACCAGTTCTTGCATGTGACGAAGGACAATGCGTAGAGATGGAAGCAGACTTCGGCCATGGCCTTGACCTTCTATACCGCAGCTCCCACTCCATACCAAATAACCCAGCGTATTGGAGACGTTGTTGCCCCAACTGAATGGATCTGCTCCTTGACTCAGAAGAAATTCAAAGGACGCAACTCCTTCAATTCCGACAAATGCGTACTTGAATAATCAGACTCTGGACATGGATTGATTTTGAAAAGCCAAACTTACCCCAAGCAATCCTTCCGCCGCAGTATTGACCTGATCGAAAGGAGTGGCCTGCCCTGAGGCAAAGAGATCTTTTAGGCCTAAAATATTCCCCTCCATTGTAAATTGGACAATTCTCGAATCGAGTGAAACAACGCTGTAGGCTCGGAGCTTCCAGTCCCAGCCTCCAGGAAAGCGCCTAGCGGATATTTCTAACGCCTTGCAAGTCATCCATAGAGGCAGCTTCAAACGCCAAAGATAGGCGCCACTTGCAGTGGACTTTGAATTCTTTGATTGCAAAGTCCTTACTTTCTTCTCGGTGATAGGCGATGAGTCTTTCGTGCTGAAATTTAGCCTGGTAACATTTTAAATATTGAAATAAAACGTTGATTACCTTCAATGATTGAAGATGAGGACTCTGGTTCTGCATTTCCTTTTAAAGAATGTACCATCTTTTGAACAATCAGCTCAGGCTGTATTCGCATCATTGCCCTATTATTGTCAGACATGTGCCAGTTGTCCTGAATCGATTACATAAACCTGCCTTGTATAACACTGCTGAGATACCTGGAGTAATTGTAGAGCATTCTGCAGAGCTTTTGTGTATTTTTCGACTTTGCCACGGTGAAGAACCACTTTCATGGCTGCATAGGGCCTGCGTAGGTGGCTAGATGGCTGTACGTCTCGTGCAAGATCTTTAGCCATTGTACCGAGTATTTCAGTAGCCTCCAGGCAGAATTCAACACTTTCTAGGGTGTGCTTGCTCTTTCGCAGTGCAGAAATAGTTGTCCCATCTGCTAAATCTTCCTTAATGTCATTCAAAATCATACCGGCTATCTCGATAGTTCGCAATAGACATTTCAAGTCCTCGGGTGCATCACGCACTTGGTCTAAACAGTTTTTGAGCCCTGTGATAGAATTTGCAAATTGCGCAATGACGGTTCCAAAAGTGATAGCTCCAGAGACGATTCCGATGATCTCCGCCATCACGGTCGTGGGCACTGGAAAAATACTATTTTGGATACTAAGGCCTGTAATGATTGAATAATGAAGAGATTCTTGTACACGGAAAAAGTGTTCGCTAATGCAATGAACACAGCTATTTTTACAATCTGGAAAGACAGTTCCTCCATCATGAGGACCGCGCCCAGCTTAGCGCCTTTTAAGCGCCCTACTTGTGCACAGATTTCGAGGGTAGTAATAATTTATTGAAGTTCTGCCAAGAGGGTCAGTGCGGTCATCGGGCGACGTGGGGAATTACCGGTAGAATCTCATCAAACTGGAGGGCTGCTACCGTGGAAATCGACCCGCTAGAAATGGTTCTGGCTCTAGTGGCGGTGTGAAGTGAGCAAAAAAGTCCACGAACGGGCGTAGAGATGTAAGCAAGGGAAGGTTTGACCGGGGGCCACGTCAAACGTGCAGGAGACGTGCAGGAGACGCGCAGGAAATTCTGATGTAAGACAGCAAGTAGTGCGCGGGGCATTGAGGCGAAGGGGCTGAAAGGTACGGTGATGAGGGAGATTTGCCTAGACGAAGGCAAAACAAAAACTAAAAAAAAAAAAAAAAAAAAAAAAAAAAAAAAAAAAAACTAAAAACATACAACAGTTAGGATTCACATGTGGTCACCCACCATACTACTAACTAACCGGCGTGTGGCTTATGTGCAGCCAGTAGTTGAGTGGGTGTCATCTGGGTGAGGACTGAGTCAACGCCGCTTTAGGGTCGCGCGACTAGGCGTGATAAGGGTGAATACGTTGCGTTCGGGGCGGTAGTCGGGTGATAGTCGGGTGCATGATCATTGGAAGCCACGCATGTCGACTCCCTAGCGCGGCCTGCTTCACTATGTGATTGGAAGGAGCTAGCTGTGGCGCTTCACTGTGTCTAAATCTACTTAGACATCTTAGGCTGCAATCTCTAATGATCTGTTTTGAGTGTCTAAGCCGTATCTGCCATATGAATGAAGTTCCGACGAACAAGATATGTCTTGTGTGGTGAAAAGCAATTGACTGACTGTTGTATTTTTTTGTCCGTCCTTATCCGATGCTTCGTTTTACTTGTATGCACCTATTCAACGGGCACTCTGAAGTATGGGCCATAAATTGGTCAGAATGCAGCTCAGTTGGGCGAGGTCCATTGCAGAAAAGCCTTCTATCCAATAAGCTGGATGCTCGAGCGGTTGGTGGGGTCGTGTCACTGCCTGCTTGCCTCTGGGGAGCGGGCCAACGTCGGTTGTCCAGAAAGACTACCTCTAGGTATCTTCATATGCTCGGTCCAGGTGTCTTACACTCTGAAAAATAAACCACTCTCTACTCTACATCCCATTTCATTAATTTGGCAAAATGTTTCAAGCAAGTGACTAATAATGTATTCAGCTCCATTAAATACAAAAGCAAGTAAGACAGAGCTCAACCTTTTTTTCTCTTCTGATATCTTCACAACATAAGGAGTCTTTTCACAATAAGAAGTAAGTCGTTTATAACTATTTTTCATCCAGCACTTGTCTGACCAATGCACGCGACGTAAATCTCTATGTAAGATTATTTCAAAAGCTGGTGGGGATTCATCAGTCTTGTTTTCTTCCCATCCAGACAAATGCGAGAAAATGGTCCTTGAAAGTGCACTGGTGCGTAAATTGCATATTTCCAGTCTCGCAACCAAGGGATGGCTCACTACATCTCCAGTAGTTTCGATAAATTTCTTTTTGCTATGATGTCCGAGCAATAATTGCAAAATTTCGCGAACTTTGAAATGTCATCGCTGAACAAGAAAACATATCGACCACTGTTGTGTGAATAGAAGAGCATTGGGGCTTCAAGTTGAAACATGATTGTAGAGCTCGCCTTGTAGAGCGTTTAGGAATATTTTGGCATTGTGTACAATAGACCGAACGCTTATCTCCAAGCCGAAGAAGGAGTTCTGCTCTGTACTTTGATTTCAAAGCTTCATGCCGTTTTGAGAGCCGCCCTTCTGATATCAAAAAGGGGATACATAAGTAGGATGCCGGTTATCATGACCAATTGGACGATGGTATCTGGCATATTCCTGAAAGCAAGTATATATTGCACTATTACTTAGGGCAAAGCAAATCTCGTCGGCACCGGAGAGGAGTTCGAAAATGATCTGGATTAATGCTGGGGAAGCCTCTGAAAGATATTCCTCTCAGCTTTTTGGAGGTCGTTAATTGCGAACCCGGAATCGTTCTCATGGTGGAAAAGCCTTGTTCGAATAGTGGTACGTAACTTTTGGAAAGTGGATGGACCCATGTTGAAGGAATATTGGCTTTTACAGCTATCGGTTGATGGAACATCTTCTAGCTTCAAAGTCAGCAGGAAAGTGAGAGTAAAGGTATTTTCAATTTTCGCTAAGGAGGTCGATGAGAAGCATTCGCGTCATACACTAGTCTCCGACTCCAACCTGGGGACTATTACGTTCCCTCACGCTATCTTCCCTCCGGCCACCCCCGTTAGTAAGCCAAGAGTTGCCGTAGGGAACATAGTAGTAAACAGTGCTTTTCCAGTGACAGTACTGTACAACTGGCGTCATGATACAGGTCGGAAAAATCTCACCCGGTCTAACCTGTAATATCAAGTAACTGGGGCTCCCCACTACAATAGGTACGTACGTATTGATGAAGTGAAGGCTACAGTAAAGAATTAGTGTTGAAAGTAAATATACACGAAGCAAACTTTACGATACTTTTAAAACGTAGTAGAATACTACAATTATAGTCAATAGGCTTTGTTTGTAATAATGAAAAAAAAAAAATTAGTGTGTTTGTGTCATTCTAGGAAGTCATGCTTTCCAGCATTAAGTTGTACACCCCCATGGGACGCAGTCGTTTTGAGTAAATTTTCAGACAGCTTTTTGGAGCGCTTCATTCAATGTCATGGTTCGAATCTTGACTTTTCTGCCTCGGCTTCTTCTTTGCAATAGATTCGAGGAGGCTAGTTTGATAAGGATACTCTTGGTGGAGTAAATCTCTTGCCGCCTCCCAGGAAGCAAAGCCACTAACGAGCTGATCTCCCGCTATTTTTAACTTTTTCCGCAGAAGAAAAAGATTTTGATCCTGAGAAACTTTTTTCTTATTCACTTCATTGATGACACTAGCCATAGTGGAAGACCACGAGGGATTTGGCCAAGGTTTATGTTTCAGCAAGAGGGATGCTTCTTCTTCGGAGTGTCCCATGCTGAGAAGAAACATAAGCCTCTGGTTGTAATCCCAGTCCTTGGAATAGTCGAAAGTTTTCTCTGTCGAATCTGAAGAATAGTCATGTAATTCCCGGACCCAATCCATGATTCGAGACCTTTCTTGGCGAGAAATGAGACGATATGGTAACGGCAGATTATGTTCCACTTCATCATGACTACTTGCTGAATGTCCGGGATCGAATTGAATCGTGTGGAAAATGAAAGAGCTCGGAAGTGACATCTCTTCAATCATGGTTGCAAATGAAGCGTTATTTTTCAGTTGGCTGAGTTCATTGAGTCCGAAGACACATGTATCGGGCTCTCCGTTTATTCTCCGAGACTCATTAGCTTTCAGTGAAGCGACAATAACGGTCTGCTGGCTCGACATCACTGGTTTATTTCGATGATCCAGATATCCATGGCCAAAGGATGAGATGTTCTGTTCCTGGCTGAGGAGGCACCGTGCGCAGTGGTCAGAGTAATGTGCTTCGGCTATCGTTATCTGCTTTTGACACTCCGAGATACGTTTGAATGACAAATCCTCGTGTTTGGGACGTCTTTCCCCTCTTTGTCGCTTGTATTTAAGAACATCGTTCATAGTCATGCCCATGTGGCGGGCAGCTCTCATTTCGGCGTCTGAGACAGTCATACGCTTGGTAGGTGCCCACATCTTTCGACGTAGAATCTTTTGGATGAAAGGATCAACCCTTGCCTCTCGAATATACCCAAATCCAATGGTCTCCAATGGAGGTGTGAAATCATGTCTTTTCCGCAAAGGAAAAGGGTACAAAGTAAGCAAAGTTGACGATATCGCGGCGAGAAGTACCTGCCAGGGAGACCCAGAAGCGAGACACTGCACCAAATCGCGGATTTTATCTTCATGGCATATTCTCTCAGTGTTTTTGAGGTTTTGGACCCCTTTATGTTTGACTCGAAAGTTGGCAGCTTTTGTCAGCGCATCAAATGCTGTTCGAGATATTGCCAAGCATGACACTTTACGCTTGATATCCCAAGAAGTGTTAAAATACCAAGTTGCCTCCATGGTAACAAAGAACTCCTCCTTGCAAGCTTCTAGACTGGAGCGGTTATTACCAGTCCACAGTAATTCAAATAGCTCGAGGTTTTTTCCAGACATTACCAGTGTCTCATCAAATTGCGTGACGAAGTTTACGAAACTTCTCGCTGCGGATTCAATGCGACCTTTGCTCCGATCTATACCTCCAATCATTTCAAATAGACTAGGGATCAGATCGGATGTGATGTAGAGGCATTCGAAGTGAAAATTTGAAATCATGGCTGAGCGAAATGACCCAAGCCTTGTGTTTGGGATTGTGGTATTGAGCATCGTTTGGTGGCTGAACTGCTCTGTTGTATAGTCTGACAGACTCGTCTCAAGTCCATCGGTAGTTACAACAGAGCGTGAACTTTTCCATTCGTCGGTCACGATGCTTCTTGCGGGTGGGATCCAGTTCAAGATGCTTCCATTTGTTGAGAACATATCACTGTCTCTGTAAGTCATTTGGTCTGAGAGTTGACCGGTGACAATTGATCGAAGATGCGTAATGATTTCAATGCGATATATGTCGCGGGCCCAGTCCATAATATAATCGACAATGAGAACAAGCTGCAAAGCCTGATCCTTATGTATCAAGGAGCCAGACCACAGTATTGACATTTCCTTCACAAGATTAGCTTTGGACTGGGTGACGGGCCCGAACCAGCTCACATATTTAGTGGGAATATCCCCTTCACCCGGGACTGCATAACAGCCGTAGACCTTCCACGCATCACCTCGACATGCAAGGAACCAGACTAAAGGAGCCATTCCAGGATCAGGTATGGAAGAACTGGCTTGCAAATCTTCTTGTAACTTCAAAAGTGCTCGGATCGGAAAAGCAGATTGAATTTGAATGTCATCGAACCCATTACTGCTGGACTCGGATTTCGCCTCCAGAAGCAAGAATGGGAAAAGCAGTGGGTCTGTATCATAATCAAATGGAGTGTGTTTGATTATGTCTCCGATAGTATCGCCTGGTTCATTTGCAAGTTCCGGTGGAGCTGAGCTGGAGAGAAGAGAATCAAAATTTCCCGTGTTCTTCAATCCATACACACGATCCGGGCCCTGTTTCTTGAGTTGCGATCGCAGAATACCATCATAAATGACAAATTCTTCGGCTCGGTCTTCGAACAGTCTATTCGTTCCGGTTTCGTAACTAGCGGAAAGGAAAAGTATGTCAGCAGAAGCTCGATAGTACCAATCGTGCGACAGGAGAATGCCCACAAGTCATATAAATGCTTCGAATAAGAGCATTGGCAAGATTTTCGTGAGTTTTGACGTTCTTCCAGTTGCTTGGAATATTTCTCATTGTTTTTCATGGTCACCTGTATTTCCGATTGCCAGATTCTTGCTCTGCATCTTGGACTATGATTTCTATTAGTAACAACCATGGACAGGAGGAAGTTGTTTACGTGGCGGAAGCCAAATAGAACACATACCATGCCACTTCTGCCGAAAATCTTCTTAATACATCGTTTTCGATCGCAAAGCGCCATCCCGCTTCATTCCGATTCTGCTTGAAGAGAGACCCCGCTCGATTGGTCAACCACTCGGCTCGTGATTTTGTTTGACGAGTCCAAGGCTCTTCAGCAGATCTAATGTTTGTATTCTGAGCATATGTATCGAATCTGTACCTTCCTAACTCTTCGATGTTCTTGAATGTATCGGCATGGCACTCAGGCCAAGTGTCAGATGGAAGGCTGAAGCGAATGTGGTATCTTTTAGCCAAGCGTCTTAGATTCTTCAAATGATTGTCCGCCATTTGGTCAAAGTCGTACTTCTCGCAAGTAAAGGTTGGACAGTGAGTTGTTTTAAGACGTAAATAGAAATTAAAGAGATACAAATACACAAACCATCTTCACACGGGGCGGACCTTATTCTTGTGGGAACGCCCGTCTCCCGCGCCACCCGTTGAGAAAATTGTCATAGCCTCCGTGTATCAGGCTGTGCGTGTGGCTTTGTAAATTAATGCATATGGAAACACAACATATTTTTTTGGGAAACCTTGAACATCGAATCATATTGCCTGATGCTCAGGTTAACCGCCGCCGCTAAGCCCCTTCTAGCGTGTGATGCCAGGTGGCAGACGTCGAGGCTTTCTAGGGGGTTGTCATGCGTAATTGGGTATCTATTTTTATCATTGAGGGTTCGTATGTGCTAAGGATGCAACAGAAAGTTTCTAGGCTAGGAGAAGCGTTCAAACTTAGATAGCCCACTACGCTTTGTCTTGAATGCACAACATATAACATGATGTTTACTACGCTCTGCGGAAAAGGGTCGCTGAATCGTTTTGATTGGAACAAACGTTTCTGTAGGGAAGAAATGAGTATGGGGAGAGTAGGGCCACGTCAGCTCTTCATGGCCGTGCAGGAACGTTGGATCCAGAATATTGGTGTTCAGGGCGTTTAGGTGAAGGGCCTGAAGGGACTGAAGACTAGGGCGGCAAGGGAATTTTCCCGGACGAATCAAAAGAAATATCAAAATTATTCAACAGTCATTCTACGTCGGTGGTCACCTCGCGCCCACGATGCATTGCGTGGGCGGCTCGCCGCTTTACTCAGCCCTCTTTAGGGCAATTCGGGCACCTCTTAACCCACCTAAATATTCTTCACCTGGGATTTTTCAGCCCATGTAGGAAAAGAAGAATCGTATTCCAGGCATCCCTGGCTGGGGCCTATGATCATAGATCGTCGTTGATGCTCTGCTCACAACAGACATGGTGCAACGGTGGTAATTACCCAGGCATTGACACGAAGTCAGTCATGGGAAATATAGCTCTCAGCCCTTGGAACTGTCGATTATATGATGCCCATCCTACCAATTGGTCATCGAATTGAAAATAAAAGCAGATTGCGTGTCGGAGATCTCCAGGGGGAACTTATATTATCGTGAGTATGTCGACCAGCTATGAGCCAAGACGGGCGAAAAAAGGGTCGTTGGCGGTTCCCATGGTGAGCCCCAGAAGGTAGAATATTGATACGAGCTACCAGGTGCAGCCCAATACGACGAGGAGTTTATGAAGCCTTGGTGCGGACCGATGCCGATGGGAAGGGGCGAGGATAATGGCGGAGATGGTGATTGTTTCCCGGAAATATAGAGAGATTTCAACCGCGGCTGAAGCGATCGTAAATATTTAGCTAGATGACCTCTTTAAGAGATCTTGATCTGAATCTCTTATCAAGAAATTCAAGATTGAGGACTAGAGCGGATTTGTCTTGTAAGCCGGCAGATACTCTTATCGTATGTGCTGTTGCTCATTTTTTTTTTTTCAGGGCGAAAGGCATTCTAGCTTGAGATCTCTTTGTAAGGAGGCAACCAGAAAAGACAAAGTATCCATATTTCCAGGATACATGATGTATTGGAAACACTCAACTCAAGCTATCTAGTTCTAGCTCCTCTCTAAGCTGCTGAACCTCCTCATTGCTCCACTGTACACGAGGAACGTAAAACTTCCTGCCCCGCTGTCTATCTAATGTAGATTCTTTCAACGTATTGAAGTCCCGACAAGTGTGTACTTGATCAGGGTCAATTTCCCGGTTTCCCTCTACTTCTGTGACCACCAAGCCAGAATTCGAAGTCTCGTTCCATAAGTGGTCGTAAGTATAATTCAAGGACATATAAGGCCTTTCGTATCCGTAGATCATCGTGGTACTCCAGCCAGCCTGTAGAGACGCGTTCGACCTGCCATAAAAATAATGAGGATCAACAGAATCACAATCACAACACTTTGTATCGCAGCAAATCCCAGCAAATGCCACCCTTGGTAATATTGCCCTTCAATGTACGGGTGAGGGGATGTCAAATCTTGTGCTGTCGCTTTAAGTTGCGTAACCTCCTCATCCTCGTTAGAGGCAACTCTGTCGTATCGCATCTTGGTAAATAGGAGATAGTAAGAGGCCAGAATCCCTCTGCACTAGTATAGAATATCCGAGTCAAAGATTTTGGAGAGGAAAGAAGACGCTTCTAGTCACTATACGGACCCCAGCGTCCTTCACTAGAAATACTTTCAAGTTCATACTCGCTGCTACCTATTTCTTGAAATCCAGCCTTCTTATATAGATTATGACCGGCAGGCGATGCGTGAACCCAGCATGGAAGCTTCTCTGCATCAGCTATGTCGATGCCCCATTGGATGAGCTTAGACCCGATTCCTCGACATTGGAAGCTGGGACTTGTTGCTAATGCTTAGAGCATAAGGTATTTTCTGCCTCTTATCGAGTTTTCTTCCTATCTCATAGAATCGCTGCGCATCAGGGAACTAAGGAGCTGACCTGGCCCTCTTGGTCGCGCTGGCTGGTTCATGAGGGAAGATGCTCCATTATTAGGTATATCAAGACTTCTTGGCTTGAGCAATGCCTCACTTCTGTCTTAGTCATTTTTACTCTTTATCCAACCAGCACGCCCATCCGACTATTATTCCACTACTAGCTACGGCTTTCACTAGCTTCGATGTCGGATCAGAAAGCCAGAGTTCGATTGATTTTTGCATAACTCTCTGATGCGCGTTTTCTTCGCGACCATAGAGCATGAAATTCGAGAATTGATCCGTTTTGAATACCGCCGTGTGGACCTGAATAAGATCGGGGATATTATGGGTTGTCGCTAGAAAGAGAGAAATCTCTATGGTTTTGTTTCTTCTTTATTTCGTGCGTAAATGGAAGATAATAGGATAATTGACTTTACGGTAGTTAATACAGATTTGAAGTAATTGACTTTATGCTTGGCTGGTAGTGGTAATATATCGGAAGATAAGGGAGAGTAGAATAAATAGTTGAAGGGAGAAAAAAGGAGAGATAAAGGCTGGTTGACTAACCTAGGATCTATTAAAATAGCCAACTCTTCCATAAATCCCCCCTCCTTGACAAGGATCTTTTATATCCCACTACGTAACTCCCCAATCCACTAATCATATGTAGTATTGGCGTATCTATATTAGGACTACGCTATATATATCGCTAATAGGTCTAGTAATATTCACTAGCGTTCTTTAGCAACTATGGATACCTGTACCATGATTAGAAAGTAAGCGGCCTACTCCTAAACACCATATTAAATGCGATAAATTGTAAATTTATATCTTAATAATTTATATAGGAGTGGGGAAGACTGGTTGATCTTTGATTGGGGACCCAAGTCTTCAAAATATGGATGACTTAAATACTAGGTTAACGTAATTCACCCCCGAGCGGATAATCCTGGTCGGGCGGATAACCCAACCAAAACGCGTCAATTATTTAGTCCGTTCTTCTTCAACCACCCACCATGCCACCAATTCGCTCTCAAAAACGTCAAAAATTGACGCTTCAAGAAGGTCGTATCTTACTTGCTATCCAAGCTATCCAGAAGCAGGAAAAATTATCAATCCATCGAGCATCAATCATATATGATATCCCATATACAACGTTATACGCACGCCTTCATGGACGTCAAAACCGCGTTGAATTACGCGCAACCTCCTTTAAATTGACTGAAATTGAGGAGAATTCGCTTAAAGAATGGGTGATCTCCATGGATATACGCGGAGCAGCACCACGTCCGTCTATGGTCCAAGAAATGGCTAATCTCTTACTCGCGACACGCGGAACGACCCCGATTCAAACCGTCGGCAAAAACTGGGTTACGAAATACATTAAACGACACCCAGAACTCGATACAAGGTTCTCAAGACGCTATAATTATAATCGAGCAAAGTGCGAGGACCCAAAGATCATTATGGAATGGTTCGACCTAGTTTAAAAGACGACTTTGAAGTATGGGATCGATAAAGATGATATCTATAACTTTGATGAGACGGGGTTCGCGATGGGCTTAACAGCGACCGCAAAAGTCGTTATAAGAGCAGAATATTATGGTCGACGCTCTCTTTTATAGCCTGGAAATCGTGAATAGGTTACCGCGATTAAGTGTACGGGCGCATCTGGGTATAGCCTTCCTCCGATGGTTATCTTTAAGGGAAAACTTCATATTAGAGGCTGGGCTGAAGAGATGAAGCTTCTAGGCGACTGGCAATTTCAGGTTAGTCCGAATGGATGGACCTCGGACGAGATCGGACTTTACTGGCTTAAGAAGATCTTTATTCCATCAACTTCCTCGAGGTTAAAGGGGATATATCGACTTCTAGTTCTTGATGGTTATGGAAGCCATCTAACTCCAAAATTCGACGAAATTTGCTCTCAAAATCATGTGATTCTAATCTGTATGCCACCGCACTCATCACATCTTTTACAACCTCTTGATGTGGGTTGTTTTGCCGTCTTAAAGCGTGCGTACGGAAAGTGCGTTGAGGACGTGATGCGGCAAGGTCGGAACCATATTGATAAGTTAGACTTTTTAGACGCCTTTCCGGACGCTCGAATCGAAGCTTTTAAAGCAGAAACGATCAAGAATAGCTTCTCGGCAACTGGTTTAGTTCCATATAACCCAAATCGAGTTATTTCAAAGCTTGATATCCAGCTCCGGACGCCCACACCACCACCATCTCGAGGAAGCCAAAGCAGCGCGTGGGAGCCTAAGACACCGTCAAATTATAAGCAGCTTCAAAAGCAAGCTTCTTCAATTAAGAAGCTCTTACAAAAGCGCTCTAAGAGCCCACCAAGCCCAGTCAATTCCGCTGTAGATCAGGTGTTTAAAGCGTGCCAAATCATGATGCAAAAGACAGCTTTTCTAGCTCGTGAGAACCAGCTCTTACGCGCTAGAGCGGAGAAAACAGAGTCAAAAAAAGCACGTTCTAAGCTCCAGATATCAGCTCCAGAGGGCCTATCTGTCGCTGAGCTTCGAGAACTGGCTCAAAATGATCGAAATAGTCGAATTAAAGCTCCATCCGACCAGCCAACCGGTCAACCAGAAGCACAAGAACGACGATCTAGGGCGCCACCAAGATGCTCAGAGTGCAATATTCAGGGTCACAAGAGAACACATTGTCCAAATTTGATTAAATAGCTTAGATATTCAATATTACGTTATTTCGGGTGAATTATGCTGGTTTGAATTAATTGAAGTTGATGGGTTATCCGCCCGACCAGGATTATCCGCTCGGGGGTGAATTACGTTAAAGGTCATCATTTTCATAAAAGATCTGACCTGATTCAAGCATCTCCTGTTTCTTGCCCGCTGCCCGAGTCTTATAGTCTGATTCCTGCTTCTCCCATTCCGTCGCTTTTCCATAATCCAAAATAACGTGGTAATCGGCCCATCCAGTGGATCGCCTGTAATTACCTTACTGGTGTAAAATCCTGTCACAATTGGACGATCGGCCGCCCACTGCTGGATGGCATTAAAGTCACGACATGTATGCGTGACGCTAGAAATCCCCTTAGCTTTACCATCGCGCGGGTCGCGTGCCCACACAAAGGGAGAGATGTCTGAGTGACACATGATTGCTTGATGAATCATATCGATACAGTCGTCAAGGTGCCGTGTAAATTCGGGCACGCTTATATTTTACTAGCAGTCAATCCACAACGCCGTGCTAGCTTTTTCCAAGATTCCATTCCCCTTCTTGCCCAGTCATCTGGCACTCTGCATGGTAATATAAGCATTGAATTTTTTGACCCGTGATTGGTCATAGATTAAACTCACGAGCTCCGCTTTTCCCACATGTCGGTATGAAAGACCTCCATTGACGCCCACCCGCAGTATCGCAGATCGAATACCGCCTTGGCTACATCGACAACGGGAAGGTAACCTCCTTGATTCTCCTCGCATGGACAACCTCTCTCTCTCCAAGAGATTCCCATGCATGCAACACATTCCATGGTCCTGGGCTTCCGTTAGCTACTGATAAATTGGATGGTGCTACAGTGATCACCGACATCATACCCGGACCCACATCAACATCTCAAAGATTTCATGATTTACCTCCCGAGCCGTGCAAGTGTCTTGACACGCCCCCTTCCATCGTTATTATGCTTCACGTCTTGTCCTAAAAGCTTTCATACCAAAATGAATCGCCAAAATCCCCATGGCGGGCGCGGTGGGCGCGGTGGGCGCGGTGGCTCGCGCCCCCCCCACCCACGCGTCCCCCCTCAAGATCCATCCACCCCGGCACAATGGTCAACATCGTCCTCAAGGCCGATCAGCCCACGGGGCGTACAGTTTCAGGCGCAGTTAGCGAATTGCTTACGTGCGGGGATCACCCTCGAGGCGTCAAAGTTCGTCTCACTGATGGGCGCGTCGGAAGGGTGCAGAGCCTGCAGAGTGGCGAGGAGCCATCGGGCCCGAAACAAGAAGGCGTTGATAGAGAGCGTAGAAGGATCCAAGAGGCCGAGGGTGGAATGCGATTAAGAACAGAAGGAGGCGATGCAAGTGGGAGACGTAATCGCTTTGGTGCGCACGACATGCGTCTTGATGGTCCGGAAGAGCCTTCGTCAGAACCGTTGGGGCTGGACATGTATATTCGTCCGGCTAAGGGAAAGAAGCGTGGTGGTACAGCACAGGTGTACAAGAATGTTGACGACAGGCGTGATGGCACCATTACAGATGCAAGTGCTACTACCCAAACGACAGCAGCGGTCGTGTCATGTCCTATCTGCAACACATTTGAAGGCGATGAGGCTGCCGTGGCTCATCATGTTGCAGGACATTTTGGGGAGTGATGTTTGAGAATCCAAAATTCAATATCTCAAGGAAGAGATGCGCCAGCAATTTTTTCTGACACGATAATCATTTTGATTGCAATAAAGTACGATTTCCATAACGTTTCTGTGCATACGACAGAACATTCCAAGGTTCCAATTACACTCTCGTTCAGAACTAGTAACAAGCTGAATGTCACTTTGTTCAAGCTGTAACATAGTTATATCCATACTAGTACCGACTTCATGAGCATGGACGAGTCCCTTGATTTAAAATGGCCGGGGAAATGAATCCTAGTAGCGAAGGTCTATATTTCACATGACACAAATCCAGAAAAGCCTCATTCATCAGAAATGACCCAAGGTAGCTTAATGTAGTGAGCATTATGTGGCTCAAATACGCAAGAACCTGCGGTTGTTAGGAAGCACCAAACTTCTCCCGGCTCTGCTAGTTGAATTAGGAGCAGAACAGATGGTAGACGCCTTCTTTTAATCATCTCATAGAACAGCCTGGACATAATGTTGACGAGATGGTCAGTTCTCGTTACGGTGGGTTTGATATCCTGACATCTCTCTCATAATATAAAGCTTAAAAAACTTCGTAGTCTTGTCAGTTTCGCCTAATCAGTACTTTCAATTAGGGGAAAAGTCCGTCAATTAGATTCATATCGGACGAATATCGTGAACGGAATATGATAGGATACATTTTTTCCTGTGCATGAATTCTTTAAGTTAATTAAATCATAGAAAGACACAGTCAGTACTTTACACAATAACAAAAATTTTTCTACAGACGTATGAGTGGAGGTCATAGAGCGTATGTGGTGTGTGAACAGGTGGTATGAGGAAGGAAATAAGAAGTCTAAGCCATCTAGTGGAGGAATATGGTGGCAGACGGGTCATGTGACCCAGCAATTTTGTCCGTACACGTAATCCGGCTGGTCGAGTCAGCGGCCAATGGGCGTTCGATTCAATATTTGTCTATCCGTCTTTTCTTCTATCTCTATGCGCGCACCATTTATGCATGTTTATTAATATCATGTGATCTAGCTAGCTTGCATCATCTAATATATGCCGACAAATGTTCACAATGCGGTGGAAGCTAGTCGATATAATATTCAAGTAGAGAAGCTTTAGTTAGAGTTTCAAAGGCACCAGAAAGGGGATTACATATGTCATAATCGAAACGCGAAAACAAATCAGTCAAATGAGAAATACTCGCGACGTGTAGAAGTGAAAAGGGTAAATCAGAAGCATTCAATCTTTACAGTATATTCCAAAGAAAAATCAAACAATGTGCTTGTCTAGATAAATTTCAGACGATATTTTATGGCGCCCACCATTGTTACGCCACATAAGAAAGTGTTCCATTCCAACAACACGAGCGTGTCTAATCGGTATACCCGCTGATGATGCATTTGATAGCAGTTTCTGAGTTTTCTTCTCGCAGGTCAGCCCTCTTCCGAATATGCTGACTTATAGATAGAGAAACGAGACTTTTCTTGGTTGTAATGGAATAGAACGGGTGTTCTCCGAAAGAATTGACATTCAAGTGATGGGCATTGATGCAGTAGCTCTTCCCAACCTTGAGAATTTCCATTGACTCTGGTGCCCATTGCATATGGTGTGTATAGAAATTCAATTTGGTTGCCAACCGACACTTGTCCGGCAGCTTCTATTGATCTTCCCGACACATGTGGCCCATGGTCTCAAAGCAATATGGAGATATACATGCAAAAGTCGCGGTTAAAGACGAGTCGCTCAATATTTTGATCCACGTATGGTTCTCGGCAGACAGAGCCAGCATCTGCATTTTATGCTGTTGAGTGATGAATGCTAGGTGTAGATCTCCGTTTCTGGATACGCCCGTATCCTTAAGCATGACCAGAACATTTTTGAATAGAGACGTGACTTGTTCTTGCAAGTTTTGCAGGACATTTCCTGGACCGAGGTTGTTCTGTTCGAAATCTTGAGCTGGAGATTCGATCCAGGCCGTGAGACTTTTTTCTCCACTCAAGACCTGAAGAAATGCATGTAAAGAATCTTCACGGGTTTTTCCAGGCAATACTGGGACCTGACGAGGCACATGAAGACAGATGAAGGCGACTATCTCGCGGAGTCTGACGCGAGTCATTCATTACCCCGGTGCAGAGGCTGAGGAACAAGCCCCACATCTGATCAAATTCAGTTATCTGAAATTCGAAGAATCCGACCGAATTCAGTACCGCCTCTTTGGCAGTTCTTCCTGGAACCCTGATGAATTCTAGTAAATAAATTCACCCTAACCAGAAGAGAAACGATGCGACAGGGGCTTGGGCAGAAAGAAAGGGAAATTTAGCCGAGTGGCCGGCCACGTCGGCGCGTTAGGGGTGTTTCGAGTATTCAGGTGAAGAGGCCTGAATGGCGTAAAGATACTGCGGCAAGAGATCACTGTATTGGACCGAAAAAAAAGACAAAGGGACAAAAAGAATACATACAACAGTTAGGATTCGCATGTGGTCACCCACCATACTACTAACTAACCGGCGTGTGGCTTAAGTACGGCTGAGCGGACGGGAAGCCCTGTTCTCCACACCCTATGGTCGTATGTGCTAGGTTAAGCTTTAGGCAAAAATATGTACCCCAATCACAATAGCTACCAGGGGATCGAGCGTCGGCCACTTGAGCGTCGCACGATCGAGGCTGAGAACGGGCTGAGAGCCGCGTGAGATCCACCCTGGGCGCACAACCAACATGCGGGCACTCTCAGCTATTTCATATCATTTCATTCTACAATGAGCTTTGGCCTGAATACTACTTTATTATCGTGACTTCGCTCATGAGATGTAGAGTCTTTTACAAAAGAAGACGCTACTTGCGCCAAAAAGCCGCAAACTATACTTCATGAACAAATCTTGAAATGCCTTAATCATTGACTTGATTTTTGAAAGGTTCCCCGAAATGATCGGTTCCCCGGTGGCACCATTACTGTCCAGTACCACAATACGTACTCTCTTGTCTATATGTATGAGCCACTGCCTTTCTCCCATATGTCGAAACCCTCTCTGGTGTCGCTGCTCTCAACTGCTTGCAACGTTTCACCTGAGGGCAAGGGCCCACACCATCCGTATGTGTCGCAACGACATTGCTCAAATCGAGGACAACTAATGTATGCGTCGTCAGTAAATCGTCAAGAGAACGAAAAGCCACTAAAATCAAAGCAAGACTCACTGGACTGCATTCATCCCAAAAACTATATGCCACAACTTTTCCATTACCCAGCCAACCCCGAAATCATCTGTCAAAGTCGTGGTCGCCGCCCATTCCAGCATCCGTTCATAATCTTTCCTTGGTCGCGCTCGGATTCGCTCTCGACTTACAGCAAATTGTCCACAACACACATTTCCAATTTCGATGGGTACCTCGTCATCAGGCACGTTGAAAATTTGTCGGTACGCGTCTGGGAAGTATGCGCGGATATCGTGATTGGTTATATCAATCTGAGTAGGATTGCGGGGAAACACAGCGGTTGGACAGCCTGGGTCGTGTTGACACCGAAGATTGACGTATCCGTAAGCATCAACTGACTCGAAACGGATATTTCGCAGGGTGTTGTGGGTGAAAGGTCCAAACAAATCATTATGCCATTGCTCTGGAAATGCGTGTATGAAGACCGAATAATCAGGGAGGCGGTCGTAAAAGTCAATGATAAAGGAAAGGTAGGCCGCCGTTTCTCGGCCACGGCGGGTGGAAGGGACTAATAATCCAGGCTCAGGGTTTTTCTCGGTCGAATAAACGAAAGGTGTGTAGCCACTGATTGAAACTTAGCCTTTGAAACTTAGATATGAAAAGAAGAACTTGCCTTTCGCGGCAATAATCCAGCAGCCAAGTCAAATCGTCAGTACGAATAGATGCGAGAATAAGACCGACACTTGAATTGACAGCATTGGACGAGTACGCATCCCTCAGGATGGCAAGTTTCTGACTCGTCTGACGTGGAGGCGTATTGAGCCCTATATCACTTGTCAAAAAAAACCATAGTATGTGGAATTTGTGGGAGCGACTAGTACCCTGAAATACGATGATTGGATCTCGGAAGAGTAGGAAAATAACTTGGGACAAAGCCAATGCAACACAACAGGTGACAGCCCTCCTGGGAGTGAGCCAATACAAGAATCGTGGCTTGTGAATTTTTGAAGGCCGCATTCTTTCGAGAAGAAAGGATTTCCTCCAGGCAGGTCAATGGTTAAAAACCGGTATAAATGGTGAGGGCGCAGAACACGTAAAATATGATGATTGAGTCTGTTCTGAAGAATGTATGCAGCTATGCGACCTAGGGAGATTATTTCAGATTGGAAGTTTGCCCGTATAGGTGAGGCAGTCACAGGAAAGGCTTTCAACGATGGATTTGTTTTATGGAGATGGCTCTGAGACAATGAGCATGGAATGGAGATAGCGGAGATATTAGTCCAGATCTTGGAATCCCTCACAGAAAAACAAGCCAACCACTTCGCCCAGCTACGGAGGACAAAATAAAAAGGGCAGGACAATCCACTGCTGATTTCAAGATTTCGCCTGACTACCTGGCCCCCAACGCCAAGAATACGGGTTCAGTCAATACGCACACTAAATGGACAGCAGTGCTTTCAATCAAACAGCCTAAGAGCAAATATCCCAGACGCTCCAGGCTACCAGATTGACCAAGAACGAAGCCAGCCTTGCCGCCTTCCAACGTTACATTGAGACTCTGGGATTGCGGGTCGCTGTGAAGGGGCACCTTATAAGACACTAAATTATCCTCAAGATTTCCCAGTGACAAAGCAGCCCGGGCAAAACTTGTTTATCAGTATTATTAGGGGAAGAGGGTTTTCCATGGCCCAATGTCAGGGTTGCATTACTCGAATATGCACCGGTTGCATATTCCTCGTCAGCCTACTACATATGGCTGTCACGATGCGCTCGTGCATGTAGCAAGTCCTAACACGAGGTCCTCCTCATTGTGGCTGAGCACTGAAGTGATCCATCATTTTATGCAACTGATATCCAATGGATGTATCCGTATATGTCTCAGCCTGAATTTCTGCTTGACTCCGCCTTATTTGGAAAAGGCTGAGACAAAACTACCCGGAACCCGGAACCCAAATCAACCGACCCAGGGGCAATGGCGTATTACCGGCTGCAGGGTCTGACACTATTGCTTGGATCAAATGCGGGATATCGAATAGGACATTAGCAGCAAAAATCGTCCCACATTGGCGCAAAAGATGTGAAAGAAATCGCCCGAAGTAGTTTACCGCGCCTGAAGCACCCGATGGGAAATTGCCTACTCGAGTAAGTAAGCCGCGAATCCGGGTCAACCGGATCTGCTTCTCACCGCCCTTCTTCGATACATGTGTACATATCTAAGTGTGTGGCGTCGTCAACTGCAGGTAGCCTTGTTTGAAGGGTAATTCTTATTGAGATGGAAATGACTTTAAGCGAAAATTTCAACTACAGTGAATTCCAAGGCAATATACCTTGTTCATTCGTCATATTAGAACTTGATTTCAAAATTTCAATGGCTTTTTTAGGAACACTTACAGAACAAATCGCCTCTGGTTGAAAATGAGTGACAATATACGTATGTCTGACGTGGATCAACGCCTCTCTTTAATGCCCAAGACTCGTCCCAAGTAGACCACCACGTATCATAGATCACTCCTCAATTGAACTCATGCAACAATTCTGGCGCATACTTGCCCCCGAACGCAGAGAGGTGACGGGCTGTCTCGGCGAACTTGTGGACGCTTTACTTTCCGGGGCCGCTGCGAACATTGTACCTCTCCTTGCAGTCCCACTGGATACCCATCGGTCTGTTAGACATTCTGTCAGATGAAATAGTCACTAACACTCTCTAGCCATCGAAATGTTGAGGTAGACCTGGGCGAGAACATCGAAGACGAGGAGGAGGAGGAATGCACAAAACGACCTCGAACCAACAACCTTCCTAAAAGCCATTGGGGCAAAGCTGCTCGAGTCAATCAACATGATTCAGTCGATATCTGTGGCTCGGATGGGAAGATCAAACCAAAGTCACTTTATGCGCTTCCATCGAACGTCCACAACCTCATTTTCGATAGTCTGGGCGAAATTAAAGGTGTCTTGTCTTTGAGCCTGACCAATCGTTATTTCTGGGCTGTTGGTTTGACGCATATTGAGGACAGTATTGTGTCTTCTTCGGCCCCGTGGGCTGGTGAGCGGATCATATGTGTAAGCGACTATAGTGATCCGAGTGATTTTCCACCGGGATTGTTGAGTACGGATGAACAGGCGGATCTGGCACAGTTGGTTCGAGTGCATCATATTGATACGTTCACTATTGATAAAATATGGAAGAAGACTGGTTCACGGTCAGTATCCCAGAGACTTGAGGATCAATTCAAGAGGTGGGAGGCCAAACATCCCATGTCTAAGGCTGATCGAACTGAGATTCTGATGGGTCTTAAGCCCGAGATTTTGGAGTTTTATCCGCGTGATCAGCTATGGATTCTGCGCAATTTGACGACGAAGGAATATGTTCGTGGTGAGGTCATCGCTCTCAGAGAGTCTTTCATACATGGACCCCAGATTGATGTTCTGGGATTTTCGGAGGTTTTGATCTCGCGTATATCCTGGTCCAGTCGACCTGTTGATGTTGGGCATGGGGGGAATATGTCTCATGGGAAGTGGGCTGGCCATCGGTTTGACATTGTTCCTCTTACATGCGTTGATAAAAGTGCCGGTCAGGATTGGACTGATGTGAGCGATGAGATTCTGAGGGAGATGGACTTGATTTTGACGAGTCAGAAGGGAGATGATTGGCGTGATAATCTGTCGCGAAGAAATCAAAAACTCGCGCCTACCGTAGCTCTTGGATACACCTGATGGATCTAAATTCTAACTCAATTCGTTTGATTTATGAATAAAATGACATCATTCAGATGATTGGATTTCACATATCGCATATATGGTATTTCATAGTCCACAGGTCATGTGCAACAATCCAGCTCTGAGAATTTAACCACCTACTGGGCAGTCAATGTAATTGCCTCCCTACTCCTTATTCCGACTCTCCTTGCCCTTGGGTGACCATGGGAAATGCCAAACAGGAACAACAAAGAAGCTGTTCGTGTTGTCAGCAACACCAGCAAAAGCCACCCACCACGCCAGAAAAGCCGCTAGGAGTGCAAAAAGCCCACCGGCTTTGATCACCTTTGCATTTGGCTCTTCCATTTCATTTCGACATAGGTATCCCACTCCGAGAAGTAAGAAAGCGATGTCTACCGAGAGGAAAAGCGAGAAGAATACGACGGTTGATTTGACGGTGCAGAGTAGCATTAGGAAGGTGAAGATAAACCATCCCTGTGAAGCTGTCAGAGAATGCATTTTAACGTTTTTGAAAGAAGGGAACGTACCATCAGGAAAAGCCCCAGGGAGTCATAGAACATCCCCAGACTCCCATTGTCAGCTTCAACCAAACTTTTCTGGATACCGAATCCACCTGGGGTGAATGAGATGGCCAGCGAGATCCAGAACCCGCCATAGGACGTCAGGGCTGTAGCTCCAAAAGTATTTCCAACCGCCATTTCCCTAGGGAAAAATCCGCATTAGCATTCGTCTCAAGAGTCAAACCATTGCAGTACGTACCACATTCCAGAAAGAATTTGGATGAATCCACCATAAACAAATGCAGGTCCGACAACCATATTCGGCTCGGTAATTCCACGAACCTGCATATTAACGCATCCCAACACAAAAGTCGTAAGAGCAAAACCGCAAAGACCCAATGGAGCAGGGTTCGCAAACTTTCGGTCCGACACAGGACGATAGAGTCCTGGCTGGAACTCGCCACCGAACGGTGCGAGACGTGTTTCCGCGGTATTTACACGCGCCAGAGGACCATAATCAAACTGTGAGGTCTGCTGGTGTTGTGGCTGCGATGAGCTACTGGAGGTGGTATGGTTTGTCTCACCGGCTTCCAGTTTACTAAGGTCGGGCTCGGAGGTTGTCATTTTGAATGCCAATTGCAGGAGTCACGTCCAATGTGCGGGGAAAGGAATTCTGATCCGGGGGCCAACTGCTCTGACATTTATAGCTAGGGAAACATTTCCAATGCGACCGAAAATTAGTGGGGATCGGCACTTGAGGACTGACGATGACCCCGAGAACTGGAGAAGTCGGGGTAGCTACGATGATCGACATGATACAGGATTGGACAAAGCTGGGATGTGGAGATCACATCCCCGCATCAAGGTGCAAGAACCTGGGACGAAAAGAGAAGATGACGCCTGATTTGTCGTGATGCAAGATTTCGAGATCGACGCTTGGGGTTAAGCCGTGGGCACTATCTCGGGCTAATGAAAGTTTGGGTACTTCCCCACACTATCTTGCAGATCATTGAGCCATTGGTCCGGGGGGGGGGTCTACATTCGAATTGAATCTGTCCATTGGGCACAAATTGCATTAATGTGGATAATTACATATATGCAACTGTGGAATGCTGAAAATTGGGTATGAAATCCATGTACGAGGCGCTGTTCTGTTGCAAAATGTGATCCTTGGTCCGAGGATCAAAGTGGGTCGTCCCAGCAATTGGGGTCAATGTTGGAATTGATGAAGCGCAAGATGCGATCAACGAATAGAATGAAGTCCTAGATTTGGTTTATGTAGCCTTAATATATCATCTATTACAAGAACCAGCATCATTGGTCTAGTGGTAGAATTCGTCGTTGCCATCGACGAGGCCCGTGTTCGATTCACGGATGATGCAAGCCTCTTTCTTTTTTTTTCTTTGCTTTCATTCCACATGGTGGGGAATGGTGGGCCTAAGAGTCCACTGCATATCTCATGAACATCGCATTATTTTTTTTATGGCTGATGAGAAGAGCTTTTCTCATTTTACATCTGATTTATGGATGAAAGCGCGGCTCTCAATTTGCCTGTTCTAGAGAAACTAGTGCGAACGATCAGTACTGTTCGGTCCACGGTACTGAATGCTATGATGGAGGGACTACATGTCTTGGATAGGGCACCACCCGGGCAGTGGCAGCTTTAATCACAAAGTCAATTGCGACATCTGAATACTTTTACAGTTGCGGCTCAATGTGCAGAGTAGAAAGAATCCGTCAGAGTAGCATTCGTAGTTTGCACCTCCATAGACCTAGGTGCGAATGTAGACTATATTGTTGTCTTCGATCATGTTATCGGCAACAGTGTGAGTGAGTTCCCAAAAAAAAAAAATGTATTGAAACTTGTGAATAAATAGTGTTATAAGATGGAGAGAAGAAAAAAAACCCAGAAGAGAAAGTGAGAAAAAAAAAAGATAACAGGCCCGAGCCGTGGATCGAACACGGGACCTCGCGCAGGAGTGCTTAGGAGTTGCTGCCCTAAGCGCGAATCATACCACTAGACCACCCGGGCTGTTCTTGTTGAGGGGAATTGCACAATTGTATCTATAAGCCATCTCTTTGTGGTATCTTGACTTTTTCAATTAGGACTGGGGGTTTTTCGGCCTATGGGTGCGACATCTCGGTATTGGATTTTTTTGGTTCATGGAGCCTTGTAATATCTTGGAAATCTTATTATAAATTTGAGATACTGCTGCTTAATACTTCGGTCACTAGATTACTCGAGTAGTAGACCTCGGGAGATTCGTGTTCGTCTTGATCCCAACATTGCAGCTTGGATATATATTATCTCTCCCGACCATACTTCACGCCACTTGATATTTACTGGGTAATACCTGCACTGTATCAATGTAAAACCGCACTAAACCACAACCGGGAACGAAGCATTTACGTATGAACAGAGGCCCCAGTTAATTAAACGTTTTTTGGAACCTTGGAAGGTTTAACCTTTGATTCTCGGTGTATCCTTAAAACTCTCAATATTTGGCATCGTCTCTCCGGCGGGGTATAATAATTTAGAACCTTAAATGTACAAATCTAACTTCATCTCACGCCAACTTAGGCCGTTTCTGATTCGCAAATCCGGTGTCCGGACGAGACCGCTTACGCTCCATAGCCTCCATCTCCGCCTTCATAATCCTTTCCTGCTCAGTCATTTTCTTAGGCTGCACAAGCATAGGACCCTTCTTCCCAGCCAAAGGGTTCTTCTTGCCAGCTGAAGCAAACACATTCTTCGGTTTCTGGGCACCGAATGACATAGAGATCTTGGTAGGCGCGGGCGCGGCCTTTTCAGCTGGGGAATCAGAACCGGATGCATCCTTTGCATCTGGAGATTCTGACTTCGGCAAATCGGACTTTGGATCGGTTTTTTTGGGACCAAGGCCAAGATTTAGGGTCATTTTCTCGCCGTCCTCTCGGTGAAGTAGCTTTGCGTCGATATCTTCTTCCTCGGCAGGCTTGATATCCTTGGCGGCGTTGCGGGCGCGTTCCACCTGCTCCATGATCATTTTTTGTTCGCGCTGTTCATCATTCTTCTCTTCCCGCTCTTTCTTTTGAATGGCCTCTCTCTTCCGCATTGTCTCGGGCGAGTTGTCGATCCATGATACGAAAATTCCCTTCTCAGTCTCCTCTACTCGACAAATTCCGTTCTTGCCTAAATATTGGGCGAACTGTGTAAGGGATTGGAACCTGTTATACGTTAGTACTGAAGTTGAGCGTCAGAAGAGGAAGCGACGTACTTTGTACTGTTCATATGAATATGCTCGCGATCGCTGATAATGGTATTGTAAAAGTGGTTGATATGAACCTTTTTTCTCCGTGCTGGGTTCTCAAGCTGTTCACAAAGTTATCGATAAATTGCTGGCTGAAGTCGCTGATGGCCTTTGGCGCATTCTCTCCGAGGATCAGCATTTGGCGGACATGGCTTTCGCTAGTAATATGGCACTTGAACCCGCTGCGATAAATTATTAGCCAGATAATATTGAAGGGTAGAAATGGGTCTCACTTGGCGTCTCGCATCTGGCGCTCGCAGGCTTGACAGTACCATCTCAAACGGCCTAATCCCTTGGCTTTGATTTTATTACCGATGGCTTTCGCCGTGCCAGCTTCCGCGCGGCCCATTGTGAATGTTGCACGAATTGGATTTGTCTATCGAGGGAGAAGACTCAAGGTTGCGTCTTAGTGGCGATGATCGTTGACGACAAGTCGCAGAACAGCTCAGATTTGTAGAAAAGGAGCTGCGAGAAGATCCACGTAATATCTGCAGGATAACCGTGTGACACCAGGCAGTGAGTATAGATGTGGGTTGGTTGAAGTGGCGTTCAGACAGACATAAAGATCAAAGATTATCAAGATTGAAGGAGCGACCGATAAGAGAACTACACGTGACCGGACCAGCAGCCCCACTGACCAATCCATCCAATGACGGCAGAGTTGAAGCTGTGCAAATAATGCTTGGAATTAATATTGGAAAGTATTCTGGTAGATGAGTCGAATTCATATGAATATTGAGTGCATATGAGGACATGGACCGAACTCCAAAAACCCACGGCACCTGCAACCGGATGCTTTTCTAGGAGGCACTATTGCAACAGCGTAAGATACAAGAATAAAAATCATAGAACATAACCGGGTCCCCTTCGCCATAAAAAACAAGACAAGCTAAATCCGCGCTCATTCGTAGAAACCATGATAGCCAACAAGCACCCAGCCATGCTGACTTACAGAACATACTCGTGGATAGCCGACGGTCCGCTCTCATTGTACTCAACACGGCTCATGTAGCCCTTGGAGAGACCCTGATCCAATACGAAGAAAACCTTGGCTCCCATCTGAGCACCCAAGAAAGCGGCTTCTTCGGGACCATGTCCGCCTGCAGTGGCACCGGGGCCAGTGCTGGACCCAGGAGCGTTGCTGTTGCCCTGATCCTTGAAGTCAGAAAAGTACTCCGGGAGTCGCAAGGTCTTGACCGAGGTTGGGGTCTGCGAGTGGCCGGTCGAGCGGTGATGAGTCGGCATGTTAGGATCCATACCAGGCGTGCCTGGGATGGGCATACCGTGCTGGTTGTGGGTGGCATTTACTAAAAGCTGGCTCACTCCGGGCGCCGCAGGGTGGTACATAGGCGTGGGCATGCCCATGGGAGCCGGAGTGTTAGTTCCGCCGGTGGGGAGGGGTGTGGTGAAAGTAGAAGGAATTTCGGAGGTGAAGATCGTGGCGGATGGGGAGAGGATGAACTTTTTGTTAATAACGGCAAGCAGGGCCTGGATGAAGCCTATTCATGTCTGTCAGCAGGAGCTCTTAGGTTCACAGGAATGAACCACTTACCTCGAACTTTACTACCACATCCAACAATGATGAGTGAATCCCAGAGCTCACTGCGCTTTGTGGCATCAGGGACAGCCAAGATAGTGTGGTGGATCTGAGTAGCAATGTCTTCCAAAATGCCGTTGCTCAGGCGGTCTCCAGCCTTCTGCCGGGGCGTGGCCAACAGGAAGCGCTCAACACCAAGCTCAATTTCGCGAGAGTTGCGAATGTAGCGCTGGGAGCTATTCTCCCCCTCCATTTGTACAAATTCCTCGAACTGGAAGGTCGCTTTCTCCTTTTTAGAGTTGGGAAGACGAGGCTGCTTGGGGTCCGCGCCCGCTTTCTTGTTGCTCGCCTTTTCCCTCTCCATGTTGGCCAAGTACTCGTTGGTGTCTCCACTGACAATGGCCGCAACATCCAATACGCCTTCATCATCGTCACCATTGGCCTCACCACCAGTTTGAGTTCCTTCGCCGGGGCCACGAGGGATAGCATCGATTCCATCGCCTCCTCCAGTCGAAGCGGCAGCGGCAGGGTTGACACCTTGGCGAGAGGTAGCTGCAGCTCCGGGCAAAATGACGCCAGGGGCAAGGATTTCTGCAATGTTGCTTCGCTTGAGTTGCTCGCACATCTCCCGAGTAAAGCCCTTCCCGCCAAGCAGCTCAACAAGTCGATCAGTCATTGCATCACCGCCACAACCCTCCAACGCAATGCCTCGGCCATGTTCGTTGACCGTGTAATCTGTAACAGCTGTCACGTCGACCTTGCTCTTACCAACGTCAATAACAGTTGCGGTCTGCACACCATAACCGTAGCATGTTGCAAGAGCCGAGTCCATCATACTGAAGCCCGGGACCTTGAACTTCTCAAAGACAAACTGAGTGATTGCTTCACGATCGCGCGCCGACCAGACCGGCTGGGACACCAAGAGAATTGGGGTGTGAAATGGCGGGCTGAGAGAGTTGTAGATATGGGTCAACAAGGCGTAGAAACAGGGCCAATCGACGATGCGCCCGTTCTGAATTGGATACACCGCGCCTTCTTCGGACGTGACGTCTTCCTCGTAAAATATCTCTTGGACTGTCTTCTCCGTTTCTTCGTTGCCATTTGTGCCATTCTGAGCGGGGGTATCGCCATCCTTCATCTCCACGTCCGGCTTGTGCTCAATGGCACCATTGGTATCATTGTTGACCTTGGCATCGCGCTTCCGTTCGCGGACCTTGTATGGCTCGAATTCACCCTTCTTTTCAGCAGGGAACATGCGCGTCGGGAAGCGAAAGCGCGCCGGGGTGAATGTTTCGGGCAGGCCAAGTTGCGCGAGGGTCATTTGCGAACCCGGCGCAATGAGCTGGGGAATTTGAGATTAGTTGAGTTCGAGGAGAGAAGGTGGGAGATCCGAGGAATCAAAACATACCAGAATGTGCTCATCTTTGAAGGGAGGCATTTTGCTAATGGTGCGATTGGGATACAACTTAGCTGCTTCCTTCAACGCCTTGTCACGCTTTCGACGGCTAGGGGGTCTCATTTTGGATTGGCGCCGTGGTCTTGGCATCCAATGTCACGTGGGCGGTATGAGGCAAGAAGCAGTTATGGGAGCAAAGGGAAGCACGCTGTACGCAGGAACGTTTGCTTTTTTCGCTCGCTTTGACTCTAGAATTATTTTACTCGTGCCTATCGGCTTGAACCTAATGTTCTAGATTTGCATCAAGGTAGATCACTTCAAGGTAATTCAAGCATGCATGCTGCTTTACTATTATATTCACTTCCTTTCAGATATACTGCCGGGTATGTTAGGCGCATGTGTCTGCGCTAACTGCTTTAGTAGACAGTAACGCACTAGGCAACTACTCATAATACAGACTACAGTATTGACAAATCATTTCCAAATTTATGCACAGCGCCTCCGATTAAATAACGTATTTCAAATTCATAATGCATTGCAAGATCAAGACCATTAGATGTACCGGCCTACGATCGGAATCAGGAGTAAGAAAACATTATAACTCCAGTCCCACCTTTCCCATAAACAAAATAGAACGCCCGCATTTTTCCTCTATGACCAGCATGAGTCCCAAGGTTGTCTTTGGAACAATCGTCCTACTCCGCCGCATTGTATTTCTCTGTCGCAGAACGAAACAGCTCCTGTTGTTGGCGTAGAAGCTCTTCTTCCGAAAGTCCACTCTGCTCCATCTTGCTTTGTTTCTTCTCTCGGGACTGGTAAAACAAAGATGTTAATTTAAGTCGATCTAACCCAGTAAAGCCGGACAGACATACCTTTAATTGTTCTTTGTGCTCGTCCGCGACAGCAAGCACATCTGGGATATAGTCTCCAAACCCAAGATCTCGTAGTGCTTTCTCAACATGTTCGCACGCGATTGTCTTCTTGGCTTCTTTTTCGCTGATGTCATTGGCTTCGGAGGAGATCAAGGTGATGAACTCGACGCAGCATTCCATAAGTAAATCGCGCGCATCTTTGGAAAAGGTCTGACCGGAAGAGGGAGGCAAGATCTCGGTGATGATCTTCTGGACCGTCGCTGTTATGTTATTAGATTAGCGGGACACTAGTAAGTCGGGACGCGCTCATGGATTGGTGCCGCGACGCGGAGATTTCGAAGTCCGTCAAAGAAATCGCATCAACGGAACCACTTTGAAGCATCCAAGAAAATGAAGGAAGAACCATTTGCGAACGTACCCTTCGGAAGCGACAGGTCGTCGTTAGCTTTAAAGTAAGACGTTAGCATATTGCGAGCGCAGGGTTGGTCAGGAAGCTGAGGTAGAGACATACAGTTGAACTCGCGATCGGACATAATGAATAGAAATAAGCCGGAACGCCCAAATAAGACAGCGATCACAAGGTAAAGGAGAAGTCAAAGGAATAATTTCTTGGAGATTAGCGTGGGGCCTGAATCGCTTCCCTATTTAACATCTGCGGCGCGCGCCTCGGAGCGATATATTTTCCTGCCGGCAGAAATTATACACCGCCTTCATGGGTACTTCTAGAGATTTTTTTCTTCAACAGGTTTCCTTTCTTTCACTCATGCAATCAATTCGAGTTCTCTCGATTTCCTCCTCAGAGTGAATCTTGATGCAGATTCATTCTGAGGCAGGGCAACTAATGGTAAGCTTTCACTCGCTATTTTGTTTATATCTGCTTTTGCTTTTTCTACTATGATGAACATCGTTGTCGCCCCTATCTTACAAAACCGTGGTGATTTACACTGTCCTAGCCAAACGGACGAACTGATATTGTTACTTGCTCAAATTGCATTTGAAAAATCTCTGGAGTTGAACACACTCGCTAACTCCTTCAAGACTACAGGTGAAAATCTCGACTATCTCCATTATGGCCATAGCTATCCTCGATACACAAAATCAAATGGTACGATAATCCTCTTCTACACTCCAATACACCCCATTGTATGATGAACACCCTACATTCCATGCTAAGTATGAAGGTGTGTTGCACCTGATGCTTATAATATGTAAATGCTTTTCATCTTTCGGCTGATTACAATCACCCACAATGAAAATTTCACTCATGAATTTTATGGCCTTCGATACTGATTGCCGTATAGCTGCAGATCTTTATTTCTATGAAAATTTCAAAACTTCAAAATGAAAATTCTATTCTTGGAAATCCTTAAGCTCCTCATCGTTCCACCTGTAATCCATTAGCGCTGTTCAATCTTCGGAGTCGAATGCATAAACATACGAAAGGAATAGACCGGTCAACTCCTTCGGAGCATCAAGCACAAGCTTAGCCATTACATGGCCCGGCTGCTCAGGCCGCACAAGCTTGCCGTTCGAGTGGGCCCCAGTAAACTTGGAGTGCATCTCAGCATCGAGTGTTGCGCCGTGCACCTCGCGTAGCTCGCGCTGCATCTCAGTATCAACCATACCAGGCCGCACAGAGACAGATGTAACATCCGGCTCCTCAGAGCCCAGTGTCTGAGCGAAGTTGTTCATCGCAGCCTTGGTCGCAGCGTAGATTCCCCAGCCACGGTACTTACCCACCGCAGCACCGGAGGAAGTAAAGATGATTTTTCCCTTAGACTGGCGGAGAGCGGGAAGAGCTGCTTTGGCCTGTGTAGCTGTTTAGTATCTGTCTGATTATCCAGGTTATAAGTAGAAATATACGCACAAAAGCAACCAAACTCATAAAGTTGACGTTGAAAGCTGCCTGCCATTCCGCAATATCGGTAACAGCGACATTACCAGTCTGGCCGAGGATTCCGTGGTTAAGGACCATGCCGTCCAGTTGGCCGAAGGACTCGATGGCAATGTCGACGGCTTTCTGGGCAAGAGAGAAATCGGCAAGGTCGCCGTTCACGACTTCGACCTGCTTGGTGTATTGCTCTTTGAGCTTTTGAAGTGGCTCAAGGCTGCGGGCTACCACCACCACGTTATGGGATTGCGGTGCTGTGAGCAGGTACTTGGCTACCGCGAGGCCAATACCTAGGGTGTGTCAATTGGCTTCTTGGTGGACTTGTTGAGGAGCAATTACCTCGGGAAGCTCCGGTGACGATAATTGTCTTTGGTGCCATGGTGCCTGCGACTGACATTAGCAATGTTTCTTGAGAGTGCGCTGCAACTTCGCTGATTGGAGTAACTCATTGAGCTCGAAGCCTTTGATATCAGTGTTCAACCTCGAGCGCACGGCCACAGGAGAGATAAAAGGCCTTAAGTATGGAGAGTTAAGATTAGGAGTCGGAAGCACACGAACCTTTTTGAATAATGCGAGATTGTCAAATTGTAACCACCGAGCAAATAAGGAAAAGTAGATTGAGCAGTATTCCCGTTGCACCGAGGCCGTGGGTGCGGGGCTTAATCATCTGGCGGGGCCGAGATTTCCAACTTTTGGAGCTGGGAACAACAGAAGCTACAAAATCCTTTGTCTTCTCTTTCGGAACACTTTGGAATCAACCACTGGTTGAAAATCCTTTCTTTTCATCATTCGACGTATAGATCTAAATACATTATGCAGTATCTCATGCAGTCATCCGGAGCTTGGGCTCTCTAGCAACAAGCCACCCATTTAAACACGCACAATATCAGACTTCCGTACAACACGGCCCGATTGTACAGCACCAACCTGCACAAAATTGGTACCAGCTGGCAACGAGAACTCTGTCTCAAATCCCTTCTTCTCAACCTCGCCCAGAGACTTGAGACTGCTGGCGCTCTCGCCAACGTAGATCTCATATTTCTCAACATTGGTCGCTCCGTTCCAGCTCACATAGCCTCGGAGAGTCGATGATGTTCCAGCACACTGACTCAGAGTATCCGCTTTCGAGGAGTCGGTGGCTACCACGAGACTGGGTCGATAGTACGGCGTCGCGGCCCATTCTTGCTTGTAGACTCTGTAGCTCTGGCCTAGGTTTTTGTCTGCGTATTGTGCGGACCAGCGCACATCACCGGATGGGCCGTATTCTTTGATGAATGGCTCGTCGCCGTATCCCATCAAAGTGTTTCCGTTGTCTAGTGGTGTAAAGGAGCCCTCAGCGGCGGAGGAAACGGGGTATTCGTGGTCGTAGAAGTCGGTTTCTAGGGTGGGAGGGTTCTTTGCGTTGGGAGGAAGGGTCAGGCGGAGAGTGGTACCCTTTGAGGGGTTGGTAGCGGTTGATGAGTCGAGATCGTTGGCAAAGTAGCTGAGCAAGACCTCGTTGGAAGTAGAGGTATTGCGGAGTCGTGCCATATGTTGCCAGGACTGTTCAAATCAGCAAGGAAGACGAAAGACATCTAGTTGTGGGACTTACGAAGTTTCCATTAGTAGGAATACTACCGAAGTCTCCTCCATCTTGACCATCGATGTACCAGACAATGTCTCCTTGACGGTTCACCAAATATGTACGCCACAGATGCCGGGAGTTGATCAAGTAGTGGTCTCCCCACTTCTGAATGGAGTTCATGTGGAACCAATCGAAGGGGTCAGTCTGGTTGGATCCGGAGTAATCGTAGTGAGTCAAGTTGACATCCACATGAGCGAGCGGGCTCCAGATGAACACAGGCTCTTTGGTGCGAAGATCAAGCTCAACGGCAATGGAGTCGTAAACCCATCCATCGCTAGGTCCGCCTAGCGATGTCAAATCTGCTTGAGATGTGTTGTACGCAGTTAAAAGAATGGTGTTGTCTTCCGTGATTGTTGACTCGTGAACATCGGCGTCGCAAGTCGTTGTCGTACCAGTCGGCATGGTCAAGTTGAGTTGCAAACACACCGAGTCAATCACTTTGTAGCTATCATCATAGATTTTCACTTCACCCCATCCACGACCGACGTCGGCACCGTACGCAGCTGCGCCAGTGCCCGTCCAGAAGGTGATAACAGACTGCTTTCCCCAGTACTGCTGGCGAAAATTTGAAGATTCTCCCGTAGGACCACCCCAGACCAATTCATTGTCATCGGAAATGATGAACGGTGCCACAGATTTCACGCCGTCTCCCTCGGAATCCTCTTGACTAATGAAGAGTAGTCCCAATGCCAGATCCTCACCGGTGCGGTTGATCGACAGATACGGCGGTGTGATGTTGGACGACTTGTAGGCCTGGTAAGTCCAAATTTCACTTCCATTGTTGACCAACTGCCGACTATCTGTTGCGCAGGGGGTAGAATCTGTTTTCCTTGTGCCAATGGTACGGGCAAGAATCGGGCTTGGTGCTATTAAGCACCCAAGGGCGAGAGTGGAGGACCAGGTTCGCATGATGGATATGAAGGCAATGATCGTAGTGTCTGGTATGGCTTCAAGTTGCGCAGAATCCTCGCCTTTTATACATTCTCAAAGCAGCGCGGCATCCGTCCGTCCTCGCCGCGACTGGTGGAGCCATTGTGTTGTAATTGCTTGTCCGGAGAAAGAAACCGGTAGTACACAAGATTTGTGGAGCCAAGTGGATTCTTCATGATTTGTGCGGAGGAATTGAGTCTGAACTAGCAAGATCGGCAAGAATGGAGTGAGTTACAGTATGAAGCTTTGTGATCGTCGTCGTCACTTTCGATAGCCGAGGACGCTAAGGATGTCGTCATCGGATTGCTCAATGCCACCATCAAGCTCCAAAATGACCTATTCTCTAGACTACTCCGCATTTGGATACTAACTACAGCGTAATATCCAGTTCCATTCAATAGTGGGCCATCCATGTGGTGCACTCCGCAACGGCTCAAAAACTCCGATCCAAGCCGTGTTATTCAGGGACAATTGCTCATCTCCAAGGTAAATTGCGTGCTCTGAAGATAATATCTCGTTATCCAGAGACAAGTTAGAGACTGGAAATCAGCATATTTTGGGCAATTAGAGTTTCATCTGGGGACGTCCCCTTTCACCTCTTGGAAGATAAAGCCTGATCCGTGAAATTTTCCGATATCATGGAATGTGTTCGGAAAGTGGACAGGCTAATTCGGATAATCAGTTTATTAAATTCTTGTGTCTAGAATCAAGAGAGATTTGCAAGATTGTACAAAATCTTTGACAAGCCGAATGTGGTGCATTTCGCATCACCCATCCCCCTGCCCCCCAAAGCAGCCAATCTCGTTACTACGGATCATATAGCCAAGATGCTCCAAGCTTTCGTTCTCGACATACCGGCTGAGAGAATAACCGAAACTAAATCGTGTTCCCCTCACACTCTATAGAAAGCAAAAGATTTTATAACTAGAGGAGCATACAGATCTGACGGACTAAATGTTGGCAGGTGAATCAAAGGACATATGTCTCGAGGTGATATGATATATGACCACGGTTCGTAATTTGCGATGATTTAGAATATTCTTTAAGAATAATCCAATCCATTCCAAGGATCGGCTTGGTCAAATCTCAAGTATCCAAATATGTCAACAGAACTAGAGCAACACGTTGTAGAAAACATGGAAGTAAAGAAGATAAATAGGTCCGCTTAAAAACCTCAGGCATCAACATATCAAACACATCACCATAGTTGCACGTGCGGGGAATGGCTATCTAAAGGCCGTCGCGGAGAATGTTATTTCCCCGCTCTCCCCATCGTGGATCCTACCATTTCCCCCAACATCAAAGGCCATCCACTGAAAGCCCAACCCGGAGATAAAGATCCAAGACGCGCGAGAATTGGCGAATGCGATCACAAATCAGTCTTATAATAGAATGTCAACTGTCATCATAGGAGGAGGCATAATAGGAGTCTCAGTCGCATACTATCTGTCGGCGAGTAAACCAGGAGGCGAAATTCACATCATTGAGCAGTCGCCAGAACTATTCAACTCAGCGTCTGGATATGCAGGTGGCTTTTTAGCACGCGACTGGTTTGAGCCAGCCCTTAATTCGCTCGGAGCCCTTTCATTCGATTTGCACCACCAGCTTGCCGCGGAGCACGGCGGTGACAAGAGATGGGGTTTTATGAAGGGGACTGCATTTAATCTGGATACTGTGTCTAATCAAGGATGTGGCGGTGCGCGAGGAGATGACTGGGTGCATGAGGATACTAGTCGAGCCGGGACGGCGGCTGCTATATGTCCCATACCAGCGGAGTGGCCAACCTGGTTGACTAAACAACAAGGTGGTATCCTTGAGCGGATTAGCGAAGGGGAAACCGTGGCTCAAGTGTGAGGATTAGTAGCTTCTCGCCCTTTTGAACGCTTACTAAATCCAGTGTAGAGACCCGCTGAGGCTTTGCCGCTTTCTTATCAATGGAGCTACCTCGCGCGGTGTGAAAGTTCACAACCAAGCCAAAGCAACGAAGGTCACCAAAGATGGCAATGGGGTCATTACTGGCATTGAGATCGTTGACTTGAAGTCGAAGAAAGAGTATGAAATCCCATGCTCAAAATTGGTTCTGAGCGTAGGTGCATGGACACCGCAAGTCATTCGGGAGCTTTTCCCTTCCAATAAAACATCTTTTGGTCTCTTGCCACTGGCTGGATATTCTCTAGTTGTCCGCTCACCACGGCATACACTGGACCACGAGAAAATTACACACGGCGGACGAAGCCATGCAATTTTCACAACCCATCCGCCATCATGTGGGTTCAGCCCGGAGATATTCACTCGGGAAGGGGGTGAAATTTATATTGCAGGATACAACCCTCACCTAAAGCTTCCATCATGTGTGGAGGACATTTATGCACTTCGGGATCCAGCAGAGATGCAAAAACTGAAAGATGTTGCAGTCCGCTTGATGGGTGATCTCCCGAAAGAGTCTTCGGGATCTACCGGTGATGTGACCAATATGGATGATCTGGAGATCCTCCGTGAGGGTCTTTGCTTCCGACCAGTCGGTGAAGATGATATTCCTACCGTTGGACGAATCAGAGACGCGTATCTGGGTGGTGGTCTACGCTCCTCTGCTACAGGTGGCGTTTACATTGCCACTGGACATGGGCCATGGGGGATATCTCTGTCCCTAGGAACAGGAAAGGTTGTCAGTGAGATGATTGTGGGACAGCGTACATCTGCGGATGTGAGTGGACTGCATTTACGGTGAATGGCTATTCAGAGCTATATTCACACAGTCTGGCTGGGCCATCGCTTTGGATAGATAAAATGATGTAAAACACCAAGAAATGAATGGTGAATGAAATGACCTGACTGGATTTCTAAGCAAAATATCTATTTCACTTCCCTCACTCACATAGATCGGGGAATTATTGTTCCGACAGCTCTCCCGGCTTTAGTCAGCGGCGCCACTCGAGCTCTCCAGAAACTTCAGGCATCTGATATAATCGAGCATTTGGTGTCCGCTCCGTGTTCCGTCCTTCGCTCACCGATCGCGACCTTTCCTTCTCATCCCTGACACCCCTCTCATACTCAGCGCATAATATCCTCCACACCGATTCACAATGGCCAACTACCTCGCATCTATCTTCGGTACCGAGCAGGACAAGGTCAACTGCTCCTTCTACTACAAGATCGGCGCATGCCGACACGGCGACCGTTGCTCTCGCAAACATGTCAAGCCCTCCTACTCGCAGACCGTTCTCATGCCGAACATGTACCAGAACCCGGCCTACGATCCCAAGAACAAGATGAACCCCAGCCAGTTGCAAAACCACTTCGACGCCTTCTACGAGGACGTGTGGTGTGAGATGTGCAAATACGGTGAACTCGAGGAACTGGTTGTCTGCGACAACAACAATGACCGTAAGTTGGCCCCGCCCGTTCTCCCAGCCTAGTCCAGAACCGAGGACCAGACCCTTCACGCAAGCCAAGTTACTAACTCTCTTATTATCTCAGATCTGATCGGAAACGTCTACGCGCGATTCAAATACGAAGAAGACGCACAGGAAGCTTGCGACACGCTCAACTCACGCTGGTACGCCGCAAGACCCATATATTGCGAGTTATCGCCCGTGACAGATTTTCGAGAAGCGTGTTGTCGTCTGAATAGTGGCGAGGGATGTGTGCGAGGCGGGTTCTGTAATTTCATCCATCGGAAGGATCCGTCCGCAGAGCTTGATAAGGATATGCGACTCAGCACAAAGAAGTGGTTGAAGGAGCGTGGTCGTGATCCGCGCAGTGCTAGCCGGAGCCCGAGTCCTGAGCCTACTCGGCGGAGAGGCTAGGCTTGGATCATGGGTGTGACTTTTCTTTGACAAATCTATTCTCTTTTTTCCTTTCCTTTATCATTGGCGTTGGGTGATCTCAGTTTGTGGTGCGATTACACCCCGTCTAGGGGCTGGGGTTTCGGCATTCTCTTTTGCTGATTGGCATTTTGTATATTATGTCATGATATCAAACCTGCGTGTGAATCGATCTTATACGATTGAACTCCTGTTTGGGGGAAAATCTCCTGAGTACTGTTGCGTAGAGAATATCCAGTCTACGCCCAGGTGGCTGTATGGTACGCAACCCGGCACCGGATTTGGGCAGGGAGATGGACTTAACTGTCAAGCCTTTAAAATGGTTGTTGGAATCTTCCCGCGGCCCTTGAAACTATTACAATACTACTATTGTGCCTGTTGATGTATGGGCAGATAAGTATTTCTACCTGTAACTAAATTTTTACCGAATAAGAATATCCTAGTCGAGTAAGAAGTCGGAAATATACCGTTCCCTCCTGATGAACACAGAGATTAAAAATTGTCAATTCTGTCCATAATATTATTATATCGAGATGGGAAGTAAATGATCTCATGAATGGCATTGGCCGTATATTGAACAGCGAATGGTCGCTCGAGAAATACCTGTATACTTGCCCAGGTGTGTTTCATTTCGAGGTGCTTAGTCAGGATGCTCAACAAGCTAAAAGGCTTGCGGTATTCAGAGAGCTTGGCGATTGACTTGGTTCTGGAATGGAAACGAACTGTATTCGAGACTGTATTGTGGATTCAATTGCAAAGCTTTGCGCTCAATGAGAGGAGAAATACTGTAGCGGCCTGTAGTGGATATGGTTCTTTGTCTGCAAGTCTTGGCGTTCCCCGCGTCGCGTCGGTTCGCGACTTTCATTCATTTCTTTGATCTTTGATCTTCAACAATCGTCCACTGCGCTTTCTTCCTCTTATTTGTGCCATCAACCAAGCCGCGCTGAAGCAATACCTTGGTACGATGGCGGATGTCTACAACGACAGCAATCGGGCCTTCCTACAGGCCTTCATGGGCCGCTCGTCCATGAGCTTCGAGGAAGCTCAACCAATTTTGGCAGCAATTTTCACTGCGCAGAGTGTGTTCTCCTTATAAATGACTGATTTCTGTCAACAAGATCTTCACTAACCATACGACCATTATAGACGGAGAACGTATGGACCCAACTGATGTTACCGAAGAGCATCTCTCATCCTACATCGATGCTGCCAACACCGCAATTTCTCCCTTCGACTTGGAAATCAGAAGCTTGTGCCACCAAACGCCAAAGACAGAAGACGAAGGAAACACCGATAGCCCACCTACCCGAGTATACGCCCTCATCAACACAACCAGCGATCCTTTGACACAGCTTGCAACAACTTACTCCGCAGACGAGATTGCTTTTGTCAAGCGTCTGCTCGATTTCATGTTCGATACCAATAATACCCGCATCTGTGAAGGAATGGTCATCACACCCATGCAATCACTGAATATTCGTTCCTCGGCCGAGGCGAACCGGCGGCGCTCGACAAATGCAACACAGCAGAACCAGGGCGGAGCTGCGCAGTCCTTGACGATTTCACAAGCAGAAAACATGATGAAGCACCTCGTTGAAGAAGGTTGGTTGGAAAAAAGCAGGAAGGATTATTTCAGCCTGACTCCACGAGCACTGATGGAGCTGCGCGGGTGGCTGATTTCGGAATACAACGACGGGGTGGAGGGCGGCAGAATAAATCGCATTAAGTTTTGCGCTGCCTGTAAGGATATAATCACTGTGGTATGTGTCTTTGTTGTGTGCTTTTATTAAGTTGACGGAGCTGACTCGTGTTACCAGGGACAACGCTGCGAGGACCGCGATTGCCAAGGCCGACTCCACGACCACTGCATGCGCAACTTCTTCCGTATTCAGCGGGCAGAAAAGTGTCCTATCTGCAAGAAAGACTGGCCGGGTGACAAGTTCGTCGGCGAAAGAGCTGTGACTTCCGTATCTCGGAGACAGACCAATGCCCGGCAGGCGCCTGCACCTGCTCCTGCTGCTCCTAATGGAGATGCCAGTGGCTCTGAGGATGCTAGTGGCGAAGAAGAGGAGGGTTGAGTATTATATGATGAGCCATGCAAATCGATCAGGACTCTCAGTCTACCAGGAGCAGGGCTGTCACTGTCTTGACTATCTCTTTCTTTTCGGGACTTGAAAACAACACCTGGAGGAAAATAAGAGGCAGCGGGGTTGGAATAACTCTCGCCACTCGGAACACTTCTCGACGACATCGAATAATGTATGAATGATGATCTGACAGCAAGCTAGCCCTGCCACCTAAAGCCAGTCAAGGACCGCCAAGGCAGCGAACAGATCTTCATCGAGGAACGTGTGTGCCAAAGCGTGGCACACTAGGTAGAGTATCATTACTATCCGTAATGGTCTCTGCTACTGCCGGAGTGACGGAAGATATGCATCTTCTCGTGGGATGTAAGTTGCTACCCTGCATTGCTCCTCAGGTGCCGTGTCGGATGTCAGCAAGTTCCACAGAACAATCATTCCAAAAGGTATTTCATGCTACCTTCAAGCACCTGCAATTGACAACATTAGTAAAATCCTTCTTGCATTTGAAGAGTGTCCACAAGTAAATAACAAGCTCACCACGCTTTCGAGGTTCTCTTTAGACATTGATATACTCGGCCAGAAAAGCACACTTTTCATTAAGATAAAGCCCTTAAATTGTTAATAAACAAGAGCTAGTCGTATCTTCTGGTCGGGCTTTGTCCGCGCAAACGTAGAAGCCATACCCCGCTGAATGATTTCCATAGCAACAAGTTGAATCTCCAACAGGCTTCGCATCTTGCGTATAGGAGTATTGCTGCCGAAATACACATTATGATTGCCTTTTTGACGCGCCTTGGGTAGAATATTAAATCTAGTGAAGATAGAGCAATGCTTTAATTGAAACAGACCTTGCGTGGACGGGGTTGAAGTTGAAGATTTCAACACTTTACTAACGATACTGATTCTTTACAAAAGTTGTCGATGAAGAGTCAATATTGAGCTTCAGGAAAGACAGAAGATTAAATAGGTGAGCATATATAGTTACCTAGGCTCAGCTTTGCCATTTTCTGTAGTCAAGAGCTCTACAATAGTGTTCTACAATAGTGTTCGTTGAGTGTGAACCTGTAGACCCCTTTTCATATCGCCCACCATATTGATCTACCTACTCTCAAATACGCCTATGGCTACCGTACTGATAAGATGCAATTCATATGATGACATTAGTTTTTGACATTATTGGAATTGCTTCCATTTCACACGGATCGGTTCCTCTAAATCTAGTGAATATGATATAATAAATGAGCGTTTAGCTGGCAGAAAACCATGGCAGAAAGTTCTGCTATCAACCTAGAATCTCAAACTCAAGGAAAGCCACTATACTGCTTAGAGACTTGAATTTGAAGATCACTCAATTATTGAAAAAGATCCATGCTAGCCCCATATTGTGGAGGATGTGTAACTAATGGCTACTCATTCCTAATCTCTAGAAGCCATTGTGCCTTGAGGACAGCATTTAACAATTAAATTATGTGCGGGTTTGAGATCATCAAGAACAGGTTATTAGCCGAAACGAATGCCCAACAGACCATTTTCCTGCCATTGTAAGATTGAGGGAACGTAAAACACCTATTGGTTTCCTTATAAGCATACGCGCTCACTTCCGATCCATGAAATTTTTCTTATGAATCCAGATCCGAATCGACTTTCCATAGAAGTGGAAGACAAAAGTAGTCCCATACACAAGAGTGTTAACCGTTGCTATAACCATGAAGACAGTCAGAAACCCACTTGCTACAACCCAGTCATTGATACACCAAGTCCAGACCCACGCAACGAGTGACTTGAGACATGAAATTGTTACCATAATTTCCGCAGATAGCTAAGGCGCATGTCAGCTCATATATATAATTTTAGAACCAAAACAAAGATGAAGAGAACAAATACCTCTCTATGGCAATCCAGACTGTATGAGATAGCGAGAGTGGCGCCCATCTGTGCACCAGCGGAGAGCACTCCGAATCCAACAATAGGACCAGCCCAGTGGGTTTTAAAGTTGTATGTGAGACCGGAAATCAAAGCGCCCAGGAATGTGAGAAATGCTGCGATAATGCAGGTTGGAAGACGCATTTCAGGCTCTCGCACACCGTTGTTGCGGGCTGTGAACCACGTTGCTGTTCGATCGGCAAGGGGTCCGCAGAGGTACGTTCCCACCAGAGAGCCGACCAAAGGAGAGATGAACATAAGGCCTTGGGAGCCTGAGGAGAAGTTATATGGTCTGTCAATCACAACATTAGGTAAGTAGCATACCTAGGAACAGGCATTGATAGCTCAAGGGGAGGAAGCACTCACTGTGGTGAGAATAACTGGGCGACCAAAGCCCCCAATATAACATTCCAGCTTAAACTCATGCCATAGATTAGACTGGACCAAAGCACGGTTGGATACGCCATGAGAATGAAAGGACGTTTGAACAAGGCCCAGAGGTTGACATCTCTATTCACAGTAACACTGAAAAGGTCTTGCATATATGTGCGTTTCATGACGATCAATGACTCTTCCGATACTGGCTCTTCAGTTTCAATGTGTTTGGACGACGATTTTCCCCCTTCCTCCTGCTTGCAACCCTGGTTTTGCACGAGAACGATGACCGGACGGTGTCCCTCGAACATGGTTTCCGGCATCAAGCAGATCATTAAAGCCAAACTCAGTCCGATAGCGATGGCTATTATGAAGAAGGCCCATCTCATGCTTAAATATTGAATGATATATGCTGAGAAGAGAGGACCGAGTTCATTCCCGCCAAGGACTGAGAGTCCATACAGCGCAATTTTTTCTCCTCTTTCGTGCAGAAAGAATATATCAGCAATAGTGCTGGGGACTATTGCTTCGATAGGGGCTTCGAAAAGACCGAGGAATGCACGAGCGCAGACGAATACGGGGAACGTCTTTTCGGAGGCGATGGCTAACCAGACACAGGCGATACCCATGAGCAAGTTGGAGAGCAAGTATACAGGTCGACGACCGAATTTGACTGTCATTGGCCTGTAATAGGACCTATGTCAGTATTTGCCCCAGGAGATGAGTGGTGGCATCGATTCACTTACATCCAAAGAAGTGTACCGAATCCTTGACAAATCAAGGTAGCGCCGTTACTGTAGGTGATGTCGGCAAGTGAACGTTGGAAGAATGCAGATAAGCCGATAATTCCTGTATAACAACAAAGGATTAGCCTATTCGGACTTCTTTTTGGGGCTACGCGAAAGGTACACACCAGCAGCCATCATAGGGCCTGTGACTCCACCGTTGAAAGCGAAGAAAAGACTATTGCCAAATACGGCCCATTTCTTCCATCGAGGCCACAACAAGGGATCATTGGGATCCGTTAATGAAGGCTGTGGCACGAGTAGTAAGCGTGAATCCCCATGGGCAACATATTGGTACTGTTGTATAGCATGAGATTTATCCTGGTCGATCAAGAGCTCTGTACCCGGGACAGAGATATGTTGCTGTTTAATGCCAGTCATTTCGGTGTCGTGCCAGGGTGCAGATGCTGGAGTGTCAATCCTTCCTTTATAGCTGGATTGTTGGGGGTTTCAACTTTAGGGAACTACGCAGCAATCCCCCACTTTTTTGATTCTTCCCCGCAAAACCTAATTTCCCCATTTCCCCACCTCTCAGCTTTGCACTACAGCTATTTAATCGCCGATGTGGACTAATTCAGGACCGATTCATATCCTCGCTGATGATTACATCTTCATCATTCTTTAAAATCTTATTTTTTTTTTCTAGTCCAAAACAGTCTCCAGAATGATTTTCCTTCTTCCACTTCCTCGCTAAATTTTCTGCTCTTTTGGAGCCGGCACCGAGTTCTAAATGGGCGACAATTCAAGCTTGTATACAACTGAGAAGAAAGGGATTTAGCCAACATTGCTCAGAAGATATGCGAGATGATCTAATGGGAATCAAAGTCTGTAGATGTACAAGTGATAACTGATTACTATCTACCTGCATTTTGTTCAAAAGATCTGTGGCTGGCTTGAAAGGCAGAGTCCGACGCCACAGGTGGGGAAACACCCACATTTGCAATGCTTTTTCTTTTCCCCACTTCACCCACCATGACTTTCAATGTCTGCATCCAGTGCTGATGTAGGCCCAAGTGATTGCGCCTACTCACTACAGCAACATCTAATCCTCGTTAGAGATCTCTTATTGTCATTCTAGACCTCTGCGGAGTCCTTCACAAGTGGTAAGAAATAGTCGCTAAGGAACCTGCAACCGTCAATGCTTGTGTGGTAAAGTTCCATATGCAGCTCCCATAACCGGGCGGCCTCAATAAGGTATACCTTTGCATATGACGAGCTAAACTGTCAGTGATTGATACTCAGAAACCAGGCAAGATGAGGCTCACTTCCGAGTATGGCATGCAAACTTTTGGCCACTAGATTGGAACCGCAGATTACACGAACCATTCGCAACCGAATTTAGAACATCATGGTTATATTAGAAAACAATTCAATACATTGATGTACTTGTTAGGAAGCCTCTATGGATCTAAGATGATATAGTCCTCGGAGGGTATACTGGAGAATTTTGACATGACTAGTCTGGGCTGATTGGCCCACCGGTCTGCAACGCTCTTTCTCGACCGCCGATTGGAATTAGCAGTGCTTGAAACAGCAAAAATACTTGTAACGAAAACGAATTCCTCTCCTGCTTGAATATCGCGTGATATGTCACGCGCAATGGTAGGAATGAGTGTCCTCTGATGGACCAAATTAGTGTTTGCGTCAGGCTTGAGAGCCGATGCATTTGTAAATAGAGCCGGCAATGGGCCCTCCATCTCATTGACCGAAAGGCCACTAGCCCCGGCTGTTGAAAGAATCAAAACAGAATTATCTGTCTCGAGAATGCCTTCGCTGGTCCCAATCTTCATATCCGAGTCGATTTTATCGATACTCGGGATTTTTGCTCCATCTGAACGACGACCAGGCAATGCGAAACCACCTTCTACAGCATGAAGACTGCGCAACGAAGAATTTACACGAACTCGATGTATGCGCATATGCCAGTCCGGCCATCGATTTGTAGGTGGTATCAAAGTCGTAATAATCTCAACCTGCCGATCGGCCCAAGGATACCATCGAACCGTCGCGACAGACAAGGAAGAAGATTCCGAGCCGATCTGTAGACAAGCGGTAGAGAATAAAGGCTCGGAACACTTCCATTTTACGGCCCATGTTTCGGCCCCGTCGCGGCTGAGTGCCAATGTACAGTCTGGTGCAATCTGCTGAATCAAGGGCCCCGTGGGTACGGAGAATCCAAAGGCGGAGGAGTATTCAAATTTGGAGTATTTAGCTTGTGTGGCTTTCAGAGGCCATGCAACAAACTGTGCGGGTGAAAGGCAGAAATGGTGATTCCCAGCAGGGTGGTTGCTAATGATCTGTCTGGGGGCAGGGATGAGCTGTGGTGCAAATAGTGAGGATGGATATGGCTCCTCGTCCGCTGCCCAAAAATTGTTGTCTTTGGTGAGTGAGACTGCAATTAGCGTTTTCAGACCCCAGTAGGCTGACTGAGGAGAGTTGTAGTCCTCGCACATGTACATGTTTCTGTAAGAAAAGGTTAGCCATGGAAATGCTTTCCATGAAGGGGTAGACAAAATTGCAAAGATACTGACGGGTACATCCAGCCGATATTCAGGGTTCCATCCACATGGAAGATATCATCTGAGCGAGCTGCCCACCATCGGAGATGGCGCAGAAGAAACCCCTTGACCTGGCCAGGTGTTGAAAGCGGCCATGACATGTTTGGCACTTCACTGACTGCAAGCGCAGAAAAGAAGGCGCCACAAGAAAATCGATAAGTAAGTGAGCGACCGAATGGGATTGCAGAACCTAGCCAATGTGTGAGTTGAGTCTTATAAATCTGTGTTGGTCCAGCAGACATACCATCAGAGTCAAAATATCGCCAGAACGAAGCCCCAAAGTCACGGGCTTGCTGTCGGTATCGCAAAGCTCTCTCAGGATCCATGTTTTCAGCGAACTTCGCATAAAGCAATTGGCTGAATTGGATCGCAAAACTCCCGGAATAATAGTCCACCTGTCGACCTTTTCCGATGGCATCTCTTCGCCGGGTCCGCTCAAATGCAGCTGCTTCCTCTTCCTCTTCCTGTGTCGACAGCCAGGGACCGTCGCCCGACCAGCCATCTTCCAGGTAAAATGAATCAAGGACAGCAAAATCTGCCTTCATCTCTTCTTCAACCTCGGAAGCAGAGATACCACAGACCTTAATGAGGGCGAGATTGGCAAATACGCGGAACCACCGCCAATTATTGCTGGGCATCTGCTTGCCATTTATTCCACGCAGCCAGGTAGTAATGTTACGTCGAGTCGTCTCATCGCGACTGTGAAACAGCTTATCTGGAACTGACAAGAGGGCATAGCTAATAACTTCAGCCTCAACCATGCGCTGGTCCATGTCGCAAATTTCTCCCCAGTATTCTGTATGATCAGGATCTGTGCCGGTGGATAGCCCCATAATCCATGGCTCTGTCACTTCTCGAATAGTTGCTGCAAGAGCGGGATCATGGAAATCGTCCTTGGCAACCGAGGCCTCCAATTGTAATAGCGAGGCTACTCCCCATAGAGGCCGGACAAAGCCCTCGAGCTGTGCAGCTGCCTCATCGAAATGAACTCCCGTGGAGACCGGGATACGAATACGAGCATTTCCTGGGGAGAAGTAGGACTTCAACGGTCGCAGAAGTGCTAGAGCTGCGTTGGCGACATCGTCTCTAGTGCGAAAAGGGTTATCGGAAAATCCAATTAGAGGAGGCATGGCGATATTTTGGAATCAAGGATAAGAGGGGCAGAGCTGGAGTTGCGGTCTCCATATAATGCCCGCAATACATCTCGGGCTCCGGGGTAAGTCTCGGGCATCGGGCAAGGTTCCGGCCGGTCCCACTTAATTGTGTCTCGGCAGTTTCCATGTTTCTGGTGCCTCAGTGGTTATAAATGGCGATTGGATTTTGAATGAGTGATCTGGGTTATTTCACACTGATCTCTACAATGTTGGCTGGAACAAACGAGCACCACCTAAGCGACAGTCCCGCCCGCACCTTCAGCGATTCAAGCGACTCAAGAAGCCCAACCATGACAGAGCTCAGTCAGACAGAGGTTGATGTTGATATTTTCAAGAAAACACAGGTCCTTGATCCAAATTCATCACAGGCGTTGGGAAGTCGACTTCAAGAGCTGTATAGTGATAATATCACGGCCAAGGTCCTGCGTGCTGCTGTCAATTGTCTTCAAAACAACGTTAGCTCTCGCAACTGATGCTCCACTTTGAATGAACGCATACTGACTGAACTCCAGAGCCCAATCACTGAGTTTCCAGAATGGGTGCCCCAGTCTGGGCCAAATGCCGGAAAGTACGAATGCCGCGAAGCAGACTTCTGGACATGTGGATTCTTCCCCGGTCTGATCTACACAGTACTTGAGCGTTTGATCAAGTACCCCCAATCTGCGCCCATTGGAACAAGCAACTCCATCATTATAAAGAAACTGCATGAGCTAGGCGAGATCTGGTCGAATCCCATCCACCCCATGGGCGCCCGGACGGACACACATGACATGTCCTTCATAATCCAACCATCGATGCGGCCTCGCTGGGAACTATTCCACGACGAGAAGGCTCTTTCAACCATAATCACTGCCGCAGAGAGTCTCTACACACGGTATAGCCCTGAGATCGGTGCTATCCGTTCGTGGGATCAACTCACCCAAAAGGGTGTCAACATCACATCCATGGAGCATGATTTCCTAGTCATTATTGACTCCATGTGTAACCTGGACTTGCTTTACTATGCAGCAGCTCACACTGGCCGCAAAAGGCTCGCGGACGCTGCCACTCGACACGCACACAAACTATTACGCACCCATCTTCGTCACGAAACCGGGACATACTCCCATCGCAAAGGCTACAATGGCCCGCTTTTTAGTACGTTTCACGTTACGAACTTTGATCCCGCGACCGGGTGTCTGAAAGAAGCTCGGACTGGTCAGGGTTACGCAAAGGATTCAACCTGGGCCCGCGGCCAAGCGTGGGGAATTCTCGGATATTCACAGACATTCCAATGGACAGGCGAGGAAGAATTTCTCACCGCCGCATGTGGGCTAGCAGAGTATTTCCTTCTCAGGCTGGAAATGGCGCCTGACTGCGTTGAGCAAACTATTTCTGCTGGATCTAATGGCAATGATACGTCAGAACGTCGCACCTGTGGCCGCCTGGTTCCACTCTGGGACTTCGATGCTCCTGTCGATGAGGCGAACCCGCTTCGCGACTCATCTGCTGGCGTGATTGCCGCAAATGGCTTACTGGTACTGGCACAGTCTCTCATTTCTCGCGGTGAACACTCGAAGGGTCGTCGTTACCTTGAAGCCGCACTTTCGCTTGTTGAAGACGCGTTGGCTTTATCGCTCGCGGATGAAAAGGCGTCTATTTTGGTGCTTGGGGACGAGATTCTGGTGGAAGATTTACAGCCTTATGCGAGATTCGAGGCGATCTTGAAGAATGCGACAGCCAATCATAATGCGTCCGATCATCGTCGTTACTGGGATCATGGGCTAGTCTATGGGGATTATTATCTTGTTGAGTTTGGGAATCGGTTGCTTCGAATGGGACTTGCCTGATTTTGAGAAGTACCTGTAGATTATCTCCATAGAAGGACTCGAGAGTGAGGGCTGAAGTTGTAGTTATTGGGTAGATCTATACAAGCACATGAATTGGACAAGGCAACCAGTCCGTTCCTTATTAGAGAATCATTAGCTTTAAGTTCCTTGATTGATCGTAAGCTTTGGAACCACTGAGATAAATTAATGCCCTCATTTAATTATGCGTAGACCATTCAAAAAAAAAAAAAAAAAAAAAAAAAAAAAAACCCAAGTCTTCAAAAGTTATATTTACCTCTGAAGGCAAGCCGAGAAAGATGGATGCTACGTGTCACACATAATACATGCATGCTAAGAGAAAGATTTTTCCAAGGAGCGCGTAAGCTCGTCAGACAGGGAATGACATGGATGCCTGATCTCTCTGCCCAACACTACCAAACGCGCCGTCAGACAAAGAAATCTGTACGGAGATTCTCAAATAAATGTATCAAGGTGGAAAGTAACTGCCTCAGTCTAGGTCTAGCTTTTGCATCTCCATAAATCCTAGCTACACATCAATTATATCTCAAGTTGGGCACCAGTGCACTGATTACGTACATGTACTGGAGCATAAACCCAAAGACGCATGTTAATTGAGCATTACCAATACATATTCTTTCTACAAAATGCCTACAAATCATCGTAGGTAAACATTCTTCTCGTGAGTAGTACAACTGCTGACTACCGGATCTGTCCCAGCCTATTGTCGCTTTCAAATACCGAAAACTTCCCCTATTGAATTAAGGCCTTCTCATAGCAAAGGATGGGGTGCTTTTGCAACAAGGAATATCAAGCAAGGGTGCCTGATCCTCCGCGAAGAACCACTCTTTGTGATCAAACGGCACCATACAGAAATCACTGATGTTCATCTTGCCATAGCCTTGCAAGGTTTATCATCAAGCCAGCAGGCACAAGCTTTACTGCCTCTTGACAATGCGTCTGAGAAATTCAATAGCTTGAGTGCCCTTTTTGCAGAGAACTCATTCAATATCGCAAATACAGATCGCAGCGAGCCTCCAGCTTACGGTCTTTTCCCCCTCCACTCGCGATTCAATCACTCATGTATTCCCAACTGCAAGATCCCAAACAACACTGGAGAGATTATTTCAAGCTTTGCGACAAGGGATATAGCCATCGGGGAGGAGTTCACCTTCTGTTATAATACAGACTTTGAATGCAGAGTCGCAAAAGAGCGTCATGAAGCCCTGCGCTTTGTCTGTAACTGCAGGGCTTGCATGCCTGGTACTACCTTTCAAAAGCTTAGCGATCTACGACGCCGAATGATACGAGGCTTGCAATACCTCCTCCACGGCGTGGACTTGGATGGTCAGGGACGAGATTCACATTCTTCCATTATCATTGACTCAAACCTCAGAAATATGGCAGAGACGTTCGACATACCGCTCTCCGCTAGATTTGCATATACTCTTTTGACAATGTTTTTCCTTGAGGAAGAGGGATTACTCGATGAGTTTATGGTCAAAAGGCTTGGGCCGGGTCTAGCTACAACGGCAGGATTCTTCAGGACCGAAGATAATTCTAAAACTGCTTGGTTAGCATTGAGCCAAGAAACCTGGCTGAAGAAGTTAATAGTGGGACTCAGGCTTTATGGATGCAAGGATGCTGCTGATCACGAACTGAGCCAAGCGTTGTCACAGTTACGCAGTTTAAGCTGAATCTTTTTTTTTAATCTTTTTTGTCGCCAAGCTTTCCACAATGCGCGTCTGTCTCTGCTGTGCGGAGAAGACTTTTACTTGTCATCTATTCTGTGCATAATTGTAATATGTCATGATTTGGCTCTCTTGTTTTCACGCATTGTATGAGCATGCTCTACTTAACCCGATCTGGATGTTTTGAACATCCCGGATGATTAAGGTTCCCGGCACAAAGCTCGGCCGATCATCGACCCGCGCCCGGCGTCGACCCCAGAAAATGGAGTGCCAAGTGGAGAATCTCACACCTATAGCGCACTACTTGTGGGTAAATTATCCATCCCCTCGTAAAGCTCACACAATGCCCCCGTAGTGGCTTTTCACCGTTCGCAAAGTCGGGGCTCGCATGATACCTCGGGCCTGAAAACGCCCAGAGAGACCGCGGGGAGAGTAATCGGAAATAGTGTATAAGACACTGACAGACGCTGGAAAGAAAGGCGCTAAGTTTTTTGTTTGACATTGTTCATGTTAGACCTACAACCAAGCGCCTCTGAAGTTATGGACGAACAACACAACCGCGCCACAGGAGACAGCCCGCAGTATGACTTTACAGGCGTCGTTTTGAACGATGTGATTCCCAAGCGCGACAAGTTATGGTGGAGAGACAGACGACTGTTGAAGCTCAACGCTCTTCTACTGTGCGCCTTGCTCACTCAGACTGCCCAAGGATTCGATGCCAGCATGCTTAACGGAATGCAAGCACTCCCTACCTGGATCGAGTACTTTGGACACCCTGCAGGGACTCGTCTAGGCGCCATGACATTTGGCCCAACGGGAGGAGTTCTGATTTCCATCTTGATCTCGTCTCAACTCTGTGACCGATTTGGAAGACGGTATCCGATCTGTGGTGGCTCTGTTCTTATCATCATCGGGTCGATCCTCCAGGCTGCGTCTGTCGATTATGGCATGTTTGTCTTCTCTCGATTTCTGGTTGGCTTCGGCCTTGGCATTGTTTCGGTAGCTGCACCCCCACTGCTTTCTGAGACTGCTTATCCGACACATCGAGGGAAATTGGTTTCTTTTTATCTAGTCTCATGGCCATTGGGATCTCTCATCGCGGCTTGGGTTACCTACGGCACATTCCAAATGGACACCTCGTCATGGAGTTGGAGGCTTCCTAGTCTGTTGCAGTGCACTTTCTCAGTTGTGCAAGCAATTCTGAGTCTCTTTGCTCCGGAGTCTCCTCGGTGGCTTATCTATAAAGGTCGCAACAAGGAGGCACTCGATATATTGGTTCACTACCACGGCGATGGAGATCCCCAATCGCGCCTGGCTCATTTCGAGATGGCCGAGATCACTGCGACACTTCAGATGGAGATAATTCAGAAGAAGTCACGGTGGGCAGAATGGGTATCATCCAAAGGTAACCGACACCGACTATTTCTGGCATTGTATATCCCAGCTATGCTTCAATGGTCTGGGAATGGACTCACTTCGTACTATCTGCCCAAGGTCCTCGACACAATCGGCATCACAAATTCAAAGACCCAGCTTATCGTCAACGGCTGCATGTCTATCTGGAGCCTTATATCGGCAAGCTTCTTTGCCTTGCTGGTTGATCGTGCCGGTCGTCGTGGATTGTTCCTTTTCGGCATGAGTGGTATGGGAGTTGCATATATTTTCTGGACAATGTGCTCTGCTATCAACCAGGAAAGAAATTTCAAAGATCATGGATACGCAGGCGGTGTGCTAGCCATGATATTTATTTACGTCGCACTGTATCATGCGTGTTCGCCGGTCGCGCCTACGTACATCATGGAGGTTGTACCTTACTCTCTGCGGTCCAAGGCATCCATGCTCTACCAGCTCACAGGGAATCTTGCGCAGCTATACAACAGCTTTGCGAACCCAGTTGCTATGGATGCCATTGGATGGAAATACTATATTGTGTGGGTGGTCATGATCTTTATACATCTTGCAGTAATCTACTTTTTCTTTCCCGAGACGAAGAATCGCGGCTTGGAGGAAGTCGCAGAGATTTTCGATGGACCAAATTTTCTCTCTGGAGTAAATGCTATGAAGCAGCTAGGGTTGGAAACAAACGCTGAAAATGCAGTCGAGATTGGGCAGGACTCGAAGATGGGTGTTGAGCAGGTGGAACGGGTTTGATTCAGTTTTCTAAACCAGGAGTGATGCTTTCCAAGTTTATTTTCCCTACGACTATCCAGTCTGTTCTAGCTGATAACCACGTTGATCAAGAAATTTCATCTCATCAATCCGCATCGTTCTAACAGACCATGTGCAAATATTGAACCCCATTGTGATAGGTAAGTTGTTTACTGGTGCATGGGTATAGCCTCACATACGACAAAAAGGGTAAAGTCCCGGCGGGCATGATCGACAGTGTCGGGGGATTGCTCGGTGTAAAGATCCCCGATGCCCGTCTCTTCCCCACAACTTCCCCGCACAGACAAGATTTCCCCAGTCTTACTCACTAAAGTCGGAGATTTGACTGCATTTCATCTGTAGTCAGCGTTTAATATCCTCATCCGTACACTGGGTGCTGTCGCCCCTCACTCGTACCGACCTGCAGATGGATCCATCAAACGACCACGAAGAGGTCAGTACTATCATTGATCCAGATCGTCCTTCGTGTCAAGGATGTAGACGTCGGAAATTAAAGTGTTCACGGGAATCTCCGATGTGCTCACAATGCCATCGTATGGGGTCACCATGTGTGTATGATGCCAAGAGAAACAAGCCAGGCATCAAGACAGGCGCAGTTGAAAGCTTGAGTCGTCGAATTGGTAAGAAAATCGATGGAGTAGAATAACGTATGGTACCTTATAGTTAGTTAACGTTTATAGATATTCTGGAAGATGCACTTCAAGAAGTGCAGGCGAGGGATCGGCCTGTTAACAATTCGACTCAGGCGCAAGATCCTGAAAGCAGTCGACTTGATGGCGTGGTGAATTTATTATCAACAGTATGCATGGAGCTGTGCAAATTCAACAGCCAGATCAATCGATCATCTGATGGCATAGTATCAGAGCGGATAGCTCGCTCAAATCACACGCCGAGAGCCAGTACAGCTTCTGTGCGCTCGCCTAATGATGATCCATATGATACATATACAACTCAACCACGAAAAAGACGACGGGTAGACAGTTGTGGTAATCCAAATATTGACCTCCAGTTGCCCCTGGAGGATCTGCTTGATGCTTCATCATGTCTCCCTGCACCAGACTTACTCGAAAATACCGTGAACGCATACTTCAACAAGATTCAGCCCTGGATCCCTATTCTTCACGAAACCCGCTTCCGAAGTCGAATGCTTGATCCAGACCAGCGGCCTCTCCTAGTCGTGGTTATCCATGCCATGGTTGTGGCAGCTATCCGATTCGCTCGACCCGAGGCTCATGGTCTCTCGGCTGCTGATGTTGAAGCCAAAGCCAAGAGATCGAGGAGCATCGTCGTTTTGAACGCGATGGATAGTTTATCCGTGGAAAATTTGCAGGCTTTGACTATTATAGCTTATGACGATGTAAGTCCGCTTCCCTTCTATATTCCATTTCATAGGCTCATTCTTGTTACAGATCGGTAATGGAAATACTTCGAGGGCTTGGTCAATTGTTGGTTCCCTGACTCGAACGGTGGAGTACCTGCGACTCAGTGTCGAGGATGAAGATCATGACACGCAACGATTACTCAAGCCTTTACTGTCCTTGCCGCCTTCCCAAAAATGGGTCGAGGAAGAGGAGAGAAGGAGAGTATTCTGGACAATATTTAACTTGGACCGATTCTGCTCAGTCGCAACAGGGTATCTAAAAAGCTCACTATTTCTCCAACTCTCTTCAACTGACTTTTTGTTAGGTGGAATACTAGTCTGACCGCGGACGATGTACATCGTCGACTTCCTGCGGACGGTGGCTTGTGGCATCGAGAGGAACAGGTCAAAACACCATTCTTTGGAATATGGAATCGCTCGGAAGCGAAAATTGGCAACTCAATCGCCTTCTTGCCGACGCAGTACTCCACTATCCCCGATAGTCCAGATTCGCCAGGCTCTGCTACACAAAATGGGTCTCCGTCATCTATGTCTAGGGGCACAATGCAGCCAGACATGTCGACCGTGGGCGCCTTTGCTTATTGTATTGAAGCAACGGAGTCCCTCAGTCGGGTAACCACCTTCTTCCTGCAACAGAAGATCAATTTCAATGACCGCCGAGAGGTTAGCAGCTGGCTAACTCGGTTTAAAGAATTAGACTTGCGTCTCGTACAGTGAGCCTCCTTACCGAAACAGCCTGAGGCTACAGTACTAATCAATCTAAACTAGTTGGAAAATGTTTCTTCCACAGAAATGGAGAGACTCAAATATCTCACTACAGCCAACACTGATTCACATGGACCCAAATTTGACTCTTGCCCACGTCACGCACAATACTTCTATGATCCTCTTGCACCAACGGATGGCATACCCTCCAGCGGAATGGGCCAACATTGTACGGCTCCCCAGCGCTTGCAGTGCTGAGACATGTCAAAATGCGGCAATCGAGATACAGAATATGACAGCGAAATACCTGAGCAACACCGATGAATCTGACCCCATCGCGAACCAATTCGTCTTTTGTGTTTTTGTCGCCGCTAGGGTTCTTCTAGGTAAGAGCATTCTGTTTTTCTGGCCAGCATCACGGGGCATGCTAAGGAAAACTTAGTGCATTGGCGATATTACGGATCGTCGCTCCCGCAAGAGTTATGGTATCTCATCAACAGTCTAGACGAGATGGCCCGTCGATGGCTCGGATCCACAATTCACGGTCGCTGTCTTGCAAGCACATACGCTGATCGCCTGCGTGACCTGCATCGGCATTGTGTATCTGCTCCAAATTTCAGCGTCGATGTCCTTGGGTACTCGACTATCGTATCGAATCACGCCCCCTCTATCGCGTCTACTACGTCTGCTCAGTCCCCATCCAATTGTCGGCGTGAACGTAACCAAGAGACTCATAATTCAATCGCAACAGACCCGCTATCCTCTGCTGGTTTGGTATCTTCGCATCCACTCCCACCATGGAATATTGGTCATGAAATTCTGAGCCCGGGTAACGTACACGGTCAACTAAGTGAGCCTGTTGCGCCGGTTCCAATGGGCTATCCTAACGACCCGCCCGCTGATGAGCTTTCAACCATCTCATATCTACTTCTCGATCAGCGTTTTATGGATATGGATCGGGTTATTAGTTTGGATGATATGATGTTCTCCACAAATATGGCGTGCATGAATGGGACAGAGACCAATCAGGAATGACTTTTGTGTCGTGGCCAACAGGAATAGTTTTGTTGTATTATATGTTATATTATATGCCCTCCCAACGATTTTGCTCAAATGCGTTATCACGTCTGCTCTAGACTTGAATGAAGAGTGAAGGCTACGGAACTTCCGGAACTTCGGCCTTTGAAATCTACCTACTTGATCACCTAGGCAATCATCAGAACTTCAAAAGTGCGGCAGTGTCCACCGATACCCACCATCCACGTGACTTTCCGAAATAGGAGACGGATTTATGCTGAGACACAAACTTTGAGATGACAGACAGGCCTTCGAGAATCTTGGCACGTTGTTCATCTTTCTGAGCCTCACTCCAAGGTTCGTATATCCCAAACAATATCAGCCAAGACCAGCTGAGTTTATGTGCAGGGCTTGCCACCTGCCTTTCGTGGAAACCAACGGGCTTTTATCGGACGATGCGGGACCCCAGTCAACCCCAACAAACCCCACAAATTTTGACTCCAAAAACTCTCTTTCACTCTATGACGCCGTGCCGAACCTCCGTTCCTCCATAACATGGTCCGCCATTACCGCCACCCATAATAAAGAAAGGATTCATGAGAAGAAAAAATCTTAATGCCCTGGCCTGCTTCCACATATACCGGGTCTTCCGGCAAGGCCATCAAGTCATTGGAGCGAGTAGCCGCCTCATACGACATCGCCAATCTTTTTCCCAAACGGCATCGGCTCGGTCCCCACAGCAGGATCCTAAACTCGTATTGTGGCCGAGTGGCGCTTTGAATCCCGACTACCAAAGACGGAGTAAGCTTCCAGAAAACAGGTGAGTTGGATTCCGTACATTTGGTGGACCCCCTGTACATTGTATGCCCAGCAAGGAAAGTGGGGCTGATCAAATGTACAGGCGACACTACCTCTCGTAAGCTTCCACCGTTTCCCCACATTCCAGTTATGAGATCACGGAATGGGTCTGAGCGTGGCAGTGCTAGTGCCTGGATTGGCAGCTTGAGAAGCTAAAATGGGCACTGTGATCATTTAAAGCCCGCCTCCCGTGCGCTTTTTATTGGCAAAAGTTTACCTCCACCTTGATCTTCTGACTTTTCCCAAGTGTCAGTGATTTTTAATGATTCAAAGTGATCGCGTTGATTGAATGATATTTGACGTGAAGGGGTGAGAGCACTGCAAGATGCAGTTCAAGGTGAGTAGACATGTCATCCAATGTACAGAAAAGAGCTAACAAAAAATTTAATAAAAGAAGCCCTCCGTATGGGCAGTGCTCCCACTGCTCTTGAATCTTGGTTCTCCAGTACAAGCAGCTTGCTCAGGTTCTGCCACAAATCGCGTTGCGAAATCTATGCAAAGGTATATGGGATCTGGCGTTGGGAATTTCAGCAACAATGTCTACCAAACCGATTTCGACGGTGTGACCTGGGACGAGGATAACTGGATACTGTCGACCACGAATCTGGAGCAAGGTCAATTCCAAACCCGAGGCTCTATCGCGAACGGATACCTAGGCATCAACGTTGCCAGTGCTGGACCATTCTTCGAGGTCGACTCAATGGAAGATGGAGGTGATGGCATTAGCGGCTGGCCTCTTTTCTCGCGCCGACAGTCATTTGCGACAATCGGTGGATTTTTTGATGCTCAGGAAAGTACGAATGGGTCTAATTACCCGTGGCTGTCCCAGTATGGCTTGGATAGTGTGATCAGCGGGGTTCCCCACTGGAGTGGCTTGATTTTGGATCTCGGTGATGGCACTTACTTGGATGCGACTGTCGACAACACTACCATTTCCAACTTCCGCACCACATATGACTTCCAAGCTGGTGTTTTGGTCTGGAAGTACACTTGGACTCCCCAGGGCGCGAGTGGCTCTTTCGACATCACTTATCGCCTTTTCGCCAATAAGCTTTGGATCAACCAGGCAGTGGTCGATATGCAGATTGTATCGAGCGTTGATGCCAATGCCACTGTTGTGAACGTTATAGATGGAGCGTCTGCTGTGCGAACTGATTTCGTCAAATCTGGTGAAGACGATGGCGCCATCTACTCTGCAGTGCGTCCGAATGGAGTTGCAAATGTGACAGCCTACATCTACGCAAACATAACAGGTCCAGGCTTGGACTTGTCTTCGAGCAAGGTTGTCACTGGAAAGCCATATGTTAGCACAAATGACTCGTCGATTGCCCAGTCTGTCAGTGTTAGCCTCAAAGCCGGCAAGACAGCCCGTATCACCAAGTTTGTTGGTGGCGCATCTTCAGATGCCTTTGAAGACCCCCAACAAGTAGCCAAAAATGCTTCTTCTACCGCCCTGCGCAATGGGTATCTCAAGTCCCTTCGCTCCCATGTGACTGAGTGGGCAAATGTCATGCCTGACGATTCAGTCGATCGCTATACATTCCCCAACGGTACCTTGCCTAACGATACCCTCATCATCGATTCTGCTGTGATCGCTGTTGCAAACACATACTACCTTCTTCAAAACACTGTTGGCACCAATGCAATCAACTCCTCGTCATCAACCTCCCTGAATACTAATAGTATCTCGGTCGGTGGTTTGACTTCTGATTCTTACGCTGGACAAATATTCTGGGATGCCGATCTCTGGATGCAGCCGGGCCTTTCGGCATCTCATCCTGAGTCCGCTCAAGGCATCACAAACTACCGTGTGAAGTTGTACGACCAGGCCAAAGAGAACATTAAAACTTCATACGCTGGTTCCCAGAATCAGACCCAGTTTTCCTCGTCCGCGGCTATCTATCCCTGGACTAGTGGACGTTATGGTAATTGCACCGCCACTGGACCCTGTTGGGACTACGAATATCACTTGAATGGCGACATTGGCATGTCTTTCGTCAATCAGTGGGTCACTACTGGGGACACTCAATTTTTCAAGGAGAATCTGTACCCGATTTACGACTCCGTTGCCACGCTATACACGGACCTCCTGCAGCGAAATGGATCTTCCTGGACTGTCACTAACATGACGGATCCTGTAAGTGTTAAATGACTCACCCATAATGGAAACCTGCAAATACTGACTTTCTTTCAAGGATGAGTATGCGAACATGGTTGATGCGGGTGGTTTCACCATGCCACTTATTGCCAAGACGCTCACAAATGCAAATGCTTTCCGTCAGCAGTTTGGCCTCGAGGAAAACTCGACATGGGACGAGATGGCTGAAAATGTCTTGGTCATTCGCGAAAACGGAGTGACCCTCGAGTTTACAACTATGAACGGAAGTGCCGTCGTCAAACAAGCTGATGTGGTTCTCAACACATATCCATTAGACTACACGTCCAACTACACCACACAAGACTCTTTGAATGACCTAGACTACTATGCAGCCAAGCAGTCATCCGATGGCCCCGCAATGACCTGGGCCATCTTCTCCATTGTGGCTAATGACATGTCTCCGTCTGGCTGCTCAGCTTACACCTATGCTCAATATGCGTTTAAGCCTTATGCCCGGGCTCCATTTTACCAGATGTCAGAGCAGTTGATCGACAATTCTACCACAAACGGCGGTACTCACCCCGCATTCCCGTTCCTCACTGGCCATGGCGGATCTAACCAGGTGGTCTTGTTCGGTTACCTGGGACTGCGCCTTTTGCCCGATGATATCCTTCACATTGACCCGAGCCTGCCAATTCAAATTCCCTACCTAAAGTACCGAACATTCTACTGGCGCGGATGGCCCATTTCCGCTTGGTCAAACTATACCCACACCACCATCAGCCGTGCATGCAGTGCCCCCCTCAGTACTGCGGACCAGCGGTTCGCAAACAAGCCGATCACCATCAGTGCAGGCTCCGAGTCAAACTCAACAAGCTACCGACTACCAGTGGTAGGTTCCGTGGTTGTCCCGAATCGTCAGGTCGCGTCCACCAACACCGTCGCCGGAAACATTGCGCAATGCAAGCCTGTGGATTCCCTCGATTCATACGAACCAGGCCAATTCCCTATCTCGGCAATTGACGGAGCCGCATCGACAAAATGGCAGCCATCCCTAGCAGCGAATTGGAGTTCCATCACAGTCTCTCTAGGCGCGGAAGAAGGGTCAATGGTAACCGGCTTCTATTTCGATTGGGCACAAGCACCTCCCGTCAACGCGACCGTGATCTTCCACGACAAGAGCATTGATGGTACATTGACTTCCTATTACCCATCCAGTGAAAACATACACTACACAGTCGTGACGACACTCAACGGCATCGAACTTTCCGATCCCTATGATGCGAAGACCACCAACCTCGATGCCATTGCTATTCCCACGGGAAACACGACCAACATCACACTCTCTTCTCCAATCCCAGCTGCGCAATATGCATCGCTTCTCATTAAGGGAAATCAAGGTCTTGATGCTGTTGATGTGCAGTACAGCAATGGAACCGGCGCGACGGTTGCCGAGTGGGCTATCCTCGGCCCGAATAATCAGACTTCGCCTGCCTCGAACGAAAAGAGGCAACTGGGGGTGAAGGCGGCGAAATTTTCTGACCCGGGATCTATGATGCGCCGTCGTCGCGAGTTTTTGGCTCCGCACTAGGTGATAAATAGACCTGGGAATTTGCGATACAAAATAGTAAATACTTGGTAATTCTATTGAATATAACATCTTACGTTCATCATATCTGAGATATCCATCTATCTTTGCAGTGGAGGAGTTAAAAGACCCCGGGTATTCGTAAAAGACCTGAATAGGCTTAAAACTATATTCAACTAATCATAGTCCACATGAATACACTAACCATCCAAAGTGAACCGATCCAAGAACTTGAAAGTCCGCAGTCCATCCTTGATCTCATCGGTAAACGTATCACTGACAGCCTTAGCAGCATAAACACCGTCACGGTCGGTAGAAATATGCGCCGTCTTCAACGCAGCAGACCCCTTGCCAAGCGCACCAACAGTCTTGCCGAAGCGGAAGGCATCAAGAAGGATATCCAACGGCCGCCCAGCCGGATACAACGAGCTAGCGCCATAAGTCTTGTTCTCCGACGTCAAAGATCTTGACCCGAACAGTCCCTGCGCTCCATCCGCAATGATTACAGCATCAAAGTTCGTAGCGTCGGACGCCGAGTATGTCTGATTCACACCATCCTCCATACGCTCAGCAACAACAACAACATCAACGCCGACAGAGGTGAGTTGAGTCTGCAGGCTCGCGCCCTGGGCAATAGAAGAAGAATTATCCACCGAAGCAAGGAGTCCCACTTTCAACCCCTCAAGCTTCAACAATTTCTGTCCGAAAGCACCAATCCGCGCAGTGGTATTGTGATGGTAATACGTCGGATCAGGATCCGGCGCATCAACACCAATAGCCTCGGCGACTCGCTTCGCAAGATCATTGCTGATCCGATTAAGTTGTAAAACAACATTATCCCTCACAACCTGACTAACGACGTTGGCATTCTCGAAACGCATCGCATCCACGACAAACTGTTTTTCCGCCTCGACGAGCGAGTTCCAGAATAGTCGTGGCTGGGACCAGACGTCCGTGAACGAAGAGCTAACGCTGCGGACTAGCTTTCCACTTGTTGTTCGGCCGGGGGCAGTGAAGAATCCGTTGCCGACTGTTTGGTTCGCTTGTTTGGGGGAGCCGTTGTTCGGTGTGTTGGGTGTGTAGGCGTCCTTGTTGAGAGGGATGTACATCTGTCCTGCGCCGTCACGGTTGTTGTTGTGGATTGGAACTCGGGGGCGGTTAATAGGGAGTTGTTCGAAGTTCGGGCCGCCGTGGCGGTTGAGTTGCGTGTCTAGGTAGGAGAAGATGCGGCCTTGGAGGAGGGGGTCTTCAGTGAAATCGACGCCGCGGACGATGTGGCCGGGTTGGAACTGGAGTGTTGTTAGAGATGCTCTTAAGTGGAGTGAAACTGGGATTATGCTCATACCATGACCTGCTCAGTCTCGGCGAAGTAGTTCTTCGGATTGCGGTTGAGTTGCATTTTACCCAGTTTAGTGACTGGAACTAATTCCTCCGGGACAATCTTGGTAGGATCGAGGAGATCAAAGCCGAATCGAAGTTGATCATCTTCGTCCATGATTTGGACACCAAGCTTCAAAACATCAGTATTATATCCTGTATACTGTCAAAAAGATTCCTTCCACAGGCTAAACTCACCTCCCACTCAGGGTAACGTCCAGCCTCGATCGCATCCCACAAATCCTGACGAATGAAATCTCCGTTCTTTCCAGCAGTCTGCTGCGCCTCCTCCCATACAAAGCTCGCCTTACCCTGCAGAGTCTTCCAATGGAACTTCACCAGCTTGGAAGCCCCCTTATCGGTCACAAATCGGTAAGTGTGCACACCAAAACCATCAACGTGGCGAAACGATCTGGGAATACCATGGCCGGCCATCGCCCACATAAGCGTATGCAACGCGCTAGGCTGTTGACTAAAGAAGTCCCACGCCGAATCATGCGCAGTGGCAGCTTGAGGAATTTCATTATCGCCACGCGGCTTCACGGCGTGAATGAGATCTGGGAAGAGAATTGCATCCTGGATGAAGAAGACGGGAATGTTGTTTCCGACGATATCTGTTTCTCTTAGCAGGGTGACATGGGAGAGAATGGAGATGGCATTTACCAAAATTGCCTTCATCGGTATAGAATCGCGTTGCGAATCCGTGAACATCTCGCGCTGTGTCGGCGCTTCCGCGACTACCGGCAACAGTTGAGAAGCGGACAAACATGGGTGTTTCCTTGTCCTTTGCACCGAGGAATGAGGCTGCGGTTATGTTAGACCAGTCGCCATAAGATGTGAACACGCCATGGGCGCCGACTCCGCGCGCGTGGACGGCACGCTCTGGGACCTGTAACACGCCAGTGAGCTAATGATGAAGACTGAGTTTTAAGAGAATTGATTACCCGTTCATGGTCAAATCGCTGAATTTTCTGACGAAAGATAAAGTCCTCCAGAAGTGTGGGGCCACGCTCTCCTGCGCTCAGACTGTTCTGGTCTTCAATTGGACCGCCAATGTCCGAAGTCATGAAGGCATCTTTATCGTTGAGGTAGAATTGAGAAAGGAAGTCCTCGGTGGCGACCGATGCATCTGCATCGTCGCGACGACGAAGTTCAGAAGAGTCCGGTAAATCGCCTGACATATACGGACAAGCTGCATTGGCCGTGCCAATGAGGCCTGCGAGGAACACCGCGTAATGCATGGTGGTCGCTGAAGGTATTCGTTCGGGTACTGAAGCCGGACACAAATCAAAACATCAGCACGGGGGAACGGGAGCCGAGATGTCTTTTATAATCATGCCGATTACTACAGGAAATGAGACCTTGCTGGGCTGCTAAATTTCCATCCAATGACGAGCTAAGCAAAAGAACCTAGCGTAAGAGCTAATGCACCACATGGGCAGAAAGGCACGGGCTGAATAATATCCAACCTCCACTTGATTACTTATTCTAACGGGCTAGAATAGCCGGTATGATACGAAAATAAAGCCCGATGGTGGGGAGATGGCTCAATCCTTCAATCGGTGGAGTTGTACAAGGTCCCTAAACGGGGCACCGTAGCCATCGTAAAAACCTAGAGTCTAATTGGCTCGACAGTTTGTCTCACTGCGCCGTTAGCCAATCATAATTTCTGTTTGGTTTAAACTTGGCAGAAATCCCTAAGCTCGTAAGTAAGGCTGTGACGAAACCACAAGCGTCTTGGCATCCACTGGTGCTTGAGGGAAACTCAAAATTGAGTACGAAGCAGGGATGAAGGTCGAGGATTGCGTGGATGCCTTGGCAAGGATTGGCGTGTATGATGCTCACCGGATGTTGCGGATTTAGCGAGGGGGATTGATTAAGAAGCTAGATGGTCGAGGCTGGGATGCTTGGTAATAAAAATTGGTCTGGAGCGCGGATGGCGGGTGATGTGCAAGCTGCCGCTCCAGTTAATGTTGGGGCTTTGTAAACCTCGGACGATGGCTGGCTTGGCATCTTGGCAGAGGAGCTAATTAAGAGCTAGGGAGAAAGCACGGTCTCTTGCATGATGGCTGATCTATTTGCAGCCGGCCCCGACCAGTTAAGTGTCCATTAGGTTGCCGATCTAAAGTAAAGAGAAAATGAAGTGTCGATTAATTAGTCTATGAGTTGCGATTTTCCATATTTGCTGTGGGTCAATCAATAGGCGCGGATTAGTGATCCTGGACTCCCTGAGGTGCTTATCCTTGCCGTTTGAAGCCACAGAGGCTGGGTTGGTACTTTGTCCACTTACCGACATTAGCTTCTTTTCAAATAGATCTATCGTGCCTGCGCCGAGGCCAAGGCCCCTTTCCCCGCAGCAGCCCGAGCAATTAATCCCGCATTTCTTGTGCAGCATGGTCTGATTCACACGAAATCAAGGAACCGGAACTTGCTTACCTCGCATCCATTTCATCGTAAGGATGAAACTTTCCAAACCGTCTCACAATTACTATTGAGTTGACAACTACGCTGAAACAGCACTAGTATATGCTTGCAATTTTCTCCCTTACTCTAGAGCATCGCTGCTATTCATCTCAGCTCTATCGGTTGTTTATCCATTATCTCCCACTAGTGAAGAGTGTCGAGGGCGGGATTTTTAAACTGATACGTCTCCACCACAACCTCCAACGTGAACTGATTGATCGCGCGTAAAGTTAGGACTTCCCCTCTTTGCCCTTCCTCTCGTTAGCAGGTAGGAATTTTCTATTTGATGAACTGGTGGATAAAGAACAAGAAAATATGTAAACGGATAGAGAGCGGCCTGCTGAAGGGTCTAGGCTCGAGTAATCCAATAAGAAGAAGGCTTCAACCTTGAGCTGTAATCATATCTCCGGGCACCACCACTACAGCCGCTGCTGGCTTGTAACTGTGGCCCATCTTTTTCACTTGTCTTAAGTTGGGTCGAGACATAAGATCAAGCCACAGGTATCGGCACTTGAATGATTACGCTTGCGAGAGCAGCCTGGTAAAGGCCATTCCAGCCCATTTTACGTGTTTTGATGATCTCTAATTTTAGGTCGTTCGTGTCAGTGCAGGTACCTTGCACATTGGAAAGTTAATCGGCAAATGTGGCAGTTTCTGCACATGCATGAACTCGGCAAATGTAGATGGTGCATCAGAAAGGCTATACATCGTAATAATTACCCAATGAAAATAATTCTATTAAATTCTTAGAATGAATGATATGATATCAGCTGCTGTTCACTGTCTGTTTTATTTTTGTGCCTCGTATTACATTTCGACAACGATCTTTCCAACACGAATGGCCACCTGTTTGCTGTCCAAAATCAAATAGTGGTTTGACCAGACTATCAGCGCTTCCTCCTAGCCATAGGTGCACTAAAGTCTTCCGCAGTCCCCTCATCAACGAACCCAAACTTCTGATAAAGAGGCGCGCCCTCCTTACTCGAATCCAAATAAGCAGAAACCCCCTCCTTGTCAGCAAGATCACAACCCCACTTCACAATCATAGACCCGGCCCCACGCCTCCAGTAATCGGGATGCGTACACAATGTATCCAGGACTTAATCACAAATTAGCACTAGCCTCATCTGCAAACCAAAGAGATACTTACAAATATGCCTCTCCTCTCCCATGACTTTCTTCCGATTTTTCTCATACCCATCAAATACCAGATTACATCGGTCGGCCATCATATCCTCGGCCCAGGGTAGAAAGAAACGCAGACCGCGTTCGTTGGGCATCGATTGATCCCATTTCCCCCATGCGACCATGCGGGGCCTTCCCTCGCTGTCTTTGGTTTCCGGATCGAGAATCTTCAGATAAGTCTGGTATGGGCGCTCGGTGATGTCGTTGATTGCACAGTCTGCGAACCACTTTCGGACACTTGGAGTGTCGGGGATGACTTCACGGACGCGTGGTAGTGAGAACGCTGCGAACCAAATTTCAGTCATTGCGGGAACATCTTCCACTGTGACCTTTTCTAGGGTGAATTGCGATGGTGCCATTTTGAGTTAGATACGGATGCCTGTAAGATGTGAGATTTCTAGAGCTTGATCTTCTGTCTCTGTCGATTGCATCTAAATCCAGGTGCGCTCTCAGGGGTTTTTTCTAAACTTCTTTCCGGACCTCGCACTGCTGGCGATAAGATGTGGTTATGGACTACCCCGCTCACAGGCTCCCATAATACCACGCGCAAAGCTGGAGCCTAGTGCTATCCCGCCCCCGCGATCATTGTGGTATAGCGTCTTGCCAACGAGCCATTCTGGATGGAATATTACGCATCGTGGTTTCCGTGTTATGTGGAAACCTATTGGCGACGGTGTTCAGTGGCGCGTGTGGGTTGTCCGCCGCTGATGTACACAGCCGCGGCTGGAACTACTCGAAATGAGACCATATGCGCGTAGGAGACTACAGCTCGGCCTTTCACACGATGGGGGGCCTTATAACGACAGGGCGAGCTGATACGGCCACGGACCCTACCCGAGACTGGCCGAGCTACTCATGATTTTCTCGGCTTCTGCATGACATTTCTCGCGCAAAAGCCCGAGAGAAGGAGCACGAATATGCCCTCATTCTCTTCTGTACAGCTTTTGATAATAAATAAGGGGCTGACACTGCGTTGACAGCGATTCGCAAGTCTTATTCTCAACGAGAATATGATCAGGAAGACAGAATTTGCGGGTAGCCATCAACATGAACCAGCCCCTCTGGCCGTTACCAAGGAGTGCCGAGCAGACAGAGAGACATGCTGCGTGTCCGCGATCAAGGAAGCCACGCTGGAGGTCGTGAGAAACCAGCCAATATCCCACTTGAAACGTCGGCAACGTGATGCAGATGGAAGCTGTATTCACGCTCTGCGGGCGAAAAAGGCGAGAATCCGCTGCATTGGCTCTTCGGGTTGGCGTAGCCTAGATCACCCCCAGTCGATTCACGCATGCGGCTTCCATCTGAATGATGCTGCCTGTGTGTTTTGTGACGTATTGGTTAGTCTCGCTAACCTCCAGCCTGGCCTCCCAGATCACGAACACTGCGGCCTCAGTACCAATAGAATACAGATCAACTGATCGACCAATTGGGTCCAATAGAGCATATAGATTGCAATGAATACGCTGGGGGTTATTGAGGTGTGCCCATTGAAGGGGCCACCAAAACATGATTTTTATGAGTATGTCTCAGGTTCTCGGCAAGGGTGAATAGTCTAATATCCTACAAACTACTTGGTCTACACTTCTGATGGTACAGCTCTGATACCAATTAGAACAAAGCCTGGGCAATCGAGCGATAATGCATACTATCGTTGTGCATAATAAGCCATCAAAAGCTCACGTGAAGATTTTTTGATGTCAAGGAATGTCACCCAGCCCCTTTCTCGAATGACCTACCTGAATTAATCTCTTCTAATATCCGGATAGCCCCAAGCAATTAAGACTTCCAAGACTTATTCTTAGTGAATGCTCCGCAAATCATTTGCAATATGACAACTAACAAACCAATGCTCAGGACACTCGTCACTGGCGTAAGTCATACATATGAGAATCCATGAATAATTGTTATTTGCTCACCAATACTCAAACCTGAAAGGCAGCTGGGTTTTTGGGCTCAAATTTAGTGGACTTTCTCCTTCAAAAAGGCCACGTTGTTATCGGGTTGGATAATCTCACGACTGGTTCACCCTTGAATTTGCGCCACCTTGAAAACCACCCAAATTTTACTTTCATCAAGTAATGAAGCCTTTGGAATCATCGTGAAGATACATGACTGATATAAGTACCTTACAATCTAGTCAAAATATTTGCTCGCCAATCGACTGGAATGAGGAGATTGACCAGATTTATAACCTAGCTTGCCCAGCAAGCCCAATCCAATACCAGAGACAGCCAGTGTCAACTTTGAACACATGCTTTGACGGCACACGAAATCTTTTGGAACTAGCCAGAAATCGCAACATTCGGATCCTCCACACTAGCACCTCTGGTAGGTGTCAAACCCCAAGCACGGATTATTTCTTGGCTCACCAAAAATGTAGAGGTTTACGGAGATCCTCTAATCCATCCTCAACCCGAAACCTACTGGGGTAATGTCAACCCATTTGGGCCCCGATCATGTTACGACGAAGGCAAACGAGTCGCAGAAGCACTTTGCTACGCATATCAAGAACAGTATAATCTGGACATCCGGATCGCACGTATATTCAACACTTACGGACCCCGCATGAGCGGTCAAGATGGTCGAGTGATATCGAACTTCATCGCATCTGCCTTAAATGGTAATACGCTCAGTATATACGGTGATGGATTAGCGACCAGGTCCTTCCAGTATGTTACAGACTGTTTAGAAGGTCTTTATAGGCTCATGAACAGTGGATACGACGCTGGTCCGGTGAATATTGGAAATGACAAGGAGTTTAAAATTCAAGAGGTGGCGGATCTCGTGATAGAGCTGGTGTCGGAAATTACGAACAAGCCCCGAGCTACGGTCCCTTTCCACTCTAAACTCCTGGATGATCCTTCCGTTCGACGGCCGCAGGTGTCACTTGCGAAAAAAGAGCTGGGATGGGAAGCAGTGGTTCCACTACGAGATGGACTATGGAAGACTATTGAGTGGCATATGGACCAACAAGGACTCCCAAAGTAAAATGTCTAGTACTCTGAGTCAATAGTTCTCAGCGAAATAATACTCGATATATTGGGATTGGATCTGGCCGGAATCTATATGACTTTCTAGGCTTCCAGTCCACAGCGAAACAACTTGTCACTGACTCAATTCCTATATCATAATCCAGATCGGCCTTCCTTGTTTGTGCTGGCATGGCGACACGGGCACCCTACTATATATAGCTTACGTTAAGAGTCTGGGTCTGGTATCAAAGTAGTCATCAAATATTGAAATGAAGAACCTCATCTTGTGGCGTGATAATTATCCAATAATCCGCAATCAACCATCCTGTCCAAGCCGTGGGAATGGACTCAAACAATCTCTAAACCTTCTTGATGATCACAAAATTCTTGGCTGGGCAAATCAATGCCAAAATGAAAATCAAGGAATGAGCCAACTGAACTATAGGTGCATAAAGAAGCGTCAATAAAACGTGTAATACCGTAGTGGCCGCAGGGGTGGCATGTAGGTGTAGGTCTTGGAGCAAGCTTGCAACTATGAGACCATGCATATCAACAGCGACGTTCCACAAGTTCCTAATGAAAAACCAACGTGTCACCAAAACCTTCCAACCAGTGAGAAAGAGATACGCATTCCTATTTGGTACCCGGCCCATCAGCAGATGTCCAAAATGACCTAAAAATTACTTACAGACTGGCAGAAGCCAAAGATCCTAGCATTGAACTTGTGAGCATCAACCTCACTCCCCAGTTCTGTATAGACATTATCCCGCTATACCATCGTCGCCGCTGGTTGACCAAGTCGTATAGGTTGACTGGAGCTTGCTCACGCGCAATAGCGTGGATCCAACCGAATTTAAATCCGCGGCGAGCAGCCTTTGAGACTCGGATTAGCCAATTGTTAAGATTCGAAATAGGAGCCAACATGCATGCAAGCCAAACCAGAAATCTTCCGCAAGACAATCAGTGTTTCAAGTGATCTCGTTTTCCACTAACCCGTTAATAAGAAGAAACGAGCCATGAATGCATCCAAATAATGGTTGTCTGAATAGCCGAACGGGAAGTTGGAAGCGACCAAAGTCTTCTGCCACTCTGGAGACCTCATCAGTGGTCAAGAAAGAGCTTTCCCAGTAATTGTGGGTGGTGTAATAGATCGTCCCCTTATAACAAAATTAGTCAACTGTCACCTAATGGACTAGTCGGAGTCCCACAGACCATTCCGAAGTCTTCTGTTCCCCTTTCAATAAAGTCAAGACAAGCATTGATAAGGTAATCATCGATCTGTGTTTCCTCATCCAGATGTAATATCCAATCCGACTCTGATAACTCCCAGTGCTGTCGACACCATTCCAACGCCCTTCCCTTATACTTGGCAAGTTTAGGTTGGAAGGATTGCGGCACTTTTATAATATTCACAAAGCTGGGCAAAACTCCTTGAAATGGATCTGTATTGGAATCCAGAACGACATGGAAGGTGATCTTCGCTGAGGCTTTGCAATTCTGCCATGGCTTGATAGAATCAATGACTGTCTGGACTCATGATTTCAGTGCCAACAAATCAACAATTCTGTGCACAATGTGGCTCATAACTGACCTGTACATTTGTACCTTTCGTAACCAGACAAACCATCAAACGGCGGAAGCCTCGCTTCTTCGGTGACTTTGCATAGGCGAATGGCCGAATAGGTAGGCAAAGTCCCAATAAATTCGAGTACGGTGGACATTGTGCTAGTAGACATGGCACGTATACGAGTGCTAACAAAGAGCATTCAGATGTCCAAAGAGCATCTGGCTTAATGAACATATCAAATAGTCCTATCCATGGCATACTAGCCAAGATGGAATACAATGAGATGTGGTAAAATGTTTGATAAATTTGAGCTATTCTTTCAGGAAATGCCAGATTCGCCGTTCGAGACAACGAATCTCTCACGGCAGATTCATCTGGTGGATGAGGTATCAAATAAATACAAGAAAAAACACCGAAAGGGTAGTAAGTCTAGTACTTGGGGAAAGTAACAAAGTCCCAGCTCTTACCGCCCTTAATCAGCTGCGAATCCACACCATCAGTGCCACTTGCCACATAAAGCACCTTGGTAAACGCAACAGTGCTGTAGTAAGCGAACTCAGTTCCAGCGGGAATAAAAGCCACATCACCCATGTTCAACGTAGCAAGCGGGTAATCCCCAATGGTAATGGAAAGGACACCCTCGAGCACCTCAAACGCCGCAGCGCCTGCAAGTTTGTAGCTCGGCGGGCTGTTCTTTGTCTGCCGACTAAGCGAAATAGTGGATAAAGTGTAGTTCGTGTCCTGGGCTTGCTTGGATGTAACAAGGGGCTGGATAACCTGGTACCCGTACTTGGAGCTAAGGTACTTAGGTCCGTATCCATTTGCAACAAAGTAGGGGTCACCTGGAGAGCCGAGAGCGTTTGCTCCGGTGTGCCATGTGCTATCTGTTGGGGCAGTGCCGTTCACGAGATCGTAGCGGGGCTCGAAGTCGGTCTGGGCGTAGACGTCGAAGGACTTGAGGGTGCTCATGATGCTGGACGAGGGGGTTGAGCTCGAGGAGCTGGAGTTGGAGATCTTGGGAACGTAGGGGGTGTCTGTGCCTGAGGTGTAGTTTGTGCCGAGGTAGTAAAAGAGATCCCTGGTTATGTTAGTGATGTGTAGGGAGATTGGAGATGGGGGGCTTACTCAAATCCACCGGGGACGATAACGCCGACCATCTCGGTGTCAGGGTCGAGGATTTGGAAGGTGTGAGTTGTATTGCGGGGGACGGAGCCATAGTCGCCTTGGGTTAGGAGACGGGCCTGCTGCTCGTCGTCATCTTTCTGAGCCCAAAGCTGGAAGCGGCCCTTGAAGGAGAAGAAGTTCTCGTAGTGCTTCTCGTGGATATGCGGGAGGACACCCAGAGAGTCACTGGAGGGAGAATTGGTGCTCATCAGAGTAAAGGCGTAGCCAGATGAGGGACCAGTCACGGTGAACCGGTACAACTGGGTGCCAATGGTAACGGCATGGGAGTTGGCGTAGTGCGGAATGACGTAGGGACGCGGAGAAGTTGGAGCATTCTCAAGATAAAGATCGTCCAAGGTGAGCGCAGACTGGACAAGTCCAGTGCCAAAAGAGGCTAACAGGAGAAGCGTTGAGCCCAGCATGATTGATAGATTTAGCCTTCAGAATTTCTGGAATGAAGCGCCGTCCCGCAACCTTAATACACTAACTTCTCGGATTTCCCGGATATTTCTTCAGGGAATTGAGGTCGATCAGGCACCGAATAAGTAAGGGTATCCATTGAAACTGGTGGGGCTCTCCAGTAGTATCTTGGAACATGATGTACATTCCCATCTTTCGGTTCCATTGTGATGTAGTCGGTACTAGTGAACTCGGCATTTCCGGATCGACATTGCTACGCTTGCCAAGATACTGTCTCGAATGAGTGTGTGAGTTTAGGCATAGCTCTGCACGGGAAGATCGTCACAATGCTGGAAGATTTGCCGAAATTCCTTCCGGAGAATGTGGGTCGCCGACGGAGATTAAGGGTGTACTTTCCATACGCCGGATGCCTAGTTGATTTCGGGGACATATGCATAGGATGGGTATTGCTATTGATTTCTTCTCTCCAATAGAAAGTTTCCGTGATATCGGATAGGCTTCAGTGCTAGGGAGAATGAATGCTCGGCAGGATGAATGTACCTGCATTCAATGCAGACTCGGCATTGGTCTCGGAGTTCCGGTCTCCACTTGCCGGGCCGGACGAGAATTGGAACCGGATGTTACTAAATTTTCATCCGTGAGATCATACAAAACCACTAGTCTACGCGAAACGGTTCTAATGTATTCTGGTGGGTCAATAATGAACAAAAGACCGATTGATTGAGGCGCCGGATAAATATGTACAATAAGAAAGTGGGAGCGGTGTCTCCTAAATTTATATATGCAAAGAGTGTTCCGCCAGGGGACCCATCGGGTCATTTCACCCTGACTAACCCCGAATCTGGGAATGATATATGCTAAAAGAAATGCATGTGCATGAATGCAGGTTAGTGAATTAAGTAATGGGTAACAAGAAAGCGCCGACACTGTTATTGTTAGCAAGGACCTCAAGTGAACACAAGAAAAAGGGCAAGAAGCATACGAAATAGCGGCAAAACAGGCACAAAGAATTGCGCCTTCCAGGTAATTAGTTTTACCCTTGAGAACGAGGAAACTAACAAGCAGGGCGGAGCCGACCAGCGTCACCATCCCGAAACGATCGAAATGAAGAGTCATGGGCTTTTCTAATGCCCAAGCGACCAGAACAATAACAGGAGCGACCAGCAATCCAATCTGTATGGCTGAGCCAAGAGCAACGCTAATTGCGAGATCGAGCTGATTTTTATGAGCGACAATAACGGCCGTCACGTTCTCGGCGACATTTCCTGCGACCGGGATGACGATCAGGCCGACGAAGGATTCACCGAGGATACCCTTTTCGTTGAGCACGCCGAAGCTGGATGCGAAGAACTCGGCACAGATGGCGATGAGGATGGTCGATGCGACTAGCACTGTTATGGATATGGCTCGACTGGCAAAGGATAGGTTTTTGCATTGGTGCAGCTGGGCCTCCTGGGCTCCGGGCGCAACACCATCCCATTCTTGTTGTGGGCGTCTGCGGTCGGTGTCGAGGTGATGCATAGGTAGTCCGGACTCGGGCTGGATATCGTCTAATGGGGACGAAGGGCCCTCGGGTTGGATTTGTTGCATTTCGGGTCGTTGGCGGGATTTGTTGATCAAGGACTCGGTCGATTCCTGGGATTCGATATCCATGAACATCTCATCGTAGGACCGGCGGGTAGGTCGCTCAGATTGGGCGTTAGGGGGGTCACATGGAGTCCCACGGGGCGAGATCGGAAAAGGTGTGCATGGGATTTGAATTGGAAGAACAGGTATAGGAAATAGATGCCGAGGAGAATGACGGACACGCCTCTGCTGAAGTACAGGGCCATATGATCGGCTGATTTTATATCTTTCACGCTTCCGTAGAATGCGGTCTGGGGACATTAGTTGATATCTCGATTTTGGGGAGATGAACATACTGGGATCATAAGACATGATACTGTCAGGTTCAGCAATCCGACAAAGGCGTGAGTCAGATCGCTATTATAGGTTTGGTCAGGAGATGCCCACCCTCCAGCGATAATTGCAGATCCCAGGACCAAAAGCAAGTTGACAAGGATAGATCCAAGAAGCGATGCTTGTACCACTTTGATGTTGTTTTTCATAAGTGCCGTGCTAATCAGGTTAGTTCCAAGCCACACTAGTGCCGATAAGAACACCTTACACACTACAACGAATTGAAGTCAGTACATGTGCTGCAATTGTGTGGAACAGGGAGACAAACAAAATAATTAGCTCGGCAAGATTACCGATTGTGATGTTCAGAAGAGCGCCGGCAGTCTCTCCTAGTTCCTGGGAAAGTCGTTCGGTCGCAAGGGTAAGCGTTATCGACAAGGGCACGATAGCGATCAAATTCCAGATAAAGACCACTAGCGGGGGAATATCGGATACGGAAAAGAAGATGGCTACAAGGGTAAAGGGAATCGAGAGCATATTCTTCGATAAAAGAATCTCTCTAGCCCGCCGTTTGAATGCCGCGATGGGTTTGTCGCAATAGTCGCATTCTACTCCTCTTGGTAGGGAAATACTGGTCGAACTGCGAGGACGGGGTGTAAAGAAGGATTTCACATGGCGGGAGATGTTATCTGAAGCATTTGCAACGGCAACTTGTTCTGCATTTCGATAATTTAAACCGTTAGAGTCGACTGGCGGAAAAGAAGCGAATACGCACGATTGATCCCCCATTGTCGAGCACGAGATCTATTTCCAGAATTGATGCTTGAACCATCGTCAATCAAATGTGAGTCGTCACCACAAGTCGAATGGTCACGGAACGGACTGATTGGATTTTTGTCGTCCTCTGCTTGCAGGCCATCTCTGACCATATTTGAAGATATTCGTGGTTTGGTTCTGGGTGACGCGTGTAACCGGGAAAAGGGGGGGGGGGGAGATCCTAGAAATTAAATATAGCGATTATCCGCTAAGATAATCCCACGCGCGCCAAGGCCGCTGCGGGAATTGTTTCGTAAGATGGCCAATCAGGCATTTGGATGGTGGGCATTTTTAGTGGACCTAGTGCCAAATAACGCCAAGCCTCTGAATAGGGGTACATTCCACCTCGTACAGCGTATTCAATGTGGAGTGACAGTCAGCTAAAACTACGTATACAACGTTTAACTGGGCCATTAATTCACTCACCCCGCGTCAAGTGCTTGCCCCTCGTGGTTTTGACAGCAATTCCGCTGAGAATGATGGGTATCAATCTGACAGTTTCGTGCCGATCATGTTCCAAAGTTGTCTCGTACATATTGGCGGAACAAACCACTCCTATACTTGCAACCGGTTTCAAGCTGGAGAAACATACTTTGCTTTGAATTTATCACTTTTATATCAAATATTGCATGTAAGACCTGGACAATGCGCTCTTAGAACTAGCTACTTGTCGGGCTCGATGTCAACACCCAGAATCATGTTGTACTAAATCTCTCCCCTTAAATGAAACCTTATTTTCTATACCATCGCCTTGGCCAATCCAATGTGACGCTCAAGTCATGAATACTTCCCAAGGTTCGTGATTTTTGGGCACCTTGGCACTATCCAATAATTCGGGTAGTATCGCTCTTCTGTGCGAGCTAGCGGCTCCTGACAACGACATTGTGTTTATAACTGCCGCATATCTGCAAGGGGGTGTATTGTAAATTGATGTCGATCTTGATGACCCGTTTTTATACAAAAATGAACGCAGGGCAGCTCTCAGCGAGGAGTCATCCAAGTTCCGATTGACCTTGGAGTCACACGGTCGCTCCAGCGAAAAGTTTGGCCGATGTCCATGGCGGATTGCACCAAGAAAAGGACGGTTGGTCGCAGTGCAAGTATAGTAGTCCTGGCGTTGAAGTCCAATGGAGGATTAAATTGAATGCTACTGCATCCCTCGTTAAGTTGGTCGTTGCTGTAGTTCGTGCCGTTTATTCCCTTAGGAGCTCCATAAATTGTCATGAGTTACACTATATTGTGAGATTGTTAATGTCTGAATGATTGGTAATTGAGAAGAATAATGCTATTTGCAGCTTGACACATCAAATGATAATTTATTTGTACCTCAACTAGGAAAAAGCAATCAATTAGAACAAGGTAAGGCTACAACTTCGTAATATTCCTTTCCATTTCTAAGCGGCTGTCACAGGGAATTTCATAATGCGAAGAAGTGCTAATCTGCAACATCTGGATATTTGCCTCGGTCACACTATAGGAGCGAGGGCTGACATTCGTGGTACGCAATCAAGATAGGGCTAGTGCTCCGCAAATCCTTGGTAGCACACCCAGCCTTCGCTGAGCCACCTTAAGCCTTATACATCGGCCACAAATCAAAACTCATATTATTGGGATATCTCTCGTGCGGTGATACAATAAATTCCGGCTGCTGCATGTCAAATGAGAAAGACAAGCAATCTAGTGGGGTTGAGGCGCGTCTCGACTTCCCTAATGAAGATTGCAGAGCAACGTCATGTCACCAGATTTGAACGAAAATTTCAGACGAAGCTCGATCTCTGTTGTAACTTTGATGACCAAAGCCCCATGTCAGAGACTTATGGTATTCGAGATCGCATATGCCTACGTGGGCTCTTTAATTTGTACGTGTCTCACTGGTAGATAACGAGAAATTGAAGAAGGCAAGAAATGATATGGAAAAGGTAATTCATCAATTGTGTATTCTTATATGTTTAGATAATAGTCTCCTTAACCTGCTTCACCAGATCAACGACAGTCTCCTTAAAGCTTCTGTACTCAACACCCAGCTCTCTCGCCACAGTCTCCCCATCAACCTCATAAGAGGCACTCGGCTTAACTCCAGCAGCATATCCATCCGTCACAGTATCTTTAGCCCACTCAAACTCAGCCTTCATGATATCAGCCACATACTCGTAGGAGAACGGCTCCGGCGAAGCAGGGACATAGCGCTTCCCACCAGCCTCTGGTGTAATAAGAGCCCGAACATGCGCATCAGCGAGATCCCGCGCATCAATCCATGCGGAAACACGGGCACCAGGTAATGGGTCAGCACCGGCGGCTACGCTCCAAAGATCCGAGTTGGATTCGTTCAATGACTCGATATTAGGCACTGGGTGTACGACTGGACCGAAAACCATTGGTGGGCAGAGAGTGACTAGATCGAATTGAGGCTTCTCGTTCTTGATGAAATCCCATGCCGCTAGCTCGGCGAATTTCTTCGATCCGCGGTATGCTACTACAGATGTTGAGCTCGGGTCAATAGCTGTTTCGTAAGTCAAAGGGTTCCAGTCTGCCCCTGTGTATGTGAATCCAGGAGGAGGGGTACGGTTTATATCGACGACTGAGGCGAAGGAGGATGTCAAGACGATGCGTTGGATTTTGCTGCCTGGTTTGGCGGAGGCAGATAGGATGGACTTTACGCCATTTATGGCGGGGAGAATGAGTTCTTGCTCGTTGTTTGTGGTGTTATAGAAGAATGGCTGTGGTTTGTTAACGCGTGTGTCTGCATGTTTGTTGTAATGGACGTACGTACGCTGGCAACATGGATAACACCGTCAATTCCGTCCATTGCAGAATCAAAGACGCCGGTCTTGGTAAAATCTTCCACGACTACGAAATCTAGCTTTGAGGCGTAGTGTGGTCGGGCGGCCTTCATTTGCTCGCCTTTTTGGGCCGATCGGGTTGCTCCTCGAACGCGATATCCCCGCGCGAGGAGGTTGTCGACAACATGGGCGCCGATGAAGCCGGTGGACCCGGTGACAAGGACATACCGGTCCTCGGGTGACTTGGTAGAAGATTTCTGCGACATAGCGATGAACAATGTGAAAGAAAATCGAGAAAATCAAATTGAAAGCTGGGGTGGGGGGCAATGGAGATATCTAATGTACTCGGATGAAGTCCGATCATCGGTAAGATCCCCACGCTGAACGCTAGTGTGGGGGTGGAGAACAAGACCACTTTCCAACCATGACAAAATCTATTCAACATGTTCAATCCTCCTCGGGATCAAAGATAGGGCCTGCAGGCGTCTTCTCCAATCTCTCGCCATCTTCCGTCACAATTTCTTGACTGGGTACAACCACACCAAAGATCCTAGCAACATCCTTCCCCCGGTTAACCCACTCATGGTTCGTTCCCCTGCAAACAATAACATCGTGCGGCTTGAGGATCTTCTCTGCGCCACCATCGGTAATGAAGCCGACAGTACCAGTGAGAATAACAAAGTAGTCCAAGCTCAAGGTACGATGCATCCATCCCTTTTCAGCTGGGTACAAATCCAAAATGCGACAAGAGGGCCCTTTCGTATCTGCCAGCGGAACAAGGGTCTTGTGTGGATCAGCTAGCGGGAGCATGTTGTCAGCCGGAAACCCGCGCGATCGGTGGATTTGAATCACGCCAAAGCCTGCATCTGGGGCTGGAGTCTTGAAGTCGGGTGCCGTGGTTGGGTCGTAGGGCGTTAGAATGTCGTCCGAGGAGAAGTAGGCTTTGCCTTTGGAATCGTGGGAGGTGATCACGCGGCGGATAGGAGCATCCATTGTGTTGATGTGAATCTAGGTAAGGGTTTGAAAAGCCAAGCTATTGAGAGAATTGACAATGTCGATGTGAACACAAAAACAATGATCGGGACTAGGTACGACTTTATATAGCTGAGGACCATGAGACATGTCAAGCTTAGTGCGGTAGCGCTGACCTCGGAGATTGTTATGAATCCATTCCTCAAATCCGACTTTTTGTCAGATAATTTATAAGCTTGAAGCTCACATCTCAACCATGTTGACATGATTGGAAGCTTTAAAGGCATCCTTCAAACCGATATGGGGCATGGCAAGGCTGCGCTTACAAAGTGGCGGGGCGTCGGCCGACAACCCGACAGATGACAAACACGATTCAATGGCCTTCGAAGGAATTTCCCCCTGGGTGCATGGATATAGAATTTTTAACACTAAGTAACGGTCGAAACTGTTGAACGATGAATCATGGCAACTTTTTATTTTCATACTCAATAATAGTAAAAGCCAAGGCTATGATTTAGACCTTAGGACATGATAGTTAAAACAGCTCATTGCTGACTTCGCATGGCCCCCGCACTTGAGCTCCCGTGACATCTTATGACTTGGGCAATCTCATTTCAACGTCACTTCTCAATATTATCATTCAAGATCTAGATCGCTGACATCAACGGACATCTTCAGATACCCTCTTTGCCTTACAAAGTAACTCTTGGTAGGTGTTTCTCACTTTGTCACGCATGTTCTTTCTATCACCCATCCCTCCGCCCATATCAGCTAACTACATTTTCTGTATTCTTTACCCCCGTCAGCATGCCTATTGACCCCAGCTCTACAGGACCTACACAATGCCGACCGCTATTGCCAGGCTGGGTGACCTTATTCTAGCCGAAGCTGACACATGGGAGACAGTGGAGGGAAACGTATATGTAGGTTTAATGAATCGAGTCACAAACTTTACTAACTTTGCTTGCAGTTTCCTCCATCATCCATCAAAGAGCAGGAAATATTTGTCAAATCGGATACGAAGACCTTCTGTCCTTGGAAAGGCGAAGCAGAGTACTACACAATAATAAAAAATGGTGGTATGTGACAATTTATGAACAATCATAGGCAGCTATCAGCTAAGAGCTAATCAGATACTATCGTTTCGGATGCGGCATGGTACTATGCTGCGCCATATGAGAAAGCAACGAACATCAAGGATCATATAGCTTTCTGTAAGTTCAACCAGTCAACTAGGCTTCTGGTATTAGATTGAGTACAACTGATAATTTTGCTTCCCTTGCAGACAAATCCAAGGTTGCAGTGACTATAGAGTAAGGCGGCAAAGTGGTGAATATGCTTATTTGGCCAGATGCCTTTACGTTTTGATTCGCTAGTACTCTGGGGCATTATTTACTCAAAACACTCTTGGATTGAACACAGTTACTATGCAGAATGAGAAACACCAAATATTTCACCTAATATCCTTGGTGGATATACCTACTCACCGCCATCCTCATAACCCTCATCGTAAACCTCCTCCCCCAACTCCCGCCCATTATAAGTCAACTTCTGCATCGGCAAAAAGACAAACAACAATCGACACCACTCCTTCCCGCTCCGATTCCGAAACGCATGCGCCGTACCCCGCTGTATACACACATCTCCTCGATGCAAATGGCGACTTGCTCCAGAATCAAGCACAAGATCCACATCGCCTTCCAAGACGACTCCATAATCCAAGCTGACAGTCCGATGCATCGGCGTCTTCTTCCCAGGCTTCAGGTCTATCATTCGGAACACCGTTCCTGTATCCGTTGTTAAGCCAGGTGGTTGGTGGAGGTATTCGTCGTACATGGCAATGTCGGCTTCATCTTCCAACGAGGCGGGGACCGTGTCCGTTGCGTAGAGGAGGGCGATTTCGCCGTCGCCGCCTGCTGGTTGAGAGGGCATGTAGTCCGGGACTTGAGCGTGTGACAGGAATACTGCTTCACCTTCTGTGCTGTGGGTTGTTATGTAGCGATGGATATCGGGGAGGTCATTGTCTTTATGCGCGTGCATCACGAGGAGCTAAATCTCATAATAATTTGAAATTGGCGGCATCCGGAGAGCTGTAGTTGAGAAATGATTTTGGGGGTAGATTTGGCCGTGCTCAATGTCGGGGAAGAAAAGCCGAGGCATGGATCATGATGGCATCATAAAAGGTTTATCTTAATTCCAGAACCCGATTGTCAATCACATACAGTACCTAGGCAACCACACATGTATACGCTCTTCGCTAAAGGAAGAACAATGACATGGAAGGAAACGCTTACAGAATTTGCATCTAATCAGTGCATACCGCAAAGGCTTGAAACAGGAATTCAGGTCGCCGAGTAGATCGCCCAAGATCACGGTAGAAGGCGGCCCTTCTTAACAAGGTGAGCAAAGACCCATTATTTGTGTCCAGGAGAGGAGAACTTAAACCTGGGTCGAAGCAATTTCGAGCGTCCACCAACAAATACTACGCACTGACCGACTCTATTTTGCATTTGGATAGTAGTTTTGGCTTCCCGTTCTAATTGTTGCGCGGAGGAGGGTCTGGGGTATGGATACTACCCCAGTGCGGTATCCAAAACAAATCGAATTTTCGCAGTCATTAGTCATTGATGTCGCTCAATATGGAACACTTGTATGTGTCAAATCGTTCAACAAGTCTATCCATGCTGGAGTATCTAGCCCGACTTGAGCACTGTCGTCAAGCATTTCGCTCCAGATGTCTTCCAGTGGCACCATATTAAGATCTGCGGTTCTGGGATCAAGTGTATCCTCATCGGAATGTGAAGAAGGTTGATCAAATGGCACCAATCTAGCCATTCGTCCTACCTCCGCACTCCTCTCCAAAGGCTTTTGGGCTATAGCCAGTGGCTCTGGCTGTGTTCCCGACATAGGCCTTTTTTGCTGCTTCCAATGTTTACGCAACGTGCCCATCATCGCACGTATACCTTCTCGTGCGATGCAAGAAGCCTGTTGTGCCCGGCTAAGCATGCGACAGGCATCAAGCACCTCCTCCTTTTGTTTCTCAGCAAGGATATCATCCCAGTTGAAGCAGACGTTTATGAGTAGGGTCACGGCTGCCATGAACACATGATGCATGATGGCCCAGAAGAAGGAGCCATTGGGCGTGATAACAGGCTGTTCCTCGTCCATAATGCGCTTCAACTCTATAACCTTTCGGGCTGATTGAAGCGATACTACATGGGAGTAGGAATATCGAGGATCCTTGGCTCCACGAACAAAGTACCGGCGGTGCAACCTTAGAAATCGTGCATGGTATCCTTGCTGAATGAAGGTTCTTTGCCAGGAAAACACCGGTCGATCTTTATAGAGCTCTGAAAATTCACGCCGTGAGGATTGGTCGTATCGAAAGAAAGTAGGGAGCTTCGCGTATTCCTCATGAAGTTTGCGTTCTAGATTAAGAATCTTTTCGTAAGGCACATCCTCGCCCTTGAAATGCTCCAGGGCAGTCCCATCGACAATTTCTCGGCATACTTCAGCCAACCGCAGACGGGCAAGGGTATATGACATGCATGTAGGTATAGACAATGAAACAGGTATGCCGCTTTCTATGTCCTCATCATCAATATTTAAAGGTAGTCGTACATTCATGTGTTTGGGATTGATGGAGTATGTAAACTCCTGAGGTCCACTGAGGAAACTAAGAAACCTGTACGGGGAGGAATTAGCAAATGGCGTCTATAATCAGTGGTCAACGTACCAGTCATAGGTCGCAAGATCCCACCACAGTCTCCGCTTCAGTTCCACATCCCCTATATCACAACCATTCACTTGACGATCCTCTTCGGAGCCAGGACAGTCCAAGATGTGAAGCCCAAGGCTCTTTGCTTGACTGATCATGGTACCCAGCACAAAGAATGAGGCAACACATGGATGTAAGAGAAGACCGGATAGGTGGTGCCCAATTATAAGTGACGCCTGTAGTCCGGTAACGGTCGGATAGGACATAAAATTGCTTTGAACCAGCGACGCCCCCGCCAGAAACGCTGTTTCCCTACTTCGGCTTTCCGCACATTCCGCCGAGTCCGTGCTTAAAAGCTGAAAGAAGAGAGCTGTAGCGGAAATGCTAAATACTAGTGCGAGGACACTTAGATCCACCGGTGCATTCTGTGCAATATTCTCATATAACGTGTGAATATCCCGCTTGATGCGTTCGGAAATGACAAGGTGATATTGGTAGTCGAGGTTATTGCAGTAGTAGTCGAAAAGATCCATTACCTCTTTTTCTGTGGGCAGATAGGAGATAAGGGGGATCGTGGTGGGATTCTGATGAGATACCATGCAATCAACGTCAAGAAAAGTAAATACTCCCGATCCCGGTGCTCCCTGACGCAACCGAGAATCAGTATATGGATGGGAGAATTGTGCTCGGATGGTAGCTGGGATGGCACTTGGGACCCGATGGCCCATAACGATAGTTTCCAATCGATCTGCTGTGACATATGGGTCATCTCTGATGCGGGTTTGAGGCGTCGCTTGGTATGCTGGTAACTGAGATCGACGTGGCTCAATCCTGTCAATGGATGAATTTCTCTCCGTCAAACTTCCAGGCTTGATACCCGGACTTCCCACAGAACCATGATGTTCATAAGCGCAAACTAATTTTCGAGATGTGCAACTACTGCATGGATGGCTCCGGTCGCATTTGAGTTTCTTCTTTCGGCACGAGTCGCAGGACACTGGATCTTGTCGAGGCTGCCGCTTCGGGGCAGGATCAGAAGCACTGGCAGTCTTTCTCTTCATGATGATCGCAAGGACAAAGATGCCGAATCTTCGAATGAATCACAGGGAGAGAGCGAAGTTGTGAGCTGGAATGAGGACGCCACGATGACCGGAGTGTCCGCGGAGCATCCGGGCCTTGGCACCCAACTTTATTTTGTACAATGTGCTCACCGGAGGCTCCGCGGTTCAGAGCTCAATTTCCTATTAATTATTCTTCCTCGGTTTCCTATAAAATGCTTCCTTTCATCGCAACTGGAAGCTTCCAATGATACCCAAGCTTTTTCATCAAAAGCAGAACCTGCCCAGGCGTGAGAATGTCTACGGAACCCGTGAACGAATACACGTGTGTTGCCGCAACTTCGGATTATATTGATCACCATTAACATAAATAGAACCCGAGCATGGCTCGTAATTTTCGGCGCATTTACATGTCTCTTCTGCACAGTGGGGTTTTTGAATTCTTTCGGCGTGTTTGAAGATTACTATGCGACAGCCCAACTAGCCCATGAATCGCAGTCAACGATTGGATGGCTCGGAGCCATGGCCATTTTCTTCCTTTTCTTAATTTCGACAGTCGCCGGTGCGATGCTCGACATTTTCGGGCCGAAGGTAATACCTACTCACCTATATGCCGAATCCAAAACTGACTGTTTCAGCTCATGATATGGACAGGATCGGTCGGGACGGTGTTCGCTATCATGATGACCTCGCTCTGCACGGAGTTCTACCAGTTTCTGCTCGCACAGGGTATTCTTCTCGGAATTTCTATGGCCTTGGCTACGTGGCCAGCACTCGCGCTTGTCGGACAGTACATCAAGAAGAAGCGGGCTGCGGCGATGGGCATCGTGCTCGCAGGATCGTCGCTTGGTGGGATTATCTGGCCGGTTGCGATCGATCAATTGCTTAAACACAAAGATATTGGATTTCCTTGGACGATGCGGATCGTGGGATTCATTATGATTCCGTTGTTTGCCTTCTCATGCGTTGTGTGCAAATCACCCCCGAAGATTCAGGTTCCCATGGACTGTGATCCGGAGAGAGAAACAACAGGCAAAGATATGAGTGGCGAGCCTACCCCAGAGAAGAAGGTTGATCACAAGAAAGAGGCAATCGTACTCTTCCGACAGCCATCCATGCAACTGCTATGTCTTGCCATGTTCATCACATACTTTGGCATGTTCGCTCCTTTTTTTATACGACGTCATATGCAGTTGAGAAGGGATTTTCGACGACATTAGCATTCTACACCGTCTCTATCGTCAATGGAGCCTCGTTTTTTGGCCGCATCATTCCTGGAATACTAGCTGACAAGTTTGGGCGATTCAATTGCTGCATTGTGTCCACCTTGTCGGCAGGGGTAATTGCTTTCTGTTGGACGAGTGTGGACTCCATCGCTGGGTTGGTGATTTGGTGTGCTGCTTATGGTTTCGCATCGGGAGTAAGTTTTTGATCCCAAATAAAAAATCATGTATCTGATGTTTTATCAGGGCATTCTGTCGCTCCAGCAAGCTTGTGCCGCGCAGGTGGCTACACCTTCTACATTTGGTCTCGCTATCGGTGGTGTAGCTGGGTCTACCGCGTTTTCGTGAGTTTACCTCGCTGATCTCTGAATAACACTAACATGATAACAGTGCCATGGCCAATGTTCCAATCAGCGGCGCCCTGGTTGAAAAGTACGGATATTTGTCTTTGTCTATATTTTCCGGCGTAGCACTGCTCCTGGGCGGTACCCTACTCATCTTTGCTCGCTTGGCACAAAACAGAAAGCTCTATGCAATCACTTAGACCGTATATGGTTGGGCATCAGCTCGAAGTCTGTCAGAATGGCACGGATGGGTGAGGATAGTGATGAAAGAATAGATTCAATATAGCAAATTCGCCGCAAGGTTGGAATTACTTAATATTACCCCCAGATACCAGGAGTCCTTTCGATAGTGGCAAATATTTATTTCATATATTGAAAAGCAAAGAAAGGTCACTAAGTCAAACTAGACGCTCTCTCCAGCAGCTCGTCGAATCGCTGCAGTCAACTCATCAGGCTGGCTGATGAACGGACTGTGCGATGCATCCACCGTCTCCGTTCTCATCCCGAATCCCTTGGCAGTGCCTTCAACCATCATCTTCTGCACTGTGAGAGGAATTGCCGCATCCTGGAGACAGTACAAGTAGGTGGATGGGATATTTTTCCATGCCGCATAAGTACAAACGCTATGAAAGGCTTGGTAACTATGAGATTTCAAGGCTGCGACCGCGCGCTCAACCTGGGCATCGTTGCAGTCGTTGTAGAATATTTTTTCTGGATCTGCAACATTGACTTCCAACTTATCATCCGATACCCTGAACCATGGGAGGTCATTACCACCGAAGGCACTGATGAGGGATTGCCCTTCAGCAATGACAAATGAGCAGCAGAAGAACAGATGGGTAACACCGCCAGTCAGACCCACTTTCTGGCGCGTGTTGATATCGAGTCCTTTTATAGCCTCATTCGAGGGCAGGCCGCCGTAAGAGTGCGCAACCACGACCACATCCCGCCCTTCATTGACGGCGTGCTCGATTTGCGCTCGAATACGGGAAACATCTGCGCTGAAGTCTAAATAGTGTGTTGGCGGGTCCACTGTGGGTAAATGGACCTTGTCGGTCTTGTAGCCGACTGCTTCGAGGCGTTGCACAACGGGATCATAGCAGTCAGGATTGTGCCAGGCGCCTGGGACGAAGAGTATAGTGGTAGACTGGTTCATCGTAAAAGATATCCGTAAGAATAATGATGCTTAGCAAATGGTTATTTAGAAGCGACAATAAAGCAGAATAAATTGACGACAAATTCAAATTTGATGTATTTTCAGAAGAATGTTATTAGTTGCCAGGGGGGAGAAAGGGATAAGACCGATCCTTTATAGGGGCTTTGCCTTTCTCCGCTGGCGAGTTACATGTTAAGACCACAGTCCGTGGAGAGAATAAGCCACAACAAACGAGTCCATGTCAGTTATCTGGGAATTGCGAGAAATGCATCATCTCTCCATAGGGGATCTGTGGTAGTGGGTTGAGCCGTGACAAGGCATGTCCCAAAGGCGTAACCAGTGAGATCTTCCTCGATAAGCTTTGAGTTCCAACAATCTGCCAAGAAACTGCCCGTGGTTGAAAAGCGAAGCCTACATGGAAGACAAATGTTATTGGTGGGCTAAATACCTGTTCAATGGATGAGTCCAGGCGAAGGCATGTATTTGCGAGCCGGGATGAACGGCTTGCGTTCGACCCCGCACCTGCAACCACAATTGCGGCTGCACGAGATGTATACCCGATTAATTCACTTGCCGCCTTTCCCGTTCGCTTACTCTTCTTCGGGCTTGGCATGTGATATATATGGTTGCTGAGCGTCTTACTGCGGACTTAAGTGATAGGAACACGGAGCTATTCCCGGATGGATCCGTCCAAATCGCCTTAGGCTAAAGTGAGGCGTTGATACTAAGAGCCGCTTAACTGCTTATGTAGAATGAGCCGGCGGAAGAATCCGCGAACCCGTCTTTGGAACTAATCTTCGAATCTTACCTAAGCGGTAGATGTAGGTACTCAAAGTCGAAATATTTTTTATCGCTGCGCCCGTATCGCTATGGTTGCATGGATTAAACCCCATTGGACGACACGAGAAGACCTGTGAAGAGCATTATACGTCCTAAAAACTCCATAAATTTTAGAAATCAAGTGACGAGCCTCTCCGAAAGCACAGATAGGTGTAAAAATGCACATCACTGAGTGCCAGGGGGTGGTCAGATTGCTACTTGTCAATAAAATTGATTAAGAGGTCTGGGACTTTAGTAGTATCTCTTTAGCGCCATGGATTATCTACTAGAGCATTAGCGCGAGTCTACTGCTTAGTTCAATTGACTACCGGCGAATGGGAGGGCATATGTTACTGATCGGCTATGATGAACTGAGGTGTTTAGTGATGACAACATAATCGAGCAGGCCTCGGTTCAATCAAAGTTTCTCTATAAATTGGTAAACCCAATGGTGATTTCAAAACACCAGTCCATTTCGTTCAAGTGACCTCGGCGTATTTGCTTCCGCAGTCATGATACCTTCTCCTTACCGCGTTTTGATCTTCGATATTGGGGATGTTCTTTTTACTTGGTCTCCCTCCACCAAGACGGGTATATCCGGAAAAAACTTTGAAGTCTACCTTGTCATTGGACATTTGGTATGAATACGAACAGGGTCGACTTTCTGAGGCCGAGTGCTATAAGAAAGTGGGTGACGCGTTTGACCTGGAGGCTTCCGAGGTCAAGGAAGCATTCTCACAGGCTCGCGATTCGTTGAAGGTCGACCATACAGTCTCATCTATGATACATAATATAAGAGACCACTCAGGCTCCAAACGACATATTTACGCGATGTCAAATATTTCCAAGCCCGACTACGATGTGCTGCGCACGAAAGCGGCCGACTGGGATGTTTTTGACAGTGTATTCGCTGCTGGGGAGGTAGGTATGCGTAAGCCAGATCTTTGTTTCTATAAACACGTTCTTCAAGCCATAGATGCTCGACCTGAAGAAGTCATCTTTGTCGACGATAAGCTGGAGAACGTGATTTTGCGAGATCACTAGGAATCTGCGCAATCAAATTCAAGGATGCGACGAGCCTTGCCCGAACATTGGTGAACCTGTTGGGAAACCCCTGTCTAAGAATGCGAGAAAAATGGATAGCATTACGGATACTGGGGTCGAAATCAAAGACAACTTCGCGCAATTGCTGATTTTGGAAGCGACGCAGGATGAGTATGAACAGGACAATCAATGACCCAACACAGAGACCAGTCAGCTAATTGATATCTCTCCAGAGAATTGGTCGCACTGGAACATCACGACAAGCGGTGGGGCTTTTTCATCGGTGAGTACTAACTAGATTGAAGACAAATCTCAGAAACCTGCTTATCACCCATTCCTTTGTAGGCAAGCACGTGTTGACAACAAAAGAGTTCCCATTCGATCTGGATACAACTTCAGCTGCATTGGTCACTCTGAAGAATTCAAAGGAGCATATAAACACCATGCTTGATGATATGCTTGACTTTATGAATAGTGAGGGGCTCATTATGGTACGTACACGCCATGTAGATTTGAAAAACATTGCGGTACTGAATACACTCTCTAATGTGACCCATACAGACCTATTTTGACAAGTCCCGACCACGTATTGATCCTGTAGTCTGCGTGAACGTACTTCGAGCATTTCATAAGTTCGGACGTGGGAAGGATCTCCGGCGTACCCAGGAATGGATTCGACAGGTCCTCTACCATCGCGCATATTTAGATGGGACTCGGTATTACAGCACCTCTGAGGCTTTCCTGTACTGTCTCGGGCGCCTCTTAGAGACATTGGATGAAAGCGAGGTCAATTTGTATCGGGATTTAAAGTCTTTGATTGTGGAACGCATCCGTGAGCGTACCGGAGTCGCGGGAGATCTATTATGTCTTGCAATGCGAATTCTTACAGAGCCGCTCGAAATCAGCTGCATCTAGTCATTCTTTTCAAAAGTTTTTGGAACTTTATCTTGCATAACATTATACCCATTCTAGTTAGACTACCCCTGATGCGGTAACTTTCGTTATTCCAGTACAATTGTAAATAAACGAATAAAAATAGACATTGTATTCTGTTGTATGCGCTTTTTGCGGTCTAGAATATTTCTTGTAAACAAACCATATAATGTAGTCGCTAGTCTGCCCACCTCCGCAACTTGCAACGATCGATGTATTATCCATGCCGATGACGAATTTTAGTTCAGGCCACCTTCTGCAGTGATTGAGGAGCTGCTCAATGAAGTATTCGAACATGGGTATCATATCACGAATCAGCTCTATTTTGAGGGCGTTGACCAGTCTTCAAGATGGGAAGCAGGTCGGTGAATTGAACACCATGAATAAACCTTATTATGAATTACTACCTGTTGAAGGAGTATACAAATCAGTCCAAAATTACAAGAGGGATATTCTGTTCAACAAAAAGCTTATTCGCACATCACAATAAATATGGTCATCAGCAAGGTGGAATGATTGAGCCTGGCTTGAATCTTCCCCCGTATTGAGCAGAAATACATGACCACCAATAAGCATGGAACAGCTCGATAAACCAGGAGCATAGAGGTTCTGTCCACTGAGAGAAGATGTCAAACCAAAATAATATGATATAAACACTGATCAAGCTCCAGATATGGGACAATTTTTTGAAAATACGAGGAATATGACGCGATTTGATGGACAGACAATAGCCAATGTTGTTGCATGTACAGCAAAATGAGAGATGGAAATAGGGCGATATTCTGAAGGCAGCCACAAGACGTTGAGTCCATTATAGGTTATCCAGGAATAGTCATCGCTGAGTCCGTATCCACATTGCTTAGGCGGTTGGATGATGTTTCCTATCACAAGCGTCGCTAGAGCCATCGAACTTGTGTCAGATGTACCAAAAAATGTGTGGAGAAGATTTGAATCAGTTTCATCAAATTGGACCGAGCCACCATGCCCCTCGAGAGTGGATACGGTCTGACCGGTCGCTGGATCCCAGACCTGGACTGTGTTATCATCCGACCCTGATGCAAGTCGGTTTCCATCTGGCGACCAGGCAATCGAGTAGACCGAATCACTATGCCCCTCGAGAGTGGATACGGTCTGGCCGGTGGTTAGATCCCAGACCCGGACTGTCGTATCATAAGACCCTGATGCAAGTCGGCTTCCATCTGGCGACCAGGCGATCGAGTAGACAGAATCACCATGCCCCTCGAGAGTGGATACGGTCTGGCCGGTGGTTAGATCCCAGATCCGAACTGTGTTATCGGACGATCCTGATGCAAGTCGGCTTCCATCTGGCGACCAGGCGATCGAGTAGATAGAATCACCATGCCCCTCGAGAGTGGATACGGTCTGACCGGTCGCTGGATCCCAGATCCGAACTGTGTTATCGGACGATCCTGATGCAAGTTGGCTTCCATCTGGCGACCAGGCGATCGAGTAGACAGAATCACCATGCCCCTCGAGAGTGGATACGGTCTGGCCGGTGGTTAGATCCCAGATCCGAACTGTGTTATCGGACGATCCTGATGCAAGTTGGCTTCCATCTGGCGACCAGGCAATCGAAAGGACTGAGTGACTATGCCCCTCGAGAGTGGATACGGTCTGGTCGGTGGTTGGATCCCAGACCCGAACTGTCTTATCATTCGACCCTGATGCAAGTCGGCTTCCATCTGGCGACCAGGCGATTGAGAAGACCAAGTCACCATGCCCCTCGAGAGTGGATACGGTCTGGCCGGTGGTTAGATCCCAGACCCGGACTGTCTTATCATAAGACCCTGATGCAAGTCGGCTTCTATCTGGCGACCAGGCGATCGAGTAGACCGAATCACTATGCCCCTCGAGAGTGGATACGGTCTGGCCGGTGGTTAGATCCCAGACCCGGACTGTCTTATCATTCGACCCTGATGCAAGTAGGCTTCCATCTGGCGACCAGGCAATCGATTGAATCGAACCATGCCCCTCGAGAGTTTGAAGACAAGGACTCCAATATTCTTCCACCACGGGGTTATTCAAAACCCAGTCTGCTCTCTCTTCCTGGAGAACTATTCTGGTAAGGCTCTTTGATGGGCTGAAGATGAGAGACGAGCAATATACTTGTAGAGGACTACTCTCGATTCCTCTTCTATGATATCGAATGAATCTATGGGCGTCTTGAGCTTGTCCTAATAGACCATCTAGCTCGCTGTCCTCCTGTTCAGAGCAATTTCTTAGTTAGAAACCAGACTAGCCTTTACAGGGAGAGTCGAAAACAGATTCCCCTTTGAAGCTACACGCTTTCCTTCTCGGTTTGTAATTAAAACTGCTCCAAGGTATCTTTAGCTTAGCTGTAATATATTCAATATATGGTTAGATTGTAATTTACCGCTTTCCCTAGTTTGGCTTTAGTACAGTTTCGGGCTCGAGCCGAGAAACAAGCCGTGAGTGTCCGAATGGTAATCTGTTTTCGACTCTCCCTGTACAAGATCATAATGACATACCTGAATCCAACTTTCAAGCTTCTGCATAGCTCGTATGCCTTCGGAAACACGTCCTAGAATGCTAAGCGCCTCGAGCCAGTGAAGGTATTTCTGCTTTAGAAAAATATCTATACGACTCCTTTCATCGTGGCTCAATCTAGAAGTTATATTATGTTTAATACCTTGCAGATGGTCCACCCAGTAGATGCAGGCGTATTCAGCCATTCCTAGTGGATTTGGGCTGGGTATGCTAATCTCCTGAGTGGGAATTCCTGGATGCTTGACATCAAAGATATCCTGTCGGAGTGTCTTGAGAACAACCTCTAGAGAGTTGGAGAAGATTGCGTGATGCTCGCTTTCTTTCCCTCTAGGGAGTATCTCAGTAAGTGTCTCTTGGAGTAGGAAGTCTTTCGCAGACTGATGAACAAACGCGACGGTGTTTTCTCGTACTGTCAGGAACGATCCACATATCGCGATAATCTCGGAGAGGCTACCTAGGTCATTAAAGCCATCGTTTCGCCCTGCAAGGAGAGAACCTAGCTCGCTAAGCGTGACAGGGCGATATACTGTTGATACAGTACCCAGGATCTGCTTACAAAGCTCTGCATCTTCTGACTCGCGAACCTGATCCATCATTCGGTGGTATAGAGCATCGAGTCCAGGAGGGAACATTGTCAGCTTCTCCGCAACTTTCCTCCGCGGGGTCTTATCGAGATTTTTCCAGACCAAGGCAACCCATAGAAAAGTCCCCTGTGAATTCGACAATAAATGACGACTGACCATTTCGCGGGTGTGGGGATTATATCCCTTTCTTTTAGCAAGTAGGTCTACCTTACGTTGAATGAATGCATTCACGGCTGTAGACACAGATGCCTCATTCAGCTCCAATGAGATCGGGGCTACCTGGGGAGCAGAGTCGAGGCGCTCGGCAATATCATACTCGTTCCGGCTAGAGATAACCCATTTAATCTCCGGATGGGCTGATGACCATTCCGCAATCAGATCCAGAAGGTCTTGACGGCCATCTCGACATTCATCTAACGCATCAACCACAAGGTGGACACCTTTCAAAGACGAGTCTTCGAGAATTTGCGTGAAAATGGACACGAGTGCACTCCACGCATTAATATCTTCGAATAGGTTTTTCCCCGCGGAGTCGTATCGAGCTCGCACGTGGCGGAGAAGAGACCGGTTCTTTTCAACAAGTACATATATCAGACCACGCAGAACGGACGTGGCGCTATTGATGCGCATGTCGGTGGCTTGACAGAAGAAGAACGAGATGATCGCACTATCTCCATGTAATCGGGTCAACTCTTCCACAATCCCACACAGAAGCATCGTCTTGCCTTTGCCGGGATCACCCCTGATCCAGAGGAGGCGATTGTTTTCACTACCTTGCCATTTTCTGAACACCTTGTTGTCAAGAATCCAGCGATAGGAGTCTTCGAGTAACCCACCATTGGTGCTCTTGATACGCTCTTTATCATCGTAGGGGTTGGTCGTTCGTAGGTCCCGCAGACATGCTTGATCAGATATTTCAGGTTGTCCTGAAGCCGTTCCCAGTTCAGTTACATTCCTCGGAGTTGGCTATTCCACTTACCGATCGTGACACTCCCAATATTGCCATTTATCACACCTGCTTGAAATCCACGATTGATACCATCGTGGGAAACGGCAGTGGCCATGGTTGTTCCTCGAAAGACTCTCGGGGTCTGGTAAGTCGGGAGTTGGATCTCCCTGGTTCCAGTCTACCCCGCTTCAGGTGATACATCTAGCTAGATGCAGAAGAATTGGACCACGTCAACCGGATACTCCGCATTTGTTTAGACAAGACAGACTGCCTTTTCATTTTCACATTCCATAATAAACATGCAAATACGGCGCGGTATCTTTTGGCTCTAGCGGAAGTATGAGCTCAATCTTGCAACGAACTCTGGACAGTCGTATTGAATTTTCACAAAAGTTACGGCCCCTCCGAACGAGTTTTGAAATGTTACAAAACATTTTACGACCTTGCGACAGGCTAAATCAAATAAAGAATAGCGTGTTTCAGAATAGAGTTCAAAGGAAAAAAGAAAGGAAACAAGAGGTGAAGCTGATTTCGAGCGGCCCTGTACTGGGCAAGCGGTAGGAGTTCAGAATCCGACCTATTTATCGACCCTGCGCTCGATGCAATGCGAGGATGGGGGCTGGGACGCTAGCGTGATCTATCAGTTCGGATCTACAGGTCGCAAAATTGGTAATCGGGGATTGACTACAGCGTTGGCGGTGCGAGCGCTTGAGAGGAGCAGAGAAGGGAATGGAAAGCGAAAAGTGGATGCCACTGATGCCGCAAATACCAAGAAGGCCAGGTTGGACTTGAATGAGGCAAAGCTGGAGTACTTCGTGCACGTTACCGCGCCTGGGGTCCAAGTGGACTTGATGTCTACTAGCCTTCGGAACTAACCGCTGACCGGTTCTTGCCCGGTTGAATTCTCCTTGTAGTTGGTTCTTTCGATACTGCTATAAATATAGACTTTCATGATCCTAGTTCTGATTCTCCCATATACTCTTTGTGGGAATTGAGACTAGCTAAGGCTTAGAATAACATTGTATTATGCTAAGAGCCTAAATTTCGTGGGCCGTATTTGAATCAGGTGTATGTACATCCTAAAGACGAGTATGAGTAAGAAAATTGACATAAGAGATGAACCAAAGACCCGACTCCGTGGATTTTTCCAATTAGAGACACAGATAAACCTTCCCTTTGGGAAATTAGACACTTGCATTGCCAGCGATAGCTCGGGAAAACCTATCTATCGGATAAGAGGTGATGTGGATACCCTTCGGTAAATTTAATTTATCATAGACCGTGTCATTGGGAATGTTCCATGAATTGGGAATATCATAGATGACCACAGTTGCCCTTTTTTCATTTCTAGGCCCCGAAGCTTGGCGGGAGATGCAAGGTGCGACTTTGAATCACATCGCGGAAAAGCTAGTATAAGCCACAAGTGGGACCAAGTCCCGTGCAGACGGCACGGTGTACCACCGGAATTAGGACACTAAGTCTAGGATCTTCTTTTCAGAACCCTAACTTGAAAGAAAAGAAAATTCCCGTTCTGAAGATTAGTCTGCACAACAGGGCCTTAGTGATCCTATTCCTCGTCTATATTGTCATAAAGCTTGACTAGGCGTGAATGTTCTGTAAAACAGAAAAATGCTCTCGGTCGATGTATTCTCAATGTGGAGGTATACTTGGGACATTAGAGACATTAAAATTCTATTTGGCTACATGGTAAACCTCTCATCTAATAAACGCGTAATAAGATATGACTAATGGGGTCAAAAACCAGACGTTTACAACAGTTGTGTTTCGGATTCTTTACAATCTCTACCTACACCCTTTATAACAGCCGGAATGCGTATGTTTTTTGACACCAGCCGCCTTTGATGGTGTCCTTTAGGCCTCGCCTACTTGAACAGTGATACGTACAACTAGGTGACTACAGGGGGCATATCTGACCGGGAAGAAAAGATTTTTCGTTAGATTCAAGCAAATGATGTCCTCGGTCTGATACAAATCTATTTTGTTCAGGTTTCCTAATTCAACCGAAGGCTATCCTACGTAGGTTTCAACACTACATGTGCTCCCCACCCCACCAGCTTCCCCGCTGCCTCAAGAGCATCATCAACAAACTCCAGTCCAAATTCTTCTGTGCGGTGAATGCCAGCCTTGGTCCCCAGCGGCATCAGACCCGACTCCATCATTTGTATCAGTTGAATGGTATGGTGTCGCGAATACATGAATCGACCCTGAAGCCGGAGACTTTTGAACATAACATCCAAATATGGAATCTTAATGTCCCCTGACATTCCTCCCATGATGACACACCTTCCGAATGAACGCAAGGCACCAACACCAGAGCACAAAAGCAAGCTGCCTTGTACTGCAGGCGGCGAAAAGTCGATGTATACGTCTGCGCCTTTTGTCGTTCCAGCGGCGGATTTGAACAGCTCGGTGTTGCGTGCAGAGTCCTCAGTGAGTACCACTGTTCTGATTCGACCTGTAGATGCATGTATCTTTTGAAGGGTCTGAAGAGCGGTAGTATTGCGACCAGCAGCCACTACTGTAGCGCCCATAGCGAGCGCCACAGCTACTGCGGCACCTCCATATCTGCCCGTCGCTGGTGCCACAATTACCACTTCACCGGGTTTCAAGTCGACTTCCGAGAGTCCACCAAAGGGGACTAAGAATACTGGCAAGAGACACAAGTCTGAAATTCTGTATCCCAAACTTGTTATGAGGAGACTCTCATTCAGCGGGTAGAGGTTTTCGAGAGGAAAGCGTGTGTATTCCGCATATGTTGCATTTCGCCACTCGCCATCCATCAGCTTCTTCGCTGCTGGGTATCCTCCTCCATGAATTCCGTAAAGAATAGTCACAGAGGGATCATCGCGAGCTCGAATGGTAATGTCGCAGAAAACCATCTGACCCGGTGTGAGGCTAACGGCATCCGGGCCGACCTCGAAGACTCTTCCGATCGCGGTGTTGCCGGGTGTCATAGGGAGGGACAGAGGATAGGGACGAGAGCCATTTAATACCTCGGCCATATAAGGGACGATATCGGCAGCCAATATTTGCACGACTGCCTCGCCTGCCTTCGCTAAAGGGCGAGGAACAGTCCTGAGGGCCAGTGGCTGGCCGCGTGAGTGGAGAACAAGGGCCTTGTGAGTAGCCATCTTCAATGTTAGTCTTTGAAAAAGGCTCGATTGTAAGCAATTATATGCAATGAATTTGCTTATTTTATAATCACCTCGGAATTACTTGCCTTCGGCTGTAAAGCAACCTTAACTATTAAGTCCGTAAACTCCGAATGTCTCCTCTAGTGATGTCACTCGGAAATAGCCCTTGTAATTTGAGAAATATCATGAATGAAGCTGTTTGAAGCCTATTGGCCGGCCTTTACAAATGACTATAGGCACATGTGACCAAAGAGTGGGTGATAATGTACAGCTGATATAGTTGATTTAGAGCCGGAAATGGATTTGAAAATTAGTGGGATCTCGAGTAGGTAAATGATACCAATGGAGACACAATCTTTGAGCCAAATTATGGGCGGTCAGAGGAATTCCAATATTTTCCAACATTTATTTCATATTTTATTCAAGCAACAAAAGAAGAACACCATAAATTCAAACATGAAGGAAATATTTCACCTAATCGCACCCATGACCGGTGATTAAATCCAAATGAACAGTGTTGAACAATCTGTTACCAGTATCGGTGGCTCCGTGACCAGTAAAATGGTTGTCTGAAAGGCGAAGGGAAATGAAAGAAAGCCCTTGAAATCGACTGAACTCCTGTGAAATTCTTCCCGTAGAAAGAGGTTGGGAACGAATTACTCCTGTCATGACCACGACGCGAATTGTCCCTTCGAGGCTTCAAATGTGTTGAACAAAATCCAAAACGGACTTTCCGGTGTTAATAACCGAGTCCACAAGTATAAATGTCACACATTTTGATAGATGCTTGGATGTAATGTCGGCTGGATCCTTCGCATGGAGAAACGTGGCGAGTGGTAACGCTTCACTCACGCCAAGGGCCATAGGTTCACCGCCACGCATTAGAGTCACAATCAGTGTCGTCATCTCATGAATAGCCCGATATCCGTCGGTTTGCTAATCCTGCACATGAGTAATCGAATATGGTCCGGTACCGACCATCTCCGTGTAGAATCTCATTGTGAGATACCATCCCACTCGGTGATGCGCCTGTCTTAGCGCTGGGCCCGAAATCGTAGCATCATGCATCGCTGTCATCATTATCTTGGGCCCACTGTGCTTTGTAGCATGGAAGACGTGGAGACGATTGTGCCGGGCAAAAACGGGATTTAGGAAAGACTCATCTGTCAAGCGCATAAAGGAAGCTGCAACACACTGAGGCGAGGTTGCACATGATCCCACGAAGGTAGGAGGAGCTGGCGAGGTTCAAATCCTTCATGGCCAATCGATTCCCTCAAAGCGTCATCCATAGTGGCACTTCTTGTTGATTCGTTCCCTGCCACGACGATCGCCTTGTTTGCTGCCTTGAGCATTTCAATGTCAATTGGACTATCTTCAAATGCCCAAACATAGACATTGTGGAAGCAACGCAAGCGTTTCACCAATGAAGCTTTTGGTGCAGGTGTCATAACAAGTTTGTCTGATAGCCGTCCGCCACCAATCACTTGTATCCCTGGAAGTCCTGCTCTTTCAAGTACGATTTTTCAGACTCGTCGTAGTCCACAGGTAAGAACAACGGCGCGCATGTGGCTCTTCGGTGATTGTAAAAACTTCACGAAATCAGGGTACATTTTAATCATCAATGCGACCTGTTGACAACAAGTTTCGTATTCTTCGTCGTTTCTTAACTCTTCGGAGAGGAGAGTTGCTTGTCGGAACGCAGTGTATGAATACTGCAATGGGCCGCAAAATAATCTCTTCAAAGGAAACCCGCCATCTCCCTTAGGTGAAATGGCCAGGTTCCAAAACAGAGCGCCACTATCTTGCGGAGCTAACGTCTTATCGGCATCCAGGACTAACACAGTTTCCGGTGTGTCAGGGCCGTCGTTGAACATCTTGTCTATGGCGTCTTCGGCAAGCATGGTATTCAGGTCCTCTGTGTGGCTATGAAAGTCCCCAATTAGTGCAATAATCTGCTTACTCAATGAAACCTAGGGGTCCACTGTTGTAAACAAAATGTTGTGAAATCTGCAGACATAGCGCAGATATTTTTTCTCTGCTGCCTGCCACCTGGCCAGATGGGCAACTGATGCGACTGGGCGGCTCCGTTGATCTTTACGCCGATGCTCTGCTATGACGCCAGCTGGAACATCAAAGTACACAATGTGAGTGTATGAATTGGAATCAGCTGACGTGCAGATAAGCTGTATGTCTTCTCCCCCTCAGGCCATAACATAGAGTGTCCGGAGACAATGGCACTTTTTCCAAAATCGTGACATCCTTGTTTAATTCTGTCCATAGCGCAGGCACGATATTTGGCTTTCTCTGTTTCTGATAAGGCATGGAACCCTTCAAGCCCCCCAGAAGTCACAGATCCAATAACACGGCTACCATCAAAAAATAGAAAGTCGGTGACGGTTTGCTTAAGTCCATCGTGAAGCAATGTCTTCCCGGCCCCGGGCAGATCAAAAGGGCCAACAATAACTGGCTTTTTCTGGTGTCCATCTGTCCGGGTGGATACAAAGACAGGGTCACCGACTGCGCTTTTGGAAGGCTGCATGTTTTATTCGAGTGGGTTAAACCAGAGCTCCTGCCTTAACGCGAAGGTCAGCACTCAGTAAACATGAGCATGAAGTGGGCGAGAACGTTGTAATACAAATCTGACCCGATAAACTTACAATAAAAAGTACAGGCTTTCTTTTTCAGCGGGATGGAACTCTCAATGGCAGAAGAGAAGAAGCAATATCAGGAGCGCTACAAGTTATTTTATGATCTCTGGGTATTTCCAGCAAATTCTGAAAATGGCGCAGCAAACAATCAGTTCCCGGCAAACTCCTACTCATAAATCTTCATGTAAACAGTGCAAAAGAGGAATGCAATGCTCGCCATATGACGCTAAGCTTTGTTTGCGCCATTTATCTTTTCCCATAAATATGTACCTTTTATCAACTTGCCTCTTCTCTGATACATTTCTCACTCTGGTTTACTTCAAAAAGGAGAGAAACGTCCACCCAACTTCTACGCCCATTATGTCTTCAGATTCTGGATTAGAGTACCATCTAAGCCTTTCGAAACTGCACAACACCACTGATCAGATCGAGGTTGCCTCTGCATTCCCTGTCTTTACAGGCTCGGTTCTCAATTTATCGACTAAAGGCCCATCGCAGTATGGCTTGCTTGGGGCGTCAAAGAAATCACCACCCTTGGGCTTCCAAGTCTGGATGAGAAAGTCCTGGAGGTCGATCCTCGTTTGTTTTTCAACGTGGCATCGCCCTCGAGCACCTTCATTTGTGGCTCTCAGGGGTCTGGGAAAAGCCATATCCTCTCTTGCTTACTTGAAGGCTGCCTGATATCTTCGCGAGCTGGAAAGCTCATGAACCCCCTCACGGCAATGATTTTTCATTATGACACCTTTATTAGCGATACTACCGGCTCGCCGTGTGAAGCGGCCTTCCTCTCCTCCAACCCCAGCATTGAAGTTCGGGTACTCTGTTCTCCAACAAACCTCCGAACCATAAATGTGATGCAGATTGTCACTCACGTTGCACAGTTTACTGACAACCCTTGCTTTAGGGAACCTACTCCAGATTCAAAGGTATCACAGTACAGTCTTTACAAATTGACCAGTCAAATCTAAATACCAAGCGTATGATGGATCTCATGGCGGTAGGGAAGGAAAGCGGAGCTATACCCCTGTACATGCATGCTGTGCAGCGGGTTTTACGGGACCTGCGAGAAATCCAGCAATCTGAAGGGTCCCAGTTCGATTATGCGGAATTCAAACGGCGAATCCTTAGCTCTGGTCTTCTTCCAGGTCAGCTTGAGCCACTGAAGCAGCGACTTGATGCTCTTGAGAGTTTTTTATGCCATTTGAACAGGTAAACCCAAGCAAGACCTCTAGCACGAATAAATCAAAGGCCAAGAGTGCAGGCTCGAGCTGGATACCAAAAATAGGCTTATGATAGACCATCGACGATATTAAACTGAACCCTTGATCAGGCATCTCAATTGACGATAGTCGATCTCTCCTGTCCTTGTATCTCGCCTGACACAGCTTGTTCCTTGTTCAACGTCTTTTTTGGAATCTTCATGGAACAGGACGCAGATATTGGCAGAGTAGTTACACTTGATGAGGCTCATAAGGTAAGTGAGATATCAGACAATAATTTTCCACGCGTGCTGATCCTTCACAGTACATGAAAGATTCAGTCGAAGCTCAAAGTTTCACTGAAACTCTTTTATCGACTGTCAGATTGCAACGCCATCTCGGCGCGCGGGTTTTTGTTTCCACTCAAGAGCCAACCATTTCCAGCGACCTGCTCAGTCTTTGCTCCATTACGATTGTACACAGACTTTCATCGCCAGCATGGCTACATGCACTTCAAGGCCATATCGCCGCCGCTGCCTTTGGTGCGCATCCCAAAAATGACTCCTCGGCAGATCACGACGTGACTAGCAAATATGCACTGTTTCATATAATCGTTCGCCTACATGTAGGCGAGGCCTTGCTGTTTTGTCCGAATGCTGTATCCAACATTACTGGTGACGATTCTACCTCTCAGAAGTTGGGTACTTAGGGGGTGGATACATGGTGATCAAAGTACGCGATAGACTTACAGAGGATGGTGGGAAAAGCGTGTTATCTTTTTGAAGGAGCGGAGGCATCAAAGAAGATTGAAACTGTTCCTAGGCCTCAGAATCAGAGTTGCGTGAGTCATTTGGTATCTAGTATTTGGAAGCAGATTGAAAGAATTGTGAGCTAGGTAGCAAAAGGCTAGAGGGTCTTGATCTTGATAGAAAATTCTTTGATCATCCACAACCGCGTGAATCCTTTCTCCCTTAATATTCACTATGCTTCTCCGTAGCAAGATATTCAGGCATTTTCCATTATATTTCGGCTCATCCAATGATATGCGTCTATTAGGCGAGATGTGGGGCAGCTCGTTGATTCCGGGATCAACCCGACTTCAAGGTTCTCGCAAGAACATGGCTCCAGCTGTCAACGAAGATCGTAGATGTTGGAAATCAATTTTCAATACCCGTGTCCTAATGGCTCAATTGAAGCCTTGGTACCGGAAACAAACTTTGTATTGACTCATTTGTGAAGGTTATAATCGGCTACAAATTGCACCGAGACCAACTGAGTTTGAGTATGTGAGCTAAACATCCATAAAAACTAATTAAAGAGTGACATATAGAAAACCTCGAAACTTTACAAAAAGCAGTGACCCACCCATTCGTTTCTCAACATGAAAACATTAATCATAAAACCTAAATCCGATCCGAAGAATACAGCCGCACAGGCACACCAGCATCATGCATCATAGTCAAATTAGACTGCTTCACCGGCTCCTCGGTCAAAGCCGGACGCGGATCCGCATTTTCAAGAGTATCGAAATACTGCAAGAGTCTAACGACTGTGTAGCTGGCCTCGGTGAGCGCATATTGTTCTGCAGGTGGAGTAGATTAGTCTAACTTTCCTCCCAACGGATGACTCAAAAACCTTAATCCAGACTGAAAGGAGAACAAAACTTACGCCCGAGACATATCCGAGGTCCACCATTGAATGGTAGGTATTCCCATCCGTGTTTGGCATTCTCTTCCCATCGTTCCGGTCGGAATGAGCGTGCGTCTTTGCCCCATAGATCTGTGCGACGGTGCATGGCGAAGACGTTGTAGGCGCACATCGTTCCTTTTTTTATATAGACTGGAGATTGTTTATCCGGCCCTCCTCCGAGTGGGAGTGAAGTATCTTTCGTAGCGACCCGGAAATTGATCGGGACAGGCGGTTGGAGGCGAAGGGCTGTCCTGTTAGCCGAGTGGTAAGGTTCGGGTTGGGTGGAACTTACTCTCGTTCAGCACATATCGCAGGTAAGAAATATCCTTGAGTTTGGTCTGTGTGATTTCACCGCGCGGGTTCTTTCGATCCCCGAAGGTCTCGATAATATCCCGGCGCAGTCGCGTGAACACTTTTGGATGGCGCGCAAGGTAGTAGAATGTCGAGCTCAGTAGACTGGCCGTCGTATCACGTCCAGCGAGTAGGATGTTCAACATGTTATCGCGCAGCATCTTCGGGTCATCCGTATCAGCAGCGAGGGCATTAAGAAAGATATAACGATCGCCTTCCTTTCGGTCGGGATTCCGCTTCGATTCTAGTGCGACATTCACGTAGTGATCCACAACTTCGTGGACTTGGCTGTTGGCTTCGCGGAAAGCCTTCGGGTTAACGATCCAGTATAAGCCTTGGGCGCGGGACCGAGAGGCGAGATAATCCTGAGCGATTGTGAATGCATTGGCGAAGCCTTGAGCGTTGCGCACGGCGGATTTGGCGAGAACCCCAGTTGCTTCGGATTCTGGGAGCATACAGCCTACTGATTCGCCGAAGAGGAAATGAGTGGCTGAATCAAGGGTTAAAAGGAAGAACAGGCGTTGAATGTCAAAGCTACTTCTGTCTTTTGGAATGAGGTCGAGGAGGTGATTGATGTGGTCGTCCAGAAGAGCTAGATCCGCGACCTTGTACCAAATCAGTCACTGCAGAAGATGGCGTGCAGTCAATGAACATACCTGGTCTCTAGTAAACTGCGGTCGCAATAATCCTCTCGCGTGCGACCACCCTGCCCCATCCAGCGTGAAGATCCCATCACCGAGCAAAGGATAGAACTGTTCATGTCGCGTGCCCAAGCAAAAGTCCTGGAACTGAGTCGCTAGAATGGCCTTCACATTGCCCGGCTCAATCGTAGTGATGATCTCGCGACCGAACAACTTCTGCTGAAAGGTAGTCCCGTATATAGCATATTGGTCGGTCAGATAATCGATCCAGCGCTTTTCGCGAACGGCTTTACTCAGGCGAATAAAGGCCGGGATGCCGAAAAACGTGGAAGAGCCAGCTGTACAAGGTTCGCAATGCAGGGATTTAGACTGTTTATGGTGGTGGTGTAACTGCACAAGGTAACGCAGGACCAGGAAGGCCGCATACAATGCGCCAACCAGGACCACGGCTGGGTTGAGCAACATGAAGCCAAATGATCTTCCGACCGATCTAATTTCAATATCAAGGTTGGAAATGGTTTTTTGAAATTATTTAGAATTGTGCAATGAATGAAGGAACCAGAAATGATATAATGAATAGCAATAAATCCAGTGGTTCCTATTTGACATCAACCACATCCTCGGTTGGATCACACGTGAGACTTTGGGGGCGATCGCAAGGTGGTATGAAAAGAGACTAGATCCTTGATAATACGGGATGCACCCATTTCCCCGCCGATCTCTCCTTACCGAATCTCCATAGTGGAGTGCTCCGGGTTCTCCCCGGAACTCGCAACCTCGCAACCTCCCTGACCGCGGTCCATGACCGTGTGCATGGTCGTGTGCGTTTTCCCTTTGAAACAGGGAAGCCACTCTTTCAGAGCCTTGTAGAAGTGTCCACGTGAGATCCTCGCGGGCGCAAAATCAGTCAAGAAATCAAAACAATGCTCGGCGTTAGGCATGATGTAACCGAAAACCGTGTCCTCGGTCGTCTCCACATTGCACTTGGGGATGTCGGTTGTGAAATGGACGTTTTGCGGGGCGATGCTTTCCGTGGCGAGGGGGGACAGTGTGCGCCATGGATCGAATTCTCCGCCGCTCCAATACACGTTTGACGGGCGGATCGACCAGCCTCCGGTTTGTTTGTTCGTTTCTTGGGTCAGGGGTTGTTTTGGTAGGAGGCCTGACGCCACGGCATCGGGGAATTGACGGTTGCAGGTGTACTGGACGTATTCGAGAGATTGGTACTTGGACAAGAGAGAGTGGGGACCGATGTTATTCGTTTGAAAGTAGCCCCATTCTGTGCAGAATTGCCATGTCCAGCTGATGACGTCGGGGTCGGTAGCCTTGGGATTCAGCACGCAGGAAACAGGCTGGGTTGTGTCAAGACCGCCGCAGTTGGTGTAGTAATTGAAATTGACCAACTCAATGAAGGCTGGGAAGGAGGCGAATCGCTCAGCCACGTACTTCTTGCCAATGTAGGGAGCGAAGCCTCGAGGTCCGGCAACGGTTCCAGTGTTCGGATCGGTCTCGAGATGGTCGCAGAAGGATGCCAGACTGCCTTCTCCCCCGCCGAACCCGTATGACTGGAAGAAACCGAAAATGCCACCAACTCCCGTTGTAAAATCACCGTTGTTGTTTTCTTCAGCGCCAGCGCCGAAAAATAGTTTCTTAATAGCTGCGGCAGATTCGGCGCCCTTGTCAAGTTCCGCGTCAACATATTCCATGGCAGCTTTGATATCCCGAGTACAATTCAAGTACCCATTGGCAACCATAGCAGCATAGACTTGATCGAAATAGACACTCATGTCAATGCGCGCCTCGACTGGAGCCGAAGAAGCAAAGGAAGCGAAAATCGTGTCAGGATACTTGTTGCGAGTGAACGCCGAGCGCATTCCAGAATAAGAGCCTCCAACCATGACCCATGGTGAACCAGATGGGGTCAGGTCAACATTTTTATAGTTCTCGCGCGTAAAGTTCTGTGCAAAGAATGGTATATCGGCCAGAGCCTGTTCATTGTTTAGGTAGGCGAAGTGCTCTGGCGGTGTGTCGATGCTAACATTGTATGGGAGCGATTCACCGTAGTATCTGTAGTATGTAAGTTAAAACAATTTCTCAACATCTCAATATCACTCACCGATGCTCCCAGACAACTCCCATCGCACCATGTTCTGCTAACATTTCCGCAAACATTGAAGTCGAATTTCCCAGTTGCATTTTGGCAGCAGATTCTCCACTAGATTCGCCGACATCGTAGATGAATACTGGGCCACCTTGCTGATAGTATTCTTCCTGCACCCAGTAGCGATTCTTGTATGTCCCGACAGACGAATTGGTATGGTCAATTGGTATCTATACTCGTCAGAACTTCTGCCCATCAAACACAATATAGAACACCTACCTCAACATATTCAGCAGTAATCTCATCCGAGTTGCGCGCCACCAGGGTATGCACAGTCTCCTTCTTGCTGAATATGATATCAGGATTGACCCCCATCTCAGCCATAAGCTTCAGATCACGACGAAACGGCGACGAAATGCCCATCGAAGCAGCACACCCCGCCACACTGAACACCACAGCCCACCGCATCGTTGCGCAAAGCATTTTCTTGTTCAAAATAGATCAGATAAGATCGCACTCCGTACTTGAACGAAAGAAGGAATGGAATCATCATGACGATCAGCGATCCTGGTGGTATATATGCCGGAAATCAAAAATTCACCAAATCCAAGAACAATACTAAGAAGAACAATGTTTGCGTCGATGAGGCTTCTGCAGTCATCCGACAGGCGGATATCCCAATTTGTTCCTGACCCTCCCACTCTATATCGCGTGCGGATGTGGGCCTCGTCTACATGACTCAAATATGTGTGGGCCCACACCTCGTCATGATCTACCAGCTATTCTTCGAAATAAGCTACTGCAGGTTGTCTGTCGAGCTCTTTCCTGTTTTGGTGTTTACTCCGCGGGTAGACCTGAACCATTATTGATATTCCAATGAAAAGACATCTCGGCTCCGTACTTACGAGCTGGGAATATAGGACAAAATTTGAGACGGGCTGATGAACGGTATCGGAAGGAATGACTACCCAAAGCGATCAGTAGGTGATTTATTACGGTAATTTCGGAATCAAGATGGATTCAGCCCTGGGCTAAAAAAAGAGACCACGAGCACGAAAAGTTAATCTCCAGCCGAAACCAGATTCCCGTTTCTCCCATGTGGTTAATCGGGAATGCTGGAACTTCCTGTGGTAAGATGATAGCAAGAACAATGGGTGGGGCGCGCGATTTCTAATATTGTTCTCCATTAACCCAACTTGGCTAGTTCATTACTCACCTGAGCCAAGTTCACCCAGCTTGTCAATTCAAGACACTTTGAAAGTTGTTGGTACGATTTCTTCCTCGGGTCCCCTTTCATCCCTTGCTGAGTATGCTGAGTATCTGAGTATGGAAGCGGCTTGGTGGCGTTGTTGGGAATGTTGGCCAGGAATGTAGATCATCCCATTTTGAGGGCCACTACTCATGGAATCATTGCGCAGAGCCGTGGGTCTATTCAAAGCAATCCTGGATGCTTCATACCGTACTAATGACACTTCTCATCGATATAATCCAAATTAATTTACCAAGCTCTAGCTGTTTAGGCCCCTGTTGCATCTGAACAAAATTCCGGGGAACAAAACAGATCTTACAATACGCACCCGTAGAGCCGATTGTTCTAAGGATATTCATTACACTTTGTCTGTAATGCGATCACGCATATAACAAATGCACACAGACACCTTAAAAATATCCTATATTTGTTACCAAGATCGTCGGATTCCAAGTGAGCAATTAAGATCTTTTGTCTGGCAAAGATTATTCTCCAGATCTGTCCCGAGGCCACTTGAGCATCACCGGATTCAATGCTGTTGCCCAGTCCATAAGCTTAGCGGAAATACTGTGGATTCGACTTATTGCGAAGTCGGCGCACCCTATAGACCATACCTATCTATCCAAAATAATAACAAGCTATGAACGTTAGGTCCAAAGTTCATGATCAAGTTGACAGCAATAGCTATTCATTCTTGCCTACACATTGCACCTTTTCTTAAAGATACCCCGCTCGGTGTTGTACCTAGGTAGGTAGCTGGTAGGTGGGGATGCCTAGGGTCTGCATATGAGATATTGAAAATATATATTGGCAGATGACAACTTTGGAACCGTCTCAAAACTCTGAAATTAGACACAGGTGGACCAGAATTCATACTGGATGACCATCATCACAGAAATAAATGGACCTGGCGTCGATTATACTGTACTCGCCCCAGACTGTCTCAGTAAGTATGCAATGGTCAGGAATGGGGAAGAAAAGAAGATGTAAGAGGCGCTATCTACTACGGGCGCGATGCCATACGTCAACACTTCCAAGGTTGGCATTCTGGTTGGAAAATTTAATGGGATTAAAGAAAAAATTGATGTCTTGAACATATATTTTTTGATAGGAGGCTCAATCTATATCCCGCAGCGCCTGAACTATAAGATTTTACGCCCATGATTTGCGCTTAAATAATGCCAACTATTGGGTCGTGGCTGTCAAGGACGACATGAAGTCCTCTCATAGATTTGGCAAATTCTAGGCACATGGCCAAGGACTTGGTCTCTTATTCGCGCAAGGTGATAATTGAGCCACCATGGATAAAGTACAATACATGCTAAAGGAAGTTTGTTTCTTCGCAATGCTTTATAATGCGCAAACTTAAAAAGCCTTATATAATCCGCTGGCAAGATGGCCGAGTTGGTCTAAGGCGTCAGGTTAAGGTCCACCTTGACATCATTTCCTGATCTACGTTTGTAGGCGTGGGTTCAAATCCCACTCTTGTCATTTTTTTTCTCATTGGAGACTGGATGGTCTTGGTCGACGAACTAGTAGTAGTCTACTGTGCCCTTTCATTATTTTTTTTTTCATATCACCGGCTAGTAAATTTGTGGTTAAAATTATTGTGACTCCCGGGCAAGTCTTGAATGCGGCTTCGCCTGTGTCCCGCTGAACGTTAATAACCACAACAGCAATAACAACGACACAAACATATTGGCATGAGGATTTCAAATATTCCATTATTTTATGATAGCTCACGATTCAATAAATGATGTTCATCTTCTATTCTTGAATATCATACAGCTAGTAACTGTAATAAACTCGGGTATAAATTGAGTGTGACCATGACCGTTAATGCCCATGAAAGGCTGATCTGTCTATTGGATAACGTGAGCTATCTCAGAGCATCTTCAGATTGAGCAATCTGGACTTGAAGTTACAACGTACGTCTGATGTTGATTGGCTACAATGCAGTGATACCTCTTGTAAGACGTAGGGGATACGTGGATAGTTGATTTACTTTTGCGTAGATTGCCTTCCTTTCGTCACATGGTGTTGCCATCTTTCGAATGCCTCCAAGCCCTGTCAAACTCATTCCAACCGCCAGGCGGCGCATCCCACATGGCCAACTCACGGACTACTGTCTCGTAGCATCCATCATTGGGCATGTTGCCCTGACAGACATTTCCTCCAACAGCGATATTGATGAGAATTCTGAACTCACTCATCTTCCTCGTGCCAGGTGGCTTCTCGGCCCTCATGATGGGTATACCGTCAATCAGCCACACCAAGCGCCCCTGACCCGTTGTTTCGTCCTCATCCCAAATAAAATCATATCTCACCCCGGCTGGCGAGCTAATGTTGGGGATGGGAGTTTCTAGAACGCGATGCTTGTTCCAGTCCTCGCCGTTGAAGTGGCCCCAATGCAGACAAGTGTGGTTGACAGCATCGCCATTCCACGCTTCCATTATGTCGACTTCACCATCCTCGGGCCACTTGAAAGGATCTTTAGGCAGCAGCCAAAAAGCAGGCCAGATGCCTCGGGCCACCGGCGCAGTGATTCTGGCCGATAGACAGCCCCGTGGTCGACCAAGAGTCTGGTGACTCGACAGTCTGGCGCTGGTGAACTTCTGAGCGGGGTCAGGATGCCCGTGGTTGATAAGAGCGCGCACGATTACCGCGTCGCCCTGGCTTGAGTGGAATGAATTTTGAGGGCTGTCGATATAATTCTGCGACTCATTATTGCCCCATCCATGTTGACCCTGTTCATGGTAAAAGTTGGTAGACACCGGTGCCTGGGGATGTAGATTGGGCCGCCAATAGATCTGGGGTTGCGAGTGCTGTTCCTGGTAAGCTAGTGGTGGTTTGCTAGAGGTTGGAATAGGCGGTGGGGGAGGCTGGTTGTGGGAAGGCACCGGCTGAGGGGCGCGATGGTTGATTTCATCCCAAGCCTTGTCTGCCTTGTCGAGAATTCCCTGAAGCGCCTGTCTGAACGGCATGTTGAGTACGACCTCGGTATGGATGTCAGGGTTGTACCAGTAGCGAAGACGCGAAAACCAAAACAATAAGCAAAGCTGACGTCATACTCTGAATATACCGTAAGGATCGGCTTCATCAACTCCTCCAAATCCACTTTTACACACTTTCGCCATCATACTTTGGGTACTACTGCTTACTTCCTGAAAGTGAAATCTAATCAGTACATAGACAAATTATGCCTCCATGGGCTAGACCGAGATTAAGATCGTCCGAAAGATAGGCCCACTTATATCTATCACATGACCAATCATGGTAACAGAGAGATTGTGCAAGGATATGTAGTATGGTTTCTATTGAATAGTACTTGTGAGATACTAGCTAAGCCATATGGGGCATCTCTTAAAAACCGATAAGCTCTCGCTCAGCCTCAGCATAAAAGCCTTCTTCCATTTGATCGCTAAGCTCCCGGTAGTAGTGATCATCTGACTTGCTACAGTATGAGTTGTTTCCGCCTCAGGCAAAAAGAGTATGCAAACCCTACAAAACTCTCGGGAACGCAATCAAAGTTTGGCGTTGATCACAAAATTTCAAAAGATCTAAGCTACAATAGGTTTTGTGCGAGGAGCTTAGGCGGTGAAGATAATTGGCGTCTGAATCTTCATTGAGCCCCAGAGCCTCATACGTGAAGTTTTTTGGACTCGGGGAGCTTTACCGTCATTAATATATGGCCAATCTGGTGTGCTAAAAGTTAAAGTTAGTCACATCATTACTCTATTTTCCCCGGCACAATCAATATCATTACCAAAACGCGTGATTCTCTGCTCGAACCATCTCCAAGGATGGCAGAAACACACAATCACCAATCCCCTGCAACGGAACTCTCCAAAGCAGAGCGCTTCAAAGCTACACACCTCGCCGCGCGCCATGGCAATTACCACCAATATTATGCTAAGTTCCGGGCACCCACCGTTCCGGACGAGCGCCTTTCCATTCTGCCATCAGACATCCTTCGCAACGCGCGTGTGATAGATCTAGGCTGCAACGCGGGAAAACTGACCCATGAAGCGATGGTGCATTGCGGCGCGGCCGCCTCAGTCGGCGTCGATATCGACCCGTGGCTAGTCGAGCAGGCCAAGGCCACGTACCCGGAAGGGCCGTGCACTTTTGAGCACTTTGACTTCGTGGATACGTCCGCGTATACAGGTACCGCACTGGGCAAGTTCGACGTTGTCCTATTGCTCTCCGTGACCAAGTGGATACATCTCAACAACGGAGACTCCGGGATTTTGAGACTATTTGCGCACATACAAAGCATACTGAATGATGGGGGCTATCTCATCGTGGAGCCGCAGCCTATGAGCAATTATGCGAGAGCTTCAAAGAAGAATAAAGAACTGAGAGAGACATATAAGACGATCCAAATCAAGCCACCGTTCGAGAATGAGTTGAAAGCGCTGGGATTTGAGAGGATACTGCAATTTGAGAGGGATGAAGAGGGCTTTGCTAGGCCCGTACATGTTTGGAAAAAATTATCATAATATGATCAATGGAAATGGCCAATTCAAAATGCAGATAGAAAAATGTGTGCAAGAAATGGGTCTTCTATAACGAACGACAGCTGGTACTTGCTGCTCTGAAAATTTCGCTTCAGGATTGAATTCATCAGTTAACCGGCTTGGCCTCACGATATAAAAGCCCATATGAGTTAAAATCTCCCTTTGGGCCACCCCATTGCTCCAGGTCAACTGTCACCCGATCAACCTCCTGAAATTCATGCTTGAGATATAATCCCAGCCCTTCTGAGGGGTTGCCTCGGTATAAGCCGGTAGGCCGAGTTCGTCTGCCTTATGAACACCAAATGCCACTAGTAGACCTCCGAGTCCCTGACGCTGGTAATCCGGACGAACATATAGTTCTTTCAGCTCTAGCAGATTCAAATTGTCAGCCGTGATATTCGTAATTAAGTGATCATGATGGGTGACTTACGGAAGAACTCCTTCTCCCCAAGCAGCTCCGCTCGCTTTAAATAACGAGCTCCTCCTGTAGCATCCATGAGAGCACCATTCATAGTCGGCGGGTGATAACGATTTTTATATCCTTCTGCCCACTGGGCCTTTGTCTGGCCTTTAGAATGAGCCCACCACCCAAATGCCACGGCCTTGTTGGTGGCCTTCTCCGTTATCAGCAGGTAGGTATTCTTGGGGTCTCCAAGCATGGGAATCATACGTTGGATCTCATCATCTGATCCACACGATGCTTTTTTTGGGTCGTAGATGTACTGGCCAGAGCAAGGCTCCGATTGAGCTGTTCTTCTTCTTATTGCTATCATTCGTTGCGGCGATTTCAATATCCCAGATAGTGCGAGCTACTTCTTCCGTCGCGGGAACATGGCTTACTTCAAAGCCCCGCTTTAAAGATAATGCCATAGTGTAAGAAGGCAGATCTCACAGAATTCTCGGTTTTGGTGATAATTCTCCAACTAAAACCCCGAGGCTCGCTCTCCCTTTCACCTGCTAGTCAAAGACTTAGGTCACTGGATAAAAATAGAGAGGACTTGATTCAAACTTTCGAAAAAGACGAGAGTAGCGGGTAATCCACGACATAAGCATTAGTGATCGTCATCGGACTCCGGAGTTTTCCCGATTGTGATATATTACAAAAGACGTTATCTCTGTCCGGTGGCTGATTACTGAGCCGGACGAGAAGGATCAAAAGAGGGGTAAATATTAGGGAGACGCAAGTAATTCCAATGACAGGCGGTATTTATGTAGGTTTGGCAAAAGCCCGATCACGGGTTGATTCATTGATGTTAGCTGAAGAAGCGCTATATAAGCATGCATGATGGATTAATGCTCGGACTCAGTCCTTCCAGGCTGCTCGCTTGACTATCATTTTCACAGCGTAAACTAGTCCCAGCAGCACAGGCACCTCTATCAAAGTCCCCACCGTGGATGCAAGAGCTTGACTGCTATTAGCGCCGAATGTGGCGAAGGCAACAGCCATGGCCAGCTCAAAGTTGTTGCTAGCTGCAGTGAAACTATGTGTTGCTGCCAACTTGTAGCCAAAGGCCGACTTGTATGCGATGAAGAGCGTCGTGAAGAAAATCACTATAAAGTAGACAACGAGGGGCGCTGCAACGCGGATGACGGAAACAATCTGATGGACCACGTGGCGGCCCTGCGACGCGAACAAGACTAAAATTATGAACAGTAACCCGATGAGAGACAACGGGCTAATCTACTTTAGAAAAGCCCGATCGTACCATGTTTCAGAGACCATAAGACCAAGAGAAAAGAGCGTAAGAATGGCCGAGCCAAGCGGAATGCCGTGGAATACAGCGACACTTTTGGCAGCCACAGCATATTCGAATGTAACCGAATCACCGCTGATGACATCGATAAAGAACATCCCCAAGGGCACAAATAGGACCATTTAAAGCAGCGAGTTAAAAGCAACCAAATTAGCACAGTACTCGCTGTCTCCTCCAGCTAGACCCGTCCAGATTAACATCAAGGAGGGTTTGAGGAACTTCAGTTGTTGTCACTCGTGCAATGGTGGTGGTACTCTGTGCCTAGATCTTCGACCAGCGCAGAAGCAGCGCAGCAGCAATGACTGGCAACACACTCACCAACTCTCCCAGTCCCGCAAACTCTGGAGGAATTCTTGCATTGACAAAAGCACCCGCAGCGAGAAGGACTGCAAAGGTGTTGTACACGAAGCTCCATGTAAAGTTGAACTTGATGCGGTTGACAGATTTCCGACTAGCGTCCATCATAGTGACGATACCAGCCAGAGAAGGCCGCATGAGGACCACATCCGCGGCAGATTGCGCGACATCCGTGCCTTCGTTCATGTGGACGCCGATCGTAGCCTGTGCGAGAGCAACGGCGTCGTTCGTGCCGTCACCGCAAAAAACAACAACCGGTTTCTTACTATCTATGCCAGTACCGAGGAGCGCCTGGATGTAGTCCTTCTTGTCGGCGGGCGAGCTTCGAGAACGCACATTGCCGCCAGGAATGCTAAGCTTGGACGCCAAAGACTGAACAGCTCCGTCATCGTCGCCAGAAATGACATGTACCGAGACGCCACGCTTCTGCAAGGTCTCAATCGTCCCCGCAGCGTCAGGTCGAATCTCGTCGTCAAGACCATAGACCGCCTGTAACGCATTGTCGATAGTAAAGCAGAAGACAGTGTACCCTTGAGCAAGTATTCGTTGAATCAGTTCATTTTCCGATAAATTCAGCCAGCGAGAATTGCCTGCTCGAAGTTTCCGGCCACCGAAGGTGGTTTCAACACCTTTGCCAGTAAGGCTCTTGGGCTCAGGAACAGTCGAAGACATAACTCCGGCATCCTTGAGGTGAGCAGCCACAGAAACTGAGACTGGATGTCGACTGTTTTCGATGAGGCCTAGAAGAAGCGGGAGCTTGTCCACGTCGTAGCAGGCCTTCGTGACGACAGAAAGCTTTCCCTGAGTCAAGGTCCCAGTCTTGTCAAACACGACGTGAGACGTCTTATGAGCCACTTCAATAGCATCAGCTGACTTAAAGATGATACCTCTTTCCGCCGCGACTCCGCTGGTAATCACAATGACCATGGGAACAGCCAGTCCAATGGCGCAGGGGCAAGAGACGGTGAGAACACTAATGGCGTAGGTGATGGCCTGAATCGTAGCTTCGGATCCATCATAACCACGAATAGTCATGCCTACTGCAACCCAGATGACGAACGTGATGCTTGTCAATGCCAGCACAACCGGGACGAAGTAAGATGCTACCCGGTCTGCGAGATCCTGCAGCTTGGGTTTCGACAATTTGGCCTCATCGACCATCGCAGCAATGGCATTGATAGTGTTATCGCTAGGCAAACGGTTCAGTCGAACAGTAATAACCCCAGGTCCATTGATAGACCCAGCAATCACCACAGACTTGGGATGTTTCTCTACCGGTTTAGATTCACCAGTGATCATAGACTCATCAACCTCAGAAGACCCATTGATGATAGTGCCGTCGGTCGGAATTCTGGTGTCAGGGAGAGCTTTGAAGATGTCGCCGTATTGAAGAAGTCGGGTATCAATCTCACGTTCAGTTCCGCTCTTTTGGTCGACAAGGATGGCTGTCGACGCCTGAAGTGACCGGATAGAAATGGATTCAACAGCTCTCTGACGAGCAAAAGCGGCAACCCATCGACCGACCATGATCAAGGTGACCAAAAGAGTGCTCGTTTCAAAGAATTGACCAGTCGAAAGGGGCTGCTCTGCAATGAGGTACCCAAAGGAGACCACCGAGAAGATGTAGGCAGCACTGGTGCTCAAGACGATCAAGAGGTCCATCTCGATAACCTTCGAGAAAATGAGAGCCTTCAGGGCCTTGGGATAGAAAGGCCCTGCTATGACAACTTGAACAATCGTGGCCAAGGTGAGTGAAGCCGAAGAATATGCCACCTCCCTCTCAGGAAGCGAAGCCCATGCCATGACCAGGACCGGAATCGTCAAGACAGCGGAGACAAGCGTCATGTATCGGACATGACGAACGTGCTTGCTGCCAGCCTCCAGCGAAGGGTCACCGCGTAGAGGAGCAAGGTCAATTGGCGGACCCCAGATCTTTTCGATGAGGTCTCGAGCTCCCACAATCTTCGGATCAAATGCAACTCGCACGGTGTGCTTGTCCACGGGTGCCATCTCAAGAACTCCGTCCGGCCACTTCTGACTAATGAATTTCGAGGGCTCATCAGGGACGATAAGATCTAGGCTAGATCCCTGGTCCTGGACTCTTTCGCACTTAAATTCAGTGGTTCGCTCTAGATGTTTCATGACTTCCTCCACTGAGCCAAGGCGAAGATCAATGTTGAACTCGGCTCGCGAGAGAACCAGACTGGTTTTCAGGTCTTTGACGGCAGGGACAGTAACGAGGGTTCGGTTGAGCTTTGTCTCGCAACCAGTACAAGTCATGCCAGAAATGCTGAGAACAATATGTTCCTTACCGGTACTCTGATTCTCTATGTCGGTGATGACCTGAATCGAGGCTTTCTCAATCTCTGAACAAGGATCGGGCACAGCAGAGGAGGAGCAAGCATCGGTGCAAGTGCCTTGAGGGCTGGCCGGTTGCATTTCTGTGCAGCAAGAACCCGCGCAACTAGTTACAGGAGTCTTCACGATATCCTGCTTTGCTGGCTTGCAGCAGGAGCCAGAGGAGACGGCATTGGGAAGCTCTTTGGTCATCGTGTTCTTAGCTGTTCCACAAAAAGACCCTGCACCCCCACTAGCTAGAGGTTCAACAACGGGTTTGAGCTTCGAGCAGCACGAGTCCCCATAAACGCTCTTGGTGTCATTGTTTTTGACACGCTGGTCGCTGGGACAGCAAGATCCGGGGCACCCGCCCTTGCGAGGGGATTCTTCGACATGGGAAGTCTCCGAGCAGCAAGAATCCGGGCGTCGGGTTTGGGCAGCAGGCTGCTTCGCGGGCTTTTCGAGGGAGTGGTAAGACTTGGTACAGTGGTCCATGACGAATGGAGCTGTGACGGGTGTGTCCTCAGAGCAGCACGGCTTCGAGCACTTGCTTTTGAAAGGAGGCTTCTTGGCGGGCTTGCCCTTCGGACAAAAAGAGACAATGCAAGCATCCGCGGACGCCTTGTTGACGAACCTGGTCCTTTCACAAGAACCCCTTCGCAGGCGAAGACGGTTCTGCGCGGCCTGGTCCTTGGTCACGGAGTCGTTGCTGTTGCAGGAATCCAGTGAAGTGCCAAAGGAGCGAGCAGATGACTTCTTAGAGCACTGCTTCCCGTCCAGTGACTGTGGCTCGCGAATTTCACAGCAGGTTTCCTGGCCAAGAGCAATGAGAGCGCGGCAGATACATCCTAGGGCTTTTAGAGTAGCGCCGTAGCGGTCGAGGGCAGAGAGACGATGTTGGCTGCATGCCTTGCGGTCGGTAGCTCCACCGCAAGCTAAAGGGTATTAGAAACCTTTGAATGCCATTCTCAAAGAGCGGATACTCACTGTTTGGCTGACTGTTTGGGCCGGGAACAGCCGTAGCACTCACCTCGCATTCCCGCATAGCCAAACGGTCAAGGCAAGACGTGTCGCAGCATGGGCTGACTTTGCCACGGCAGCAGGCAGGGGCGTCGGTAGGATTCTCGGTTTTACTGTCCGCACATTTGCCAGGAGAGCAGCAATCATCTGGTTTCTCCGGGGTGGGCTCTTTCAGACCCGAGGCCGTAGTGTCAAGAGGCTTAGCGTCGTCGCTATCGCAGCAAGAATCCTGGCAACTGCTCGTCTTCTCACTTGGAGCCGCGAGTGGCGTAGCATCAGGTGGGCCGCAATAATCGCACCCCATTGTTGAAGTGAGCCTTTACTCTCGGTCCAATTTATGTGAAATTCAGGTGTCGTTGAAGTTGAGTTTTTGGAAATGGTATCAGTCTGTCGGCTTCCCATTGTAACGCGCTGGCACGTGAATGGTTCGACTGCCCCTGGCCAATCACATTCACAACGGCTACCTAGTGTTGGAGATTGCCGATGCCAGCCTCCTTCAACTGTTTGTCTTTGGGCCATAGGCCTAATCGGCCATCTGTAAACCTTTTCATGCGTATTGACAAATCGAGTCTTTCGGATGTTGCGAGAAAAACTATCGATAGTGGTGCAGATCATGAGAGTGGGAGCTTTTTTTTTTTTTTTTTTTTTTTGAGAGGTATCAGTAACTGTGAGTATGGCTTACTCGGGATTTTGCGTATTCATTTCCGTACCATTCGATCCCGAAACAGATCTACAATTACGCGGGTTACCAGAACGGGAATTGTCAGAATATTGGATGATGTAAGCTAGCTGATATTAGTAAGCACACACATAAGGTGCGTGCCCGTAGATAGCAGAATGGACAGACTGGAACACATATTCGAGACGGACCCCATTGGTCGAATCCGCAGGCCTGATTACGTGGTCCGACAGGAATATCTAGTCATGTGACTGGGGTTCGAAAGACCGTCTCCGACATGGAAGGCGATAACGGCTGGCACTGTTCATATGATTATGAAACTCTTTGTACCTGAGCTTTGAGCCATCACCCCCTCTTTTTGTCTAAGAGAAAGGTCTCAAGTACGGCACCAATGAATGATAACATCTCCCGGAAATATTGCCCCGCGTGGTTTGTATGGCGCGGCGCCGCAAATTCCCACCACCAGGGCAAGCTGAATCCTTGTGTAGCTGACCAGTAAGCTAGAAGCCGCGCTTGCAGAACTTCCTTTGCCCATTCTTGGAAGATAGCATAGCACTATATTGTGGTCGCCCATGCGACCATTCAGATAGACATTGGCGTCGTTCTCACATTTCCCGTAGATTTGACCGAAGCGATCGAAAGTCTCGTCGAACAGTCTCGACGGCGTCAGCCTCTAGTGGAAGAGCGCAAATAATCGCGATCGGGAACTCGTCACGACTACCGGGTGGCATACTGATCCGCCCTTTGTATCACGCCTTGAGATTAAGCATGAGTTCAAGAAGTCGGAAGGCTGTGTTATAAGGGGTAATCATCTTGGGGCTGAGGCTCCCTACGTGAAGTTGAAATGATGAGCCAATCATATACCAGCACAGCCTGGCGGTAATTTAGCTTCCGTGAAGTGACAACAAACCTTCCCGCGTTATAAAAACAAGGCTGAGCCTCTTCTCCTTCACGTGAATAACATTATGTTCAAATTCTATCTACAATCATGACGTCCGGCTTTCTCAAACCCCTCGCGGTATTTTGCAGTCAATCGCAGTCTCGGCGTTACATCAAAGGTGTCAGGAACCTTGGGGATGCGTGGCGAACTCTTGCCGAAAAGCCTCTTCCTGAGTGCGATAAGAACTCCGTTCTGGTGGAGACCAACTTTGACTTTGTTCTAAAAATCACGAACGCACTGGAAGAGCAACACCAGTCGAAACAGACGATTGTTGAGATGTCGACCAACGAGCCTCTTTTATCTATCCCATCCACCAACCAATCTTTACCAACAGGACACCTCCGCCACTATCGTATCTTTGCTGACTACGGCACGGAGCTTATTTGGCGTGATCCGGATGATGTTACGTCTGAAGAAGGGGACACTACGTTAGATCCAGAAGACGTACTCGCTTCATTCCCCCCCTCAGTCTTGGAGCTGTATGATGCATGGGTGAACACATACACCGAGAATTTCAAGGACAGACGCGAGAAAACCGGCAATTACCATGTCTCAACTGTCTCAACCGCTTCTGAGGAAGTGGCTTGAAATGTGGCTGGGTTTTTGTTGGCATGGCGCATTGTAATGGCACCGGAGGTTGGGAGGATCGAGTATAAGGCTGGTGATTCGAAATATTATCTTGAGACAGGGAAGGAAACTAGTGTCACTTTAGCATTGTTACAGGATCAGGTGGATATTTTAGCGAAAGGACCTATGGGGTAGATTATAGTAAGACTTTTTTGTTGCTTCCCACCAAGCTTTTCGTTTATAGGCACTATACACTGAATCACAGACTATCGCTTCTTATTCCTACGAGTATCATGTAGACTACTGATGTATACTTGAATTTCTCGTCCAGCGTCGGAAGGTCTTTCCAAAAAAGAAGAAAACAATCACCCCGAAAACAGTAATACCAACCGCAATCATTCCAACCGTGATAATGGGGTAAAGAAACCCATGCTCAGTTACCCATGGGATTATAAAATACGTCATACCATACTGAAGCGGCACCACAGTTAGATTGATAGTGTCCAGAAGAGTGATAATGGAAACATTACCCCAAATGTATTCTTTGCGACCGTCGCCAGCACCATTATTTCACCTGCCACGTTTTTGTAGCTATCGATTGCGTACTAAGATCACATTAGCCAGTTTGACCCATTGCTGACGTTTTGGTGAACACTCACGGTGGTTGCGATGGTCGGGATTGCCATGACAATCACTCCCGTCAAACCAAAGCCAACAATCACTATCACTTCCCATGGCCAAAGTCGCTCAAGACCAACAGCCGCGACCTATGGTTTCAAGAATAACAGTTAGAAGTTGATATTCTCGAAGCTTATCATCAGTAGTCAAAATGAGCTGTTTCACCTACCGTCATTCCAACAACCGCAATAGCAACGAAAGGTATGAAAGTCAGGAGCCGCATTTCTGGCTCCCGAACACCATTATTTCTCTTGGTCAATACCATAGACACCCAATCGGACAATGGCCCTGCTGCTGCTAGGCCAACAATGCCTCCTCCCATTAGTGCAAAATTTGTAAATCCCACCGACGCTGTTGAGAAATTATACGGGGAACGAGAGAATCCTTCAGACTCTGTCAAGTTCAAGACCAGCAAGCATGCCGAGCCTGACATGACCCCTAGAGATGCGAAAAGGGTGATTGGAAAAAGGCCAAGATGAAGCGGCGTGGCCACATATCTGCATAGTTGCTTAAACGTCGTAGTATCTGGTTTGCTCCAAAGTTGCCATCTCTGTCTGGAACTGGGATAGCCGCGACCCAAAAGGGGATTTAAATCCTTGCTATGCAGCTGAGGCTCGATATCAATTTCTGATGGCGGCTCTAGTTTTGACTCTCTCTCCTTGCCTTGATTCATGCAGGTTGAGGTTACCTCTTCATTAAGTGTCTCGGCCACTTCATGTTCTCTTCCCGCTGACATGCCAGATATGTTGGAATACTTTGTCTCGGGCAGGGCAAAAATCATCCCCACAAAACTTACCTATGAAAAGAAAGCACGTTGTTAGCCAGCATTTTTGGAGAGGCTAAACATTCAATCTTACGGCATTGAGAATGGTTGACAGCCAGAAGAACCATCGCCAAGACACGTGTGCGGCAATGCTGCCGGACACAATGGGTCCGACCCATCCCCCGAAAAAGTACGCCCAGCTGAATATTATCAGAGAGACGAACACAACAAAGGTCTCAAAATCACCACAACGAGAAACTCACAAATAAGCACCCATCCAAGTGCCTCGTTCATGTAAGAACGTCAGATCGGATATCACCACTGGCATAATGCTCTCACTTGATGCAGCGCCAATTCCAATCAAGACTCTTGCCCCAAGGAAAGAGTGGTATGACGTGCTCATGGCTTGCCATATGTTTGCGCCAATACAGATTAACATACATGCAAGTGCCGTGGATCGCCGACCGAATATGTTAACGCAAGGAATGATGATGAAGTTCGCATAGCCCAAAGCCAAAATACAAGCACCTGTCTATATTGGAAAGGAATTACTAGCCGTGCCAAGCCCAGTCTCATTGTACATGTTTACTTACCAGGGCAGCAACTTTCGATTCAGTGGTATCAAACTGTTCCATCAAAACAGGCGTCAGGGGTGAGATTGACAACGTAGAGAAATTCCCAAGGAACATGAGAAAAAGCATGTTTGTCAGGCAAGCGTATTTCCACCGAGTGGACCAGTTCTAGGAAGGATTGAAGTTCCGAATCAGTATTGGAACCCTAAGGTTCCACTTCGATCATATCAGTCAGGGAATGCAATAGAACCCACCAGAGGATCGTGAGGATCATTTTGCGGTTTTGGAATGAGAATTAATTCATCTCGGTATGATCCACGGGTCTCGTGGGCTATGAGGATTTCCGTGCCAGGAACATGATCTGAGATCATAGCTTGATGATCGCTGACAAGATGAGAGGTTTGAATCCTGCCGGCTTCTAACGCCATAATTCCTTATCGATTATAAGAGCGAACTCTAATGTGAAGAACGCAACGAAATTCAGGAATAAATTATTGAACCTTTTGCTGGACGGCTTTCCATGTAATGGCGTTTCAAACATTGAATTCCGTACGTCTTGTATTAGTCTTATAGGGAACTTACAACTCACAGGCCCCTTGATAAGACACTTTTTATCCATTTCTAGCCAAATTATTCCTACGTATAAAAAGTTAATTGCACGTAGATCTACGACTTGGCTTTGTGATCTCGGCAAATTATTAGGAGAGCTGAGTCGGACAGTGATGCCAAAAAGATAAGCTGTGATGCGGCCAATCGGATTCAGGTCCGCGTTTCAATACGCATATCTTCCCCATAGGCTCGTGCATTATTTTCAAAAGGCTAGATGCTCGGTTGGTAAATTTATCCTACCCCTGATTCTGTGGATAGGATGTTATGGAATATGTTGCACCAATAAAAACACTATCCGGGATTGACTTGGCTCCGGCATTTCAAGATCGCTTATCGCCTGCACACGAATACATGGAAGCGTTCCGGTCCCTTGCTAGTGTTGATGCATTGCTTCACTCAATTATTTGCTACCTGCGGATAGATCCCGTAACGATCATTCGTGGACATTGATTACAATGTTATCTTCTCACAAGCGCATAAGATACTCCAAACTCATTGTTCCAAAACTGAGATGCCACATGAATGGGAACTGAATGTCTACATCTAACACCTTATTGTGCATTCAAGGGCGCTGCTAGTCAGTTGATAAGGCAGATGGCCTTGGACTATGGTCCCTATCGAATTCGTGCGAATGCGATCTGTCCTGGATGTGAGTTAATTCAACCGCACTGCCCGAGACAAATGGCTGATCCTATGTGTAGATACGCAAACTGCCATCTTTAAGGAGACAACCACAAATCTAACTGCGTGGGATGATCTCAACCGCCGACACCCCTTGAAGGGACCGGCCCCGGGGGGCTGCCGGATGATTTTGCGAAGATGGCCGTAGTGCTGGCTAGTGAGGATGCTAGCTGGGTGATGGGTTTTCGCTTGCCGTCGGATGGTGGATATACCGCCCGCTGGCATGTATATCATATGGTATTTGGAGATGCTTCATGGTAGAAAGTCAGATTATTTGAATATATATACCTAAAGAAAATCGTTAGCTCACTGAAAAAGCGACGCGTGGGGATAATTTAGAAGAAGAACGACAGTAGACAGTATAAATAGTTTCTAGTTGGTGGTTTCATTGTGACAGTTTGGTCTGTATACGCCTTGTGTATGATGGGTCAGTTGTTTTCGGATTTGAAGCCGTAGATTCAGGCGGAAGCCTAGTTAACACCGATTTCATTCGGAAGCGACCGGATGAAGCCTTCCGATCGAACGAATACTGAGCATCGTTCACAAGTAGACGACGTTGGACAATCATAGCTATTGAGCGACGCGACAAAAACCTTTCCAAAAACACAAAATAACACAACCCCTTAGCCCTTTGTGTGGAATAATATCATGCGGTCGGTGATTGGTGGACTGTAATGTAAAGGCGAACGAGCTAGGCTTGACCCAACGTCAGACCAAATTGGCGCCAAATCTCGGGCTTCCGATACTGTTACCATTTTCAATATTGCTATGCAGGTTTGTAACATTGGGAAGACGCTGGGCAACCAAGTTCCCTAAGCTCCCTTGTGTCGAATGGATCCTCCCCAACACAACTCCCCTCACAGCCAATGAGGTTTAGTCGTTGTTCAAGGTGACGAAGATCTGGAGCGATCAGCTTTAGATTGATCGTTTGATCTTGGAAGATTTCATCTTTGTTGGTGACTAACATCAATTCCCTCTAGGGTCGCCACCAACCCCACAACCCCGCACATTCCCCGGGTATCACGGGTATCACCGTTGACAGTCTTTTGTCAACTCTCTAGCCATACGCGCAGGCCTGCCTATTCAATGACCCCTGACAACAACGCCTATTCTGCCTTTTTTATGTGACAGGGTGCACGTTTCATGGCACACCCAACCAGCCCCCGCCTACAACATTCTTCCCGCCGCCGGAAGGCTTGCGAGAACTGTAGGCGGCGGAAGGAAAGGTGCGATGGTCTCCAGCCATGTACTAGATGTCGGAGACGGAAGGTCGAAAGCCAGTGTCAACTGCCGCATCATCCGCCTCAAGGCAGAAGGGGTTCGGCAATCGTACCCCATTCAAGCAGAGGCGGTAGCAGAGAAGACGCTACAAGCCCTGTATATGCCCCTGGACCTATGAATGACTGGCAGGATTTCCAGGAATTGCATACCAATACTGAAGCTCCGTCTCATACAAACGTATCGAGAGACCTCTCGATTTCTTCCCAACCTGGCTCCATTGTATCTCACATGTCCCGATTGATTCGGGATCCTCATGGCACCTATATGTTTCTGGGGCCATCTGCCAATCTGTCAGCTGTACAAAGCATACGAAAGATTGTTCACAGCGTACTAGGCGCAGGGTATTTTGCGGAAATACCGGCAGAGGACGATCTTGTTGACGATATTTCTCCATTTTCAATAAACCAGAATGAAGTGAACATGGAGGAGCCTCCACGGCCCTCTGTAACCGATACACGTTATTACCTCCGATGGTACAACAGCGCCACAAGCGACGTTTTTGATCTCTTCGGATATGAAGAACTGACCACGGAGATTATTCCCTGGTTAGAGCGACCTCCTTCTACTGACTCCGACACCTGCATCAACTTCCTTGTCCTTGCTATTGGTGCCCAATGTGGACCTGAGGACCGTGACGAAGAGACAAAAGCCTACTTCAACTATGCCCGCGACATTTCATCAAGATATTTGCTGGGAACGGCAAGCATTACAATAATACAGATTTACTGCCTCATCACCACTTATCTTCTAAACGCAGCTCGGCCTCATGCTGCCAGTATGAATCTCGGTCCGGCTATCCGCGCTGCTCATTCCCTTGGGATTCACCGAGCAGATATCAATGGTCTCTTCCCGACCACAGATAGCTTCAAGCGTGAGCGAATCTGGAGAGTCTTGCGCTTGCAAGATCTCTTTCTGAGCACAACCCTGGGGCACCACCCATCAACCACGGAGACTCGCGACACCACATCACAACAAGGCTACTCAGCCTCAGCCGACCTCTGTCTCATATTTGAGAAGATTTTGTCTCAAGTTTACTTAAAGCAGGAGATTTCCCCCAGTGTACTCCAGAATGTCACCAAGCACCATCGGGAATGGGCCTCTCATTTCAGGGAAGGTCTTATGGCGGATCATATTTCTGCCGATGAATATGTGAGCAGTGGAAATGAAAGAAAAAGTCTCAACATCGGACTATGTCATCTCAAGGAAGCTTACTACTGGACAATCATGCTGGTAACTCGCCCGTATCTGATGGATCTGGTCGAGCGGCGCTTAGCCACCGAGATGATCATATCACCCCCACCGAGCGTCAGGAATGATACTATGTCACCATCAATACAGCCAGCCGATACTCTACTCGCGCATGCATCGGTGAACTCAGCCGTGCTCACAATCGATCTCTTAAGGTGCTTACTGGACGTGGACCAAATACCAAAACGACTTCCGTATGTTGTCAACTCTGTCTTAAATTCTGCTCTTGTGCTGGGCATAGCCTACTTTGGGGATCTGGACCATTTATTCCCTCTGGGGCATGCGATGGATGTAGCAGAAAGGTTACTGGACCGCTTTCAAATGAATGATGCGCAGGCACAGTGGAGTCTCCGGATTGTACGAGATCTCCGAAACTCGTGCAATCAATTTGTCAAAAGACGATGTGACCGTCATCTCAGGCAACAAGGGGCATTGGTCGAGGGCCTCTTCGGCTATTTAAACCCTTTGCGTGGTCAGGATCATATTTTTATCACCTCCCGATCTTCGCCATCTACGTCACAGGGCTGGGATAAGGGTACAGAACTTGGAGACTTAGATGGCATGATCGAGGCTGAGCTTTCGGGTTACCCCAGTAAGCCGCCTATTGATGATGCTAATGCCATCTGGGATCAGCTATTTTGCGGCTCTATCTCTGGTTCATATTTGGAGTTAAACCCTGGGGGGCTCCCGTTAGAATGGCAGTAGAGACCTCCAATTCTCTGCATGGATATTGATCGTGTTCATTTTTTTCTCCTTTCTCCACGTATCTGTAAACATCTTTGAACTGGAACATTTCCCACAGTCTGATCTCAATTTTGCAATACCCAATCCTCCCAAGTGTTCCGAATTCGCTTCATTGAAACTGGCGTAACCCGTTGATAACGGACTCGGAGAGTAAAAGAGTACGAAGACTTCTGATGCTTTCATGATCCCCTGTTCGGTGGATCGCAATTATAAATTCGGGTAATTAGAGGCAAGCGGGTAAAGCGATAAATAAGATCAAGCTATACCTACTGGATGCCCCGTACCGGCGTGATCCCGCAATTTTGTGGAGAGAGCAGAGATACGTTTCGATACTACCAGATCCTGATAATGTGCCGCTCTGATTCGGGCATCTGGAAGATTGGTGGAAAAGTTATGAGGGGCCAGAATTGACCGAAAATTTGTGATTGCTATTACACACCTAATTGTTAAAATAAGAATCAGCGCAGGAGAGGGACTTTCCTCAACGAATCAAAATTCAACAAAAAACATACAACAGTTAGGATTCGCATGTGGTCACCCACCATACTACTAACTAACCGGCGTGTGGCTTAAGTACGGCTGAGCGGACGGGAAGCCCTGTTCTCCACACCCTATGGTCGTATGTGGAAGATGAAGCTGTAAGGAGGTATGTATACGGTTCATCTTCGTCATCACATATTACTCTGATACGCACGTTCCCTGTTGTATGTCCGTAGACTACCATTATATACCACAGGTTTGTGCCAAAAGAAGAGAATAGCCCGAAAACTGGATCAACAAAGTTCAAACAACATTTTGTCTTCAAGTCCGAAGTGGAGATCTTGGCTTCGGGGCAGCTTTCGGAGATTCTAGCCCCACCGATATGCAAGTCCGAAATGTACAAAGCGAATCACTTTGCATGGGGTACAAGCATGCTATGATTTTTGTAGCTATGAGATCTCCGAAGCCTGTCATATTCCCGTAATTGCATTCCGACAGCCCAGATGGCCAAGTTTGCCGAAAGATATATTTCCGGGGTAGTGTCTGGGAGCCTCCACATGCTGTATAAAATACCACGATCATTAGGCCTTGAGGACATAATCTCATGCAAATATTGCAAAGTCCTCGTGAAACCATCTATCACACAAATTCTCTTCACTTATCGCTTATCCGCTGCAATGGGTTCCACCTCTGACGAAAAGATCCTAGATGCCCTCATTGTGGGCGCAGGGTTTGGTGGAGTCTACCAACTCAAAAAGCTTCGTGAGAATGGGTTCAACGTCAAGCTCGTCGATTGTGCCACAGACTTCGGTGGAGTCTGGTACTGGAATCGATATCCCGGGGCTCGAGTTGACAGTACAGTGCCTCATTACGAATTCTCTGATCCAGACCTCTGGCAAAACTGGTCCTGGAAGCAACGGTTTCCTGGCAGTCAGGAACTTCGAGACTACTTCAGTTTTGTGGCAGATAAATGGGATTTAAGGAAGGATACCGAATTCAACACGTTCATCTCGGAAGCAGTCTTTGATGAACAGAGTAACCTTTGGCATATCGCTAGCTCTTGTGGAAAAAAGTTTGTGGCGAGATATTTCTTGCTAAACACTGGTTTCTCTGCAAAACGCCATATCCCAAATTGGAAAGGGATTGAAAGATTCCGGGGTACGTGGGTTCACCCTTCATACTGGCCCAAGGAAGAGCCGGATCTCAGAGGCAAAAAAGTTGCTGTCATTGGCACTGGGTCAACTGGAGTGCAGCTTGCACAGGAACTCAGTAAGGTTGCAGGTCACTTCGTTCTGTTTCAACGGACGCCGAACCTGGCTTTGCCCATGGGACAGATTAATTTCAAAGTGGGAGAGCAGGCTATCCCTAGAGAAGATTATCCTGATCTTTTCAATGGTCGTCGTAATAGCTACGGTGGATTCAACTTCAATTTCACACCGCGATCCACTTTTGACGATTCACCAGAAAAGCGAAAGGAAACATACGAAGAGCTCTGGAAGCACGGAGATTTCCATTTTTGGCTTGCGTCATACCAAGATATGCTTTTCACCAAAGAGGCAAACAAAGAGGCATATCAATTCTGGAAATCAAAGGTCAGGCCACGAATCCACGATCCTCGTCTTCGCGACATACTTGCACCCGAGATTCAGCCCCACGGCTTTGGCTCCAAACGTATCTCTCTAGAGAATGGATTTTACGAGATTTTCAACCAATCCAATACGTCACTGGTGGACATAAAATCCACGCCAATCGTCGAGGTCACGGAACGCGGAATCAAAACCACAGAGAAGGAGTGGGAATTTGATTACGTCATTTGTGCGACTGGCTTTGACGCAGTCACTGGTGGTCTCTTGCAAATGGATATCAGGGGAAGGGATGGTCTGCGCCTGACCGACAAGTGGAAGAATGGCACGAAAACATACCTTGGTATGGCTGTCACAGGGTTCCCAAATATGTTCTTTACGTATGGGCCTCAGGCACCTACTGCGCTGTGTAATGGGCCGACTTGTGCGGAGTATCAAGGTGACTTTGTCGTTGGGGCTATGGAATATATGCGAAAGACAGGTCAAAGGCGCATCGAGGCTGGGGCTGAAGCGGAACAGCTGTGGGGTGAGGATGTTCGCAAGTTTGCTTACTCTTCATTGCTACCTGAAACTGACTCGGTGAGCTTGCCCCTTTTTCTCATCATTGAATTTTTCTCACTAATGCTGCTACAGTGGTATATGGGATCCAATATCCCGGGGAAGGTGCGGGAACCTCTCATCTATTTAGGCGGCGTGCCAAACTACTACAAGAGCCTTGATGCATGTTTGAAAGGTGGTTTTGCTGAGTTCCAGCAAATTTAGTTGTTCATACTTGATTTGTGAATGCTCGTCGCGACTATATTATCTTCATTTCTGACATCTAAGCAATGGCTGGTTGGTTAAGTGTTTTTTATGACTCGTAGTTGCTTTCTTTCCTACCTTCCCCAGGTTGAGGTCCTATTATGTTGAATTAGTGCCTGATTACCTAATTCGGCCAGGACCCTGTATAAAATCAAGCCATGGCTAGAAACTGGGATCGAAGGTTAGGTAGGTATGACCAATTCAATGGAAGTTCTCCACAGACTTTCTGTTCTTGCTGTTAGATCTTGATGAAGATATAAGTTGTAATAATACCATGCTACGCGATTTACGTCAATTCTGACGATTGATCCAGTTTCTTGCAGCCTTCGGATATTGTTTCGGAGTCGGGATAATTTAAGTTTCGGACTCTGATAGGGTTTTGAGATTCAGGAACTAGAAGTGGGGCTATTTACTACCCGTATATCCGTCGTGCTCCTGACCGCAGTAGCCGATATTATGCACTTTTGAGACTAGGCTCTGTATTAGTTCCAAGGATATGATCTTCAAGAGAAATGCCCTATTAAATTATCTTGATAAGAGGACAAAATATCAGAGGTGTACAAAGGAGACTCGTCTCAGAAATCTAATCCCGTTCATGAACCAACCGTCCACCAACCCAAACAGCCTTAACATTCCGGTCATCACCACCCCAAACCCACTTATGAACTCTCTCCTCCCACGTTTCGCTTCCAAAGATATCAACATTGCTCACAGCGCCGTGTCTGATGACATTCTTCCCAGCAGGCTTATCAAGCAATGTCTCCGGGTCTTCCTGGCTAACATAACCTAGCTGAATCAACTGGGCATCGAAGATCATTCCAACTTCAAAGCCACCAAGATCATCAGCCATATCAATGACAGCAGCTCCACCACGTGTCGCAAGATACAAACTCTCTTCCACGGAGAGTTTCTCCCGTCCAGTCTCGTCAACATTTCCATTGCAATGGTGGTCGTTCTTCATTTCATCAAAAGCAGTCGTGTGGTTCAGCAATCTTGACACAAGACAAGCCTGTCTCGCTGCTTCAAGGATACTGGGACTATACCCACCGCTCACATCCGTCCCGAGACCAACGGTTATTCCCTCGTCAAGGAATATACGTACGGGCGCGATACCAGACCCGAGCGCAGAGTTTGAAGCAGGGCAATGCGAGATCTTGGCATCACGCTCGAAAACCAATCTTCGCTCGTCGGCCGTAAGGTGTACTGCGTGTGCGAGGATCGTTCGTGACGTAAGGAGGTTGTACGTATCGTATACGCCAGCATAGCTACTTGATTCGGGGAATAGCTCTTTGACGAGGGCGACTTCGTTAATATTCTCTGAGATGTGTGTTTGGATGTGGAGGGGTGGCGTATATGATGCGGCGAGTTTACCCAGGTTTTCGAGGACGGGGCGTGTACATGTTGGCACGAATCTGGGGGTGATGATTGGTTTAACGAGGCTGCCCTTTGGGTCCATGGCGTGGATATACTCGATTGTAGCCTTGGTTGCTGTTAAAGATTCCTCGGCTGAGCCGTCGCAGTAGTAGTCAGGGCAGAAAGATGGGTTGTCCATGCAGACACGGCCGATAAACGCGCGTTGGCCTTTGTTGTAGCAAAGACGAGCCAGCGCATTTGTGGCAGCGATATGAATGGTTGCAAAGTAGGAGGCGCAAGTTGTGCCTTGGGCTAGAGTACGCGCGACCACTTGATCGTAGATGCGCAGGGCGTTTGATGGTGTATCTTTGGGGTTAGTGGAATCCTTTTTGTCGTCGACCCCGAATGCTGCTTCCATGGGGAACGTGTATTCCTCCAGCCAGTCTAGTAGGGTAGTTGAACCGAAGAGACCGGAATTTGGGTATTGTGGAGCATGAATGTGGGTATCTAGTAAAATGATTAATGATGAGCATATGCGCGCAAAGATGCATGAACTTACCAATGAAGCCAGGGAAGAAGAACTCATTGCGCTCTATGCTGGCACTGACGAGTTTCACCTTAATCTGCTCTCCGTTGATATTCTTCTCATTGGTCTCGGGATTATCGATATTCACCCAGCCATTACGGGCCATCAATGCCTGAACCTCCTCGTAATGCTGCGCCTCCCAGTCAAAGCCTTTGATCCGGCCATCAACCGCAGACACCCAGAGAACACCATAATTCCGCACCAACTGTGGCTTGGGCTTATTCCGGGATTGGCCCTCCGTTAGCCGAGGAAGGTGGATAAATGCGCCATAATACACCGTCAACTCGTACTCAGGCTCCATGATGTAGTAGTGCTTTTAGGGATTGGTATAACAGCCCCACAAGAATGGTGGATGAGGAAGACTGTCTATCGGTTCTAGGTCCGTGGCCAAGTCTAAAGTGCATCTAAGTATAAAGCAAGGCTCTCGGAACTTCTAGATCAGAGTCTGACTGATCGGTCACAAATGGAAACAAGATCGAGAATTCAATACATCTCGCCCAGAAGAAAGCGCTTGATATATGTGCAAATCAGTCGCGCGCACGTCCAAAAAAGTAAATAGACTCCTGTGTAGTATCCGGTTGGTCCTTCTATATTTGACGGCGGTTCTGGCCGTCGTCGTATCGGCTGCGGGTGGGTTGGGTTGGGGTTGAGATCAACTTGACAATGACAGCGGATCCGTCGTGTATTTGTACCCGGTGATCGGCTGCTTCCGGTGGGGTATTACTGATTACAATCATACCGTCGCGGGTGAGACCTTTGTCTTATCCGCAGGTATTAAATGAGTTGGTGGGGGTGGTGTCTGTACGGTATTGTAAGAGGGGCACTGATAAGAGCGGCATATCCCACGTGTCAACCAATGCGAACTAGTCAAACATCAATGGCATATGCTTGGCAGTAAGCTGACGATCTAGGCTACATGCTACCAGTGTGGCAGTGTCCAAGTGACATTCTACTTGGCCTTGATGATGTCCTCTGGCAAGCAAAATGCTGTAGTACTTCAATACCTTGCCGAGTATTCACGTCTAAGAGTACCACCATCGAAACCATGAGTGATTCAGAGGGTAGGCAAGCACCAGGCGATTATGAACGAATTATCTTTAACAGCATTCCCAGACTCTTCTTCCTCGGAAGTTACATGGCAGGTAGCATGGTTTGCATTGTTAGCACTAGGACTTACAGCCATGACGCAACCATGTGGGAACGTCCTCTGCCTAAAAGCAAAAAACCACCGCCTTTACATCCGCGCCTCGCCAATAGTCTGCGTTGCCGATGTTTTACAATTTATCCTCTTCATCCTCCTCGGGTTCAGCTCTACTTCTAAAGTGTGGCTTCACAATATCAAGTTTGAACTTAAAGAACGTTTCGATGGAGAATCGGGCGCTAGGGATCTACAGGCCTCTGAGCATTCGATATTGACTCGTTGGATATTAATGATACTGGGCGGTAGCCAATTTCAAGTCATAAAACTGATGTCCATGGAAGGAATTCCGTGGACACAAGCTTGGGCAATGATGTTCTTCATCTCCATCATTTTTGGGGAAATTCTCATACTACTTGCGCGTACTGTCAGTCTCGAAGACTCAGCGAATACACCCCACTTGTGGCGGAGTTACAATGTATTCGGTTCTTTGGACTACAAAGTATCAGATGTTTTGGATTACATCGCAATCATTCCGATCTCCCTACAATTCGCGCTCTGCTACGTTGTCTGTTTCGCATTTCAGACGTGGCTTATTTTCAGGATCGGCTATTTATTCGAAGATCCCAAAATGACCTGGACTGCTTGCATCATTCTATTCTATACGTTGTACTTTTTCCCTATACTCTTTGAAGTTGCAACCATGGTCCGGAAGAAAATATGGCCTAGGCCGCCTGCCGATGGAAGCTCACCTGCACTTCTAAGGATGGACTCGTCGAAGCAACGAATTTTCTCTTTGGGATGCCCTGTGTTTATTTCGTTCCTACTATTTACACCTTACGTGCGCGACCAGGACGTATTTCGCCCGGCTTTAACGTTATGGGTATGGATCTACATAAGTTTCGCATTTTGTTGGCTACTCTTCGGAATGGCAAAAGACTCGCCCGGGCCTATTCTTGGAAGTATTTACAGACGGGTGTTCCGGGTAGATTCGCTCAGAGGATCACAAGCTGTCTCACTGGCTTTTCTTACTTTTCTCGCCAGTATAATGCATTATGGAGCGATGTACAATTCATCTGGAACGGTGAATCCAAAGTGGACGGGTATATTCGGTCGATGACGATACTCCAAACATTATGAGGTCCACATATGTGCAAAATAAGGGAAAACTGCCGGGCGGCGTTTGAGTCTTTACATATCTGCACCCAGCTACGTAACCGAGGTAACTTACAGCATTAACAAGGTAATCATAATTATTTTGTTGAAATTTTATATCTAGGCTGAGCCACTTAAACAGTAAAAGGAAATCATCATCATCAGTACAAAAAAATGTTGAATGTATACACAGAAAGTAACCGCGGAGTCGTTAAAGAACTCGCGCGCAAATGCGCATCAGCGCAGGGGTATCATATAATCTATTCAGTCTCATCGACGGGGCCGCAAGTGCAGAACAGATTCTGGTCACCGAAGGCTGTGAAATAATTAGCATGGTCATAAATAGAAACTCAGAATTGGAGGGTGCTTACCATCATCAACACGAGTCACAGAGGGCCAGAATTTCTTCTCCAACAACCAGGGTTGCGGGTAAGCGGCCTGCTCGCGAGTGTATGGGCGGTTCCACTCGGCTGTGAGGAGGTCACGCTGGGTGTGGGGAGAGTTCTTGAGAACGTTGCCCTCGCGGGGCTGCTTGCCGCTCTCAACCTCGGCGATCTCGGCACGAATAGAGATCAGGGCATTAATGAAGCGGTCAAGCTCCTCCTTGCTCTCGGACTCGGTGGGCTCAATCATGAGGGTGTTGGCGACGGGCCAGGACATGGTTGGGGCGTGGAAGCCGTAGTCCTGGAGACGCTTGGCGATATCGATAGCCTCGATGCCGCAGGTATCCTTGAAGCCGCGCACATCAAGGATGAACTCGTGGGCGCAACGTCCGTGCTCGTTGGTGTACAGGATTGGGTAGTGGGGCTTCAGCTGAGACATGATGTAGTTGGCGTTGAGGATGGTGATCTTAGTGGCGTGGGTGAGACCGCGGTCACCCATCATGTTGATGTAGTTGAAGGTGATAGGGAGGATGCTAGCACTACCCCAGGGGGCGGCGCTGATAGGGGGAGAGGCCTTGTCGCCGCGCTTGGCCTGGAGGTAGTCGCTGGTAGGGTGCGAGGGCAGGAAGGGACGCAGGTGCTCGGCAACACCGATGGGGCCGACACCGGGACCACCACCACCGTGGGGGATACAGAAGGTCTTGTGGAGGTTCAGGTGGCAGACGTCGGCACCGATCTCACCGGGAGAGCACAGACCGATCTGAGCGTTCATGTTGGCTCCGTCCATGTAAACCTGGCCACCGTTCTCGTGGACCAAGCGGCAAGCCTCCTTGGCACCGGGCTCGAAGACACCGAAGGTGCTGGGGTAGGTAATCATGAAAGCAGCAAGCTCATCCTTGTGCTTCTCGCACTTGGTCTTCATATCCTCCAAGTCCAAGTTACCAGTCTTGGTATCACACTTGACAGTGACCACACGCATACCAGCCATAGCGGCACTGGCAGGGTTGGTACCGTGAGCAGAGACGGGGATCAGGCAGACGTTGCGCTTGGCATCACCCTGGGCCTCCTGGTACTTCTTGATCACACGAAGACCAGCGAACTCACCCTGAGCGCCAGAGTTGGGCTGCACTGTGACCTCGGCCATACCGGTGATATCAGCAAGCTGTGCCTCCAGATCATCAATCATCTGGATGTAGCCCTTTGCCTTGTCGGTAGGCATGAAGGGGTGGATGTTGGAGAACTCGGGCCAGGAAATAGGAATCATCTCGGTAGTAGCGTTGAGCTTCATAGTGCAGGATCCCAAGGGAATCATGGAGTGGGCCAAAGATAGATCCTTGGACTCGAGGTGGCGGATGTAACGAAGCATCTCAGTCTCGGAGTGGTGGCTGTTGAAGACGGGATGGGTCAGGTAGGCCGAGGTACGCTCCAGAGCGGCGGGAACAGGGGCGATAGCAAGGGCTCCCTCAATGTCGACAGGGCCAGCAGACTTCAGAGTAGCGAATACCTTAAGGATGTCCTTGATCTCCTCGCGGCCAACAGTCTCGTCAAGAGAAAGACCAACCTTGTTGCCACCAAGGCGACGCAGGAAAAGAGACGCATCACGGGCGGCAGCAACAAGGGCATCAGCCTCGGAAGCACTCTCCAGCTCAATGGCCAGGGTATCGAAGATGGCCTCGCCCTCGGTGTTTGAGCGAATGGGGACGTTGTACCCAAGAGAGACCAACTTCTGGCGCAGGAGAGAAGTCATGGACATGATACGCTGGGCAATGGACTTGAGACCAACGGGACCGTGGTAGATGGTGTACATGGCAGTCATATTGGCGAGCAAGGCCTGGGCAGTGCAAATGTTGCTAGTGGCCTTCTCACGACGAATGTGCTGCTCACGGGTCTGCAGAGCGAGGCGCAGAGCGCGGTTTCCAAGACGGTCCTTGGACACACCAACAACACGACCGGGGACCTTACGCTTGTACTTATCGGCACAGGCGAAGAAGGCGGCGTGAGGGCCACCGAAGCCCATGGGAACACCCAATCGCTGAGCGCTACCGAAGGCAATGTCAGCACCGAATTCGCCGGGGGCCTTGAGGATGGTCAAAGCCAATAGGTCGGTGGCAACGCTGAAGGTACCACCCTGGCCGTGAATAGAGTCACTGAGAGCCTGGAAGTCGTTGACACCACCCTCAGTGTCGGGGTACTGTGCGAGAACACCAATCAGGTGGTCACCCTGCTCCTTCACGACCTTGAAGTCATCGGCCAGGATATCTCCAATAACAAGGTTAATTCCAAATCCTTCGGCACGCGACTGCATCACGGCAATGGTCTGGGGGTGGCAGAGATGAGACACAACAAATGACTTCTCAGCCTTCTTCTGCTTGGAGGCAGGCATGGTAGCGAAGGACATGGTCATGGCCTCGGCGGCAGCGGTGGCCTCATCCAGAACGGAGGCATTAGCGAAGGGCAGACCAGTAAGATCAGCAGTGAGAGTCTGGAAGTTCAACAGGGACTCAAGGCGACCCTGACTGATCTCGGGCTGGTAGGGAGTGTAGCTGGTGTACCAAGCCGGGTTCTCGAGGACATTGCGGAGGATAACTGGGGGAACGATGGTCGGGTAGTAACCGGTACCAATGTAGGTCTTGCCAGACACATCAATCTGCTTGCGGTAGGTATCGAGGAGCTTCAGCATGTCGGTCTCGCCGAGACCGCCCTGCACACTAGAGCGGTGTAGCTTGATATCGGCATGAGGGGTGGTGATCTTCAGGTCCTTTTTGGACAGGATATCCTCGGGGAGGACCTGCTTGACGAATTGATCCAAACTCTCGGCCGGGGGATCGAGGACAGCCAGCATCTCTGCCGCGGCATCGGGTGAAGGGCCAATGTGGCGACGAGGGAATGTATCGAGGGGTTGGAAAATGTCCTGTGGGTGCGGGTCGCCATGGGCGGCCACGGAGCTAGTATAGACTCCACGCTTGGTGGCCGGTTGCTGAGTGTGTAGGCCACGACGGATGTTCAATGGTGCAATTGAAGCTGATCGGAGTGCAACTGGAGAGGGACCAGCTCGCACACGCGACCGCAGCACCAGCTGACGGCTGCTGCGGAGAGCAAACCAAGACGCCGCCATTGCTAGAGCTACCGGGGAGATGACGTAGGGAGTGGAAGCGGGCGCAACTCCAACACCTTCAACGTCGGGGTAACAAGGATGTTATAGGTGAGGGGAGAGGTTTGTAGGAGGGAGAAAAAGAAAGACGAATTGGAATGTAATTTATGATGTACATAAAGTCTTTCCCACCATTACACCTTTTCCCTACATTGACCGAGGGCGGCGGGGAACCACAGTATCCCGTGATCGGGAAACCATGATAAGCTCCTTATCTCACCAATCACGAGACCGCCCACCGTTTCTGTGGACCACTTTCTTCTCTTCTACTCTTTTCCCGTCGGGAAACTAGACCGATAAAGACTCCACAATGCGGAGCTTTCTCTCCGGCTTCGATACCGGAGCTACACAGCGGGGACACAACGGAAAGATTGACATTCACACTCTACTAATACAATGTACACGGTCTTCCTGTCGATTGCACGAGAATCCAGGCAAGAAATGTGGCGGGAAGTGGAATGAAAACCCTGATGAAGATGAATGCATCATCCGAGGAATACTTACTGCAGCGATAGCAAAACACCGAACGGGACGTGCAGCAGAACCCAATTGTATCCAACTTACAATTTCCAGTAATCATCGAAGCCCGAACCCAGCTCCGAAGCTCATCACGATCCTCAACACCGCCCTTGCGACATCTATGGAATGTTACACCTGTTCCTGTCGGTGGGTAAACGTAAAGCCCCGATAAGAGCTATGCGATAAGCAACTCCGCGATCGTGACACCAGCGGGGTGAGAGGATGCAAGGGTTTAATCGGCACAAAAATACACATGAAACATCGAAATAATACACATGCACCTCGCTAATTCATTAACGCTGCAACCCGAAAAGATGTGGTCTGTCACCTATTAATGACCACCTATAGATCCATATCCATCGCTGTCTTCCTCGTCCTCCTCCAGCAATGGCTCCCTTTCTTCATCCGCTTCTGCCTGGGCACTCAGTCTGTGACCTTGCACGGTGACAAAGCCTACCAGCGCAACCCCGACCACAAATCCAGATACTGTCAAGAACGCGTTGATCGGGATCGGGTTTTCGTGGAATGTGTGGTGGGTCAGTGCATCCAGTCCATACTGGGAGAAATTTGCGAGACCGGAAAGACAGATGATAGTTCCGTAGACGCGACCAAAGGTTGCGAAGCCAAACACCTTTGTGGCGTAGTCCCTGTGACTGTTAGTACCTGTGCTTAACGCGTCTGGACGAGTTCTAGTGTGAGGCTCATGAGTACTTACGACATGGCAGAATAATACAAAGGTCGCAACAAAACAAATAGCACGACTGTCATATAGCCGGCCCACAAGGTAGGAATCGAGTTGAGCACGCCAATAATAGTAGTAAAAGCCACGATCAGTGCAAGGAGCGAAGGCACACTCAGGCGATCCAACAAGAAACCGATGAAAGGCGTGAATAACACACCACCGACCGGCAACGCGACATCAAAGAAGGTATTGATTTGTTCGGCTGCTTCGATCGAATTGAGCATGTATTCATACTGTGCTCGGATGGTAGCGATAAAGTAGTTCATCCGGATCATTTGTAAAATAGTCATGAGAGTAATTAGGATGAACCACGGAGTAATCATCTGCTGGCGAGCGGGTAATCCATGCAATACACCCCAGACCTGGCTGACCTGCTGGCGGTCTTCCTCTTTCTCCGCGCGAGACTGGATCTCATCCTTGCTGCCGAGCACATCATGAAGCTTGCGCGCTTTAAGCTTTCGGCGCTCAGCACGCTTACTGCGCACTCGTCGGAGTTCACGATCGCTCTCGATTTCATCGTCAGAAGAGTGCACGTCATGCGTTGCGTCCTCCGCCCATTCCATTTTGTTTTCCAGTTCGAATGGTGGAACATAATCACGTTTTGGCATGAATGTAAGCAGGGCCAGAAAGATCAGCGCTGGGACGACCAGATATCCCAAGAAGAATCGGTCGGGGGTGAAGGTCCGGCCCGATGCCTCGTAGGCAGATTGATAGAATAGGAATACGGCCGCTGAAGCATCAAAAGCTCCAGTTATCAGCGCGACAATCGAACCCGCATACCGGGGGAATGCATTGGCGATTTGGAATGATGGCACAAAGATAAAAGTCCCGCTGAGAGCCAAGAAGAAGTTGCCAGCCAGAAGGCCCTCGAAACCCGGTCGACGAAATGAAGAGGCCATGAGCAAGCTCCCAGCCATCATTATAAAGCATCCGATAAAACCACAGACGCGTGATCCATAGCGATCGAGGATTGTTCCAACCGGGAGTGCGGACACATTGGCCGTGATAGACGCGACGGTGAAAAAAAAGTTAAGCCTAGACAGGTTAGAGCTAGAGTGACACTCAACAAGACAAGAGCATACCCAAGATCCTGCTGCTTGCATAATTCTATCCCATCGCGTAACTCATCCTCGGTGCACTGATCATGATAGACACCTTCCTCGACAAGAACGGGCTTCAACGCGGCAAACCCGAACACAATTCCCGACGCGACCCAACACGCGAAAATCGTGAATGCGACCTGGGCTAGACACTTCAGCTAACGAACCTCCTATGTCTCGTGTAGAACGTACCTATTCTCTTCAGTGCGGAATGCTTATAAGCTGGGATGCCGGGAGCAGGCTCGACGACCGGAACAGGTTGAGTGGGCGGCTGAAGAACATCGTAGCTGATTTTCCGACGAATCGGTGTAAAATCTTCGCCAATGTCTGTTTCTGGTTCACGGTCGATGCCCTCGAGAGCGGACACGTGTTGGATCAGCGACATTGCTGTGTTGAACAGGTGTCAGGGTTGTGAAGGGATTTATGTGAGGGGAAGTTCCAAGTGGACCTGGGAAGTGGAAGGTTCTGATCCGTTCTAGATCTGCACTGTTCTCGGGGGCCTCGGTATCCTTCAAATAAATTCCAAGTCTTTTGTGCTATCTGATCAACTTTGATATCCTTTAAATTGTGATGCGGAAAGCGCTCTGTGGCTGGGAGCTCTAAAGCTAGAATTCGTTAGCTTCCCCAATTTTTTTTAGGGGTTGATTGTCCAACCCGGGGATCCGTTCAAGTCAGTGGCAAGCTACTTTAATACCTAGCAAGTGTAATAAGGACCAATGAGATGTTTTAAATTCCGATTCTTAGTGCGAGTATTGCTACACGAGAGTTTCACGGTCGGAAATATCCATAGCATGACACCGGAAACCGTTAAAAGTGGGGTTCACCCGCGACCGTTTCTGACACTTAGGGAAGAGCTTATCGCGAAGATTTCCATAGAATCGACGGATGTGACGCTTGAAATTGGGAAGCTCCAGCCAGACCCCGTACATGGGCCTCGTGACTTCGAGACTGCCATGCATTGGCGAGCGCACCCATGGATGCACGGATACATATCCTCACCCCACCGGTTGCAGTAAGTCCACGCCACATCCATGGATGAATCTTCTCTGCGGACGTTGACGATAAGTAATTAAATAGACAAGACTGTGAATGTTAAAAGATTAAAGATATGAATCAAATATTCTTTACCACACCGATAGGTGAGGGGCGTCCAAACACTAATGATTAAGCTTAAGATTTAGACAGCGCATAGAAACCACATACACCTCTGCCACCTAATCTGCCATTTACATGAAATCTACATAAACCAGGCGGGCAGGAATCTCTTTCCATGGCTCTTCATCTTGGCGTAGTTTCGTCCCTGATGCATTGTCAAAATTACTATATTTGGTGAATTAATCTATTTGTCCTGGCTCGTGCCATGGCAATGCGTCTACAATGACGTCGTGGGCAACCTGCCACACGCCCATGACGTAGTGCCGTTATCCGTCATTTGATCGCACCACCCAGCATCTTTCTCACATTCACAACTCAGTGACAATTTGGTTTTGATGTTGTTGTTATTTGCGCAATCTGAAAATTGAGTACCTGGAGCTCAAACTACAGACCGCGCTATACTGATCCCCGCGAAGCGCATCACGGTAAACAAACACAGCGCTGATCGGCACTAAATAAAATGGCGAGCATTTCGATTAACGCCCCCGGCCTGAGTAACGGCCTCTTATATAACAACGGCGACAACAATGCGCGACTCTGTATTACGGCTGAGACTGGTGAATTTGACATCGAGACGATCAAAAATTGGCAGGAAGAAGGTTTCGACGTTGTCTATTTACCACTGAACGAGGGCGGCAAGGACTATGAGGCCCGACTACGGAGTGTCAAAGAGGGACTCGGCGTGGGAGAGAACTATGGAGTGATCGGTACACCCTTCCGACGACCCGAAAAATGCAAACTACAAAGCTAACTGTCAATAGCATTCGGAGAAGCTGCCAGCTATTGTCTGGACTACTATATGAAGGGCCAGAATTGCAGCAGGCTCTGCTGTCTAGTCGCATACTACCCAACTGTTATCCCCGATACGCGCTGCCGCTTCCCACTCGGACTCGAAACCCTAGTCCATCTCGCTGGTAGCACCGTGAATGTCACAACCGTTCCGACTGCGCTTGGAATCCAGGGCAAGAAGCGTCGCACAACACGACCAATCAACCCGGGCATTGGAACCGGCGAGCGTCTCCAATTGGCATACCCAACTTTCACCTATGACTCCGCACAACCCGGTTTCGCGGAGAATGATATGGAGGAGTTTAATCACTTGGCCGCAGATCTCGCTTGGACGCGGACAATCAAGGTCGTGCGCAAGGGATTCTCCCGAGATGTGGACCTGGAAAAACGGTGGGAGGATCATCAGGAGAGTAAGCACATACCGATCTCCAACTGATGAGCAATGGAAACTAATTGTGTGCAGGTAAATTCTTCGCGAGTAACCTGAATAACACTATGGACGGATATGTCAAGCACAAGACCCCGGCTGTTACCTACACCTCGACACTAAGCGGTGGAATCGGATCACAGGCTCTGCGCCGTTTCTACGGAGAGTACTTCCTTGGCAAACTTCCCCCGTCCATGCGAATCCGTCTTCTATCCCGAACGACGGGCGCCGACAGGATCGTAGATGAACTCTACATCTCATTCCAACACACCCAAGAGATCCCATGGATGCTCCCCGGTATTCCCGCAACAGAAAAGCGCATCGAGATCATCCTAGTCAGTATAGTCAGCATGCGAGGCGGCCGTCTATCCTCAGAACATGTATATTGGGACCAAGCTAGTGTGTTAGTCCAGGCAGGCCTTCTAGACCCGAAGCTTGTGCCAAGTGGAGTCCAGGGTGTCGATAGATTACCTGTTGTTGGACGGGAGGCGGCTCGACGCATTCTGCATGAAGATCCGGAACTTGAGCAAGAGGATTATCATAATCGGATGATCAGGAGGGCAAATGCTCGGTCGAGGAGGGAGCGTAGTGGACGAGCTTCGACTGTTGCGGATGAGTCGGGGGCTGAATTTAAGAGTGAGGCTGAAATGGGTAATGGAAACAAGGCAAAGGGGAAGTCGGTTTTGGAGAGGCGTCCTCCTAAGCTTCAGCGTGGTCAGACGGAAAAGACTGAGAATGGGGGTGATGAGGGGACGGCTACGGAGACTGAGTCTACGGCGCCTTCTAAGCCTGAAAATGGAGATCACAAGGCTTATGTGGAGGATGGTAATGGAGAGGAGCATTCTTAGTCTCCTATCTACTTTCACATTGCGAGTATGTCTTCAATGTGTCATTTTTTTCTCTAGTCATGTTCTTCCAGCAGCCGCCGTGGAAATCTCATCTTAGTTTTAATTTATCTGATCTATTCATTGTTATTGAGTAAACTGATCTTTTCTTTCCCTTATGTGTCATGCTATAAACAATGCTAGCCTGTCAATCCTACTCAACAACCAATCTCATACCCATGACGTTCGTCTTCCCAATACCCCCATACTTCGTAATATCCTTCTCCAAAGCCTCAACATCCACAAACCCAAATTTCCTATAAAGACCCTGACCATCAGCAGACCCATGAAGCCAAAACAGCTTCAATCCCTCCTTGATCCCATAATCAAGTCCAACTCTAATAAGCGCAGAGGCAATACCACAGCCCCGATACTCAGGAAGTGTACACAGCACTCTTAGAACTATTATTCGATCATTAGCACATGAAATGGAACACGAATTTGAAACCAACTTGTACATACGACCATAACACTTCTCATCCATATGCCTTTTCTTCAAATTATTAAGCTCCCCGATAAGCTCATTGCAAGCCTCTACATTCGCAGTCGAAGGCCAATCAGTAGTATCCTTCCAATCAGAGGTTTTCTCAGGCTGTTGATAGAAACACCAAAGAGCGCATGCAACTATTCTTTCGCCGGTTGGTGAGGTTTCATCGGGTATTACCGCTTTCCAGAATTTGCTTGGCCCGTTTTGTAGGGTGTCGGTGAAATTTTTGGTGCGAAAGGCTATGCCTTCTTCTGTTGGAGGACCGAAGGTTATTCCCCAGAGTGAGCTTTGAGGCTCTTTGTTCACGCTGGCTAGGGCCGCTGCTTCTATTTTTGCTAGCTCGTGGCAATCATTTTTTGTTGCGGGAAGAATGCGGAATTGGAGTTGAGATGGGGCTAGTGTTGACATGTTGCTCTATAAGATATCTTGTGAGTAGGTAAATTGAATTGCAATGAGAGGAAAGCTATACTGAAAATCGGGTTTTATGAGAGGAATGAGTCATATGGGTTATGTTCTATGGTAGTGTTCTTACGGGAGATTAGACTGTCAAAAATGCGAGGTCAAAGCTGCCATTGGGATGAGTCAAGTCGGTAACTCTCCGTATTGATACGGATAAGCTAATTTTTCTACTCCGAAGTGCGCTCTGCTAAAGTTCACACTATTTGCTCGTACTTTGTCACGATTATTGATTTCTATTTTTCAGGCGCCGCTTAGCGACCACACACATTAGTCGACTCCATTCATATTTCAATTTCTTGAACTCAAATATCCATCTTTAATCTCACAGGTGTTCATCACTGGTCTCCTCGGCAAGGTGACCCACTTGTTCGTCGGGTCTCTTCCGAACTGGGGCATATTTAGCACCGACAGCTCCGCCAGGGGCTTCGTTCATGTAAGGAAAACGCATGGTCCTCCGTTACGGGCAATGGGCTTTCACCGGATGATAAATGGCTATGTCATAATATTCCGGTATCTTACACCAAACAACACGTGGCGCCATGTTTCGATAATGTATGTAGAATACGAAGTGCCAAATTTACTAAACAAATTAATAAATAGCTACCTCTTCTTGCCATCACAAATCGCGAGCACCAATATGCTTCTACAAATGCACGACTTGATATAGCTCTATGTACGTAACCTATATATGATAGCAATTTTAGTTTGATCAATGCAAGGGAGAAACAGAGGATGGGAAATGATATTTGATAAAAACTAAAAATAAGAATATCCTAACATAACCACTATAAACGCAAACAGAAGACTAGGCACCAATATTACTGGGTCAAAAAAAGTCCTTGAGGCAAGACTCGTCTTGTCAAAAGCCGGGTCTGGCACGGAGTCAAGTGAGGACTCCATCTCAATTTCATGGGTGTCCGGCACGGAACGCTCGCGTATGAGATTCCTCAAAAAATCACGCATCTGTTCTGATGGTGATCCAGTGAGCTCGCAACAATTATCAAGCGTATTGGGCACTTCAAATATCTCATGCTGTTGATCTGGATGCATTCGATGGTGGTTGGAGTTTTGCGGTATGCAGTCTGAGCAAAGATCAACATGGGCACAGATTTTGCACACAAAGTAAGAGTCCGTAATAGGATTTTTACAAAATTCACAGAATATCCAGCATTCTGGAGTGTTTTCAGATTTGATCTGCAGCAAATGGAGTTGGAATAGATAGCGCGCGTTGTCCAGTTCATCGAGAAACAAGAAATAGCGACCCAGTTGTTGCACAAGAGGCCACAGAGACTTCAGCCTAGAATGAAGAATGGCATCTGATATTTGAAAGACAGATAGACGAACGCTCAGCTTCTGAGTCTCAATGGGTGTTAAGATTATTTGAGGGCAATGAGGACGAATTTGGTGCATCAGGCTTTGATTTCCATATGTCCAGTCCATGATATTTCTGCCATAGCCATCCATAAGGCTAGGATCAGCACGGAGATCGAGAAGCATTAAAGCGAATTCAATGTGCCCGTGGTGAACAGCCAAATGAAGAGGACTTTGTGAGAACCTGTCCAGGCTGTTGACAGCCAAAGCAAGCTGCGGAAATTGATGGAGAATGTGGAGCATATCTCTCGAGGATGCAATATGCAAAGGGGTATGACCGAGATCATCTGTAAGTAAAACATCTGCGCCAGCATCAAGAAGTATCTGAACCACGTGGGATTCATTTTCATGAACTGCTGCTGAAAGAGGAGATCCAAATGGTCCACTTTGGGCATTAACGTCTGCCTGAGCATCAAGTAGCATTCGCACTATCTCAGTGGATCCCCCCAATGCAGCGGCCTGGAGGGCATTGCCATATTCACCACCTTGGGCATTTACGTTAGCCTGAGCGCTAAGTAGCATTCGCACTACCTCAGTGGATCCTCCATATGCAGCGGCCTGGAGGGCATTGCCATAGGAACCACCCTGGGCATTTATGTTAGCCTGAGCGCTAAGTAGCATTCGCACTACCTCAGTGGATCCTTCATATGCAGCGGCCTGGAGGGCATTGCCATAGAGACCACCTTGGGCATTGACGTCCGCTTGAACGTCAAGTAGCATTCGAACTGTCCCAGTGGATCTTCCTAATACAGCGGCTTGGAGGGCATTGCCATATTCACTACTTTGGGAATTAACGTCAGCCTGAACGTTAAGTAGCATTCGAACTGTCTCAGTGGAATCCCCCAATGCAGCGGCCTGAAGGGCATTGCCATAGAGACCACCTTGGGCATTTACGTTAGCCTGAGCGCTAAGTAGCATTCGCACTACCTCAGTGGATCCTTCATATGCAGCGGCCTGGAGGGCATTGCCATAGAGACCACCTTGGGCATTGACGTCCGCCTGAGCGTTAAGTAGCATTCGAACTGTCTCACTCGATCTTTGATATGCAGCGGCCTGGAGGGCATTGCCATAGAGACCACCTTGGGCATTAACGTCAGCCTGAGCATCAAGTAGCATTCGCACTGACTCAGCGGATCGTCCATATGCAGCGGCCTGAAGGGCATTGCCATATTCACCACTTTGGGCATTAACGTCAGCCTGAGCATCAAGTAGCATTCGCACTGACTCAGCGGATCGTCCATATGCAGCGGCCTGAAGGGCATTGCCATATTCACCACCTTGGGCATTGACGTCCGCCTGAGCGTCAAGTAGCATTCGAACTATCTCAGTGGATCCTCCATATGCAGCGGCCTGGAGGGCATTGCCATATTCACCACCTTGGGCATTTACGTTAGCCTGAGCGTTAAGTAGCATTCGAACTGTCTCAGTGGATCCCCCCAATGCAGCGGCCTGGAGGGCATTGCCATAGAGACCACCTTGGGCATTGACGTCCGCCTGAGCGTTAAGTAGCATTCGAACTGTCTCACTCGATCTTTGATATGCAGCGGCCTGGAGGGCATTGCCATATTCACCACCCTGGGCATTTACGTTAGCCTGAGCGCTAAGTAGCATTCGCACTACCTCAGTGGATCCTCCATATGCAGCGGCCTGGAGGGCATTGCCATAGGAACCACCCTGGGCGTTGACCTTTGCTCCAGCCCCTAGTAGTATCTCCACCACATCCTGATGACCTTCGAACGCAGCAGCTTGTAGCGCACTTTGACTTCTATTTCGTGTGCTTTCAAGGGTCACTCCTTTAAGCAAAAGCCATTCGACAAATGCCACATTCCCTCTCCTTGCCGCCTCGATTAATGGGGTTCTCCCATTTCTGCATCTAGCCTCGTGGTCCGCTCCTTTGTCCAGGAGTATTTTTCCCGCTGGTATATGACCCCATCTTGCTGCTAAATGCAATGCTGTGCTTCTGTTTTCATCTTCCCTCGTGACGTCCTCGCCATTTAACAGTGCAGGCTCTATGATGTCAACCAGATTGGTAGCTGCGGCGATATGTAAGAGGGTTGTGCCTTTTGCTGGACATGCTAAATCATGTGGATTCAGCACTCGATAGGTCTGAATCCATTGATTTATCACCCGCTGTAACATATCTGATTCATTCTGTACTGCGTCCGCCCGAGAGCCGGCGGCTTTTTCTGCGTGAATGAACAAGTTTGTGGTGGCGTAATTGAGGAATGAGTAAACCTGGATGATTTTTTCTTTTCCCTGGTCCTCTAGAATCTCTTGAGGCAAGTCTATAGTGGCTAGATATACCATGCATGATCGATAGAGACTCGCTTGGCATTGAAAGAGAATCTTGTTGCTATCAGTGGGTAATGTGATTCCGTTGGCGTGATGATGTAAAATTTGAAGCCCTTTTGCGCGGAAGAAGTCGTTCACCGACTGGTGTATTACCTGTATAGTCTCGTCGTGATCTTCACTTGAGACTACTTCAGTTAGTCCACCAGAGAGAGTCTTGACTCTTCGCTTCATGCGTTCGTTGCTTTCGACAAAACCATTGGCCTTCTCCCATCCCCTTAGAGAAATAGTTGTCGTTTTGCAATTACTGGCCGCTAAAGCATACCGCATTTCCGTCACTGTAAGGGGTCGCTCAGCGAGGCATATCCACTGGAAAAGTAAAAATGAGTTCTCCCAATTCTTGTACTCTATCACTTTGTTTAAGATGTAGGTATACACATCGTCTAAGCCGGCTGGGATGTCGCGTAACCAGAGGCGGGTTTCATCAAACGACTCCCCTTCTAATATTCTCCTGCAAACAAGAGGCATTATGAGGTGGGCCCATTGGAAGACCCCGTTTGCTTGTTGAATTAATTGCTGCATCAGTACTTCTCTAGTCTCTTGATCAAGACCCTCTTCGACCTCCATATCGGTAAGGGTGTCTTTGATGTATGTGGAAATGTCGTCATAATTATGATCCTCGACATTGATCTCCATAGCCTGATCGTTTCCCATAATAGGATAATGTCGACATGAGATACAGATTTGAACGGCTAAGTTCTTCTTTCCTGCACGATCAATAAGCCGATGGAAGTATGTTGTAAGCTGCTGAGCGGACTCAGCCCCAGCTTCATCGAGAGCATCCACAAAAACCGTGACGGACTGTCGATTAGCTGATGCTAGGATAGCACCTGCTAGTAGCTCTTCTAGCAACACTCGTGGCCATTCCCATTTAGATTCACTAGATCCAAACTGCCGACACCGTTGTTCGTAGGTCTCGCGCACTAGAGGGCGCGCGCTTATATCGCGGTCAAATATCTGGTTAAGCAATGACCTGAACATCCCTAGCGGTGTGCGTTGTAATTCTGTGCCCCGGGCGCTAAAGAAGAAGTCGAGCCGAATGCCCTGGGTCCCGTCTTGCAATGTTTTAAGCGTATCGTGGAGGAATGCCATCAAAGTTGATTTTCCCGCTCCTGGCTTGCCCTTGATCCATAGGAGACCGCAAGACTGGCTTCTCCAGGACTTATACTTTTCCAACTCCAAAATCCATTGGCAAGTGTTGGCATGGCATGGCTCGATATTGTCCCTCCGATCTAGCATTTGCGGGAAGGCTAGTGACCTAAGCACATCTGCCGCCGTAGTGAGTGAGAGTCTTGTTGGCTAGTACAGGGCAATGCGAACCGTGGTCTGTCCTCTGCTGTAGGCACTCAGGTTGGTCTGGGCCCGGTGACAGTCAATGATGTTGGTTCGGCTTAAAATAGGCACCATAAGACGAACCGGATAAGATGTTGATTACCCCGTGGTTGGTTACCACCTGACTCCCTGAGTTCGTGCCACCAAAAGAGTTCGAAGTCATGATTAGTTGAAAGTGCACACAATGATGCTGATCAAGGCAGAGTGATAGTTTCAGCCCCCAGGAAAAGGATGACTACGTACCTAAAACCCCACTATCAGGTGACCATCAGCCGCTCCTTAGCGCCCACCAAGTCCTTGTACGCTCGGTTCTACAGTGGCGTTGATATATAGATTGAAACACCTCCCCTGGATTATTCAATTTTCTGCCACATCTTCTGCCAGGTAGAATCTCACATTCTGATAACTAGTGTTCCAACCATCATTGTCAATAATCTGCTTCACATGGTTAGGTATAGTATTAGCAAGTGCTTAGGTATCTCAATATCTCGTGGGTTTTTTCCAATAGTCTATTAATTATCTACCTCGAAAATTGATCACCTCGCCAAAATTGGATTAGTTCGAGGTACCAAGATCCCGTCCCAGAGTGTTCGCCAAAGCACCTAGCTACCGGATATTCATGGGAATTTATAGTTCCCGGTAGCATTGTGGTCGACGTTGGTGGTAATGTGGTCACGTTGGACGATTAATCGCTAGCGCAAATCCCGGCATCTCCAGAGGTTCTACGGGAAGCTGAAACAATGCAGTCCAATGGGGCTACAGATGGAGATCGCAGAGAAACACTTCAATTCCAAGCCAATAGCCTTTTCAATCCCCAGCCCGCTCAGGCGGATATTTATGTCTTCCGTTGGGTTATGCATGACTGGCCTGATTATTACGTGGTGGAAATTACCAAGCAGCTCGTGCCTGCTCTTAAGAAAGGAGCGAAGGTTGTGGTGAACGAGAGCTTATGTCCCGAGGCGGGGTCATTACCGCTCGCTGTGGAACGATATACCCGATGGATGGATCTTATGATGCTCTCCATAAATAATGCTCGACTGCGTGATGAAGAAGAGTGGCGATCTTTGTTCCAGGAAGCCAGCCTCCAATTTGGGCCTGGCCGATCGTGAAACCCGCCTGGCTCAGCCTTGGCAATCTTTGGTGTAGAGTGGCAAGGTGAATGAGATCCATATCTAGAGATAGCCGAATGGATTCAAAGCCTGAAATCACCCGCAGCTGCTTGATAAATGTAGGTATATTGCCATGCCAGTTTCCAATTATCTCTGGAAGAATGTAAGATGTTAATTTCTAGGCCTCCTCACAAGCTTAGGACCGGCATGGTATGCATAGGATGAATGACTCCTTCAAAGGGCACCTAAAGATGCCAAAAATTGAATGCAGGAAATATAGTTATGGGCATGTTACTGAAAACTTTCTTCTAAATTGAATTACAACTTCAGGTTTATCAAATGAGAACCGCCCGAGAAGCTAGACATCAAAGTTAAAAGAAATCTTTGCGAGCATTGGATAAAGATTACGCTGGATCCAAATTTTGAACCACGTCAACTAGATGCTAAATTCTAGATAAAATCCACCGACCCCAAACATCAACCCCAAACCCCGTGAAAAAGCCGCTAATGTCAAATTCATGCAGTTTCTGCTTTGGTCACATTTTTAGAGATCTGTAAGATACTCGCGAGCTCTTCCTTAGGTGTCCGACCCATACCGCACTCGGTCGAAACGCCAAAGTCCCTCCCAGGGATGACATTCCGAGCTGCTTGAAGCCTTCGGAACGTACCCTCCTCGTCGTTTGGATGCACAAGTCCACGGTACAGCTTTGTTTTGTCACCGGCCTTGAGGCGCTTCAAAGGCTCAAAGTACGTTGTGTCATCACGGTTTTTGGGGACAGGCATATGAAGCCAACTCAAGTCTGTATCTCCAGGAATGCATCGGACCAAATCGTTAGCGACATCCACCAACAGGCTTAGGTCCTCCGGCTCAATAAAATGCTTATGACCGAGATCACCGTAGCATAGGTGCCATCCAAGAGGAACATTGCTTGGCACAAGAGCGCATGATCTCCGAGCACGCTCGAGTATGCCTTCATGAATAGGGAAGAAATGTGGCTTGAAAAAGTCACCGGGTAAGCGGCCACGCTCGTACTCTAGAGCAGTGATCATGAAGCATGAATCAGATTGGATTGCTAGATACTCTGCCGGAATGGCGCTCAAGATTGATTCCACAACATCCGAAATTCTCCTCTCATAGAAAGGCTCCAGTTGGGCCTGAAATTCCGACCGTACATGACCCTGAACACACTCGTAAGGTGTCGGAATAGACACTTGGAAGCGCACCTTAGGCGAAATAACACCCTTAGCGCGAAGTTGAAGAAAGCGCTGATACGACTCCTTTGCAACCTTATCGTAATAACTAGGCGTCACGTCATCTAGCGTGAAAACTCCTGAGTGGCCTTCGGGTAGTGGCTTACCCCCAATGGCCTCATGAATAGTTTCCACGGGAAATCGAAAGCGTTCCCACGCAATAAAGTTAGATCAATCCCCGGTTTCTCCATCTGGGATCGAGAATAATCGGCCGGGGAGAGCTTCTGACAGAGTCGTAAACACTTCCTCGTTGGTTGATAGAGGTATACTACCAACGAGGTGAACACCGTTTGTAAGATTGGAGTGGGTCATGGCTGATGAGGGGAATTATAGAGAGGGAAATCGGCGTTCTGGGTAATGGAGAGTTGATGCAGCTAGGGAGTTTGTGGTCTTTGATACCAGGGCACGGACCAAGTTAACACAGGTGAAGTTCAAACTATTTCAACACTGTGGCTCTGATATGTAACGTACACAGGGCGTAAAATACACAAGTCCCGTTTCTTTACAGTACAGTATCCACCTTATCTCTTTTACATCTACTGAGCCAATAAAGTACGAGGAAAACAAAGGTAGAACGCCATTTACCAAACTAGGCAGACTATTGATTTTGTGCATTTCGTGGTCAGGGATCTGTGGAAATTAGGTAAAAATGTCACAATGATTATCAATACCAATCACTCCAAATTGCAATTTTCTAATTTTGGCACGCTCCACGTGCAGCTAGAAGGAATAAGAGCGGTCAGCCTTGCGGCTCACGAAACCAGTTACGCACGGCCACAAAGGATTGAATCTGATGAAGATCGAAGTGGTCAGTGAATGCTTGAGTTTAAGCTATCTCCCCCTATTAATAGCCGAAATGCACGATTGGACAAAAATTCGATCGCCGGAGCATTTACCTATTAGAAACATCGCGGACTGGTGCCAAGGGTTTCGGGTGCGATTGCGGGGCACTTCGGCCCCTGTGCTTGGCTTTACCTGACTCAGACCCTTAAAGCTGTTTATATTCATTACATTTTGACAAAGAAATTCAGCTTTATGAGAAAGCAATTTGTAAATTGGTAGATGTGGAAAGAATACTGGGTGTTTTTGGGATGACCCCGAGGTTGGGGAAGTAAAGACATGCTTGAGTAAATACCATCCGGTTTACGGCTGCGGCTCAACCGCAAGGCTGCGGCACCTGAATCCCACCCGAAGATACGGCAAAAAAATTGGAACATGTATGCGCTGGTGCCAAACAGAATTCAGGAGAATTATTGCATTGCAGAACTCTGAAGTGGATCGGCAAAGAAAATTTCCGCACTAGTAGAGAAGTGCATAGCTTTTGGCCCCATTGGCCCCAAAGGACCCTGTTTCGTGCTAATTTAGTGCCATCCGCAGTCCCTGCTCATTAGTGCGGCTCTAGTGTGATCGGGCGAAGAATGAGTTCGGTTGCAAGTCAATTTTTAGGCGCTGTCGGGCAGGTCCTCCTGAATAAGAAGGCTGTTAGCCCCGGCTCCTTCGTTTGAATTCTCTTTCCCCTTAGCACCTCTACCTCGCATCTACAAACGACTTCCAAATTGATACCTTCAATATATTCAATATGAAGCTCGGTACCTCTATTGCCCGTGGCTTTCAGGTAAGTTGTGCTTGCTCTTCCCTTGCGCATTAGCACAAGACTAATAGTTCCCAGCTCATCTTCAGCGTCATCGTCCTCGGTCTTTCCATCACCCTCGCCAGACAACAATACTATGGCAGCGTTCCATCGCAGACCGGCTATGCTGCTTTTGCAGGAGCTCTTGGTGTTCTCGTTTCTATCGTCGGTGTCGTTGCTCTATTCGTTGACAGTTTGAGCGGCGTCATCATCTGGGTGCTGGATGGTGTTGCAGGTGTTGCCCTCTTGGCAGCTGGCATTGTACGTTCATATCCAACGCTCTCAATCTTGATTAATACTAACGTGCTGCAGGTTTACGCCGTGACTCTGAAGGGCGCCGACTGCTCCAGCCCGGACAACGGCACGACTTGGGATAACCCTTTGATCAGTGGTGGATGCACAGGCAAAGGTGATGACAAATTGTGTCACGATGGAAGTTGGGGCTCCAGCGACAAGTGGTCTACAATCAAGTCTCGCTGCAAGCGTGCCGAAGCTGATTGCGCTTTCATGTTCCTCGCGTTCATTGCTAGCGTGGCTGTTCTGATCGCGTCTTTCCTGTCTCGCAACCGTTAAGGGCCGACTTCTGCCTTGAAATATTGTTAGGAGGAAGCCATCATGCTTCCAATGGATTGTGTTAATTGAAGGCTCATAGGCCTAGGCGGCTCGTTAGATTTGGATGAATCAGTTATGTTTGTTTTCGATACCCAAAATATTCAATCGCTCAAAATGTTTTTGTCAATTGCATCTCTTGACTACACATCGTAGTGAATCTAGTTTCCATTGGTAGCCTAGAAATTAAGACATATCCCCGTCTTTGAATGGTTGTCGCTCCTAGAAAGACAAATATTGACCCGCTTTAACCCCCTGCCTAAGGCCGCTTATGGTGAATATAGGCTTTCAATGATATAGACCATGAATTGAGAGAAAAGTCAAATACTTGTACGAAGTATATAAGATCAAATGAAGTCAAAATGATTAGCCATTCCGTCTCCTTCCCCATGACAACAACCGGATCATTATGAACAAGTTTCTACAGCTACAGGAGTAATTCACCCAAGTCTGTGCTTCACCTCGAACGAGAACACTAAGCTCATACAGTGACACCCCCAACAACACCTACCCAGGAGCCCGCGAATGCCATAACTTTAACCGAGATAGCTGTCGAGGAATTGAGAAGTCGAAATGTCGTATCCGAGACCGCTGCCAAGCTCAGCGACGAATTGTGGGAGGCTATCCGGCTGGAGGATTCTCTCGAGGAGGTCGTGAAGAAAATGACCCATACTGAAGTGGAGACCAGTCGGCATTCTGGTGACGGCGGCTTTTCCAAGCTCGTCTTGCGCCGGAACACCATTCGTGAGGTGGAAAAGTTGCTCAAGGCTCAAGCCTTCGATGCCTTTTGTGAGCTTTCGGATGGAGACAAGCTCCTGCTCTGGGAATTTCAGGGTGAACGGACTCGACGGTCACGTTGAGTGATGCAGCTGTATGGTACGTTGCTTGTCTTGTTTTACAGTTGGTTTCTCAGCTAACGTTTTTCTGGGGGCAGCGCATCATTGGTTCGATCTTTGTGCAGGTGGGAGAAAAGAATCAATCGCGAGCTTTGAAATACGACTTACTTGTTCATGATACATCAAGCAAGACATTTGTCTGGGCATTTTCGATCTTCATATCCTTCTCTAATGGGGATGTGATAAAAGTTCAACCTAGTAATTCTGATATGAGTGACACAGGTTGGCCAATGGATCCAAGGATAAAAACCGCTCTCCAACAATGCATGTGTTAACAGATGCCGTCAGAGTATTGTCACCTACCAAATAATTCGATAGATACTCGGTAATCAACTCCCGAACGTGCCGCGGTGCGTCTCCGCTCAGGTGCATAGTGTGCGCGGGGTTTTTACACAACCGCCCCCACTATACTCAAAGCAAGATCGTAAACCAATCGAGTCTCATACCATATTCGCTCCGTATTTCCAAAGCACCATTATCATCGGGTAAAACCACTGATCGTTATCGTCGGCAAAATGGAAACCTTCGTTATCAACAGCGGACCGCGCAAGTGGGGCCAAGCGCGCCCACCAAATCCAACGACATCGGAACAACCACCTTAAAACAACGACAATTCCAACCCTAAGCCTTTGCAACGCATTCTGCACCAAAGCTCTATCCCCAGAAACCCAGCAATATGTCTAGACCTCTTCGCATCGCCATCCTCGAGTGCGACACGCCCATTCAACCTGTCGTGGACAAGTTCGGCAACTATGGAGCGATCTTCGAGCGACTCCTTACGAACGCTGCGGGGTCTACAGTGAACATGGAAATCAGCAAGTGGAATGTAGTGGGGAACCCGATCTATCCGAATCCGAATGAAGTGGATGCTTTCCTTCTCTCTGGAAGCAGTATGTTTAATTCTATCCCTTCGTCGACTTGATTTATTCTGACTAATACATTCCAGAACACGATGCCTTTGCCGATGATTGCTGGATCCTTACGTTGACGGAATACGTAAAGGATGTTGTCCAGGCGCACAAGAAGCCTGTCGTCGGAGTTTGTTTCGGTCATCAAATCCTTGCTCGGGCGCTGGGTGCTCGTGTAGGACGTGGCGAGGGGTGGGAAGTTTCCGTTGATGAGATCACGCTGACCGATACCGGGAAGGAGGTTTTCGGCAAGGATAAGTTGGTATGTGAACCTTCTTTTTTCTATTTACTGCTACGTTTACGATCCTGATTACATCCAGTTCCTGCACCAAATGCACCGTGATCTCGTTTTCGAGACTCCGGAAGGCTGCGTGAACCTGGGATTCAGTGGTCCCTGCGCTGTCCAGGGCTTATACATGCCGAAGCGGTTGATCAGTATCCAGGCTCATCCCGAGTTTAATGAGTTCATCATGACTCAGGTCTTAAAAGCCCGGCATGACAGTGGAGTGTTTAACGATCAGATATATGAGGATGGAAGCTCAAGAGCGGCGAAAGAGCATGATGGCGAGTTACTTGCGCGGAGGTTTATTCAGTTTATTGTTGAGTCGGTCGAATAATTTCAACGATTACGAAAATCAATACTATAGAAATGATATCAAGAATTTATGAAGATGATACATGCTTCCTGCAAATTGAATTTCTTCTTACTAACTACCGCTGTGGCATTCAATGTGGCAAACATCAATGGCTTATCTCATCCGGGACCCACACCGCGGTCTCGGAGCGCGCTGCATATGCGAGCCCTTATTGGTCCAGATTGTCGATTGCCATGTGCCCAGGTAGACCACCCCGCCCATGCCATGTGTAATATGGATGTAGCGCGAGGGCTCAATGGGTAAAGTACGGATTATCAGAAGCAAGGCTAGCCAGTGTTCCGGGCTCATCATTACTATAAATCGGAGACCGGCGAAAATCATGAAATTATGGATCGGTTTCATCGTCACCGCCCACAACCTTTCAGGCTGGGAAAGAAATTGGGCATCATTGTAGTTGGAAGTTTGACTGGGAGGCACAGATATTTCCGAGATACCGACACGCCTTGATCTGTCCCCTGAATATTCGTATGCAAGAGCCGACCAAGCAACGGGAATATCGGTCTCGAAGCCACAATCATTATCCAGCGAAAGCGGCTGGGCCTCACTGCCGATATATGTGATCGGTGCTCTATGGCGACCAGCCGAGGAGCAGGATCGTGCCTGATTCGCAAAATAAAAGGATTGACGCGAGCCAAGAATGCTTGGGGTGACCGCTGACGTGGCTGTCGGGCAAAGATGGGGGAAAAGAGTGTTCATAATTGCAATCTCATCAATTGTGACTGGCAGGGTAGCCAACCCGCCTCAGCGCGTATGAACTTTAGTAAATGCTGCATAGAAACGAGAGATATCCAACGAAGAGACCTGCCCCTGTGTTGTGCGAAGTCCAACATCGTGGACATTGCGAAGCACTGTATGTGTCCTGGCCATGCTGATGCTTCAGGTGAAGCTGCTGGAGAATCTGCTGGTGCTGCTTTTCGGCCCTAATTTTAGGCTCTGCATTTCTTCACCATACTCAACCTCTCATTGTTGAGGGTCTGACCCAAATGCTGACAGTAGACGCGACCTTTGATAATTTGGAGCTTTGCATCAAGAGACAGCGATTCAGGATTGCTAGGGCAATATAGAGATCCCTCGATGAGCAATGCCAAGGTGTAACATGAAGTTGAAAGAATGTATTCACAGTTTCCAGAGACATTGGGAGGAGTCTCTTGGTATTCCTAATACAACTGAGGTGTCTCGCAACCGTGGTGCGCCTTCGCCTTGCTGGGAGACAATTAGCGATTTCCATTGCAGGCTTCTGGTCCAATCCAATTTATCCCTCTTATCATGGTATAAAAGGGCTCTCCATAATTTGAATTTGCGGGTTTGTCTCAATGATCGGTAGACGCGATGCAGACATGAGGTAAAGTTTCGGACCTGTTAGTTTGCGAGACGACTAAATGGGCACATGCCGTGCTAGTTACCGCTTTTTCATCGGGCTAGTCGTGAAGCATGGCGGAATGACCAAGGCACTTTGACCTTGATTGCCCAATGGTCGAGAGGTTGAAATAAGTTGAATGTAATCCTGGCTCAAGCAAATGAGATCCAGATTTGCTTCTGCTGCATCGAACGGCAAATATTCCAAGGCCCCGCCTCTGAAGGTGGTAGATCCCACATCGCTTCAAGTAACTGGTGTGTACGATGCATATTTCCAAGACCAAAATGAGTCGACATAGCAGTGAGTCGGGTTCCAAGACCTTCCTTCTGCTCAGGAGTTTCCAGACAAGAGCCCACAACGGCAATAGGCCAGCACATTCCAGAATTGATGCGTGCACTGGGCGATAACTGTTCCAAATAGGACATTGCCTCTGTGACTGCAGTTTGAACAAGCCCTCTGTACATGCCATCACGCGTGTACTTGTAACCACCGAGAGACGTGTATAGGTAGATCAGCATGGCCTGTTGGAAGATCAGGCCTGCCATGAAGACTTCCGGTTCTACGAATGGGAAAGGCGCCCATCGTAAGATCTGGGCTTGAATCGAAGCGAACATGGCCATGTCGTCTGCAGTCGGCATGCTAGCCTGGTCCTCCATCATCCATTGTCGACCGAGATCGAAGATAACGGGGATCAATAGCAGCAGCTCCAGCCAGCAGCCGCATAGGTTTCCGACATATTGCAGGGTCAGAAGTTCGCGAGCTCGTTGCTCTAAGTCGAAGTTCAGGAAGAGTTGTCGACTGAGTCGTGCATCGACCGAAATCATGCTAACGGATGCGGTGTAGACATAGTATTCAATCACGAAATCTTTCAGCTCTCTAGGAACTGCAGCGTCACTTTGCTCAAGAAGCTTCACAAGAAGAGAATTTGCGGCTGTCAAATGGTCGAAGATAGTTCCTGTCATGTCTCCCTTCGCAGTCTGTCGCCATTGTTAGCTTGAGCATGAAGGGTATGGGGACTGGGTTTGATGTACCTCTGTAAAACACATAAGAAGGGCCCCAACGAGCAACATTAACGGATTGGACTCCTTTCCCTCGATGAATTCACCTACTCCATGTCGAAACAGCTGGATGGCCTTGGTATAGTGAGACTGGGCAACTGCATCGGACTCATCTCGGCGTCGGAATGCCCGGTGCGCAGCACTCTGGGCCAGCACAAGCTGCAGTAGCAAGTCGCTCGTAAATGCCAATGGCACGATCTGAACCAAAAAGGGGTTGATGGGAGTGGTTCCGTTTGCCATGCAATCAGCCGTAGTGCTGAGGTAATGGCTCAGCAACGTGTAGGATTCCGGGTCATAACCAGGAAGCATCGACATCGTCCTCGGCACGACATTCCCCACTGCCATTGCGGGTACAAGAGAATTTTCAGTTCTGCTCATATTCGAAACATTTGAAATCTCGCTCAAATTCGAATCCCGGCGATCCGTTATCTCGTGGGCCGCATGGTCAGCCTCTCCAAGAATCGCCGAGAAGCCACCACTTGACGAAACAGAAGATTGACGACGCGGCGACGCAGGACTCGGAGAACTCGTCGACTTGAATTCTTCAATGGCCCCCAAGGGGCTTGAACGCTCTTCACTGATCCTCGACACGCGACCAGCCGGGTCGGATTTCTTCCCAGGAACGGTTGTGGGCCACTGGCAACCGAGATCATTACGCATACAGCCCCCGCATATCGGTCGGATTTCGTCGCATTTCTTCTTTCGCCGCCTACAGGACCAGCATCCGGTTCGGACGCGGACTATGCGTGTAGCGCGCTGTCGATCGGGCGGCATTGCGTTGGGGAAAGGAGGAAGAACGGGAAGCGCGATAAGAAACAAGGCTAACTGTGGGGTAGCGTAACTCTATTTGTCTCCGTCATTGGTACATTGCCACGTTTCGGCAACATTCCGTTATCTCTAGATTTATTAGTTTAGTTTAAAGATGTCTGTATTTCATGAACATCCTTCTTGGTAGCAAAAAAAGAAAGAAAAAAGAAAGAAAAAAGAAAGAGGCTATTTATTTACTAGTACGCGTTTTGACTCTATTCACTATCGACGTTTAAGATATTTTACTACAATGTTCCCCTAAGTTTCATAGAACGTATCATTAAGTAATAACTTCCTATATTAGTGCACCTACGTGAGAAATTCCACAGGTACCTAGTCCACCAGCAGCATATATAATAACCAGAATCGCTCGCAACCTAGTGCCAGAGCTGCAACTTCTGTTCCCATCTACGACAAACTCGATGCTAGGAGCTACCACGCTTTTAGAGTCCTCGTGTAACCTTGCGGCGTATCCTTGGGACTGGCATACTTCCTTTTAACCTTCAGGCTCTAGCCCCTGAAGCTTATCCTTGTTGCGGGAGAACTAGTTCCGCACCTCAGTCCGGTTGGTATACCATGGGCATACCATTGCTTGGCGCTGCAGGTGTGAATTGGTCACGTGGTTATACTGGTAATCTAAGCCTCGCCAAAACCCGCGTAGAACCCGCTCGTCGTATAATGCGACCCCGTTTCCTCTTCATCTAACACTCATAAAGTAAAGCTAGTCACTAGCAACCATCCAGAAATGACGGTAGACACCCAGAATGACAACTCACACCGCCCATTTCCTTGCGATGAATGTTCAAAATTGTTCACTCGGAATGTAAGCGTTTCTGCTCCTTATCTTCTCCGCTTGCTTCTGATACGGGTCCGGCGTCCGTAGGAAAATCTACAGCGACATAAGCGTGCACGTAAGTCTCCAAGGGTTTTCCTTGCAACGAAGCTAGGAGTTGATGATTTAAGGTCATGGCGGTGTTTCGCGCAAGGAGTTCAAATGCGGTAGATGTCAAGCTCGATTTTCTAGAAGGTCTCGTTCACCTTTCCACACTTGTCACCTTTGCAATCTTAACAATGATTTTGCAGCGACGTATATAGACGGCATAGTGTCCGTTGCCGTGCAGAAATATCTCCGACTCATGCATCGCAGCCGCGGGTGCTGTGGGAGCACACCGAGCATAACCCGCAGGCAATGGTGAACATAACATCGCCTTTAGCTACAAATCAGTCCTCAACCGAACCCACCATGACCGGTGAGACTTTCTGGGAAGAGCACAGTACTTTCGCCACGAACCTATCCCAAGGCCTTTCGTCCTCATTAATGTATGCTCCCCCGAGGCTCATCTGTCCCGCAGTAGGAAGGTTTTGTTGAACAAAATGTCTAATGGCAGTTAATTTACTAACAGAGACCGCAGTAATAGTGAAGAAGCACACATCAAAATGTATTTTGAGCATTTTCACCCGTCTTTACCATTGTTACATCGTCCCACATTCACCGTGTCATCGGCGCCGAAGCTACTGTTAAATGCTGTTACTGCTATTGGTAGCTTGTTTTCAGCAAGCTCATATGACCTCGAGGAAGCACAAGCTTGCGCAAATTGGCGCCGAGGTGTGTGGCAAAGTGGACAACAGGACCTCCGGAATATGGTATATGACATGGTTCTTCTCACAGCTTGTTGTTTCGGGTAACATGCTAAAATTGGTATTGATGTATAGGTTTCCAGCGATTGCAGTGAAATCCGGCAGCCCTGGGTCATGCAAGCGTGGCTCTTATACATAATTTACGGGGTATACGCAAGCGAAACAGCCCAATTCCAGACGGCCAAACAGATGCTGCGGCAACTTGTTGATGTCAGTATTGTCCCCTTCCTCCAAATACCTTCATCCTCGACCCGAGCTTACCTGAGTATAGGCTGTTCGTGAAATTGGTCTTTCACAGCAGGGGGTTGCTATGCCAGATTCCCAGTCTTGGCTGTATGAACATGATTACAATTTACCCGGAGACCAATCACAGACACTATATGCCCGGTGGTCTTCCTATATAACTACAGAATCTATGAGACTGTCGCTATACACTTTAGTCTTCCTGGACTCGCACACATTTCTGCCTTGCAACTCTCGACCCCTGATGTCAGCGATGGAACTTGGCTGGGAACTTCCCTTCCCAATTAATCTGTGGGAAGCCAAAACTTCCGAAATATGGCTCCGGAGATTCAACGAGAATTTCGAGCTCTCGGCTTTCAAGATCAACAGCAATTTATTATACCAGCCACGCGGGCTCGCTACAGCCTCTTTGACAATGGCCACACAGCAAATAATGACCGAAGCACCCAGCTCGGAACTTCTAACGGCGCTAGAAGCATCTCCCTTTGCCGTATTCTGTCTGCTGACGAACTTGGATGCTCTGGTGCGGGACTTTACGCGGTGTTATTATCAAATGCCACCCAGCCCTTCCGATCCGAACCCGTTTCATATCCTCACTCAGAGTCAATCTAAACGGATACACATGGCAATACGGAAAATCGCGAAGATCGTCAAGGACCTGGCTTACACGAGCAACAGCCCCCACTTCCTCCTATGGAGAACGAACGAGCTATTCATCTCATCTCTTCTTATCAGCTTATGTCGCCCCGATCAGCTCTTGGTTGGAGGCATCGTGGATAACAGCTTAATTGCGGGCATGGCTGCCTCGACCCATCTGGCGCATGGGAACCTCATCGCAATCCGGCGATCAGCACCTCCTGTGTCACATCATGTCGGCGGTAACGAAGGCATCTTAGCACTTCTCAGTGATCTTTCCAGTGTGCTCTCCATTATTTTCGGCGAGGATCAAGAGAAAGCTGTTCGTGAGGCGCCGTGGGCTACTGTCGCTAGCTACGGGATTCTTTTGTGTATCTGGGGAGCGTTGAGGCGCGCAAACACTGATATTCGTCGCTACGTAGACACCTTCAATGAGCTCCCCAAATCATTCGAATCTTGCATGTTGGTCTTCAACACACTCATGGAGTCCGTGTTTCTCAGCTTCGTTGAGCATGACGGGATGACCCGAGATTCCCGGTTGTGGTCTACGGATCGAGAGGCTTTCACTAGTCTGCTCGATGAAGCCGAGCCATTGTTTGCCAATCTTATCAAGACATTTTGTAAACAGCGATACGTGTGGGGAATTGGTCCTTCGATGCTGGCTGTGTTGGGTGAAATCCCCGGCAATGTCTCCACCAGCGCGCCAGAATGATATGCGGGGTATCAGGGAGTGGATGGATGTGGAGCTCCACTTGATTTCAGCTTTGCACTTGAATTGGCCTGCTCGACCCTCGGATGAACTCCTTTTATAACAATCGGGTGTGCGGCAAGAGAAACATTTCAAGGAAATTTGATAAGTCAGTCGCAGTCGCAGTTCCAAATGACGTTATCTATACCGAGAGTTGGCTGGGTACGTTGTTATCGCTCCTTTGGCTGTCGCTGTACTGATCCGGTGTCAACAGTATGGCCTCGGATCGATGGGTCTCGGCATGTCCCTGAATCTACAGAAGCACTTCCGCGCGAATGGCTTGCCACCACTTCGTTACAGCAACCGCACACTGTCAAAAGGACATGTTCTTCGTGACGCAGGAGCCATACCTGAGGAAAATTTTGAAAGTGTCGTCCAGAAATCAGATGTAATTTTTACAATGGTGAGAGAAAGTTTCCTTCTCGATATCATTTACGCACTTGACTGACACAAAAAGATCTCTACCGATGATGTCTTAATTCAATTATTGACTAAAGCCCTGGCCACGAGCAATTCATTGGAAGGCAAAGTATTCGTGGATACTTCCACAATTCATCCAGACACATCTGGGTGGGCTGCACAAAGTCTCATTAAACACGGAGCATCATTTGTTGCAGCACCGGTATTCGGTGCAAGCCCCGTGGCAGCTGCTGGGAAACTGATCTTTGCGGTGGCCGGATCTGCCAGGGCAGCCGAGACAATCAAGCCTCTCATCATGAAGATAATGGGACTGAGCATCATTGATATGGGAGAAGACGTACGCAAGGCTAGCCTTCTTAAGATTTCAGGGTAAATGTCCAATCACTCCCTTACACACAAACATTTCATTAAGCTAACTTCCTCTCCTTTGAAGAAACATTCTCGTCATTAGTTTCATGGAAGTGGTCGCCGAAGCCCAAATCTTTGCTGAAGTAACAGGAATTGGCAGTCAACAACTGGAAGAGTTCATCGGCAACATGTTCGGCCCGGTGCTGGAAAGCTACTCAAAACGTATTACGAGTGGCGCGTATGCGCCGCCTCTGGACACGGTTCCAGGGTTTGCGGCTGCTCTTGCGTGTAAGGATATGAAGCACGCTCTCTCTATTGCTGCTAGTCATAATACTCGTCTTCCGACGCTTGAGGTCGCCTCGAGCCGCTTGAATTCTGCGCGAGAACATGCTGGCGAGTGTTTGGATAGTGCGGCTATCTATGGAGCTGCGCGGATGGAGGCGGGATTGCCGTTTTGGAGTCGCAATAGTCGGCAGGGGAGTTGATCTTGTTGCCTGGGTCCTGTAGAATTGGTGTATGTGTGTGTATCTCAACTCTCATTAGTTCAAGTTGTACTGGACCCTTCACGATTGCTATTTTCCCTGATTTATGGCCTCCTTGTAAGGCGGCTACATCCAAATTTACTAGCAGGAGTTTTACTCTGTAGGGCCCGCTGGAGTTGCCATGAGTCGAAGCTAGCGGGGTTTCATCTGCAGGCAGAACGGATTACCACAGATGATCATTCAATTCCATTCCATCCCAAGAAGTCTCTTTTCTCTGTTGAATTGGAGCTTTGTCACCAAAAAGTACAGAATAATTTCCTTGATTTGCTGTGTATCAACATATCTCCCGAATCTATTCATCCCAAAAAAGAAAGTTTTCCTACCAATCCTGTCCCGATCTACAATGTGAATCAATCTCGTCCGACTATAGACTAAGCTGTGCATGTTGTTTTCATACACCTACTTTAGCGGGATCTATCGAAAGATGGTAAAATTTCGGACATAAGACACACAGCTTCATTAGATACACATAGATAAGGAACTGTCCTAATCGGTTTATGACCAATCAAAATGCTATCTACATAAAAGCATGGGCATGTTAGTTACAGGATTGCGGGGGTATGTTATCAAGAAGGACAGGTGGTCCCGCCCTCGGGAAGTCCCAAAGGCGATAAGCACAAGTCGGGCGCCGCTTAACTTCGGATCAGATGGAGCTCCACCTCCACTTCCATAAATTCCGGGGTACAGAACCCAAAGACCCCCTAAGCACCTGGCTATCAAGCACCACCAGGATCTTACCGGGTCAGAGAAGAGATTAAAAGAGGCCAGGTGTCTTCATGAATCCAGCATTCAAGGACCTGTTGTAACAGGCCATCGACTAGAAGACAAGATGAGCACAGAGTCCAACGAACTAAAGCTGTCCAAGCTCCCGTCAAACCATGACATGGAGCGGGTGACCACAGACGTTCAGTTTGGAGACTTCAAGCGGCAAGAGTCGCGGGACCTTGACCCAGCCCTGCAATTTCTGGGCTCGGAGGTGATCGAATACACCCCCGCCGAGGCGAAGAAGGTGTTGTCCAAAATCGATCGAGTCCTCATGCCCTTGTTGTGCTGGGTTTATTTGATTCAATTTGCCGACAAGACATCCTTGAACTACGCCTCACTGATGGGTATCCGGGAAGACACTCATCTGGCGCCGAATTCTCAGCAATACAGCTGGGTTTCGAGTATTTTTTATGCTGGATATATTTGTTGGGAGTAAGTCTAGTCCATAGGCCATTCGCCATCATACATTACTGACCTCCGGATCAAGATTTCCCACCACATACCTGCTCCGTCGCCTGCCACTGGGCAAGTACACCTCGGTCAATATCCTGCTCTGGGGTATCGCACTCGCCTGCCACGCAGCCACTCACAATTATGCAAGCCTGCTCTGCGTCCGATTTTTCCTGGGTGCGTTCGAGGCAACAGTCACCCCAGCCTTTGTCTTGTTCACCTCCTGCTGGTACAAACAGGAAGAACAAGCCAAGCGCATGGGCTTTTGGCTTAGCTGTAACGGCGTTGCCCAGTTACTCATCGGACCCATTGCCTTCGGACTGGCAGGTGTACACGGAACGGCCATTGCAGTCTGGAAGATCCTCTTCCTGGTCTTTGGCCTTCCAACTGTCATAACTGGGATCTTGTATCTGTGGTACATGCCAGATAATCAAATTCAGGCGCGGTTCCTGAACCACCGCGAGAAACTTATCGCTATTGATCGTATCAGAGGCAATTTTCAAGGCATCGGCAACCATACATGGAAGTGGCCGCAGTTCTTTGAAGCCTTCCGAGATCCGCGCACCTATCTCTACGTGCTGTTCTCGCTGTTGATGAACATCCCCAACGGGGGGAATCACGACCTTCGGCTCTATCATAATTAGTTCTTTTGGCTTCTCTGACCGTATGTCCCTCATTCTTAACATGCCAATGGGACTCGTGGACATTGTCTGCAAGTTGGGATTGACATATCTCTCTGATAAATTCTTCGATCGCACCCTCTTCGCCACGATCGCCATTATGATCCCCATGATCGGTGGAATTATGATGGTTGTGATTCCACTTCATGCTAAAGCCGCCTTGCTGATTGGCTATTATCTCATTGGTGCCGCGGGGACGGCCTGGTGTCTCGTCATGGTGATGATTTCCAATAACACCCTCGGGTACACTAAGAAAGCAACTGTGAATGGTCTCCAAATCTTGGCCTACGCAGCTGGAAACTGGATTGGTCCTCAGACCTTCCGCTCGACTCAAGCGCCGGAATACTTTGATGGCAAACTGATGGTTGCTATCATGTACGCTCTAGCAGCGGTTACTCTGGTGGTGATTCGGGTGATTAATATTGTGGAAAATAGGAGACGGGATCGTGGGGCAAGTGATGATCCTGACGCTGCGCATTCTACTGGTGGTTCTGAATTCCTTGACTTGACTGATTTTGAGCAGCCTGCTTTTCGCTATGTGCTTTGATCACACGCGTTTGAGCAAGAGTCGGCATATATCTCTAGTCTTGGTTCCAATCATTCTTGACTGAGTCCCTCAGGCTATTAGTATTTGAGATGGATTATTTGTATATTTGAGGACGCGTGCTTTTCTGAGGCTTGAAACGTATAAGGTATCGCTCAGGTAGGTACTACTCTGTTTTAATCAAGTAGGTACTGTTTCAATCGTGTGATATATATCTCTTTCTATTATATGTAGTTGCCGTTTATGAGTATGCTCTTTGCCAAAAATAGTTAGTTTACAGTCTCCAAGTCAGCCTGTCATCATTTTCGCAGTTGATGGAGTGCAGGAGCCAAACATCAGAGGCATGAGCCGGATGCTTCAACATTCTTATTCAATTACTGTCTGATCTTGATTACATTTCATCCATGTTTTGGCCTCTCATAATGTGAATGTTTTGTTATGGGGCCAAGGCCTTTTCATACAGCCTTGGGATGCAGAGGAAGACCCTCGAACCTATCTGAATACACTCTCATACTTGTTCAGCCAAACTTCGACTCGCAGAAACGCTACCATTAGCAATTGGCACAAATGACGGCATGACCGTCGACTCATCAATGCTTGACCTGTCCAACTCCCCGGGAGCTCCATATCCACCACCACCAGGAGTCTCAATGACGAACCGATCCCCAGGCTGAACACGGATGGAATTCTTACCACCAACATTAATATGGCGACCAGCCTTGGTAATCCAAGTATTCTTGCCACGCTGGCCATCATGCCCACCTGCCATGCCATAAGGCGCAAAACTGCGCCTTTCGGAAAGGATAGACACAGACATAGGCAGCCTTAGCTCAACTTCTCTGATAACTCCATCGCCTCCGGGGTACATTCCTGCTCCACCACTCCCATCGCGAAGACTAAAGCGCCGGAGGATGACCGGATATCGACGCTCAAGGGATTCGGGGTCCGTAATGCGCGTGTTGGTCATGTTGGTGTGCACGCCACTTGAACCAGCCCAGCCGGGCCCCGCTCCACTTCCACCAGCGATGGTCTCATAGTATCCGAAGCCATTAGCGCCGTCTTTTCCGAAGGTAAAATTGTTCATGCACCCCTGGCTGGCGGCACAAATGCGGAAACACTTGAAGATGACGTCCACGATCCGTTGGGAAGTTAGTACATTCCCTGCACACACTGCTGCTTCAAAGCTCGGTCGCAAGAGCGATCCGTCTGGTATGATGAGTTTTACTGGCTTGATGCAGCCGTGGTTGAGAGGAATGTCGGAGTTTACCATACAGCGCAGGGCAAAGATAACTGCCGAGTTGCAGATTGCGATTGGGGCGTTCCAGTTTCCTGTTGTTGATTAGATCTCAATGTCTGAGCTGAGCTATTGGTATATTGGTATGGGGCTATAATACCGTAGACCTCTGGACCTGTGCCTGTGAAATCGAAGATGGCAGAGCCATCTGATGGGTTGATCGTCACTTTCAGCTTGATCGGGGTACCGTCGTCCATGTAATCCACCGCCGATATCTCTTCTCCATCGCGATCATGGGCGAGACTCTTCAAGAGATTTCGTACGGCTAGCTCAGCTGAATCCTGAATTGCGCGCATATACATCTATTACAATTAGCCGAGTGGTTCCCTCGCTGCATCATGCATGGTGAGTACCTGAACCACATCCATAGAATATTCGTCAATCAGCTGCCGCATGAGACGGGTCCCACAGTGGTTTGCTGCAACTTGAGCTTTCAAATCGGTGATATTATCCTGGAAACAGCGGGATCCACTGGAGCCAGGGAAACGTGCAGGCTCCACACACAACAGATGATAGAGTTCTTCCTCGTCGAAATGGCCAGCACGCACCAGGAGATGAGAATCGAAGACCGCACCCTCTTCAGAGAGAGTTTTTGACAATGGCGGCATAGAGCCGGGAAGTATACCGCCAACCTACAGAAAGTTTTAGTTTGGTTCTCGCAAGGCGGATCCAACTTACATCAGCGTGGTGGCCTCGTGAAGCAGCCCAGAAGATAATTTCTTTTTTATCAGAGTCAAAGACCGGTGTGATCACCGTAAGATCAGGAAGGTGAACTCCTCCGAAGGCTTCAGAAATATGATGTTAGACGGAGGCTCCAGTATCATGTTTGGTTTGAGTGACCTACCTGGAGTGTTGGAGAGTAAAACGTCACCATCCTGCAGCTTACCCTGCCACTTGATAATCTGTGACCTGACCGCAAAAGCCATACTTCCAATCATGGCGGGTACATGGGGCGCGTTGGCGACCAAGTCTCCCTCAGGTGTGAAAATCGCACAAGTAAAATCCAGCCGCTCCTTGATATTAGCGCTGATGCTGACGTTCTGCAGCACGCGACCCATTTGCTCTGCAACACCCATAAATCGATGACGGAAAATAGAAAGTTGGATTGGATCAACGATCTCTGCGCTGCTCACTTTTGGACCTGAAGAGCCCACGTCCAAGACTAGGATATCTTGAGTGAGGGTCGCGCTTGTTTGCGGGCTGACCAAGATTGTCTGTGTTTTGTCAATGACCAAGGCCGGTCCTTGGATTTGGTGCCCATCACTCAAGGTGTCGAAGTGATAAACTGGCGTATTGATCCATCCCATCGGGCTGAAATATGTAGATTCCCATGAGGTGGGGACAGGTGCAAATGCCGCCGAGATGGATTTGAGGGGGGAGATGAGTGCAGCAGATGAACGCATTCCGGAGAAAGTACTGCAGCCAATTGCCCGGACACGAATGGTGTCAACGTACACCACGCGGTTGGTAGGAGTGAATCCAAATTGCTGATAATGAGCTTTGATGAATGCTTCCTTGGCATCATTCTTCGGGTTATCCCAGGAGACCATGATTGAAGTCTCGCTACCATCGTACCTCATATTCAGATAGCGGCGAGTTTGAACATTGTTGAAAGGTTCCATGTTCTGACTGCTTCGCGCACACTCAACAACCATCTCCATATCGCTATTGATCACGTCGACGGTAGAGTCGTCAAATGCCTTTGCGCACACTCGCTCTTCCTCATGCACGACGTCTGCCTGTCCGATTCCATAAGCAGAGAGTATAGAGGAGTATTTGTGGATCAGAACTCGTTTAATTCCTAGGGCATCGGCGATGGCACAGGCATGTTGGCCTCCTGCACCACCGAATGAGGCGAGGTGATGCTTTGCAATATCGTGGCCCTTAGCCTCAGTCAAGCTTCGGATGGGTCCACACATTGCGGAATTGGCAACCTGGAGGAACCTGCAAAAACTTTCAGCGACCAAGTCAGATGCTTGTATTTCATGCTTCGCTTACCCATTTGCAACTTCTGCCCACGTCATTGACTTCCCTGTCTCCTGATTGATAGTTTGAGTCAGGTCCTTAAATTTGGCAAGTACAATCTCCCTGTCTAGCGGCTCATTTTCGTTGACACCAAAGACGGAGGGGAATTCATCTGGGATCAAGCGTCCAAGTGCCAGATTCGCATCCGTCACAGTCAACGGACCGCCTTTACGGTAGCAGGCAGGCCCGGGATTTGAGGATGCACTCTCGGGGCCAACCGACATGAGACCGTCTTTCCAAGCCAGTATACTACCTCCACCTGCGGCAATAGTATTCACATTGAGCTGTGGGGCCTGGATCGAAATTCCAGCAGTCGTTGTTTCGAAGATATGATCCAATTCTCCATCGTATCGACTGACGTCGGTACTGGTGCCTCCCATATCAAACCCAATCACCGGAGTTCCAGATTCTGTGTCGAAACATGTTTGGGCATATCCGATGACACCACCAGCCGGTCCAGAGAGGATAGAGTGCAATCCAGAAAGGCTTGATGAGGGAACCAAGCCACCATCTGACTGCATAAAGTCCAGTCGTGTCTGGGCTTGCTCAATCTTAGGGAAGTTCTTCGAAAATTGTTGGAGATACTTTTCAATGGTCGGGGTTAAGTACGCGTCGACCACCGTGGAGTTGCCGCGCGGGACGAGTTTTGGCCGTGGAGATGTTTGATGGGAGAGCGATATATGTTCAAATCCAATATCGAGTGCCAACTCTCTAATCTGCAATTCATGTGTTGGGAAAATGTAGGAATGGATGAAGCACACTGCTAAAGAGCGAAATCCTTCATTGTATATTTTCCGTAAATAACTTTTAGTGCTGGCTAAGTCGAGAGGCTGGAGAATCTGGACAACCTCGCCAGAGGTCCCGATGACTGATTCAACAGGCTCAGGAGACTGCAGCTTGACACTGCGGAGATTGGAGTCGCTGCAAGCGCCCACCGTCACGCGCTCTTTGACTTCAAAGACATCTGAGTATAACGGTTTCGGTCGTCTGATGGTAAGGTCAAACATATACGGTCGGCTTTGGTTGCCTATAAGCAAGATATCTTTGAAGCCTTCGGTTACAAGTAGTGCCGTGCGCTCACCCTTGCGCTCGAGGAGCGCATTGGTTGCAACCGTTGTGCCCATGCGAATCCATTCTGCTCAATTAGCACCGCACCAAACAGGAACAAATCAAGTGATGAAACTCACCAACATCACTAAGGTCTAATTCTGCGCCCCGTGGAATTTTAGTATTGTAGTATATCTCCAGGATGCGACGGATTGCCTCGGTTGGGGCATCGGCATAGTTCTTCGGGTCCACAGATAAGATCTTCACGAGAATATCGTCGCGGTCGAGAACTTTGCAAATGCAATCCGTGAATGTGCCTCCGCGATCTACTCATAGTCAATACTGCACGGGACTCAACACTTGAGTGATAACACCAACCAATAGAAATGCGCAACGGCTTTTTGTCGGTGGGCTCAGGCATTTTGATTGTTACAGTTCGATATCACAGTTGTTGTAGTTCAGGGTCAAAAAGTGGCCTGTCGAGAATACTTGCTCCGCCTTCCCTCGGTCATTTATCTTTTCTAAGGTACAGCATACATCCAGGGCAATGTTGACGAGTGGGGTGCAGGAGTGATAACGATTCGGCCTTTCCACCGAGGTGGAGTGGAAGGCGGGGAAGAAAGGGGAGTGGAGCTCCACCATATTACTAAAAGAGAGTCGTGGATCCACTGCATTCTCCACCATATAAGTGTAATCCAGCAACAAAGCATAGCATAGGACATGATTAGGTGGGAGATTCCGCGCTAATCTGGGATGAGACGCATAAATACACCAAGTCCGCATACTGCTCCATGATTTTTATCATTAGCGGAGCATTCGTTAAACACAGTGTTCATTTAAACCATTCCTTCTATTCACAATGGGCTCTATCGGTGACTACTACGAGTCGAATATTTCCAATGGAGTTAGCAATGGGGTCAAGCCCCATTACGAGATTGTGGAGGAGCCAAGTCGATTCCGTCGCAAGATCCGTATCATCGTGATCGGAGCAGGCGCGAGTGCGTTGAACTTTGCCCATGACATTGACACAAGCACATTAGACACAGAACTGGTCCTCTACGAAAAGAACCCCGAGGTTGGCGGGACTTGGTATGAGAACCGGTACCCCGGATGTGGATGCGACATTCCCTCTGTGAACTATCAATTCTCATGGGCTCCCTCTCCGGACTGGACCTCTTTGTAAGTGCAAACGAGAACACTTCTTGCAGACTCCAAATCAGCACTGGACTAACTTGACTGGTGGCAGCTACTCGGGTGCAACTGAGATCTTGAATTATTTCAAGGGAATTGCCGACAAATACGGACTTCGGAAATACATTCGCCTGGACCACAAGGTTGTAGGCGCGTTTTGGAATGAACATGATCAACAGTGGCATGTGAGAATCCAGAGAGGAGACAGCCCCGAAGACATTTTTGAGGACCAGGGACATATCTTGGTGAATGCAAGTGGTGTGCTGAAGTGGGTATCTCTTTTCACTATGATATGGCAGGACTGACCAGCTTCAGCAAATGGAAATGGCCTGCTATTAAGGGCCGCGAAACATTCCACGGCCCTATGCTTCATAGTGCACACTGGGATGATGAAGTTCAATTGCAAGGAAAGCGTGTGGCTGTTATTGGCTCAGGCTCGTCTGCAGTACAGATCATTCCGACCATTCAGCCCAGTGAGTTCCTTTGATCGTGAGCACAAGAGGTAATCTAATAGCCGCTATAGAGGTTGCCTCCCTCAAATGTTTCATTCGCAGTGCCTCGTGGGTAACTGCTGGCTTTGGTCAACGATTTGCAGGAAAGGGAGGATCCAATTTTAAATGTCAGGCCCTCTCTTGACCTTGGCAAATCCGAATATGGCATACTGACTTCACTAGATACCGAGAAACAAAAGGATATTTTGCAGAATGACCCTCAGAAATACTTAGCCTATCGCAAGAAGATTGAGTCTGAGCTCAACTCCCGCTTCCGATTTATTCTCAATGGATCAGAGGAGCAAGCGAATGCGCGAGCGGTAAGATCCTGATCTCAAACCTGCCACACTCATGACAAATACTGAGACAAATCTTCACTAGTATGCTGAGAAAGATATGCGGTCCAAACTCGCCGATCGCCCCGAAATCGCAGACTGGATTGTTCCAAAGAACTTTGCAGTAGGCTGCCGAAGACCCACGCCTGGAAATGGGTATCTCGAAGCGCTCTGCTGCGAGAATACCTCGGTTGTCTCGCAGTCCATCGTTGAAATTACCCCGAAGGGCATCAAAACTGCAGATGGATTTGAGCACAACGTCGACGTTATTGTATGTGCCACTGGGTTTGATGTCAGTTGGCGGCCATCGTACCCGACAATTGGCCGGCAATCTCGTAGTCTGAGTGAACAGTGGAAAGATATCCCCAGGACTTATCTTTCCATCACAGTTCCAAACTTCCCTAATTACCTTAGTAAGAGCATTCAACCACCTCCCCCCTACCTGAAGGCTAAAAACTTGAATCTCGGAATACTAATTAAGGCTAAATAGTATTCAACGGCCCCTTCGGCCCATACGGTCATGGAAGCTTCCTCCCCATCACAGAAACCCTGTCTCGGCATTTCGTCCAGATGCTGGAGAAAATGTCGTCAGAGGGTGTCACATCTTTTGACCCCAAAGCTGAGGCAGTTGCAGAATTCTTCGAGCATCACAAGAAATTTATGCCACGTACCGCTTGGACATCTCCATGTCGCTCGTGGTTCAAGCAGGGTACTGTGGACGGAGAGGTAATGATGTGGCCGGGTTCGAGAATTCACTTCTTTGAAACTATGAAACAGCCCCGTTGGGAAGATTACAATCTCCGCTATACAACCTCCAATCGATTTGGATATCTGGGCAATGGCTTCGCCGCACGCGAGTTTGATGGAAGCGACCTTTCTTGGTACCTGGGCACTATAGATGGAAACGAACAAGCAAACCTTCCGGATGAGGATTTTGAGGACTTTATAGTTCAGTCAGTTTGAGAGTAGATAAATTGAACTGAACACAACTTATGAGCTTGCTATCTTTCAAAACAATATACATTTGACCCTGTATTAATGCTATGATGTCCATCTAGAATGACACACTTGTAGATACAAACATTGTATTGGCTTTGGCAAGATGCACCAGTGGTGCCAATTAGAATGGGGTATTCTATTTAGGTTCTTTGAGGTATGTTCGTTAGTAGGCCCCTAGCGGCATTCGATCTCTCCTTTTAGTTTATTCTACGCTTCAATATGCTCCAAGCCGCTGCATGAGCCTTCGCCGTAGCTTTAGATCGAACGCATTCGCACGGCCGCTCCGGCAACAGGAACAGATGATAGCGCTGCTGTATCCTGGCACAACTAAGCATTCGACAAAGCAGAGTGAAACTGGATTCAACGATCACAATAAAAGCGAAGAAGGAAATTGAGAGCAAGAGAAATGAAGAAGTGATGACTATGCAACAAAAGAGCCCCCTTCTGTTAAAAACTCCACCCTTAGGTACATGGCGAAGTTTCTTTTCTATCGCAGGAATTCCCCCTACCCTGATACCTCAAAGGTGACATTCATAATGCTTTTTGCCGGAAGATCGTGATCTCGCTTTCTCATACACCCATTCCCTAAGATTTAATAATTTGTATCCAAATGTCATATCTTTGGCGAATGGAGTGTCTGTAGCCGGTAGCAAAATATCTTGGTCGCCCACGTAGTGTACGTCATCAATCGTATAATGAGCCCCTGGTTCAAAGAAATGTGCCAGATTTCACGCATCGAGTAAGCTAATTGTATCCACATGCTATTCAATCCCTTTCAAGAAATGACCACGTAGAGTTGAATACCCACGAATGACAACCTCAAACATCTTGCCAGTCAAAGTAGCAGCTTGAGAAACGTTTTCCAGTATCTCACTGACTAATGTTCGAGCTTGTTTGGGGGGCAATGCGTGACTGTTGGTCAGAATGCAGAGACCGCCGCTTTCTGAACGAAATTCTGTTGCTAGAATATCGATATCCCATGGTAAGAACTTTGGTATCGTTGCATGTCTGTGTTTCAGTTGGATTGTCGTCCAGAACAACGAGCTTCGAGTTCTGCTTTGCACGCAAATGGTCTTGCATCTTTTCCAATATGTTCTCCGTGCTGTGTGCAAACTTTGGTAGCGATGCGAATTCTTCGGAGAGGAATATCGGTTCATATTCGGTAACGTGCAAGCTTTCTTTAGAGGAATTTGTAATAGTCCATAGCTTAAGTAGTGCCGTTTCGCCTTCATCTCCCAGTCCATATGTGACAGCCCGTTGTAGAAGCCGGAATGTAGTAGCTGTGAGTTGGATAGGATAATTATGCATTTGGGCGAGAGTTATTACTTCTTTCTATTGGTCCGATCAGTCATATCCACACAATTTACGTAGAAAGGGTCTTACTAGTTTGCTCCGTGTCTTTGCGATGGTACATCCAGATACTGAATCACCAGACTTGAGGCCACTCTTTTGAAGGACTCGCTCACACCAGCCGCATTTGAAATAATTGACGTCAGGTTGCTGGTCGACAGACCAAGTTTCTTTCCGAGGGCCAGAGCTTCAACCGCTGCTGTTGTGTGTACAATTTCCAACATTCAACATAGCAGCTCAGTTAGTTGTACATTATCATTTTCATGGCTCTGGTACTTTGTGGCTGTCGAAACCAGAGATGGGTTGTGAGGTATAAATATTCGAACAAGATCCGCATCATCTTCCCTCTCGTATCCCACTCGTGCGGCAAATTGATAAAGCCCCTCTGCTGCAGATGCGATATAGAGAGGGAAGTCCTGCATGACACCTTCGGAGGTAACAATTCGCTGAGACAAGTGTTAGCAGATTTTCGAATCGTCCCCAATAGGTGCTAGGAGGGCGCAAATACCAGATCTTTGACGAAGATACTAAGGGCAGAGTGGGGTGTCCAGTCGTTTGAGAGCATATGAGGTACTCGGTTCTCAAACATCCAACTCTTTGCCGGGCTGCTCAGAACGGTATCGTGGAATTGTTTCGTATTTAGTCCCAGAGTCGCAGCTAGTCCCATTGCCTCTGCGGCGAAGGCGATATGGACTCCAGCAAGGTGCTGGTTAACGAGCTTGACCTTATTTGCGGCACCTAGACCCCCTTTTATCTCGTATAATTTCTCGCTCATAGATTCCAAGACTGGCTGGGCAGTCATCAAAGCATCCCTTTGTCCCGATGACAGGATGGTCAGGCTGCCCTGAGCGGCGCGGATGGTTCCGCCGGAGACAGGACAGTCAACCAACTGTATATCTGTCCTTTGGAACTCTTGGTGAATGCGGTCCAGAGTCTCTTGTTGGAATCCCGGAGCAACAATTGAGCACAAGATGATAATCGTGTTCGGTTTCATGCCAAACACTGCGCCCGTTGACTCGGTAAAGAATGCGTTCGCGGTCTGCAAAAGATTTGCAACCATGCAAACAAGAATTGACGCATCCCGAACGCTTTCTCGCGGGCTCGAAGCAGCAGTGCCGCCCATGGCGAGCAGTTTCTCTAGGGCGAAAGGGTTGACATCAAACCCACTCACAGCGAAACCATCTTTGAACAAGTGTAAGGCCATGCCCATGCCCATAGCGCCTAAGCCAATAAAGGCAATGTTTGGCTTGGCTTCCATTATTTCCGTCATCGTTATGTTTGTATACGAAGTGCGTCGGGGCGAAGTGAAACATTCCAATGTGAAGTCAGGGCATGCGAATGTGACTGTTCTATTTAGACCAGTCGATGTTGAAAGTCGTGACCCGATAATTTCCCGTCAACAACCTATCCTGGAAAGCGTTACCTTCCCACATATTGTTCCATTCGCAACTATGTCCGAGTTACCAGATCGAGACGCGTGTGGAAAACGCATGGACGGTGTGAAATATGAGCTCCACTACTCCACTCCATTACTCCACTACTCCACTACCTCACTACTCCACTCCTCCACTAACCCATTACTCCTCCATGACAAGGAATTTGATTTTCTTCGGGCAGGCCACTGATGCCGTTTGGAGGAAGCTGGTGTCCGGTTCCAGAACGGGTCCTTTGCCCCATCGTAGGTGGCGAAACTCGGCCAGCAATCCATCAAAGAGCCTTCGGTCTCGTTGCATTGCTATTGCTTATCCTTTGAATTCGTAGACAATACGTTCAACCGCCCTTCCTTTGCGCTGATATATGTTTGTTGGCATTCGTTCGCTTTGACAATCGCTGAAAGCAGGGCGTTCTCTTTCTCCAGTATCGGGTTCCACTCTTCATCCGAGATGTTTCTTGAGGTGGAAAAGATAGCCAGTCTGATGAAGTAACTCAGTTAGCTGATAATTGCAGTACAGGGGATTTAAACATACAATGCGGAGATTTATATAACCAAGCCTATGGCATATTTCAAAATTCATAGCCACCTGCTCAAAATTTACGATTGTATGTCCACAAAGGCACCAAAGGGATGCCAGTCTAGGTCGCGCAGAGAGTCGTTTATGAAACGACTTGTCAATTTACCTTTAATCAGCTCCTGGTATCTTGCATAGACATCTTGGGTTGCCTGGGTTGGCTTTGGAAGATGAAGCTGGACTTCATAGCTGAGCTTGCAAGAATTCGACTTGTTAAAAGCCAACATAAACCCCCCTAATACTTTGTTGGTGGACGACAGTCGATGAAAAGGCTCATTGACAGCTTCAGTCCTATGCTCAGCTGCTTCGGTGCTTTCTCAGAGGGCATTAACACTGCACTGTGCCTCTTTTGCGGATTGCGCGGTGAAAATGCCAGTGTTTGTTGGTTCGCGCATTGCAAGCAAGCTAAGATTAAGGTTAGTCTACGCTTCTCATAATCAGGAACTCGACAAAAATCTGGCTGCGTTATCGGAGCGTGATGTCTGAGTCGTGATGAAAAGAGAGCGACGACTGTTTCATTTTCATTCAAGAGGGGATGACGGAGTTCTCATATATGACCAAATTGAAAACCCCCTTCCCTCCCCTGCTTCTCACACGTCGAGCAGATATAAGAGGGGTTGTAAACGGCCTGAGCTCCTAGGAACCTGGTCGACTATGAGCGAATAATCAAATGGCTGGCAAACTAGATTTCACACCTAAGAGCTATCGTCGGTCTGGCAGACTCCTAAGAGCTGAAAGCTCGGAAACTCACAAAGAGATACGACTGTCTATAGGTGCATAAGCTTGTTAGTGCCAGAGGTGGCTTGCTTGTCAAATCCCGTAAAGGTTGTCACCAGCGGCCAGAATAGAATGCAAGTATTTAAAAAGACTCGCCTTAGTGCCCTAGCACGAATAGTCTCTACAGCCTGATTCGGAGATCATCATCGGGGTAGAAGGAGTGTTCCAATGAACATGTAATATGAGTTTGATACGGATTGACGGGTCAAAGTGCAAACTTTATTGGGGCGCAAATGATGCAGCAAACTTATTAGGATGAACAAACATATTGATGGGACAATCTAGGCAATTTTGTGAGAGAGGGTGACAGGTGAACGAAGCTAACGTAGTGCAATTTATTGAGGTCATATTCATCGGTTGCTCACCCCGTCACTCAGATCTGCTCAGTGAGCAAAAAGCGGCAAGGACTGAGCACTCAAGCGAAAGGGAATGACAAGCAGTGGCAGACGAATCCGGTACCTAGTGCAGTGGGAACTCCCTATTACCAGATACCACCGATAATTACGGGTAGGGGGTTTTCCGACCCGTATCGTGACAATTGGTTTTCAGTACCCTGGTACAGATGCAGGACATAACATGACTCGCACCACACAGATAGTATGAAATAGGACTCCGACACCTCTCTCGTTCGACCCCATGGAATACTCGAGCAACCTGCGGTAGCTTATGTTGTTGTTCTACTTGCTGAATCGACCCGCACATCTTCAAGTGTGCTGTCAATGAGCGTTCCCCTCTTCACTAGGTATCAACTTGAGTCGCTTAATCTTGGATTGTTTGGTGCTGAAAACCTTAACCTCCAATGCTTCAACACACTGCCAGATCATCATGAAATCAAGATTATATGTAGACGATTGGCTCTTGGTCAACAATACTTGAACAATTGAAGCCAATTTATAATTCAAACCTAGTCAATTACCCCGCCAATGTGCGCACAAGCGATGAAGGCAAGTGATTCCCACAAAAACATCGCACGATAAGCCCCACGCCCCATCTCTTCCAGCTTCCCCATTCGTCGACAGCGCCGATCCCAACCCTACTTCTACTCAAGTTTAGTATAATATAAGATACCTCCGGTGTCTCCGTCAATCAAATCCCGAATATCACGCTTGAACAACTTCCACACTACAGAAATAATGTCCGCCACCGGTGCCATGCTGGGCTCAAAGAGCAGCTTCTCTACCCGTATCTCCCTCCGCTGGGTTCCTGAGGTCCCGGAGGAGACCACAGACACAATCGTCCTCTCAGTTGGAGAATACTTCGTCGATCTGCGCATGGATAAAGCGTCAGGCGCCATTGACTGGGCTATGGCCGGAACCAGAATTGAGGAGAATCCCAATGAGATCCCACGTTCGTGGCCGAATCTAGATGTTCCAAGCTCTATTGGAATCATAAATAAATGAATTGCTAACCATAAACAGTGAAAGTACTGTTTACACGCGAACTGGATTCATTCAACGAAATCGGAATTGTGGACGTGGGTAACTTCAGTCCCCTCCCCAACGGCGATGAACTTGAATGTGGTGAGATGCCTCGGACCGATCTCCCCGGTTCCCCGATGACCGGCTTCGAGGAAGTCTGGCGTGAATTGGCTTTCCGGGAAGGTCCCGAGGGTGCCAAGAAGGGACTTTCGTGGATTCTGGAGTCCGATAATCGGGATCTGGACTTTGGGGAGAGAAATGAGGTTACCGTTACTAAGATGTTCATGGGTCGAATTTGGGGAACTTATTTGGCTTTCTGTCAGGTCCAGACTCATACTCGGGAGAAGAGTGTGAGTGGGGAGTGGACTGTTAAGAGAACCGGGGCTGAGGTTAGTGCACGGAGGGAGGAGTGGAGTTCTGGGTCTTGGGAGGAAAAGTATCTTGTGGGGCCTGATGGGGGCGCTGTCCCTTCGATGAAGAGTGGATTTGCTGGGGAAGGGGAGGGTTCCTGGAGAGTTCCTGGTGAGACTGTTACCATTGACGGCAACGCGTTCATTGTTCGGGCTTTTGAGGAGATTCAATAAGAATGGGGCATATGAAAGTTGCTGTGCATACCTACCCTCTCTGCGTCCCATGGGCGGGACATTTTTGGTCATTCCACTCTATTGGCTTACTCTGCCTCTTAAAAGGGTGGGAGCTATGTACGCAATGGTTGCTGAGAAGCTACAAAACAGGAAAAACTCGCATATATAATATGGGTAAATGTATGTTTTAATGCATTGCATCGTCTTCTCTATGGGCGTGAGTAACTGCAAATTAAACAAAAGTCGTCATCAGGGACATGAAGCAGCCTCGTCCAGATCTGGCGCAGAGTCAAGTGAAAAAGATATTTAAGCGAAAACCTTGACCTCACCGGCCTTCAGCTTGCCAGCGTCAACAAGACGCTGAGCCTCGGAGGTGTAGGCAGCCTTGACGGCAGCACCATCCTTGCCAGCGATAGTCAGCTTCTCAGCGAGAGCAGCGAGCTCGTCAACGTCGATCTTGCCCATGATGAGCTCAACGTCGTTAAGGACAGAGTCGACCTGGGAAGCGGAAGCCTCGCCGTCAGCGAAGTAGTTGACCTCCTTGACGGAACCCTTAAGAACACGCTTGTTCTTCTTGGCAGCGTTCTTAGCGGCCTCCTTGTTCTTCTTGTTCTTCTCACGCTCAGCCTTGGCGGCCTCCTCGGCGTCCTTCTTGGCCTTCTCCTCGGCAGCCTTCTTGGCCTCCTTCTCCTCCTTCAGGCGGAGAGCCTCCTCCTCCTTGGCCTTGCGCTTGGCGTCCTTACCGGCACGGGCCTGCTGGCGGAACTTCTTGATACGCTCATCCGAGGCGAGGGCCTCGTCAACAAGCTCACGCAGACGGGCGACATCCTCGTTCTTGCGCTTGCGACGGGCGTTGGCGTTCTTCTTCTCGGTGTGACGCTTCTGGTCACGGCTCTCTCCATCATCGGGAACATCCTCGTCAAGGTACTCGAATGTACGCCAGCTGTCGAAGTTGTACCAGAAGTTGTAGAAATTCTCGACCTCCTCCTGGGTGCTGTCTTCGTTACCGAACTGGGGAACGGGCTGCTTAATGGAGAAACGACCCTCAGCCTCGAAGCAAGAGCCCCAGAGCTTGTAGAACTTGCCCTTGGCGGCGGCCTGCTTCTTGGTAGGGGGCTCAACATCGGCGGCCTCGTCGACGGAGTCGAACTGGCGACGACGAGCGGGGTCAAGGAGCAACTCGGTGGCAATCTGAATGCACTTGAAGAAGCTGTCGTTCTCGTCGCGGTGGCCAGAGGCGGCCTTCTTGTCGGGGTGGTGACGCAGAACCTTCTTGCGGTGAGCACGCTTGATCTGCTCGGGGGTTGCCCGCCAGCGGTAGCGGGACAGACCGAGAACGGCGTAGTGGTCCTGGGACTATAAGGGAGTTAGTTTGTTATGGTGTGAAATGTGACGGAAAAGGTACTGACCTTCCAGTCCTTGGCCTCACGGTTGAGCATCATGGGGTCCTCATCCTCGGAGATCTCGCCATCGGACTCCTCCTCGGTCTTCTTGACGTTCTGCTGAGCCTGAAGACGATCATCCTCGGAGAAAGTGCGGTTGTGGCGCTTCTGTAGAATTTATTAGTGTCGATGATTATTTTGTTGCGGGGCATCTCGAGACACATACACGGCGGGCGTGAGCAAGGAAGTGAGGGCCAACAGGCTCCAGGTTACGCTGGGTAGCGCCGGAGAGGGCACCGACAGCCTTGAAATCCTTCTCGGCACTCCAGCCGGAGGCCAGAGCGGGAAGCTGAACGTTGACAACTTGAACGGCAGCCATTGTGATTATGGTTGTTGAAGGAACAAGGTGGGTGAGGAAGTCCCACTTGGATTTTTTCTGATATTTTTTTCTGCCCCGAGTGGCCGCCCGCCAATCACAACTCCGATGATCCGGTCGTGATTCCTCGCGATTTCACTCTGATCACTCATTCGACTCTGCTTTATTCTGGGAAATTTTCACTGCTGTTATTGATTATTCTAAATTGATCATCTGAAATCGCCCCTTGGCACATTTCCGTTGTCCCGCAAACGCCAACAAACTCACGGCATCACCCCGGCTTTCCTATCCAAACATCCGACTCTTTACCCCAGACAATATGGCTGCTCCGTCTACTGCCGCCCTGAGCGCCTACCGCCAGGTCCTTCGTGCTACCCGCATTGCCTTCCGAGGTTTGTCCTTCGACCTCCTGAGGCTTGTCTCAAGAAAGCCGACGACTCACCTCGAAATTCACCATACTAACTTCACAACTAGACGACGTCCGAGTCATGCTTGCTTCTCGTCAAGAAGCCCGTCGCAACTTCGACCAAAACCGCCGTGTCGCTGTTGACACCGGCATGCAGATCAACCACGCCATCGAGGTTGCGAATATCTTGCGCCACAATCTAGTACAGGGTGCTCGGGAGGATGGTAATGAGGATGCCAAGTGGGGTATGTACAATTGCTTTGCCTGGAATGAATCTGCGTTGAAGAAGGTTCTTCCTACTTTGTAAATGGATTGCTAACAGTATGTTTACAGAACTCCGAATTCACGACCAGATCGAGCGCGGCGACAACGACTCCATCAAGGTTGCTGGCAAGGATGTCAAGATTCACAAGGCTTGCTCCTCGTCCTCGTAAGCTACGTTCAACACCTTGATTTTGCATGCTACACCGACTCCATGGCGATGCAGTGCCATTTAGGCAGCATACAATCGGTGGAGGTACAAATTTGAACCAGCCTATGGGACTGGATGTGTATTATAGTATACCCGACTCTTGTTATTTTATTTGGCGTCACTGGGGTATTTTTGATTGTGATAGAAGCTGCATAGAAACAAGAACCAAGCCATATTCAACGCCCGCTTTGTATGAACCCACGACATGCACAACCCATCCTTTCCTCGTGATATTACACAATGTTCAATTAAATGATGCCTTTAATCACCATTCATACTGGCATACTGGACAGATCCAGACCCCGGAGGTGGAGCCACTGCAAAGCCCTTGGCCGGGGCTTCCTTGCCTGCATCGCCCGCAGCGGTGATAGCCTTCTTATCGGACTGACCGCGCTGGACAGGTCCCGCAGCCTGCCGACCCTCGCGAGCATTCTTCATCCGTTCCTCGCGGTCCATGTTATCAAGGGCCTTGGGCTTACCCCAGCGCACCCGCAATGGACAGCCTTGAACAATCGCCTTGCCTTGGCACTCCTTGGCTGCGGACTCGGCATCGGCACGGTTCATATAGTTAACGAAAGCGCAATGCGAGCGGTGAGAGCAGACAAGCGAGCGAAGAGTACCGAATTTTGAGAAGAAAGTCCGCAACGAATGTTCCGGAAGGTCGTCCTCCACACCAGTCAAAAATAGTGAAGTGACGTTGGGATCCATAGGCGGGTTGATGTCTTCCGCCGACGGGGGGAGCTGTGCCGTACTAGGGAACGGGCGACCTCCACGACCACCGCCGCGACCTCCCCGGCCAGGCAAGCGGTTACCTAGACGGCTCTCGCCTGTGCGAATAGGGCCCGGCGCGTTTCCGTACCGGCTGTTTGTGCGGGGTTGGTCTGCCGAGCTTGATTCTTTGCCCTCTGCATCGCCTTCAGTTGCACTCTCGATGCGACGAGGCTTGCGGTAGTATGGTTCACTGTTTGCCAAACGGCGCAGCAGCTCGCGGGCCTTGTCATCCGTCTTCTCGTATTCCTCGACCGCGCCGATTCCTTCTTCAATTTCTTTTTCGTGGTTTTGCGCATAGTATTCACGGTTAATGCCACTTTCGGGACCCGGTGCCACCATCTTCAGGGCGGCATCACGGACGACGATCGGCAAACCGAAAGACAGATCGAGCATGCAGCATTGGCAACAGTTCTTCAGACGAGCGCATGTGAGACAGATGTTGGTGCGCTTCTGTCGTGAGGTACGGTCGGCCTTCCAGCGGAAGATTGTGAAGGGACGAGTACACTGTCATTGTGGTCAGTTCCTGTGGTTGGATAGTGACCGGATCAAAGACTTACAATCTTGCACTCTGCGCCGTGATCCTCTTTCAACATCTGTACATAGGGGTTTTCAGGTAGACAATTTTCGCATACCGATGGGAAGTCTGTGGACTCCCAGCCAGAGCGGTTCAGATCATGCTTAATCTGGGGAGGCATGGTGGGTGGTATGCTATGACAAGCTAGAGATTATTAAGGAAGCTTCAAAGACCAAAGTTGACTATCACATTATCAATGTGGCGGTGACTGTGGCGTCGGGTCATGTGACATGCGTTGGTTGTGTTTGTCTCTGTTTGTCTTTGGTTTTCTCGTACGATGTTTTTGTTCGCTTTGTTCGTTCTAATCAGCGTAGGTTCCGAGTCAATGGACTCTCGGATTGATGTGACGTTGCTTCCGACGCAAGTCTGTTATCTTGGGTCCATTAGCCATCTTCATCACCATCGTATAGACCCCGTACAGACATCAGGTCACCACTAATCAAAGCCGGGAGAGCCACTATCCGAACAAGCCACAGACCGGAAGAGACTCGTCCCGCCACCCCAGACTTAGTTCGGTCTAGTCCTGCTGCACGGCCTGCCCGCTCAGGGGCTCCGTGATTGGCTTGATTTTTCGCATTGCCAAAAAGTTGCTTCGCATTCGATACTCCTTTTTTAAACTCTCCTTCATCCTCTCTCCAGATCTCTCTTCCCCAAGTTTTTCTTTCTCTTCTCTTGCGGTCTTTTTGGTTTAAACCAACTGCCGTATCACCTTTTCCATAATTAACGGATCTCTGTCCTTTTTTTGTCGCCCCTCTTCAACACTTTACCCCTTTTAATACCAACACCCTTCAATTCCTTCACAATGGCTCCTACTGCTCTGGAACGGGAGGACAAGGCGCGTGACGCCGCCTTCAACAAGGCCATGCACGGAAAGTCCGCCAACGTTCGTGGTGGTCTGAGTGCCATGCGTGGCAAGGACAGCGCTGCTCAGAAGGCTGCCGTTGACGAGTACTTCAAGCACTGGGACAACAAGGACTACGCTGATGAGACTGACGCCGACCGTGAGGTGAGTTGATGCGCCAACTGGTATCAATTGGTTCATAGTTAATCGGAATATACAAATAGGCCCGCCGCTCCGAATACGCTACCTTGACCCGACAGTACGTTAGCCTGCCGATCTCCGCGCATGTTTGATCGCAAGACTAATTGAAGTTTTAATAGCTACTACAACCTTGCCACCGACTTCTACGAGTATGGCTGGGGCTCTTCCTTCCACTTCTGCCGTTTCGCGTACGGTGAGCCTTTCCACCAGGCCATCGCCCGTCACGAGCACTACCTCGCTATGCAGACCGGTATCACTGAGGGCATGAAGGTTCTCGATGTCGGCTGTGGTGTTGGTGGTCCCGCTCGTGAGATCGTCAACTTCACTGGTGCCCACGTCACCGGTTTGAACAACAACGACTACCAGATCGACCGTGCTACCCACTACGCCCACAAGCAGGGTCTGGCCGATAAGATGGCCTTCGTCAAGGGTGATTTCATGCAGATGAGCTTCCCCGACAACTCCTTCGACGCCGTGTACGCCATTGAGGCCACCGTCCACGCCCCCGAGCTCGTCGGCGTCTACTCTGAGATCTTCCGTGTCCTCAAGCCCGGTGGTACCTTCGGTGTCTACGAGTGGCTCATGACTGACGACTACAACAACGATGACCCCGAGCACCGTCGCATCCGTCTCGGTATTGAGCAGGGTGACGGTATCTCCAACATGGTTCGCATCTCCGAGGGTGTGCAGGCCATGAAGGATGCCGGCTTCGAGCTCCTCCACCACGAGGATCTTGCTCAGCGTCCCGACGCCACCCCTTGGTACTACCCGCTGGCGGGATCTTTCAAGCACATGGGTTCCATCTGGGACTTCTTCACCATTGCCCGCATGACCTGGTGGGGACGTGGTATTGCCCACCGCTTCGTCGGTGCCGGTGAGAGCCTCAAGCTTTTCCCCCGTGGCTCCCAAAAGACCGCCGACAGCCTCGCTCTTGCCGGTGACTGCCTTGTCGAGGGTGCCCAGAAGAACCTCTTTACCCCCATGTACCTGATGGTCGGCAAGAAGCCCGAGTAAAGCATTGCATAAAAATTCCCTTCCTGTTTTGATCATACATCCTTCTCGCACCTATTACCCGTCGCGCGGCTTCTGTCACCTCACATTCCCATCTTGTATTCGCTTCTTGTCATTATCTCTCCAGGCCGCCGACCAGGCGTGTCTTTGCAATGACGCTATCTGACCCGACTCGGCTAGAACGCCGTTCTCTCGACGATGGTGACGATATTTTTCTCTTCTGTTCCCCTTGTTTCTTTTGGACCGAATAGATATGTAATAGTTATTGAGGCAAGAATAATGAGCCAAGGATTGACTGCTATTGTTTTCATGTCCAGTCGTATGTGTGTATTTCGTAGTATCACCTAACGCTGTCAATGTGATTGGCCGATCTTGGTTTAACCTGCTGTACGTCAGGTACAGGATCTTGTCCCTGCAGCGAGAAATGTGGGTCGTGAAAATAGAGTAGGCTGGTTGTTTCACAACATCCGTCATACGGTGATCCGTGCCTTGGTGTTACATGCTTAGCTGGTCCTTAGAACACCCAATATAGACCACCCGGGCACATACCATCATTCGTTTCAATCGTGCCACCCTTGGGTGAGAGCTTTTGAAGCATATAATTGCCGCGCTATGGGATCAACGTAGAGTCGTGGACACCAAACCCCCATATAAACCGACGAAGAAAGCTTAGATACAAAGTGTATCCGTATACAAGGTGCATAGTAGAGCGCTTGAGATATTGGCACTCACCGGCATTCCTCGGGTAATTAGCCGGGGGGTTTGGTGCTCGGAGTCCGGCATATTACCGTTGTTAGTGCCGTGGGCGATGTTCATCAATCACGTTGGGAACCCACAAATCTTTTCGATGGAAGCGATTAATATTGGCGAAAGCTGAATTCAAGCCCTCTCGTTCAAGTTCTAGTATGACTGATTACTCAATTTCCTTGACTTTCCAAACACAGAAAAGGGACATTCAATTTTTACGTCGTGAATAGCGTCATCTTCATAACATCGCATCAGCCAATCGCCATCCAGTCATTTAGCACATCGCACATTTGACTCAAGATTACCTTCAAAGTGCAAATGATAAAATTCAGAACAAAGCGTCTACCCCCACTTCGTGGACCATCTCATGCGCGTCGTAATGATCACCTTCGGCACTTGAGTGATTTTTGCCGGGCTATCGTTGGAAACCGTTCTCCGGGGGTCCCATGCGCTAATCTGGTAGCTATTTTGTAGGTGCATGTAGGAGCACATGTACCTAGAAGTCGACCACGTGGGCGTCGAATGTTCTTTGCGATGGTGGCGGCTCTTGTACTATAATGTGGCTTTCTTTAGTACAAAGTACATTTATCGCTTGAATATATATTGTGGCGACTACAGGACCGACACATACCTAAACAAGAACGATTGAAAGGAATCCCATCTACTAATAAGATCAATGTCTAGAATTAGAAAGCTGGACTCTGTAGTCTTCAAAATAAACATTACCTCATCACAATTTTGCGATCAATGAAGTTGAGTCCTGGATGTGTTGCGGGTCATTATGTAGCTGAGCAACGGTAAATCCCGCCTTCAGGGCTGCGATGGCAGATGCCAAGACCGTGTTCTAGGTCAGCCACGCGGCTTAGCTATTCATTCTGTGCTTGTTCTTTCCACGCTTATCCCCGATCCGATGTAGCATCAGTGCCAATCCAGCCAGTCATGCCGCTTTTGATCGGAACGTGCAAGGTACCGGGAAGACCCACTAGGTTATCCACCAATCGCCATCAATGTAATACTGATGCATCTCCACTCATTTCGAGTGCGGGCACCTGTCCATGGGGAAGCCGGCCAGTAACTCACTCTCCGAATGCAACGTGCTGCACAATGTCGCCTGTTCCGGGCGTTCTTGGCTGGGCGGATGTCTTGGCGACGGCGCCTCCAGGCTTGTAAGCGAAGAGGGGATCCCGTGTACGGACCTTGTGGCCGACTGGTTCTCCGCATTGCCCTGCGCCAGGTATAAGATCGTGTGCAATGCCAGGCTGATCACTTCTTTTTTCTCTTCGCATCGACTGTATTATTCGCGATCGGCAGTGATAATAGACAATCGAAGTCATGTTCACTAAGCAGACCCTGACCGCCTTTGTTGGCGCATTGGCTCTGGCTTCGGCCAAGACCATCTCTACCAGTGATGAGTACCCCTCCGCTGCTGAGATCGCCGCCTCCAAGGCCTCTGTCCTGCCTTACTCTCCCGTCTCGAACGTGAAGGGCTTGGCTTTCAACCGCTTTGCTCAGATTTGGATCGAGAACACCGTGAGTGGTCACAAGGGTTAATTGACCCGATACCATTCATGTTCGCAAGCTAATCTCATATCAAGGACTTCCAAACTGCTGCGGATGATAAGAACTTTGCCAAGTTGGCCAAGGAGGGTATCCTCTTGACCAACTACTTTGCCTTGACTCACCCCTCGGAGCCCAACTACGCTGCCTCCGCCGGCGGTGATGCCTTCGGCATGGACAACGACGACTTCCAGCAGATTCCTGCCAATGTCTCCACCATTGCCGACATGTTCGACACCAAGCGCATTTCCTGGGGCCAGTACCAAGAGGATATGCCCTACGCCGGCTACCAGGGCTACCGGTACCCCGAGTCCGGATCGAACGCGTATGTGCGCAAGCACGACCCGCTCATCCTCTTCGACTCCGTCACCAACGACGCCGTCCGTCCTCGCCAGATCAAGAACTTCACCACCTTCTACGAGGATCTTGAGCACGAGCGCATCCCCCAGTACATGTTCATTACCCCCAACATGACCAACGATGCTCACGACACCAACATCACCGTTGCCGGTAACTTCCTTGAGAGCTTCGTGCCCCCTCTCCTCAAGAACCACTACTTCTCCAAGGATGCTCTTATCCTGGTTACTTTCGATGAGTCTGGGAACTACTCCGTCCCCAACCGTGTCTACAGCTTCCTCGTTGGTGGTGCCGTCCCCGAGCACCTGAAGGGTACCACCGATGATACCTTCTACACCCACTACAGCATCATCGCCTCCCTCGCTGCTAACTGGGGTCTTCCTTCCCTCGGCCGCTGGGATTGTGGTGCCAACCTCCTTAAACTCGTTGCTGAGAAGACCGGCTACGTGAACTGGAATGTCGACTATGACAACGTCTACATCAACGAGACTAACCCTGGTCCCATGTCCGATGGTGATTACTCCACCTACGAGCCCCTGTGGCCCAACCCTGCTACCTCCGGCAAGTGTACCGCTGGACACGGCATCCTTGATGTCGTTAAGCGCACTTACCACGGCCTGAAGGCTACCTTCGACTACTCTTCTCCCGTTCCTTACGACTCCAGGTCGGGTACTAACCTTGGTATCAAGTACTTCCGCACCGTGGTATGTTCTCTTGTGCCGAGCTTTGAATGAACGCTTTGCTAACTGATTTTACAGAAGGGAAAGAAGGAGACTCACATTACTGCTTAAATTCTCCATTGGGAGAAAAAGTAACGATAGACACCTGGATTTCCAGGTCTTATTGTGTCATTTTATACACGTATATACTAATTGTAACAAATTCAATCCCGAAGTTTTCGGATAATTTTGAAGTTCGGAGAGATCCTGGATGTTCTCGAGGGCCTAATTGAATCCATTTGTAAATTAGAATAACAACATCGAAACCAAGAATTTATGGAAGATTATTCCATTACCTGAACTTCTAAATGGTCGTCCTCGACACGCTAAAATCTTATTCAGAAAATTCAGCGGAAAGTAATGGTGAATTCCAATGAGAGGTTACGAAGGAGGATAGAATGGATTGAGCTATATTTTGGAGCAGGCGGAAGCTCTATTAATAGTCTGGAGGAAACTTCCGAGGTTAGGGCTGAGGGCAGAAACAAGAAAAAGACAAAATTTCAAACTTGCAAAAGCAAAATAGTACTTAAACACTGAAACCGTGGAGCTTCCTAGATATATTGTCGCTTTTAAACATATATAAGTACACACGATCTGATTGTTATCCATTGGGAAAATACCGTCGGCACTATTGGCATTGTAAAGACGTTGTCAAGGAGAAGGAAGTGGTACAGATAATGTACTAGAGCAGCAGGCATCAGCTCCTGAAGTTTTCTTGCACAGAACAAGGAGAAATGGGGGAAAACTCGGGAGGGGCCGACCGGCAGAGATCGACCAGTAAGCCTGCTAATGAGGCTCAAAACCATATGCCATTGTGATTGACCGAAGCGGATGACGTGGTGAATAGGCCACTGAAGAAGTGATCTATCATTTTCAGTCCCGGGAAATATTAGCCGAAGTTATTTAATCCAAGGCATTTGAAAGTTGAGAGTTCCATCCCCGGGAGATAATGCAGAATCCCTGTCTTTCTGGCACCGTTTTCTGGCACCGGTGCCAGAAAGACAGGGATTCTGCAGGCAACTACATCAGGCAGCTGCCCCTTCCCTGCTCCACCAGCAAGTAAGATCCTCCACCCCTTCCCCACTATCCGGGCTATCACTTCATCGACCAGTCCCCTTATGCGCCATGTTTACTTATAAAATTCACAGTGTTTGTGTTTGCTATTTTTCGATATTGATATGGCTAATGGACAGGGGACTTAGCCTAGAAATCTTTCAACAATCTTGCTGAGCTGACTTCTAAAATTGATTGATTATACGAGGTGGCTAATGAACAATCTTGGAATGAAGGAGACAGAATATAGAGTATAATTCGAGACAGTTTATGTAAAGCTTTAAATAGGCCCCTGAATTTATGCACTGCCTTGCTTGGTCATGATCTTACCTTCACCTGGCTCCCCAACTGATCCGAAATCATCACAAGATGTCTCTTAAAGCTCTCATAAAGTCAACTAAAAAAGTGCAGGCCCTCACATATGAGGTGACTAGGCTCGAAGGGGAGATTGAAATCACCGATTGCACAATTGGCAAGAACAGACCTAAATTTACAACAAATGTCGTTTGTCGCATGAGCAGCACAATGCGCCATGTCTCGATAAGAAGCATAACACGATGATGAGATTCGTGGTGGAACTTTTCAAAAATGAAAACTCCAAACGAAACCATGACAGAAAGCTTGCCCTCTTCATTTTCCCTCTATCGCCTAGAGACTTCTTCTTCTTTGGGTTCATGGCATATCTATTCCGAATTATCGGTGTGTCTTTCAAGGCTCAGAGCCTACAGGTGGATCCGAGCCTACGGAAGCCAGGAAATTATCTGTTTGGTCATTGAAATATCCGACCGTCACATAGTGCCTTAAACCTACTCAGTGGTAAAGGATAAGTAGGCGAGCGCGTTGAAGGACGCATAGGCACTGTCCTAGATGGGCGTCACCGAAATCCGTTAAATAATCATTAAAATTAATATCTTTGAGATGGGCACTTGCCGGAACTAAGCCAGGTGACGTATTACTGTGCCGTTGCGAGGGTTGTTTGCGTTCGTCTTCGTCGATCATCCACTGACAGACCGGGTACGAGAAATCAATCGTCAAAGTCTGTAAATCTTCATCTTGCGTAGTACATGAAGACAGCTACCGCTAAATCTCAGCTTCCATGTAGCTAGAATCAGGATCTTCATGCATCAGAGGGTTACAATTGGTAGGAAGCCATCCGAAGTAGATCAACTAGAGTGATTTCGTTTTCCATTATCTATTGTCATTTTACAGATCGACTCGTCTTGCCAGCCGAACGTGTGGATATCTGAATATGACGCTATGATTCGCGCCATTGTTCGACATGCTCGTCTTTTAGTCTGTGCACCTACCCAAATGGGCGGGCCCCTGGGCCCACCAGGGCAACCATCGGGGGACCGAGTGCGCATTATTTGCTTTTCTTTCTTCTCAGTCGACGGTTTAAACAACGATTATGTTGAAATTTGAAATCGACATTCTTTTCCAGCTGTAAGGTAAAAAATTATATATTCTTCTCATCCCTGAGATTCTGTATGTGGGTTTAAACCTTTCATCCTCAGCTGCGTAGGACGCTGAAAGCTTCGTCAGAAAATCAGCGCAGAAATTTTTTTTTAGCCATCAATACTCCCGATGCCTTGTCCGAACTGCCCTCTCGGCTGCTGCCAGTATGTTGTGCCATTGAATGAACCTCACGAACAACCAGCCAATATCTTAAAACATGGCAGACATCGCCCTCTAGCACCGCGACGACCGGGGCCAGATCACCCGTCTTTGCATCAAACCAATGTAATCCCCTCGTTTGATGTTGCCAGTGAAACCAATGCCTGGTTTCAGAGCGCTCATGCCAGTCCGGAGTACAGAAACACTTCGTTCAATACCATGCAGTATACGGCAAATCCCACCCCAGTGCAAGTGGCTGAATACCGAGCAAACCACTATCAGCCAAGGGACAATGGGTATAACATTGCACCCTATGCCCGCCCTACTGCTTTCGTTACCAACTCCACAACCCAGGGACAAACGTCAAGGCCTAGCCGCGCTATAGCTAGAGCTAGGCCGACATCTCACCAAAACACTGCTTCGCCTCACGTCGAGGCTTTCAGATGCGACTGGGAAGGATGCTCGTATAGAGGGACCTTCAATCGCAGAGCTGACCTGAATCGGCATATCGAGACACAGCACATGTTCCCAAATGCATACAAATGTCCATTTCCACAATGTGGAAGCGTGCACAATAGGGAAGATAACCTGCAAGCTCATTTGAGAAAGATCCATGGTCTATCTCAGTCACTCAGGTAATTTGACCCTTGATGGGGCCACTGGTGTGGGTTGACTTCAAGCGAGAAAGAAAGAAATTCATCCACGTGCGCTGACGTTCGGGCTGAAGGCCTAAATCATCAGGCATTTGAAGGCGATGCCAACAATATATCATTAGGTGGAACTTATCTAAATATTTGCTTTTGGTTTTTCTTCGTCGTGTTGATTCTTTTTCATGAATGTGTTGCTCCGCGGAACTTTATATATCATGTACCTTCCAATGAGAACATTTGAAAAGCCGTCAAAAGTGAAGAAAAGTTCTACCTCCAGGTATAGCAATTTGAAACCCCCTTGCTAAAAAAAGTTTCTTATAGTAGGTAGCAGAGAACTTAGAATAGTTGGTATTTTAAGGATGGTTTTGGGGCTCACTCCAGAAATTTCTTACAAGTCTAATGATTAATTTTGCGGGGAATTTTGGATGGACCCTAGCGAAGGCCCGAGGCCGCAGTGAGGGGGAAATAGAAACCTTGGTCACGCGTCTTCTCACAAGTAGTCAAGACTCGATCTAAGAGAAGAGGCTCCGAGTTGAGTGGTTAGTCGATAATGAGCAGGTAGGCTTTCGGCGATTTTCTGTTGGGGTAGATGGGATCCACTACCTTGTCAAGCAGGCCTGAGTTATGTCAGATTAGTCCTACGTTATTTCCCCACCCCCCATGTTCGCGGAAAAAACTTAATTGCAGTTCAATAAATTGGATATCTCTGGCGTGCATCGCAAAAACAAGGAAAACTGCCCAAGAGCACGAGGGGCGGGATATGCGGGTCTTCATGCAGATATGACGTGACAATGGGCGAGAACAATGTGGGTGTAAGGGTGAAAATAATCTCCGGCTACAAAGAGACTCTGAATTGATAGGTGATGAGGGAACACCACGAAAGGCCATCGAGCGAACTGAGCGCAGGACAATGGGAGCTGAGATGTCCGACTTGCACGCTAGTGGTGCCTAAGATGCGGTGACGAACTCGAGGCTGATGGGGATAGGGACAATATCAAAACTTGCCATTATCCTGTGTGAACTAACGCCTGTCAGATGCATCATGCAGCTACGTACCGATATGTGTGGGCGATCGCCCACCCTCCAAATTTCCTTATTGGCCCCGCAGATTTGGCGGTAAAGAGATGCCACGAGATGGCGGTAATTTTCCTGAGTTAACATTCCCGTTACGGTATTAGTCTGATTTTCCCACTCAGCGAACAAGACGATGTATCATTAATACGAATGTGACCGCTAGCGCTAGATCCAGTCTAGCAATATATCCTGATCGTCCCTTTATGTTTAGTGACAGGAGGGTTCGGCCCCTGACCCACTTGGGTAAAGGAGAATTTGGAAAACTTGATAGCCAGTTAGAGGTCTTCGTTGCGTTTAGGTAGGATGGAGGATTAGCCTTATTGGATCCAACGGGCTACGTAGGTGGAGAAGACCAAGGTATAGAGCAGCGTATGGGAACCTTGGGAAACCGGGGGCAAAAACTGCCTCGGTCTTGCAATAGGACGTTGTTCTGGGCACAGGACCTATCGCCCTTCGCCCATCAAACGGTGAGGGAAACGTCGTGGCCATAAATTCGCGCTTCGCCACCGCAGATACATTCATGCTGTTCACATCTCAAAGTGCAAAGTGCAATTCATCCAACCTTATTCCTACAATCAACCACTCCAATACTTATTATTTGACTCAACGATCTTCTACAATGGCCTTTTCTGACCGCATTTTCCAATATTGCTGGTCAGAAATGCCATCTAGTGGCATCCCAGAAAGATCCCTCGATACCCCGAGTCCCAATGTGGACATGTCGATAACTTCGCAACAACAGCAACCGACATGGCAAACTGTCGATCGCACTGTTTTTAGCTCTTCGCCAGATACCATCAATACACGTCCCAATTCGGGGTCAGTGCCAAATGCCTCTTCGCAAAGCACCCACACCCTCTTTAGTGTGATGCGTCGTGCGGTGCCTCTACACCAAGAGCAGACAATTAGGCAACTAGCAAGGCCTCCTCAAACAAAAGAACAAGGATACACTTTTGCATCCCAGACAACATTGCCAACTCAGATCCCACCGTGGGACTATGCAGATTTCCTAGCTTGCGGGGAACATTACGGATCACATCAGCCTCCACCGAGTGAGAGACTCAAATGCGACTGGAAAGGTTGTCGGTACACTGGGACGTTTGGCCGAAAGGCTGAGCTTAAGCGCCATGTCGATACGCAACATATCTCCCCAAGAGCATACAAATGTCCAAAATGTGGCCGACCGCACAACAGGGATGACAACATGAATGGACATTTGCGCAGAGTTCACGGGTCAGATATCCAAGCTACGGAGAAGTGACACGGTGTTTATGCATTAGACATATCTTATACGTACTTTTGGCTTTGAGCCTCTCGTTGTAGACCATGTTGATTTTATATGTTGATTGGAAAATTGAAAGCAAACACAAGTTCTAGAACACAGATTAAATCATTATAATTAGGCTCCAATGGAACTCTCCATACCTCACGTGAACCACATCCTATCTCCACAAGTCTCCATAAACCTGCAGGGTACAGCTTGGCAATTCCAAAGCAGCTTCCCCGGGGATGTCCACGTCATAAGAGCCTCAAGGTAACAGTCTAATCACATTTAGGCACCGGGTCCCAAGCCCCAAGATCCGGTGCAACCAGAGGAAAAGTGATCCGACACTCCTATTGGTCTGGCTGACACATTCCCGCCGATCATGGTCACTCGACAAACTCAATGCAGTAGTCAAGCTCTCAAGGTTGTGAACCTTGTCTCCTTGAATGCGGACCTTCCCATGTGCAACATAGCTTCCAGCTGTTCCAGCGGCTAGGCCTTTACCAGGAAGCTTGGTTCTTGAACATTCCAGTCCTTGATTGGTCCGCCCTACTTTCGAATCTGAGAGGTTCGTTCCATCTTGGGATGGGGGACATAGCTTCCTTGTTGATCATTGCTTAGCTTGGTAGGTGTTGTTGTTGATCTTCGCGTTACTAGGCGTCGCAAGCACGTGGAGTTGCTGTGCTACTATGTAACTCGAGCACATGGTTGCATTATGATTCAGGCGTAAGGAGGTTTCGAATTGATATTATTTGTTCGGGGAAGTTTGGAGGGGATTGATTGGGCGTATGCAGATTCTGAGGCGAGACATGCTTTTTGCCCTGTCACTAATGATCGTCTTGACGTCCTTTCCTGAATTGCATCAAGGGGGCCATCCTTTTGTTTACTGTAGATTATTGTTTATTATATCAATTTTTATTTATATCTTCCTTATGACTCACCATCAATTCCGTCATTTCCGTCCAGGCTGAAAGTTTCATCTTTATACGAGTTCCTAGTTCCTAGATATCCTTTTGGCAAATCTTGAATCATGTCGTTTCACAATGATCTTCCGTACAACACGGACCCCTGGTTGAGCAGGGCCCAAGGGGCATTGGAGTACCCCACATATCCCCACGAACCCCTGTCAACCCTCTCTCCGGTCCAAGAAGGCCTTCATATCTCCGACCCAGAACTATTAAGCTTCCCGCTGCAAAACGGAGCCGAACACATGAACCCCACGTTTCCAGAGACACCTCGACTATCCAGATCGCATTTCAATTCTCCTTCTACGGAGGGAGCATACCCGTACACGCCCACGCAACCCCTCGCACACTCTCCGGACTTCACTAGAATGCACCAGTCCCGCGACGTAGCCTACGGCACAATTGCACGCCTGCAACCAAAGCCCACAAGCTACAGCCCCTGTTACTCCCCAAACACACCAATCGAACCCGCCCTTCCAACGAGGGATAACTACCCAATCCACCGCCGAACATCCAGTGCATCCAGTGCTTCTAGCCCGACATACATCGACCGATCATTCCAGCAGAGCGGTTGGAAATGCGAGTGGAGGGGATGTAGGTACACAGGTGCATTTGGACGAAAGTTCGAATTGAAGCGACATGTCGAGACGCAGCATATTTTTCGGAACGCCTTCGAGTGCCCGGATCCAAGGTGTAGAAAGGGATACAACCGAAAAGATAACCTGGAGGAACATCTGCGGAGAGCCCATGATATGTAAGACTGAGGTGTGAGTTGAGTTATGTGTGTTTCGTGTGATTTTCTATTCCCTCTCCTTTCATCTTTCCTTGGTTCTTATCTCTTGTTATCGTTCTGCTTTTTTGTCTCATTGCTTATCTGCTGTTTGGTTCGGGTTCTGAATCTATACATCTAAGCTGGACTAGTGACAAGGGATAATATAATCATTTTTGCGTTGTTTTTAATCGAATCTTCAATGGCGTCATATAAACAGAACACCGACCGGGCCCCAAGCCACATAATATGCAAATGCTAAACTACCACCAGGGCAGTATGCAATATTACCATAATTAACACAACCGTCACTACCACCGTCCCCTACAAGAGAACCCATCGAGGTCCTTGAATAGTACATCTTATCCCGCCGCGTAAGTACTCTTCTTCCGCAACCCTTCCCCAAACTTCCACAAGATAATCGGAGCCGGAATACCGATACCAAGAGATACGAACGCCAACAAACTATTTCCCCATCCGTAATGCAACGCATTAAACATGTAAGGCGCAAAAAGCGGGAATCCAAATCCAGCCAGTGAACGCAAAAACGCACCTGCTGCCAGTGCACTAGCCGCAAACCGCGTATACGTATCAACCATATACGTCTGAATACACTGGAATGCCATGATCGTTCCCATTCCAAACAATGCCGCCCCGATATTTGGCGCGATCCAGTGGCAGTGTTCCTGGGCTGTCCAGCCATAGATGAATAGTCCGGCTGGAAGGAGGATGGCGGCGATACTCATAAGCGGGATTCTGAATTCGGGCCGTCCGACTCCACCGTTCCTTGCTGTTAGGCCACGGTAGATTCGGTCTATCAACTGCGCACTGATCTGTGAGCCGAGCCAGAAACCTATTCCGATGGAGATGTAGTTTAGTCCACCGATTCCGGAGGATTCGTTGTAGTATTCTGCACTTGTCCAGAGGGACGGAAATGTGGCGAGCATCAGGTACATCAGACCGTAGATGTAGGCCATATAGACAGCCAGGACTTGGACGATGGGCTGGGTGAGTAAGAGGCGGAATGGTCGAACAAGGGATGTTTGAAGCTTCTGAGTGAATGGTATCTTTTGGAGTTCTGCTTCTGTGTGGTGTTGTTCGCCCGTACCTTTGGTTAGACGCTTTGCGCGGTCGGCGAGAATCTTGGGGGCGTATGTTTCCCGGAGGAAGAATATACCGGCTAATTGAATTACGGCATCGGCGATAGAGACCGACCAGAATACCCAGCGCCAAGTCACGTTTTCCGCAATAAAGCCGCCTGCGATTGGGCCTACGGCTGGGCCAAGTAAAGGAGCGAGACTGTATATAGCAAGACTTTTGCCACGTTGCTCTGGAGGAAAACAGTCTGAGAGAACTCCGCCGCCGATCTAGACTTGTCAGTATGGTAGTCCAGTAAGTGACATTAGAAAGGTACTCACAGCTAGTGGGGCACTACCACCTAATCCTGCAAAAAATCGACAAACGATCATTTGAGTTGTTGTGTTTGCGAATCCGCATCCGATGTTGAAGACCAGGAAGAACAGATTGGCTAGTTGAAGGACGATCGTTCGACCATACACTTCAGACAACGGACCGAGAAAAAGTGGACCAACGGCATATGCGAGGATGAAAATCGACATCGTCAATTGAAGTAGAATCTCAGAGGAGATATTGAAATCAGCCGCCAAGGAATCGAGGGCAGGCGCAACCATACTACTGGAAACGGGCGAGATGAAGGTGAACAACGAGACCATGACGACTGCTGCCCATTTCTTGAGCGTAGGCCAGTTCTTTGGGTTTGCAGAATCATCTGGTCCATCCCATGTTACCTATACTGCATTAGCTCCGCTCGATATGATAATAAACTTTCCGAAAGTGACTAACCAGTTTGGAGTTGGCAAGTGTTGATCTCCCTGTTTTTGACTTTTCAAGGACTTGCCCCGCATTTGGTCCTCTTTCCAAGTCCCTATCCTGCCGGGTACCCTCGGGAAATTCAGTATCCTCTTGTTCCTCTGAGGGTGTGTCCTTGATGTGATATGGGACTGTGTCATCCGGGTATGATCCTGAATATGTGCGGTTCAATCCAATGCTGATTTTGGAAGCTCGGCTCTGTGAACGAGACTGGATTCGTGATGCTGTCGAGTCTGAGTCTGTACTGATTGTCGAGTTCGAACGAGATCTACTCGTATTGTGGTCTTTTTCCACCATGTTTGCCACCCATCAGGAGTCAACAGTAGTGAGAATTTTACCAATCAAGGAAATTTGATAACCCTACAAGATGAGGTAAAATTTAGAGAATGAACAAATTTATTGAATTCTTCAGGCACGCGCCAGGTACAGAAAAAAAGAAACAGCGGAGGAAGGCTTTTATAAAGATTGTAACCACGGATGACTTGCGCCGAGCATAAGAGCTTGATGACCTTCGTAATGCATTAGTGGGGACTTATGGGGATAGAAATGCTTAAGACCGCTTGTTTCCTTTCGTCGTTTCAAGATTCTCGGAGCTTTTCATTGGTCGATTGTGAGGATTGGAAAAATATTGGCAGAAGGCCAGACCGGTGGGTCCAACGTTGAGGAGTTTTACCGGCTAATGGAGGCCTGAACCGGCATCAAAGGGCAGATCGACCAGTCAACGGCGTTAGAATGGGGCTCGGAGTGCCGGTTCAGGCATCGTTTCGGCTCATCGGCACATGTTCACGTGGCGATAAGCTTATCGGACCCTTATCTGCGGCTTATGAAGTCAATCTGCGTTATAATTCTCCGTTCGAAACCCCGTTGGAATATCCGTTCCATTATCCGTTGATTGTCCGCTGAACCCCCTTATCTCCTAATCCCTTAATTCATGGCTTGGCGCATAATAGATCTCGGAGGAGAAAAAGATTTGCGGAAATAGATTACGGTCCAACCCTGTAGAAAGTGGGAATCAATGAATTGATTCTAAACAACAATAACATGGACTAGTAACACCAGTAATCCTACTCCTTCTTCGTGGTATTTTGAAAAGCTGCCTGCATCAAAGGCCACAAAAACTGTAGCTGGCACGGCCGTACTTTTCCAGCTTCATGAGCGGCACCTTCCACTACATCCAATTGACTATCTATGCCGTCAGATTTCCAACTAGCTTGCAAATTCTGCAAAGTTTGAAGTCTTCCCTGAGTCATCGTTGCCAGGTTTCCTCCCTCAGCCAATTTTGGCTCTTTGCCCTTGAGCTTTTGCAACCATTCCCAAAACTCATTGCCCCCATGAACCTCATTATCCGCTGACCCGACCGCTAGCTGTATAGAGACCCGGCGAATTCGTTGCTTGTCAAGCACCAGACCAAACAAACTCTCCAAATCAGCTACCCCGTTCGGCCAATTCAGAGTAGGATTTAACATGGTCGCTCGACCTGGTGCTCCTACACTAATACCTAACAACCGCTCAGGATGTAGGTACAGAAACCTGTGCGCAAACTGCCCACCACCAGAAAAGCCCAGCATAAAAAACCTATCCGTTTCAAGGCCTGGCCACCTTGGCGCGATCTCATCCAGAATAGATAAGAGTGCAAGATCAGACCGAAGTGTCTTAGAGCGCATGCTTTTATACGAATCCAAATCATTAGGCCCGTCGAGACCAGCAGGAAACAAAGGCGCAAGAATAGCACATGGTGTTGACTCTGCGAAGCTCTCAAGTTCTCCTCCGTCAATTGCATCTAACAACCGACGTGTGCCATGTATCCAGACTAGTAAGGGAAGTTTCTTGGCATTTGCTCCAGTTTCGTATTGAGTTGGTGGGATATAGAGCGAATAGGAGATACGAGCATCAGACGCTAATGATTTTAGTGGGACATGGCCGACTAGGTAGGCGGCCTTGAGGAATTGAGGCGGTACATCGTTTGTGGAAAGTGTTTTGCTCATATCGATATTTTTTATGCTTGAAGGAACTAGAAGCTTGTAGTGCTGGTTGCGGTATGAAGTGGGGGCGGTGCCGAAGCGAGACGGATCGTGCCGATGTGCGCTTAGATACCTATGATTCGTCAGTCTGACAACTACAAGGGAAATTTAACGATTTATCCTTGGAATCTCTCCAAAAATATGTTTTTGTAAGTAAGGATCATTGAAATTTATTGGTAAGAGCAATTGGCGAAAGTCAATTCGAAATTCATCATACATGGAATTCAAATCTAATGACAAAATTAGAATGAGGATCAGGAAGTCCAGCTGCTCTACGAAATCGATTTTGATTTAGCCTGTTGATATGCTATAAGCTATTCCGGTTCATCAAGAAGCCTTCGTGGTCTAGTTGGTTATGACGTTGGTCTCATATCACTTTCATATGACGCTCCTGTTAACAGGACTGCTATCCGAAGGTCTCCAGTTCGATCCTGGACGAGGGCATTCTTCTTTTTTCTGTTTCTTTTTTTCTTCACCGGATATACAGGCTTCACTTGTGCCCGCTAGACGTTGATTGGCATGTTAACAACTCGAAGCCGGGTCAAAGTGATGGACTTCGCGGAGCGCAGCAGGCCCCGTGCGAGTCGTCGTTGAAGTGGCGACAATGGGTGTATTGTAAAATAAGCGATTGGGTCTAGAAAGTGTTAAGCCTAGGCAATCACTACGTTTAGAGAACAGAGGGTTTTATGGAGCAATTTTTGTGCGACCTTTTATAAGTGCCTGTGAGTCACTTTGGAGATGTGGTCAAACAGAAAGAATGCGAGAATTATGGCAGCACTGGCTAGTGTTCGCAATGTTCCACTGGCAATGTAGAACATCTTGAGTTCTGCCTGCGTGTGAAGCACGAAGTCTGAGAAGTCAGTGAGCTGATGGAGCCATGAATCTGACACTTGGGGTTGCTTGGAGGTTTATCATTCAAGACCTCGGCATTCTGGGCGCCACAGCATTGACTCACCGCATCCCGTATACATCGTCTTTGAAAAATGAGGATTGAGAAAGTACCACAATGAAGTCTTTTGCGCCAGTGGCAGACAAGCTTTCCAATAAAGACTCAGCAAGAGTAGTATGCTTTCACAGCTTCTTCAAGCCAGTCTCGGAATAAGCAGAATCGACTTGAAAGCATCCACCACTGACTTGGAGATTGTCCATGCCACATGAGAAATCGTAAAAGGAGCAACTAAAGTGCCCACATGGCCCGAGGTGGGAATATGGAATTTAACATCACCACGGAAAAACACCAAAGATTTTGCATTCAAGACAGCGAATTTTGAAGGGCTCAAGTGAAAGACCCGCATTAAAGCATTCTCGGATGGATTTGGAGACAAGACCTAGAACTTTGGTAAGATGTGCAATATTAAGCCCGACTATGTTTGGGCCGAGGGGCTGATGGCCTGTGTCTTAACACTAAATGACGTACGCAGTATTCCAGAAAACGGAGGAGATGTATGGTGCAGCTTTGGGCTCACCGTAAAGGGAAGGTAGGTGCGGGTGGTGAGTAGAGGATGAGAAGATAAGTAATACGGAAAGGGACCTTCTTATGTTGCAGATTTCAGATCATGAGTGGAAGATGGGTGACGTCGCTTGATCATCTCTTCATCATCTTCATCGCCTAGTCATATCTCAGCAGCTTCATCTCCATTTAACAATATAGAATCATGGTCGGCTATAAAAGTACAACCGCCGTCGGATTGATCTTAATATAGTAAGTGGAGATGAAGGAGGCCATTCCATGACTAGGAGATGGGATGGTAAGATACGGAGACGGAGACACGATGGGTGAGGAGAAGAGAGAAAAAACAAAAAAGGCAACCATTTGCACAGGAATTTGGATTTATAGGCTTCAAGTCAATACAAAGTCAATGACATTCTATCCGTGTCATGAGACCAAGCTGTTGCATATCGAAACATCGATTTCAGACTGTAGGACCTTTGAAGACAACTTATTCACTTCCCTTACATGACTGTGGATAATCAACCCAGGATAGTACTTCGGCAGGTTTTCAAGTCCGGGAGGATAGGAACTAGAGCGGAACCCAGCCACTTACTCGGTGGAACATATCGGATCCGAGCTGGAAGTAGTGAAACATGGGGAGGATAAAGATGTGGGGAGGCGGGGTGGCGGGACATCAAGACAGAAGGCGGGGGGTGTGGCCAGGAAAGTAAGGCGCCCAAGCCTGGGCAGTCTGTCTCCAAAGGCTTCGCATCTTAGACAAGCGATGTTTTACTATTCACATTCTACATCGTAGACATGTCAGGCACCGGGAATGTGTGGTACAGCCACTGAATCTGTTTGCCACTCTATTCAGATTGGATAGAAACAACCCACATCCCCACCGTGGATTAAAAGTTTCCACGATATTAATAGAAACCGATCAGTTAATCTGATAGCATATGCTTGTTTCACAATCTCCCAATGTTATGACACACTGTGCCTGCTAATCAACCCCCGCCAGCCACGGAGTACGTACGTCCCTACGTAACCACGTCGATCTCGTCTCACGCGCCCCACTCAATTTCCCCAACCAGTCTAGTGGCCTTCCCTATCCACAACAATGAAGTCACTCGGAATGCATTTGCATGGCCCTCGGCGCACTCCGTGGCAGGCTTGCCCAATTTTCACTGGCTGCCCCCATGGAGGCGTAGCGATAGCCTGGGAGCAGTGCCACTGGGGGGTTCAGGCCGTCGTGGTCGCAGTGCAGGGACCGTCGCCAAGACCCAGTATACGTACGGCAGGAACGGCCACAAACCTTGGCAGGGATCGTCGGTCGAAACATATTGTCCTTAAAATCCTTCGTTGCTCTGGAAGGCTCGAAAGATTTAAGAACCTGTCACGATCCACTTTTTGAAGACCCTGAATTTTCCCCAACTTTCTTCCATCGCTTTTGCGCAAGGTTACTGTACGTTGCCCGTCTGGATCCTTATTTACAGTATCCCCAGTACTAACTTGCATCTAGATAAGGCATTCTTCAATATGCTCGCTTTGCCCTTCTACATTACGGCTCTGGCTCTCTTCCTAGCCACCGCCGCTGCCTCTCCCCCTCCAACAACGCGATATCCAATGGTCCTTCGATCTCTTCCCTACACCGCAATGTAATCAAACCGGTGATCTCCACGCCGGTATGGGCAGCACAGGGTGCCGCGCAAACCTCCACAGCGTCGCCTCCGCATACCGACTAAACACGGTGGCCGAGGGATGTCAAATCGAGTTCTTCGATAACACCATGTGCGATGCGACCGAGACCTCCGATATCGCGGGACCGATAAGCAGCACGGGATTCTGTCGAGTGCCGGAACTCGCCCGGCGCTACGGGTCTTATCAGGTCACTTGTGAAGAGAAGGGCGAATTGAAATAAACTCAGAGACTGGGAACTATTCTCGGGCTGGTCCCAAGGATGATATACATAGACTTTGGACATACGGCGGCGTTTAAATTGGAGTTCCAACAATCCTACTATTAGATGGAAATTTTCATTTTCGTTTGCATTAGATAGAGATAACATTAGAATCAATGATTTATGACCCCTTTATCACCCCTATTCTCCTTGTTGATTATTTTCTCCGTGGGGTAATCCCGCCTTCTGATTCGTCGAGGATGGCAAGCACTGCAGGAGAATCCTTTGTTTCCCCGCGCCACCTGTTTAGCACTCGCATCAGCGACAGGGGTGATGGCGTTTAATGTACGGTTAGAACCTCAGGTCCGAGATATCCCCAGATTCGATTTGGTAGACTCCTCAGCGCTACAATTCGAGTCTTCACGGTTAACTAATAAGTTACAGTAACTATCTTTCCGTACTACACTTTCCTCTAATTCTATTGGTTCAATCATGTAATTAAACGAATGGGACGGGTCAGTAATACCCGGTCTTTAACAGCTAGGTGATCCACAGAGTGATTAGACATTGCCGCTCTACAGTATTACCCTGACACAATGTGGGATGTACTGGGACCCTTGATAAAGGCGAGTCGCAAGGGGTGAGATCTGACACATCCGTTGCTTATTCCCATCCCTGCAGCCTTGGACCAATAGGAAAATTCCAGGACGTTTCAAAGTTCTGCACCTAGCAGATTGTAGTTTCAAAAATATACAAAGGCATATCAAGTTACTTGTACTATAGACAAGATTTGTTCAGGGACTCAAGGACTGATTCAAGCTGCTGTGTCGCCGCATCCGGAAATCCGTGTACATTCCATCGCTTGGCGTTGACGAAAACCAACATGTAAACATTCAACACCGAGTTTCTTAGCCGGCGGCTTTGAAATCACCCTTCACACGTTCTAATTGTCAATGGACTCTCCTTTTCTTAACTGTGGACCCATGAACTCTTGGCTGTGCAGATTTTCATCGCTATTGTCGGAGTTAGCGCCAATATTTACCCAAAATGACAAAACCCCGAACTACCCGACGGAACCAGGTCGCGGACCTGGTTGTACCGCTATTGCGACGAGCTGTTTATATAACCGGGAGTGTTCCCTCATCTACCAAACAGCTGTCATCAATCATGCAGGCGGAAAAGGCAGAGTCAATGTCTGATAGCGACCACCCTAATCCGCCAGCACCCGTTGGATTCTTCGATCCGGCACTGAAAGAAGTGCGGAAGCGCGTGTTCTATCAATGTGCTCGGACAGGTACGTCCAGATCACAACCAAAACAAACATAACTAACAACCACAGTCCTCATCCTATGCGTCTTCGTTCTGACTGTTTTGTCGATCTTCTGGGGCTCCCAGTTCCTCACCGAAAAGAAATATCCCAATCTCCACGTTTGGGTGGTCGACTTCGACGGCCAAGTCGAACCATACCTCACCAATGACGCCATTGTCGGACCAGCCGTGATCAACACAACCAAGAATTATGAAGCTTCGTCCAGCCTCCACTTAGGCTACCACTTCAAATCGGCCGCAGATTTCAACTACGATCCCTGGAAAGTCCGCCAAGCAGTCTATGATGAACACACCTACGCCGCGGTCATTATCAATCCAAACGCAACATCTCTCCTTCGTTCAGCGATCAACAATGACAACAAAACCTACGACCCCGCCGGCGCAATCCAAACAGTCATCATCTCCGCTAGAGACGAAAATACCTATTACACCTACATCCTGCCAGACCTAGCCATCCTCCAGACCCTGATCCAGTCCGAATTCGGTCCAAAGTGGGCCCGCGAATTAGTCTCCTCATCCACAAATCTATCCAACATCCCCCCACAAGCGATCAACCCGGGTATCGGATTCACGAATATTGATCTCCGCCCTTTCGCGCCCGCTGTCGCCGCCCCGGCCGTTTCGATCGGATTAATCTACCTGATAATTATCTCGTTCTTCAATTTCCCTTTCTTGATGCCGATTCATGCTCAATTCATGAAACCGGATGGTCACCCGCCTCTCAAGGTTCCGCATTGGCTTATCTGGCGCGCGTGCGCTAGTATCACGGCTTATTTCTTTTTGTCGTTGTTTTACTCATTTGTTTCCCTTGCATTTCAGATTCCTTTCAATAATTCGCCTGCACCGGATACGCTGTCTGCTAATAATGCGAATGCGTACGGTCATGGCTCGTTTGTGGTGTTTTGGATGCTGAACTGGGTGGGTATGGCGGCGTTGGGATTCCCTTGTGAGAATATGGCTATGGTCTTGGGATTCCCGTGGAGTTCGTTTTTCCTCATTTTCTGGGTCATTACGAATGTGGCTACGGGCTTTTATTCTTTGGATTTGGCCTCGGATTTCTTTCGCTGGGGGTATGCGTGGCCGTTGCATCGGAGTAAGTTTCTTTCACGAATCTGTCGTTGCTGGTTTACTAACCGTGTTATAGTTGTCGAGGCTCTGCGGACTATTTTGTTCGGGACGCATTCGCGTATTGGCTTGGACTTTGGAGTCCTATTTGCTTGGATCGTTGTCTCGTTGGCATTCTATCCTGTCGCCACGCTTATTATGCGTTGGAAAATGAAGCGTGGACTTTAGGTTTGTCAGGGACCTGTTCAACCTCATAGAAAGCTTTCTTGTACTATATACTGCTGGCTACTACTAATGCTGCGCTGATCGACTGGTTTGATTAAGTGCTACATACACTGTATATCATATACCTCATATGTGAGTGCTAGAATTTGTACAATATTACGCAAAATTGATATAAAAAACTCACGAGTTTCATAACGATCGTATGAGTATATACATCATGTCATTTCAATCATCCAAGGTTGGTGGAGACCCAGTCATTCACGTCCTGATGTCGCAGCGTTGCCTGAATCCACGGTCAGAAACCCACAGTCTCCAGAATAGCAATCCTGTACGTATCACCGGCAGTCGGATCCAGGTTCTGAAGATCAACCAAGCTCAGACCACGCATGCTGTCATTGAGATTCTGCTCTCCAAGACTGGGCGATTCAAAATCGCCAGTATCTTGTTCTGTTTTGGGGATTGGATTCAGAATATAAAGGTCGTGGGCTCTGTTGGTACCTTCCATCAGCCTGTGCTTTTAACTTTAGAAGGAAGCATATTCAACAAGACGGGCACTCACGCTGGGAAGTCGTGAAACTGACTAGCAGGACTGTCACTTCGAGGACTCATGATGCATATGCTCTGATGTTTTGTTGCAGTTTAAACTTTTGTTTGGAATGAACCTTTTTTTGATGTTCGATTGTGATTTGGACGTCTTATGTTGAATACCCCCACCTCCCCGATTTTATCAAGCCTGTGGTAAACAGAGTATATATAGAGTGTGGTATCGCCACGGGTGGCTCGGCAGTGACTAGGGTGGCGGACGCCGAGGTGATGTCGTGATTACATCGACAGGCAAACTGGCGATGTTGCAGGTGATCCATGGTTCATGAGAATTCTTCGATTTTTAAGGAAATAGTTAAGTTCCACTTATTCAGATCATAGATAGGCAATAAGGTTTATCACGGTGCATGCTGGTCACAATTGATGAAATGGACAAGGTTGTTCGGAGTTGTACCCATTTCCGATATCTATATTATATATGTGGAAGTCTACTATGTACACGACCTCGGTACCTTACTGTGTGACCCCTAGCGCATGAATTCCACCGATCGTTCTACACATTGATGACTTCCAACGGTACCGTACCTAGTACGATACTCCTCCTCATCACTCTTATCCTTATCCTCTCTGGGACCCCAGTCATAACACCAATTATAATTTAGTGGAACAGGTTGCACGATTGTCTCACGCAAAATTTTTAGCTGGTGCCTGCCTAGAATAGATCTATCTGAAACAGCATGCATAGTTGTCTGGAAAGTATTCAAAATCCGATCTTTCTCTTGATAAACTCAACATTCACATGATTTACCCTCACAGGAAGCCCAGTTGTTGATCAATTACGCTTCGCACAATCTCCTCCCATGAGCGCCACTTCATCCCCAGCTCATTTTCCGCCTTGGAGGTATCGGTAGGCGTGGAAGCACCTTCAGCGCCCACTGTGAGCTTAGCACCAATGTTGGGGTAGGCTTCGTTCACAATGCGAGCCACATCGTTCCATGTAATTGGCTTTGCTGCAAGCAGGTACTTGGATCCATCCTTGATTTTCGAATTCAATGCCTCGATATGCGCCTCAGCAACATCCTGAATGTGCACACCCGTGATGCCGGCACCTCCATATGTGGTTCCTTGCATCACACCACCCCAGATGATACCATTGGACCCTGCGCGGATCCCTTCGGCGGAGGTTTGCACCAGGTTGTGTCCGAAGACGAATGCCGGATGGAGAGTCACCAACGAGTAATGGGGCCGATTGGCCTTCCAAAAGTCCCATGTTGCCTTGTCCGCAAGCAATTTGGAAGCTCGATACAAAGTCATTGGTGCTGCGGCCGGATTGTTGGGATCGACGAAGTTTGCATTTGGATCAACGGTCAGATCCCAGTCGTTTTCCTCTAAATAAAATGTTAGCACATTGTAAATATTGGTTGGATGCGGCATTTCTGGGTCATGTATTGCAAGTCACCTTTTATAACACCACCCTCGGGTATCCCAGTGAGGGGGAACAAGGAAGCAATGGAAGATGTGATCACAACCTTCTTGATGGTTGACACTCTGTCCGCTTCTTTGAGAATAGCCAATGTTCCCTTTACCGCGGGGGTGAAATAAGTTTCCTTATCTGTCCCGTGGGTAAGTGGTGACGCAAGATGGAGAACATAGTCCACCCCATCGAGCTTGCCTCTGAAAGCAGCCTCCTCAGTGAGATCTGAGACGATGACGAATTCTATCTGGTCATGGTATTCCGACAGCAAAATCTTGAGCTTATCTGAATTCTGCCGAACGGCAATTCGGAGTCGATAACCCGCCTTCAGAGCCTCAAGAGCGGTGGCACTACCGATAAACCCAGTAGCACCAGTTATGAAGATCAATGGAGCGGACATGATGATTTGCGATCTATACTTCTAATGAGTGTTTCAACAAGCGATATACATGACCTTAAGTAGCTGGAGAGCTGAATATACATTTGTCATCTCGAGGCAGAATTCTGCCTCGGCTTGATCACTCATCATGGAATCGACCAGTTTCCTAGGATTAGAAATCCTCACAGTAATTAGTAAACAAGTCTAAAACCCACATCTGTTACAAAATTGATTTTTCCCAATTAGTTTAACAATTCTTGATCACAAAATCTTCTCGGAGCGACACATTATATATGCAAGCGTTAGACTTGATCTTCTACGTACTACCTTAAAAAGGAAAAGACTAATTAAGCTAATTCTAATATACCAGTTTATTCTAACCTAGGTGTTTCAACCTCACCCAATCATCCCATCCCAAACTGGTGGGTGACGTGGTGGAAAGGGGCCCGTTCTTCGCATAAACCACTCACGTCCACGCTCGGCCCGGGGGCCGTTGGTAGCTCAATTTAGCCAATGGGGCTAGCAAGAACAAAGTCCAGCCCCACATGGCTATCTAAAGTCCTTGTGCTGGACTTGCTTCATGGTGACTTACGGAGATTTACGAGTTCTTGCCCGTTTTTAGGCGTATCTTATATCCTATCTGATTTGCAACATATGGCTTTTGTCACTGGCGGTCCCATGACGCCTAGCTACCGGGCATGAAGCGAGGCTTTTACGATCCTATCCATCCACTCCCCAGGGCTTAGGTACTTGAGTCTTAGGTCTGATGGTGTATGTAAGGCTGTATGAGACCGCAGGGAATGCCAAGATCTAATCCTTGGCAACCAATCCACGAGAGTAAAGGACATTGGGGTATATTGCTGACTCTTAAGAAATCCGCCTCGTCTGACTACGTCTTGGCATGTATGTGCGCTAAAATGGCACCGTGAGCAGTGGTCTACAATGAGTATTCTGCCTTGCCGCGCACCTATACCATGGCTCGCTCCTCTTGGACTCTGGGTATAAATGATTGACATTGCCCATGTCTATCACCGTCAAACATCAGTCTTATTACCATTTCAAGAGATCTGCAGGCTGCGATAGCAAATATCATATCAAGCAAATGCCCATCCTTTCCTCATTAGCATACAAGACAAGATGATATCTTCCACAATGGGGGTATGCGATGAAGTTCCTATTCCCGATGTTCTGCTTTGAAGCTAACAGGTCGCAGTTTAATCGTGGTGATGTCGTGCAAATCCTAGGCGACTCTACTACTTACTATGTTGTGATTGACGAAGATGAGTCAACAAACAGGTTCAATGTTCAGAAGACGAACGGAAAGGGGGGCTACGCGAGTGGTGATATTTTTTCAGTTGAGGAAGATGAGCTAGTTCTCGGTTAAGTGAGCAAGCATTTGAGTACGATATCTACCGGAAACTACACTTGAGTAGGAGATATTGATTACATAGTGTGACTCAATGACTGAATTTACTGATTTGAGCTTCATTGTGCTCATTGAAGGTCTTGCATGCGAGTATTAGTACTAAGAAATAAGTTGTTAAACTTGGGATCTACTGGTTGACTATTGTTTACCATGCTTGATGAGATGTTAAGTCTATTCGTGGTTCCGGAATATGGAGTACTATACACTGCTTTGACGACAATACCAAATGTGATCGTGTTCATTATGCAGTTCCACCATGTATTATCAGCAAGCATTAATCTACTATAACCCATCCATTGCAAGGCGCTCGATTTTCCAGCCCAGCAAAGTATCAGAAGACCCCACAGTATCGGGATGGCTGGCACCTAAAGACATTGTCTGGAGATTGACACAGTTCGTCATCAATTCGATAGCATCAGCATGGCGATCGACTATGTTCCAAAGCTTGGCCAGGTCATGCATGATCCTCAGTGTGTCAGGATGATCGTCTCCAAATTTGCTCTTGCGAATGTTGAGTACTTGCACATAAATTGCTTCACAATCCTCCCATCGTTCTAAATGGGAGTAGATGGCCCCTAAATTTTTCATACTGCGCAATGTTTGAGGATCCTCGACACCCAGCACCCGCTTTTCAATGTCTATTAGCTTTGCCTGGAGGGCTTCGGCATGCAAATATTGACACTCGTCCCCATATTCTGCCACTAGGATGTTCATGACAGCCAATGTTTCAAGTTCCTCCGCACCGTGTAGTCTTTGCTGGATGCCTAGCATTTCTATGCCTAGTGCTTCGGCATCCTGTAACCGGCCAAGGCCCAAGTAAATGGTCAATAAGTTGTACATCGTACTTAACATCTGGGGATTCCCTTCGTCGAGCACTTTTCTCTGGACCTCTAATGCTTGCGCACATAGCATCTCGGAATCTTCGAATCGGCCTTGCTTACAATAAGTAAACGCTAGGTTGCTCATAGTAGACAACGTGTTAGGATCCTCAACACCGAATACCCTCTTTTCAACGCTTAGGACTTCCAGCTCTAATGTCTCAGCATCACTTAATCGATCCTGATGTGTGAGGACAATTGCTAGATTTGCCATACTTGCCAGGGTATTACGGTGCTCGACTCCGAGCACTCGTTTTTGAATTTCTACCACTTGCCGACCCAGCATTTCAGCATCTAGCAATCGGTTATGCTCCTGGTATGTCGATGCAAGGTTACCCATGCTGACCAACGTGACAGGATGCTCCGTACCAAGAACCCTCTTCTGGATCTCTAGCACTTGCGATTGTAGCGCTTCGATGTCTTGCCATAGACCGTCCTTTTTGTAGGTGGCTGCAAGCAAGCTCATACTCATTAGAGTGTGAGGATGTTCTGCACCAAGCATTCCATTGGTATTCTCTAGTACTTGCATTAATAGATTCTTAGCGTCCTGCAATCGACCCTGCTTGAAATATACGAAGGCTAGATTGTGCATTGCGTATAGCGTGTGAGGATGCTCTGCCCCAAGATGGTCCACGCCAAGAACCCTCTTGCGAGTCTCTAGCACTTGAGCTTGTAGGACTTCAGCATCTTGCGTTCGGCCTAGATCGGAGTATATCAATGCCAAGTGCTCCATACTCTTTAGAGTGTCAGGATGCTCTGCACCAAGAACCTTCTTGCGACCTTCAAGCACCTGCACTTCGAGCGTTTCGGCGTCTCTCCATCGCCCTTGGCGGGAAAGTGTTTGTGCAAGGTTTCCGGAGTATATCAGAATATCTGGATGGGTTATGGCAAGGTCCTGCCTGCCGGACTGTCTCTTGCGAGTCTCGAGCACCTGGACCTGCAATGCTTCAGCGTCCTGCCAACGACCTTGACCGAAGTAAACGTTTCCAAGATTGGTCATGGTATGGAGTGTTTTACGATGCTCTGCTCCAAGCAATCTCTTGCGCGTCTCTAACAGTTTCATAAAAACATCTTCAGCCTCGCGGAATTGACCTGCCATTTCATATGCCATCCCTAGGATCTCAAGACTCTGGAGGGTGTCTTCGTGCTCAGGTCCTAATAGTTTCTCATCTGTTTTGATGACCACTTTGGCCAAATGTTTCATCTCCGCCACATTTCCTGTTATCCAAGCATACCTCGCTCCCTCGTAGAGTAGAACAGACCATTCTTGTAAGGCCTCGTCTGACACTGGCCGTTGTGAGACTGCTGACTTGATGTGCGGGAAAAGCAACTGGCATGTAGCAAGATTGTCATAATCCGGACTGGGGAACTTGCTAGACAGATTCTTGATGAACTGCCGTTTCCATATTTCGACTTCTCCGTGGATATCAAGCCAGTTTCGCATAGCCAGCTGTACTAGACCATGCATCTTGAGTACAGTAGCCTCTTCATTAACAGAGATAAATGAATAGTCTCTCAGTATGCTAATGTCTTCCTCAAATTCGGCATTCAAGTCACGTTCGGTGTCACTGGCCTCGCTATCATCACTGAAATTATGCAATCGGGCCTCAGAGGCCGTATAACCGTCGTCGGGATAGGACTGGGCTTGAAGAAGGTCCTCTGTGATTCCCTGTCGATCGAAAAAGCTCATGAGGGAGAGGAGGTCTGCCGCTGACTCTCTTATCTGCCGGATATGATCAAATGATAGTTGCCAGGTAATCAATATGGAATTCTTTGCGTCCCAATCTCGGTATAGGTTCCCCGCCCCATGACCTAGCAACCTTAGTCTTTCGCGATCGTTCTTCTGGAACTCATGTAGATATTGCGATATTGAGCAACGAGGTGCTCTATTGTCAATGTAAGCTGCCGCCTGTATGATGGCGAGCGGCATAAATTTCAGGGCTTCTATGAGCTTTGAGGCATCTTCACTGTCTGTCTGGCCGAGCTTTTTCTGTAGCAGTGCTAGTGCCTGGGCCTCGTCCATTGGCTCAACCATGATAAGATTATTTTTATCGACAAATCTTAGTGCCACACTCTGACTTCGAGTTGTGAGAATTATTGAACCATTCGGGCTTCGAGGGATGAAAATTGAGAGTGGCTGGCTCGTGGGTGAGTGTTCATGGAGGAAACCATCATCGTCCATGTTATCGAAGATTAGCAACCACTTCCCTTCGGCGTGGAGCCAATCGTGGACAATCTTGAAAATATTGACCTTGGGATCATGACGGCCAGGGATTTTAGCTCGGTCGGCAATTCCCCGGAAGCTTTGCTCAAAGCGAGTTGCGTTGCTCGCATGAATCCAGAACACCGAGATTTCAGGGGATTTCTCTCGCAGTTGATACGAGTACTCAATGGCCAGTTTTGATTTTCTTGGTTGGTTAGCAGTGTGCAATATATCAAGGGCCCATAATAAGTATCGTTTACTCACCCAACACCCCCGACTCCAACGAGAGCTATTCGACCTGCTGGTGTGGCGCATTTCTCGTGTACTTGATCCAGAAGTGACCCGCGGTTGATGAAGTCCGTGTCAGGACCGAACGGAACTGTTGATGAGGGACTTGGCGGTACTTCTGGTTGTTCTGAGCGGTTATCAGTCAATACCTGATCACGATCCATACCATAGTTCCACTTAAACTTACCGGTCCTCGAGTATGAATTAAAAATTACTTGGCCGTGGTTGATGGCCACCTGCTGCCCGTCATTTCTGCCATTTAATGCCAGGCTTGTGGCCATGGTGATGCTCAACGCTCCCAGGAGCATTGATTGAGGACGTGAAATGATGCATGGAATACGAAGCTGAGTGAGGGGCATCCGCTCGGCCTCATTGGGTGCCTGTCAGGTGACTGGAGGCTTGATCAATGTGGAATAATAAGGCGACGCGACTTAGAATACATCATACCGCGTAAGAAGTCATCCTTAAGCAATACTACCTATGCTTGTTCGCGAACAATAAAGGTACCAAGCGGTATGTGTTTCCGTCCACATGTGTCTATACTCGGAAGCAGTAATTTTCGGCGGCAATTGTATACCTAGATTCAACTGTTTACATATGCTTGAGCTTTTGATTGGGCTTTGTATATTCTCCTTTTGTTCCGTTACTCAGTAGTGGCTTCAATGTCGCTTTTTCAATAAACCTACCTGACATGTCCAAGTAGTGTGGCGGAAGACATAGATATAAACTTTGGCATCGCCGCATGTGGCTCGGGGGTGGCTAGGGTGGCCGAAGTCGAGGTGATGCCGGGGTTACATCGACTGGCGAACTGGCGATATTGGTACCAGGGCTGGTACATGATGAGGGGTGATCTGGGAATAGTTTGATTTTGGCCGAGATGTGATAGTATCATTATGCTTTGGTTTGCTATGGAGAAGTCCTTACCATAGATGCTAGTCAGGCGTTAGCTCACCTTCATCGTGGATTGTACAGTATTATGTATCATCTTGTTTGGTAAGTACAATTCAAATAAAAAGCATCGAGATGATTGGAAATGAAACGGACGGATGGGATGTGATGTCAAGGCAAGAGCGCATCATCACGCCCGTTCTTTCCCTTTTTGGGAAAGGGACAGCATGATCTGGGGAAGGAGCCATTTCACTTTGGATGCCATGTGCGTCCAGTCACGCCTCCCATTGGCCAGGTCAGATTGGCAGTGGTGCCTGGATGTGGTCGGCAAGGTGGGACATGATAACTATACTCCGTACATGACATGCTATCCTGGTGCCAATTTGCACATGGTAACACCCCACGAGTATTACCCTCCGTGTTTACCCCCGCCAACGGTCTTTTATATCTCTGTTTCCTTTCTCTTCCTCCTCTTCTTTCTCCCCTCCCCACCCTTCTCACTATCCAGGGCGTCTTTGAAGTTCTTGTGTTCACCCTCATCTCAGTCAACATGGCGTCCACGCAAGAGGTTCCTCTGGTTCCCTTCAGCAGCCTGCCCCCCATTCACGATGAAGAAATAGCTATTCATGATGGCAGTGAGACCTCGTACCTCAGCGATCCCAAGGAAGCGCGCCGACGTGCTCTGGCTGAGATTGATAATGCCAAATTCGGATGGCACCATGTTCGCGCTGTGGTTGTAGCCGGCGTGGGCTTCTTTACTGACTCCTATGACATCTTCGCCATCAATCTTTGTGTCAGCATGCTTGGCGTTGTTTACTGGCAGACGGCCAAATCGAACCCCGGCAAGATCCCCTCAAGCTCTGACACCGCCATCAAAGTTGCAACCTCCGGTGGTACTGTCATTGGTCAGCTCTTCTTCGGCTGGCTTGCTGACCGCATTGGTCGTAAGCGTATGTACGGCTTCGAGCTCATGATCATCATCCTTGCTACCCTGGCTCAGGCTCTCTCGTCTAATTCCCGCGCTATCTCCATCACTGGTTTGTTGATTTTCTGGCGTGTCATCATGGGAATTGGTATTGGCGGAGACTATCCGCTCTCTTCTATCATCACTTCTGAGTAAGTCAACTTTCCTGGGGTAGCAATAACACGTCCGTTGAACCGTGACACAAACACTCCATCCTGCATCCACCCCTCCAAACCTTCCTCCCACACATCGTTCTTTAGCCTATTATTGGCACAAGAGCCCACAATCTATTCACTATCACGTATTAATTGAACATCGCTGATGATTTAGGTTTGCTACTACCAAGTGGCGCGGTGCGATGATGGGAGCTGTCTTTGCAATGCAAGGCATCGGACAGTTTGCTGCCGCGATTATCGCCCTTATTGTCACCGCTGCCTTCAAAGCGTCACTTGAAACTGCAAAAGATGTAGCCCACTGCACGGGAGTTTGTCAACTCGCCGTTGACAAAATGTGGCGCACTGTCATCGGAATGGGTGCTGTGCCTGCGTGCGCGGCTCTCTACTTTCGACTCACCATTCCTGAAACGCCTCGTTACACCTTCGATGTTGACCGTGACATTCTCAAGGGTGACTCTGATATCCGTGCTTATATGAAGGGAGAGAGCGAGGGCCACCCCGATGAAATTCGCCGCATCGCTGTTCTTCGCAACAAAAACACCGAGACCATGGTTCCCAAGGCGACCTTCGCCGATTGGTACCATCACTTCGGAAATTGGAAAAATGGAAAGGTTCTTCTCGGCACAGCTGGATCGTGGTTTTTTCTCGACGTTGGTACGTTAATCTGCTTCTACAATGTCGACGCTAGCTAACTCACCCATCAGCTTTCTACGGACTTGGCCTGAACAACTCTGTTATTCTGGGCGCTATCGGATGGACAGGTGGACATGATGTCTACCAGATCTTTTACCGCAATGCTGTCGGTAACCTGATTCTCATCTGTGCCGGTGCTATTCCGGGCTACTGGGTGACTGTTGCCACCGTTGACACGATCGGCCGCAAGCCAATCCAGCTGTTTGGATTCATTATGCTTACCATCCTGTTTATCATCATCGGTTTTACCTATCACCCTCTGAAAAAGTCCCACAATGGTCTTCTGGCGCTCTACGTGCTTGCGCAATTCTTCTTCAACTTCGGCCCCAACGCGACCACCTTCATTGTCCCTGGAGAATGTTTCCCTACTCGGTACCGTTCGACCTCCCACGGCATCAGTGCTGCGACTGGTAAGATTGGTGCAATCATCGCACAGTGTGTCTTTGGCCCCCTAGTCAACAAAGGCGCTCCCAAGGGAACTTCCAACAGCCCTTGGCTAAACCACGTCATGCAGATCTTCGCACTCTTCATGCTTTGTGGCGTCTTCATGACTCTACTTATCCCTGAGACCAAGCGCCGCACTCTAGAGAGCCTTTCCGGGGAGGAACCTGAAGATGACTGTGTTACCCACCATCAACCATCCGAGGAGTCTAGCCGTAAGAGGCCTGACATGACTGCTGTTGCTGGCGTCACTTCCCGGGGAGATTAGAGTCTGGTCCCATGCGAACTCTGAGTCTGAGCCAGCACTCAATTGAAAGAACAAAGTTGCCTGTTTGTTCAGCTGAGGTGGCTTGATATCCATTTTCGCCTCTTCCGTTCTATCTTTTGTCCCCCGGTTGGTTTTGATTCATGTTTATCGATTCGGTCGCAATTTAGAAGCTAGTAGCACTATCTAGTTAATACTTCTTTTTTTAATAGCTAATGATATCGCTTCCTTTGATTATTCCTTGTGCTGGGGTAAACTTCTTTGTCTTTTTCTCAGCGAATCGGTTACCTGCATTTGCTCTAGTTTCATGACACGAGACAATACCACCTCAGATGATAAATCAAACCTTTTCTGCAACTTCAATATTTCCACAAAGCATAGGTAGAGTTCATTCTAGACTAGTATTGAAAGTATAAAGAATGAATTCAGCTGGAAGGAATAATGGCTTGGGGTCCGATTCTGCATCAGGCCAGGCACCGAATTCCCCCAAATAACCCACAGCGAAATCCCAGAATCAAAGTCGAACAACATGAAGACATGTAGCAATCACTCAGGCAAAATCTCCTTCCTTATCCATAATTATGTCTCACGAGTTGCACCTACCCACCGAATTAACCGTTGTTCTCTTCAACCTGATCGGATTCTATTTTATTTTCTTTGTCATCGTCTTCTTTCTTTGGTTTTGCAGGGACTTCCTGACTGAGCACTTTGGTTAGATTGTGAGTCAGCTTGCATCATTGACTCTTCGCGGGCAACCTTCGTTTGTTTCCATTGATGAACAAACGAGAACACAATGTCTGACACATCTAGCTACGATACAGTTGAGCTTCTCCGCGACTGATAAATACATCCACAATCTGCTGGAGCTATTTCGAACACGGCTATTATCAAGAGGACAGTGATCATGAAATGCACTTTTGAGTGGATGGTTACTGAGAACGACGGCAGCTCTGCTTTGGTGAAGAGGGCATCCGCTGAGCTGTCATTCCCGACTGATGTCGACAACGCTGCGCGCAGTGATATTACAGAAAATACTTCAGACTACGCCGTGTCTGGACGCCGCGCAGTGAAACGCAATACTCCTGACGGCGACAGTCCAGTCATCGCTGCCCCAGAAAGCACCCATACAGACGATAGCGAGCTACAGAATAGCATTAGAGATATCGATATCTCAGAAGCCAAGGACTCAAATAGCAGCGCGCCAGAAAATATCTCATCAGAGAGGGATCTTCCAGACGATAATACTCCAGACATCACCGCTCCAGGCATTGGCGATCTAGAAAGCAGCGGTCCGGAGAATATTTCGACACAAAAAAGCACTGCAGACATCGACATCACAGAGATCAGCGACTCGAGGAACAGCGTGCCGGACAAGAACATACCAGGGAACGATACTTCCAGTAATAGCACCCACATCGTTCACGATACCACCATTGAAGTTGTTGTACAGGAGCCCAGCTTATGTCCTACAATGGCAACCTTTGAGGCGCCTTACGATTCACCAACCCCTTCCTCAACGTCAACCAGAAGCTCAAGCTCAAAGTCCAGCTCAGCAGCAAGCAACGTCTCCACCAACTCAATTCCTCCACCACCACTTCCACCCCAAAACCTAACAACCCCCTCCAACTCAGCACCATCATCCATCTCTTCCTCGTCCGACTCAGAAGATCCCCAAGACCCAACCTCAGAACCAATCCTCAAGCCAGTCGAAAACCCAACAGAGGAAGGCATGCTCGAAACAGCCCCCGCAATAACAGAAGCAGACCTGATTTCCTCCCTCCACCTAATCGCCGACTCAATCGCCCAACAGCGTCAGATGGCCTCAAAATCCATCATCCACAGTGGCTTCTACTGGTCCATCCTCGTTATCATCTTCGAATACCTCTACCGTATCCTCTGGCATACACCCGCAGACTGGATAATGATCCTACTTCTCTGGGTCTGCTCCGTAATCGCCACGTTGAGCGGGATAAAGATATGGACAAGTGGATACCTCGATGAAGCGGAGCGTGTGGGGCGGTGGTCTTGGCTTTTTGGGGGTAAATGGGCTTCTAATTTCGATGGGGAACGTGAGGATGATGCTTTTGCGCCGCTGAGATGGACTTTGTGTCAAGGAGTTTGGTTTCGAGTTTCTGGTGGTCACGTTGAGAAGGCTTTGGCTTGGTGTGCGATGAAAAGGAATATGAAGAAGAAGGAGGTTCTGAGACAGAGGTCTCTTGGTGGTGTTTGTGATGTGGGGAAGGCGTGGGAGGAATACAGTGCTGGTACTAGTGCTAACGATGATGCTAGTGCTGGGCTTGAGATCGATGTGCGGAAGGAAAGTCTGAAGGAGGGGTGGATGCAGGATAAAGTGTTTGTGTCACGGTTCAACGGGCGTGTTATTGCTACACTGGTCATCCGTACTGTGCCCGTTGATACAGATTCAGTGGTTACTGTTCCCCGGAATGAGTACGATTCCGACTCCGAGGTTGATTCGGATGGATACTGTCATCTTTCGCATTTGAAGCCTACCTCGCAGCCGGAGAAGGTGGTCATTCGAGCTTGGACTGTAATGCAGAAATATCGTGGTTTTGGCGTTGGACTGGGGATCTTGCAATTTGCGATTGAGTATGCCCTGGAACTTGGCTTGCAGGGTCCGGAGTTTGCTGTTGATCATACGAACTCCTTGCGGGCTTTGCCGAAGTTGTTTAATGGGAATATGGACCGGGATGACAAGCGAGCGAGGGATCGACTTGCTAAGGAAATTCGGAAGTGCGTTACTGGGAAGCAGGGGAACGAGAAAAAGGTTTAGATCTTTCCAGATAGGCCGTTTGATTTTCCTCTGATATACAGTCGTGAATACTTTGCTTTATGTTCAATGAATGTTGTTTAGAATACTTCATATCCCGGTCGTGACTTTGGGCCCTGTAGAGACTAAATGGAAGGACGACAAACAAAGATTAGTTACTATGATATGGTATCGTCTTCACCGCCGATCTATACTGTGGACAGAGGTAGAACCCCGAGCCACGTTGCAGTAGCCGAACCCAGTGACCGAGCCGAAGCTTGAATTCCCCAGTTCCCCACAAAGGACTGGAGGCATCGATTCAAAACCAGGCTGTGACCCTTTTGTATCTGGATATGCTACGATGCAGGGTCAGTGCCACTCCGATCATACCACCGGAAAAATTGGAAATCGGCGCTAGTGTCCGTAGCATATTAGAGGGATCATCATCCCGTCTTCTTTCATGGACGCCATTGCCGAATGTTCGGAGACGATCCGGTATATACTTCATCCCCAGGATTCCAACCGGGATTTCATAAGCTCAAAGTCGCAAAACGCGACTAGAGTAGACCGTCAAAACCACGCAAGTTGGCAGTGGATACCAGACCAAGTTCCATAATCGGCCTTTGACCGGGTGAACATCGGTAAAAAATTAGCCAACAGGCTCAAACCCCGCGTCGACCTATTCGCCGAATATTCCAAATTTGCCGACTCGCCAGCCTTCCCGGAACGATGATCCATACTGAATACACCACCGACCAATCTCCGAAAAGTGTCCCGGGACGGCCCCAGCGCCCCAGTCCGGTTTGGTTCATATCCGGGGAATGGGGAAGACACCCGGCTAATACCCCGGAAAGGCAAAACCGAGTGTCAAATCCAAGTATTTATCGAGACCAGACCTGATTAGGGCAACCCGACCAGGACCGTCCAAGGAGCGGTAATTGCCGAGAATCAGACATTCCGGCTGGAATCCTTCCCGCGAGAAGCCGAATCAATTAGAGCTCCGAGGGCGACGGGTGAGGCGTAGTGGCGTGTTTAGGAGGGAGTGAGTCAACAGGCTAAATTAGTGCTTTCATCCGCGGGATCGAGTGACGGCATGTGGGCAGATGTAACTGCTTACGGTACGCGACTAGCTTCATTTGTTTGTGGGGCTCCGGTGCTGGTTGGCTTGATGCTGGTCTGCGTCTTCCGTTCGTCGGGGCATTGGCGAGTTCAGGGGTCAGGGTTATCCATTTGAAACTTTGAACGCACATATTGAAGACTTCCATCGGATGTTCCGGCTCAAAAACCTACTGTAGGTCTGTTCAAGCAGGTTTGCAGGCAATGGAAAGGCGGGGTCCCCAGGGGGTTTGACTGCGGAGTCGGTGGATCAGAGGAGCCAATGAGCAGGCGCTTCGGTCTTTCTGCGCTCGCCGAAGGGTACATTTAGTCCTGGCCCCAACTTGAGATGAATCAAATCACATCTGAAAAGAAAGCAGAGCATAGTAGTCAGCCTTGGTGTTGTGCATGGTATAATGTATAAACTATTCGCATAATCAGCCCTTGTCATGAACAATTTACTGTGACTGAATTTATCCAAAGTTTGACCGGATAAATAGCGATGCCACACCCGCAGCCACTGACACACCGATCCTTTCATTATTTCATAGCCGACCAGGTGGGGAATGGGCTCAGACCAGGATCCATGTACAACGTAGAATGGCCCCATGGGGATAATGTCCCGGGGAAATTTATCCAGTCTAGAGCTCGGCGACAATTTGGTGCGTCAATAAATACCGCTGATCCCCAATTCTTGATGCGTTGGTTTTCTTTGTCGTGTATCTACCATCTACCGACATAGGGCATTCGCACGTTCTTTCTATTTAGTCGGAAGCTCATCTGTCATCATGGGTCCTCTTCCTGGTGAGACGGCCATTTCGGCCAAGCGTGCCGAGCTCGCTGGCAAAGGTGGAATCTGGGGATTGCTCAGTAATAAGAAAACTTCTTTGATCGGATTGTTCGCGTCATTGGGTGGTCTTGTGTATGGATGTAAGTCGATTGGCAAGAGCGGAGACGAGCTAAGCTGACCGGATTAGACAATCAGGGAATGTTCGCGCAGGTCTTGACCATGAAGTCCTTCCAGGATGCCGTATGTTGAATGCCTCTGAGCTCAATGTCGATGATACTGACAAGTTCAGACGAACGGATATGCCGCCACAACAAGTATCCAGCAGGGTATGTTGACGTCGATTCTCGAGCTCGGTGCTTGGGTGGGAACACTCATCAATGGATACCTGGCCGATAAACTCGGTCGCCGTCTGACCGTGCTGGTTGCCGTGGTTGTTTTCTGTGTTGGTGTCATTGTGCAGGCGTGTACACAGAACAAGGATTACGTCTTCGGTGGTAGATTCGTCACTGGTCTAGGTGTTGGTAGTTTGAGTATGGTGGTGCCACTATACAATGCTGAGCTGGTGAGTCTAATTCGCGGCTAAAAGAAACCCAGGCTGATGGGAACAGGCACCTCCTGAGATCCGTGGATCCCTCGTCGCTGTGCAGCAACTGGCCATTACCTTTGGTATCATGGTGTCCTTCTGGGTGAGTAAACATTCATGGCTTGGTCTCCTCACTCTAACAGTGATAGATCGGATACGGAACAAACTACATCGGAGGAACAGGCGCAGGTCAATCAGACGCAGCCTGGCTGGTCCCTATCTGTATCCAGATTTTGCCTGCTCTCGTCCTGGCGGCCGGAATGATGCTTTTCATGCCTCAGTCCCCGCGTCACCTCATGAATACCGGTCGCGAGGAAGAGTGCCTGCAGACTCTAGCCCGCCTGCGTGGGACCACTACCGACGATCTTCTTGTGCGGATTGAGCACCTGGAAATCAAAAGCTTGTACCTGTTTGAGAGGGAAACTGCGGCAGAGAAGTACCCGCACTTGCAGGATGGATCTTTCTCCAGCAACTTCAAGATTGGTCTCAATGATTATCTGTCCCTCATTACAAACAAGTCTCTGTTCAAGCGGACATCTGTTGCTGTATGTGCTCTGTTCTTTTCTACAATACCAATGCTAACTTGAACAATCAGTGCATGATCATGGTGTTCCAGCAGTGGAACGGTATTAACGCTATTAACTACTATGCGTGAGTATTCTTGTCTCTTTACATGGGCTTGACTGACATCATCCAGCCCATACATCTTCGAGGATATGCAGCTCCCTGGAAATACCACTACCCTCCTCGCTACCGGTGTCGTCGGCATTGTCGAGTTCGTGTTCACCATCCCTGCCGTGCTCTGGGTGGATCAAATCGGTCGCAAGAAGATTCTCATCGCCGGTGCCGCGGGTATGGCCATTTGTCACTTCATCGTTGCGGGTATCATTGGTGGGTTCCAGAATAAATGGCTGGAGAACCAGGGTGCCGGATGGACTGCTATTGTGTTTGTGTGGATCTTCGTGATCAACTTTGCTTACTCCTGGGGTATGTTCCACCGACCGTGTCTATGATATATAACTAATGATCTCAGGTCCCGTCGCATGGATTGTTACATCCGAGGTCTTCCCATTGAGTATGCGTGCTAAGGGTGTTAGTATCGGTGGTAGCAGCAACTGGGTAAGTCTTTTTCCTCTCTGCGCTACTCGCAGGCCTAACTGATTGCATAGTTGAACAACTTTGCGGTCGCTACCGCTACCTCTCCCTTTGTCAAAGCTTCGACCCTCGGTACATTCATCTTCTTCGGGTGCGTGACCACCATTGGCATCTTCTACGTGATCTTCTTCGTCCCCGAGACCCGGGGCCGTACTCTAGAGGAGATGGACGAGCTCTTCGGTTCAACCGGTATGGCCGCTGCAGATGCGGAGCGCAAGCACCGTATTGAACGTGAGATCGGTCTCCTTGCACTGGTTGGCGTTGAGAGCTCTGCCATGGAGAAGGAGGAGTTGGGGGCTTCCCACAGTGAAAAGGTCGTTGAGACCACCACCGAGGCTCCTGACACTCACACCGATACCACACAGTAACTTGCGTCGAGCAAGGAGGTGCTGTGAAGATACCCTTGATTTAACTATTATATCCTATTTGTACCCTGTACATGTGCAGCTATGCAGAAATGATTGGTCACCCGGTCGCATTGTGATTATCGAATATGATCTCCATTCTTATTGGCTCAGTGCTGTGTGGCTTGTTTACTATCGTATGTGATCTGCAATAACGCTCACCTTGCAGTTGATTCGTCACACAAACCTTCATTGAATTCCAATTGCAGCTGATGTGTCGAACTGATTTATTCGAGATGCCTAGAGCCAAGAAATTGGGAAATCTTTATCTTGGTCAGTGCTATGTATAGTTGTGCAGGGTGGGTCTGTTCCCCACAGAAGCAGTGTGTGTGGCCAAGTTCCATCGTGATACATCGTTTGTCTTACATTCCTTCACAAATCTGGGTCTGCTTCCTTGGATCCCTTTATATCCTTGACTCCTCCCTTCAACCGTTCAACATCCACTTGTCCTCTCCAACGCTCCTCTCTCTCCATACATGCATTCAAACTCAACCCAACCTACCACGCGAAAACAAAAGCCAAGATGTCCACAACTACCTCCTCCGTCTCCTCCACATCCACCGCCTGCACGGCAAATGTCTACCAACTCCCAACAACAGATGCAGCCTGCGCGGCCGTCAACACAGGCAACATGACAACTGTCTTCGACACCTGCTGCAAAGGCAACAGCCCCGTGAAATACGAAAACGACTGCGGCATCTACTGTCTCGCCCAAGAGCAGACCGTTGAAAAACTTCTGTCCTGCCTCCAGACAACAGGAAACAACTACCGCGATGTCTTCTGCAATGACAAACTGAATGCGACTGCGACTGCCAAGGCGACTACCACTGCGTCCGAGACCGGGACGAAGACTGAAACATCTTCTACTTCGACCACTACATCGACGAAGAACGCGGCTGCTGGACAGCCTGTTTCGACCATGGGACTAGGTGTCCTTGCCATGGTGTTGTTCTCGGGCGTGATGGGTGTCTTTGCTTGAATCCAAGAAGCAGGGAAATGGTGATGCGATGTGATCAGGTCGATCAGATCAAATCGTGTGGAACCTGGAGTGGTTCCTTTGACAATGACGTTTCTTCCATGTATCAGTACTCCGTACATTTTAATATGATGATCTTTGACTCTGCAATAAAGTTTGGCCAATCGAAAATTGCTCCTGGAATTTTCCGGATCGTCGCATTAGTGGAGTTTCTCCTCTTCTCCTCATCCTAATGAGGTAAATTCCCGAACATCGCGATCGGATAAATTCAGGAACGGAGTATTTAAAGTTCTTCATGTTCCATTCGTACAAGATGATTGTTTGTAGCTGTCACATTCATCATGCTCGTGACTATCCTCCAGGCATCCTTGTTCTCGGCCTTCTTTGTTGATGCGGCGCCACATCCGCGTCACCGGCGAGTGGGTAATGGGGTTGCCGAAACGCCACCAATGGGGTATGTCACCTTATCATATTGATTGAATCCTTCAGATCACGTCTAATGTATGTAGGTGGAATACGTACAACCATTACTCCTGCTCTCCTAATGAGAGTATTGTGCATTCCAACGCACAGGCTCTTGTAGATCTTGGTCTGGCAGATCTTGGGTACACATATGTTACTACCGATTGTGGCTGGACGGTCGCTGATCGATTGGCTAATGGATCGTTGACTTGGAATGCAACTTTATTTCCAAGCGGATTCCCCGCCCTTGGTGAGTTTCTGCATGGATTGGGGTTGCTATTTGGGGTTTATGAGGATGCAGGGATCAAGACTTGTAGCGAGGGACAAGATCAGACAGGGAGTCTATGTGAGTACAAGTACTTCTGAGATTTTCATTACAAGGACTTGGGCATGCATGTGTTGTCAGGCTAACGACTACTCCAGACCATGAAGCTCAGGACGCCGCAACGTTTATATCATGGAACATCGATTCGCTGAAATGTATTCCTCAACCTCCACAAATCTGAAAAGAGAGCCACCTAACACGTACTAGATGACAATTGCTACTCTGATGTGGCGACTGACTATCCAAATGTCGACTACACACCTAGCGTATCGCCCAGTCTACGCTACGCAAATATGACCAAAGCCTTGGAGGCCCAATCTCGGTCGGTGCTATTCCAGATCTGCGAATGGGGCGTCGACTTCCCGGCTCTTTGGGCTCCTGCCTTAGGAAATACCTGGCGAATTGGCAACGACATAATTCCAGCCTGGCGAACTATCTTCCGTATCCTGAACCAGGCAGTGCCTAACCAACCCTACACTGGACCGGGCCAATGGCCTGACCTTGACATGCTTGAGGTCGGAAATGATATCTTTACCACTGCTGAGGAACAGACACATTTCTCGTTGTGGGCTATCATCAAAAGTCCGCTTGTTATTGGGGGCGCGCTTAAGGATGAATATACCTCTATTAGTGACGCTTCGTTGGAGATCTTGATGAATGAGGATGTTATTGGCTATAATCAGGACAGCCTTGGTATTGGCGCGGGGCTAACGAGGAGATGGAGTGAGGAGGGCTATGAAGTTTGGAGTGGGCCGCTTTCTGGCGACAGGGTTGTTGCAGCCGTCATTAACTGGAACGGTGAGGAGAAAGAGTTGACTTTGAACTTGCCGGATGTCGGATTGCAGTATGCGGGCTCGGTCAAGGATATTTGGGGTGGTAAGTCGGTTGAGGGCGTAAAGACATCATACTCGGGGTCGGTTGCTGCCCATGGGGTTCTTTTACTCGAGCTCGGGGATACTGCTCCAGCTGGGACTTATCCTACGAATTTGTTCGGGTCTTCGCATGGGTAAGTGATATAATATGGCATTCAGGTAGATGCTAACTCTCTACAGCAAAACCACAACTTTCAAGTCTGTCTACGCCAACACGACAAGTTCAAAGTATACCGTATCGATTGCATTTTCCAGTGCTGTGTCAAAGGCCACTACGATTGAGCTGAGCACCTTGGCAGATACAACATCTCAGACAATCAAAGTGCCAGCGTCAAGCAAAACTGTCACATCGACCCTCTCCTTGACAGCCGGGTCATCAAATACCGTAACCATCAAATCCACAGCCTCGATCGAGTCAATCACCATAAAGTCTCCAACTGGCACATACTATGCTGGCAAAACAGACTTTACCCTAGGCGGCTCCGCAGTCATTGAACAATGCGGAACCAGCGGCTGCGCCCCAGTTGGATATAAAATCGGCTACCTCAGCGCAGCTAATACAGCAACAGCTACCATTCCAGCAACGGTGTCCAGTGCCAGTGGGACAGAAGCAAAGTACATCGAGATAGATTATATCAACAACGATGTTGCCTTCTCGAGTACCTGGGGCTGGGGCTCTAACTCCCGGAATATTACTATCTCGGTTAATGGGGGTGACCCTGTTCGACTCGAGGTTCCGCTTTCCGGACAGCATAGTGAGCTTTATAGTGATGGCCTGGGTTGGTGGGATACGGCCACCCTTGGGCTTCTGCTTGATGGATGGGTGGATGGGGAGAATGAGGTTGTCGTTGCTAACGCTGCTGATACGGATGTGTCAGAGACCTGGGGAGCTGATTTCGTGGGACTCAGATTCTATGATTGAAGTCTTCCTGGAGCAGACTATGGTAGTACTGTGGCTGACTGTAGAAGTCAATCCAATCTTGGACAGAAAGCAAAAGACCGACCAACTTAATACACAATTTGCAATATTCATATCAAACTAGCTACAGGAACTATGTGCATAGCCGATCCACACCAGCTAACAAGAGAACATTGAGAAATGCGATAGAAGCCAATTTCCATCCCAGCATCAAAGCCAATGTCCCTAGTTGGCACCAGCAGCAGCCAACATCTTCGTGAAGTTAGGTGTACCAAGACCAGTAACAGGATCCCAGCCCTCGGTAGCATTCCAGCTAGCATATGGGACAACAGGACCACCGTTCGCGGCACCACCAAATCGCGAATGACCGTCACAGCCAGTACTGCCACCAGTCGTAATATCGTTCAAGGCTTCGCGGCCAGTAGAGTACAGCCAGGGGTTCAAGAATCCCATGGTAGGTTTACCAGCCTGGATAAGCGCATCGTTAATCAGAGCGATAACACCCGCGAATGCAGGTGCAGCGCAGGAAGTACCATCCACGGCACTAAGGTGTCCCTTCTCGTAAATAGCGTAGTTCTGACCTTGGGCAGCAACATCGGGGAATGCACGGCCCTTGGGGTTGAATAGACCGGACCATTTATCACCCAGTGTGCCAAGGTAATCATTTACAGCATCATCCTGGTACGAAGGACGGTCCCAAAGATCCGAGAAACCGCCCGAGGAGAAGTATACCGCCTTCTCCGGCGCGATGTGCGTTGTTGCGCCGACGGATGTAACCCACGGGCAGGCGGCTGGGAACTGAGGCGGGAAGTGCGTAGCATTTTTGCCGTCATTGGTTTCACAAGCTGCGCCAACGCCCGAGTCACCAGATGAGAAAATGATAGAGACACCGCGGCTGCCGAGTTGTGCGTAGAGGTTGCAGACACTCTGGGCATATTTTACTGTCACGCTTTGCTCGTCTTCACCGTAGGAGTTTGAGATCACCTGTGGGAGGTCTGCGTCGTCCAGCTTGACTACGTTCTGAAGCATCTCCAGGTATGGCTCATTCTCGTCGTTGCTTGGATCTGGCTGATCCAAGTCTGGGACTAGAGGGCCGCGGCCGCCTGTGCTGTATTCTGTGACTGGGACTGGGGAGCTGATGCCGACGATGTACTGCAGGTCTAGGTTGGCTTCACTGCTGTCTTTCGTTGAGTGTTGGTCGTTTCCGCCACCGTTGTATTGGATCACGGTGAAGTTTTGGCCCGTGGCGTAGGGTGCGATGTTCTTCTCGAAAAGGGCAAGGTCAGAGTACCGGGCGTACTGTTCCAAGTAGCTGGCGAAGGCGACCTTGTTGCCGTTGTCGGACTGAGCTTTATAATCGCCGATTGAGTATAGGTCCTTCAGGCACTGAGGCGTGATGGCGGTGTTGCAGTCCGAACTGGTGTAGTGGCTTGCTTTCCGGAATGATTCATCCACAAGCTTCTTCTTCCCGTGCATTGTAGCACGATTGGCATGAACTTGGCCAAACCGAACAGTTGGGGAGACCATGTGAATATGATCGACCAGCGAATCAGGGATTGAGTACTCCAGGGTGCGAAGCCGCTCTACATGCTGCTCATCGCCGACATAGTACTGGAAGTTGGCATCTAGCAGCTTATTGGCTGTTTCCACGTCGGTGGAGAATTTCATCCAGTCGGCATCCTGCTCAATGTTGGTGATACCAGCATCCTCCAACCATTGCTGGATAGCATCCACCGAAGCAGCACTCGGCTGCAGCATACGTTTCATCTCATCGTGAGTCCGGAAATGCTGGCCATACTTCTCGTGACCAGGAGTCGACATGTCCATCAAGGCCTGCTCGAATCCAGGGACATCACCCTGTACCATTGCTACCTGAAGCTTAATGGGCTGGCTAGCACGAGGGGTGCGAGAGTAATGCCATCCTAAGAATTCTAGATTAGCTTATTCTCAATTTAAATCGAGGGATAAACATACCTTCAGGGACAGCAGCAAGGCGTTCGAAGACTTCAGCTGAAGCACATGAAGTAAGAAGCGACACAGCCGCCAGCGACAAGGCGCCGCGATTCAAAAACGACAGCATGATTTAGGCAGCGAGTAACTCCTGAGCACAGGAGACACGAGCCAAATATTTAAATAGGCAAGGCCCGGGAATGACCGACACGTGAGGGGTAGATAGGGCGCGGATTATTTATTATGGTTGCATTGGCGGGGGAATGACTGACAATAGAGTCAAGAATGTGGTGCAGGACCACTTCTATCCCCCGCCACTCCTGAGTCCTGACGGATGGGAGCACTGCAGCTCATAAGTTCTTGGCCTTGCATAGTTCCACTAGACAGTGGACCCTGGACGGATGCCCGTCGGGAAGTGATCCATCGTCTCAGCCCATCATTTGGTCCCTGAACCCCTGGTCCAATCGGATATTGCAGTCTGCAGCTTGCCGTCGGTTCATCAACGGGGTTGGGCCAAGGGCACTTCGAATAGCCAGTGATGTGATCGGTATGGGAAAACCCCTTCCCTGGCTAGGCTGAGACATTGTGACCCTGGACGCGCGACGCGGAATTGGGGTAATGATCGGCAGCGGGCCCACTTTTGATACAGCGAATGTGAGGGTGACGTCTTTTAGACTTTGAATGCGATGTGGCTGGGCTCAGATGCATGACGGATACACGAGATCGATTAATGCATCAGGTGTGAGTGGCAGATGCAGTGAGATTTTGGAATCGTGATGGTCTGAGTTGGAATCGGAATGTTGTTGTCTGGCGATGGGGAACTATGCCGAGGATAACGCGGCTTGGCGGTGATCATCATATATCTTGGAGAACCTATCATGAGAAAGTGGACGTTATATCAATAGGCGGCGAATAGATCCTCTGCAGGATAGGTTGACTAGCTGAAACATGTCATTTCCTTTGAGGATCACGGCTGGTTCAAGCCACGAGGTTTCAATACGGGCTGAGTAAACAACCAGCCACCCAGGACACTTAATATTAGAATGTTCAAATGTTGACGAAAGATCTCGGGGTCAAACTTAGTTCCGAGCTAACACATGTTTACTCTGCAGGGGTTGACCTATCACAGGCCCGACCCAGGTTCCACCGGTGCAACGATGCACCCGTGAACAGATAACCCATGAGTACGTACACCAGTGGCTTCCGAGTCGTTAGTATTTGATAAGAAGGATTATAAGACAGCAAAGCTCTGAGAAAAGTGAGATTCGATTAGTATGTGCAATATATTGTTGAATGCTCAACTCAGTCACGTATTTATGTACAACAGCATTGCTGCCTTTTCAACGGCGTTTACAGTTGACCAGATCCATGAGACGCCGCCTCTTCATTCTCCAAATGCTGAGCATAGACCATCTGAGCAATGGCATCCTCAGTCTGGAGATATGTCCGGCTTCCCTGGATGAACCAGAAAGCGACCGAGATAACAAGCATGACGCCAAATACAGCAATGGCGTAATTCATGTCGGAAGGGGCTGGGTTGGGACTGCCGGGGAAGAGGAAGAAGATAGTGGTGATGATACAGTAAACAATACTAACCCAGTTCATCCAAGGGCCCCAGCGGCCTAGTTTGAAAGAACCTCCATCGGGCAAGGTATCGCGACCGACGATCAACAAGGCGAGGATTGGCATGGCGTATGACACAGTCAGGGCGATGGTGCTGACACTCAGGATAGCCTCGAGGACAGTGTTGGCGAACAAGTAAAGAACCCCAACAATGCCAATGACGACACCCTGGCCCCAGAGGGCTCGGGCGGGAACTTGCCACACGGGATCAACGTGGCTGAAGTACTTGCTCCAGGGCAGACCACCATCGCGGGCAAATCCCCAGGATAGACGCGAAGCTGTGGTCAGGACACTGACACCCTGGCCCAGTCCATTGAAGATGAAAAGGGCGATCAGAACGGCACCGCCCTTCAAGCCGATCGTCTCGAGCATCAGCTCCATAAAGGGCAGGCTCGCATTGGTGACATTATCCAGGTTCTGAATGCAGCCCAGACAAACAACCATGAAAATAAAGCCAGTGATTGCGCCAAAAAGCACAGCCATCCAAATAACACGGGGAGCATTCTTGCGTGGATCAGGGATTTCCTCAACCATATGAATGACCGAGTCGAACGCGGTCAATCCATAGGCGGCCTGGACAAGACCCGTGAACCAGACCACGCCATCACTCCACCCAGTCTGGTTAATCCATTTTCCAAACACGAATGAAGCAGGCTGGAAAGAGAGATCACTCTTGACACCGACCGAGATAACTAGGGCCAGCGATAGGACAACGAACAAACCTCCGAACCATACACCAACAAAGTTGTTGAACCAGGGCAGGATCTTCTCCTTGCGACAGCTGACAACGTTGATGAGGGTTAACAGGAAGACCACACCAATATACACAACGAAGTTGAGCCAGCCTGCGTCACCACCGGTCCAGTTGGGTGCAAACATGGTCTTCATGCCGAGCAGGAACTCCGTCATGAAAGCGACCTGCGATGCTGTCAAGGTCCACCATCCGAATGTGTTGATCCACGCACACATGTATGAGACGAATCGACCGAGCGGCGTATTCCAAAGTCGGTAGACCCAATAGGCTTGGCCAAGGGCCGTGGGCATGCTGCTTGTCAACTCGCCCAGCGAGAGGGCTACACAGAGATTGCAGCCTGTGACGAGCACCAGCCCCCAGAGAATGGTAATCGGTCCTCCATTTGTGAGTCCACTGCTAAGATCCTGCGCAAAAGTAGAATAGGTTCCTACATGACGAAGTCAGTTTTGTTTGGTATAACCTATGCTGTTAGACAGCATGTATGGTTTTGCAAAATATATATCCCGGTGTTCGGGGGATACAACATTAGGCGGCAGTCGCGACCTACCGAGAACACAAAAAGCGAGAGCCAACATGCTCCACATATCAAATTTCCTGGTCAACGCCTGGGCGTGACCCATCGCCGCAAGATCGGTCGCATCCTGCACGTCCTGATCAGTTTCGAGTGGCGGTTTGAGGGGAAGCGAATTCGAGTTCGACTCCAAATCCATTTCAGCCGGAAGCAATAAAGATCAATTCAACGGAGAAGCAAGTAGACGTAGCGCCCATTTTCTGCCAGAAGCTGCGATCAAAAGAAAAAACAAGATTGAGGGCGACTAGGCTGAATTCTATATATCTTTGCTAAAACCTAGCTCTTGGTGTTCCGCGCGTTGATCGTCCTGGGTAGGACCGGGCGCTGGTATCTGCTGTATCTCTCCCCAGGAAAAATACGGGGGCGCCAGATAAAGCTGGAGCCGAGAGAATTGGCCAATGAGAGATTGACGTGGAATTTGTTTGACGGGTGGGAATTGTTGGAATTGGTCATGGAGTGGGAAGCCGTTGGTAATAGAATTGATCATCGTGTGTGTGGCTTTTCTGGAAGTTTTGCGGGGAGCGTCGCCTCTTCGGGTGGACCTACTGCAGTCGGTTATCGCTTTCCCCGATATTCGATAAGCATTTTAGACACGCGAGTATTGAATTTCTAAAATGTTCCGTCGAGTGCACTCTATAGTTAATAGCATTCGAAATATATTCAAGAGTGCAAGTGACCCGCCTTCTACAAGGGTTAATGTATCACGCTTCAGTCCCTCCGATGTCGGCAACCCCCTGCACCTATACTGCATCTTCTATAATATATTTGTAGTAGAATCTGCGTTGGATCTGACTACGAATTAGTACGCCGCACCTAAGGGTCCTGCAGCCATCGAAGCCGTAAGCCATCAGCCGAATGGAAGCCATGAACGGATCATCAGTGGCAACGGCTAGCCGTAAGTAGAAAGTCCATGCGATTGATAACGAACCCGCTTGTTATCGCTGTGACAGCGGACTAAACTCCGCTACTAACACCAGGAAACCATCCTATCGCCTTTCTTTATAACCATTGCTTGATCTGATTATCAGATGGAATTTATCTTGGTGGAGTTTCAAGTTCTCCTTTAAGAAGGTGCTCTTTCACGTTTTCTAAGCTCGTTTAAGCGCGTTTAAGATGATGGTACATGGAGCTCTACCGTGACCAGCTCCAACGTATCCACCCTCAGACTAACCGAAGTGAATGAAAGATTCGTTGCAACATGCTCAATTGGATCACGAATGACAATACGAGGGATACCTCGGGGTATCGACAGATGACAAACCCATTGACCGGATATCCAACATTATCTGCACGGAGAACGCCAGGATCCACCAAATCCGGGGGATGAAAAGGCGGAGGATAGTCGGTAACAGCCTAAAGGGAACCATCCAAGGTCCTTTCAAGGTTTAGAATGTTGCCTAACTCGCATTATCAAACAGGCGGACGCTGCTAATTACCGTGCTTCGTGCGTCCGTAATTGGCTCATATCGCCGTCTCGGTATAAAGGTCTCCTTCACCTTCCCTTCTGGGCGATCAATGTGGATTCATCTTGCTGCATTGTCACGAGGCTGAGATAGACTCGAAAACGAGAAACATAGAATGCGGGGTATGTTTCTATGACATGATTATCCGCTCGGAACTAATAGTGGCATTTGGATATGATAATACTTGAATGATGCTCATTTGAAGTCATGATCCTGATATAGGGGCACGATAGTTCCGATGGTAGTCAGGTACTGCGCAGCAGCCCAACCCCGTTTAGGCATGACCAGCCAGATGCCCCTTGATAGGCTTAGTTCGCGAGATATGATCTCCACTCGTAGTGTTCTAGTGTTGATTTCACAATCTTATTGATAATCCCGGGAAAGGAGGTCTACCCCGGAATTCGGAACGGCAATGTTCTTGCAAGGCAGGAAAAGATATGTCGATATTACTCAGGTGACTTATTCATGATGGTGTGCCTAAATATAGCTTATGTGAAGATTACTCTTCGCATATTACTATAGTCGGTTAAACAACACTCTTGTCGTTTGTTAAGTTCGAGGTGTCCCGTTGGCATTATTTCACCTTTTATCGAAAATGATATTGAGTCACGATGGGACAGAATTCTCCAAACATGCTCCATTAAAATAGGAAGCCGGACAAAAGATAGATACCGGAACTTTTGATGCCATGTCTGAGTCGACATAACGCGATCGATGCAAGAGTCCGACATGAGAATACCTTCAGCACGATGGAATAGAATCAGGAACAGCATATTGGGACTATGAAAGGGGTCAGTGTGGCTTGTATTCACTCCAGGTGATGTACATTCAGGTTGGCAATTTAGTCTTGCTGTGGTTTAACCAGTCTCATTCACTGAAGACAACCTCTTGACAAGGCCCTTCAAGACTGGTATGAGAACACAGCAATCTAAGTCTCGTCTGTCCTTGATTATCTCTTCAAAGGTGTCCCGCTGTCAACTTCAAGATGTCAGTCGATGCTACGAACCTCTACAAATTCCACGTCTCGTCGAGCGTGGCCGCCGTCGTGCTCGCGATTCCATTTTTCATAATCACTAGGTTGCATACCTAAAGAGCCATCACAACCAGACAGTGACTCGGCCCTCAGATTGTGATCTGAGTCCTTTGTGAGTCCCATCGTCATCTTGCATACACCGCCACTGACCAGGCTGCTCGAATAGTTGCCTTTTTGGGTCTTGGAGCTCGAATCCTCTCGCACTGACACATATCCGCCGAATACCCATGCATAATCCAAATCATACTCATCCTTCTCGAGCCGATAATTCTCTCCACTGCCGTCTACGCGTTGCTCAGTCGTCTGATACACGTGTCGGGGTACTCCCAGCTTTCCCTGATTCGCATGGGCTGGTTAACCGTGGTCTCCATCTGCGGTGATATTATCTGCTTCATTTTGCAGACCGGCGGTGCTGAGAAGCTTGTGGAGACGAAGATCGTAACGGACATCTCGTGAGTCTTGATCACCATTCGTGGTGGCATTGCTGTTCAAGTGATTCTCTTTAGCGTCTTTGTGCTCTGTGCGGTAGTGTTCCATGTCCGGATCTCTAAACGCCGTTTCTCAAGGAACATAACCGCTACACCCCTTCTGGATAGAATGCTACCTTCGATTTATACTTTTAATGTGCTTATCATAATTGGAAACGTTCTATCGCCTCGTTGAGTACACAGGTGGTCGAACTGGGTATCTGCAGATACATAAATTGCCGAATTATTGCTTGGGCGCCGGACTGATGGCTGTCTTGCTGACTGTAAGTCTCTTCCATTATCTTGCCGATGCCAAGGGTGAGCATATCGCATTGTTTCTTTGAGTACACTGAGTGGCGCTACTCGAATACTGCGTGGAAAATGAATTTTGAGATCGGAGATACTCAATTTTCAGAGGCGAGAGTTCTCGAACTATAGTGTTTCGGTTCATCGTTATTTCCAGTGTTATCTTTTTCCATCGGGTGGTTAACAGTCAACGCCTGGGAAATCCAGCTTGGTCACAGCATTAATTTAGTACCACGAAGTAGTTGGTCCCCGCAAAATAGATGAGGGGATCCACTTTACTGTGGCGATAAGTGTAATCGATGATCGGCAAATCCTTATTCCGGTAGGTTGCGTCCACAAAAAAACTCATGTCCACTTAACCACAGCAAACAATCAACAATCAATATGGCCAAGTCCAAAGCTGCCAAGCGCAAGCGCAATGCGCAGGCCGATATCCCGCAAAAGCTCGCTAAGGCTGATCCCACCCTTACGCCGCCTCCCGATGGCACAATCCTTGAACCTAAACACCTCAACACGGTTGTCCCGGACGAGGACCTCGAGATCACTATCGAGACACTTGCAACGCTCACACAATACCCCAACCTTACCAAGTCAAAGGCATGCAAGGATCTCCGAGGTGCAGTCTACGACTTCCGCCAGGCATGCACAACGGGCGTCAATTCTGCCGAAGGCGCAAACTTGACAGCGCGAATCACAGGTGCCCTGGCTGACAAGAGATTCCTTGATGCTAGGATCCTGCTGGCGGAGATGCGGATCCGGGGCGAGCAACCCAAAATTGGGGCCCTGTGCCGCTGGGTTCGTGATTTGGACGTTGTTAGCGGTCTTTCGACGCAACCTGGCGCAAACCAAGCTCCCGAGCGCAGCGCAGAAGATTTAGCTCTTCTCGCTGTCCTCGATGCCATCCTTCGCGTCAGCACTCCAATTGACAGTATGAGCGCCGTCGACTCACCTGGCCCCATTGCTTTCCAATCGATCTGGGATCTGCGCCCTTCATCGGAACCCCTTCAGATCTATGCCTCGGTTCTTGACAAATCCATCCTCGAGGATGCGCCAAAATCCCCTGACGCCCTCCGTGTGATCGAAACAACCCCCGGACCCATGCGCAAGCCTCCTAACCATCACCCCGCTCTCTTGTATACTACCGTCCCTAACGCGGTCCCTCTCAACCCTGTCGCGCCATCTATAACATACCACCCCCACCCCGCCGTGCCAGGTCTCGGAATGGCCATGAATGTACTATCGCCAGCAGAGTGCAAAGCCATTATCGCTGCCGGCGAATCCGTGAATTTCGTTCCCGACGTACCTCTCCGCGAAGACGGTGACATGAGTGTTCTGGCTCACAACTTCTACTGGGTCATTGACACCACATTCCATGATATACTATGGTCCCGAATCTCGGCTTATGTCCCACCGTCCATCAACGGTCGCATGGTCCGTGGTATCAACCGCCGGTTCCGTGTATACAGATACGTTCCCGGCGCAGAGTATCGATGCCACATCGATGGCGCCTGGCCACCATCCGGTATCTTGCCGGATGACACCTACGTTTACGATTCATCGCCTGAAGATAATCGGCAGAGCTCCATGTATACCTTCTTGCTATATCTCAACGATGAATTCGAAGGCGGAGAGACGACTTTCTTCATGCCTGCTGCACGGGAGGGAACGCTAAATGCGTACCCGGTGCGACCGGTGATGGGATCCGTGGCCATCTTTCCCCATGGTGAAGCCAATGGGGCGTTGTTGCATGAGGGTACTGGTGTAAGAAAGGGAGCGAAGTATATCATTCGAACTGACGTAGAGTATGATGTAAAGCCACAAGAGTAAGTAGAACTGGACATGAATAATGAATCACTTATTTGAACAACATTTATTTTAGCTATCATCAGAGGTAAGAACACTGGCCACCCCTAGCCTTAGCCTTAGGAAAAGCACCTTGCTCATATTCCCGTATCTGGGATTGACTAAGTGTCGGGAGTGTTTACTAGCGGCGATTCATGAATACTAGAAGCTCGGTTATATATTTGGCGAGCGCGCAGAGCTTATTGTAGTTAAAAGTAAGATTATGATTAGTATGCGTATCGAAAAGACTACTACGTGCTATCTAGGCTTGCCTGTGACCAAGAAGCCCCTCGTAGACTTTAGGAGACTCAGGGGAAAGGGACTCGGCAGTGGGGACGATTGTAGACATGTGATGAAAAATGATCCCCAATTCCCATTTCAAGAATGGTCATTTTTTGGATTGGACACTGAACACATGTGCATGTACTATGTGTTCTATGTACAAAATTTGTATACAATTAATTTTCTTCGTCCAGCTGTTGCAGTTTCGCCATCTGAAAGTACTTCCCGCCAAGCTGCATAAGATCATCATGCGTACCGCTCTCGATTATACGACCGTTATCGAAGACCAGGATTTGACCAGCATCAACTACGGTCTTTAGTCGATGAGCGATAGCAATGGTTATTCGGTCTGTCATGGCGCGCTGGAGGGTCTCCTGGACTAATTGCTCTGTGGCGGTATCCAACGCAGAAGTCGCTTCATCGAGTAGACTATGGCACGGCATTAGAAACAGATGAGCGGCGCTCTTCAGTTTAGAGGAATCTTACAGAATCTTGGGTTTCCGAAGAAGAGCCTTTGCGATCGCCATGCGTTGACGCTGACCTCCGGAAAGAGTAGACCCATTACCCAACACGGGGGTGTTTAGCCCCTCGGGCAGAGATACCTGATGAAACTTAGTATTTCAAACATTATCAAGGGTTTGAACTTACCACAAAATCACCCATCCCGATATCCTTTAAAGTGAGCAAGATCTCATCATCTGAAATGTCATCTTCGTCGCTCTGTAAACACTCGCGGAGATCTTCTCCCACCAGGCAAGGGTTTTGATCGACTAGTGCCAAGTACTTCCGATAGCTTTTAAGATTATAATCATTGATAGACCGGCCTGCCAGAGTGATATGTCCAGATCTAGGGGAGTAAAAGCGCTCCACGAGATTAATGACGGAGCTTTTCCCGCTACCAGTTGCTCCGACGAGGGCTATGAAAGCGCCAGGTGGTGCATCGAGACTGACGTTATCCAAGACTGGCTGATGTCTGCGGTCAGAGTAGTTGAAAGTTACGTTCCGTAGAGCAAGTATCTCAGTGGTTGTAGGTGCGTCAAGAGAGGTATCATGAAGAACATCATCTTGAAAGTGTGCTTTGATAGGTCCCATCAGCTCATCAAGGTGGGAGGCAGCACTGCAGGCACCGGCGAGGTCCGGAGCTCGACCAAAAAGGGCAGCAGCGGATTGAGCTCCCCAAATTGTAGCTGCAAAACAGATGAGAAACTGTTGTATATTGTACTCACCTGTTGCGACGAGTCGGGTCCCGCCATACCAAAACACAAAGGCGATACTCAGTATGCGGAAAAGCAATGTGGACCCGTACATCATCGCGGAAATTGGCCAGTACCGACCCTGGTGGTCATGGTCGCCGGCCTTGTGAAAGGCTTCGCCGATCTTCTGCTGCAACCCAAGTATCGTGACTGTTCTGATGGCAGAGAATGCCTCATGGGCTACCGCAGCGGCTTTGGTGTCACGCTTGACATGATTATGTACCTTTTTCACGATGTAGAATTGCAAGAAGCCTGATGCAGCGACAAATGGTACCGTTGCCATTGAAACAAGGCCAAGCTTCCACCCAAAAATGCATCCAACAGCGATTCCAGTTGTAAGCATCACAGCGCTTTCCAGAAAAAGACCAAGTGATGTTCCTGACACCCCTGTGACCCTTTTGGTTCCCCATGATAAAAAGCTCACCAAATACCCCACAGAATGACCCCGTTCTCCAAAGAAGGTAATATCTCTGCATAATAAAGCCCGGAACAAATTTGACCGGACTCGGAGACCGAGCTGAGATGCGGATATGGCAAAACAGTATCCTCGTGCACAATAAATGAGAAAAACGATGATTCCGTACATAAGGTACATTTGTGCCCAGAATTGAACGCTTCGACCCCCAGTGCTAAGCTCAGGATTGATTATTGAAATTATACCATTCCCAAAGAAGATTGCGTGAATAGGGTATGATATCCCGGCAAGGATACTTAGACATAGACCCGCGATAGTATATCGCAGCTCTGGCTTATTGAGGTGCCAAATATTTCGGATACTGCTTTTAGCCGGAGACGCCGGCGCGGATTCATCGTCTGACGTCTTGACTGGAGCAACATCCACGAAAGCTTTGGAAATACCTTTCTGAGAGTCCTGCTCAAGGCACGGCAAATGATGAACAGGACTTTCCGCTAAACGCTCACTTGGTGGCAGTGCTTGTTGTATCACTAGACCTTGGTATAAGGTAGACGATGACATCAACCCTTCATGAGATCCCTGCTCCAGAATTCGACCATCCTTCATCACAATGATTGTATCTGCATTACGGACAGTCGACAACCTGTGTGCTATTATCAAGGTTGTTCGTCCTAATGCCGCCGATTGGAGCGCTTCTTGAACCTCTTTCTCGCTCTGACTGTCTAGTGCAGCGGTGGCTTCGTCGAGAAGCAAGATGGATGGCTGAGAGATGATAGCACGGGCAATGGCGATTCTTTGTTTTTGCCCACCAGAGAGGTGCGATCCATTTGCTCCTATCATAGTATCATAACCCTGGGGAAGATTGCTGATGAACGAATGAATTTGAGCTACCTCGCTGGCTTGGATTACCAGGTCACAAAGGGTAGAAGCGTCCAGTTCCTGTGATAAAGTTAGAATTAGGATTTAGCGGTGAGCATGATGGAATGGAGTACCTCATCGACAGCCTTATGGAGGCCATTTGCAATATTGTCGTGAATCGATCCATCGAACAACGTGATTTCCTGGCTGATATATCCAATCCGGGATCTAAGCCACGAAATATTTAGATCTTCAATGGACTGATCGTCCACCATGATATTGCCACCAAGATGGCAATAAAGGCGTTCTAAGAGGCTGAATAGGGTTGACTTCCCAGATCCCGAGGGTCCCACAAACGCAACAGTCTGACCAGCTGGCACATGGAAACTCAATCCTTCCAATATAGCTTTTTCTGGTCGTGAAGGGTAGGCAAAGTGAACATCTTCAAATCTGATATCTCCTCGTAATGAGTCAAGTTGATACCCCTTGTCTTCCAAAGCGTCGATTGGTGAAGGGCGGTCGATGATAGAGAAAACACGACTAGCTGCACCGTTGGCCTGAGTAATATCAACAATACAAGGCAGTGCTTGGCTTAGCATACCACCAGCCACCGCAGCCGCCCACAGTACGGTCAAAGCCTCCGGGATAGTACATTGTCCCTTCTGAAAGAGATGATTTGCTTGCCATAGCTATAGCTAGGTTGTCAGCTTTTAAATGTTTTCTCCTGAGGGGGTCAAATATCAACACATACGCCCAAGCCGTTGGTCCAGTGCAAAACCATGAATGATCCAGCAACGATCACACCAAAAATTAATCGTTCCTGGAAGTCAAGCGCGGTTGGACCTTTGAGAGCTTCGTGGTACTTGTTAGAATATCTCTGCTGACTACCGTAGGCAATGACACTCCTCATGGCACTTAGAACCTCCTGTGCCAAATTCTCGGCTTTCACACATTGAGCCAGGCCACGTTTCTGGGTGACACTCAACCAAAATCCCATCATGCCCAATATCGAAAGTAAAGAGATTGGTTGTGAGATCATGATCGCCGCAAAGCGACGGTTTTGCATGAAGGCGCATATTATGGCAATGAAAAACCCGGAAAGCCCAGAGATAACATCGCCCACCTGCTGTGATATGCCAGCCTGTATCATTTTCATGTCTTGGTCAATGTGCGTTGTCAGTTCCCCTGCGCCGAGCACATCAAAAAACGCAATATTCTGCCGTAGAACCGAGGACAGATATCGACGCTGGAGGCGGCGCACAATCTGCTCCCCGACAGCATTGAACCCCCATGCGCTAATCAAGGTGGCGAAAAATGCCCCGATCGCTACATGGGTATGGTAAGCAAATAAAGTCTTAGCAACTATAAATGAGATATATGTACCAATGTATACAAGTTTTAGTGTCAAATGTTGGATATGACTTGCAATATCATCTGACAACTGATCCCTTTCATTGATAAACTCCTTCACTAATGACCCGAACACCACTGTCACCAAAGGCATTGCTGCACCAGATGCCGCAGCACACGTTGCAGACACGAACAAAAGGCATAGCTGTGATGCGTTCGCGTGTCGGTAGATGGAGAAAAAATTAGCCTTGCTTGGCTGCACGTGTACTTGAGCGTTGATGAGCTGCGCGCGTGAAGCATTGATCGGTCTAACGTCTAGTAGTGGGATATGGTCTATCGATGGCATATTGGCATATCGAGAGAGGCCGTGATAAGTCTGTCTCACTCATGAGGGCGCGTTGCTTGATAGCGGTTAACTGTGGCCAGGAATGTCACTGGCTATGTGGATCAACCACCCAGGTGGTTCGCGCCACAATGCAAGGAAGTACGGACTATCAATCAGAAGAACATGGTTTTTTCTATACGTCAATTTTAGAATTTCGATCTAACAGTAGGCAATTATTGGGATTGGCAAGGATCCATTCTATTGGTATATCCTCGGATTCGGAAGCGTTGGAACTGTTTTTCGCGTGATAGAAGTGCATGCAGCATATGCAGGCTGTAAGTCTGAACTTAATAATATCGATCCAGGGCTGGAAGGCAAGGATCATTCTCTGAAGCATACGCCAAGTTCATGACTGATTTATTTTACTTCTCGACCGGTGGGTCAGAACTATTGGTTCTATGTATATATGAGATAGTGAATGTTTTGGTGGCTCCAAGTGGCGTCATTCTGGCTGTTGCCTGGCCCTTTGGGCATACATTTCCCCGCCCCTCTCTTTGCTCTCTTACGCTGACATTCCGTCACCATCGAAACTGGATATCATGTGTGAAATCTAACTCGCCTCGTCTGTTTCGTAAATTGCCATCAGTTGTCTGTGAATCTCGGGCCATGCTCCAGACCGTGACTTGAAAATCATCCACCAATCGCCAGCTGCGTCCTTTCCAGTGATTCTCGCCACATTTTGAGTAGGATATTTCCTGATGTTCTCAATGTTGGAGATAAATGATGGTCTACCCAAAGCATGCGGTCTGTTATCCAGTGGGATCCCCACAGAAAGGACAGCAACGGAAAAATCGAGCTCATAGTATTTTGCCATATGCTGATTGCTACAGGCCAGAAATAGCTGATCTGATGCCCCGACAATCGGAGCTGCTTGGAAGGGGGTTTTCCTTTGAATCGAAGTCATGGCTTCGACTTGTGCTCTGGTTCGATGTTCCATAAGAGCTGCGCGATTGGTTGCTGCCACATATGCTAGACTTTTATCTTGCATGATTTTATCCGCGCCTAGCAGCGTGTACGAATAGAAGAATGAGTTGGCAACCACACCTGCACCGCCTGCAGGGTAGCGCTCGGGAAAGAGCTTCCACACATTGAACACGTTCATCAATGTCACTGCTCGCTTTGCGGATGGTTTCAATGCTGCCACCATTGTCCTTACCCACCAAGCAATGACAATGTCGCCTTCGCTCACAAAGGGCTTTTCAGTGGTGCCTGGCGTAGCCATTTCAAGAAGCGCATGATCCCTCATCTTTTCAACAAATTTCTTTGGGATTCGAAGAGCATGGTCTTCTGTCTTGCCGTACCAGAAAGTCCCAATCATGTACCGGATTCCGAAAAGCACGAGGCTGATACCGGAGACAAGACGACCAAAGTTGCTGTAATTCTCTCCGGTATAGTCCACGCCCAGATCCTCTGTGGGATCATGTTCAAAAGAGAAAAATGGCGGAATTTCTTCCTCGCGTCCTTCCATGACTGCAATCCAGGCTTTGAAAATACTCGACTTCCCAATGGCATCCACAAATGTGTGCAAAGAGCTAAAGGTGAGAAGTGTCGCGTCTTTGAACACCACCACATGATATACCATCTGTGGAAGATCGGTATATATCCAATCACCCAGCTCTACTGGGGTATCGGGGCCCAGGATCAACGGTGCGAACTCCGCGGGACTGGGTGATAGCACCGATTGATCTTGACCGCACTTGGGCAATTTGGTACCCAATGGGTGCTCATAAATGCTCATGTCGTACTTCGCGCTGGTAAATATAAATGGTGGCCGGCTTTTGTCGTATCTTGCTGGTATATGATACTCCAACCTTCCCTCATCCTTGGAATCTGTCAGCTGTGCAGGTTGCTTAAGGGCAGATGACATACGTTCAGTCTTAGGCGAGCACCAAGTTGACCCCAGTCACCAATCTCCATTAACCTATGAAGCGAAGAGTCAAGTTTAGAGACATCGAGCACATCATCGAAGCGGAGCGTGAAGTTATGAGCAATACTGCGCAGGTAGCCCAAGTCATCCCAGTATCGCATAGGAATAATGCGATCCGTAGGAATTGTTGCTGGTCGCTTGCGGCCGAAAATCGAGAATATGCCCATATTTGCTACCTCAGTGAATGGGAAAGTGTAGATAAAAAGTTAATGCAGGATAAAGTTAGAGCCGTGTGAAAGGGTAGGTTCCCAGATTTAACACTGTTCTATTATGTTTGACGCGGTCTCAGTATTAGCAAGGGCTCGGTATACAATCTATGAATACTGACTGCCCATAGGTTAATCTCATACACTTTCAAAGTGGGCTGAAGTTCGATTAGCATGGCCTTGCAAGATCTACCACATCTCAATCTGGACCAAGAAAGTAAAAGTGGGTCATGCATAGTAAGCGCATCTATCTTTTATCAATAGTTCGTACACTAATGCAAGCTGAGCACACCTGGGCGCGTTTCGATTAATCAAAAGTGGGTTGCAAATCAAGATCAAATCAAGTTTAAATCAAGGTCAGTTTAAATACATGGTTCTTCCAAAATGCCCTAAATGTCCGAATCTCCACATGTCTGCATGAGCAAACATTCCGGCGATTGTCCGAGCCAAGCCACATTTAGTCCCCACCCCTAGCCTCCTGCAAAAATCGGCCGAGGGCCATCATGGGGAAGTAATGACGGTAGTAATCATAGCCCAAATAGAAATGATTTGGGAATCCAGTTCCGGTGTATACAGATTCGGGCCAGGAAGATCCAATCCCTTTCTCCGGCTGCTGCGAGGATACCAAGTAGCGGATTCCACGGGTAATGGTCGGGTCAGTATATGGGAGATGAGCCAGTAATCCCATTAGTGCCCATGCAGTCTGGGACGGAGTTGATGCTGTCGGGAGAGTGGAAGGAGTGCGATAGGTTAGCAAGGACTCGCCCCAGCCACCATCGGAATTTTGCCTCGTTTTCAACCATCGCAGAGCTGGCTGCACTAGTCCCTCCACTCTTCTGTCATCATTACGGTGATAGGAGAGACCACATAGTGCATGACTCGTGCCGTACAGATAGTTGCATCCCCATCTCCCGAACCATGATCCATTAGGCTCCTGCGTAGAAGTAAGGTATGAAATCCCACGCATGCAAGCTGCACGCAACGCTGGAAAACCGGCTGGCGCCTTTTCAGGAGCAACTTTCATCATCAGACCAAAGGCTTCCAGAATGCGACCAGTAATATCGGGACATGATGTGTCACACAGGCTATCCATGTCGCTGAAAGGTATCTTGTTGAGGAACAGCTTATCGTTCTCCACATCAAAAGCAGCCCATCCACCGTCTGGATTCTGCATGCCGATTATCCATGTGGCTGCCGCCACGACAGAATACGAGGTGACTGATTTCGGATTCTGCTTTAGCTGGGCCAGAATGATAGCAGCCGTGTCATCCACATCAGGATACCAACTGTTTTCGTACTCAAAGCTGAATCCTCCTGGGATGAGATGCGGGCGGTATACCCGCCAATCACCACGGGGTTCCAGAAGTTGGCGGTTCCGAATCCAATTGATGGCCTTCTCGAGGGTCTTGTGATCGGGTGATTTCGCATCGCGGAGTCCGATGGACATCAAGGCTGTATCCCAAACGGGCGAGACACATGGCTGAACTCGTTTGCCATTCTCGTCTTCCCAGGCAAAATTTTCGAGGGCTTGAATTCCTAGACGGACAGGAGCATCATCGAGACTATAACCCTCCAACACGAAAGCAAACACACTGGCGTGCATGGGTGGAAAAATACCGGCCCAATCGCCGGTTGGCTCTTGGCGCTCCAGGATCCACTTCATACACTCCTTCCGGGCGTATGTACGAAGAAGTGGAACGGAGCGAAGCCCATTCAGTTGGTAGAGTAGTTTATCGAGTATGCCGAATGCAAGGCCCGTGACGTCTCCCTGAGAGGCCAGTTCAAGAAGAGTGGGGCCACAGCGGACATTCTTCATCATGGGGTCCTGCCACAGCTCGTCCAGGTAGTCATTCTCGGCGTAGAGCCCATTTGGAAGCGCGTAGACGGGTTGGTGGTGGCAGATAATCAGAAGGGGGGCGATAGTACCTCGCGCCCAGGATGCAAACTTGTAGATGTTGATCAAGGAGATTGAAGGGAGAAGCATGAGCTCAACTGGTAATTGAGGAATCGAATCCCAGGGAAACAAGCCAAATGTTGCGAGAAAGATACGTGTGAAAACGCGAACTTTTGCAACACCACCAGCTCTGAGGACAAAGTCTTTAGCTTGTTGCATGAGTGGCACATTGGGACTGACCCCAAGTATTTTCAGCGCTAGATAGGCTTCTGTTGTGGTCGATACATCTCCTGGATACTCGGGGGCCAGACTCCAGGAACCGTCATCGTTTTGTTGAGAAAGAATATGGCGACGGTAAGCGTTGCTGTCCGCTTCCAGGTCGAGACCTAATGCTTGTCGAAGGAAGATATACTCGGACGTGATTGTAACGTTTGATCTCAGTTCTCCACACCAGTGTCCATCTGGGCGAGCTAAACCAATAGCATAGTCATTTGAAAGTTTTAAAGACTGTTCGACTTCAACAAGCAATTGTATTTCTGACAAAGCTTGGACTTGCTCGTTGGCCAAACCCATTTTAAAAATGCGTGAAGAAAAGAGGTATGTTATCCCATCTCAGGATGAGATTTCGGGTTCTCAAGTCAATTTCTACTTCTTCCTGCATGAATCATTCGATTTACGGGTATGCAAGGTCAACCCTCCCGGGGATAATTGGTCACGCAGTGGCGGTCTGTTCCCTTGCATCCGCTACCTAATACTTCCAAAGGTTGGGATTGAAACATGCAGGGTGACGAGGCGGTCAGGTGGGCTCCATGTTTTTGGGATGCCTGGACCTGACAGATCAGGACGTAGCTCGGGTCAACCCTAGTTTACCTCCTATCAGCCTCCACGTGACCTTTGGTGGGGGTTGATAGGAGGTAGACTAGGGTTTGACCCGAGCTGTAGTCACCGTGACAGATCATTTAATACGTTCGGCCACAGGTTTAATATCACACTCGCACCATTAATCAAAGTACACGCTGGCCCAGATACCCTTTTTTCCAACAATGAAGGAACCCTCAGCCGTGAAAAGATTTCTCAGCTCACTTGACCAGTTCTTTGTCAACACTTTGCTCTTTGGTATTGCTGTGCTTTTCCTGCTGCGAAGCGTACACAAATCGCGGAAACGGAGGACTCTAGAGATTTCCCTCTGCTGTGCAAGACCACCCACCGAACGTGACCGATTCCCATATGATTTCTTCGGGGTTGCAAAAACCTTGGAATTGGCCAGTCATTTTCAAAATCGATCTTCTCTTCCCTATACCCATTCTCTTTTCAAAAAGTATGGAGAAACATTTACATCCAATGTCATTGGCTATCGACTTATTTTCACCTGCAATGAGGAAAACACGAAATACTTGCTGGCCACCGCATTTACCGATTTTGATAGTTCACCTTTGCGAAAATCTATTATCGAACCAATTACTCCACATGGTATTTTCACGCTTGATGGACCGGATTGGAAAATGAGTCGTGACCAGCTACGATCCCGTTTGAGTGATCTTCGCAAGGCTATTGACTTAACACTATGTGAACAACATTTCCAGTCATTTTTGAACAAAGTCCCTTCCGATGGCCAGGTCTTCGATGCTCAATCATGTGCATATGCCCTCGCATTGGATCTTCAGACTGTGTTTTCTCTAGGAGAGTCTGTCGATGCGCTCAGCTCTACGCAGTCAAGTGAGAAAAAGTCTTTTCTGGAGGATCTATCGAATGTGAAAGACATAATTGTGCGCGATGGATTCCGAGGTCCCCTCCGTCATTTATCTTCGAAAAGACAATTTCTCCAATCTTGTCGCAGAACAAGAGAGTATGTGATTCGACAGGCAACTAAACAAGTCAAAAAGCGGAACCAGATGGCCGGCATCTCTAAGAAGGGCGATGCTGGCCTCCCTGAGGCCGAACAGATATCTCGATTTACCGACCAAGCATTGAGCTTGCTTCTCGCGAACGATAGTATGAGTACGACCCTAACAAGCATAATGTTCTGTCTCTCCAAAGATGAACGCGTTGTTAAGAAGCTGCGGGCAAGTATAATTGATACCATTGGCCTCACGCCTCCGACATGGGCGCAGCTCGGGACTCTGCAATACTTACGATGGGTTATGAACGAAGGTAAGTAGCTTGAAAGGTTCCAAATCATTCAACTTGTTCAAGCTAATTTGATGTATTTGAAGCCATGCGACTTTTTCCGGCGGTGGTCTTCAATGCAAGAGTGGCAAATAAAAACACAACTCTCCCAACCGGTGGTGGAGAGGGTGGAGTCTCTCCCGTTTTGATTGAAAAGGGGGAGATTGTGGTATTCTCAACATGGAGTCGGCATCGCCTCGGAAAGGATTTCGGAAGGAATCTGGAAAGGTTTTATCCTGAGCGATGGGAAACCCTCAGCCCTGATATGCCAGGATTTATTCCCTTTAATAAGGGTCCCAGGGCATGCCCTGGACGTGAGTTGCTTCTCGCTCGCCCTCGTGGATGAAAGCTAACCCGGAGAGTAGAGCATTATGCCACAATCATTGTAACGTATATTGTTGCGCGCATGTTCCAAACATTTTCAACGGTCATTGATTACAACACTAAGCCGTGGACGGAGAGAATTAGCATGACATTTGAGAACGAAAATGGTGTAATGATTGGACTTCTTTGATCTACACTGCATTTGGCGTCATAGTTTGCCAACAAGACATCGTAAGCCTGTCCAGCTGTGTTATGAATTTGCAAGCATTACTTTACTTTATATTCATGGTTTTCTTCGTGCTTGTGTCCTTCGAATGCAACGAAGATAAGGGCGTAGCTAATTTCCATGGTAATTTCCAAAGGTATTGTGAGCTTCATTGGGAATATAGAAATAAAGTTAACAGCAAAAGGAAACGGGCGAAGTTTTTAAAGGGTGGGTACAACTTGCCGACCAGAAAAATGTTCTAAGTTGGAGCTTTGTAGCCACATATGACAGAGGAAATATAGCATACTCAAAGTAAATATCGGTATATAGTTCTGTATGGGTACTCAATTTACCAGGATGGATGTTTCTCAAGATGGACCATGTGGATCACGTGCATCACACCTCTGTAGTCATTCCTGTAGACGTGGTCACAGGACTACACAGGCACCTACACAAAGGCTCTTTAAGTAAAGTGCTAGGCTTCTCTTTTAACTGGCCATGGGCTTGGGAAGGCCAAATTCTACCTAATTATTTAGTCTTCTTTTTTATCACACTCTAGCTTGTAATCTTCTGCTCTTTTACCAGAGGACTCAATAGGTCATGCTTTCCTTTCTTTGCCTACCTTATAGACACCTTGCTTTCGCTCACCAGCTCGTCCTGCAGAGTTCTTGCTTTCTTTTCATGCTTGCACCTTGCTGTTGGTCGCTTTCTGTAACAATCGCTGTTGCGGCAATTACCTCAGATACGTTTTTTGCGTAGTTTCACCGCTCTTTTACCTCACTTGTTGCTCTTCATTCATGCTCGACGCGCCCGCAGAATAGAGCGCAGAAATCGTCTCCGGATTGAAGGCGGGATGGGATGGCACTGGGATATCTACCATGTGGGAGGGATATAATAATCCTCCCAATGGTCCGGCTCAGCATCTCTGAAAGTATCGATAGTAACTTCTATCCCTTCCGGTCCAACAGACCAGACGCCTTCTTCAATCAGCTTGCGCCAACAATCCAGCAAACGCCTAGCCGCTGGGAGCGATAGTAGTTACCACCAAAAGGCTTGAATCCATGCTGAAAGAGCTCTTAAAAGCGTTCCCTATCAACAAAGGACCCATCGCTTTTTCGTGCGCCTACTTTCCTGCGCAGATCATCATTGAAGGTGAACGGGAGCAATAGCCGAAATTCCTCTCGGCCACGTCGAGGCCGTTTCTCTCCACTACCTCACTATATAGGCCTACAGAGACACGAGATGGTGTACACATTTCGGTGGCCCCTAAATAGAAGTCCATTAATAAAATGGAGTTATTGTTCTCGTGAGCTAGGTAGGACGCTGATCTACGGTATCAGCGGGGAAAAGACACGCTGGCGGTGCGATATACTTAGAGAGGGGGAATACGCTAAATAGCTACGCAGCCATAAATCCAGCCGAGTCAGCCAGGGGCAGGAGAAGGCCCGGAGCGATATAGCGGAACTAGGGCCATCTCGCGTGCGTTTCTAACGCACGCGCAAAGGAAGGATTAGGCACCAAAGCAGCGTCTAGGATAATTGATGCGACTAGTGGCTCAAGATTATCTTCGTTAGACCCGGAAATGGGCTAATCAGCGGTGGTGGGTTAGATACCTACGAGATACGCGCCTCGATAGCCTAATATAGCCAATCCCACGCGCCGACACTCGTATTAACCTAGGCTTCGCTATAGGGCCGCCACTCCCAGGGCCCGATCTTCTCAAAGTCAAATAGGGCTAGCTCTTGATTAGGCGAAGCCACAACTTTTTCCAAGATAAATAAGGTCGATCCAGTGGGAGAGCAGTGTCTCTAGTGGGTTCCAAACGTTTAGATGATCCTCGACTGGAAACCCTTAATAATAGGCATCAAGATGCATGAAGATCGCGACGCGATGGGAGCGTTGGTGGTAGATAATACCGCCACCACTGCCCTCAGCCGATAAGTCTATGTCGACAGTGTATAAGTGCATCAGGTTGTCAACCGGCTGGTCTCCAATATCGACTATAATTTCCTCAAAAAGCCTGTCTGGCGAAGAGAAGTCGCATACGAAAATAGAGAGTGAGAACTCATCAGGATCATCACTAGGAGGGATCATGGCGGTGTCAAGAAAAGCCACTAGTGACGGATCAGCCTTGGACGAAAAGCCTCAGCTACAGCACCGAACAGCGTGAAAAGGTTGGTGCTGTTGCCATTCAAGTTGCCAGCGGACGGCCTTCAGCGAGCCAGGCATATTGGACCAGGTAGTTGTGTATAGCTGCACATCGTGCGTAATCCATCCCTTCAACATCATCTCGTGGAGGGTTATCTGGCCTGACAAGTAAGCTGGTTATGTCCGGAAGTTCAGAAAAATCCATTGCGATGAAATCGGAGTTTGAATTGTTTATTGGTTTCGCATGACCTTTTGCGACTCGCTGACCGCTGATGAGATATCTATTGTGGCTGTGTGCTGATGATGAGTGGTCTCGATGCTAGTGATATTAGCGAGTCTTTGGCTTTTACTGCATCTATGAACGCCGTGTCCCACAGTTCGGCCGCCCAATCCTGGTCGTCCAACTACAACTACGTTCATGGTGACACGGACGTAATCTAGAGAATAAGTCCGGACTTTCTTAATGACCAACGCTTGTAACAATGATCAAAAGCCTTTGATCAACATGGCTCAACAAGGAAAGCCATTCGTGCTTTCTGCGTTTATTAATTCCTCCTGACCATTTTATATAGATTGGTCCTAGAATCTGGAAATATTCAAAGAAAATGAAGGAGATACTTACCCCATGTCATTGGCCAAACTACCTGTCCCCTTCCTTTCTTGATGATAGAGCTTTATAAGTGCAAATACTGCTTGCTTGAATACAAAGATATCAGCAGAAAATATGACAAGAGTATAATGATTTGGCCTTGAAGGACGCTAAAGAGGGCAACAACATGATCAAATTATGTGTTCCGTCCTGCGAGTTCCGAGTATTCTTAATGTGATTCCTTGCCTTCGCGAACGATTAAGATCTCTTAGGTTTAGCCTTAGTCCTACGGCCTTGCGGGTGACCTTTCTGAGTACATCGTTTGTCTTGCGTCTTCTCAACACTCTGCGAACCAATCTAGCGTCGTCCACTTCGGGCATTTCAGCATAGGATGGTGACTGCACAACTATACTGGAACTCGAAGTTGTTTTGCAAATAGGACATCCCGATCCTCCGAGGTTTATCCTTTCTAGAGGAATTTTGTCCCAGTTCAGTGCGTAGTCTTCGCCAACTGAGATTGTCACCCCTGCTTTATGCCAGGTAGAATCCAGATCACTCGCTTTTTTCTGTACTTCTGAGGGCGACATCTCACCAATTAGAAGTATATGCCGTCGATCCATACCCCGTGCATTGCACTCAAAGGCGACAATATCCCCTTTCAGATGGAGTCCATTAGTGACTAGGACGGTCAGGAAAGACATCTCCGTTGTGGGACATTGAACCCGAATAAGATATGCGACACCGAAGCTCATAATATCCATGACAGTCTGTGCTGAAAGTTGCATGAAATCGGCCCATATGAACCGAATCTGCTCTGTCCCGAGAAATGGATAGAATCGGTGCTCCATATGCCGTTGGACGAATCGTAGTGCCCGACTAAAGTTGTTATTGAGAACCTGTGCAATTAGCATAAGTTGTTTGTTGTTATATCGCCCAGAGCCAAATGCGACGGCTATATTGACAGCAGAAGTCCAATTGCCGTTTGAAAACAGAATGAGAGTTATCTCTCGATGGACCAATCCCCTTTTGCATCGGTGTACAGGGCCAAGCAAACGAACTGTGGTGCAAGGTCCGATTTTCCTTACAAGAACCTCATTGCATGTCAAAGACCCCACCTGCACGGCTGAGAGAATACTTGGGGGAATCATCAGCCACCGGAGATGTCCCGCCATCAAAGCTGCTTCAAGCCATCTCTTCCATGCGGTCTCCCTGGACTCCTTTGGCCGAACACTGATTTCTACCCCTGTGGCAGCCATTATACCATATACCTCATCGACGGGGACAGTTGCCTTTCGATTTCCGAGTAGCTCCATCACTCGCGTTCGTTCGATTGCTTTGGCGCGGGAAGCTGCCATGCCGGAAAAATGAGAGAAAAGCAAAGAGTAATCGTTATTTATCGATAAATTGCGGGCTGTGCATCCGGCGACCTCGAACTCATCGCAAAGCCTGGGTATGGCGATGAAGAGCTCGTCGTTGATCGATATAGGCTCCAAGTCGGAGCCGATCCACAAAACATTCCTGGCGAGGAGATACTCTTGTAATGTCCAGATTCTTGTACCCCAAGCAGTTTTTGTAAAGCAGGAGAGTATATCCATTGCCTGCACCAGTTTGGTCCGCCCTTCTCCAAGTTCCCAGTATTCTCTTGCTCCGTCGTCCGTCCATGCCTCCATCTCCCAAATTGCAAGGGCCTCGTCCAGCTGGGATGTACCATAGTCAATCTTTTCTTGTGTCAGATTGAGCTCATTGGTGAGAATAATCAGGACTGCCTCAGCATTGCTGAATATCTCGCCCATGAGTGGGATTTGCTCGTTCACATCATCCTCAGAGTCCTGTTCGATAGAGAATAGGTCGATCCAGCAGTACCTCACTGAACTGAGGCCTCTTTTGAACAATGTTCGTTTAATTGCATCACCGCCAAATGAGGAATCGAGAGGCAGCTGTTTCGGAAAGATCTTCTCTGACCAGGCGTGGGAGATAGCCAGGTAAGGCGGCGACTTTCTGATGTCGAAGGTGTGAATGGTGGAATCAAATGTATCAATCAGCCTGAATTTCTTCATTCTAGTCAAGCACTTTCTACGCAAGTATTGATGCAGACTCAGATCAAAGGTCAGCGTACAGCCAGCCCCAAATCATACCCCGCATGGACTTATTGATGCCTCAGGTGTCTAGTTATCCCCCTGGTAGCCTTGCTCTTAGCTACTCCTCGTTCCCACGAGCATGGTTTCTTACAGAAGGGTCTCATGGAGTACAAAGGGACCGGCAGCACCAAAAGTATAGATTTACTCGATGGTTGCTCAGAAGACAAGCTTTCTTTGTCTGAACTTTGGGCATGACTACCTGACTAGGATATAGTTTCACACCCAAAATACCTTAAGCATCGGACCCTTCTTCTTTAAGAACCTCGTAGTTGGACGCGAACTCGTCTACAATCCAATTGCAAAAGTCTTCCCATGCACTGTTCCAAGCCTGAATATGTTTGGCCTTGATACTGGTTCCTTCTTCACCGCGGTCGATGTCCTGAATCCAATCTTCATCAGACTGGTCTTCGAAGTTTGCCCACCGCAGACTGTTTTGTGCTAGTGCACCCTGTTATATACTGTTATTATAGTGCAAATTTTGAAAACACAGAGGTTAGCTCACCAATCCGGCAAGGCCGAGGTTGTCAAAAGCTTGGATAGCTTCGTAGAAATCATAACTCAGACCAGCTACATCCTGTCCAAGGATAGCTGGATCATCGTTACTGATGGCAGTTGGAATACCATGCGCAATCATCGCTGGCAAAGGATGGTGGAGAATATCCGTGTTCAGACGGAGGACTTCATTTGATATAGGGCACACTTCAATGAGGACATTCTGCTCAATGGTTTGCTTGATCAGGTTCGGGTGTTTATATAGAGAGAACCCATGCCCGATTCGGCGCGTGTTGAACAGGAGTGCATCAAACAAGTTGTCATCCGTTGAGTTCCCATCGCCCAGAGTTTCTCCTGCATGGAAGAAGTATGGAATGGTAAGATTCAGAGCTTCGGTCTGTTCGCGGAACCAGACCAGCTCCGGTGCAAGATCGGAAAGAGGACGACCGAGATCTTCCTGAGAAACTAAGTCGTAGCCACTGAACAGCTCGGGGAAATTTAATTTTCGCTGGAGAGCAATTTTCATGCCTATCATGGTCAGCGAAAGTTTTTTCAATGGACTTTGGGTATCTTACTCTTGGTAATCGAAGCGCGGGGTTTCCCACGCGAGTCCGCCCAAATAATTCTGGCACCCCAGAAGTTTTTACCCTTCTCAGTGGCTTTAAACTTGTTAATCTCCTCGACAAGGACAGTCCACCAGGCGTCGAGGCTCGGGTCAACATCTTCTTGGCCGTCGTGGACGAGCTTCCCACTCGATCCACCGCTTCGGATCTCCACCCAGTTAATACCATCACTAGCGAGATCTGTGAACAGCGTCTGGTAAAATTTCCTCACGACGGGCTCGTACTCGAGCATTGAACCAGTGGGACCGAAGCAGGCTTGGAACCGTCTCCAGATCTCATCAACACCAAGCTCGTGGCGGATCGACTCCTCGGGTGGAACAGTCGTTTTCATTTTGATGAAGTCGAGGAAGCCCGCTTCACCACCTTTGAAATTGGCCGCGGCCACTGTGACGGGAACCTTACCGCCGGGGATGTAGTCGAGAGAATCAATGTTGACCGATGACTGATCTTCGAGGGTCGTATCATTACTATGAGAAAACGTGATGGTGGCATTCATCTTGGCGTCGTAGGTGTCAACGGATTGTGTTGAGGCGATCATCATCCCTTCTGTGTGGATAATGATTTCCACCAGTTTTTCGTAGGGTAGCATGGCTGACAGATGTGCATGCAGAAGCGCACCCTTTGGCATGCGCTTGATGATCTTCCACAGAGTCGTGTTTGCGATATATGGGCGGGCAAGGGGGAACACCTCGCCCGCGAATCGCTCTTTGTACTCGTCGCCGGGGGTGCCGGCTACGCGCCAGTAATAATCAGTTTCATATTGACGAATCTGGCGAACGATCTCGTCTGCGCGCTGGGCAGTCGGCGAGAGACTTTGGCGAAAGACGTGATCTGCGTGGACGTTCAGCTTCATCTCTGCACAATCAAAGATTTATCTAGGGATCTATCGATTTTTGGAACGAACCTTGTCGGTGCGTCTTTTCCAATGTGATGAGCTTCTCGCGGTCACGGAGGTGTTCCAGTACCAGGGGGTCATTGATTTCTGGATCCCCCTGCACTATCAAGGCCGTAGAGAGCCCTGAGAGGGAGAGCGTGACTACCGCGAAGATGGACAGCAGACGCATGATGACGGACTAGCTGGATCGCCGATACTGGAGCGGCTCTTAAATTTCAATCCTCACCCCAGAGACAGGCATTATATATGAATCCAGCCAGGCAGTGTACTTTACTGTTGAGCTAAACTCGGATAACCTCATAGACTCGGGATGGGACGCTTTAGCATTGCAGTGTTTACTGCACTTGTATCACTATTTCGATTCCAACTGATAAATACTCGAACTGTAGTCCATGTTAGTACCACGTTCTAGACCCATGCACCCCGACTTACCTTCAGTGATAGGTCTCGTGTTATGTCTTCCTTCGGTTGGGTACACAGAGAGAGTCGATCATCCCGTGCATATAGTGTCCCACGTATCCCTTGTAAAAACAACCATGTCCCTCAGAGACCAGGGAATATCTTCTATGGTCCAGAAATACACAAATCTCTTGTACTGTGTATCTTCATAGGCTTATAACTTAGTGATCCACTGTGGGAAGTATTTTTTGACATGTTTCCCCTTTGAGCTTGGCGCGAATGATTATGGTAGTGTCTAATGTTACTCTCTATCGCGAGTATAGCACTAGAGAGTCGAGACCAATGTCATTGTCCCTACTGTACCACTGATTGTAAAGAGGGGGTGTCTTGGCTCAATTTATCTCATGCATTGACTATTTGTCTCACCTGGGTCCGCGTGATTATTTCGGTTTGTTGTTGCCTTCGTATTCGATCAGTATGGGAAGGTGAAGAATCAGCTCAATATGATAGATCAATCATCTTCCCATCTGTACTAAGGTTTCCGCCACAATATTTAGGCCAAGTCAGAAAAAATAGAAAATAAACAAAGAAGGCGCAAATCACTCTAGAAGAAAAATGGCGATCGCGAGGATTTTCGTGCTCATGCGCTCGGGCGCCCGGACCATGCCACCTGGCACTGTAGTCTTGGCTGAGCTTCTTTTGAATAAACTAGGCTAATTTAAATCAATTGAACCACGATCTTTGTGATTGCATCCGAGGATGTCTCAGATTTGAGTCTAGCATTGCGTTGTCTTAATCTCTGCACACATCTAAACATTCTAAATCAACTACCTTTTCCCCGCAGCTTTTCCCCGCAGCATGACCCCGCAAGTTTCAAACATGGCATTACAATATTGCGCACCCTGCAAAAAATTGAGAGTCCCAAGTTTTCTACGCCAAGCTCAGCCTACAGCCACATATGCAATATCGTTTTCGCCAAGACCAATAAACCAGTAAGGGGGGTATTGTTGCAGAAAAAGACAAGAGGCACCAGTTTCTGGACATCAGTAAGCAGAATAGCAGTATCCTAAGTAGATACATGTGAACTTGGGAATTGAGAAAGATCTCGAGATTGAAATCAACCAGAAATTTGACATGGGAAGAGAAAAAAAAGAGCACAATAGGTTGTTGGAAAGCGTGAAAACATATTTATCAATCCTCTTAGCGCTGGGTTAGACAAGGTTCCAAAAGATATATAGATAACAATAGTGGCTTGCCAGGTGGTATCTTCTCTAGTTAGTTATTTAGTTATTGTGCAGCTCTATCATTACTTAGAAGCAGAAAATGCCAAGACTATGTACAGAGACCTGTCTCCTTAGCAAATTCTCCAGGTGAAACTATCAAAGGTTCTTGCCGGCCTCATGCAGGGGGTGAAATTTATGCAATCAAGATCGTAGTTTCTCAGTAAAAGCAATGACCTGACTTTCGCTCGTTGCCCATGAAGTGACCAGGCGAATCACCGCATGATCAGAACTTGATTTTTCCCAAACATAGAATTGGAAGTCGTTCTGCAATTTCGAGATCAAAGCATTTGGTAGGGTCGCAAATACTTGATTGGTTTCTGTGTCGGCTGATAGTTTGAAACCCGCTTCAGTCACACCGGCAGAAAGTAATTGTGCCATTCTGTTAGCGTGGCTTGAAAGCTGAAAGAAAAGATCTGAGCGGAATAATTCTAGGAACTGGACACCTAGAGCTCGTCCCTTAGCTAAGAGGCCTCCACGTTGTTTCACGTGGAATGCAAAATCTTCTGCCAAATATGGGTTGTTGATAACGATTGCTTCACCTAACAGCGTTCCCGCTTTCGTCCCACCAATCCAGAAGATATCTGTAAGACGGGCCAGATCCGCGAACGTGAGGTCATTCTTCGTCGCTGACAAGGCCGCTCCCAGCCGTGCTCCATCAAGCAGAAGAAGCAGGTTGTGTTGCTTGCAAAGTTCAGAGATTGCACCCAATTCGGCCTTGGTATAGATTGTACCAGTCTCCGTTGTATTGGAGATATAGACAAGACGAGGTTTTGCCATGTGGGGAAATTGCCCATTCTGATCCAAAACCTGGCTTATACTTTCAGGGGTCAATTTTCCATTTGACGGGGATACGGTGAGAATTTTGTGTCCAATTGCCTCAATGGCGCCGGTTTCTCGAACAGTTATGTGGCCAGTGGTCGCCGCTATAACGGCCTCATGCGGACGAAGACAGCTTGCGATACAAATAATGTTCGCAAGAGTGCCACTCGCAACAAAATGGATAGCAGCGACGGGAGCGTTGATTTGTTCTCTTATACAGTTCTTCGCCGCGTCGGAGTATTCATCGTTCCCGTACGGTTTTTGCTGTGGCATATTTGCATCGAGAAGGGCTCGCATTATGTTGGGATGCGCCCCTTCACTGTAGTCATCCAGGAAGCTAGTTGAAGCCATATTGGAGCTGATGAAGCTGATCGAGTTTGAAATTGAATGGAGAGTGAGTTGATAATAGGTATAGGGAATTGTTATAGCGACCCCCCATTGTGATCCAAGGTACGTATTAATCCCCTTATCGTCTTATCCGGAAATAATATCTTCCGATGTTGACAGACATTCATGACGCGGGTCATCGGCTACAGATATTCAAGCCAGGATCCACCACTCGGAGACATCCATCTCACGGCCGACCAACCGGGGCACCTCTAAGAAAGGATCCACCGGTCGGAGACTTCCCCTGGCGGCCGAAGACTCAGTCCGATCTCTCCGACATAAGGTGATGACAGAATCCACGTATTCAAGGCTACTAAATTGCATTTAAGTGTGTCATGTGATGTCAGTTAACGGCCTTGGAGACCCACTATCTTGGCTTGAGCATAGAGTCTTGGTTTTAGTATGGAAAAAATTTTTCTGCAGTGCTGTATCTGCTAACGACTCACTCACTATTGATCATCTACCAAAATGCATATTTCAAGATGCTCGCACATTTCGATGTATGTTTCAAGCATATTGCAGAGTCTATTATAATGGTCAACTCATGGTGGCGAACAAAGGGTCATCTCGTAGCCCAGTTCTTGTCTCAAGGCTCGGTGGTTCGATTCCACCGTTGTGGATCCATGCAGAAAAATCTGTTTACTTTGATACGTAAGGTCATAGTAGTGATTATATTGATGGCGAGTATAAAACCCAGTCACCCACCGTCATGAATCATGTTGCTCAGTACTCTACATTTTATCTTTCAAACCTCAAAATTTCAAGATGAGCATTACATACGATGTTTTCCGCGGTTCTGCCGAGGGTAAGATCATCGCCGATAAGACCACTGCTTCGCTTGATCTGAATGAGGTCTTTATTGAAACCACGCACTCCGGTCTATGCGGAACCGATGAGCATTACTTGAAAGCAGACATGGTCTTAGGCCATGAGGGTGTTGGTATTGTGAAAGCAATTGGTCCCAAGGTCTCCTCCGTGAAGGTCGGAGACCGTGTCGGATTTGGTTACACTCACAAGGTTTGCACAGAGTGTGACAACTGCGTGTCCGGTACTATCATTTCCCTGAATGCTCCTCGTGTACTCAAGCTAATTAATGCGCTATTAGGTTGGGATCAATACTGTAGGAATCAGAAGCAATATGGATTTCATGACTCGGCCAATGGAACTTTCAGCTACGGTGCTATCTGGGATGCTACTTGTGTTTACCCCATCCCCGAAGGCTATGATTCTGTGCACGCTGCGCCTCTCATGTGTGCCGGTGCTACAGTTTGGACTATCCTGACCGAGTATAATGTTCGCTCTACCGACCGTGTTGCTGTTATGGGTGTCGGTGGTTTGGGTCATTTGGCCATCAAGATTGCTAGCGAAATGGGATGCAACGTTGTTGTACTATCAAGCTCCGAATCCAAGCGTCAAGAAGCGATGGATTATGGTGCCTCGGAGTATCATGTTTTCCGATCTGGTGGAGAGCCTCCCGTGGACTTCAAGCCTGTCGACCATCTCCTTCTATGCGGCAGTGGCAGCGTTGATTACCTTTCGTGAGTTCCTCTCCTTGTCATCTTATCACTAGAGCTTGGCTGACTTCTAACCAGGCTTATCCCTTTGATGAACACACATGGTAGCATCTATCCTTTGACGGTCGCCTTTGAACCCTCCGCGGTTCCCCTTTTGGATATGGTCTGGAAGGGCGTCCGGGTCCAGGGCTCGCTAGTCGCCTCCCGCCGCTCAATCCGCACTCTGTTGGAGTTTGCCGCAAGAAAGAAGATTCATCCCACTACCATGACCTTTCCATTGAACAAAGAAGGCATTGAAGAGGCTATGAAGACCCTGAGAGAGGGTAAGATGAGATACAGAGGTGTGCTGGTCAAGCAATAGTTCGGGTACTATGGAGAGAGCTCGAATCCGAGACCGGCGTCTTAAATAGCGAAATTTGTTATTATCACACTCCATACCTAAACGGCCATGAACTTAAGCTTTCACCTTTTCAGAATCGAGGCCCTTGTGTTGGGTATTCAAGGTTGGAGGGCCAGAGCTCAACGCTTGTAATGGTCTTGCAGTTCCTTCAAAGTATACAACGACCTGGTAGGTACTTATATACTCGCCTGGGCAAACTCGTTGTCATATGGTTTCACGCATAAATTCATGATCGGATATTATCGCATATGGCGGATCTTAGTCGTTGGAAATAATGAAGAGGTCCATGAAAATCAAATAAAGTAATGAGGCGTCCACAAAGCCACTTGCACTAATGCACTTGAGGGTGAATTGAGGCTGAAACTCTACAAACAATCAGCAAAACGTTTCCCGAATTCAATGTCCACCTTTTTTTTCCAATTCCCGCATCAACTAAATGGAAAATACCTCTCTCACATGTCAAACTCCATGACCCTATCTGATTATTAAACAGGGTCTTCGAAGGGTCTTGAGAATGTCTTGGCGAGGCCTTGGCAACCATCCGAGATGGGGCCGAAACCAAGCCGATGACGATCTTGCAGGGTCGATCTTCTCCTGAAACACGGCCTCGTGGTCCCTTGAACGAACGTTTTCTGTCTTCCTGGTGCAACAATTTCACATGACGATCACGCTCCTTGAACTGTTTCATGCGCCATGGAATCTATCATAAACAGGGCCCGGGATATCTTCAACAGGCTTCCCAAACGGCTTCAAGTGTGGGCCTTCTTTGCCCTCACGGTCGCTAAATCGCCACAGCTCTACGTTGATCGCGCGTGGGGGGCCTCTCGCAAATATTTTTTCTCCGTAATTTTCATCTCGCTGCTGCTGTCAAAATGCTTCCATATCTACGTCAACCCCAGGTCGGTGGGGGTTCTTCCCCTCCTCTTCTGGGGGCCCACCTTCTTTGTGGTGGATATTCTGCTTATGCTGGTCGCGTGCCGACTTGCCCGATCCTTCGAGTCGCGGATATGTCGCGACTTAGCGGCATTGATTGTTGTGCTATTCAGGTTAGTTGTGCCGTACACACGAGCATACGAAAATTTACTAATGGCATTGCAGCTTGCAAGCATCAGGATTCACCTCTGCCAATATCGCCTTTTACGCCGTGAGAGGCACAGAGGTCCCTTGGCGCAAAACGAGTAAATTTCATCGGGATATTCCATCTGCAAAATTGGTCTTATCCGCGTTGGGTATATCGTTCCTCCTTGAGGGTTTGACTTTTGCTGGTGCATACTTTGCTACGCCTTATCTGTTCAAGGCTACTGGAGCTGTTCTAGATATCTGGGCTTCATTTTTACCCGCCAGATATCACGGTTACTTTGGGGATAAACCTCCAGCGAATCTTGAGAACTACGAGCAAGTTGCGATCGATGATTTCGACAATGACGCTGATTCCGTTTTTCTGCTGGATGTACCGCAGGAGCCGCCGAGGGAGCGAAATTGGTCGCGGCTGAGCCGTGCCACTGTCGTAACATGCAGCGCCATCATAGCATTTTTGACCATAATACGCCCACACAATTTGGTGTACAACTTCCTCACCCAGTCCATCCCTTTTGCACCGTTTGGCGGTCCTAACTATAGGCCCGGCGAAGAAAGTGTCGCATCATTGCCCGGCAATTTCAGCTGGTTGGAAGGACACACTGCTTTGGACACATTTCCATCATTTGACTGGTTGCGCGGATACAACTCGTCGGATGGATTTCCGGATTGGTCTCCGTTCCCGATGAATCAGACCTATACATCAACGCATCAGGCCCAGGAGTATGAGCACTACAACCCGTTGAATGATCCTCTGCATATACCAAACCTCCAGAACGATCTGCTAGAACCTATACGTGAGGCGCTTCACAACGGAAGTGTCAAGATCAAGCATATCATTCTCGTCAAGTTGGAAAGCACCCGGCAAGATGTGTGGCCCTTCCGCTCTAGTTCATACATAATGAACCACATCAAAGACTCTTACGGCGGGGAAATCCCGGAGAAGATTGAAGAAAGATTGTCAAAGCTTACGCCCACTGCTCAACGGTTGACCGGGCAAGAGACCGGTTTTGAGAATATCACCGATCGCCCAAAGCCCTATGGTGGTATTAGTGCCACCAACGCTTACACATCGGGTACCTATACCATGAAAAGTATCACTGGTACCGTTTGTGGTGTGAGTGCTATGGCAGTCGAGGGTAATCTCGAGTACTATCACGATTTCTACCAGCCCTGCTTGCCACACATCTTCAATGCGTTAAGTCATCAACCAAATATCAGCAGTGATTCTGATGACTGGACTTTGCTTCCATGGCATACTCAGTGGATGCAGTCGCACTATGGTACTTGGGACAAACAAGAGCTCCTTACTCCGGCTTTGGGGTACCAGGATGTCATGGATAAGGAATCCATCAATGATGCCGGTGGCAAATACATTCCCGAAGAAAACGAGAAGGAAACTCATTATGGTCATGAAGACAAGGTTCTGAAGAATTATATGCGGGATCTAATTTCCGAGGTCAAGAGAAACAACACTCGTCTGTTCCTCACGCATTTAACTCACGAGACGCACACTCCCTGGTTCAAACCTGGTGAATACGAAGAGATTCTTGGAGGCTCATGGATTGGACGGAAAAAGCAGATCAATAACTACCTTAACACGGTGGTCTATCAGGACGAGTGGATCGCCGATATCCTTGACATCCTCGAAGAGGCCGGAATCGCCGACGAGACTCTCCTCGTCATGGCTGGTGACCAGTAAGCTCATCTCCACCTCCACATCTAGGAATATCTCACTAATCAAATTCCAGCGGTATTTCACTTCCAAATGATGGCGGTGTAACAGCTAATCACGATGCTCACGTTGGAAACTTCCACGTCCCCCTCTTCTTTTCCCACCCAAAAATCCCTCAAATAGAGGTCAATGGTCCAGTCGTATCTACCCAAATCCTCCCCACCATCCTCGACCTTCTAATCGAATCATCTTCTCTCACTGGCGAGTCCCTGCAGATCGTCAAAGATCTTCTCCCTCTATACGAAGGCCAGTCTATGCTCCGCCCACTCATCCCAGAGCAAGATGGCAAAAGAGAATGGCATTTCTCCACCATGAACCCGGGTGGCACATGGTTCTCAATGCGAGATGCCGTACACCCTTACCGATTGGTCGTTCCTCTGATCCCTGATGCACCATGGCGATTCACGGATATCATCGCTGACCCGTTTGAGCTTCATTTTGACGAAGAACTTGACTTTTTGAGTTTGCTGCGGGATGTGGAGGCGAGGCATGGGGTCAATGCTTCGGCTTGGCTCAATGAGGCAGCCCATGTGGCGTATTGGTGGATTCCCGAAAACCATCGCCGTTGGAAATATGAGGCCGAAGAGTCGAATAGTTCTTGATGACTTGTCTGATGACATCTCATATTGCATCATTCGCTGACTTTACGATGATTCGATCGCAAAACCATAGAGGGACGACATGGAATGACTGCCATTGGTTCAGCATAGGGAATGGCGTTTAGCTCTTGAAAATGTAGTTTTAGTTGTGCCCGGGGGAAATCACCGCGCATCGGAGTTCGGGCATTTCATGCCGAACACTCTGTTCATCTCGTCGCATGTAAATAAAGGTCTAACATAGTATGAGACAAGACCGGAGTCAAAGTGTCTCCTCTCCGTATGAGTTGCAAGTTTGTGGAATTTGTAATTGCTGATTTCAAGTTCCTACTATGCAGGCAGTCGTGCTTCACGTGTACATTGTAAAATTTTGCCTGAATCCTTCGTGTCCCTATTCTTGGGTCATCCCCGCCCTGTACGTACGTTGGGGAGGGGGCCACGAAATCACTGGCCCCAAAGTAGTTCCTTCGCATTACAACCCCCTCACTTGTTACTCAATTCATTCCACCCCAAACCCCTTACCATGGAATCCAATATGCCTCATAATGCCGATTACATTATCATCGGCGGGGGAACCGCGGGACTGGTAGTTGCGAGTCGACTATCGGAAGATCCAAAGGTACAGGTTCTTGTGTTGGAGAGCGGCCCCGATCGCACGGCGGACCTTCGGGTGCAGAATCCCGGTGCTTGGTCCACCCTGATTGGATCAGAGCTTGATTGGGAGATGAAGATTGCACCGCAGGTATGACAACCCAAGCAGAAGGTGTTATGTTTATCCTGCTGATAGTTTCTCATTAGATTGGCCTTAACAATCGAGGGCAAGATCATCCCGCTGGCAAAATGCTGGGTGGGTCCTCGGCCCTTAACGGACTGGCGTGGGTCCCGCCGTCTCCAGCAGGGATTGATGCGTGGGCAAAACTAGGTAACCCGAGTTGGAACTGGGAAAGCCTTTTACCTTATCTCCAAAAGTCCTGTACGGTAACCCATCGAGATCAATCATCTACCGGGAATGGTCCAATTCAAGTTATCTATCCTGCCCTGCAAGAGTTAGCGAGCAAACCTCTTATCGAGGCGTGGATCCAGGCATTCGATGACCAAGGCTACACGCACACAGACGACATTTTTGGAGGACCAGTGACTGTGGGGTCTCGTGGTTATGCGGCTACTATTGATCCAGTCAGTGGCTCACGCAGTAGTGCCGATAGCCAATATCGTATATCCAACCGCGGAAACATGAATATCGTCACGGAGGCAACAGTACGAAAAATTGATTTTTCCTCGGAGTCGCAAGATGGCTCTCTTGTTGCCACTGGGGTGGAGATAGAGTTGAATGGGCAAACTTTGAATATCCCAGCAAAGAAAGAGGTGATTCTTGCGGCGGGTGCCTTCCAAACACCTAAGCTGTTGGAATTATCGGGAGTGGGTAAAAGCGACCACCTGAATCCATTCGGAATTCCTGTGATGCTCGATCACTCTGGTGTTGGAGAAAATCTTCAGAATCATTTGATGAGCATTCTGCCTGTTCCATTGAAGGCTGAGGGGCTTACCCCCGGGATTAAGACACTGGCGTTCACGTGTCTCGACCGAGACGAGTTACAACAGATACTCAGCAAGAGCCCTAGGCCAAACACCTCAGACCGTGTGATCGAGTCCATTCTTGAGAGTCCCAAAGAAGCATCTGCGTGCCTTTTCCTAAGTGTCAAACCTGGACAAGTTGCCCTTTTAGGAGTCATTTCAAGTTTCCCATTCTCTCGCGGGAGCACGCACATCTCTTCCTCCGACTATAATGCCAGGCCGACGATCGATCCACAATTCTTAGCAAACGATATTGACATTGAGGTTTTGGCACATCATGTGCAAAAGCTGCACAGCTTAGCAAATTCTCCCGCGCTCAAGCCGTTCCTTGAGCCGAGTGCAGTTCCTCGCGATCTGGAAGAGATCAAGGAGTTGCTTCGCAATGCGACAGCTTTGACAACCCACCATACATGCAGCACTGCCTCGATGCTTCCCCAAGAAGCCGGTGGTGTGGTTTCCGAAGAACTTCGGGTTTACGGAACGAAAAATGTGCGAGTTGTGGATGCAAGTGTCTTTCCTCTCATTCCTCACGCTAACCCCATGGCGACCGTATATGCCGTTGCCGAACGGGCAGCTGAGGTAATCCGTGCGTCACAGCATTGATTCAAGGATGGTCTGTTTTGGACTCTGCATATATGTGCAATTCGCCATGGCACAAATCTGATGAAATCGCGGAAATGACAAGGATTGATGTGTTATTTGAGACTAGATTCTGAGATGCAGTGATTGCGGGTAGTATATTAGACTCAGGTAGCCGGAATACATGAATCAGGATGATGATCTAAGTACCATGTGTCTATCCCGACGAACAGAGCTTACGCAAAAGATATCGGAACTGACCCTACCTAATCTCCGAAAGCTGCGGTTGACCCACTAGCTCCAACTTAGTATAAACTCCAAATTATGCATGATTTTGTTCCGGATGTGGACCCAGCAGGAAGTGATACGATACTACCTATGCATATACATTCTGCATTTCCGGCAACCGGCAATGATCGGAAATACGAATGACTATATAGTCGCGCCTTTGGACGCGTCTTGAAGAGTTGCCAATCACACCAAATAATTCGAATCTCCAAAATGACTCAAGAAAACGTTGCTATCATTGGCGCTGGACTCTCCGGTCTTGTTTTGTCCTTATCTCTACATCAACAGGGCGTACCTTGCACCGTGTACGAGGTTCGCCCTTCGCCGCTCGACATTGGCAATGCCATTACCATATCACCATATGCCCTGCGAATTCTCGCCAGCCTTGATTTGTAACAGCAGGTTGTACGCCAGGGATACCAATGCGATGTCATAGAATTCCGATCACAAGACGATCAACCTTTTGATTCCTACGAGCTCGGAAGCGTGGAAAAATACGGATACCCAGGTCTTCGAGTATACCGCAAAGTTCTAATAATGGAGCTTCTTGCCAAATAATCTGAAAACCGCATTCCAATTGTCTTCGGCAAGGAATTTGTGAAAATCCTGTCTGAGTCCGACAATGACGTGTCGTAGGAGTGGGGTGATGGCACTGTCGGTCACGCCGCCAGTCTAGTCAGCGTGGATGGCATCCACTCTCGCGTTCGTTCATATCTCCACCCTGACGTCGAGCCCAAGTTCGTGAATGTGGTGGCTGTCGCAGGGGCAGTGCCAACTAGCCACGTCAAATTTCCGAAAGACTATGCACTCCCTGTCACCATTATGAGCGCAACTCATGGTGTCTACATCCTCGCACCAAACCTTCCTGATGGATCTGAGTTGATGGTTGTGAAGCAGAAAAAGATTGAGGAGCATGATCGCGAAGGCTGGAAGGCTTTCGTGGAGGATAAGCAAGGGTGTGTTGTTTTCCTTCGACAAGGAGCGGATAACTTCCCAGAGGTAGTACGCAAGGCTGTTTCGGGACTTGATACGGAATCAATCTTCATCTGGCCTTTCTATGAAGTCCCGCGTATGAATAGCTGGACCTCTGAGAAAGGCCGAGTGACAATTCTCGGGGACGCGGCGCATGCCATTTCTCCTTCATCCGGACAGAGTGCCAATCAGGTCTTTGAAGACGCCTATACATATGCACTGATTTGCGGTCAGTGCAATACATCCTCGCTGAGGTCCATACTACAAAAATGGCGAAAGGGTCGCCAGGAGAGAATTGATCGCCTTATTATCTTGGCGCGACAAATGAATGTACGGCAGTTGCCTGAGTCCGAAGCCCGCGAGTTCGAACGCGACGTCGGAGGGGAGAACTTCAACACAGAATGGCTTCTTAAGCCCGACCTTAAGCAAATAGCTCAAGATTGGCTTCGCGCTTAGCCCTGGGGCTTCTTATGCATACTAGCCTTGTAGACGATATAACCTACACTGGCTATTTAGGACGTGTCCTTCGTACCCTTCTATTCGTCATCACCCTCCAAATCACCACAGTAAGCTTTGTTACTCATCATTAAATGTGTATAAAATATTCCCGAGTCTGACTGGTTGAATCGAAGAAATACCGCACCCTGCTTTCTGCCTTTTGGCTCCTTTGTTGTGACGGAGTCTCGGAGATGAGGATGTCCGGACCCCGACCGGGTATTGTCACGTCAATACATCTCCGTCGCTTATCCGGGTAAAAGGTTAAAAATAACCGACGGCACATTGTGCCGGCTTCGTGTTATGTTCGTACCTAAATGTCGAATACTATCTATATGTCAATCTCTCTAGGCATTTAGGCGAAGCATTATGAGCCAGAGGCAAAGTATGTAACGTCCCAACCGTGAATGGTTTGGTCATGATCCAATCTGTGTCGTTACCCACGCCAAGGATAAAGATAAACTTTATCAAGTTTTAGACCAAATGCCGGATTCTCGGCTACGGACCGACTTGAGTATTCTTGACCGCAATTAAAACATACAAGCATTCAACACTGCACCTGGTATCAAGCGTCACTGGCAGTAAACCATTGCCGTTGCACCGCCTGCCCCAACGTTCGCGAATGATTGTTCGGTATCACCAAGGTTGACTAGGCATTCGCGTATAGCCGCCATGGCCGAAAGACTAGGCCCGGTGGAGCGAACCAAAAGACATCCTGTGTCATGCATTCCATGCAGGCAACGAAAGTAAGCCCCGTTGCTCTATAGTGGCTGGTCCGAGCCACAATAAACAGTCTTATAACCACCGTCATAGAGTGAAATGCGATCGAAATCAGCCATGTCAGATGTGCGTGCGAAAGGGACGAACTCCTGATTGTGTTTATTCTGCGAGAAGGACTAGTCGACCCCGCCAACCTCTCTCCCACCATGTGCAGGATCGAGTCAGGCACCTAGAGAGTGTTGTTGGATCTCTTGTTGAAAGGCAAGAACCAGCGCAGGTGTCCTGTACTTCCTCGCCGGCAGAAGAAGCTCATTCTTCTGAAGGCTCAGTGGGGCGCATTTGGACCCATCAGGGCGAAACCAATAACGTTGGCGGCGAGCACTGGGCTGTCATCGCGGGCGATGTGAGTTGTCCCCTTCGTGGATGATTACGGTAGTATTCCCATCCTAATGTATATTGCCAAACTCAAGTTCGGAAGTGGCCCAGAAATTCGACGGCCACTGCTGCAGCAAAGCCAAGCTGACAGGTCGCATGACTTGTTAATGGGAACCCACAATGGCCTTACCCGGGATGAACTTTTGCAGTCCGTGCCATCAAGAACCGTTGTTGATCGCCTTGTTTCCCGCTTTTTTAACATAATGGACTTCTTTGGATGTATATCAATTCTTTCCAGGCGGTTCGATTACCATTTTGCTAACGATGATAGTGATCACTCATGCGCCGACATTTGAGAAAGAAGTGCGTATCTCCCACGGAAATTAGCCTTGCACTAACATCAAAAACAGTATAATTGCTTCTGGGAAGATACTTCGAGTGTCTCCCTTAACTGGCTAAGCATTCTATACAGTATGATGTGTATTTCTACATGTCACTTGATCTTTTCCCGTGATCCAAAGAACAGCACTTCTCAGTCACAAGAAGACATGTCTTTTTTTCGACACAAGAGCGCTCATTGTCTCATGCTATCCGACTATACAAAGCCGACTGTGAACACAGTCGAAGCTTTAATGCTACACTTCTTCGGTAAACTTATGGAACGCCAAGAAAACCAATTCGCAAATTACCTAGTGTTCACGACAATGGTTCGGGTCGCCATGAGAGCAGGCTATCATCGCGATCCCGTGCATTTTCCAGAGATTTCTGTTTTTGCTGGGGAGTACAGGCGGCGCGTATGGTTGATGCTCGTCCAATTGGATATCCTCATGTCTTTCGAAGTCGGACTACCTCGCACGATCAATGAAGTCGAAACAGATACTGGGATTCCTCAGGCTTTACGCGACGAGGACTTAAGCCCGGAAATGACCCAAATACCTCCGTCTCGACCTGAGAGTAATAGCATTTTGAATTATGTTATTCGGAGAACGGGCATATTGAGAGTCTTAGGAAAAATCCAAGATCGCGTTGTATCCATTCACCCACTTTCTCCAGATATTGTTATTCAACTTGATCATTCTCTTGATGAGCAACAGGACTCTATGCCACCTTCGTTAAAAGCGCATCATAGATACTCTATCACCGAAACCCCAAACGAGCTATTGCAGCGCCTGATGCTGGATGTGCTTTTTCAAAAAGCTCGTTGCTCGCTACACCGACGATTCATGAGTACCCAGCCGACCTCTTATAAAAGATGTATCGACGCATCCTTGAGGATCATCAGTCATCAATCTTACATGTACCACGAATCCCGACCGGGTGGGTTCTTGTGGGGGCAGAAGTGGAAAATCATGTGTGCGGCAACGTACGACTTTCTCCTCGCCGCTATTATAATTTGTCTTGGGATAAACCCAAAGATTGGATCGAGGCAGACTCTATCTCCGGGTATTGATCCGGATGCATACGATGGTCGCCGAGATTTACTTAAGGCATTAGAAGAGTCTTATACCATCTGGACCGATTGGCGCACCGAAACGCACAAGGCAGGTGTGGTGTTTGACGTCGTGAAATCTGTCCTGAAGAGAGTCAGAGAACACCGAACAACGATGCCATTGAATGGCAATGACCAATCAGAATCGGTTGAATCACCACGTAAGTTCTTTCTCTATAAGCAGCTTTCTTCTGCCCTTCCTTTTGGGAGGGCATTGATGGATATCCCGCTGAGTAGAGATTTTAGACACCGAGCCTGCCAATACTGAGCAAATATTTGAGACCACATGTCCATCAATTTCCTGCACCACTGCAAAGAGCGACTTCCCTCTTCACCCCACCACAGATATTGAGACCGAGTCACCGTTATCGACAGACATGCTTGCGGATATCGTCGATCTGAATGGCGTAATTGACTGGGTGAGTTTTTCCTTTGGCTTGAGACCTTGATCCATGAATTTGCTTCAAGAGTGATGGTGGAGTTTGACTCTCTTAATGCACAGACCCAATGGGACAACCAAATGCAGCAACGCGGCATTAGTCCCCATCTGCAACCGAACTCTCAGTTATGGTTTACTACCTAATTCAAAGCCTGAATTGCATCTTGCAAGTATCTCTTGGATTTCTAGGCAGCTTTGATACTATTCATGAGTATATTCTATGACACTCCGCCCCAGCGACATATAACATTTAAACTTGGGCAACCTTGGAACCTTGAGTCTTGAACCTTGTGGTGGAAGACCTTCGAATCCGAATTATTTATTTCAATCGAGGTAACTTTTCAATCATTATGGTTCGAGTAGGCATTAGTTGGTAAGTGCCCATAAATGAATATTTCTATTGGTGGACGTAAACGATATAAATGTATTTCAACGATGTCTCAATACAGCATCCAATGCCCGTGGGGCACGATGTAGAGAAAATTGCAAGATCGGAATTCCAATGGACTGTGGACACAAATCTTGGATTGAATGCCTTCGCAGCAGAAAACATTTCTGGTGTTTGACACCTGTCAGGATACAATATATTTAATCCCACCAAAGCAGAGCCCAAGTAGGCTTTGTAATGTTACCGGTGTAATTTTACATCTCCGAATACATCTCCGGACACTTGCTTTGCTCGCTCTTGATCGGACGCCGATAGATCAACTGTTCGGGTGACACTTGCTCTCCGAGAGGTGCTAGAGACCAACAAACGCAAAATATTTTGTCAGCATTATCCAATTGGACACCTTGAGAAAAATAAGATCGCTAAGTGGGGGATGGCTACAAATGATTCCCATTATCTCTAGCGCTTGAGATTCTTCGTTACCGAGTCACCCCATGTGACCCGGCGTTAACACTGCGAAAATCCGATCAAGAATCTCGACAAGGTTCATAAAAGGCCATTAGACTTCAATGAGCTCAGTTTTTTTTTTTTTCTTTCAAATCCCAGTCTTATAGTGATTTCACCTTCCAATTGGAGCTTGCCATGGAGAAAGATCCTGAATCCTCGAGCGCGGGCGAAAAGAAATCAGTGCAACAGAACTTAAGAATATCCGATTTTGACAAAGGGCTTGTTGGGTGGGACTCTGAAGAAGATCCTCTTAATCCACAGTAAGTTGACTTCTGGTATGCGGCCTGCAGTGCCTATTGAATCTAATGCCCATGCTCCATAGAAACTTTCCCGATAGCCGCAAATGGCTCATTCTGGGCATGGTCAGCATAATTACATTTTTAAGGTATAGTTGTGGTGGATTTATAGAAGAAGTTTTTGATGCTGATATTGTGCTCAGTCCTTTAGCCTCCTCCATTCCTGCTCCCGGTACCTCTTTGATGGATGCCGATTTCGGCGTTACCTCGACCATCCTTAGCTCGTTCTCAGTTAGCGTGTTCGTCCTCGGATTTGCAGTAGGTCAAGTCCAATACCACCCACAACATGAACCTTACTAAAGATATCAGGTCGGTCCTTTAATTCTGTCTACTTTGAGCGAGATCTATGGACGTCAACCGGTCCTGAACATCATGGATGTATTTTTCACACTATGGCATATTGGCTGTGCCTTGTCACCAAATATTGCAAGTTTGATCATCTTCCGGTTTTTGGCTGGAGTCGGCGGCTCTGCATGCCTGAGCGTAGGCGGCGGAGTTATTGCCGATCTCTTCCCCATCCACCAGCGCGGAAAGGCCAATGCAATGTTTACATTTGGGCCACTCATTGGACCTATTGTAGGACCCATCCTGGGCGGTTTTATTTCACAGCGCGCAGGCTGGAGATGGGTGTACTGGGTTCTCCTTATTACGTGTGGAGTGATGACCTGCGTCAATGTTGTCATCGGCCAGGAAACCAACCCATCTGTCCTGATACATCGGAAAACAATGGCTCTACGCAAGGAGCCTGGTCAAGAACATTTTCAAAGTCTTTACCCGCCTAAAACTCGAGCGCTTATTGTGCAAGGTATGAAGCGACTGTTTAAGATTCTCTGTTCGCCAATCTTTTTCCTACTCGCCCTTTATATGTCCTTCATCTTTGGTCTACTCTACCTTCTTTTCACCACTATGAGCACGCTATTCACGGATAACTATGGCTGGCCTGTGGAGCTATGTGGACTCGCATACCTAGGGATAGGGATTGGGTTTGGTCTCGGAAACTTCCTCGTTGCGAAGATTTCCGACCCGACCGTGATTCGTTTAACGAAGGCAAATAACGGAGTATATAAGCCCGAAATGCGGCTTGCTCCCTGCCTTTTCTTCGCTCCATTTATCCCTATCAGCTTTTTCTGGTACGGCTGGACTGCAGACAAGCATGTGCATTGGATTGTTCCCATAATTGGCTTGTTCCCTTTCGGGCTCGGCATGATTGGCATCTTTGCACCAATCCAGACATATTTTATCGATGCCTCTGGTGCATATGCTGCATCCGCTGTGGCTGGCTTGACGGCTATGAGGTGCCTGTTTGGTGCATTCCTGCCTCTGGCGGGACCTAGCATGTATTCAGCTTTGGGTCTTGGTTGGGGAAATTCCTTGTTGGGTTTCATTGCTTTGGGTCTGACGCCGGCTCCAATTTTGATCTACAAGTTTGGTACGGCAATTCGAGAGAGATATCCAATTAGTATTACGTAGATTTTCTTGGTTATTTAGCAGATTAAGGACTGAGAGGGCTGTTCAGTGCCACGCATTTCTAAATTCATGGTTATCGGTCATTGCAAATTTGTAGATAATACGGAAATATGAATCAAGAATAGATACATGGGAATAGTTTCTGCAAAGCCGATGAATCCTCAATTTGGTTGCGATGCTGCTGTCTTAACACCAAATCGTTGACCGAGTACAATGAATTGAGCGATAGTCATAGCCCGCCTGAAGGCAAGGGGCTCGTAGTTTCCATAAAAGCCTTTCTTCAATGCTTGCTCCGCCAGATCCCAATCAGCGAATCCCAGACTTTCCACATTTTCTTTCGTCACTAAACGTGTGATAGTTTGGTGTAATGGCCCACCAGGATAGAATTTTTGTGGACCAAGGAAAGGTTTCTTGGTGCGATTATAGATCTCCTCGGTGATGAAAGGCTTTGCCGCTTCGCGCAAGATATGCTTTTCTCGAAATGATTTCGTAGACGGGTCGTATTTCAACTTCAAGCTAGGTGGAAGACCATTCACGTATTCTGTTAAATGATGATCTAGAAAGGGGCAGCGACTTTCCACTTGGCTGACCATATCAACATTATCCCCGTTATAGCGCAATATGAAGTGAGGAAGGAATAGTTTTGTGTTGAGATATAGGCCTGCATGAAGGGGATGCCACTTCTTGGTGATAGCATCGCGAACGGCTCCACTGAGTCCATCAATCAGACGCACCTCGGGCTGTTCGGCTTCGAAGCAATCTGTCCAATTCGCAAATGGCAAGCTTCCGACCCTTTCGGTGGCACCGGCGACATCTACATTCTGATGGACTCGTTTGGCGGATGCTGGTATATTAGTACTGCGTTCACCAAACTCTCCCAAGCCCGCCTCTCCTCTGACCTTGACCACCGCTTCTTCGCGCTCGACTCTGCCGAAATCACTGGCTGGCCAGGAATAATCAGGCTCACACAAACCGTCAGCCTTAAATGAAGGATAGCCCGCAAAATGTTCGTCTGACCCCTCTCCTAAATATAAGATAGAGGGTTTCAGCAACATACAAATGAATGTGATCTATTTCAGATAGACGATTTTACTTACCGGTGATGACGACCTTGATACCATGGGCGTGTACTGTTTCAGCAAGGCCCATCCGGGCTATTCCGTTTAGATCCGGAAGGGGAACTTCACTATTCCATACAGTGTCCTCGAATCGGCTTGCCAAGGCTGTCTCGTCCATTTTCACGGGATGGAAATCCACGCCCAGCCATTCAGCGGTTCGTCGAGCAACATCTTTAAAAGAATCATTCAATTTGTATTCTCGGCACGGGCGATTCTTGAAAAAGAAAGGGAGACCCACTTGATTCGTCCGCTCCGCTGTCTTCCTCAAACTGAACAGTAAAGCATTTCATGCTAGAGGGCGCTGTATTGAATTCGGAGCCGAGTTTAGTTCCCTCTTTCATAAGATGAGCGACCATTCCCGCGACTGATGAAGAATCTAAGCCTCCGCTGAGGTAGACGGCAACAGGAACATCGGCCTTCAACCGAACCTTCACAGCTTCCAGTAAATGGTCCCGCACTCCTTGAATCATTTCGGATTCACAACGCAATTCTCTGGTAAACTGCCGGCTATCAGTTTATGAGAGAAAGTTTGAATCTGGGGCTTTACCTTGTTAGGATAATCAAGATCCCAATACGGCCTTTGACCTTCGTCTTCACCGTTTCGCACGATCAAGTAATGGCCAGGAAGGACCTAAATGTTGAAATTTTAGATTAGCATGGCTTTCAAAACTCACGGCAGACGCAATATACCCGATGAACTCCCCGGAAATAAGTCTTTGACTCAACTCGCCAGCTCTGATCGCGCAGCGTTCGGATATCCCATTCGGGCTTCCATCCAAAAGCCAAGAATGACTTCATTTCAGTGGCCACCAATAAAAAACCATTGATAACAGTATAGTAAAGCGATTTAATTCCATATCGATCTCTCGCTGCGAGAAGCAACTGACGCTTTGCATCCCAGAGTACGAAATCGAATTCTCCTCTCAGATGCGACAAACATGAAATACCATAGTGTTTGTAGAGTGCCATTACGATCTCACAGTCAGAGTTGCCGACGAATTGGTACTCCTTGGCCAATTTTTCGCGATATAGCTCGTGGTCGTAGAGCTCTCCGTTGACAACGGCATGGAACTTGGTTCCTTCGTGAAATGGCTGGTTTCCGGTAAAACTCAAATCAATAATTGATAGCCGAACATGACCAAGTCCTAGGATCGATATGTAAATTTGAGTGAACGGTGTCAAGCATAAATAAACTCACCAACTCGGTGGTCGTCGGAGAGCCAGCGACCGCGTGCATCGGGTCCACGGTGAGCAATTATGTCTAGACTTTCGTCTAATTCCTTCTGAATTTCTTTCCTCTGCGAGGTAGCATCAATGGATCCCTCTGGGGAGAGCTCAAGAAAGGCACTTATCCCGCACATTGTACTGAATATGGAGTACCGCCCGAAACAATAGGGAGCTTGGTGATAGATAGAAAGAACTGAAAGGAAATTTTCTATTGTCGATTAAATAGTCCGGGAAATTCCAGGTGCCACGCTGACGTCCCTCGTATTCTTATTGGCGCATGATCACATTTTGTTTCACGCCAGCTTTGCAGTCCTGCATGAGGGAAGGAGACATCAGTCTTGCATGATTCCAATAATAGAACAGTTTGTGTAGCCCAATTGCCTTGCTTGTAGACAGTGCATCTGCAGATGACGATTCACAATAAATTTCTGTATTGTAGATTAGTCCTGTCGCCTCTTGCGTTTTCGTTCTCTTCTCTACATCCCACAATACAGCTGTTTTGTGTTCACTCCCTTTCCTTCTGTCTGCCACAGATCGTATTTGTTTACTTGCTCTTCTTTGTCTTTCCGTTCGTCATTTCTCCCAATTCTTTTCCTAGCGTCACGCTGACAAGAATCAGACATGCGGTAGTTTCTTTGGCTGTTTGAACTTTGAACAATGCACATCGGTTCAAAAGCAGGGTGTTAAATGAGTATGATTGGCTAACCAATTCCCATTTCACAGCCTACCTTGGGCATCACGTGTGTCTTTACAAATCACACGTACTAGAAGCAGCTGCCTTGGATTTTAGAACGGCGAAAACGGCAGAAGCCACTCGAGAAACACGTGACTCGCCAGATACCACGAGTCCAGGACCAAACAGAGAGAGGCTTGGCGCTGATTTGGCAGTGTGAGTCCCGGAAGTAACTAAAACCGGCGGCGAGGTCGCAGAGACAAATGAGGAGACAGGAAAATCTCATATTGCTAGGGATGGCGAAGCAAAGAAGAGAACAAGGGGTAAACGTGCGCTATACGCCCAAAAACCGTCATTTACTTCTGAAAACTAAAGCCTACGCTTGTAAACCGTTTCGCCACATTCTGTATTTAGGGACACTTTCATCTGGTCAATGAAGAAGGGCTAAGTATTAGCATACTAATTGCTTGACGACCTCAGCTGTCCCATCTTTCCTCTCTCTCTTGGGCCTGAACCCTCTACACTCACTATCAACATTGAAATACTCCTACGATCCTCTCATTGAAAATGCTGATATGATATGTGATACGGTAATTGATACGATATTTAATACACCACTAACTGTTGCGCCAATAGCCGCCGCTGGTGGATAAAGTCCACGTTGAATCATCAACATTCGTAGTTATTGTCCAACCTAGGGAATATAAGATATACTAAGTGAAAGAGAATAAACGGGATAGAACCTTACTTAGTCTCGCTTAGACTGCGACATCGCCCATGGACGGGCCTAGTAGGGCCCAACGCCCAACGCCCACTACGCCCATCCATGGGCCTTTCTTGGCAGTCAACACGTGATTTATACCATATTTCCAGTTTTCTTATGTATGTGACACCGATAAGTCAGCAGGTTATGCGTCCATCTTTGGCGATTTTATGTACAATTAAGCGAGTGGGCATTGCCCAGCCCATCATGGGCGATGCCCATGGACAAGAATGGGCGGGCGTACCCGAACCCGAAACGCCCAAGGCCCACCGTGGACGGGCGATGTCGCAGTCTACTTTCGACTATATAAAAGACTCCCTGTCATCGCTATACTAGAATTCGAAAATAGATTACCCCCTAGACACTCACGCTTTATTTGTTGGCATATACCTAGAACCACGTTAATCTATATTGAGATAAGGCGTAAATCAGCCTTTTCTAAGAATAGATCTTTTTTAATTCCAAAACGATTACATTATGTATAATACCGTATCTTACACGGAACTTCATTCTATGAAGTAGTGGATATAGCTTGGCGGATCCTCGTCGTAGATCTTGTCCGCATCCCACTCAGATGCGGGGTTGGGCTCGTCTTCGAGCGAGATAGACGGCGAGGGACTACGGTCAGACTGTGTAGCATAAGGGCTCCGGTAGTTTCCCGGGGTAGGGGCATATTGTGGATCCTTTTGAGCTATTGGGGCCGAAACAAGTAATTATCGTGAAACCGGCTGCCGTTCATATCTACACACGATCAAGGCCCTGGATGTCTATTAGCGTACCTGGGTAGACATCGCCAAAACCTGAAAATGGGCCCAGAGTCGGGCCCAAAGCCCAACCCACTGTGGGCTTTGGGCTTTCTACGAACGTGCGAGATGTAACGTGCGTATCAGAATGATATGATTGTGTGGAATGGAGAAGGGAGAGTCTGAGTCTATCTAGAGAGAGAGGATATGGTTGTTGTGGTCACCTGACCTAACAGGCTTTATATATATCTTAAGCCCAACCCACTATGGGCTTTGGGCTTTGTGGGTTTTGGCGATGTCTATACCTGGGTGATAGCGCTGTGGGCAGACGCTCAATTATGTAACGAATGAAAGCGGCGTGAGGGAGCAAGAGCCTTGGAAAGCATGAGCGAGAACCATATTAGCCTACCGGGTTAGTTTTCTACTGCAATAGTACAGCTTTCGTCTACAGTACGCATTAAAAAGATTGACAATAAATGTTGAATCTCGGAGTGACATTCTCAAAGCACCCTGGAAATTCCCTAATGAGCACCCGGCGGGTTTACAGCCCCAATTTGCAGCATTATCCCAAACAGATCAGGCAAGCCAGTCTCCTCCACAATCATTCCATCTGTGAATCGATAGATGTTCATAGCTCGTGCCTGGATTTTTTTTCCAGAAGCCGGAACACCAAAGAATTCGCCTTCGTGAGTTCCACGCAGAGTAAACTGCGCTACAACTCTATCGTCCTCGATGATTGTATCATCAAGTGTCCACTGGATATCTGGGTAGGCGGAGCGCATCATGCCGAGAACTTGCATATATCCAGGCAATCCTTTCAGTGGGGTATCCGAAAACGGAACGTGGAACACGGCTGCTTCGGAAACTACCTCTTGTCCTATGGTTTCATCGCCTGAATTAATGAACTCAACGAATCGATTCATCCTTTGTAGAAGAGGACGAGTCATTATGTTGCTTGAGGGATACGTGAGTTTTTTTAAACAGAAAACTGACTTCAATTTTCACTCACATGTAGTGATTCCGTTCTGATAAAATGGTAGGATGTGGAAGACTCTTTTCTTAGTCAAACTTCTGCAGACCGAGAATCAGTAAACACCCAATGAACTTCGAAAAGAAAAACACCACTCGATGACTTGATCTTGGATAGATTGTTTGATCGGAACCCAAGGAATGTGGATTGCAATCTATGTTCATTTAAAGACGCCTCTAGGGAGATTTAAACGGGTAGAGAGGAATGGAAATTTACCTTTGATTGCGAAGTTTTTGACGTTCAAGTAGAATTTTTTGTTGTGTCCTACTAGATCTTCTCATCTGGGAATCGTGGTATACTTATATCTTGAATTCACGTGTTCAAAGTATGATCTGTACATCTGCAAACTAAAGGCGATCTGGATTTTTCCGTTTGGCAAGTTTGCACCGTACGAATCAGGCAAGATTTGCCTTTTCATTAGGAGGTTCAACCAATAAACGCGCGGCAACTCGGAACTCCCGGGCTCAGCTCCTGTGTTTGTATGGTTTGTATTAGAACAAAATTTCGCCTCTCTTATAGAATGCACACTATAATCCGGGAATTCCGATCCGCGCTACTGTTTGGCATGTTTGTACAGCTTGCAAACTTCGGGCATTGTGCCGATTAGCCTAACAAATCAATCGGGACAGTTTTCCTCAGCCTCAGTTAATTGTACGCCAGCCGAAATCAATGGATCTTGCTGAAGGTCATGACCGCGAAGCCGTGGGTATCGCATGAGCTGCAAAATTTAAAGCTTCAAGAAAGGGATTCTCGCGGAAGTCTTCCTTAAAACTATACTGTTTGGCTGCTTGATCCTTTTGAGTCACAACGGCCCAAACGAAATCCACCTGTCTTATACTTGCATTACTTGGCCCTCCTTTAATGAGATCCTTCGTAGATCTTGTCCGCATCCCACTCAGATTCCTAGAGCAGAGGTATAGTATTCGGTTGAGGTCGGCTTGCGGGGTTAGACATCGCCAAAACCCACAAATGGGTTGGGTTTTGGGCCCGTTGCTCGGCCCATTGTTGGGGGCCCATTGGGGGCCCACTAATTTACAAACAGTACAAACATTTACTTATTTTAGTAAAAAATCAAAATATACAGTCTTTTTGTGCATTTTTCTATTACTAGTCAGCAGATTTATGAGCGCCAAGACCAGTTTTATGTAAAGTTAGGCTTTTTGTGGGGCCCCATGGCCCAAAGCCCACAGTGGGTTAGGCTTTAGGCCTGACTCTAGGCCCATTTTTAGGTTTTAACGATGTCTAACTATTGATCCTAGGAGGTCGCATAAAAAAAGGAAAATTATATTCACTCTGATTTTCTGCGCGTAGGTTAACCTAAGTGGTTTTTTGAGGGGTTTATTTTTTTCAAGGCTTAGGAGGGCATTTTATTAAGGCTTAATAGACGGCAGAAAGATGCGTGCCACTGCTATGGATCACGTGAGCCGTCCGCTCGGATGCGGATTAATAAAATTAAATCAGAGCTTCGGATTACTTACTTGATGATTTCGTAATTCTCTATGACTAAGTTAGCTCAGGGGGCTGGGTTGGGCTACCAATAGCCCTGTGGGAGACCATTAGTTCATGCAAAGAACGGGCCCTATTCCCACCGGGCAACTCTGCAGACTAGAATAAATGGAAAGGAAGGGGCGCATGAGGCTGAAAGGCCGACGCCAACGCATTCTCTTGGCGCGCTTGGCATTATTTGCTTCTCCTCATCAGTCCAAATGTTGAATCATTCCGCGGGGTTCTTGTAGCGAGACTTGCACTTTTTTCATTTTGGACCAGGGGCTGCATGCATATACGAACCGCAAGCTTGATATGAAAAGACACAATTCGGTCGGGTAGGACTTAATAGGCTCTTTGAATATATTCATTCTCTCAACGGAAATATTTATATACCGGGAGTAGCTCTCCTTGAACTGGTGACTAGTAAGACGAACCTTGTATTCAACCCCCCACATCATCATGTCGCGGCTGCAGGAACTGGCAACAGGCTACCAGTATGATCAACTACCATATAACCATGGTGTTCGTGGAGACTGTAAGTGCTCTTCATTCCTTACTATCACCCAAAATTCACGATCACTCACTTTGTCAAGATGATTGCAATTTTCCTTCTGCGCCTCCGAAAATGGATAGAAGGCGTGACCGCAATATTGTTTGGGGACTGGTGTCAGCTGGCGTCATTTTAATGACCTGTTTTATCGGAGCCGCAGTAGCTTTCACCGTCATATTCGCTGTCAAAACTCGCAATATAGGCGGATATACCACCGATAGCCCAGAGTACACGCTCTATAAGAACACTAGATTCAAGGAATGCTACGACATATCAGCATCCGCTACTACAAATTGCAGCGCCATACGAGTCACTTTAAACGATACCAGCATTTCAGGATTTCAGGAACACAATGTCGGGTATCTTGGCAGTGACAAGTTGTTTGACAACCAAAAGGGTAGTGACATTACCTGGGACTGGTGTGAAGTCATAAGCTGCTTTGAAGATTATAAGGTCATTCCGTCCACTGCGCGTGATTCGGCCATTTGGCCCACTCTTCTCACTAGCTGGGGCGCAATTGCTACCTTCATCCTAGGATCACTTTTTCAATTTGGGCTACTGCAAAAAGCCTTATATAGCTCGAAGAAAAAGCCTTGCAAAGGCATCGGAGAAGTCGGCTGTTTAGTTGGCTACTCGTGCTTTTTGATCTAGGCTCGTTCGTCTGGTGGTGGGTGGGTTTTGGGAAACTAGCTGCCGCGCCAGATAGTGCTGCAACTCCTTTCATAACTGGCTGGGTCATCCCATGGAAATATGCCAGCTCGCTCAATTACCACCCATATTCATGCGCCTTTCGGAAGAATCCTCGTGGACAAAAGATTGCACGGGGAATCCTATACGGCCTAGCAGCGTTACAGTGGATTGCTTCATTGTATATATGGCATGTCAATTTTCCTTCTGGCATTTCCTCTCGCTGGGGCCTCCGTGCACCGAATCCGAGTTACGATTGTGTGACATCCCAAATTGACGCTTCACCTGGAGCTTCGACCTGCTCGGCGGAGCAAATATGCTCTCGCAACTGGCTGTTCATTGATCCTGGATATGAACCTACCTATCAGCATGAAGGTCCAATCTTGGCTATTGGTATTGTGTTTACCGTATTGACATTAGTGGCTTTATTCCCTGTGTTAATGGCGGTTTTTAGCATTTTTATGAACCTGGTCACGGGGGAAAAGGACATTAGTATGTCGCCTCGTAACACTCTACGATGGGCAGATATTGGCCCAGCTGCCTTCGTTTCATTTACAGCTATCTTTGAAATTATCGTTGGGTGCATCCTTGTTGACGATTTTGTGAAGAGACTTCGTGTTATTAGTCCTAATGCGGCAGTCACCTTCGACTGGGAATGTCAGGTTATTCACGTTGCTTTGAGTCCCTGGAGGTATTACATAGATGTGGACTATAACATAGGATTACGACTGGTCAAGATGTGGTTCAACTCATGAGTTGGTTTGGCTTGTATCGCAGGCTGCAAGTGTCAAAATTCGTCGTTTCGCCATTTCTCATACTCACAATATTATGCAGTAATCCCATCAAAGCTTCGGAAGAAACATTAAATTTTTCATCATACAATAATTCATTATGTTCATTCACATTCACGTATCCATATAGATGGTACTGGGTTCGACTTTGATGCGATCAATCCATTCAGTTTTTCCCAACATACGAATGGAAATTTCGATGTGCATATCTTATTTATCATATGAGAAAGTACCAAATATGTGGGGTACCTAACTAATGGACTTGAGCGCCATATCAATCAACTATCATATTTATCAATGCATTTAGTGGCTGATGTTTCAACTGGAAATCAACCGTAGATATAGGCATTTGGTTCCGGCCGTGGACAGACCACTTTCACCGTCGGTATTATCTAGGCGAACTTCTCTACCTTGATCTTCTACCTACCGCCGCACATTTGTATATTCCCAGGTTTCATTGCCTTTTACTGGGTTACGAGGGGAGTATCTGCTCCTATTAGTACTTATTCTACTTTCTATGACAATGTTCGAGTGTCGCCTAGTTGTAACGCAATGTGGAGTTCATTCACATTGGCTGACCATGTAAACATAGCACTTCTGGTGCGGATGCGTCTAAGCTTTGCAATCGCCAATCGAAATCATAATGGTAACACCTCTGTATGTTGTCCTAGCGACTCCAGATACGAGCAGACAAGCACCGGCATCATGGAAATCTCCTTTTTGGGAGATTAAAGCCTTCTCTCAGACTCCTCTCAGATAATTACCAGATCCGTGTGGTCGTATGGTCATATTCATGGATGGATGATCAACTTGATGGAAGTCCTGCGTTACCTACGCAGTGTAGGTGTATTGTTGCTCTATGAGGAACGTCGGTACCTCGGTACCTCAGTAAATCTTCTTACAAATTGAGTCTAGTCACATTCCACTGCACCTTTATTCCGAAATTCCGTAGGATTCGTACGGTCGGCTTCCTAAAATACTGGAAGCCTGTCTCACACCAGCGACTGGGCAACAGTATAATTCTGAAGGTCGATACATCCTTCGGCTCCAGCACCCATGTTTCTTCAGCATGGCACTCTCCAGCGCTATGAGGGCTATAAATCAGGATCACTACCCCAAGTCGTAAGTGCTGGTTCCTGTTTTGTTGGGTGGGGCGAGGAGCTAAGAATGGCTGCATTCAAGCGCATTTCAATAATGGTAAACTAGTAGTGTTATGGCAGCAGTTGTTACAGCCCTGTTACCTCTTGTTCAAAATTGGCAGACGTTATGCATTCCCCTGGATATCTGGTAAGATTTGGTAAATAGACTTCCAGGTCACACAGTGGGACGATCTCACCGCTGTGAAACTCGCAAAGCAGGTCATCCCCAGGGCTATCGAAGTTGTTCTCCGCAGTCCTAGTGTTACATTCATTAACCTACGCAAGCCTCCATCCTGGGTCTTGCATTCCGGACTCTATTCATGTCCCTCTTTGGTTAGTTCACGTTTGTGACTTACTAATCCGAAGCCGTCATAATTAGTAGTTAAATCATTCTTCAACCTGAATGAGATTTCATCTGACAATAAACCTTGGAATGTCAATTTCTAAAACAATATACCATCACCTGATATCAGGAATCAACAAGGCTTTATCGTTGCAGTTTTGGCTTATCGCGGCGGTGTGAAAGTCTCGGGATCATAACCCAAGAAAGCTCGGATAATGTCACAAAGCCCCGAATGCAAGACAGAACATAATAAAGTTTTGGAATCAGAGAACTATTGTGTGAGTACTGTCTATTATACACAAGGATCTATCAGAAAGCGAAGGCCGTTGAGTTGGGCGACATCCCTCCTGCCCAATGCGGCAACCTTCACCAAATGCCGCATCCGGTGGTTTGCAACCGTACATAGTACACGCATAGAACCATCCGCTAAATCGATGTGTATGGCCAGTAGATAAATTCATGATATGTCAAAAAAATCTAAAAAAAAAAAATATTCTCCATTTCAAAGAGTGAGAATGGTGCCACCGGGGGAGGTTTTGAGCACAAAGCTATTAAGTTTCTGTCTATTGTCGATCGGCTTCACTCTCTACCTTCTTTTTATTTCTTCCGGCCTCACTGATGGTTTCAGCGACTCACCGAGCCCCAAAGACGAACTTTCACATCCCACATATCGCGGTCGCTACGCCATCGCCACCTTTCTAGCTGCGAAATTTGACACAAAGCAAGAGGACAGCGATGATGAAGATGCCCATTACGTGAGCGCTCGGACGCTCGTGTATCAGCTACTTCACTCTCCTACCACCAAATTCCAAGAACCAGTGCCGGTAGTTATCCTCGTCACCAAAGATGTGCGGGAAAGTAAGCGCCAGAGACTGCGAGACGATGGAGCGGTTGTCGTCGAGGTCGAGCATCTAGCGCACGACATGGCAATCACTGTGGATCGCTGGGCTGAGACAATCATCAAACTGCGCTTTTTCGATCCCAGAATCGTGCCATATGAAAAAGTGCTCCTGCTCGACACGGATATGGTCCTTACCCGTCCTATTGGCGCAATTTTTCAAGATCCTGCCACCGAAGTAAGGCACACCGACCGATCGGCTCTTGTCGAGTCGGATGCACCTGCACCCCCGGAAGAGTTTATCATGGCGGCGTCACCAGAATCACTGCAATTCGATCACCCGTATCCCTTTCTTGATCCCGAAAATACCAAAGATTATTTTGACAGTGGCTTGCTTATGTACTCGCCTTCCATCGAGCTATTTCAGTACTATATGGAACTCATCAACAAGCCAGACCTGTTTCATACTGGCACGCCTGTCCAAGATCTCCTCAACTATGCCCACCGCTGGGGAGGACCTATGCCTTGGAAAAGGGTTCATTATTCCTGGTATCTGAATTGGCCCAACGATAATGACTTGAAAGGCAACATGTCCCTGTTGCACACCAAGGGGTGGGATCATGCCTTTTCATACTCCAGCGATGCTGTGAAGAAATTTGCTTTTGCGCGGAGGTGGGAGATGGAGGGGTATTGGATAGGCAAAGAACGTTCCTAGGGTCATTCAAAGTAAACAGGCCTGTATATCGGTGCTTAGACTTTTGCTGGTGTACATAGTTCAAATTAATCAGCCTGGCTGACCGGCAATGAGCTACTAATGTACGTATATGTACGAACGTGATTCCAGCCCCTGAAATAGTCGACTCTGGGATGGATTGACCAAACAAATACAAATAAATTAACTAGGAAGGAAAGTTCGAAGTTTCTCTCGTCCAAGCGAATCGTTCTTTTCTGTCATATCTTCCCCTGCCATATTGGGTGAAGAGTTCGAGAATTGAGGCTCAAACGCATCGGGAAAGAATTCAGATGCCAAATGCATGTATCGCATCGTCCGCCTATCGAGCGATGTTTCTCTTGGAAAGAAAAAAAGTTTATCAAATCAATCTTCGAGCCTTAGGGAAATGAATTCAGACATGATCATGGCAAAATATTTAATCATCTGAATCCATGAATTTCACTGCTACATGAACCTCTTGCTTCTCCCCCTGCTTTCCTCTCTCTCATCCTTCCCTCTGGCATCTAAAACTAGTTCCGGACCCCACCAAGCCGCGAATCCCCGAAACAATACACGCACTTTCGCGTCCCAGGCTGAATGCCTTGCGAGTACGAGTGTCTTTGAACGTCCCCTTAATACCCATTTTTGTACGATGGAAAGGAAGACATGGCCATCACCTTTCTTATAAGGGAAACGAAAGAAGATCAATCTACTGTCTCTGTGCGTCAGGCCCTTGCCTATATGAATGAACTTTTTCAATTCCAATTCAGTTTATATAGGCATGATTTATAGACAGCGTCAGCATGAGGGTATGGCTGAGCGTAGTCTTCGGCTTCTCAACGGATGATATCCAGTTCCATTTCCTTCCAATCAACACTGGAAGCGAAGTGACCAAATCCCTTTTTCTGACTACAGAATAAATCGCATTAACCTAGAGAAATCGGCAAGTAATTGAATGATGCTCTTGTGATAGTTGACGATTTGTCGTTGTTGTTTTTTGTTACTGTGTTTCTTTTTGTTCTGATAGGACTTCCAGTACTAATGTTGATGACGTTACAATGCTGTCATCAATGATACGCTACTTAGTACGTAATAGTTGCCCTGGCTGTGTATTGGAGCATGCAGATGTTATACAAGCATGCAAAACAACTGGATGACGATCTGGTTGATAATGCCCTACTTATGATTCCGCTTTGAGCCGTTGGGGTTATAGAGGTGGCTTTGGCATGACTACCGTGAATGTAAGCATGTCTATACTATTGCGTAGCTACACTGGCTGCAGACCACGCCTGACACTCTAGGTTCCCTTTGCTGTTGGATCTTTTTCTCCTAGACAGCTCTATCCGTCACCATCTTCCTTGCTCCCTTCGGTTTTCCTCAATTGTCACGACCGCCACAAAAGACATATGTTATGCTTCTTGTCAGGCGCGCCCTGATATTGCTAAATTGCCAATTGAATGATGTGACAGACATGTCAGATATGATATAGTTGTGCCAAGCTAGGGAGACGGAAGATAGCGGAGAGAAAGGGCCTATGTCCGTGTATCTAGGTGCTTTTGATTCCAATGTACTTGAATGGAATATGAAGTTTCAGAGCCCGGAAGAAGAATATTGAACATTAATTTGCTTTTACATATCAGATTATGATAAGTTGAGGGCGGGACATGTGCTAGGTCTGGGTCATGGGACCCGCACGGTGTGCGACCGTCCAGAGTGGGTCCACGATCGATCGGCGGATCTCGCAGCCCGTGGCGATCGCTGTGTAACCTTGCAATCCCACGCTATCGAATCGCCCTTGCTGATCACAGCTATATTGGTTGGTTCTTGCTTGGCTTGGTGTCACGCCCCCAGCTCTTCCTTTCAACCAGCTGAGAGACTCTCAAGGACTGATTGCGTCTCCCAGAATTCAAAGGCAAAGATCAGCCAAGAGGTGTTCATCATGTCTGCAGAAAATCATTATCAAATCGTGCTTGAAAATTGGAGAAGACTTCAGCATCTATCCACTTCAGCCGACAAGAATGCCGTGGTGGTGAGCGGAAATCAATTGACACTAGCGGATGTGGTAGCCGTGGCTCGGTATGGGACAGCGGCTTTCATCGATAAATCCCCTGAACTGAGGGAAGGCGTGGATAAGAGCGTCAACTTCCTGAGACAATGTGTCGAGCAAGGCGAGATCCTCTATGGTAGCTAACCTTCCATCAGTCATAAACCAAAGCGGTCCAATTCTAATCAAATTCCCCCTTTTCAGGCATAAACACTGGGTTTGGGGGTAGTGCCAACACCACGACGGACGATACAAAGAATCTTCAAATTTCCTTGATGCAAATGCAGCAGTACGGAGTTTTATCCAGTGCGGAGAACCGATTCCCAGGTGCAGGACACTCAGCAGCAGCTACGGAGATGCCTGAGTCATGGGTGCGCGCGTCAATGTTGGTCCGGTGCAACACCCTTGTGCAGGGCCATTCCGGCGTCAGATTTTGTATCATTGAAGCTCTGGCCGATTTTATCAACCGACAATATACTCCACTTGTTCCTTTGCGAGGAAGTATTTCTGCCTCTGGTGATTTAAGTCCCCTTTCCTACATCGCCGGTGTCTTGGAAGGCAATGCCAAGCTCCTGCTACGGGCACCAATGAGTGCGGAAACTTCTCGCCAGGAAACGAAGCGCCGAGAGCTTGTTTCTGCAGATAAGCTTTTAGCCCAGATCGGAATGCAGCCTATATCTCTTGGCCCAAAAGAAGGTTTAGCATTGATCAACGGCACGGCAGTCTCTTCAGCTGTTGCAGCAATTGGCCTTCACGAAACGCATCATCTGGCGGTTCTGTCCCAGGTTCTGACGGCGATGGCAGTGGAAGTCATGTCTGGTAACCCCGAAAGTTTTGATCCCTTCATTGCTCAGGTTCGCCCTCACCCTGGGCAGATTGAGTCTGCCGCGAACATTGCCAAATTCCTACAAGGGTCAAGACTCACGCAGGTTGTACATGGGCATCAAAAGATGGGGGTGGGAGCTGCTCCTGCGCTGCGCCAAGACCGCTACCAGCTCCGCACAGCCTCGCAGTGGATGGGCCCAATACTCGAAGATCTCACCCTGGCTCATAAGCAAGTGACCGTTGAGCTCAATTCAACTACCGATAACCCTCTGATCGATAGTGAAGGGCGCCGAACACTTCACGGAGGAAACTTCCAGGCTCTTTCCGTCACTCTTGCCATGGACAAAGCCCGCTCCGCACTACAGCTTATGGGCAAAATGCTGTTTGCACAATGCACTGAAATCATCAATGCCGACCTGAACAACGGTCTCCCACCGAATTTGTGCTTTGATGAGCCCAGTCTGTCCTACACTCTCAAGGGAGTCGATATCGGCATGGCTGCCTATACCTCCGAGCTGGGCTTCCTCGCTCACTCAGTTGGACCAAACGTGCAATCTGCTGAGATGTCTAACCAGGCCATCAATTCGTTGGCCCTTATATCTGCGCGGTACACACAGACGGCAATCGATGTCTTTTCCACCCTTGCCGCGTCATATATCTATGTGCTCTGCCAAGGACTAGATCTGAGAGTGCTCCAAATGGATTTTCTCGAGAATCTCCAGCCTGCCGTAGAATTAATTACCACCCGCACATACAGCCCTTTCTTGACAGGTCCTTCTGCCTGCAAGGACCTCAACTCGCTCTTGTGGACACATCTTACAGGCGCTCTCAAAACATCGGCAGCAACCACAAAAGACTCACAACAACGATTTACTATGGTTGCCCAATCAGCTCAGTCTGTGGTGGTTACCTTCTTTGCCTCTCATCCCGAGTCAACAACTGGATATAGCCCTCAAATGACTACTATTCACGCCTGGGCCAAAGATCTGGCGACCGTCATTTCCGACACATTCAAGGCCAGTCAACTCCTCCTGGTCAGTCCACAGTGCCCAACATCCACGTACCTCGGGTCGGCGGCACGCATCATGTATGATTATGTGCGCCACACTCTGAAGGTCCCACTGAACCGTGGTCTTGTCGACCATCCTACTTTCCAACACACGAAACGGTCAACAAACATTGAATCAGACGCACAGAACTCGTCAAATGAAGATAAGCAGATCATCGGCACCTATATTACTAGAATTTATGAAGCTTTGCGCTCTGAGGCTTTGATTGTTCCACTCATGGAGTGCCTGGAACAGGGCAAACAGAATGGGCATCGCGATACCATTGCAGTGGTTGCACCAGCTAGAGAGAACCGAAAGAGTTTCTCCAAATCATCTAGACCTCAGGTTGTGCATTAGAGAACCGCTTGCTTGCTTTCTCTTCCAGTGGTGTCTTCTTTTCTTTATTGATCAATTCTCATATCGCTTTCTCGTGTATAGACTGTCTAGAATTCTGAATGCAAACCCGCATGACATCATCAACTCAACAAGTTTACGTGCTTAAGTCATTTAAACTTTCGTTTGAGCCTGGTTTCATGGAGTTTTGGCCTACCATAGATACTCAATATATGTTCTTTAGCAGTGCTAAGTCGAGGATTGATTAGTCAGTCCGAAAGAGAATTGATTAATCACAATTTCGTGTAGCCGAGGCTCAAGATGAGGGTTCGTCATCATTCCAGAGTGTACACAGTAGATTGCTGGCTGTCAAGTCAAGAATAGTGCCGAAAGTGGAGGGAGGACACAGATGTACACGACAGATTTCAGTCTGACGGAGTAAAGTGCCGCGAACGGAGAAAACATCAAATTCGATTTACCAATCACGGAAGCTCTAACGTAATCAGATACAGTTTACACAGTTCACAGACAATAGATTCACGGATGAACCCATGTAGTTCTCTAACTACGACAGAGCGACTTGGAGTTGTATTTAGTAGGCCAATCGGGACGGAGATAATTCAAGCCCAGAAATTGGATTACCGTATTATCGTAATAAAACCAGGCCAGGCACCGCGCGAGCCACGCTCAAGTGGGGATTTTGTGTAATCTAACGTCAGCCGCTCAGCTGGTCCACATTCACTTTCCGCCGACCTCTCGCAGAAGTTTCATTTCTTTATAACTAATCGAACTGACAGGTTGCCTGAATAAAGACTGGACACCCTGGTATTACTTGTACGCCCTGGACCCTTCTATATATACGCTTTTACCATCATCACCAGCGTAATCTATATGCAATTTTTTCTGTAATATGGAGATGCAAAGGATTTCAAATTTTCGGTTGAGGAAGGACGGTAAGGGGTATGCCCTTCATCATTTATCTATCACTTGATATTAAGACGTCTCTTCGCGATGACTTTCATCCAACATACGCCGCAACTCTCCAATCACCTCTTCCGACATAGGGTATGTATACTCAGACGAAGGATATGCTCTGCTCTTGACCTCATCCCTATATTTCTCAACTCCTTGCAGGGCTTCATTCCAGACATTTGCATATGTCTTCACAAACTTGGGCAAAAATCTTCCAGGTGGAAAATTGCCCATCATGTCTATCTGAACAAGCACCTGCCCGGAACACCCATTTCCAGATCCAATTCCAATTGTTGGAACTCGAAGCTTGCTAGTGACCAAAGCGGCGACTTCAGCAGGTACTGCTTCTATGATGACCAGAGAAGCACCCGCTTCTTGCACTGCTAAAGCGTCGCGCAATAATTTCAATGCACCAGCAGCTGTTTTCCCTTGAACTCTGAATCCACCGAGAGAATTTTGCCTCTGAGGAGTAAGACCAACATGTGCCATGACTGGAATACCTGCATCCGTGATTCTCTTGATAGTCGGGGCCATTTCCTCGCCGCCCTCGAGCTTCACAGCATTCATACGTCCTTCTTTGACGAATCGAATGGCTGTTTCCAACGCTTGTTGTGGTGAAACCTCGTAGGAACCCATAGGAAGGTCTCCAATCTATGCGACGACGCACTTGTCAGCATCCAATCCTTTCAAGCCGAAGCTTCTAATACCTACGGTGAATGCACATGCAACAGCTCGTGAGACACTACGACAGTGCAATAGCATCTCCTCGACGAGGACCTCATTTGTATCCTCCATCCCCATTGCAACCATGGCCAAACTATCCCCGACCAGCACTATATCCATTCCTCCAGCGTCAGCAACACTAGCGCTTGGGAAGTCATGGGCAGTGAGGACACTGATCGGTTCCCCTTTCTCATAGAGACGGGCAAGGCCTTGGACTGTCATTTTCTTTCGCGATTTCATGGTGGAACTGCCCATAGGCGAATGTGAACTATACCGGACTGAGCATATATTGTGTGCACTGGTGGGCATCTTTGTCACTTTAGCTTCCATTTTAGAAGGCTGAGTGAAAAATGAGTGCGAGGGGACGCTGCTGGAATAGCGGCTTAGTGCACGCGATGCCACACTAGAACGTCCATGTGCTATCCGTAAAGCCATAGTAATCAAATGACGAATATTTTGAAACCAGCAGGTGTTCCAAGGATTGACCAGATAAATAGTAAACAAAGCTTTGGGAGAAGAATTCTTTTCTCTCTTTTATGTGTGTTGGATGGAGTCCACAGTCTTGTATGTGCTGCGTATAACGGGGAACCCAGCAAAATCGGCAATGCCATCGCTCCGAATTTCGGATTGTACACAACCTCGGCAAAATAGAAATTCGGGGCCCTTGTTACAGTTACGTACCTCTAATTTTGGAAAGAATGTCAATGCAATGGAACGTATGCAAGCAGCTTGCGCGAGCAGGAATTTCCATTCTCTGATGTAATAAATCAAGTCCCCTGGGAGCCACGTAATTATTGAACTTGATTTGAGATATGAGAAAAGGTAATCACATATCGTGCTATAGGTTGACTACCGAGGGTTGGATGACAAAGGCTTTTTCATTTATGCACAACGACACCTGCATACAAGCTTGAATATGCATGCAGAGACAGTTGCTTTCGAACCGATTATTCACTTACAGCGTAGTCTTGTTTCGCTCCCTGGTTTCCGAGGAGATAAACAGATTGCGTGTCTTCTCGTTTATTCGGGTGTTGGTAGCAACTACATGCATCGATGTTTGATCATCCAAAATCGCCTAAACACCGCAATATCTATCAGTCACGAAGCAGTGGTCGAGCTCCTAACATTTTCCATGGCAAGTTTAAATGAAAGTATGAACACTGACGTATTTAATACTCTCTCTTTAAGTCTTTATTTAGAGATCGTGTTTGTGTTATCACAATGCACTCGCGTTGGATCGGTTGTCAATGCCGAAAACCACAGAGACTTTACAGAACTGTCGTAGGCATAGTAGACTATGCTAGCAGAAATGGGAACGCTTCTTATAATTTTATCAATGATCAGAGTGACCAGGATTCAACATAATCTTGAAATTCATAAGCAAACTATCAGCTGAGTGGCTAAGGCCTGTTTTATATATACAGTTGTCCCGCGGTGGACCTCAGCCGAATGAAGTGAGATGATAACGACACTTTGCCAAACAATTTGGTAATTCTATCACGGCTCTAGGTACGAATGGCTGGATCCAGTTATTGTTTTGGGGTAGCTAGTGGAAAAACGATGGAGAAAATCGCCATATTTGTGCTTATAAAAGCTGGGGACTGAGCAGTCTTGAGATGCTTCGCAGGCATGCTGTCGGCAATATTAATTTAGAACGTTCTTCAAAAAGACAGTATTCAAGCAAGATAACTGATTCATTCTAGCTTTTACTCACCTCATTCGCTCCGTCAGAAGGACTAAACACATCTGCCAATACTGCCAACCACTAGTACGTATTTTCTACTATTGAAATTCTTGTCGCTCCATCAGCGAACACAGCAGGACCTGCGGACTGTCCAAGTATATAACCAGCTTTTAGATACACATCATAGACTAGCACAAAGCTTGCAATATATCACCTTCAGTGTGCTGTGCTAATTTGGGGCCTTCCGACCGGGGACTGCTGTCTTAAATGGCCCTTGGTAAGCATTGCCATATCACCATGTAATGCTTTTCAAAGCCTTTATTACGACTTCCACTCTAGCATACAGGCTTTCTGTACATATGGAATTGCATCAACAAAGCACCAGGATCGCATCTTGCGAATATACATGGCACTGGTGTGGGAATTTCTTCGATAGAGTACCATGAGTATGGTATCAACAGTACCTATATCATCTACATGACCAGTTCCTCTGATTACCATTGACATCGCGAGTATCTGGTAAGTGTTAGTTAATTCATTTTATCTGTCGAAATTTCCTCAATGGCTGATTTGGTACAGCGATCGTTTTTTAAGTGAGAAGATCCGTGATGCGCTAGATCTTAATCAGAAAGAATCAGTAGTCCTAAATAACACACTGAGATCTGTTGAAGATCCTTGGACAGTCCGAACACAACTGAACTTGTTTGAAGAAAGGAAACGAGAAAGAAATTTCCAGGTTTCATATATACTTTGGTCAGGCACAAACAGACATCTATTGCGTTGTGCAGGCAGTGACCTGGAAGGTGTGGACTCCATGGATAGTCTCAGCATACCCCCGCCTAGGCCTTCAGTTTCGCGTATGCTTTGTCATATCCGCAGAGATTTTATAACTTTGACAATCTTCCTCAGCCCTCAATTGGCGCTGCAATTTCACCGTCGCAATCGTCTGTCCCATGGGCAAGAGCGTGCCATATGCCTATTTCCCGTTCGGTGGCTGCACTATAGCTGTGGGTGATTTTGCTTTTTTTTCCCTGCATCATTGAAGCGGAGAGGTCTCTGGCCTAAATTGGGGCAGCGTTGAAAGTGCGAGTTTCGAGTAAGTCTGGCAAATCAAGGCGACGCTAGCACGTATAGAGGCAAGCGCGGCACGCACAGGTATTAATGAAAGTTGCATCGATAGTTCAATGGCGCGTTTCTTGGCAGTCTATATGAATGAGAATGACAATGGTTCTAAACAACCAATGTAGGTTCGTTCTATAGATCCCGAGAGCTAATACGAGATAAAGAAAAGTATGTCATCCGTATAAATTAAGCGAGAAGCCCTGCGGCTACAGATGACTCATCTCAAGCGCCTTTAAAGGCCAAAAAAAAAAAAGAGACGGCAGCCTTGTTGATTCACTGCATTTTTAGGGGGCGATGTGAACGGGAATGTTGCCTGATTAGGAGCAGCGGATGGCCTTTTGTACCGCCACGTATTGGCGAAGGTTGATTGATATTATCTCACCACTCTGTCACCATCTCACGCTTGGCAAGCATTTAAGCGAAGTTTGGGGTGATGTGTTGTTCAAGAGTGTTGAAAGGACGGCTCACGTATTCTGGCTCGGCCCAATATCCCCGCAGCGCCTGCCCCACCTGAAGACCCGAATCTGACCGTTCGAGTCACCAAATGATGCGGCATCTATCCGAGCAGTGCATGCGAGCCTTGCGCTAAATAATTACTCGGTCGGTTTTGTGACTCACAAGGAGTCGAAGGATCACCTTCATTTGGCTTCAATTATTGGAACTTATATAAATAGGAATAAGAGAAATACATTCACCTCATGCTTTCAGTCTGCAACGAGCTTCAGCCACATTCACCTTCAAACAATGGCTTCCCTAGCCTTCCCGTCTCTCGCCCGGAAGGCAACTCTATCTGATGGCACAACATATGGTTATGTCGCTCACCCTTCGACCAGAGGGGATGGAATTACCTTCCTGCTCATCCATGGCTACCCCAGCTCCTGCTACGACTGGCGGCATCAGATCAAGTCACTGTCAGCCGCAGGATATGGCGTGATCGCGCCTGACTTGCTAGGCTATGGCGACACAGACAAACCTACTGATCCGGCTTCTTATCGCCTGAAGTCTATGTCTCTCCATATGGCCGAGATCTTAGACATCGAAAAAGTCGACCGTTGTCTGGCCGTGGGCCACGATTGGTGAGTTGATGCATATGCATGTCTGAGTCATGTTTGGGACCTGCTTTTCTCATATAAGAGAATGACATAGGGGCAGCGGGTTACTTTCACGTGTCGTTTCGTACATACCCGACCGCTTGATGGGTGTTGTGTTCATGTCGGTCGGGTATTCGAGACCTGGTATGGTCTGGGATATGGGTATGGTAATCAAGTCCTAAATTTAGTGGCTCTTCTGACCTTGTCTCGGTACAGATAAAATCAACGCATATTTCAAGTCACTCATTGGGTATGAACCGTTTGGGTATTGGCCGTGGCATAATACCGAGGAGGCAGTCAACGATTGCGACGATCATGTAAGCCTCGTGATCAAGTTACCTGGATCGAAAGATGCTAACAATTGTGACAGCCGGAATCAGTTTTCACACTCGTCTATCCAGCTAATCCAGATGACTGGAAAGTTACTTTTGCGCCTCTGGGCGCTGCGGCAGCGTACGTCAAAGCAGGTAAAACTGACCCATATCCTTCCTGGTATACACCTGAAGAGTATTCGGTCAGAAAGCAAATATTTGCCCAGGGATATCGGGGGCCCTTGAACTGGTACAAGGCCGCAATTCGCGGTGTCAACGCGGCGGATGAAGCTGAAATTGCGGACGGACGTTGTCATCTGCCCACTCTCCTTGTTGTAAGTCAGAAGGACCATGTCTCGAGAGCAGATATGGGCATTGCCGGTACCAAGGAACTGGCGGCAGATCTGCGGGTGAAAAGCTTTGAAGAGTGCGGGCATTGGATCCAACTGGAGCGACCGAATGAGATAAGCGCCGCGCTGGAAGAGTTTGCGCAGGAGCTACTTGGTAAGACTGATATTGAGGTCAAGAGCAATTGAATCGTTTAATCCATGTAGGAGTATCACCCTGCAGCGAACAAACGTGAGAAGTGAAGGGAGTGAATGTAAATAAGACTGGGATTAGAGTGAATATTTCTTTTTTTGTACGACAATTTCATGCATGACTGCAATTGATTGGTTTGTGCTACCTTATTTAGCCACATTTTGAATATTGTTTCAACATGTTACACTATTAGGTACCTGAGACCAAGTGTCTTTCTATTGAACTAAAATCTCTCTTGCTTCCAGTTTTACGCTTCTAAGTCTTGTCAGTCGCCTAAGTCGCTTTTGAATGCCAATACTACTCGTTACTATTGTCCCTGGGAAGAGGCAATTCTTTTCGACATTGCTAGGACGCAATATCTGACGTAGTGCTATCTAGGTAATGAGTCTAAGGAGAAGTGAACCGAAAAACGATAATTGTATATGTTACAACCTTGGAATCACACTCTAGTAATCTTTGAATTGAAAATGTTTTCTTTCTTGCCACATATTAATGTAGTTCACTTTAATCCCATTTAAATGTACCAATTTGGAATACGATATCACCTCAGATGCCGACAGCTCAGCTCGGAACATATATATTGTGGCTGTTCCATAGTTTATCAGCTCAAAAATACCAGTGGACCTAGTTGCTCTGGCAGCCCAATTGACTAGCAGTTCTATGTAGAATACGAATATACATTTCCCAGTTCTCACTTTCGAGGTTCCATTGTCTCCTCATATTGTGAACTAATATATCCTGTAACTTATGTAGATCTACTTGATGTTACGCGGCCATGCGGATCCGCACCTTCGGCCCGCCTGCCGATCAATTCATTTCCGGAAACAAGGCAGCTTAATCAAATAGATTATTAAATAAGTTACATTACGCAACTATTGTAGCGACATCCTGTTTTCCTCCTCTTCATTGTTAACGCCAGGAATATCTACGGAGTATTTTTGATGCACTGGCTCCAATCCCTAGGGAAATCCCGACGGCTACTTTCAAGGCTGTCACGTCAAAATCAAGGAATCTGGTCGATCTAAATTCGGCCCCTCTTAGTCTGGATCCTCTCGCCCGCATTTCTGATTAGGTCGGAAACACTCTACTCCGTATTGCCCTATTGACCTTAGTCTAGGGCCGCATGTTGGGGCCGACCCTGCAGGAGTGAAAAGTCTATCTTGTTGGTCTCTTTAATTTTGGCCCTTGAATCTTTGTTCAGTGTTCCATGCCCTGGTCTGAGTTTTATCCTTTCATTTCGTATTTCTTAGGTACATGGACAAAGGAATGATGTATTCCAGATTTATTCTTTGTTGTTTTTGAACTACTAGTAGCTTACTGGGTTTTCTACAACCCGGGGATTTCCACGTCCCGACGGATTGTTTTACGGGAGTAATAGATAATATACCCCGCAGGAATATATATACAGTAATTGAACAATAACGCAAACCTTCCAAGAATAGTCAGGACTTCAATGATTGATTGAAGTTGAACATCTGAGCATTAAATTGGGATCCCGAAATTGAACAATTGCAATAATTATTACCTATTACTATATACACTAGCGAACAATTAACTCCTGCTGATTCTTATCAGCGTCTATTCTAAGATAATTCCACAGATCCTCACAAGCATCCTGCAATGACTTCTCTGTCCTCCACCCAAGCTCCCGCTCCGCCCGGTCAGGCGTAGCTACGCAAGACCCAACATCGCCGGGTCTTCTTCCAACTATCCTCACCGGTATCTCCAATTGACTAACAGACTCCAATGCCTCGATAACCTCCAGTACCGAGTGCCCCGTGCCCGTACCAAGGTTGAAAGTCCGGAAAGACCCGGAAATCCTTCCCTCCTGCGCAGCAGATAACGTCGCTACATGTCCCCGCGCCAGATCGGTAATATGTATAAAATCGCGCACGGCACTTCCATCCCGTGTATCCCAATCCGTACCGTAGATACACAATTCAGGACTCTGGCCTGTTAACGCGCGCACGGCGGCTGGGAACAGGTTCGAAGCGCAATCCCGAGGGTCTTCGCCTAGCAGTCCGGAAGCATCGCAACCGATTGGGTTGAAGTACCGGAGACAAAGCACAGTCCAGGATGGATCGGATGTGCACACGTCGGAGAGAATTGCTTCTCCGAACCATTTGCTTCGGCCGTAAGGGTTTGTGATACCCGTGCAGCCTGGCTCAACTGATACATCGGAGCCATTTTCAGTGGAGTAGGATATGCGCTCATGAACGCAATTTTCTTCTCGTAGTCGTGGGGTCCCGTCTGCTAAGGTTCCGTAGACTGCTGCCGACGAGGAGAAAATAAAAGACTTGATTCCGTGGTCATCTAGCAGACTTAGAAGATCGATAAGGCCACGAACATTGTTCTGGTAGTATTTCAGTGGGTGTTTGATGCTGTCTGCGACGGCCTTGTAGGCTGCGAAATGAATTACGCCTGTTATCTTTGATCGGGTTGATGTGCTGCCGGGAGTCCGAGTCAAGTGTGTGCCGAGCAGAACGCCCATTGCCGACATGTCCTGGTAATCTGCGCAGCAGAGCTTTGCCTTGGGAATTGGACGGCCAAGTGGCTCGTAGTGCAGCTTTGCGGCTGCAATGATGCGCGCAAAGACATCTCTGTAGCTGTTGCTTAGATTGTCCACGATAATGATGTTGTAGCCTGCTTTGAGAAGCTCTAGAGATGTATGACTACCGATAAAGCCCAGGCCACCTGTGACCAGAACATACTCGTCGGCGTCAACGTCAAGTGGATCATCAGGCTCTGTGGCTGGCGTGGATGGGTCTGAAGAGAACTGCGGAGAATTGGCACCAGTCGAGAATCCAGGCGGAGGGGACGACATGGTGGTGTAATGTCGAGAGGATGAAGGTAGAGCGCAATGGAGCACAAGAGGCTCCTTCAAGGAGCGTCCATGATCCATTAGCCGAAGATTTGGGGATTAGAAATTAGAAGCAACTGAAGGACTGCATTGTGGAACAAGTGGATTTGGATACGTTCTTTTACACTGTCTTGGTAAATCTAGCTCGGCATCTTTGCCACATCGAAATATTACAACACTAGACCCGGGGCTAGTTTTTCAGGTTTTCTGAAGCAAACAGGGCTGGGCTTTCCAAACTTTTGGTTCCATGCAGATAGGCGAGATGAGATCGAATGTCTCACTTATCTTGCTCGGGTCGCTTGACTTTCACAAATACGGGTCTAATGTGTTCCAAGGTACTCCGCCACGTGTATGATGTATGGTTTCGCACTGAGACTCGGAGAGTTCAGGGCCTCAAAGGGAGTCAAAAATAGCCGTAAGCTAAGCTGATGCCCAGGGTGTCTGGGCCAGTGGGCCAATTGAGTTTTCTTACTTTTCATTTTTTTCAATTTTTTTTTTTCCCTTTATCTTTCTTTTTCTGACCCCTGGTAAGACTTTGCTCGTAGCCCTACATGTCAACAGGGAACATCGGCTAAAGATCTGCAATCGTGATTCGGCATTCACTGAAATAAGGTTGGGTGATCGAATCCATTCACATTTGGACTGTTCGCGCGCAGAGTAAAATCGGTGGATTTTGTGATTCTTTCGCATTGACGCTCGGTTACAATACTGCGGTTTATGTATCATCTATTTTTCTCTCCTGCCCCTTGCAGAACGTTTAATGGATAAAGAGGCCCACATGTGATAAGACAGGTTTCACCCCGTTATCTGTCGCCATGAGGCGCACCGCCTTATGAGCAATCGCAAGCTAAAATCTTTGATTTATTGATTTATGGGTTTATTTTCGGCGTCATTACTCCGAGCGCTGCCCGCCAATAGGAAGCTTCAGAGCTTAGCAACTTCCGGAGTGCGGACAAATTAGGACGATTACTTTACCACATACATCCAAAGCCAAGGATACGAACGCCACGCCCGCATCTGACACACCGGAATGCTCGTTCCTATACGGACCATGCATAAGACCAAGAAAAGCACCCAGGAACGAGAGAATACAAAGTAAAAAATTAGAGAAAAAAAAAAAAATCAAACTAGAAGTTTCCACGGAATATTCATTAGCCATATGGCCCCACGTTGCGACGGTCACTGCAGAGCCTGCATAAGGGCCTCCCAACTGCGAGGACCAAAGCGCTCATAAAAATCACCAGCAATTTCAGTCACAAAAATATAGGCAGCTTTGTGGCGCAGTTCATGGACCAGTGTCTCCAGATCTTCCAATGGGACCTCATTGATCATCACACCGGAGCGGTTCCGGTCATATTTGAATCGCCCCAGCCACTTCTGGACCTCGTCCGATCGGTAGCGCGGGTAGGGCTCCTCGCTGATAAAAAACATATCGGCAGATTCACTAATCACCACGTCGGGTGGGGTCCCGGGGTTATGGATCACCTAGAGTCCCAAGGTTCGTTAGCCCCCTTTTTCTACCGGGAGTTCCGTTGCACGGCACTTACAAATCGATCGGCAAGAATACCTGGAGTATTCTTGATGAACTTAGTTAGCTCTCTCAGATAATCCGCTCGATCTAATGAGTAGTGGTTGGGAGTCTCGTCGACAAAGATCCCTCGCACTCCCAACTTAGTCGAGTCATATTGGGCCGACCATCCCGCGTATTGTTCGATCTCAGCAAAGGCCTCAGAGTGGGGCTTCTTGCAGTAGTCGATTCGGATATAGCCTACGGTGTACACGTTGGGATAGCCATTCAATCGGGGAACTTCTCGGGCATAATTGGCGTCGGGAAGGGGGAATCGCCAGGGCCGCTGTTTGGGTTGACAATAACAAGAAACTCAAGTTCAGGGTTCGACTCGATACTGGTGGTGTTATCATTAATGATTGGGTCTTTGCTTTGTTGCCTATTCCGTTGCGTGTTGCCTGATGTCTTTTTTCTCTTTCGTCCATTCATGACCTGCCTTTTTCCCCCGTGTATAGGATTAAGGACTTACGCTGCATAGAGTGGAGCCCAAGTTTCAGAGTCCAATGGATAGATGTACAAAGGTACTACCACGGTCGATTTGGGCAGCTCGGCCATATTGGGTCAATAATGGAGGATAAAAAAGGAGTTTTTCTTTTGGCCCTGTAAATGAACAACCAATCGTGTTCACCCTTATTCAAGGGAGGAGAAGAAGAGTTTCATACGTGGCTCCAAACGCCGGATTTATAAGTTCCCGCGCCGGATCACTAGCGCTGACCGTCACGAAGAAACAAGAAAAAAGTCAAAAGTCAAAAAGCCAAAAATTAAAAAATTAAAAATAAAAAGAAAAGTGGGAGAAACAGGTCCCCAACGAATTCCATGGGACGCTAAAGGGCGCTAAAGGCCATGAGTTCGCGCCACTCCGTTGTGGAGTCTTGAAAACGGGGTTATTACTTGCGAGGGCCAAATGACCGAAAACCACGAGGCTGAAAGAAAGGATTAAAAGTAAAGATAAAAATTAATTACACACGGCCCGTCCACAAGAACAAATCCAATCTCGTCAATCCCCTGTCAATCACGCCTCTAAAAAATCTTGGCATCCCTAGCACTAGCCACCCGCGCATCGTGTTCTAGCCACAATGGATTTTTCGGGGTTTCTCTTTGATACACCGGGGTGTTTCATTCGCTTCTTACTGCCAACCCTGGTACAGTCCGGAGCAAACATCAGATCGGGCCGTTCGGAGTTTAATTCTTCGTTGGGACAGCATCGCAAAATTCTTCCAACCCAGACCCAAAACTTTCGTAGTAGTCTGATGTTAGCGTTGTAACGAAGAGGTAGGCGGCTCGACGGCTGAGATCGTCGACGAAATTCTTCAAACTGTGGTTGGTCATGGTGGGGACTGAATGGAGCATGTAGGAGTAGTCGCCCCGGTTTGAGGCACTCAGGGTCTTAGCGAGCACCTTCTCCTGGGTCTGGTAGTAATTATAGGACTGCTCGAAGACCACAGTAATGTCCGTGGTGTTGTCATCGTATCGGGAGTCCGGGATTGTGCCTGGGTTGTGGATAATCTAGTAAGGTCAGCATTAGACGAACCAGCAAATGATCGTCCCCAAGCAAGCAAATGCGACCGAGAGCGAACGGATCCACTCCGGCCGTGTCCGTGTGTACCAACGATCGCTTTGATCGAAGTTCGACAGATTAGATGCTTCCAGATCCGAGCCCCACATGCACCACTTTTCCACCTCGTCCAATTTCCACTTTTTCCACGTTGCCCACTTTTCATGCAGGCTCTTTCACAAAAAAACAAAAACATAGAAACAAAACTTACCAAGTGTGGCGATTGGATCCCCGAGGAGTTTTTAACCGCCTCGTTGATTTGGCTCACATACTCGGCTTTGGTTGAATTCCAATCGTAGGGTATCTCGTCAAAGAAGATCCCATCCATGCCCAGAGCGGTCGAGGTCGCAGTCCAATTGGCATACATTGCCACATCATCCAATACCGCCGTGATATTGCGGTTGGCATAATGGGTGGGCACATATCCCACCTTTTGGACATTGGAATAAGTATCCAGTCGGCGCACCGCAGTCGCGTATTGAGTGTTGGGGGTGGAGGACCCAGGCCCACTGGAGGGATTGACGATGATCACAAAGTCAAGCTCGGGGTGTGTCGAGATTCTGTTTCAAGGATCAACATAGCTCCAAAAAACCAATGGACCCATCTCTTTTTTGTGTTTCGTTTTTTTACTTACGCATTATACAAAGGATCCCAGGTCGTGTTCGTTTCAGGATAGACGTAAACCGGGAATAACACCTTGGATGCTTTTCCTTTGTGTGCATTCTTTCGTGGGAGGATCACTGCCAGAGGAACCACAATTACAATAATAACCACTATAATCGCGGTGATCAACCCTGCGAGGCACCACGGGCGCCGTAGGTTGAATTTCCGACGCAGTGGTTGGGAGGCACCCTCGGTTCGCTTCAAGGACTCCATTGCAAAATAAAAGCAAGTCAAGACGAGGAAAAATCGCCCAACGGAGGGGAGAGTAGTTGTAATTATGGATTATGATATGCAGGCCGTTCAAGTTGGGCAGGACTTGGCCATCTACCAGACTTTCGCTGGTGGAGGGTGGGAGGCAAAAAAAAAAAAAAAAAAAATTAAAAAAACTACAAAGCAATTCCAACCGTTCCCAAGATTCCAAGACCATCAAAAGGTCTAGGTGTCTTGGGGCCAACACGGTTATAATTCATTTAGCGCCATCTTTCAATACCGCTAGACGAATCGGCTTGTATCTTTCAGAACAAATGGCTTGTAAAGCCACAATCGTGGGCCCACTCCGTCAGCCCCAACAGGGATTTCCACGCTTTCGCGGTAAGACCAGTTGCGGAGTTACTGAGACTTGCATGCAGAGACCTCGTTTAGAACACAAACAGAAAAAATAAAAATTCGGAAAGCAAAATCTATTTCGGGCGTACCCTGATATACCGTGATATTGGCCCCCGCTAGTATGAATCTAGTGTGACTGGACTCACTACCCGAGACAGCATTGAGCCCCCTGGCCAGTGGGCGCCCCCAAGCTTCTCGGATCCGGTCTCCTAATTTTTGCTACTTGATTACAATTCATGTAAAAAATCGGTTTTCGCCGGTGGGACTAGACGTGTCAAGGTCCTGGTGGCGCTGGGTCCTGTTTTTTATATACTTATTCCACTTTCCCCCCGCTATTAGAAGAGCAGACGGGGACCTCAGTTGAATACGGGGTTTAGACCCTTTTCTTTCTTTCTTTGTTCACTCGTTAATCCTTGATTCACTGTCAACATGGGCCCCGATTACTTGGGCCTGTCGGCGGTAGGATGGAGTCGAATGACAAACACCTGGTGGGAGAAGGTACGTTCCTTCAACTTCAATTGCGCTGTACCTGTGAAAACCTCGCTGACTTTCATAGGTGTTGGCCATCGGTCTCCTGGCCACAATCGTTATTGGTGCTTGTTATATTATATTCCGTGTTGGCCGGTGGTCTTATCGGCATTGGCGCGTAAGTGCGATCGGCCCGAATAGTGCGGGTGGTTGAAATTGACACAATCCAGGCACGACATGAACTCTCAGAAGTACCCTCTGGTGTTACACGGTATATTGAAAAATTGAAGACTGAAACCCAAAAACTATATACACCTGAATCCGATAGACAGACACCAAAGTCCTTTGGTGTTTACCTGGGCAGTTTCTCTAACCCGCCTACCGCTGATCAAGCTCGCCTTCTGTCCCAATGGGATGTCACTGTCCTCGACCCGCTCCAAAGTGGTGTCCTTGATGCTCTCGCCGAGGGTTGCTCATCCACCGACATTCTTGCTCGCCTGGATGTTCGCAAACTTGTCGCAACCGATAGCGGCTCGCACCGCGATGAAGTGATCCGCGCTATTCACGTTCTCAACGACACTTTGCACACTCTCAAGCGTCCCCAGGATGTGCAGGCTCAGTTCAGCGGTGTTCTGCTTGCCGACTCTCACGCTCATCTCCAGCCCGTTGTCCTAAACGAGGTTGTGAAATTCATTAATGGTATTGGTCTTGATGTTTGGATGGAATTCGGCCCGACGGAGTACATCGGCGAAAAGCAATGCCGTGAAATCGACTGGACTCCTATCCGCGGTGTGGTCTACCGCAATGGCACCATCCGAACTGATGGTGACCGATGCAACTTCTACCACATGGAGAAGATGCGAACTGTCATGCGGATCGTTGCTGCTCAGAAGCCTATTGGTGACTCCACCCTCGCGATGTGGGATACCATCGACGATGATGTTCAGATCAGACATGATGTTCTCTACCGCAGCTTCAAGTGGTGCAACTATACCAGTGCGATGAGCTGGATTGCCCCTAAGGCTGCCTTGACCGATGCGACTATTGCGGCTGCTACGACTGTTTCTCATGAGCCAATCGGTGCCTTGATGTGGATGAAGGACGAGACGACCTTGGAAGCGCACAACATTTGGCGACAGAATGAAGATATTGCTAGCTTGGCTACCGGAAATGATGAGTTGTACGACACTCTTGAATCTTTCGTGCCCGATCTGAAGACCAAGCTCGCCCTGTTCGCTCCTCGCCCCAAGTCTGTTGTGAGTGAGCAGTTGGTTACCATCGATGAATTGCAATTGGCCGCCCCGAATGAGCCTCACATGACCAACCCCTTCTCCATCTCTCCCGATGGTGAAGATTACACCGGACTGGGATGTTTCCAAATGGGCCTGGATCTTACTGCCAAGGACATTCAGGATCTCCTCCAGGCACAACGCCAAGTCCGCGATCTCAAGCTCCTGGATCCGATCAAGCCTAAGGCTCTCCGCGAGATCGCTGCTGAGCTCCGTGTTCTGCAAGACTTTGGAGGAGATGGAGCTCAAGCCGCTGGAGAGTTGAAAGATCTTCTTGTCACCTGTGATGGCACTGACAACGACCGCATTCGCCTTTACTCTGGACTGCACTCTGGTTTCCGCACTCGCATGGAGACCCAGGTTTGGGGTATGTACGACAAGACCCCCGGCTTTGGTCCCCTTGACATTTACCTCTCTGGTAAGTGTGAAGTGGGCCGCACCGGTGCCATTCTGCACACCTACATGTCCAGCCGCGGATTCTCTCGTTTCCAGTGTTTCATGGCTGAGATTGCTCTCGCTACTGCCAACAGTGCTCTCCACACTAAGTGGACTAACCTTTCTCCTCGTATCGTCAACGACATTCAGCAGCTAACTCCTACCGAGGCCTTGCTTTGGTTGAGACGTCTTTCTACCACTCTGGGCAAGGACTGTGCACACTTGACCTCAAACGTTCGCGCCTGCACTGAGCACCAGCTCATCAAGGTTCCTTCCCTCGGTCAGATTCGCGCTCTCGGCTCCAGTGAATACTTGAGCGGCAGAGCATCGGGCGAAGACTTGGTTGCTGCTCGCATGGCTTACTACGATGACCAGGGCTGCTGGGCTCCTGATGCTATTGCTGCCAAGGAGCTTTTCTTGGAAATTGACGCTCGCCTGCCTGAGGTGCTTTTGGGACGTGACTCGCGCACCCTTGAGCAGCTCGCTTATGTCATGCAAACTATCATCCAAAAGGGTCAAATCGATGCTGGTGTTGATATCCTCGCAACTGCTGTCTTCTCTGCGTTCCGCCGCGTCTCTCTGGATGAGATCTACCTTGAGGTACTCGACCGTAACCCGCTTCCCAACCTTCACACTGTCCAGGCTGCCTGTTTCGCCGAAATGTACGCCCTTGGTGCTCGTTGCGAGATGTTCCTCGATATGACTCCCAAGAAGCTTGGCAAGATTATCACCGCTCGGTACCGCGAGTACTGCAAGACTCACCAGCCTACTCGCCGTGATGAGGTCTTCACTGAGATCCCGACTGCCTACGCCTCCATGGATATGGACTTGAACCCCGACGGAGACAAGATCTCCATTCCTTGGTACTATCGTATTACCTTCCTTGGTATTTTCGCTCTTCCCGCCCTCATCGATATTACGATGTTGACAACTGTCGGCCGTGGTTTGTACCTGACTACTTTTATGAGTGATATTGACAAGACATTGGCTACCACCGCACTCATGGTCGCACTTCTGGTCTGTGGTGGATTTGGTAGTTGGATTACTTCCGGTGGAACATACTATCTGTATGCGATGGCTTTCCCAGCCATGGGAATGTTCGTGATGACTCGCTTTATTGCTGGTCTTGCTGTCGTGTTCGTTGGTGGCTTCATCGCCTTCATCGTCCTTGGCTGCATTCACGGCTTCGCGGCAGGTATTCTGTTCTTCCTCTACTTCTTCTTCCTGTCCACCTACCTCATGCTTCTGTCGGTTCTCTCCATTTACCAGCTGCCCGGATTCCACTTCCAGTCTGGCCGGACTGTCATCATCACCTGTGTTCCGATCCTATTCATCTCCCCACTGGTTACCCTCTGGGTGGGTCATGACTCGGTTATCTACCTGTGTGTGGTTGGCTGCTTCGTTGTCTCCCTTCTTCTGGGAGCGCGCCGTGTCATCTCCCAGTGGAACGCCTGGTACCTGAGCATTCCCACGACCACCGACGGTGAAGTGTTTGATTGGTACGTTAAGACCCTGCCATCTCCCAGCCCGGCCTTACTCAAGGAGCTCTCATCCTCTTCCGTGCCTCGCCAGGCTCTGGTTGATGAGGTGAACAAGGAGCGCAAGCGTCAAGTCTGGTCAAAGGCTACAACCGATGATTTCATTCGCAAGATGGCAGAGGGTTATGATTCAACCCTTTTCCTACTCGTCTGGTACTGTCGGTACTCTCGTACTCAGATTCCTCTGCCTTACAGTCCTACTTGGAATTTGCAGTTGAAAGCTGCTGTCGATACCATTGCAGACATGCAGAAGGGTATTCGGATGCACAATGCTTTCCTCCACTGGCGTCACACTGGTGCCGATGTTTGGTGCGGTATTCTCTACTTCGTCATCGCCTTGATCGATAAGTGGACTGCCCTGCTCACTGGTGAGGCCCTTGTTGGTCTTTCCAGCGCATCGAGCACTGAGTTCCGTCTGTCTGTCGGATTTGGCTTGGGATACTATCTTATTGGTGCAGTCATGCTTGACGCCGTCTCTCAGCCACTGTGGATTGCGGTGACTAAACGTAACCCTGAACCCATTGGCTCCTTGGACGGTCTGCGCAATGTCCTGGCTCACAACCAGAAGGACAGAGAAAGACTCTACTGGTCCAACCTCACCAAGTTCTTCTTCCTCCACATCTGGGGCGCATCTATTACCTTCGCCCTCATGTGGGCCTTTGAGGATAAGCGTACCTCCACTATCATGTACGTTGCCTACATTGGTGCCTACAGTGGTCTTCTGTTCTACCAATACAACCGGATTTTCACTGGTCCCGAAGCCGCTCGCTGCCTGGCTCTTGGATCTATTGTTGGTTTCCTCACTGGTCTGCTTCTGCACGTGTGCCTCCCTCCATTCACCTGGAGCAGTGTCATCGGTCTCGCATCCGGTACATGG